GATGTCTCCGCTCGGCAACACCATTTTGTGATGAGTTGTACGGAACCGTCAACTGATGACTGATCCCTTTTTCAAAGTAGAACTGATTGATTGCTCTATTGTCAAATTCAGTTCCGTTATCAGTACGAACTTGGGAAACTTTCAAACCACGTGAGCTAAAGTGGTTTTCTGCAGTCAAGATAAAATTCTTGAAGTATGCATTAGTTTCATCCTTCGTATTGAGAGGAATTATGTGAGCCCATCTTGAAAAGTCATCAACAATTGTGAGAAAGTATTTCTCACCAGCAAAACCCGGTGTTGAAAAAGGTCCGCTCACATCAGCATGAAGTAGTTGGAGCGGTGCCTTTGCCCGTGGTGATGAAGCTTGCTTGGGAAAGATTTGAGTCATCTTTCCTGCAGCACACGATGCACACTCAACCATCTTGGGACCAGAAGGTACTCCCATCTGAGCCATAACTGCGGGCGAAGGGTGACCGAGGGCCGCATGACTAATACCACCAGGAACTGCTAGTGCATCACCAACTAGCGGAATGTAGTCAAACTCATACAAGTCTGGTCCACAAGCGGTTGCAATTTTACTAGCTGTATCATCAGATGATGAGAGATAGTGTACCGCTTCATGAGAAAATGTAAACGAACCAGATTTGGAGGCCTTTTTGATGGATATTAGATTTTGGGTGGCATCAGGGACAAAGGAGACATCGGACACAGTAAGAACTTTTGAGGTAACTGGGTGCACAAAGCGGATAGTCCCAGTACCTTTAACGACCAGAGGATTGGATGAGATCCCAGTAATGCAGCCAGACGCCGGAGTAAATTCAGCAAAATGAGACCGCTCATTTGAAATGTGGAGTGTAGCACCAGAATCCAAAATGTAGCTCCGACTTGGCATAACTGAGTCTTCTCTTGAGTTGAAGACTGCCCAAGAGATACCAGAGATAGATTTGGATGAGGAGTTGACAAGAGCTGCTGTATTACCACTAGAACTGCTAGCAGCAATCGGGGCAGCAGCTGGACAATCCTTAGCAACGTGGCCTCGTTTCTGGCATCGGTAACACTTCTGCTTATTAACATAAGGTTTCTTGGAAGTAGCTGCAAATACTGAACCCTGCGTTGTAGGAACGAGATCCCGCAGAGTGTTCTCAACCGCTGACAACGTAATGTTCGGAGTTGACACATCTAAAACTCGAGCATTCGCTTGGTCGGACTTAAACATCCTTAAGTAAAACAAACCCATCACTTGGGTAATTTCCGAGGAGTGGTTAAAGTGAGCACATATATCTCTGAACAAGGACAGAGCACTTTCATCACCGGCAGACTTACTGACCGAAGCATCACAAGCTTTATTAACCATAGCATACAATTGACGTGATGTAACCTGGGAGTAATCACGTCTAATCAACATAAGTAAATCAAGTCCGAACGCATTATCAGACTGATACTTTAACAACACTTTTGACGACACAGTATTCAACAGTACAACTTGAATTGCATTGTTCAATGCAACTTGGAGCTGCATAACTAGAGTGTCGTCTATCGGTTCAGCTGGAGGTAACATCATATCTCCAGTTGTAAAATAAACGTCAAGGCCAGCACCCTGAGTGGCAACAAGCATACCAGTGTAACTGTTCCATTTAGGATAGTTCATAGACGAAGAAAGCTTCAAGCTCTCATCTCTAGGGCAAGTGAGAGCGAATTGGCTCATAACCTGTTGTAATCTAGCTATTCTATTATGAATATCCATTGTATATGTTCACTTTTTCTTATGTTTGTTGCTTATTAATTTATAACTAATATAACTAGCCTACAAACTAATATTCTCAAACATAAATACAAGGGACAAACCTCTTGTATTTATACACTTACACCTTCGGTTAAACTTGCCATTATTCATTTATCATGGCGGCTAACTTTCCAGTTTTAGATTACTTAAGATGCCTTATCATGATAAGACTCTTATCTCTTATCACTCGATCATGATTGGCTTCGGCATCTTATCTCAACAAGACTAATTGTTATAGTCTTACAAAAGCAGTAACTTCATCGTACTTATAAAAGCCATACGAGAAGAACAAGTTCTCTCATCAGTTAGATTCTTAATTAAGCGTACACAATATTCATTTTTATATTCTGGGAGCAACTAGTCATTTTTTTGAAAAACAATTATCTAAAATGCAATTACTCAAGAATACCACAAAGGTTCAGTAGCAGTTCTCTAATATTTATCCTTCAAGTTACAGCTTGACTAAGACTAGATGAAACACATCAATAACATCCGATGTAGTGTAATGGCTAGCACGGTTCGCTCTCACCGAGCAGATCCGGGTTCGATTCCCGGCATCGGAGATATTACTTTTTTACCTTTAAAATCAAACAGTAAACACTCGCACTCTTCTTTCTCTTTCGACATTTTTGTTTGATTCGACTCAATCAACCTGTAAAGATGTAGTATTGAATTAACAGTTAACTACGAGAGTACATTTAAAAGCTATTTAATTTGGAATTTCTAACAAAAGCTTACCTGTTGTCTTTCTCCCTTCAAGTTCTTTTGTAGCAGTGGGGTAGTCTTTCAACTGGTAAACTTTGTGGATGTCGATATTCAACTTTTTAGAGTTGATGAGATCGAAAAGTTCCTTCGTATAATGTTCGAATTCTGGACGTTCCGCCACGTAACCATATAACTGTGGTCTCAAAAGTTTGACGTTCTTGGACGACAATTTGTTAATAATGAAAGGTGGCACGGCTCCAGACGAATTACCATAGGAGATCAAGGTGCCTTTACGCCTGATAACCTTCAAATCCAAATCGAAGGTATCTTTTCCAATCGAATCGAAAATGGCTTCGACACCCTTGCCGTTAGTGATTTCCAAGATCTTCTCAGCCAACTGGTCGTTGGATAGTTCAGAGGAATTCAACAAGAATTCAGCACCATTTTGCTTTGCTTTGGCCAATTTTTCATCAGTTGAAGCGACCGCAATCACATGAGCCTTTTTGACATTTCCGATAAGCTGATCTAGAATCAAACCAACACCACCTGCAGCAGCAGTGACTAAAATATAGTCATTTTCCTTGACTGCATAAGCTTCGTTGATGAAAGTCAACGCGGTCAATCCCTGGAGCAAGGATGCCGCGTAAAGCTTCAATTGTTTGGAGGTTGCATTTTGGCCCAAATTCAAGATCGTAGACTGGGTAGAGTCAAACTTTGTGAATTGAGCAAAGTTCTTGTGTCCGAGGTATGCGACCTTATCACCAACCTTGAAATTCGTAACCTTGTCCCCGACTGCTACAACTTCACCGGAGGCTTCCCGGCCAGGGATGTATGGAAAATCCGCAGGATAGATACCGTTACGGAAGTAAACTTCAATGAAGTTGATCCCTGTGTACTTGTTCTTGATCAAAATGTCGGTTGCAGAGAGATCAGATGGAACAGCAAACTCAGTTGAGTATTTTAGTACTTCAGGACCGCCGTTCCTCTCGTAGTAGATAACGGCTTGTTTATCAGGAATCGAGAACGTAGATGACATGGCTTTTTGAATGTTGTTCTTGGAATTGCAGTTGCAGAAAACTGGGAAAAAATCAAATTTTCTTCTGTAACAAGCTACAGGACGGCACACTCTTGTCAACATCGACCTTGCCTACCCAGGGCATACCTTTGCAATACGTAAAACCGCAGGGAACTTTACTTTATATATTTCACGAGGTGCATGAACCTCCCGGGCGCCACGAAATTCAAGTGAGGGCGCCACGATTCTCTTTCTGCATTGCTATTGTGTTCAAAATTTTGTACATTACTAATTGTGACACAAGAAATCAAAGTGTCATAATTGTGGGCAAGGATAACGGGGCTTCAAGGTTATCAGACACAACATGCACATGCCGCAGAAAGTGTTGCTGGCATTGATACTCAACTATCCGCAACTTACAAGCTGCGGTACAAACTACGATAAAAATTACTTAGTCATCAAGCACAATGAAGCTTCAGATTTTCTAGGATATTCGGAGGACCATTCAAACTCTACGTTATACAAGGTGAGGGCAGACAACATTGACTACAAGTGCTGGATCCCCTTTGTGTTGGATGACGAAGAGACGGCGAGAAAGCATGATATGGACAATATTCAGACGGAGCTTAAGAAGAGGGAAGCCATTTCGGTGATAAAAAACTTTAATTTTCAATGGCGGGATCGGTTTGTTTCTAGAAATGGTGGATATTGGAGTTACCAGCTTAGGTTTGATTATGATATTCGCCAGTACCACGATATGGGCGCTCGAAGGGAAAATGGTGAGCCTATGACAGTTGATTTCAAGCTTGCAGCGTGGACAGATCATGATCAGGACATCTCCCTCTTTAGTAAACCATCCTATCAAATGACGGACGAGAAAAACCCATATAAGTCTGAATTAGACTTTGAGATGAGAACCTCAGAGGATGGAAAAAAGTACGTGACACAAAGGATAGCCAATGGTGAGATATGTGACTTGACCGGATTACCACGCTCTGTCACAATCAGTTATCTTTGTAATGACAAAGTGACCGTCCCAACTATACGTAATGTGCATGAATGGAAAACGTGCGAATATTCCCTTGAGCTAGAAAGTGACTATTTCTGTGGTCACGACATGTGGACGCTTCCGAAGGAACTGATCAGTAACAATGTCGATTGCTATCCTGACATGTTTCAGGGAATAGTGAGCCGTACTTTTGATTTTGAGAAGATGTCATTGAAGCCTTTGACTGGGGGAATATTTATGGGATGGGAAGGAGAAAACGCCGTAAAGTTTGATTTGATTTTGACTAAGAACTATAAAATAAAAGACGAAGACAGTGAGGATGATGAGACCAACAACTCACATTATCATCATCTATTAATGGATATTTCACTAGGATTTCAAACGTTGATAAGAAATGTACAATTGTGGAGAGGTTCTGAGCGTATCAAATGGGATACTATCTTCAAGTTGGTTACAGAGCTTTATGATATTGACCGTTCATATGTTGGTAACATACAGTTGGAGCAAGATGAGAACGGATATATCGTAAGCTCTTTTACGGATGAGCAAGTTCCTGAACAGTCCAATTTCGTGGATTCAGAGGTGCGAGTTTCATAATTATAGATATTATCATATACAATAGTTTATACAAATACAAATAAAAGAGGTGGTACTCCCCGGATAGAAAGGGTCGAAAATGGCTTCACCTCTTCCTCTTGGATTTTGAGGTCTTCTGGTTAGAGACGCCGAAGGAGGCTGGTAACGTACCTTGGTAAGTATGTTGTAGGACGGGTAATCTTTTGTCGATCTCAATATCTATCTGGTTAGGATTGATGTCTTTGGCTTCAATCAACCCAGTAAGAAGCCTTTTTATTTTAAAGTATAACTTTAACTCTTCATTTGAAGGCTTAAAAATCCTGCTGCCAGTACCTAAGATGTTTTTGTTGTAGCGGGCATGCTTCTTTTGACGGTCAATTCTGTCTTGACGGAGCTGGCTAAGGTCATTCAATAAGTCACTGACAGTGGCTTGCACTTTGTTTTCTTTGACTGCTTTGACTTCATCTTCGGCGACTACTTTATTTGCATCCCACAAAAGTACGTTAGCTAAGTCTATCTTTTCTCTGCTGTCTGGGTCATGGTCGATACTATCAGATGAATCGTCTTTCTCACCGTTTTCTTCCTTTTCAGTCTTACTCTCATCGTCTGAAATATCAACATCATCGTTGGCTGTGGTGACTTCTTCATCTTTGGTGACTTTCTCCATGTTTGAGTCCTCAGGTTCTACAGATTTTTCAACTTTTGTGTCTTCCTCCAGTTTGGTTTCTTTCTTTTCACTTGCCTGTTGCAAAGCAAGTAGATCATCGTATCTGCTTTTTGCATCAACCAATTTCTTAAAACCTATCTGTTGGCACCAGGTCAACCCTTTCCAGTCATTTGAGATAATTGACTGTGTTTCATCGTAAGTCGGAGCAAAACTAAAGTTGAGAGATGATAAGCCATCACCATGTTTGAGCCATTGCGAAGATATCAATCTGAGCCAATTGGGGTGCATGTAATTTTCCAAGATCTGCCTTATGTTGGGGATTTTGGCGTCAGGGTTGGTGAACTTCGATAGCTTTTCATCGGTAGGGAATGATACATTAGGGATGACGTTAGTGAGTGTGATGCCCAAAGCCGGGTCAATGATTGGCTCACGGTCATCCAAATCAGATTTCAGGCTGTTCAAAGACGAAAAGAACGGTACATTTCCCGAGGCAAAAATTGACAACGCCTTACCGGTGCTCGTGTAGAAGGTGGAGGTTATTATGTCGAAATCTTTTTCTAACATCGCACCCAAGCTATCTGTCGACTCAATGGGCTTCAACTGCGATAACTGTGTTTGAATCTTACTATCGTTGGATTGTTCTGTATGGGTGCCCTCGGTGGATTTGGCCCCTCCGCCAGCGTCTTCCTTCACTTCCTCCTTTGCCTCTGCTTCTGCGGGGCTTTTCGTCTTTTTGAGAGCCGCCCCTAGTCTTATGGCCTCTCTTAACAACATCTCCACCGATATTTTGTAGAACTGATCCGTTTTTGCATATAAGGTCGGGTTGTCCTCATATTCCAATATCTTAGTGATACAGGCCAACTTGAGATCATGGAAAACTTCATAGACGGATTCGTAGGACTCGCTTTGGAACTTCTCCCCGAGTGACGTTTTCTCAGAGTCCTCTAGTTGAGGGTGGGCATCGAGAAATTTGAGGTACGAGTAATTGATGTTCTTGATTTCACCTTCAAAGAACGTGTCACTGTTGGGAAACTGCGCTTCCAAAATACCTGAGGCATCCAGCTGTGAGTACACGTAAAATAATGCCTCTAGAGACTTGCTGAGTTGCCCGGACTGCATTTGCGCTTTTGGAAAACCACGAAAATCCGTAAGACAAACACCAACGCTCAGCGTGTAACCCATGCAATGATTTTAGACGTACACATTCATATAGCTTTAATATACAAGAAACTCCTTCACAGGCGACGAGGAATGCCAAAAAAAAGCAGGAAAATCAGATAGTTTCCCATGCGCCACACACTTTCTGCTGCGCCACACTCTGTGGCGCAAGATCGACACCGCCACCGTTATGGGAGAGCTGAGCCCCATATCTTGGGACAACATGGCACTCTCGGGTTTCGATACCTTCGGAGTTGATGGCTGAGACAGGCTTGCCAAGTGGCTTAGAGAATGTGATGAGACCTGTAGACTTGCCAACGTTGACTAGTGCCGCGGAACCAATGTCGTTGAGAGGAAGCATTCTAACCTTGTTGGTCTTGGCGCTGGCACTCTTCTGCAGATGGGAATACACGAGATACTGTGGAGCCTTGCCACTTTTCAGGATGATGCTGCTAGGGTGGATGTAGATGTTGAATGCATCATCGCCTTCACCGCAACGGTTTTCGGCTATGTAGGCGGGGGTCAGGTACGGCACGTTCATGATTTTCATGTTGTTTGTGAGCTTGAAGTCTTTGTCCACGACGTCCTGTCTGAAGGCAATCTGGTCGATGAAGCCGGCAGCTATCATCTGCTTGATCGCCTGGACCTGCTTCTTCGCAGGCTTGGCGAGCTTCATCTCCTCTTCGCTGATATTCGCTGAGATGGCTATACGCTCTTTCATTGTGTGGGTCTTGACTATGTAGGTCAGCTGTTTTCTCAACTTTCCGATCTCACTCATTTGCTTCTCTCTCAAAAAGTGTTCTTCGTAGAACTTGCTCCTTTTGTTCCGAGGAATATGATCACTGGCACAGATTGCAGATAAAAGCTTGAGACTGTCGCTGTATTTGTCCAGTCTGGAGAACATCTCCGTGGACTTGTTGAATTTCTGCCGTAGCCTTCTCTTTTTTTCCACTTCAAATTGACTAGGAAGATCTTGATCTTCCTTGTAATCATCTTTCAAATTTTCGCCTTCCTTTTTCATGCCAGGGTCATTTGTGCTCTCAGAAGCTTCGTTGATCTGAATTCCCAAATCATATTCTGTCAAAAAGGGATCTCCCACAGACATTCCTGAAACTAGTGCAATAACGTAGGGTAAGCATCCCTGTTGATTTGCAATCAGAAGAATTTTTGAAAAACGGGGACTCAAAGGAAACAAGCTCATCTTTTTGCCAAGACTGGTTATTTGCAATTTTTCTTTATCAAGAGCCCCAAGATACTTCAAAAGTTGCTCCGCCTTCTGAAGCATGTGTCTATTTGGAGGTGTAGGAAATGGAAAGTTAATGACCGTTTGAATACCCATGCTCTTCATATTCAAAACGACTCCCTCAACGGGCATTCTAAGGATCTCAGGTCTTGAAAATTGTGGAAACTCACTTTCATAGACTGCAGACGAATAAATTCTGTAACAATGACCAGGACCAGTTCTACCAGCTCTACCAGATCTCTGATCAGCACTAGCCTTTGAGATCCAGTCAATTTCGAAAGATTGCACTCCTGTTTCTTCATCATATTTTCTTTCTTTGGCTCTTCCACAGTCAACAACATACCTAACGTTGGGTATGGTCAAGGAAGTTTCAGCAACGTTAGTCGCAACAACACACAATCTAGATCCCGGTGGTGGGTCTTCAAAAATTTTCATCTGCTCCTTGGTCGGTAACAATGAATATAAAGGTAACACATATAGCGGATCGTTTTCAGTCTGATCCTCTTCCAAAGTTTCCTCAAACCCCTCTTCCTCTTCCTTATCTTCCTCTTCTTCTACCTCGGCATAATCTTCTTTAATTTCGATTTCATTAACATTGAAATCAATTTCCTCAGCTTCAATATCCGCATTGTTGGGGTCAACTTTGACATCAACCGGTTCATCTTCTATTTTGCTAACGCCGCTTTCATGTACTTTCTTATTTTTGAAAGAAAATTCTTTTTTCAATTTATTGACCAGAGCAATGATTTCAGCCTTACCTGTCATAAAAACCAAAATGGCACCTTTTGGCAACTTTCTATGAATTTTGCAAACCTTTCTGAACGCCTCGTCGGTGTAGTCAAATGGAGTACGTTTGTTGAAATGGGTGGATACTGGATATTGCCTAGCATCAACCTTTAGAATAGGAGGAGGTATATCAAATAGTACTTTGTTCTCACTGAAATCCCCTACTCTCAAAGTGGCACTCATGATAATCAATTTCAAAGGATAGAATTTTTCCGGTTGCTTCTGATGATACTCTCGCCTTAACTTCAAAACTCTACTTAGCATACCAATCAAAATGTCAGTGTTAACGTTTCTTTCATGGGCCTCATCAATCACTAAAGCAGAATATTTCATTAACAAAAAGTCGTTCATCATCTCCCTCAATAGAACACCATCTGTCATGAATTTGAGAGAGGTATTGCCACTTACTGTTGCATCAAACCTGATCTGATAGCCAACCCTATCACTATAATTACCCAATTCACGACTGACCCTGCTTGCCATAGAAACGGCTGCAACCCTTCTAGGCTGTGTAACACCAATGAGACCAGGAGTATCTGATTCCGGAACACCATAACCAGATTCAAAAAGAAACTGCGGAACTTGTGTTGTTTTTCCCGAACCAGTCTCACCGCAAATAATGACACAATCGTTATGATGAATCGCTTCCATTATTCTACTTTCTTCCGCATAAACTGGTAATTTGGATCTGACAGCTTGTATTTCAGCACTCCTATGAACATTCACTGTGAAAATCTTCCTTTCTAACTTTTCATTGATCGGTATGAAGTCTTCCTTTAAACCATCATCTAGATCTTCTTTTCGTACAATTGCCTCATAATTCATCTGAGGTCCAGTAGGTGCCTCAAATGATTCACGACCATCTATCTTACGAACCTGTTCTTCAGCCCAATCTTTGAAATCTTTGGCCTTCTTTGTGTGTTCTTTCTTTATATCGACTTCGATTTCAATATCATCATCATCGTCATCCCCATCCTCCTCGTCCTCCTCCGCCTCATCATCATCATCATCTCCATCTTCTTCTCCGACATCTTCAGCCCTATCGTCGCTATCGTCGATTTCGATGCTGGCTTCATCTGCTTCATCTGCTTCATCATTCTCATCGTCATCTTCGTCATCCTCTACTTCCTCTTCTTCGTCAGAGCTACTACTCACAAAATCTTTGTCATCCTCCAAGGATTGTCTTTTGTTTTCTTCTTCTGCAAGCTTATTTCTCCAGGTATAACCCTTCTTTTTTTTCTTGCTCTTCATCTTTTCGATATTGCCAAACCCAAAACCGGTTCCCATTCCCGAGAATGGCTTTGCAGGTCTGTAATCAATAAATCCAGAGCTTACTGTGGAAGTACTTGCAAAATTTTCACCGTTGACAGGATCAGCCTCTTTCAATGGTTCTTCAGCCTTATCGTCCTCAAGCAGCTGATCCCAGCTTTTAATTTCTCTTTCTTCATATAATAAAGATCTAGATTGGTCAGTAGACTTTCCCAATCTTTCCAACTCCATAGCCTCAACAATCTTCTCTTTCTTGGTTTTTCTATCTCCTGAACCTATAAGCTTTGCAGATCTTAAAATACTAGTGTCTATCCTTGTTTCTTCTAATTTCTTGAATAGAATCTCCTTTTCTTCTCGTTTAAGCTGATGTTCAATATACTTGTCTAATCTTTTCTTCTTTTGTCTTGTAAGCTTTTCCTTATGCTGCTCTAGCAATTCCTCCTTGAGCTTCCTCTTTCTTTTGGATTTTTCTTGCTCGAGGCCGTTAATGGTATTCTGATTTGTATTTTCCACGGCGTCTTTGTTTATGTAGCTAGTATCATCATTTTCCTGCTCTTTTTCATCGAAATTTTTGGCAAGCTCATTACCAGCTTTTCCATAGAACTTTTTAGCCATGTTATTTACTTCGCAAATAAATCTCTGATGGTCCAGTTTGCTGTATATAGCAACTAGTAGAAATAATCTATAGGATCTACATCAACATGAGTAGAAATAAAAATTTTTTATTATGGAGTAACCTCCGCACAGCCTGGAATATTCTCAATATATCAAAATTCTTGACTCCACACAGTAAACATGGCTTCACTGATGTTTATTTACCCCAACTTTCCGAGGAGGTACTATAAAAACAACACGATTCTGAGTGAATTATTACCAGCTTTAAGCAGCCAATCAGACCTATGGTAATGGAACCTTAGGCAGTCGTTCCTTTTCTTTGCTACTAACCTAATCGATCAGATGAACAATGAAGAAATGGTGACTATCGTTAAAGATGGCGAGAAGCCTGTACGCAGGACGTCTAGACACAAGAGCACAGATGCAGAAAACACCAAAGCCGTGAGAACAAAGGTCGGAGAAACAGGCGACGATGAATATGGGTTTTTGGATTACCAAAATGTTGCCAAACTCAGACTAGGTAGATATGAGTTCAATACGTGGTATGGAAATTCGGCTCTTTTCACTAAACCTGTGCAAAATAGAGCAACCAATACACTGATGACCAAGCTAGCATTCAAGGAAAATCCACAAAACATGCAATCGTCACCAGCAAAAAAGTTTACTAAAACTGTAACAGAGACTAATCCTTGTTTTTTTAAAATTAGAGATAAGGAACCTTGGATTGGTACACTCTTTGTTTGCCCATTTTGTTTCAAGTATACCGATATTCAGATGGAATGGGAACATCATATGAACTGCTGTAAATTCAAGTCTAGTTTACCAGGCAAAGTCATGTATAACGATGGCCAGTTGATAGTACGAAAAGTTAAAGGCGTGGATCACAAGCTATTTTGTCAATGTATGTGCTTGATGGCAAAATTTTTTTTGGATAATAAATCTGTCTTCTATGATTTAGATTACTTTGACTTTTACATTGCGTATCAACTATTGGATAGACATGAAGTGCCAATGGGGTTTTATTCAAGAGAGCTACTTTCGTGGGAGTCAAACAACCTATCCTGCATTTGTGTGCTGCCCTGTTATCAAAATCGAAGATTAGGCACCAAATTAATTGATTTCTCATACAAATTATCGCATTATGAGCAACAGATCAGTGGACCAGAACGTCCTTTTTCTCCACTAGGCAAGCTTACGTATCTGAGATATTGGTGCCGCAACTTGGCTTTGAGTTTTGTTTACGGCTCATTATCAACTAAGAAACATGTGACTCTTCAGCTGATCAGTGAGACAACAGGATTTAGGACCGAGGACATCTTGTTTGCCTTTTCATTTCTTAATGTTTTATCTGATAATGGAATGAAAAATGCGAAAATGGATTACTATTTAGAAAAGTACAAATACAGTGATCACTACATTTTTGTGCAGGATGAAAAATACAGAGTTTATATTGACAAGCTAAAAATCAAAAAGTGGATAATGGAAAACAAAATTTCCAATAGTACGATAATGGATCCAAACTGTTTCATTTTTTACTGATTACAACCTTTTATTCTTTGAACAAACTTTGCAACTCTTCGAGCTTTCTTTTTCTTCTTTCTTCGTCGGAAATTGTCAATGCTTCGCCTAGTTGGTTCTTTCTTTCCTGAATTCCTAACATTCTTTCTTCGATGCTCCCTTCCATTATAAATCTGATCACTTTCACACTTTTAGACTGTCCCACTCGATGAAGTCGATCGATAGCCTGGAATTCAATAGCGTTGTTCCAATGCGGATCCATTAGAAAAGCTTTTGAGGCGATAGTCAAGTTTAAGCCAACACCACCAGCTTTCAAACTTAACAATAAAATGCACACTTTCTCTTCTCCATCAGGTAGAGTCTTATCAAACTCATTTAATACATGTTGCCTTTGTTCCAGATTTAATCTGCCATCAAATTTAAGGACTTTAAACTCTTCTGTATACTTTTCTAACTCATTGCCTATAATATCCAAAAAGCTTGTAAACTGGGAAAATACGATAATATGCTCTCCGGGAGATTCTTGTTTAATCTGCTCAAGATGAATTAGAAGTGCATTTATTTTAGAAGACTGCTCATTTGGAGTGAAGGGTCTGACAAAATAGTCCCTTGATGCTGAAGAGCCTAAACTTGTTTTCTGAGTCAGTAGTGAATCATTCACGTCTAAGTTGACCATATCTACGGCAGTTGGTTTCTTTTTACCAACAGTTCTGAAAAGTCGATTTCTGTTGATTGGTGTCCGACACATGGGACAAAACACTTCCTCTGCTTTCAGAAACTGGTTATCATCGGCACCAGTATCTATCTCCTCAGCGTTAGCTTCTTCATTGTCTTTTGGGTGTTTCAGTTGAAATTCAAAGTGTTCTGTCAGGCAACTTAAACAGAAGCAGTGTTTACAATCTGTTATTATACAAGTATCAATATTAACCATTTCTGTGCATATCGAACACTCTGTGTCTTCGAAGGTTGGATATAGTTTGTAAATTTCCTCTTTCAGCTCTTTGATCTTTTCAATAGGTAGCTTTTGTTGCTTTTCATTGGTCTCAATCATTTCCACCAGTGAAAGAATTTCATCATCAGCTTTTGTAGAGAGTTTTGGTTGCTTATCAACAGCAAGAGAGCTTGCCGGATCATCCATTGCCTCAGATTCACCTGTTTTAATCAAGTCAATATGACAGCAGACTTGCCTCAGTCTTAACAACTGGGTCAAAATAGAAGAATAATTTTTGAAGATCATTCCCGACTTAAAATTTTCGTTGAAAGAATTTACAGCTTTCTCTTTAAGCCACTCATATATTGCTCTTTCTCTTTTGTTGAATGATAACCTTTCAATGTTTACCTCTTTAGGAGGCAAAACAACCAAGTAGTTTCCATCCTTATCTTTTTGACTCTTTGTTCTGCGTAGAAGGATTGGATCAAGGATAGACTTTAGTAACTCAACAGCAACATCCACTTCTTTTCCCGTGTCAAAAGGTAACGAGATACACTGCTTCCACAAAGCATGATAACTCCAGGGTTTCAAATCTAGGAAGTGCACTAATGAAAATAAATCTTCCAACCTGTTTATAATAGGAGTACCAGTTAATATCCACCTTCTATCTGACCTTAGATTATATACTGCTTTTGCCGTTTTGGTGGTCCTATTTCTAATGTTGTGCCCTTCGTCCAAGATTATTCTAAGAAATTTAATAGAAAACAATCCATAGTTTTTAGAAGAAACCTCTGACTTACTGAACCTAGACCATTCAGACTGAATCATACCATAGGTAGTTAGGACAATAGTTGGTGCGTCTTTGCTACATAGTAGCTGCTTTAGGTTTCCAAGGGAATCTGAACCGTAATAAATAAAACATCGATGTATTTTTTGATCTTCAATTACTTTCATGAATTCTCTTTCCCATTGGGTCAATAATGCCATAGGCACGACAATCAATGTTGTACCGAAAGCAAAGTCCTTGCGTCTATTAATGTCGTCTAATGGTAATGAATCATATATTACATCTTTAGGATAAGATAAAATCAAAGAAAGGGTTGTGATTGTTTTACCTAGACCCATTTCATCTGCTAAAATGCCACCTTTACATGTAGACTTTAACAAAGGTCTTGTGAGAGAGCACGATCCTTTGTAAAGATTTAAATAAAACTCGTCAGGAAAATTAGGTTGGGATTCCAAATGCTGCAATCTAGCTGGTGGCTTTGGCCACTGATATTCTTTCCACAAAGGATTCAATGAATTTTCTAGAGATTTAAGCTGTTCGACCATAAAACTCCTTTCGCCATCCGTGTAAATTGTATTATTGATCCCAATCAGGTCATATTCCTTTTCACGATATAGCATCCAGCTCAAACCTTGTCTCTGATATGGTCTCAAGTCGATTTTAAAGTTGTTTGGGGTACTTTCAGGAAGAGATTGATGCAAATCATTCACTTCTGTACTCCTGTATAAATCTTTCACTTGGTTCAACGTAAGTCTAGCGTCATTAGCCGAGTCATCTCTATTGTTCCCATTATCATATGCATTATCATTCTCCTGATCAGGGTCATTTGAACCACTGAGCTCTTCGAGCTGCGCATTTTTGTGTAGCTCCTGAAATTCAGATTCATCATCACTATCACATTTTTGTAAAGAATCAATTTTCTTTTGCTCTCTGTCTTTTTCTTTCAAGGACTTAAGTCCTAGTTTTTGAAAAAGCTTCAATACCGCACTCTTTAAACGTGTACCTGCTTCAACATTACCACCAGCATGTTTCATTACTTTTAACTGTTCCAAATCAAACTCATCATTCAGATTGTCAGCTCCTTTTTCTACTTCAAAGATTTGCTGGGAGATGAAACAATCAGATCGTATAACAAAAGTATCTCCAGTGCTTAGCCTTTCACCCTCAACAAAAAATAATTTATTCTCAAAAACGATTGCAGATTCATCGATTAAAGGTCCAATAAACTCTGCTATATCTTCAGTAAGCCTACCCAATTCTCTGCGAAACTTGCTGTTTTCTGCTTGATGACTTACATATACCACATCGGATGCTGATGGTTTTGTAAAAATCAGCCTATTGTCAAGATAAATGGAATCTAAGCTATGTGCCGATCTTGTGCACCAACAAGACATATTCATTGTTCCTATGTATCTTTTCCAATAATTCGTTTCCTTTATAGCACTTGTATCATAAAATGGTGTTTCAATGTGATTCATTGATAAGGTTTGTATATTTGTACTAGCATCTGATTTGGGCCTTGCTTTACTAACCTTTTTAACTTTCGCTGTGAAATACCTAGAAGTTTCAGCTTTCTTATTAGGTTCGATCTGGTTTTTGCGACTGGTATACTCGTACTTTGCCTTTTTGTTAACTACCATACTTTCTTTTTCTCGAGGTTGTTTTGAGCTAGAGTGTTCCACTTTGTTGTTGCCCTCCGATTGTACTTTTTCATCTAATAGGTGGTTGCCGTTATCAAGAAATACATTTGTTGCATCTTGCAAAAGATTCGGAGAACTTTTGAATTTTTTGTATAGGAAATATATTGAAGATTCTGCAATATCAGTGAATAAGTACTTCATCTCTTCCTTGAATTTGAGAAACTGATCGTGATCCTTTTCAATACTCACATTGGATTTATAGCTTGGTGTATCAGACTGAGGGCTTGGAACATCCGAAGGGATAACAGTTTGCAAAGTATGATCAAAAAAATGCTTTGTAGTGTTTTTCTCGACCATTTATATCGTATCCTTTTGATCTTTGTCTACTAACTTTTTATGTTCAATTGCGTGTGGCAAAAGATGCGTTTTAATCAGATCAAGATTTTTTCATACATTTCATGGTCACAAAATTACGCGTTTGCTGAATACGCATTTGCGCTGTACTGACTATCTTACTTGAAATTATAATGGGTTAAAAGCTAGGAAAACGTACACAAAATGAGTATAAAAAACTTGAATAGGTAGGTAGCATCAACCAAAAATACAAAATAATAAAACACAACAGATAGATGCTGTGAAACGAACTGAAATTAAAGCATTAAAACACAACAAATCATAAAATAGCATAAAAGGAAAGAAGGAAGGAAAGCAACAAAATATGGTGTATATTGAATGCACTCTGCTGATACTAACTTGAATAAAAACCCTCTACTATATAAAAATCACCATTTGATAAGCAGACCCAAACCAGACACAAACCTTGCAGCAGATCACTGAGATCTTCTTCATCTAAAAAAAAATTACCTTGAAATTGAATTTTGACATTGTTATCCTCTCTTCTTTTTTTAATTTATAATGTTGTCAAGTTGAGAAAGCGGCTAATACCGCTCATGGTATTTAAGAAATTTTGCCTGAAGTTTCTAGAAGTCTTTTCATGTGAAAAGAGTTTCTAATTCGGCTAACGATACATCTTCAGGACTATCAATATCTTGATTCAAAAATCCAGATCTAACCGTTTCCAACCATTTGGCGCTTATAGATGGTTCAACCGAAGTATCAGACATTATGGAACTGGTGATGGCATTGACCGAATCATATATCGAGCCATTGTACGAACCAAGTACTACCGCTCTCAACGCAGCTACTGCGGCAGCGGCATTAGGTGTGTTGGCAAATGATTGTTTTCTTGGAACTCTTGGCGTAACTGCTGCTGCTGTTACAATTCTTTTGGGTTGATCTGTGGAATTACTTCCTAGTGAACTGGAGATAGAAGAATTCTGTCTTTGCTGATAACCTTGGTTTGATGAGGAGTTGGATTTGGACCTCTTATTGACAAAACTGATGGATTTTGATCTTTTACCAATACCGGATGGAATCCTCTCAGTGACAATATCGGACCCACGCCTATAATAGCCATGGTTTTCGTAAACACTGACCTCATTCTCATCACTATCATCGTCAAAATCTGTTTTTAGTGAATTGTACACATCGTCTTCATCATCAGAATCTGGGATAACGGTAAGGTATTGATTGCTTCTGCCTATGGAGAAATCACTCTTTATTGGATTAGGGGACTCAGCTGTGTCGAGGTTCTTCATCGGCATTGTAACATTTAAGGATGCTGTGACAGGAGCAACAGAATACGGAACTGACAGCTGTGGAATAGCAAAATCGATCGATCCATTACCAAATGGTGATGCTTTATCTAATTGTAAACCTGCAGGGGAAATAGATTGCACCGAAGACAAATCATGTGCTAAAGGAGACTGAGAACGTTTGGAACTAGAACCTCCGTCAACCCCAACTAATTTCGATTTAGAAAGAGAAATTAGATTAGAATCCGATTCAAAATCCGTTTGGTCGACAGACATAGCATCAGGGAGTGAACCATGTGTAGCATTGTTTACATCTTTCTTTCTCAGTTCTTCTATGATGCTTTGAACATAAGCAGGATATTCTGGAGCCAAGATTCCACGATATACGTACACCATTCTCTTTGGCGAAGAATCTGCCCAGTCTCTTGATAGGGCATAATGAATTGAGCAGTCACCTTTTTCAACCTTCTTGACATAAGCGTTCAGCTTAGCACTAACCAAATTAGAGGTTTTGGAAGAAAGCTTTGACATATCAGGATGTTTTTCGAGTAAGATATCACATATTTGCTTGACTGTCATACCTTTACTATCTGGGTCATGCTCAAATAGAATGACGAAAATAGCCAATAAAACATCATCATCGATCGATGTGTGAGTTTCAGGTTTTGGCCTTTCTCCCGTCAAAGGGACAGAAGTCGAGACACCACTTGCAAAATTAATTGTACGAGGGGTCTTCTTTTCCTTCTTTTCCTTCTTCTCTTTTTTCTCTTTTTTCTCAGACTTAAAATCTTTGATCTCTGATGCTTCATCTTTGACCTTTGGAGTGTGAGTTGGCGTTGGGGATGAGCTAGAAGGAGTTTCTGGAGAATCATCTGGAGAATCTTCCATGATATCAGAATGATCTGGTGAGTCATCCCCTTTATCAATGTCAGAGGTTTTGATGTTTTCAGCTAAAGTTGTCTTTGCTGTTGATGATGACAAAGATGGAGCTAAATTCTTTCCATTGCTACTCTCTGGAGAAGTTGGAACAGATTCATTGGTCATCTTGTCATTGTTGAAGTCTGACAGTTCTTCTGAGGAGGTGATTTGATCTTGAGACATGTTGAAATATAATACAAAAGGTTGCGAGGTGTGGAGGGGGATGTGTAAGCGTTGTTTAGTTTATCCAACAATGAGAGCGACTAGCAATCTCAAATCAATGAATGAACTGTTAAACGCAGTTGAAAAAAAAAGTTGCTTTTGAAATGTGGAGAGATATCCGTCTAAGTCCAAACAAATAATAATATCTGAATGATAGAACTCGGGCTCCAAATTTAACACCAATTTCAGAAGCTTGTAACTAAAGTTGATAAAATCAACAAAATTGTGATTGAAGATAAATCAATATGAAAGTTAATTGATTGTTGATTCTAAGTTAGTGATGCTCCAATTTCTCGATAGCAAACAGGTAACTTATATTTGATTTCCAGTTGAATTAAAGTGGATCAGCAGGAAATTTTGATTTTTGACTTTGAAAAATAAAAGAAAAATAGATTTAGAAAGATATTAGTATGTTGAACATATTGGAAAAATCTTGATGTATTATTAGAATAAAAGCGACTTACGTAATCAATAATAAAGTTGATTTGTGTTTGATTGTTATTGGTAGACTAATACTGTCTCAGAGATTGGTGCTTGATAATGTTAAATAACAATGAGTGCACAAAAAGACAGAGTGTATTTGAGAATGAATAACAAGCTTTGACTAGTTTTTTTCTAAAAATACTTGTAAGAATCAAGTATTTTTTCAGTATTAACAATTAAAGTAATGAACAATATAGCTTATCAAAAATGAAATAAAATAACAAATGAAATGAATAATCAACTTGAGTGAAAAAAAAGGATAGGAAGGTGTCTCAGAGTCTATGATATATTAATTCAATAAATATCAAATCAGACAAAATCCTACTCAGTTAAATGAAATGAGTAAAAAAAACCGATGTTTGACCAACTTGCCGCTAAGTTCTGGACAGACAGGAATAAAACAGGAACAACCGCTAAAGAAAAGAGTTTGTACCTTCAGTAATTGCTTACCGACTTTTCCTATAAGAACAACTTATTTAGCAAATGTAAAAACGAAAGGAACGTAAATGTAAAACGCAAATACAATCACACAATGCATACAAAGTTATGAAATTATAATAATAAAACCAATATACTCTATAGAGCGGCTCTTTACCGTGGTAGAGTCAGTGATAAGCCGTTTGCTTAGATAACTAGTAGTATCCCCCTGTTCAAAATTTCACGACCTTCCTCTTTAGGATTGTTTAGCCCCAATCGCGCATCCAAAAAGGAGGAAACGCAGTCACGGTGCATGGACCAAATTCAGAAGTGCCGCGTCTTCCGAAAGCAACGCGCAACCACCCCCACACCACACGCTGAAGAGCCAGATCAACAGCTAAGCGGTGTGAGGGTGGTAACAATCCGCTAAATGCGGAAATTGCAAAGATAACGATCGATGAGATACCGTCCATTTTCCGCAATAATTTTTTGTTTTTAATATGAATTCTTTCGATTTCTGTCACTTTTTTTACGCTCTTACGTCGCCACTACTGGTGACTGAATGGATTAAGAATGGGATGCCTTATATTTATTCTGGGACATATATGCACTTTCTAACTCTAATTGTTGTCACTATTATAAATGACCACTAGCATACTTTTTCATAAAACAATATGTATGCACTACCGTCACTTTCTCCCTTTTTACCCATAGTGTCGCTCACCTTTACCTTATCATCGTCGAATTTCACCCAAGTCCCGTTTTTCTTTACCTCTGAAATATAATGTCCTCCATCTAATGTACCATAATGTCGAACAATTCCGTATAAGCTATACTCCCACTCTCCCTCCTGTCCCCGAGTAGGAAACTTTTTGAGTTGTTGTCTTTCCTGTTCGTCTTGAATTTGCGGCCAGTACTGTTTCATGCTCATTTTCAGAGGTATATTTATCTTCGAGGTGTTTTTCACAAACGTGAGATTGGGGCCTGATGAAAGAGAAAATCTTTCAAGATGAACAATTAACACCGCCGGCAAGCGAGTGATTGTCAATTCCTTTTTTGTACTAAAACTCCCTTTACATCTTGGACATTTCCATGCATTGTCTCCACTTAGGATTTCAGGAGAAACAAAACTATCAATGCAGTCGTACAAATTCAATTCCTTTTTCTGACTAGGAACTGGGACAGAGAGCATATTGAATGGAATGTATGTTGTAGATGTTTTATGACAGTTGCCACATTCTAGCCTCGACGCATACTGACCCGCAAAAATTTCAATAATAGTCGAATAGTCTGTTTTCAAATACCTTTCCCACTCAATAGTAGATGCAAGCCTCATTGGCAAAATTTCTCTGTTAGCCTCGTCCTCATCTGTAATGGCAGGAAGTGACTCTTTATTTGCAGACCAGTTCAAATCCTCGTGGATCGTATCAAGAATGAAATGGAGAAACTCTGCTGAGTCTTGCTGGTAACAATTGTTGAATGCAGAATTAACCGAGCCTACCACTTTCTTGAAATTTTTCGGATTAGTTGCCACATGTTTGAGCGTGTTTGCCAGCATTGTTTTTGCCAAAGTTTGATATTCTTTTGTCAGTTTTCCCCGAGAACCCAATTTAGAATCCTTGGCAACAAATTTGAGATAAATGTCCTGCAAAAGATAGTTTGTTAGCTCTTTTGTTCCCATCATACACTGCAAAGAGGCATTCATATAGCATGAGTTCCCTAGATTATACAACCCGGAAACAAGAAAGGGTGATTTGTTAGGAGAGGCAGATCGAACAGGGGTATTCACCGAAGAAACCTGTAGCACTGGAGTATTGTTAGATCTATGCACAATAGGGGAAGACGACGACGTTGAAGGAGCCACCTTAACGGTGGGTCTGAACACTGGTGATGGTGATGGTGATCTTGTTCTTGTTAAAGGCGATGAAATAGGCACCAACATTGTTGGCTGAGGTAATTGCTGTTTGGAAAGACCACCACCAAACTTAGAAGTCAGATGTGAGCTAGGAAGAGTAGGGAATAATCCCGTAGGCGACGGTGACCTTGATAGGAATGGCTTGGTATGAACATAATTTTGCTGAAGATTGGGTATGTCATTCATTGTCATTGGAGATTTAGGTAAGGCTTGTTGAGTGGTATGATGCCGTGTGGCTTGATTGTTCATGAAATACACCCACTCATCAAAACCACCGTCTAAAGTGATTGGCTTTCTCTTGAGTCTATACTTTGAGTCATGATTTTTTTCGTCCAATATGGCGATAAAACGAAGTATGTCCTGTGCCAGCTTCGCATGGATTGAGGACTGATCAATAATTATTACCAATTCGTATTGGGCAATGTTCATGAAAATCTCCCTCTCTTTGAACGTGCTCAACAAGAGTGAGTGATCGATAACGTCTTGAACGGTGTATTGCGGCTTGACGGATAGGGGATCGATGTTGATAATGTTTGTGAATAGCGAGATGTGATCCGATTTGAAAGAAGGTGATGGACGATAATCAATTAATAATACGCTGCTGTCAAATTTGTGGTATGTATCCATCAGTGTATCGACATCTATGAACTTTTTCATCGAATACAAGTCTAGCAACTTCATATCGGGATCGTTTGTAGGCGACGGAGATATTGAACGAGGCCGGTCTGGGATCGCCGTGGGTCTTATAGGTGTCGGGATGGCAATATTCGAAGGAATGATTTGCGGCGGCAGCGGAGAGGAGCTTGAAGGCGTCAAGTTTTCTATGAGTTTGGACTTCTCTATGAGGGGGTTGCCGCCATTGAGTAACGTGTTGAATCTCGACTCGATGTTGGACTGGAAAGACAGCCGTGCGGATTTGGCGATAAAGTCCTTGACACTCTTATAGTACCACAGGTTGTCGTTGATGATCTTGTCGAGTTGTCTGAAGTCTTCCCAATACAACCCGTTTGCTTGGATCTGGCTCTCCTTCAGATGGTGGTCCAAAAGCTGTCTCGCAGCCGTGAAATCACAATACGCCTCCTTCATGTTCTCCAGCCCCACGCTGTCCATCGACGACTCCGACGCCAACCGCATGAACCCCATGAAGCGAGTAATCAACTGCTGAATAAAACTGATTGCCGTCGGCGGGCTTTGCAAGTCCGAACTGCTATTGTGTATTCTCTCGAGAGCCTTTTCGTTGAGGGAGGTGAACACGAAGTCCACACTTTTAATCTGCTGCTGTAGCGACGCATGGGCCACGTTTGTGTTTGGCATCTCCATGGCGTGAGACTTATTCTTTCCTCCAGTGTCTCTCCCTGCGGTCTACGCCTCCTTATACCTTATGCCCTACCATAGTCTCGACATGTTCCACCTGTGCTGTTCCCGCCACCAGCCCCTCTGGTGAAACATGTGTCCTTCTTTTGCAAATTCCCTTCTTCGGAAGGCGGGCGCGCTTATCTCATTTTCTCTAGTGGAGACCACTATCTAGTTATAGAAAAACTATTTATATAATGGGGAAGCCCGGCTACTCGTCGTCCCAGTTAAAGTCTTCCTCGTCGTCGTCCTCACCGACGGTTGTGCTCTTCTCGAGAAGCTCTCTGCGCTTCTTCTCGTCCTGCATGATCTGGTCCTTTTTGCCGAAATACACCTTCCAGAAGTCTGCGTCGCTGATCTTTTTCTGCTCCACCTTGTTGGTGCCCTTGTCGGCGTCCTTGTCGGTGTCCGTTTTCTCGTCCTTATCCGACTCTTCTTTTGCCAGTGGCTTCGCCTCCGACTCCTTTGCGTCGCATATCTTTTTGTACACGGCCATCAAGTGAAGAGAGTCGTTGCTGAGAAGCTCCTTTGCCTCGGCGTGCTGTTCGTCAGACACCTTGTAGTCTTCGAACTCGCCACTCTCCACAGCCTTGAGATATATGGACGAGTCGCTTTGTAGTTCGTGGACCTGGCTCTCTGCACGTGTGCCTGCGCTGATACCCTTTGGCAAGCTGAAAAGCAGCTCCGTCTTCTTCTCCTGCGACAAAACGGCTTCTGGAGAGTCGCCAGCAATTAATCCGGTCAACTGCTTCCCCCACCCGGACCAGTTCCAGGCACCAGCAGAGACTTGCTTTGCACCCTCATCTGCAGCAGGGCTGGCAGCACCCTGGCCCACTTGGCTCTTGAAGAAAGTGCCTATCTGGCCACCGAGTTGTTGGGCATAGTTTATCGTGAGGTTCTCAATTTTCTCCAAATCGCTGTCTAGATCATCCAAAACTTTAGTAGTGTTCTCTCCTGCCTTGGACATGAGCTCGCCACCGCGTTGTTTCAACAAGTCCAAGTCCTCCTTCTTCACGTACTCGTCGAACTTCAAGTTTTTGGTCAGCTCGTTGACGTTGACGTTGACGTTCGAGAGCTGGGGCAACTTGACGTCTTTCCATTGCTTCTGTAGCTCAGGCAGTCTTTCCGCAACAATCCCAGAAATCTTGGTAAATCCGCTGAGCGTAGAGTCCTGGATCGTCGAATACGCCTTATCGACACCCGTCTCCAATGACGTGACAAGCTCGTCCGTTTTTTCATCGTGCGCCACGGATTCTGGGCCTGCAGCCGTCTGGGCCTCTCTCGAAAGTGTGTTCTCAATTGCTTCTGGATCCATTGCGGTCTAGTAGTCTTCCTGTTCGAAACAGCCAACACCTGAGCCCTCTCCTGTTCCGTCGACTCAGCCCTCTCCTGACAGCATGCTGTGTCTCCATCCAAATAAATTAATTAATTGTACTCCACCAGCCGGGAGAAAATCTAGAGTTGAGCTTACGTAAACGCACGATAATTTTTTGTAGGCTTACTATCCCTAACATGAATCGGACAGAAAGTGGGGCTGGAAGGATGGCTACTGTTGTTGGCTGCTCTTTTGAACTTCGGGGAAGCGATCAGACAGCAGGCTACAATAGAAAACATGTCTTCCCTTACGCTGATTCCACCGGTGCGCTACAATAAGGTGCAATCGACGCTTTGTCGAGGAGGGCGGCCAACCTTGCAGAACTTGCTATTTTTGGAGACGTTTCACTTGAACACGATCATCTCTTTGACACCACAATCCATCTACAATGAGGATACAGAGAGCAGCAAGAATATTATCGAGCTTATTGAGGCTAGGGGCATCAACTATGTGCACTTTGCTACAGACTCGTCGGCTAAAGATAAGGGAAAAAACAGGGAGATTCCTATTACACACGAACAAGTGACGCAGATACTCGAGATCATTCTACGAAAAGACAGCGGAAACACGTACTTGCATTGCACAAACGGTGGCCAGATAACGAGCTTGGTTGTGGCATGTTTGCGGAAAGTCCAGCTGTGGTCCAACGTGAGCATCTTTGACGAGTTTATTTGCTACAGTTCGAGCGCCAATCACAACGACCGGATCTTTGTGGAAGAGTTTGTACCCAGGTTGAAGGTCCCGAAGAAGTCAGACCGAATGGCATGGCTTTGGAATGGGTTGAACGAGAATGTCATCATCAACCACCCATGCTTAAAGCAGGTGGAGTTTGTAAGCTGCCCGTGAGTATATGTTGCACACCTCGTACTATAACAATATATTGAACACAATAGGGAGTAGTGCTTGTACAGGTCTATCTATACCATTTAGGATGGTGTCAAAACAAGAGGCCGGCCGCCATGTCGACGTTCCACCCACATTGTTGCAACGCGTTCATTGCCGAAGTTTTATCAAAGCCCATTTCCGTCAAGCTGTTCAACTTGTTCTGCTGGTCTGGCGTCAACGAGGCCGAGGTTGGCATTGGCAGTGCCGGACGCTCGCTGGGCTTGGCCTGCGGCTGAACATATGGTGTCTTTGCGGTGGTGCCTGGTGGAGCGCCGCTTATGTCGATGCCGTCCGGGTGTATATCGTTTTCCTTTTGTAGCTTATTGACTTCCCACTCGTTCAGGAACTCGACAAAGGTGCCGTCCACGAAAAGCCCATTTTTCTCGAGGTCGATTTTGATTCTAAACCGCTTCATCCAGTCCAAGCCGATCAAGAGCCCAACACCGCCGATGTCCAAGACGGTCAAGCTTGTGGCGCACGTCTGGCCGCCGATGACCATGGGCACCGAGTGGATTCTGCCGTCACTCTGTTTTTGGCCCACGCCTCGGGCCTGCATCTTGAACCTGCGGTCAACTAAGTGGTTCAAGTCGCATCTCTCGCAGAGCTGCGGCGTGATCAACGACCGCTGGGCGCCTGTGTCGATGAACGCCGGGATCTGGTGGCCATTCAGCGAGATCTTCACGTAGAGCATTGTCACGTCGGCAAAGAACTCCGGGTTCTCTTCGTAAGCCTGGTTGAGGTTGTTTGCCACCGGATCGAAGGGCATCACGACGATGAGGTCGTTGGCACAAATGTTCGACTGCTCAAGTGTGGTCGCTCTCGATGGTGAGAGCTGGACGTACTTGTGCATCAACGTCTGGTGTGTCGGTGGCAATCCGGTCTCCGCCTCCACGTACGCCGCCATGTCGGCCAGAGTCATCGAGGGAGGGAGATCTGCGGAAAAGAACTTTGAGTCGTAGCTGAATGTGAGTTGCATGCGTCTATGGCAAGAGATGTAGGTCCTTTCCTGAGGGAGAAACTGCCAAGGGCAAAGGCCACAAGGAAAGTGTTTCTGATCTGGGAATGAGATCCATATCACCATTTTGCCACCTTCCCGATCGGGCAGCCGAGAGGGCGTTAGCAGGACAAGGCCGGCAGGCGTGTGTTCGGCAGGGAAGGGTGTTTGTTCGTGTCGGTTATTTACACATAAAGGTATACAGATACATAAGGGGCTGTCTGCTGGGACTACTCCACGGGAGCAAGCATTGTCAGCGTTCTCGAGCTGAGCAACATCCGCTTGGTGGGCTCGCTCTGCACGGGGCTGCCGACCTCGACGACGTCGTCCAGCACCAAGTTGACCAGGTCGTCGAAGCCAACCAACGTTCCCTCGAAGACATGCTGGTCCCGGAGGAACGCTCTGAGTCTCTTGCCGATGCACTGGTCGATGAGCTCGAGTGGGAGTGTCATTGCTTCTGCCGCGGTCGCCGTGCCTGGCGATGTCTCTTTTTCGAGCTTCTGCTGCACTGTTTCCTGTGTGTCTGCCATAATGTGCCTGTGCGTCTGTGTGTCTGTGTACGGCCCACCCAGCCCCCCTACGTTCCCTTCTGCTCTTTCCGCCGTCCTATTTCTCTTCATCCTCCTCCTTCTCCCTTTCTGCCCGAACCTGAAAGTGCTGAGCTCACCACCCGCGCCTGCGTTTTCCCACTTCACTCGCCGTCGTGCCGGCTCGCAGGAGCACAAGATGACAAGCAGGGAGACGGGAGAAGAGAAGGGCAGGAGGAGGAAAGAGGGAGGCGGTTTCTCAGGCAACAACTAGAACCACCGGAGCGTCGAAAAAGAGAGTATGTCACGACCACAACACCTCTGTATCCGCCCATTGAACGTGCCGGACATCGCCCAAGTGCTCGGCCTCGAAATGCAGGGTTTCCCATCGCACGAACGTGCATCGGCGTTGCGTATAGAGTACCGGTTGACGGTGTGTCCCGAGCTCTGCAGCGGGTTGTTTGTGAGAGAGTTTGACACGGAGGCGGTGAACGCGAAGGAGCTTCCCGACCACAGCACGATCAAGAAGGAGACGCTTATCGGGCATGTGATTGGAACGAAGATGGTGTCGGAGGCGATCACCGACGAGTCGATGCTTGTGCCTTCGTCGTTTGTGCCTGTGTTCTGCAACAAGGACGGCACGTTGAAGGATCAGTACAAGACGGCCGAGCTGAAGGAGCTCGAGAAGACCGAGAAGGCCGAGACGACGAAGGCGACGGCAGAGACGGCGGCCGAGGGCCCACCGAAGGGACACATCTACCCGCTGGGCCACCAGGACTCCGGCAGGACAATTGGCATTCATAGTGTCGTTGTCCACCCGGACTACCGAGGCAAGAAGCTCGCCTCTCTCTTGCTCAAGGACTACCTACAGAAAATGAATCAGCAGTACGTCGCCGATAACGTTTCCCTCCTCTGTCTCGAGAAGCTCGTTGCGTTCTATTCCGGCGTCGGCTTTGCAGACAAGGGCGTCAGCGCATGCAAGTTTGCCGGTGAGGAGTGGCACGACATGGCGCTGACTCTTGACCACGACGAAGACGAAGAGGAATGAGCCCACCTCAGTCTCCGCCTCCCAGCCGCACTCCCCGTATCGACCGTCACTACTATTCACCTACCCTCTCTCCTCTCTCCACTAGCCGTTGCAATGACAACAATGACGCCTCTCGTTCTCCACAGGAACCTTTTTATTACCCTTACCCTACTACTCCCCTATCTTACTACTACTATTACCACCATCTACCTTTACCACGTTATATAATTAACTGCCGTCTTACGTAATCAGGAACATGAATCGCATAACTTTTTGAAGAGCAAAGGAGCAAAAAAAATGTTATCGTGAAAAAAAAAAGATCTTTTCCTCCTAGCTGTTTCCGTCACTTTCATTCACTATTTCTCTGCACCTACTCCCCTATCACTCCAATTAACTATGGCTGTTGTAACATACACACGAGAAGCTGCTGCGGAAATCACCCCTGCGGCGCAGAAAAAGGCGCCTGCAACTAGCCACTCCCCGGAAGAGCTAGAAGCTTTCCTCAACTCCACGCAGAAGGAAAAGGAGGAGCGCAAACTGGCTCGTGCAGACGCACACAAGCTGGCGACACTGGCCGCCAGAGATGGGAAGCTCATGGAGCTTCAGAGAGAAGAATCCGTCGGAGAGAGTGGGAAGCGTGCTATCGGCTACCAGATCATGAAAAATAAGGGTCTCACGGCAAAGAGAAAGAAGGACAACAGAAATGCCAGAGTTAAAAAGAGAAAGAAGTACGATATCGCAAAGAAGAAACTGAAGTCTGTGAGAGCAGTCTACACAGGACAGCAAGGCCCTTATGTCGGTGAGCTGACAGGTATCAGTAAAAAGATCTCTCGTTCGGTGAAGCTGAACTGATTGATCCAAAGTTCTGCTGAAATTTCTTTGCTAAGCTATATAACATATAAATACAAATTCGATCAATCAATTTATCACCGTAAAACTCGCAGTACTTCCTCTCGAAGTTTTGCCGTATCTGTTTCTTCCCATTCCTGGAAACTCAACTCCAAAAAGCGCTTCATACGTTCTTCACTATCTCGTATTATGCACAACTCTTCCTCACCAAGTTGTGAGAACTCACTCAGATGTATTCCCCCTGTTGAACCATGTCGAGAATATATTGCGCCTTCTCAACAATTTTCATATCTACGCCACTTTGTCTTCCGCAGTGAAGTTCATGAAGATTCGGCGATACCTTCCACGAGCTTACAAAAAGTTGATCTTGAACGTCTTGAGATTTTCTAGCAACACCTTCATATGGTAGAAGTAAATACGTTTGTCCATACCCATCATGTCACCGTGAAAAATCTCTTTCATATGGGAATTGACAATAGCAATTGGATATCCCTCGCCTCAATTAAGGAAACAAATGATCACTCCTCCAAGCAATTCAGGCCCATCATTAATATCCGTACCCTTGCCAAATTCATCAATCAATACAAGTGAATCTACAGTACTTTGACAGATGCATCTATTCATCTGTTCACAATCTTTCAAAAAAGTGCTCTGAGTCTCGTTCATACTATCCATCATTCACTCTAGTCAAGATGCTCTTGAAAAGAGAAAGCATCCCACTCCTAGTGGGAATCATAGAACCAATTTGCACCAAGTATACTGTTACTCGAACTTGTGTCAAAATAGTCAAATTCCACTATAATTAGGGCTTGTGATCACCACTACTCTCGACTTGTCAAAAATTAACTCATTGTGTATGAAATTGGATTTTTCAATCAATGAGTGGAAAGATCCCTTGATATCAATCATTAGAACTTTCCCATCTTCCTTGTCAATGATCATTGGCTTAATGAATTTGTTCTCAAACGAAACTTTTGGAAAAAACATCATCACATTTATATGCCCTATAAGTGGATACGAAATTGGCAATCTGTTTGAAAGTGGCATGATTTTACTCTTCAACTTATACGGTATCTCAAATTCCTTGTATTTGTTAAGTGAATAAAAATCCCAATATTTACTATCTATTTCAAGCATCATATCGTTTTTATAGTAGTTAGTTGTTAGCATTCAAAATACCAATTGACAATGGCTCTAACAATTGTAACTCGCATAAAGAGGGATCAAAGAAGCAGCCATAGTAATTTTTTCTACAAGATAATCAATTATAAGAGTTGAATCGATGTGGTTAGAAGCGTTGGAATCGTCTTCTACTTCTTGAGGCACCGCAAACCGTTGTTCAAATTCTCACACTCAACATTTGTATTTAACATTTCATTATGAGACCTTTTTTTGCTTAAAGCTCCCCAAGTGTGATGGAGTTCGTTATTAGACACTTGTTATAGCATTTAGTTCTTTGAAGTTCAGTATAAAACAATATAGTTTGAGCTTCAGCTTCTCAGTCAGAATCAGAAACGCCAGAAAGTTAAGATAGGTGAAGAGCCTTTCTGCAATTATCTCAATTTCAACAAAAGGAAAAAAGTATAATTCTCAACAGTTCAAAGTAGAATATCCTGATTTTCTTGACTCAAATAATCATTTTCCTCTACTCTGAAGCTCACGTGTACCTACATAAAATGATTGTAATGGAAAGGAACAGAGTTTGGCTAAACCGAAGAAGTTAGGTTAAGCTCGCCCGAAAATACAAACTCCGAGAATCGCTTCAAGTTACGTAAAGAAGCCGCAACCGCAACATGAATCTGCAAAAGGGGAATCCTTAATTCCCTATCTTGAACGTATACATCCAAAACATATAAGGTTGTGAAGTTGAGAAGTGCAAATATATTTTGGCTAGTAGTACTCTACCTTGAACTAGTTCAAGTTTTTTCTGGTGGGTATTTGTAGTGAAATTTATTGACCAAATGCCATTCGAACCCTTAAATTGCTTTGCGGTTCCACAGAACACTACCGCATCAAAAGCATTTTCTTTTAGTCCTTGTAATGAAAACAGAAATTTTTTAAGTTCCAATATTGGCTTGCATAATAAACAACCAACTGGTATGATGAAGGCATCTGCAGGACCAATCCTGGGGAATATGGTAACTAATATTTGTCCTGCTAGAGTTAAAGGTGAATTTGAATTGGATGTTCTGAATCAAGATCTAGTCGATAATTTATTACCCACGACTAACATACGGCTTAATGGTAACAATCAAAATATGGCCGTTTCAACTCAACTGTCTTCTGTTCGTTTGACAAAAATTTCACGTGTGTTAATTGTAACTTGTTCCAATGTAGAAGCGTTGAAGCTTATAATCCAGTGCAGTTTTGATCCTGCAGCCATTGTAATTCAAAAACTTTCGATCGATAACGTTGGAAATGTGCTTGTATTGGGATGGTATGACATCCGACATATATCATTACATTTGGAGTTTTTACAGAAGATAATACCGTCATACAACATATCTAATTTTTCGTTTAGTCATATAGCCGAAGATTCTAAGTTGAGTCAAATCGTTTGCATGCCTAAACTTAATTATTTTGAGGACATTTATGACACTATTTATTTGTATGTCCATTCTCAGCATCAAAATGATTATGATCCTTTTGAATTTCAAAATGACATATACTTTCAGTTGTCAAAATTTGGAGCGTTGTACGAGATTAGTGTGATCAACGAGGGCTTTGTTTGTTACAAATGTAAATTTTACAATATCAGAACACCTTTTTTAATAAGAAAGTTACATACGATAAAAATCAGAGATTTAAAAACTATGATATTTCAGACTCTGATAGAAACAAACGAGTATGTGACTCTGAATATGAATAGAAGAGCTGACTGGAAATCCTGCCAAAATATAATGCCACATTATGACATATTAGGAGAAGAATGGAAAAAATACCAGTTTTTAAAGCACAGGCGTTTGGGATCGATTCCTTTCAACAATAATGAGATCAAAAATGAAAACAAGATTAACATAGCCAAAATACTCTCGGGAGAAGATAAACGAGTAACATTAATGATCAAAAATATTCCCAATAAGGTCAAACATGAGGAGTTGAAAGACTTCATCGACGCAACTAATTTTGGAGATTACCAATTTTTATGTATGATATGCACCACCTTCCTTGGCACTTCTTAGAAAACTTATACTAACATTCACTGTTGAAGATTTACGTATCGATTTTGAAAACCACTGCAATGTTGGGTATGCTTTTGTATCCTTCAAAGACCCCCTGAACATTATCCCCTTTTATCAAAGGAGGCATGAAAAAAAATGGAAAAAGTTCAATTCAGAAAAAGTTTGTCAGCTTGCATACGCTAAAGTTCAAGGTATGAGCAATTTGATCTACAAATTTAAGGATTCAAAAGTTATGTCAAATAATCCTAATTACCGTCCAAGAATATACCATACTGATGGCGCTTTCATAGGGCAAGAAATGCCTTTCCCGAATTAGTGTAGCTAAATTATTCCGATATAATGTTTAGTTATTCCCATTCTATAACAAATCTGTATCTAAATGCATCCTATTATTGAAGTTACACCATCCTCTACCGATCACAAAATTGTATATCTTATACTCAAAGCCTCTCGGTCTCTTCGTTGCTTGAATCATCTGAGTCTGAATTCTCAAGTTCCATATTTTTGCATTTTTTCAAAAAGTCAATCATTGACTGCGTATCAACAGAAGCATTCACGAACTCAACAGGAACATGATTTTGACTATGTGCTTTTGACGCAAACCTACCACTATTATGCTCAGTAACAAAGCGAATATCCACATCATCATCTGCTGGTTTCATAGTTGCTAGTTCGTTCCAACTAAATAATAAAGACTCTGTGCTTCTCTGAAATGGGTTGATATCAATGAGATACATTTTTTTGAGTGGCTTGGGTATATAAACATCAAAAACAAAACTATTGCAATCAAACTTACCCATGAGAACGTCGTCGAAAAACATGAATATTTTCTCCATTATTTCCTCTTTGATTTCATCAAGGAAAGAGTAGTAGTTAAGATCTCTTTGAGATATGGCGATCAGTTGTCTATCTCTAACAAAGCAGCGAAATTCTGTAGAAGGATTTATGTCTACCCACTTACGCAAAATTAGTTCTAGCTCAAATTTTGGAGGATTGGCTTTATCGTAATCAGTGGTCTCATCGAAGGCATGGTACATGTCATGATTCACGTAGTCAGATGACTTGAGAAGAAGAAAGAGATCGGAGGTCGAAAAACATTTCATGTTTCGTCCTGTCATTATCCAAGTTGAATCTTGAGGTGCTGACCAATTTAGTTTAGGGGCAACACTACCAAAAGATTTGATGGTTTCTTTGAGTTCGTTATGGAAAGATTTGAAGTGTTCAGTTGGATCCGAATTCATCTTTTCACTATTTTTCAAAATCCCGGCGTCACTCTCTTCCCAGTCACTATACTCATTATCACTGTTGGGTTTTGCATCCTGGAAAAGTACCGAGTCTTTTTTGTTCTCTTTCGGAAGCTCTATTCCGTCGCTTTCCAAGTAAGCAACGAATTCTTTCGGTAATGGTTTGAAAATGGCAGCATCTGAGATGGTATACTTTCCAAATTTTGCGTACCAGCTAGAAAAACTGCAATACAGCACATCTTCTACTGTTACCGGTATAACGACGAAATGCCCGTCTGTCATTATTTCTTGTTCAAGATGCCAGAAAAAATGAGGTTTGCCCTTCGATTGTGAGGAAATTAGGCTTTTCTTAAGACACTTGAACAGAAAGAGAGCTAGGGAAATCAATCGCGTTGCACAGTCGCCGCCCGTTAAGATTTTTTTTCAACACATTTGTTCTCTGGTTCATGCTGGAATTTACTTCTGAGACAAAAGGACTTAGGCTTGGACTTCACAGGATTATCACTGGAAGCGTACAACGAGTTCAACAAGAGTATGTCTGCCGCAGTAGCCCCATCAAACGCAAAGTTCAAGAATAAGGAAAAACCCCAAGAAGTTCGAAAGGCAAACATCACTGCTGCAAAAGCGGTGGCGGACGCCATCAGAACCTCTTTGGGTCCTAAAGGTATGGATAAGATGATAAAAACCAAAACTGGAGACGTGATTATTTCCAATGATGGTCATACTATCTTAAAACACATGGCTGTTCTACATCCTGCAGCCAAGATGCTTGTTGATTTGTCAGGTGCCCAAGATGTCGAGGCGGGAGATGGCACCACGTCTGTTGTTGTTATTACAGGTGCCTTGTTAGGGGCAGCTCAGAACTTACTTGACAAAGGTATTCATCCAACAATTATCTCCGAATCTTTCCAGAGGGCAGCACAAAGATCAAGTGAAATCTTCCTAGACATGTCGCACGAGATTTCTCTCGACGAAAGAGAGTCTTTGATTAAAGCCGCTAATACCTCGCTTTCATCCAAGATTGTAGCTCAACATTCTGGTCTCCTAGGTCCAATAGCAGTTGATGCTGTGCTCAAAGTCACCAAGAAGGATGCACACAATGTTGATTTGAATGATATAAGACTCGTTAAGAAAGTTGGAGGTACTATTGATGATACTGAAATGATCGATGGTGTCGTCCTTACCCAGACTGCTGTCAAAAGTGCAGGTGGACCAATGAGAATGGAAAAGGCGAGAATAGGTTTAGTTCAGTTTCAGTTGTCTCCTCCAAAACCAGACATGGAGAACAATATTGTTGTTAACGACTATAGGCAAATGGACAAAATCTTGAAAGAAGAAAGAGCCTACATCTTGAACATTTGCAAACAAATCAAGAAGGCTAAATGTAATGTTTTGTTAATTCAAAAATCGATATTGAGAGATGCGGTTAATGATTTGGCTCTCCACTTTTTATCCAAATTGAATATCATGGTTGTGAAAGATATTGAAAGAGACGATATTGAATTTATCTCAAAGTCATTGGGCTGTAAGCCAATTGCAGATATTGCATCTTTCAGTGAAAGTAGACTTGCATCAGCTGACCTAATTGAAGAAGTTGAATCTTCCGGTTCTAAGATTATCAAGATTACCGGCATCAAGAACGTTACTCACCCGACCGTGTCTGTGGTTTGTAGGGGTGCAAATAATCAAGTCTTAGATGAAGCAGAAAGATCCTTACATGATGCTTTGTGTGTTATAAGATGCTTGGTCAAAGTGAGGGCCTTGATTGCAGGAGGTGGTGCACCGGAAATTGAAGTTTCAAGAACTCTTTTAAAGGAAGCCCATAAGCTCTCGGGTGTGGAACAGTTGTGCTTGACTGAATTTGCGAATGCATTGGAAGTCATTCCTACCACTTTGGCTGAAAATGCTGGCCTGAATCCAATTGAAATAGTTACAGATTTGAGGAATAAGCATGAAAACGGAGAAAGAGAAGCAGGTATTAGTGTGAGAAGATCTGGTGCAACAAACACATACTCTGAGCACGTATTACAGCCCGTTCTCGTGAATACAAGTGCCATTACTTTAGCTGCTGAAACCGTCAAATCTATTCTTAGAATTGATGACATTGCAATCAGCCGTTAACCGCAATATGTAGATGTGTATATACATTCTTTTTTTCTATGTACAACAGAAATAAGTGACTTCCTATCTGAATCCAGACGGCTAGCTGTTGGCCAACAATTAGTTCACTACGAGAAACACTATACCTTAGGAATGAGAGATATCAGGGTCTTAAAGCAATAATTTAAACTGGTTCAACATATCTAAGACAGAAAATTATCAATATTTGCACCAAGTTGACTATAGGCATCGAAGCCTTCTTTGGTGTCATTACCGACCTGGCTTACTTTTTGAGCTTAAAGTCTCCAACAGATTATTATGCTTTCAGTTATTGCTCAAAAGCTTCATCCCGAAAAGCTTCATCCCGAAAAGCCTATTTCTGGTCAACAGTAACATTTTTAAACATTTACCCAATTCATATTAAAGAAGCCCCGAGGCCGAAGAATAAGGTCTACGTCTATATAACTATTATTATATGCTATATTTCGAAAGGTACTGCTTGAAGACATCGACTATGGCATTCTCTACCGAGGCAAATTTATAGTCTGATGCTTTTTTAACGGTGGCGGAAATGTCGTATTTGGGACATAATTCTGCGATCAAGTCATCAGCACTGTCGTAATCACCTTTGGCAATCTTTCCACGAAGTTCAGGGAAATTATCGTTCAATATGTTAAGGACTTTCTGTGCAATCAAAGGAGCACCAACGACAAACAACCTTTCATTTTCAAGCTCCTTGTTCTCAAGGGGTAAAATATGGAATTCGGCGATATCTGGGGCGCTTATAGCTAATACTGGTGACATCGTTTGTGGACCTGTAGCAGCTGGATCTATGTGAGTGATTTCACTCAACATATTGTTCGAGACATTCAATTGTTTGTTCAAAGAGTTGTCGAAAACTTGAGGACCTAATACAAAAGGTGGATTCACAGTTGCTAACTTGAAGCTTGGTTTCTCATCTTCACAAAATTTCCATGCAGCCTGTTCAGCATATTTTTTTGAAACCGAATATGCATCAAGCCAGGTTTTTACGTCTTCCCAATTCATTGGATTCCACGATTTATTTGTAATAACTACTCCTTTAGGTTCATTTCCCTGTTCCGTGAGAGCTGCATAGGACGAGGTGATCACAACATTGGTTACTTGTGGAGCATACAATTTGATAGCATTGAGAATGCTTAGGGTACCATTGAGAGCAGGTGCAAGGTACCCAGCCTCGAATGATTTTGCAGAATCAGGAGTCACCGGAGATGCAGTATGTATAACATACTTGATCTCTGGATGCTTTTTTAGCAACTCATCAAAGGCATCTTTGGCTGCAATATCAGCAACAACTTCAAAAGAGAGTTTTGCACTTGGATACTTCCCTTTGAAGTTATTTAGAAGAAAAGCTGATTTTTCTTCGGACCTGGTTGTTCCAATGACCTCATATTTTCGTTGCAAGAGCTTATCGATAACATGTTGAGCAAGAAAACCGGTTGATCCAGTCACCAATACAGTTGAATCCATCATTCTTGCTTGGGTAAAACTGACACACTATAGGTTTAGAATGCTTTCGACAGGTTGCTAATTGCCATTATTGTACTAGGGAATAAAGCCCCTTTTTATACGCCTTGCTCGGACTTTTCAATCAATGTTAACAATAGTCAGGTCCCGCGTTTCTCAAAGACATTAGTAAGCGAGTCAACAGCTCAACCGAATAACTTGGTTACTTTTACACAGTAGCAAATACATTCTATTACTGTGATTGGCTAAGATCGAAGAAAAGAATACTTACAAATTGTAAATACAAAAAAGAGACTAAGAAAAGCTGTATTTTGACAAATACTGCTTGTAGACATCAACTACTGACTTTTCTAAACTAATCAGCTTATAGTCAGAAGCCTTTTTAAGGGTGCTGGAGACGTCATATTTGGGACAAGACCTTGCAATCACATCATCTACACTACTGTAATCCCCCCTTGCGATTTTACCGTGGAGCTCAGGGAAATTGTCGTTCAAAATGTTAAGAACTGCTTGTGCGATCAAAGGAGAAGAAACAATAAACTCTCTTTCGCTCTCAAGCTCCTTGTTTTCCAATGGTAAAACATGGAACTCAGCAACATCTCTGACGTCTACTGCTAGAAGAGCAAATTTGTCTTGCGGAGCTGTAGAGGTTGGGTCTAAATGAGTGATCTTGTTCAAAAACTCGTTGGAAGTATTCAACACTTTTTCGACGGAGCTATCGAACAACTGGGGACCCAAAACCATTGGTGGGTTAACGGTTGCTAGATTGTAAGCTGGCTTTTCTTCCTCGTAGAACTTTCTTGCAGCCCTTTCTGCATAAGTCTTTGAGGCACTATAGGCTTCGTTTTCATTTTTCACCTCTTCCCACTTAATTGGGTTCCATGACTCGTTTGTATGAATTTCAGTCTTGAAGGCATCGCCCAATTGTTTCACTGCCGCAAAAGACGAGGTAATAACGACATTTGTGACCTGTGGCGCATACTTCTTGATTGCGTTGAGAATGTTTAAAGTTCCGTGGAGAGCAGGGTTCAAGTAGGCTTCGTCGAAAGGCTTGTTAAGACCATATGAAAATGGTGATGCAGTGTGCAACACGTACTTGATTTCAGGGTGGTTCTTCAAAACCTCGTCAAAGGCATCATCTGCCGCGATGTCTGCAACCACTTCAAAGGTGAGATTGCCCTCTGGATACTTCTTTTTGAACTCTTCCAATATGGGAGAGTATCTTGCTTCCGATCTGGCTGTGCCGATAACTCTGTACTTTCTCTTCAAGAGTTTATCAACAACATGTTGTGCAATGAAGCCGGTGGCCCCGGTAACTAGTACGGTTGACTCTGACATAATGTTTCTTTAGGATGTGGAGGCAAGATCTCTCTCTAATCAAACAAGCCAAAGAACTCATTAAAGTTTCTTTGTGAAGGACAGTTGATGACAAATGTTCCTCTTTTATACTCTCGCTTATCGAGGAGCATGTGTGGCTTATCGCGGAAACAAACTCGGTGTAGCCGCAATCTCTAAGCAGAAACCACCATTGTGGTTTGCATGTGCGTCTGAAACGTCAGTTACTAGGCCAAGGATTATACAATTGTAAACACAAAAGAGAAAAGAACCAATCAAGGAATATAAGTGAACAGGACTCGGGCTGTGGAAATCAAAGTGTCCAACTTCTTGTTCGTGTCCTCCCTGCGCCACAGCTAGGAGAAAGTGTATTTTGATAAGTACTGCTTGTAAACGTCAACCACGGATTTTTCTAGAGGAATGAACTTGTAGTTGTGAGCCTTCTTGACGGTGCTTGAAATATCGTATTTAGGACAGCATTCCTTCTCCAACTTCTCTGCGCTGTCATAATCACCCTTGGCGATTTTGCCCTTCAACTCCGGAAAGTTGTCATTCAAAATGTTCAAGACTCTCTGGCCAATCAAAGGATCAGAGACAATGAATTCCCTTTCGCTTGCAAGCTCTGGTACTTCCAAAGGTAAGACGTGGAATTCGGCCACGTCTCTGACGTCGACTGCCATCAGGGAGACCTGTTTCTGTGGAGAGGTCTCCGAGGGATCGACGTGGCTGATAGCGTTCAATGCCTCATTGGAGGAGTTCAAGACCTGAGTGACGGAACTGTCAAACAATTGAGGACCCAGGACGAAAGGTGGGTTCACAGTTGCCAACTTGTAGTTTGGCTTTTCTTCCTCGTAAAACTTTCTTGCGGCATGTTCTGCGTAGGTTTTGGAGGCAACGTAAGCCGCCTCCTCGTTCGTGACGTCTTCCCATTTGAGTGGGTTCCACGACTCGTTGGTGAAGACGGTAGTGGTGTCGTTTGCTTTCATGATGGCGGCAAACGAGGAGGTGATCACGACGTTGGTCACCTGTGGAGCGTACTTCTTGATGGCTTGCAAGATGTTCAACGTGCCACTGACCGCTGGCTTGAGGTAAGCCTCCTCGAACGGCTTGTCCAAGCCAAAGGAAAATGGCGACGCAGTGTGCAAAACGTACTTGATCTCCGGGTGCTCCTTCAAGACCTTGTCAAAAGCGTCTGGTGATGCGATGTCCGGCACTACTGCACAGCTCAAGTCTGCGTCGGGATACTTCTCCTTGAAGTTTTCCAACAACGGGGTGAACTTTGCTTCTGATCTAGCTGTACCAATAACCCGGTAATTTCTGGCAAGGAGCTTGTCAAGCACGTGCTGGGCGATGAACCCCGTAGCACCGGTGACCAATGCGGTGGGTTTCGAGTTAGTGGCAGACATGGCGGGGATATCTGTGCTGTGTGTTATTACTGGCGAAAACAAGGGCAAGAAAAGGGAGAATGTGTGCCAAATTGCTGGCACTGATCCTCTTGCAGCGAATATTGTCTCCTTTTATGCTCCAGTCCGTCTCCGTCGTGATATTCCCAGGGTGGGAAAGCCCCGTCTCTCGTTACAGCCGCACACGGAACTGGAAGGATACCCGGGGGATAGACCGTTATTATCCGTCAGCAGCGTCCAGCGCAAGTATGGATGATAGCCATGCCCTTGGCATTGTCCACGATTGTGCTGTCCACTGCTGCCTCCCAACCCTTGGGCAGTGGGGGTACTCTAAAAGTTGCCCCGAGGGCGGCGGTGGTTGCTGGACCAATTGGGTAGGTAGAGCGACGGTGGTTGACACCGGAGTTCTGGGTGGATAAAATCGAGACACTGAAGAAAAGTATCCTCAATGCAGAACGTTAATTGGTGTAGCCGTAGCTGGCGGAGGCGGTAAGCGGAGTCTGCAACTTCCTGCTTGAGTGGCGGCAGGTTATTGAAACTTTACCCCACACCGCAGAGTGGCCTCCCTCCCAAAAGAGAAGCTAACGCGATGGGTCTTCTAAAAAAGGCAAGTGAAAAGGAATAAGTAAGTATAGAGGTGGCACTTGCGGTTGGAGGTTGGTGTCACTGCAAGCGCATGTGCCAATATGACAGAATGTTGTATAAAGAGAATTGAAGAATGTACAAGAGTTAGAGGGTTCAACGGTTGAGTAATGGCGACTAGGGGGGCGCTCAGCTTTTCACGAACTTGACTGCTTTCTTGCTGAAGGCATAGCTCAAACCGCTCCACAACGTTGTGCATGCAACCGTCACCTCCAAAACGTGAGTGTACTGGAGAAACGCGGTTGTTGTTTCAGCGCCAAAATGGTCGGACAGGTAGAGTAAGAACACCGGCTTGATCATCATCGAGCCGAGATACAACATCTGCAAAGCCGTGTTGACTTTGCTGATCATCGTAGGGTGGACTTCTGCGCTCGGAATGCTGAAGTCCCAGTACCTCCAAAAAGTCTTGGGAGCAGGCAAAGAGAGGTACCTGATCACCACTGCCGCTAATCCCAAGCAAACGTCTCGTCCGATGATTATCACCGCGAGATACAGCGGGATCTCCGACGTGGTCGCCAGGCAGACCGTGCAGATCATCATCAACATCTTGTCTGCCAGCGGGTCGATGACGCTTCCGACCACAGACTGGAGGTTCCAGCGGCGGGCAATGAACCCATCCAGAAAATCGGTCACACACGAGTATGTGAATAGCGCCAACGCCAGCGTAACTTGCCCGTGCAAAATCAGATATCCAACGACCGGAGCACTCACTAGTCTGGTGAATGTCAGCGCATTGGGGACTGTGTAGATGTTCTCATGGATGTCCGCCGGCATGATTTTCCTGATGTTCTCTCTGAAATCCTTCGACCGTTGCAGAGTCTTTTCCCGGATATCTTTCGTCATGTTCCGGGTGTTCTCTCTGATTCGGTCGGTCTTTTCTTTCAAAGCTTTTGACCCACCTTCCTGTGTTTCCTTGAACAACTTGCGTGCGTTCCCCGCAATCGTTGTCTTCGGACTACTCTCTCCCTTCTCCACCGGTCTGCTTGAATTCTCCTTCTGCAAGTACCTGCTGCTGGTAAACGTCCGAACATAAAGATGCTCCAGAGAGGCAGCACGCATGCGAGCCGTGATAACTGTTGACAGTCCACGATGAGTAGCCATCCCGGGTAACCGACATAGACGTGCACATCTTGCCAACGATCCCGCTTGAAAACCTGCACAGACAAGCATGATCGTGGTGCACTCTCTATGCGTGTCCTCTTGTTCTAGAAACAATGACCAATTCAAAACCGGGAGTATCTCCGCTCATCCACCCGGTCCATCTCAAAAAGGCCCCCGACCCCGTCATCTTCGTCCGAGTTGTGAAAATTCCACCTCGTCGTCCCCGGCTAACGTAAGCTTAAGCCGCCTGGATGAAATTGGTGGAAAAAACTTTGATCGAGAACATGAGATACAGCAAATTGTGGGGTTTGCGGTATTCTTGATTGGGTAAACCGTAGAAATCCTTCTGCTGGCGTGTAGTGTGCATGCTTAATGTGCTACATAATCGGCTATTGTCTTTCAAGCTACCTATACCCTTAATTTTTGCATCCTCCGGAAGAGTCAGGCTGCCCTTTTCGACAGTTGCATCCCAAAACAGCATCAGTAAAAGCTTACTATCAAGCACGAACAACGTGTCAAGCATGAATGTTCTTGTATATTCGGGTCCGGGAACCACAAAGCCGTGCGTCAGCCAATGTCTGGATACCTTCAGACTTTTACTATCCCCCTACTACTCTGTGTCATCGGTGAACGAGAGGGTTCTCAAGGATCAGCCGTGGGAGTCCAAAACTGCGGTTCTAGTTATCCCTGGCGGTGCCGATTTACCAATGTGCCAGCTTTTCAGAGGAACCATCAACCAGAAGATTAAGGACTTTGTTAGAAAGGGAGGGAAGTTTATTGGCCTTTGCTCCGGCGCCTATTACTCATCTTCCCGGTGTGAATTTGAAGTGGGGAATCCGGAAATGGAGGTCAGCGGTCCAAGGGAGTTGAAGTTTTATCCTGGTATTTGCCGAGGATCTGCCATAAAAGGATTCCACTATGCAAGTGACGCTGGTGCCAGGGTAGTGGAGGTTTCTATTGATTCGAAAGCGATTCCTGAAATGTCCGGTCCTGTGCACTTGTATGTGAATGGAGGAGGAATGTTTGTGGATGCGCACAAGTTTCCCAGCGTGGAAATCTTGGCCACATACAGTGATAAGATCAACGTTCAAGACGACGATGTTAGAGGGAGAAATGCAGCCGCAGTTCTGTGTACAGTCGGCAGAGGCAAAGCTTTACTATTTGGTCCGCATCCAGAATTCAGTCCCGCTCTCATGAAAGAAGATCCAGACATACCATCTTTTACTCAAGTAATTAAATCCTTGAAAGCCACCGATAAAACAAGAGTCGAGTTTTTGCGCTTGTCACTAAAGAAGTTGGGTCTCAGAGTCAACGAAAAAGAATTCAAGCGACCAAACTTGACTCCATTGTTTTTGAGTTCTATTGACAACAAAACTGCAGAAGATTTAGTGTTAAACTTAGAGTCAACCTTGCACTATCAGATTCAAAACATAATTGATGTGGGAAAGGATAAAATAGCAGTTAATCGATTTCATGAAGGTCTGCACTATAGAAATAATGAAGACGCTCCAGAAGACCCAGAATTGGCAATCAAGAAGATCTACTTATGCAGCAATGAGTTGCCCGATAAAATCCTCACTCCGGACTTCGATATGAAGTATTTCAGAAACCATCTTGTTGAGTTCTATAAATCATCAAACCAAGAACTGCTACCCGGATCAATTGGGTATACCTTCATGTACGGAGAGGTCCTAACATCAACATCGGTATTGATGGATAGCAATTTCAGATGGCTGCCTTTGTTGCCTGACGGTTTCGTCATCACTGGAACAGTCCAAGTCTTGGGTAAAGGAAGATCTGGAAATCATTGGGTGAATCCTAAGGGAGTATTACCAAACTCTTTACTTTTAAAGCTACCTATAAAATCAGCTGAAATTGCCCCAGTTGTATTTGTGCAATACTTATCGAGTATGGCATATACCCACGCCATTTTAGAGTATGATATTGGATATGATGAGATTCCTGTGAAAATAAAGTGGCCCAACGACATTTACGTTAAATCTCCTCAGTATATTGGTAAAACGATAGAGAAGAATTCGAAAGAAATCACTCATGTAAAGATAGGGGGTATTCTTGTCAACATAAACATTTTCGAAGGTGTCCAACATTTGGTGGTGGGAGCAGGTCTAAACGTAAGTAACAAGGCACCTACAACCTCATTGAACACAGTAATCAAAGCAATGAATAAACATTATGAATTGGTCGGCAGTGAAAAAAGATTAGATCTCATAAGGGAAGAAAAACTATTGGCCAAATATCTTTCAAATTTTAATGCCATGTTTGAGAAATTTAAAAAATTTGGATTCAAGCCGTTTCTAAGTGACTATTATAAACTTTGGTTACATTCCAACCAAATCGTGACATTAAATGATGAAGGAAATGTTAAGGCCGAAATCTTTGGTATTACATCCGACTGGGGTATGTTAATGGCAAAGGACATCAAAACAGGTAATGTTTTTCAGCTTCAGCCCGATGGAAACTCGTTTGATATGTTCAACGGCTTGATATCACAAAAACGATAATTGCTTATCATGTAGTGCTATGTTCAAACTTTTTAACGATATTTTATTATTAAAAAACACAAGTATACAGAAATTTTCAAGAAAAGAAGCTATTTATAAATAAAATTTTATATATGCCATAGATAAACAATTAAGTCATCAGCTATATTAATTATTTGTCATATTTTTATTTTTTATCATCTTGACCAGATGATGCATTGTACTGTGGGGATGTTGGCGAATATTGTGGGGAGGTTGGGGAGTACTGTGGAGATGTTGGAGAATATTGTGGAGAAGTTGGAGAGTACTGTGGAGAAGTTGGAGAGTACTGTGGAGAAGTTGGAGAGTATTGAGGAGAAGTAGGAGAATATTGAGGAGAAGTAGGAGAGTATTGAGGAGAAGTAGGAGAATATTGCGGAGACGTTGGAGAGTATTGAGGAGAAGTAGGAGAGTATTGAGGAGAAGTAGGAGAGTATTGTGGAGAAGTTGGAGAGTAAGATGGAGAGGTTGGAGAATAAGATGGAGAGGTTGGAGAATAAGATGGAGAGGTTGGAGAATAAGATGGAGAAGTTGGAGAGTAAGATGGAGAAGTTGGGGAATAAGATGGAGAAGTTGGAGAGTATGCAGGTGAGGTTGGAGAGTATGCAGGTGAGGTTGGAGAGTATGCAGGTGAGGTTGGAGAGTATGCAGGTGAGGTTGGAGAGTATGCAGGTGAAGTAGGTGAGTACGCAGGTGAGGTTGGAGAGTATGCAGGTGATGTTGGACTGTAACTTGGAGAAGTAGGGCCGTAACTTGGAGAAGTAGGGCCGTAACTTGGAGAAGTAGGACCATAACTTGGAGAGGTAGCACCATAATTAGGGAATGGTGACGTAGGTTGGTATGCACTCATAGAACCACCGTACTCGGTAAACCCTCCTGATCTGTCATCGTTAGATCCAGATGTTATCAATGGAGAGAAAGCAACGTTATCAGCGGCCATAGGAATATCGATTATGTCATCCTTGAAATTATCGTCACCATATACTGTCATTGAGCCCTTGGTCTCCTTGGTACTTAGTGCTGCTGCAGTTCCAACTGAATGCTCGGTAGGTAAGTTTGACAATTTGTCTTCGTCTAAAAAGACATCAAAAGATCCGGTACCAAATGGTGCCATTTGACCCAAAATAATATTTTGGGAGACACCATCACATGTATCTAGTTCTGCTGATGCACCGGCATCAAACAAAATTTCAACAGTCTCTTCGAAAGAACATCTCATCAAGGCTCCAGTGTCGTTCCTGTTGAAACCATGTCTAGAAATAGCAATTAAATGTCCCTTATATGTCATCAAATCAACCAACAAGGCTAAATGCCTGTAATTAACATAAGAACCATCAAAAGCAATAACATTCAAGATTTCCTTGTATAAAGCACTTCTTGCTGCCTCAATACCAAAAACATACAAGACTTCCACGAAAGAATTTGAATATGTTCTTGTAGTATCAATACCATCAACTGTTATAACGTCAGACAAATTGATACCATCAGTTTCCAAAACCCATTCTTGTTTTTTGGCAAAATCACCATCTTCGTCAATGTAGGTTTTGTCATATTTCATCATGAAAACTCTCAAAATGCCACTCACACCTCTCAATGTGATGGATTCTAACATTTGTGCCTCTAATGCTTTTAACAAACCATCTTCGGTTTCTTCTTCTTCCTCATCCAAAGCCTTCTCTTCTCTGACAATTCTACATCTGATAACAAGCTTGTCTGCATTATCTTCAGACCAGATAACAAACAAATCATCACCAAAGTTTTCCATGATTTTTGCAGCGACTTGTTGCATGCTCAATTGTTTATCCAACATCTTAGCTCTGTCTAATTCCAGTCTGAGAAGCCATGGTGATTGCTTATGCAGATTTTCCTCAACCTTCTCATCTGGAATTGCAAAATATGCATCAACAGTATCCATGTCGTCTTCGATAACTGTGGTCCTTGGATCAGGGTCATAATAAATCTCAGTACAAGCTGTGACATTTTTCAAAGAAGTGTGTTCAATCGCAGATTGAATGTTCTTGGCCTTTTCGATATCGGTGGCAACCTCATCCTGAAGATATACAGTCAAAGCAGGAGTTTTGAAGTTCTTTGCCACATTCAAAATTTCTTTTAAACGTGGAACACCCAAGGTAACGTTTTTAGAGGAGACACCAGCGTAATGGAAAGTGTTCAATGTCATTTGAGTTGCAGGCTCACCAATTGATTGTGCAGCAACAACACCAACCATTTCACCGGGGTTAACAAGAGATCTTGCAAATTGTTGCTCAACTGTACCGACCACCCATTCAAACGCATCACGGTTGAGTCTATACTCTTCCAAAATTCTTCTTGTAGCGAGCTTCGAGCGAATAAGGCATTGAAACAAAAGAGTTGAGTTCTTTTTGGCCTCCGTCAAACAACCTCCATTACCTCTGATAACTGTAAAGTTTTCACAAAGTTTTTGAACGGTTTTGACAATTTCAGATATAGTCAAGTCACTTGCTTTATAACGATCAACGTGGAAAATTTGTTGAGCATTTTGAACAATTCTTCTCACGTTAACAGGCAAAGGCCAATTGTTATCACCATTTGGAAAAACTTTGGTCCTCAAGTAATCTCTATCTGACAACAATTGCTCGTATTCTTCATCCAAAATCTTCTGCAACTTGATATCACCCAAGATTTCAGTACCATATTCTACCATATCAGACCGAATAGACATCTTTTCATCCATTAGATCAACACGGTATTTTCTTTCAAATGCACTGTTGGAACCAGGAATGGTGTCGACTGTTTGCTTTTCAACAGTAGTTGCATCTAAACCATCTTCACCGTAGATGAATTGAATAACATCACCTAAGGAGTTCCTGGTGGTACCATCATAGTGAACCATAATATCTTCTAAAGCCTTCAACAAACGTCTCTGAATATATCCAGTTTCTGCAGTTTTGACTGCAGTATCAATTAAACCTTCTCTACCGGCCATCGCGTGGAAAAAGAATTCTTGTGGAGTTAACCCCCTCAAGTAGGAATTCTCAACAAATCCTTTGGATTCAGCAGAATAATCATCAGTAGTGAAATGAGGTAAAGAACGATCTGCGAAACCAAAATTGATACGTTTACCTTCGACGATTTGTTGACCCACACAAGCTGACATCTGAGAAATGTTGATATATGAACCTTTAGATCCAGCTGTCACCATCTGTTTGACGTTGTTATCATCTTTCAAGGATGTTTCGGCAGATTTACCTGCTGAATCTCTGGCTTCGTTCAAGATCTTGGAAACTTTTTGCTCAAAAGATTCTCTTAAGGTCATACCGGGTTCAGCTTCCAAAAGATTCTTTTGCGCATCTCTGATAACGCCTTGGACTTTATCTTTCGCTTCTTTGATAGTCTCTGTAATGGCCTTCATTGTCTCCGGATCAGCAATTGCATCACCAATACCAATGGAAAAACCGTTATGAAGTAACCAGTAGTTGACGACTTTTTGTATGTTACCAAAAAGTTTAGCACAGACGGTCGGTCCCTTTTCTCTCATAGTTGTATGAATCAAACCACCCGCGGAAGAACCAACAGTGGCTTTATTCACGACACCAAATATAATCTCACCATCCAAGATTAACATTCCCGAATCCTTTGGAGAAAGTAAAGAACCATCCAGCCTTTGTAAAAAGATACCCTTAGGAATACAAAGTGACATTATTTGCTTACCTGTCCACAATGGCTTTGGCTTCAAGATTGCTGGTTGAGGAATGACTCCATCCCAATCTGGAATCCAGTAACATATACTCATCACCTCGCTATATTCTAAAAACGAGTCTCTCAATGTCATTTTCCTAACACCACACAATGTGTCTTGCACAATACCCATCACTGGTTTGTTAGATTGCGGAGAAATGATTTGTAGGGGAACAGCACACAATTCAGATAATTCAGCTCTCGTTTCATACGACTGAGGGACATGTAAATTCATTTCATCACCATCGAAATCTGCATTATAAGGTGATGTGACAGATAAATTCATTCGGAATGTCGAGTACGGCATAACTCTCACTCTATGACACATCATAGACATTTTATGTAAAGAAGGCTGACGGTTGAATAAGACCGGATCATTATCCATCAAATGACGTTCAACCTTCCATCCATACTGGAGCTGGATGTCACCTGCTCTTTTGTTGAATCTTAAATCAATTCTATCACCATTTTCCCTGATGACATACTTCGCTCCCGGATGCTCATTTGGGCCGTTTCTTACCATTTCTGTCAAAGCTTGAATATTATATGGTGTGACAATTTCTGGGTATGTTAAAGTCTTAGCAATAGATCTTGGAACACCCACTTGATCTAATTCAAGATTAGGGTCACCAGAAATAACTGTTCTGGCAGAGAAATCAACTCTCTTACCCATTAAGTTACCTCTAAGACGCCCTTCTTTACCCTTTAAACGAGCTCTAATAGATTTAATCGGTCTTCCGCTCTTCTGCAAAGCCTGGGGTTGACCTGCAATGTCGTTATCCATATATGTTGCAACGTGATATTGAAGCAAAGCTTCAAATTCGCTAATAACATGCTGAGGAGAACCGTCCATTTCAAACTTCTGAACATTGATATTTGCTTTCAAAATATCTGCCAACTTGTATGTTAAATCATCCTCCGATCTCTTCGAGTCAGTAAAGGCCACAGAAGGTCTAACAGGGGGAGGCGGAACAGGTAAAACAGTTAAAACCATCCATTCTGGCCTTGCCCACTCTTCATTGAAACCCAATTTTATACAATCTTCAGGTGAAATGTGCCTGAAAACGTTCAAGATATCCGACGCATTGATTTGTCTTCTCTCTAAGTTTTCCGTATCATCGTCCATACTCGAACGTTTCCAAGTACCCCAAAGTTTTAGCCCGTCTTTCCTGATGGATGGTTGTACGCTACCACAACCACCTCTTCTATATTGTGGCTCTTCGCTGTCTTCATCTTCTTCTAAAGGTGGATCGACGTCACAAACCATTTTGGTTTTACAAAGGGTCCATACTGCATTGAATCTTTTCTTTGGGTCTCTAATTTTAACTGCAGATGCGAACTGCAGGTTGGTCTGCTCATCAAGTAAGATTTTACCACAATTCATACATACACATTCACATAATTTCTTGATTTTTGCTAAAAATCCGATGTGGAAAACTGGTCTAGCCAATTCTATGTGGCCAAAATGACCCGGACATTCTTGCATGTCTTCTGAGCATGTTTGGCATCTGAAATTTCTGTCGATCGAGCCAAGTCTTGGGTCATTTAGACCACCTTCCCTTGGCTTCATCGTAACTGGATCCATTATTTCTGGGTACTCAATTTTAGCCACTGAAATGGCTCTCGATTCTTCAGGAGAAAATAGACCAAATTGAACCTAAAAAGATAAATGAAGAACAATACGTACAAAGAGTTAGTAATAAGTTCAGCAAAACATGATTGGAAATTAAAAACAAAAGAAACATACTTCTTGCACCGTCCTTAAAGGGGCACTTGAATATGGAAATCTACTCATTTTTCCAGTGTGATACTTTTATATGCTGTGAATTTCTAGTTAACTTGGTTAGTTTGGTGTTTTTCAAAAAATCGAGTTTTCAAAAAAGGAATATGAAATTTTTTTGTTTTTTTTTGTTTTGAATCAATTTTTTGGAACTAAATTGAAGGATATAATACAACGGTATGGAACAAATAAAAAAAGGAAACTGTAATTAAGATGTGAATGTAGCAATTCAAATTAATTCAATGATATCCTTTCCGTAAAAAAATAAATGAAAGGCTGTATTGATTATTGATCAGCTACTGGAATGTTAAGTGAAACTACCTAATGTAAGAATTAGTTTTACCTCACTGGTTTCGAGATTAGGTGACCAAAGAAAGTTAATGATATAGTATGAAGTTGCAACAATCAAACAAATGAGTGCAATCAATCTTTTTTCGTTCAATCTCTATCGGAATGTAACACGGGCTAGTTGGAAGTCTGAGACAACTGAGACTATTTGATATATCAAAACCTATGCTAGGATCAAAAGGTGACAAATGAAATCAATGAGTAGGGTACTTGGATATAGTAATGGTCTTTGTCAGTATATCAGATTTAAGTCCTTAAATTTGTTAATTGAGATATACAAGGGTCGATTGATTGTGTGGCTGAGTTCACAATAGTACCCCTTGAACCTAATGAAACTGTAGATGTGTCAAATAAACCTAGAAGGAATGTATGACAGTTCACAGATGGCAAACAAGAATGCTGGTCTCTCCAAGTGGATCCGGCTGAAAGTTAAAGATGAGGACATGTTGTTGCTTTAGTTCCGTTGTTGAAAAGTGGCAACTCGCCTTCACGGAAAAAAAACGGGGAAAATGAAAAATGAGCGCAGGAAACATGTTCCAGCGCTATGGTACCGACACGCAGCACAAATGACAGCGACGATCGGCTCAAAAACCAAAATGCATTCTCCAGTCTATTAGTTTTTATCATGTGTGAGAGATAACCGAAGTTCGGTATGTCCTTTACATGTCTGAGTTGTCTACAATATATAAAAGCGGAGACAAATTAAGTTGCGTTTGAGGGTAGCTCCTCAGGAGAAAAATTTACTGTAAGCGGCCTTCTCCTTAGCCTTACGAGTTTTCAGCGACAATTTGGCGTCGTTAAGAGCTTTTGTTATCCCAGCATCGTTTGGTTGTAGTTTGTGTGCCTCTTCATAGTCTGCAATGGCATCCTCTTCGTCATGACCAAGAATATAACCGTTACCCCTTCTGAAAAATGCTTTAGCCTTAGACTTCTCGTCGAGCTGTTCGCAGCTCAATGCTTCGGTTGAATACTTGATGGCATCCTGAGAATCCTTTAACTTGAGAGACATCAAAGCTGCATTCAAGTTACACGAAATCTGTAGCTTCCAATATGTAGCAACATCTTCATCTGTTAGATCGTAAGGCTGGTATTCAGCCATGTAACTTTGAGCCTTAATATATTTCCTTAGCGCAGTCTTGTAGTCTCCCTTCTTGAAGCAGTCTGTACCAATGTTCTTGATAGCTTCCACAGCTTGGAAGACAGTTTCAGGCTTATCAATGTTTACCGTTGGTTCATCAGCCAAGACATCTTCATACTTGTCACCCGTTCCGTCAGGCAATGTTAGCGGATCACCTTCCTTCAATTCACCGCAGTCAATAACTTTACATTCTTTGAGTGGGCGATCTGATTCGGCGGTCTCGCTTCTCTCGATTTGCCTGACAATGGACTTACCGGCGAGGACCTTACCAAAAACAACGTGCTTGCCGTCTAAATGTGGGGTCTTTACAGTTGTAATGAAGAATTGGGAACCGTTGGTATTTGGCCCTGCATTTGCCATAGATAAGAGGAATGGTTGGTCGTGCTTCAATTGGAAGTTTTCATCATCGAACTTTTCACCGTAAATTGACTTACCACCTGTACCATCACCGTTCTCAAAATCACCACCTTGGATCATAAAGTCTTTGATCACTCTGTGAAAGGTTGTGCCTTTGTATCCAAAGCCTTTTTCACCCGTGCATAATTCTTTGAAATTTTCAGCTGTCTTTGGTGTAATATCATTGAATAATTCGAATGCAATTCTGCCAACTGGCTCATTCCCGATAGAGACGTCAAAGTACACTCTAGAGCGGTTTTCTTGAGATTCTGCTGCGGTAGACATGATATTTCAATTGGCCTTAATGACTTGAATCCTGGATCTTTCCTTCGGAAAATGCCGTATCAGAGATGAAGCAAAAATAAGCCAAGGTGGTCTTTCTATATAGCATCCCTATGTAGATGCCAAAAAAATGATTTCGCTGCAGAGGAATTTTCTAGAATTGCATTTAGCACCAACATGTTTCTTTCGTGCTTACAACTTATCATTGCGGGAAGTGGAGGGTTACAGGTAAAAAACAAAGTTGGCTTTCCTTGTAACAAAGAATATATAGCCCAAAATGGTTGCAGTTCCAGAACTTAAGCAGTATCTAAACAATCAAATCAAAGTTGAGCTCAATGGGAATCGAGTGGTACAGGGGAAGTTAGCAGGCTATGATTTTTTTCTTAACCTCACAATGTCAGATTGCGTTGAAGTAAAAGGACCAAAGACCAACCCGGAATACATACAGTTAGGTCAGAGTGTGATAAGAGGTAACTCGATTATAAATATAGAACTCATATAATGCTCCACGTGAAACTTTCTTCTTCACAGGATGTAATACGATATGTACCACAATGTATATTTTTTACTCCATTTACAAAAAACCAAATAGAAAATTTGACGCCTACTAGATACCCGATACAAAAGCAACCCGGAAATGGACTATAGTTGGGAGAATATATCATCAATGAAACTTGCGTTATCCTTGATAGTTTCATTCACAGGAGCTTTTTTCTTGACTGATACTCCAGTGTTTCCACTGCTATCAGTCATGATCTTGTCCATCCTTATTCTTGCGTTCATGACACAGTTGATCTTATTGAACACTTTCATCAAAGTAGTTTTAAACTCTCCCCAATCAGCGTAGTTTGAATGTAGACTTCTTTGCTCTTTTTCGACAAACATATTTAGATCCCACAAGTGTTTTGTAAAATGCCTCCAGTTGCCTTCGCTGAGCCTGATGGATTTTGCTTGTGATTGCTTGAACTTGATTAGCTCATAGATGAACTCGGCCGTCATTCTATTCTTCTCTCTTTTCACCATCGCATTTTTGGAGTTAGAGTTGACGCTTTTGTTGTCTTTATTCAAAAAGGCCTCAATCTTATTGACTGTAGTTTTGATTGGTGGTTCAACGGTGAATTGCTTTCTAGTCTTACGCTTTTTGACACAGCTTGTCAAAAGCATTGAGCCATCTTCAGCCTGTCTGTACTCATTCACAACAGGCCCTGCATAACCATAGTTGAAGAATCCAATCAAACCGCCATCTTCATAGTTATCCTCGTACGATGACATAACCATTGGGTCGATAGCACTCAACTCAACAGATTCATCGTTTGGACGCTTCACGCCCTTAGACAGCGAATATCCTGTGCTCTCATTAACAATAGCTGTGGGGCCATTGTTATACTCTAGGTTACTGTTATTTTCGTTGTCAGTTCCATCTGCATTTCCATTTACTTCATCACTGGAATTATAATTATATTCACTCTTGTTTATTTCTCTATCATCCCTTTGACCATGCATTACACCAAATTCTGAAACTGTACTACCATCGTCCACTGCAGCACCATATGGAATAGATTCAGATTCGTAGTCATTATAATCAAGTGCATCACTCGCTTGTTTTGAGCGTGAACCATTGAACAAAAAGTTATCAGTCTTGTCGTTACTCTTCAAACCAAATTCGTGACTGCTTGTTGCTGATTCCATTACCTTTTGCCTAGAATAATTTCTATTTTTATCTGGATGGTAGAAATGAGGGGAAAACTCGTCAGAGTCATGACGTGCCCTTTTATTACGTTCATGAGGTTGCTTGACTTGAATGGATCTGCCCGTTGCATCAGATCGTACAACAAGGTTTGATGGCTTAGCCGAGCTTTCCCCTTCATTCTTTATCGCAGGATCTTCGTCACCATAATTTACCGAATTGGAACTTGCATTGTTATTGTATGTCTCGTTTTCAACAAATTGGGCCCGAAGGTGCTTCATTTGGGCTGCAAATTCGACTTCTTGGGCGGTATCAAAATCATTGACCAATGGATCAATGACATCCATGGAACTTGCAACTGACCATTTCGGTATAATGCTTTTCAATTCGTTGATAGTTGGTGCAACTCTAGGGTTCTTGTGGTCAATGACGGCAATTTCGTCGGCTAGCTTTATGTTATCAAATTTTACAAGGGTTTGATTCCCGACATTGAACGGATTAGCCATTATTTCTGCTACTGACAAATTCGTTTCCATTAACGTGTAAATCAGCCACAAGAATTTCCTAACTTTATCCGAAGGTTTGAACTTGGGCCTTAACCATATATCGTTCATAAGTGAACCTGTACTAGCCAAACTTGGCGCAGTTGATTCGTCGTAGTCAAATGGGAAAAATGCCTGTCCAATATCGTATTCATGAGCACAAATTAGAAATACAGTCGACACAATGTTCAAGCTGTGACCATCTTTCGAGACCTCACCAATGAAGTCTTTGAAAGTTTTAGGAATTTTACCACTTAAGTCGTTCACAGATTTAAGGATTGACTTGATTCTAGGAGTATCTTGTAGTTGTTTGACAGTTGACATGGTGTAGCCACTTCCATTTCTTACTGACTGGTTCAGTGACGCCATTACAGAGGCACTCAGGTAACTTTTGTTATCAGCACTATCCGTGGCGTTTGCAGCAGCAGCAGCAGTAGCAGCCGCAGCAGCTGCTGCGGCTGCTTCTTGATGTTTTGCATTTTTCTGCTCATCATCTACTACCTCGTGTATTTGATAGTAGTTTTCAATTATATTGAAATGGTTGCCAACTTGAAGAGAAGGAATCGAATGATAAGTTCTGAACTGGGATTTCATCTCATAATCAAAGTTAACAGTGGTATTCAATCTACCGATGTTGACCAACAAACAAATTACAGCAAAATTCAAAGCATAATTGATGTCCAGCATTAATCTTGCCTTTAGTATTTTGGAAATCTTGGAAGACTTGAGTAATGTGATAAGGTACAATTCAAAAAACGTCAACATCTCACCTCTGCTCGCATGCAGAACCCCGTTTTCATCCTTGTAATATCTGAAATGATCAGGCCAGTCAAAACCGTGGATGGTGTTGAAGTATGGATTTTTGAAAACCCTATCGTGGTTGAAAAGCAATCTCATGAGAAATTCAAATTGAACTTCGTTTCTCCAGTACGGCTCACCATCGTTTTTCTTCAAATGCCTAGAACGTGCATTTATTAGAAGGGTTTGGTAACCCCTGACGTTTTCCGAGAAACCGGCACCGGCAGCCTTCGCACTGGCAGAAGGTGTGTTTGTGCCTGCATATATATCCGGGGATCTGTGAGTTACTGGAACGGAGTGCAAACTTTCACCTTTCGATGGTCCACTCTGGCTGTGATGCTGATACTCAGGCGATTTTCTAGACGACGCCTTGGCAGCGGGCTTTCGTTGAGGGACATTGCTCTGGCTCATCAACAGTTCGGTCACCGAAGTTGGTCGGTAGGACGTGCTTGTAGCCTCTTCATGCTCCTGTTTTGGCACAACGGGCTCGTCCCCACTATTGTTTCCAGTATCTGTGTTTGTGGAGGGATTCAAAAGGGATGACAGCGATGACATCTTCAGTTAATTGACACACTATACAGCAGTCAGATACCTACTATCACTCCTATTGGTCTCGTCTGCTTTCTGTTCTATTTCTCAGCCTCAGGGCAGCAGAAGAACTACAAATTCAAGCCCTTTGCACGACCATCCACCTTTCCACCATGGGAGATCGAGGATCAAGAGGCTTTCTCGGATCCTCCGTTTCCAAAAAATTAAGCAGGTCAACCGATCGACGGAAAAGACTGACGTAAGCAGTTTTTTCGGATTTCAATTTTTTTCTTCTGCTTTCTCTATTTTCGCATTTTCCGAATTAATTATTGCAAGCACGTGGGAGTGTTGCATCTCTCTATCATGGAATTGGCAGACAGACTTGTGGTAGCTGGATTGACGGTGCTAGCCGCCGCAACGACAGACCGTTATATAACAGTACCAGTATTCCCGCAAAGAATACAGCACTGTTATTGCTGCTACCTTCAGTGCCATAATTCGGAGGTGCTGCAGCTCATCTTGTCCGAGACGAAAAGAACAGTATATAAAGGAAAGAAGCCCGGTTGTCCGCAATGCTGTTCGGAGTAAAGCTACAGAACGAAATCTACACCCCTTGGGCGAAATACTACATTGACTATGACCAGCTAAAAAGGTTGTTGAAGGAGAACGTTGTGAACCAACTGGATCCTAGCTCGGGCTGGTCAGAGAAAGATGAGGCCTTGTTTGCAGAAACCTTAGACAAAGAGCTGGAAAAAGTGTACTCTTTCCAGGTTTCCACATACAAGCAGTTGGATTCTGAAATCTCCAAACTTGAGCTGAAGTCGGAAAGGTATTTGGAGTTTTTGGAGCAGAACCAGAAAGACGCTTCTTTTGATGCTGTTGTTTTTCAAAAGAAGTTGGAGGAGTTGTTATCTCTGGCCAATGAATTGGACCATTTTGCCAGATTGAACTTTACCGGATTCATCAAAATTGTCAAGAAACACGACAGACTACACAAGGGCTATTCAGTTAAAGCGCTTCTCAATGTCAGAATGAAAGATCTACCCTTGAACAATATCTCCGAAGACACCTCACCCTATTTGTTTCGGATTTCCACTCTTTATTCTTTCATCAGAGATCAATTGAACACCTCTTCTCTGACCTCCTCATTGTCGAACTCTTTGAAAAACTCTTTCAACAAGCTTTCAAATTCAGGAAAGCTGTCAACCACTCCTAACACTTCTTACAATACCGGCATCAATGAATCTCATTTTAAAGTTTTGAAATTCTGGATTCACCCGGATAATTTGATGGAGATCAAGACCACTATTTTGAGACACTTGCCAGTTTTAATCTACAATAACAACGCTAATAATGACGATGACGATGACGACGATGATGATCCTGGGTTGGCAGACTCTACAATAACATCGTTATATTTTGATAACAGAAATTTTGAGTTGTACAACAACAAGTTGTTGAAGCAGTTAAATAAGACCCCCTCCTTGAGAGTCAGATGGAATGGAAAACTCAAGAATAACCTTGATTTGATTGTCGAGAAGAAAACTTTCGACTACGATACAGGAGAATCCAACGATGTAAAGCTTACTCTTAGAGAGAAGTACATGAACGATTTCATTTTTCCATCTCAAAAACCGAGTGATGATCAATTAGAAATTGAAAACGATAACGATATTGACGATTTGGATGAAGACGAAGTTATCGATTACAGGAACAGTATGAACAAAAAGAAGAAAGCATCAAAGAGATTAACACTCGATAAGTTTGTGAAAAGATTGAAGAAGAAGGGTTTCAGCGGCGCAACTATTGATTCATATGCTAACAGTTTTAAGAGCTTACAGGATTTCATACTCTCGAATCACTTACAGCCAGTGCTCAGAACGATTTATACCAGAACAGCTTTTCAGATGCCAGGTGACGACAGAGTAAGAATCACAATTGATTCCGATATACTTTTCATTAGGGAAGATTCCTTTGATCAACAAAGGCCAATCAGAAATCCAAATGAATGGCACAGAAAGGATATTGATTCTTCCATTGAAAACCCATACTCTTTATTGAGAAAAGGTGAATACTCAAAATTTCCATATTCTGTTATGGAAATTAAGATTGCTTCTTCAATATTCAACAATCCTCAATCAAGAACTTTAAGCTGGGTTAATGAGCTGACCAGTTCCCATTTGGTAAAAGAGGTTCCAAATTTCTCTAAATTTATTCAAGGTATTTCAGTTTTCTTCTTGGAAGATGATAATTTGGACATTCTACCATTCTGGTTACCTGAATTAGAATGGGACATTAGGAAGAATCCCGAACAAGCCTACATGGATTCTAAGAACAAGAGATTAAAGGAGTTGCAACAAGCTGAGGTGTTAAAAAATTTGAAAAAGAAAATCGGAAGTTCTGTTCAGACTCTAACCGATTCAGCAAATACCCATTTGGATCAAATCGTTGAAGATGAAGAAGGAGACGACCTTGATGCTGAGTCGTCTGATGACGAAAATTCTCTACCACCACCACCATCGTCCCAAACTGGACCAACACCTCCAACTTCTTCCTACTCTGATAATCCCGAGAGACTACCATTGATTCCTCACAAAAGAAGGAGAAATAACCTTACTGACGTGCTAATGCCAATGTTTTCCTCTTCAAAGCTTGAAGGCTATGAGTCTGAAGACGAAGAAATTGAACTTCCTCCTGGAGTTGTCAAGCCTACGCAATTAATTCGTCAATCGGGTCCTGTAAGAGTCGAGGCCAAAGTTTGGCTTGCAAACGAACGTACATTTGTACGTTGGCTACATGTAACGACTTTGCTTTCTGCCTTAACTTTCACAATTTACTCAACTGTCAAAGGATCAAATTTTCCTTTACTTGCGACTGATCTGGCTTATATTTATTTTGCATTAACCTTATTCAGTGGTGTATGGGCTTATGCAATTTACACAAGAAGACTAGAATTAATCAAGATGCGCAGTGGTAGGCATCTTGATGGTATGTTCGGCCCCTTGGTACTTGCAGCTGTCCTTGTTTTGACGCTTGCTATTGAGTTTTTTGCTGGAGTTCAAAAATGGAAATCTAAAGCTGGTGTTTCAAATGTCGCCATTTTTGTTGCAGAAAGCATAACTCAATCTCCAACAATTCAAGATCTACATCCAATTACACGCTGGGCTTTGACTAAACTATTTGCAATTGGATCATATTGAGTTAGTAAAAGTTAACCTCATAGTTCGGTCGTAAAATCATGTCTAGCTTCTTTTTGTAAAAATATCAGTACTATATATACACCTATCTAAAATAGTTTTCTACAAAACTTTAAAGTTTCCCACTACTTCCTTTGAGTAAATGCTTCTTAATATGCTTGATTCTTTCTTCTGTGTGTAACTTTTGATTATACTCGTTTACAATTGAGCTAGCATTTGATCCAACGGAGATTGCAGATATACCCGAAACTGCCAAATCTCTTGATGAACTTGATACTACCGATGCGTTTGAGAACTTCGAAAATCTAGAGCATCCTGATATTCGTCTTTTTGGCTCAATTCGGCTGAAAGAAGCAGTTAGGAGCGAAGGCACTTTCCCGTCATCATGAAAAGCGTCGTAAACTTGAGAAATGGCATTGCTGCTATAGTTGCTGGAATCATACTCATTAGTTGCAGTTGTGCTATCACCCGCAATTGATCCCCCGCTGGTATTGTCTATATCTTCAAAATCATCTACATTGTTGTCAGTGTATCCCTCAACACAAGTGAGCCAAATCTTACATGCGACTAGTAAATTGAATTCTTCAACTTTTACTATTCCTTCTACTTCGTATAACTGTTCTAAATCTTTACGAAGTAATAGTAAAGCGTATGTGAATTTGACGGCCAGTGTGGCATTTCGGCAAATAAATAATGGATATATAGTTGCTGATTTCGCTGCTGATGGGTCATTTAATACTTTGGGCAAACTAGCTCTTGGCGAAACATTGAAATTAGAGATCGGATCATGAATATAACTGCTGGAACCTAACTCTCTTATAGGATAACGGAGAGGAATATTGAATATGTCCGCAACAGTCAGTACAATCAATGCAATATAACCAATTAAAGAATTAAGACGTTCGGAGTGAGGTCGTGAAACTTGAGCTAGTCTTTGAATAATTGTGGATGAAACGATTGAAATTGGTATGATTGTGCTATGATCTGATTTCTCAAAACTTTTTGTTTGAGGTATCAACGATGAAGGAAAACATGTTTGAAATAAAGAGAAATCATGTTTATTAGAAATGGGTTTCATTGGAAAAATAAATTGAATGATAGAGGCGATCCTTGCTTTTTCAATGTTTATCTGTGACGTCAGTTTTGAGTTCTCTTCTTGGATTGTAGAAGTCTCAGTGGCCAAACCAATACTCGTGTCTGAAGTTCTTACTTCTGCTGGATATTTCAACTGTAAAACTCGTGACTTTAGTTCATTTATTTGTTTTTTGATTAGAGCAACCTTTTTTTCGAGCTGGAAATTATGGGAAACTTTTTTATGTACTACATCATTCAGGTGTTCACTTGAGGTCTTCAAAGTGTTTTGATTATCTAAAATCTTATGCAAACTGTTTTCTTTGATAAGCTCCTGTGATATTCGATCATCTAAAGCTAACTTTGTATGAAGTAAGTCGTGAATACATCTACTGTAATTATTCATCGTCATTATTTGATCATAAGAGCACGAACTAGGTTTATAGTGGAAATCCTCAAACTTTTCAATTATGTTTTGTAAATAAGTGGATCGAAGACTTTTGATTAGCTCTGGAGAGATAGCTTCATTAGGTAAAGTGTAGTAACAGTCGTCAGTGAATCTCAAGAGGAGTAGGTTCTTTAGGTGCTTTAACTTGGATTCCACGCGGTAAAGATCATCGCCTAGATTCACAAGCAGCGATAACTTTATGTGATACTGGCGTGACAGTTTCCAACTGCTATATTCACTTTTCACAAATAAATTTATCGTAGCTGATTTGGCAAAAGCGTGTATTTCCAATTCATCGGCCAATTCCACGTGTGAAGGGAACACCCGGCTGATGAAATAAGGATCATCTATGTTCAAAAAATTGTTAATTGTATAGAAACAATCAAAAAAAGTATCTTCATTGATTTTTTGAAACTCAAGCTGCCTTCGTATTTCTATGGGTTGGGAAAGGGTAGTATTTCGTACAGATGTCCCTGTTGTGAGATAGTTGTCGTCTTTAGCTGTGTTCGGCCTATTGCTTACATTATTTAAAGACGGTCCTGATTTAAAATCTTTACTTAGGTCATAGGATGATTTTCCTTTACGTAAAAGCTTCTCTCTTCTATCATGTGCTAAATCATCAGCCGAGTTGATGAGTTTATTATTATCATTTAAAACCTTCACATCCATTTCATTTTGTTTATTGTTTTTCAAATCATTGCCTCCTTTTTTCATAAGCCTAGTTTCATCTGAGCCAAAAGTATCACCACTTAACTTATTTAAATCTTCTGAATTTATTGTTATACGCTTGATCAATATTGATTTAATATGCCTGATCTCTAGGAGTTTTGATGGAAGTGATGATCTAAGTTGTAAAGCTAAAAACTGATCTGATTTTATTGCACTTCCTTCAGCCGACCTGAGTCCTCCACCCTGTAGATATGGGACAGAAGTCATTTTGGCATATCAGTATCTTTGCGTTGGCAAGAGATTAAAGGTGTGGACGGTAATTATTATAATGCAATCCCTTTTCATAAACGAATTCTTTGGTTTATGATTTACTGTGTTACGGCCCCCATCATTTTTATCTTCAACACTTCTCGCCTACATTTGATGTGCTGCGGATTAAAAACTCATTATGTGGGATCTATCAAAGAAAACTACATCATTACTTAACACTCGTTTCTTAAACTTGAGTTGTTCTCAATTGTATATCACCACTTACTAACTATTCAGTTTGTTTTGCCATAGGGAGGCAGCTAGAGAATGACGTTTATAGTTTCTCTTGCTCACTTTTGTGAAGTACACGGCCCATCCATGATAATGTGCACGCAAGCAGTGGAAAAGCCGGAAGAACTAGAAAACTTTTACTCACCACAACTTTCTGAATCTCAATTTTGCCAGTCCTGCATGCTTAAGATACCCTATGCCGAAGAATTTGCAGAGAACCGTGATACCAGCGTGACGAAAACTACCGATACAGATACAAGTACGATCTCCAACGCTAGTTCTGATAGCACCACTCGGAATAGCAATGAAAACTCTTCAAAGACAACTCTCACTTTAGAGGATCAGATTTCAAGTTTATTGAGTCCTTCCACACAATCCCCACCACATCGTAAGCGCCCGATGACTCTTAAATCTAAATCACAACGAAATCCGTCAGTACATTTTATATCTACCCAGTTTCCCACTTACACTGAGCGATATTCGTCTCTGAGGCAAACAATTGTTCGTGTCTTCACTGCTGAAACGAATGCTGATTTAAGCAAACCTATAATGTTTGGAAACTCTAAACACGGCTACTCGATTGCGCTTTCTTTTTCGTTGCTTGATAAGACAGCGAGAGGATCGGAGCGTAAGTACTCTATAATAGTTACGTCCAACTGGGAAGAAGACCTTATCAATAACTACACATTCATTCTTACAAACCTGAACCAAGTTGTCGGAAATATACTCAGAAGTGCCAGAATGGTCCAGAAACAGCTCAACCTTTCGGCAGACGATTTGCATAATAATGGTACATACCTGAGGAGATCTGCCGGCCTACCAAAAGCTAAAAGTATGGTAGAGATATTGAAGGATGAAAACTTCTTTTTGAAAATCCATATGTGGGCAGCTTTCATGTTGGATACACTGATAAAACAAAAGGAACCAAATGACACTTGAAAGTTTATCATGAACGATTTTTGTACAGTTTATTTTCCTGTATCGGTGGCAATTCAAAGCAATAGAGATTCGTGAAAAAGTATATTTTTTTATTGAAAAAGCAACAAGACTGATCACTAAGCAATTTCTGCGTATTCTCTCAAATCAAGAGTAAGAATCTTGGAAGAATTTACCTCTTGGTCCCTATAGATACCTACCAAAGAATCACTTTTTTCAAAAAGATTATTTTTCAAGCTGATCACAATAAATTGAAAATTAGGACCTCTGTGCTTAGAAATGTAGTTGGCAATTTTGTTCACGTTTGAGTTATCCAATGCGGCGTCCACCTCGTCTAAGACAAAGAAAGGTGAAGGATGGAATGAGTGAACTGCAAACAACAAAGCTAGTGCACCAATAGTTTTTTCCCCACCACTCAAATTTTCCATATCTCTGAAACGTTTTAGTGGAGGCATGATATGGTATTTAACACCGAAAGAATATGGCTCATCTTCATCTTCTAAGGTTAAGTATGCAGAGCCACCCAAGGGAGATGCTCTTGATTTTGTAAGCTCTTTGTAGACATCATCGATATTATCGGAAACGTGCTCAAACGCTTTCATAAACTTTTCATGACGGTCGTCTTTTACTCTCTCAAACCTGGAAACTATTTCCTTTTCGTTGTTTCGTGCCTCGATAAACTCCGCATCAACTTCTCTATACCTTTCTTGTGCCGTATCAAGATGTTCACGAGCTCGAATGTCAGGATGCATTCCTCGTACTTCCTCTTGTAATTTTTCAATCTGTAGTTTACACCTTGCTTCAACCGCTTCAGAAGAAAACTCAACCCGATCCTCATCGTCTATGTCACCCCTGTCTTCCCCTTCGATAAAAACAAAATACTCATCATCTAAATCTGAGTAATCAATCTCGATTGCTGACAAAATCGTTTCTAATTCTTGACTCACTTCTGCTTGAGCCCTGCCTTCACCTTCGATCAAAATGTCATCTAGGTTTCCAGATAGCAGAGGCAGTTGGATATTTTCGAGTTTAGCGTTGATCAACTGTGATCTTTTTTCCAACTTGAGAGAATCTAGCTCTTCCTCTATGGTGACAACTTCTTTTTTAGTTTGCTTCAAGTCACTCTTGAGGGAAACAATCTCTGACTCCATATTTGTTGCTTTGTTTAGCAAAACTTTAGCCTTTTGTTTCAATCTCGTGTAATCTTCTTTAGTTACTTCAAGCTCGCTTTTGATCTCGTCAATTTTCTCCTCAACCTTTTCACGTTCTTTAGACAAAACCAGCCAATTTTGATAAAAATTGTCTTTATCATCCATTAGTTTAGTAAGATGTTTTTGGTAATCGTCAAGTCTTTCCTGTTCAAATTCAAGCTTAGTTTCCAGACGTTGGATTTCTTTGACATATCTAGAGTTTTCCTTTGCCTCTTGAACAACTTTTGCACTATAGTTAGTTTCGTAGTCTTCAATATTATCAAAGTTGTATTTGGTACAAAAGCCATCATAGATTTCTCCTTGTATATTATGATAAGCGGTATGTTCATTTTCCAACTGCTTATTTATAGACAAGATCCTCTTCTCTAGATCTTCTTTTTTATCGGTGTTCTCTTTCAACAAATCAACTTCATGGTTCAATTCAACTTCAATATCCCGCATGCTTCTCGTGGCATTGTCCAAGTTCCTTTCATATTCAGGCATTTTGGATTTTAATCTTTCTATCTCTTCAAAAATGACACGATTTTTCATTTCATCAGGTATTTTAGAGTGGATCTCTGAAATTTTGAATTTCAATTCTTCCTTCCGTTCAGTCAATAAACCCACTTCCGATTTATCCCATTTAGTGTTAAAGTTGTCACTGCCTCCTCCGGTCATCAAACCACTTTTATGGATTAGTGCTCCATCCAAGGTAACCAATTTGACATTGGCACCTCTACTCCAACGCAATGAAATTGCTATTTCTATTGTATCGCAGACCAAGGAATTTCCACACACGTATTGAACGGCTCTCTCAAATTCAGCTGGATAGGTTATAGTGTCAATAACAGGACGTGCATTTTGTGACAAATTACGCAAATTGGAATCTAAAGGTTGCACTTTAACGGTATCTAACGGGATGAAGGACGCAACACCTAATCTTTGTTCCTTCATATACTCTATACACTCAGTTGCTGTTGAAATAGTATCAACAATTATGGCGTCAAAGTTTCTGCCTAAGATAGCTGCCAATGCAACACTGTACTTCTTTTGTTTAGGCTTACAGATGTCATTCAATAAGCATCGTACATTAGGAAATAGCCTTTTCAAGGTGACACACGTCTCTCTCAACTTCCTTTCTTTAGTATTCTCTCTTTGTATGGCATTTATTTCACTTAGTCTTAATAAAACACTCTTGAGTTCGTGGTTTAATTCCTGCTCTTTTTCTTTGATCGATTGGCGCAATGATTCCAAGGAGTTCAATTCTCTTTCAAAACCTTTAATCGATGATGCATTGGATTTGATCTGCAACTCTACTTGCTTCTTTTTTGATTCGGAAGAACTCTTTTTTAACTCTAAATCTGATACTCTTGCTTTAATAATATTTTCGGTTAGACTCTGAGCATCTACTTCTGTTGTTAAAAGCAATTGCTCCTCTTTGAGTTCATCAAGTTTCAACTCCAAGCTACCTGCCTTGGCTAAAAACTCATCCCTCAATTTGTTGTATTCAGTTAACATTTCAATATTTGAGTTGAATGAAGAAAGAATGGGACCACTGTGTTCCATAGTTACCTTCTCTTGCTCTCGTTCCTTTTCTGCTTTGAAATTAGCATATGCAGTTCTAATTGATGACAATACCTTAGCTGCATCACTTACCACTGACTTCTGTTCCTTCCTTTCAAGTTCAATTTGCATTATCCGTTTCTCATAATCTTTGACTTTCTCGTTTAGCTGAGAGGTTTCGGATTCTAGAGGAATTAAAGAAGTTTTGATTGCTTTCAAAGCTGATTCATCATTCTCAATCTTCGATTCGTACTCTTTAATGGTCATATGTTCATCAGACTGGGTGCGTATAAAATCCTTATATTCCTCCTGTTTTGCCTCAACACCAGTGGAGATAGTAGCAATTTCCTCATTTTTGGTTTCAAGACTAATTTGCAATTTGTCGTTTAGACGGTCGAGGTAATTCAGTTTTGATACATATTGCGTTACTATTAAGTGGTCTAACTTTTTAGTCTTCTTCGCAAATTGGTCGGCTTCAAAACATTTTGCCCGCAAGTTCTTTATTTCATCTTTTAAGTTTCTCTTTTGTGAGTTTTTCAGTGCAGTTATGTCATGTGCTTTTTCCTTTTCTTCTTTCAATTCATCAAAATCTTTTTTATAATTAATTGAGCCACTGATGCTTTCGATCATCTTAGTCAAATCTTGTGGTGATTGAGATGCGACCTTTTCAACATCACCCTGGAAAACCAAAAAATTTTTAGCTTTTATGAGGATGTTTTCTTCCTTTAGTAACTTGAGGTATTGACTAACTGAAACCTGAACGCCATTGACAATAAATGAGCTTGTACCATTCGGGTTGATCTCTCTCTTTAAGTTCAAAATCTCCTTGTTGTCCTTTTCATATACGGCAACTACATATGCTGAGTTGGGGTCAGTTTCTCTCGATGACAAGTCTGTTTCCAACTCCTTATCCATCTCCATGTCGCTGTCCTCATCAATAACATCAGCTTCTTCGTCTTCCTCACCTAAATCTTGTTGGGGAGCTTCATCGTTAATTTGACCCCTATATATCAAAGAACTGATATTTTTTGACCGTAGCTGATTAGATCTGACACCCAAAACAAATGAGATTGCGTCCATCATATTAGATTTTCCTGATCCATTAGGGCCTATTATTGATGTAAAGTAAGAGGTACCAAAACCGACGAGTGTTTTTCCCCGGTACGATTTAAAGTTGTAAAGCTCGAGACCAACTAATCTTCCCATGTTTTCTTAATCTTGGCCTTGACTTTAGTTTTGTTTTTCCTGCTATAAACAAGTCCAAGCGCAAGATGAACAGCAACGAGTCTTCACTGATAAACACCAAAATAGCCAGAAGCAAGCTCAGCTCTTTTATTTTCGTGCTCCAGACGCGTTTTTCTTTCACGCTCTGCTATCTTTCCTGTGATTAAGCTCAACTGCTTTTTGTTACTCCGAAGGCGGAGAGGCTTCGAGCTTGTTGTTCGCAACTTAAAGGCTCTACCATAATCAGTTTTTCCTTCATTCATTGCCCAGTTAGCAACACAGGCTATATGTTCTGAATTGATTTGCTTCTTACACTTGTGGCAACTTTCTTTCTTTGCGTTTCACGCATACTGTACTCTTTGTCATCACGTGACTGCCTCGTTTTCTTCTACAATTGAGAATCATTTGATTTTTGCCCTTGCTTCAAGTCTTAAGCATGAAGTTGTCAATCGCCTTTAGCTCATTAGTAACTAGAGGTTGAGATAAAAGGGAAACAAATATTGTAGAATTAAATTTACAATTAGTTACAATGGTACGTACCAAGCTGGAGGTGATAAAGCTGTTTTTTTGGAAAACTAGTACTAACCAAGGTGTTTTGTGGTATTTGATGCAGGTGGCAATTTCATCTTATTTACTGGGAACCGTGACATTAGCTGGTGCGTTCATGGGTTATGTGAAGAAAGGTTCAGTTCCATCTCTTTTGGCTGGTGGTCTTGTGTCTGTAATTTACTTTGTTGGAGGTGCCTTGGCATCCAAGGGGAGAAGATCTGGTTTAATCATCTCTTTAGCAGCGTCTGTAATTTTGCTAATTGCAGGTTTTGCAAGAGCCATTCTTACCAAGTTTGAAAAGACAGTTCCATTGGTTCTCACCGGTATTGGGCTATTGTCTACCGCATACTATGGTTACCTCCTTGTGTAGCACTTTCAGACTATAAGCAAGAATTATATAGTATTACGTTTTATTTTTCCAGTAAACTCATAATTAATGATATTTTTTATTATAAGGTATTATTTATATATATAGGTTCGTGGATGGAGTGGTAAAGTGACAAAAAAGAAAAACAGTTATGGAGAAACATAAATCATTAGCGGTTTTTTTAAGTTGATCAAACCGCTTAATCAACTTCTTCGACAGAAGGACCTGCATCTGGAGCTGCACCACCTGCACCTGCACCTGGGAATCCACCTGGAGCACCACCTGGAGCACCACCAGGGGCACCACCAGCTGCATACAACTTTTGCATGATTGGGTTAGCTTCCTGTTCTAACTCCTTCAATCTGTCTTCAAATTCTTCAGTAGATGCAGTTTGGTTGGAGTCTAACCACTCAATAACTTCTTCACACTTCTTGGTCAATTTCTCTTTGTCTTCAGCACCGACCTTTTCTTCGAATTGGGCCTCGTTAGCACTGTTTTTCAAAGAGTAAGCATAAGACTCCAATTGGTTCTTAGCAGCAATTCTCTTGCTCTCCTTCTCATCCTCTTCCTTAAACTTTTCAGCCTCAGATACCATTCTTTCGATGTCTTCCTTGGACAATCTACCCTTGTCATTTGTAATGGTAATCTTTTGAGTCTTACCAGTACCCTTTTCAAGAGCAGAAACGTTAAGGATACCGTTGGCATCAATATCGAAAGTGACCTCAATTTGTGGGACACCTCTTGGAGCTGGAGGAATACCAGATAATTCAAACTTACCTAGCAAATTGTTATCCTTCGTCTTTGCTCTTTCACCTTCGAAGACTTGAATCAAGACACCTGGCTGGTTGTCAGCATAGGTGGAGAAAGTTTCAGACTTCTTACATGGGATAGTAGAGTTTCTTGGAATCAACTTTGTCATCACACCACCAGCGGTTTCAATACCTAAAGATAATGGAGTGACATCCAATAGCAATAAGTCTTGAGTCTTGGAAGATTGGTCACCGGTCAAAATTGCAGCTTGAACAGCGGCACCATAAGCAACTGCTTCATCTGGGTTGATAGACTTGTTTGGTTCCTTACCGTTGAAGAAGTCGGAAACCAATTTTTGAACCTTTGGGATTCTGGTAGAACCACCGACAAGAACAATTTCTTCAATTGAGGACTTGTCCAATTTTGAGTCCTTCAAAACCTTTTCGACAGGGTCCAGCGTGGATCTGAACAAATCAGCACAAAGTTCTTCAAATCTGGCTCTGGTAATAGAGCTGTAAAAGTCTTGACCTTCAAACAAGGAGTCAATTTCAATTGAAGTCTGAGCAGAAGATGACAAAGTTCTCTTTGCTCTTTCACAAGCAGTTCTCAATCTTCTTAATGCTCTCTGGTTAGAAGTCAAGTCCTTCTTGTACTTTCTCTTGAACTCGGTGGCAAAGAAGTTAACCAATCTGTTATCGAAATCTTCACCACCCAAATGGGTGTCACCAGCGGTAGCCTTGACCTCAAAAATACCTTCGTCGATAGATAGAAGAGAAACATCGAAAGTACCACCACCCAAGTCGAAGATCAAAATGTTGTGTTCACCCTTTCCGGAATCCTTCTTGTCCAAACCGTAGGCAATTGCGGCAGCCGTTGGCTCGTTGATAATTCTCAAAACATTCAAACCTGCAATGGCACCTGCATCCTTGGTTGCTTGTCTCTGGGAGTCGTTGAAGTATGCTGGAACAGTGACAACTGCGTCGTTAACCTTAGTACCCAGGAATGCTTCGGCGGTTTCTCTCATCTTAGTTAACACCATGGAAGAAATTTCTTCCGGAGTGAACACCTTAGTTTCACCCTTGTACTCGACCTGGATCTTTGGCTTACCCCCTTCGTTGATGACCTTGAAAGGGAAGTGCTTCATGTCCGTTTGCACCTCCGTATCGTCAAACTTTCTACCAATAAGTCTCTTGGCATCAAAGACTGTGTTCTGTGGGTTCATTGCAGCTTGGTTCTTGGCAGCCTCACCAATCAATCTTTCTGTGTCCGTGAAGGCAACGAAAGATGGAGTGGTTCTGTTACCCTGGTCGTTGGCAATGATCTCCACTCTGTCGTTGGCAAAGTGTGCCACACATGAGTATGTAGTACCTAAATCAATACCGACAGCTTTTGACATATTTCTTTTGTGTATATATGGATATCTGTACTAGTTTTGTGTTCTATTGATAAACCTGTTAAAGTTCGTTGTATAGTGGGGAAATAAATAAATACAAGAATTATATAACTCACAACCACTAAAGACCATCGAACAACAACCTGGGACAGAAAGGAAGAAAGACCAACCTTTATATAGCCCCTCCACGCTGCGCATCAGCCCAATCGACATGTCCTCCCATCACCCCACAAGAGCTGGCCCACGGAGAAGGATGGAACCCTCTCGAAAACCGAGGATAGCCAGGAACGCCTGGAACATTCGGAAGAGATCACCATCTCCGACATCTGCCCAGTCTAGTCCATCCTCCGCAAGCTTCCCCGCCGCTTTCTACGCTCTTCTAGAACAATCCACCACCACGTCCGCCTGCGCCACGCCGCCACGGCTCAACACTGCCACCACCACTCAGTCGCAGCCTGCGCCACGCCTCGCGCACGTGATCCGGCGTTAGCTGAGCGTCCTCTTTCGGAATCACGACACGGAAATTATTGTAGGTGTCGACGCGTCGGCGGATGTTAACAAGACTGGCTCCGGTGTCTAGCTGCAAAAGGGTCTCATAGAAAGGAGGGATCTGGGGTCTTCTAGGCAGCTGGTCGACTGTGCCGGCATGGTACTTCTTAAGAGCGTCCTCAAAGTCCCGGAGGCCCAGTTTGTAGCGGATCTGTTGACCGACCCGGGCCTCGTTTTCCTCCCGCTGCACCTGTTTCGCCATCTCGACGATGTCGCCGACAAAGACCTTGCCGACACCACCGAGAAGCTTTGCAAAGTCGTTCGGGACACTCACCCCACAAATGCTGTTAATCAGTTTCTTGATTCCTCCAATGTTCAAATTCGTTCGACGGAAGAACTCGTATCGGTTCAACTGCTTGTCATCCATGCTGTCGATGAGGAGCTTCCGCTTTTCGTTGATCGTGAGGTCAAGCGACATTTCATCTGGGTTGATGTCAAATAGCTCAAGCAGGTCTTCAAAGTCCTTCGGCACCTTTTCCGCTTCTTCTTTGTCTTCTTCGCTCTCCTCTCCGCTATCACTCCCGGTGCCAAGCTCACTATCACTATCGCTTTCGCTTTCACTTTCGCTTTCGCTTTCCTCGTCCATTTGTATCCCTTCATCCTCCTCACGCTTCTTCTGCAGTAGCAACTCTGACATGTTTACTTTCCTCAAAGTATCGAACCTCTCATGCAAATACTCTCGTCCTTTGACAATGTCCAACGGTACCCCAGACTCATCCGTCGCTTGTGGCCCATCGTTTTTTCCGGTTGTGAAATTATAATTCTTTTTCTTAGGCTTCGGCTTGCTCAAATTGGCATTCATAGCATATACATTGCCACCTTCAACGGTAGCACCCGTGCTACTAGTTCTGGGAATGTTATTCTCCTTTATGGATTTAGCAACGTTGGTCTCTTTCAAAACCGTCGCCCGATCAACAGCAACATCCTCCTTCAGATTGGGTTGTGGCAAGCCTCCCAAAAGCATATCATCCAAATCAGGAGTTCCTTCCGTAGAGCTAACTAAGGGCACTGATACATCCTTCAAGAATGCGTCTAAATCTGATGTATTTAGCACGCTATCGAGCTCACTCGTCACCTTTTGCTTTTTTGTAACTTCTTTTCCATCCACTAGAGTGTCATTTCCATGTTTCACAGCCTTATTATTCATACCTGCAATAAACTTTAAGCCCTCCGGTCTCACTAACGGTTTGTGGTGCCCGCAAAACATAAGATACAACATCCACGAAGGTCGGGCTTAGCCAAAATTATGAAAACATGTTTAATCATGTCCGCGTCAACTGCATCAAAAGCCGATCGCCGCAACTTTCACGACAAAAAGTGCCAACTTCTCTCAATTTCTTGAGGCGATCCTTCTATAATGAGGATTTCTCTAACGAACTATTTCACTCATCATCACCAACTTTGAAAGCTACTTCAAAGGGCTGTACATAGCAACCTCAGCTTTTGCATCACAAAGCATACAAATCAATACTTGTGGCGATGGTTGAGGAGAAGTTTTGTCGAGTCTGCAGGTGTGAAGGCACTCCAGATCAGCCCTTGTTTCATCCATGCAAGTGTAGGGGTTCGATAAAGTACATTCATCAAGATTGCCTTCAGTATTGGCTGGAGCATTCAAATAAGGACATATGTGATATCTGTCACTCTAAGTTTAAATTCAAGATCATTTATAATGATGGTGTGCCAGATTCAGTTCCGCTAAAAATCATCTTGAAACAATTTTTCAGAGACCTGATTCACTATCAGTACCAAGTGGTGAAGTATTCTCTTATGATATTTTGTGCTGTATTTGAGGTCCCCACTGTTATTTCCCTTATAGACAAAATCATAGACTTTCAATTGGGTGTACCCATCCGAATTGAAAGTCCTTTTCTACCAAACATGTTTGAAGATTACAAATCATCGGAATATTTCATCGTGAACTATTTATCATTTCTCCAGTGTGTCATTTTTCATGGACTCTTCATTGCCATGACTTTTTCCGTGATTATAATTTCCATGATAATAATACAGAACTCTTTTGTTGGAGATGAAGGATTTCAAAAAATTATTGATAAAAAAATTGGGCCGCAACGTCGAAAGCTTGTTGATCTTTTCCAACTCAACAGAAGGAGAAGAGCTCTACGTGGACAAGAAAATGAGCAGCGTGTCAATAGAGAACTTGAAAGTGTTGGATGGGTTGAGGGCCATGTCTTTGAGCGGGCAGAAATCTTACTCATGGTTAATTCACTTCATAGAATGATTGAAGAATTAGTAGAAGACCCAACTGTAAGAGATACTGTTGCAGATCAGGTGTATTTACGTGGCCTAGATCCAGAAGTGATAAATGACGAAGATATACAGAAGGTGTTCGAACTCTACAAGAAATACCGCATTACTCTTTTGAACCACCGAACCGAGGAGAGAGAGATGTTTCAAGTAATTCAGAACGTTGCTAACAGAGACGGCAGAGCTAATGTTGATGATGAGCTTGTTAGAGCTAATGCAAGACTTTTAATGAATTTTCAAGATCCAGACATGGCAGTCCCCGCTCAGAATATTGACGATATTAATGAAATTGACCCACCCATCCCAGCTCCAGTAGTAGAACAGGACGATGGGCAAGAACAGCTCCAGGGAATGTGGGATGGACCCAAAAATATAACTTTCATTTTTCAGCTCACTTTGTTGGCAAACTTGGTGTCTATGGTAGTACTTGTGTGCTTCAAACTAATACCTTCCTATCAAGGTATGCTTTTCTTATCAATTCTAGATGCACTAGTTTTCTCCCCATTACAAAAACTATTCATGATAGCGCATCCCTATTTTTATCCTTACATTTCTCTTTTGATTAAATCTAGCCCTGCACAGTATGTTTATGCACAATCTCAAAATTTTATTGTTCCAAAGTTGATTTTGGCTTTTTTTCAAAGAAATCTAATTTTACCACTCAGAGCTGCTTATGTCAATTCTGTTCAATGGACACCGACCAGTTCTAGCAGTGAACGGATAATTGTCACTCTGACAGGTTTTGCTGTTTTTGGTTTGATCATTTTTGCATGTATGAAAAAAATGGAAAGAAGTTGCACACCAAGTAACCCGTTGGCTGGGAACTATCGTACAATATACATAGTTATGCTCCAGATAGCATCTATTGTAAAAGTCTTCAGTCTCATTGCTATAGAATGGGCAATTTTCCCATTGTTTTGCGGCATGCAAATTGAATTTGCTTTAGTGCCGATCTTCAATGACAATCTATACAACTACAAACTTGATCCTCCATTTTTTGGCACAGATTTTTTTGGTGTGGTTCCAAAATGGTTCATGGGTACATACTTCATGTATTTTTTTGCTTCCTTTGTGTCGATGATTCGCTCAAATATTTTGCGAGATGGTGTTTTATTTTTCATTCGTCCATCTGATGATCCAAATTTACAGCTTGTTCATGATGCCTTGATGAGACCTTTTTCGTTAAGACTTTCACGTATTTCATTGTCGGCTGCAGTTTACAGCCTTTACATTCATATTGAATTTAGCGCAATATCGTGGGGAATTCGTCTTTTTAGTCCAATCAAAATCTTACCTTTTCACAACGAATTTTTTCACGAACGTGCACTGTTTGTTTTGGTGTTTATACTAGGTATGTCCCTAGAGAAAAGCTTCTGCAAGATATGGAAAGCAGTTTTTAAGTTTGCTTGTTCTCAGTTACGTCTATCTTCATTTTTACTGGACGAAGACAACCCTAAGGAAAGAGGAAAAATAATATACAAAACGTTGTTTGCAAAATTGACGAACCCGACCCCAGATTATTCGGAACCTGTCCTTGAATCTGAAACCGACTTGTATTTTGCAACTCATACCAGCGCTTTATGCTGTTTTGTTCCTGATGGTAACTATGTGCGTGCTCCAAATGACGATCATGTTTCTCGAAACTTTGTCAGAACACTGTTTGTTCCTGTGACAAAATCTGATCAGCTACTTGCACCTATACCCGAATATCCCGATGATGATGAGATTTACAATCCTTATGGAGATGTTGACCCAATGGATGTTACGACATACACGATTGTGTATAGGCCCCCAGACTTCAAATGGAGATTATTTGCTCTTTTTGGGATTCTTTGGCTTGCGTCAATGCTTATCACTCTTGCTTTATATGTCTGCAATATTCTCATCGGTGAGCCTCTCATAAAATTTGTGGTTCCTAAGAGAATCACAGGAGCCTTGAAAATTCCAACAGAATGGTATAAAGTTGATATCTACGGTGTTATAATCACCCTACTTGCTCTACCTAGGTTGGAAAAAGATACTAAAGCAGTTCGTAACCAATGGAGTGCACTCATTAAAGCTTACACGGACTCGAAATCTAACGGCGAAAGAGTAAAAGCAATTAAAATCATTATTGTTGATAATATAAACAAACTGAGAGAACACTATCGGATAATTGGTAACAACCCTTTTGTAAAAACGGTAGTGAAACAGCTTCATCAACAATTCATTCTAGCAATTGGATTGAGTCATTGTGGATCACCCGTATTAGAATATCGGTTGAAGACAAACCGTTTTCCATTATGGTCTTTGCTTTACTTTGCAAGTTATATACCCCTGGCTTTAGCTTTCTGGGGTCAGAATAAAAAGATAGTAAGGCTATACTTCTTTACCGCTGTTTGTGTCCTATGCGCAAAGACCTCTTTTACATGTTTCCAGATCTTTACCGCTAGCGCTGAAATTCCAAATCATAAGCCCAAAACTGAATCCAGCTACACGTATCCTTCTTTACCGGGTTTTTTACTAGGATCTTTTTTTTCTGAAACTCGAGATGTCGAGTCGTGGATATATTTTTCAAGTTGGATTCTCATATCTTCATATACGAGCTATGTATATATTGTTTCAGGGTGGAGAAAATTCAAAGATAAGACGAAACAAATGTATTTTGATAACATGAAAGTCCTATCAAATGCTGATGATGGTGATAATGAGGATAGTGGAGAATCCAATGAGGGAACACTTGATGAAAGCAGGGCTGATAATCAAGGATGAGACGTGTTTTTCATCACATTCAAGAGCTATTCCGAATAGCCATGCCCTAGGACACAATATTCTTGGCCACGGAATATATATATAACAATATTTAGCCCAATTAGCCTCTGGTAGCTAGGCTGGTAAAATACACTGGTATACATAATAGAGTACAAAAAAAGTTCACTGCAGAAGGCAAGGCATGAATTGTAGAGGGGTAACTGAACTCAGCAACTCATGCGTGAATAATTACATCAGACAGGTCATCAGTTTTCTCAATATGAAGGCCTTCTTCATTTGCAATATGCAACATACAAATAAAAAAAAACGATGTCGACAAATCAGATTTCTCCCTTCCTTGGTATTTTTTGTACGTATCTTTCACAATATCAGATAATTTTAGGTCACTGGCTTTTTCTTTTTCCGACAAAAATGAAGACTCATTTTTTATCTCTGTTACATGTTGCTGGGTAACATTCCAAAGATTTTGCTTTAGCAAACGAACATTAATTTTTTTGGATCTCTTTTCAAAATGAATACTGTCTGTATGCCAAGATGGTTTAGCTGCTTTGATCACATCAGTTCCTAATGAACCAGGTATCTGGCTATTAGGTCCAGTTTCGTCACTGACCAATTTCTGGTCGTCAATTGGAGCATCAAAATCATAAACACCCGGATCAAAACCGCCATCAAACTCGTCAACAGCGTTTTCGTTATTCACACTAGAATCAATGTTTTCCTCTAAAGGTTTGTCCATCACCTCATATAAAAAATCTGCGGCATCCTGATCAATTTCCTCGGATGGCTTTGTAGTCTTGTCATTATATTTAGCAGCCCAAAACTCACGGTCGGCATACAATGCAGAGGCTGAAGATGTCCTTTTAGTGAAAACGTTCCTCAGCCTTCGCTTCGGTTTCAGCAATGATTTGACCAATCTCTCGGAACTCCACGATTTCAAATCTGGTAAAGTGGTCATTTCGGAGTTAATTTGATCGGGATTCAATGATCTCAACGGACGTGCTGCTTTCTTGAAAAGAATCGAAGTATCAGCATCCGTGGAATCGTTCATGAAGTCAATAATATATTCTTTTTTTTTCATTTTCTTGATTTCTTTGATCGATTTAGTATTTTTGGAAATTGAATTAGAAGCGGAGTCACCTTCGTTGTTGGTAAATATGGATTCCTTGTCATTCTCACCAGCTATCCTTGAGTTTGAGTTGATAGCACGTATTTTCCAATGTTGGCGTTTTCTTACGCTGGGTATCTTATCTAATTCTGCCATCAAAATTGACTCTTTTTTTATGACTTCCTCTTCATCAAGGAAAGGTTCATTAGCATTAAAACCGTTGTCATTGTACAACTTATAGTTTTCAGGGTTTGCAGAGGAGTTCCCTGTGCTCAAATTGGTGACTTCTGAAAGGTTGAAATTGTTCACAGAGTCTACGTTGTTATCGTTCAAATCAAAATTATCAATATCATAATCATACTCCACATTAAATTCTGGAGTGTCGAGATCGAGTTTTTTCTCATCTTCTTTCATTCTTTGGTTTATCTTGTTGACAAACTGCTTGCCATACTCTACATCTTCTATACTGCTCTTGATTTCTGTAATCTCATGACAAATATCCAATGAGTCGAATCTTGGGTCTCGAACAACATTTTGATATATGTGCAATAAATCAATTGTCATTTCTTCGTCTTTCAGATCAACATCGGCAATTGTAGGTTTACCATTGGTCGTCTCCATTTGGTCGTCTATGTTTGCATTATTTTCTGGTTTCACTGTGAAGTCAACTGAAGAACTAAGATCGTGTCCATCAGAAGCAGAAGATGTGGTTGTTGTATCATCAAATACAACACGTCCTTCGTTTGACATTCTAAGACTATTTAACAATAACGATTTAGCTCCCCCTTCGTCAAAATCTGCAAGCATTTTACGAAAAACAGGATCAATAGTGGCAAATTGGATATGGCGATCGTTGAATTTGAGCTTTTCCATTGATAGAAATTTGTCCGCTTCCCTTCCTGTTTTATCCTGGCGACTTTTCTTGCTCCCTTGATAATCGGGGTCATTCTGATTGTCATCATCTTCATCGTCTTCCGCTCTGGATTTCTTTTTTCTGGATTTGGAGTCACTGTTTATAGCTAGTATTTGAATCAACGCATCAGTATCAACCCCTACCGAATCTACTCGTTTGGAAATGACTTTCGTGCAACCGTCCAAAGTTGCAGAAGCCATCTGGAAATTGATGGATACACCATCGTCTGATTTCAAATGATTCATATCGTAAAAATATTCAATGAGCTTCACCTCCCATGTATTAACATTGTTGATTTTATTGTTTGTAACCAATTTGATAGCGTTCTCAAAATCCTCTTTGCTCAGTACCATGAGGTTGTCATCATCGTCATCATCGTCCTTTGCCTCATTCCTGTCACCTATCCGGAGGTGTTCCGAATCTTTTTTTGCTGTAGATGACCCTAAACTGGGTACCCTTTTTCTCCCCGGGGCATCTCTAGGGGATCTATGTCTTTTTGATCCTTGATATGGGCCTGCCATATTACTCTCCTGTTGAAATAAACGAAGGTCAGATAAACTTTTTCTTTATTTACCTTTGACATACTTTTGGTGTATCTGCGAAAAGCTGCAGTTTTCACCGGCTCAGAAAAAGGAAAAAACAGAGGAGCGATTATTTTGCTGAGGAGATTTTTGTATATTGATTTGATGAGCTGTCGCAGTTTGGATAACGTGTCACTGTGTTTACACCATTCAAGATTAAAAAAAGAGTAACAAAGCTGTACCAAAGCACGCCAGACATTTGCCATGTGTGCAGAAGACGAGTTTGCATCTACTGCAACTATCAAGCAAATTTTTACTAGATTGCAGAAAAACCCTGCCAATCGACAATGTTTTGACTGCAATGCGAAAAACCCTACCTGGACATCGATTCCTTTTGGGATCTTCATATGTCTGCAATGTAGTGCCAACCACAGAAATATGGGTGTGCATATCTCGTTTGTTAAGTCTTCGGTTTTGGATACAAAATGGACTAACAAACAGTTGAGAAGCATGAAATGTGGTGGGAACGACCGTTTTAAGGAGTACATCAACAAAAACGGTGGCTCAAGTATATTGAGAAGTGAGCCTAAGAAAATATATGATTCTTCTGTTGGTTCGAATTACAAGGAGAAACTGGAGAAGAGAGTTGAGAACGACACCAAAAGGCATCCAGAAATTTTAGAATGGGACGATGCCGATTCTATTGAAGCAAGTGAAGAGGAGAGTTCAGCTGCTGGTGATGATTTTTTCTCTAAGTGGGACAAGCCAACTAATACACCATCACCTTTGACCTCAAGAGCATCAACTCCTCCTGTCAACAATTCTACCACTTCTTTGAATGACGAAAGCACAAATGCAAAGGCTAAAACTACCCCAGCTAGAAGAGTCGTCAACAAGACTGCCAAGGGCAATAGTATATTAGGGAAGAAGAACATTTTGGGTGCAGGTTCTAAAAACAAGGCCAAACTGAACATCAAAAAGGTTGCATCTGACGATATCGATTTTGATGAATTCGAGAAGGAGGCAAAGAGAGAAGAGCAAGAAATCAAGAATTTGGGATACAATCCAAACGACAATCTGAAGGCCACCACGGCCACTCCTGACACTTTTGCATCTGCCACTACCAAGAAAGGTCCAATATCCCTTTTTGACAAACCGGAGGCAAGTCAGTCAAAAACTGCTTCATTGGCTTTATCAGGAAACCCATCTTCTGCCAAAAAGAATGATGTTGAAAGTACCAGACAGAGCTTTGCAAAGCTCGGTTTCGGTATGACTGCCTCTACTGCACCAACTACTTTGGATGCTAACCAAGGTAAGAAGTACAAAGATGTCCAGTATACTGGTGACGTTGAGAAGAGATTTGGCACTCAAAAGGGTATCTCCTCAGACCAGTTCTATGGTGTTGGGAACTACGATGAAACCAAAGCCCAGGAGGCTAGAACGAAACTTCAGTCTTTCACAAATGCACAATCGATCTCTTCGTCTGACTATTACGGGGAAGATGACACTGCGCAGTTCAGACAGAACAACGGAGGTGGGGATGTCGAGCAGCAAGTGTTGGAGTTTGCTGAGAAATACATGGGAGACGATTTCAATGCACTCAAGGGTGCCTTGGAACAAGGTGCCGAGAAATTTGGCGGTTATCTTCGTGATGTATTGAGAAACTGAAGAGTATAGGCGCCTATTTTCTGAACTATATCAAACTATATAAATAATGTAAAGCGTATTTGAAAGAAAGAAGTTGCAAAATTTCAAAAGATGTGGCACGCAAATGCTCCCCGGCATCAATCACAAGGTTGTGGTGTGTTCGAGATCAATGAGACAACAGAGAAAATAGGGTATTGCAGAGAATTAGGTGATTTTTGTTTTTGGCCATCTGCGGAAATTCTGGCGAGCAAATGATTCCACTCGGCTTTCAAGGTGGGGCGGATACACTTTCAGGGAACTTGGTGAACTTTGGGCTTCGTTAAGGTACTTGGTTGTATTGTTTGGCAAAGAAGTAAATCAGAAGAACGCCAACAAAGAAGAAGCATGTCAGAGTCAGTAGCAGTGATTGGTGCGGGCCTTGTTGGGGCGTTAGTGGCTTTGGGCTTGGGTCATCGTGGATACAATGTGACGCTGTTCGATCTAAGAGATGATCCGAGAACGGCAGGAACAGCAATCAAGAAGAACTTGCGCTCAATCAACTTAGCAGTCAGTGACCGTGGAATACGTGGCTTGGAATTTGTAGATTCAGAAATGAGTGCTCGGGTGTTGAAGGAGATCATTCCGATGCACGGGCGGATGATTCACACGCTAGATGGGAAACAAGAGAGCCAAATATATGGGTTATTTGGGGAGCACATCAACTCTATCGACCGAGCAAAATTGAACGAGAGCTTGCTCGATGAAATCGACACTTTCAACAAGACAGCTGTGAATCAAATCAAACTCAAATTCGAGCATAAGCTTGTAAATCTCAACTTCAATACCAGAGGAGCATCTGTCGAATGCGAGGTTAGATATGGTGTCAAAAGAAGTTTTGATTTTGATTTTGTCATTGGTGCAGACGGCTCGTATTCAAACGTTAGATACCAGATGCAAAAGTACATACGTATGGACTACTCGCAAGAGTACATCGATAAATGCTATTTGGAGTTGTATATTCCGCCAGGTGAGAATGGAGCTTTTTTGCTCAATCCAAACCATCTTCACATTTGGCCGCGTAAAGAGTTCATGTTGATTGCCTTGGCGAATAGCGACGGGTCATTTACGTCCACCTTTTTTGGGCCTTGGAGTCTGACAGAAGCGCTGAAGAAGGCGGAGGACATTGAGACGTTCTTTCTATCAAACTTCCCTGATGCTGCTGACCTCATCGGTATGGAAAATGTGGTAAAGGCTTTTACAGGCAATCCCAAGGGTGCACTAATGCAAGTTACATGCAGTCAATACCATTTTTCAGACAAATGCATCATTCTCGGGGATGCCACACACTCAATGGTACCATTTTATGGCCAGGGTATGAACTGTGGGTTTGAGGACGTGCGAATCTTGTTAGGGCTACTAGACGAAAAGGAGACCAGGGAGGCAGCATTTGATACGTACACCGCAAACAGGCACAAGGATCTTAAAGCCATTCTTAAGTTGGCGCTCGATAACTACAAGGAGATGTCCACTAAGGTTATCTCATCGGCATACTTGTTGCGCAAAACACTAGACAGCTTTCTGGGGAGACTTATCCCGCAGTACTGGATTCCTCTATACACGATGGTGTCCTTCAGGGGAGACATTCCATATTCCCAGTGCGTTAGACGGGAAAAAACCCAACAGAAAATTCTCAAATGCATCGAGCTCGGTTCGATAACGGTCGTTGCTATTGCTGCATACTGGAAGTTCAAGAAATAGAAGATGATTACGATCTGGAGCCGGTCCAGCCCCGTCGCAACTCGTGTAAATAATCTCCATAGTTCTATAACTGATGCAATAGCTCTGTAACTGATGCAATAATGTCTACTCCGAAAATGACTCTTATCTACAACTCACCCTTCCTCCTTCCCCGGCGCCAAATATGGCTGACCAGGTGGTCGTCTCCAATTGGGTAACTGCTGACCGCCGGTACCGGGCTGGCGCCTGCGCTCCGGTACCGGAGGACGCCCATTCCGGTTTTTTGCCGGTTTTTTTTCATTTTCCGGCATTTTTTGCTTCCTCGAACATGTTAGTAATCTGTCTCCGCAGTATCATATATATAGATGCTTCCCGTCCGTTCTTTTTGTGACGGTGCATGCAAACACAAATCTTCTACCCGTCTTGAAACAACCTTCGAGTAGTTTTTAACAGCAAAGAAAACTCAGAAAGTAATAGACCATCTATAATGTCAACGCTTTACGACAAGGTCTTCAAAGATCACATTGTGCACCAGGATGATTCTGGCTCTTGTTTGATCTACATCGACAGACATTTAGTTCACGAGGTGACTTCTCCACAGGCTTTTGAGGGCTTGAAGACTGCCAGCAGAACTGTGAGAAGACCAGATTGCACTCTTGTCACGGTTGACCACAACATTCCAACAATTTCAAGAGTAAACTTTAAAAATGTGAGTACCTTCATCGACCAGGAAGATTCAAGACTTCAAGTTGAAACCTTAGAACAAAACATCAAGGACTTCAATTTAGCGTATTTCGGTATGACTGACGACAGGCAAGGTATTGTCCACGTGGTGGGTCCAGAACAAGGGTTCACTCTTCCAGGTACTACTGTTGTATGTGGTGATTCCCACACCTCCACCCACGGTGCATTCGGTGCATTAGCCTTTGGTATTGGTACCTCCGAAGTCGAACACGTTTTGGCAACACAGACTCTCATCCAAGCAAAATCGAAAAACATGCTTATTAGAATTGATGGTGAACTCATGCCAGGGGTGACGTCCAAGGATTTGGTGCTCCATGTCATTGGTGTCATTGGTACTGCTGGTGGTACAGGTTGTGTCATTGAATTTGCTGGTAAGGCTATCCGTGACTTGAGTATGGAAGCTAGAATGTCCATCTGTAATATGGCTATTGAAGCTGGTGCAAGAGCAGGTATGATTGCCCCAGATCAAATTACATTCGATTACATAAAGGGAAGGCCATTGGCTCCAAAAGATGCAGAATGGGACAAAGCCATCAACTACTGGAGCTCATTATATTCAGATGAAGATGCGAAGTTTGACAAGGAGGTAATCATTCAGGCAAAAGATATTGTTCCAACCATTACTTGGGGTAACTCTCCTCAGGATGCTCTTCCAATCACAGGCAAGATTCCAGATCCAAAGGATTTCACGGATCCAATAGCTAAAAGTGGTATTGAAGCTGCTCTCAACTACATGGGTTTGACCCCAAATACCCCATTACAAGATATCAAAATTGACAAAGTTTTCATCGGTTCATGTACAAACTCTCGTATTGAAGATTTGAGAGAGGCTGCTAAAGTTGTAGTAGGTCATAAGAAGGCAGAGAACATCAAATTGGCTCTAGTCGTCCCAGGTTCAGGTTTGGTGAAAAAGCAAGCTGAGACTGAAGGTTTGGATAAGATTTTCGAGGCTGCAGGCTTCGAATGGAGAGAAGCAGGTTGTTCAATGTGCTTAGGTATGAACCCCGATATCCTTGATCCATATGAGAGATGTGCTTCTACCTCCAATAGAAACTTCCGTGGTAGACAAGGTGCCCTTTCGAGAACTCATTTGATGTCCCCTGCTATGGCTGCAGCCGCAGGTATTATTGGTCACTTCACAGATATCAGAAACTTCCCATACAAAGAATCTAAAGATTCTCCAAAGATCCAGTTAGGTGGTGAGGAAGATAAAGAACTTCAGGATGCTGTTTATGCACATGAGAAAGCACCAATCCCAGCCAAGGAAACAGAATCTGAAAAACTTGCAGATGAGATCGATGATATCCCTCCAAACTCTCAATCCGCTAGTAAGGAAAAGCCAGCTGCAGTAGCAGCTTCTATGGAGAAATTCACTATTTTGACTTCTGTTGCTGCACCAATGGAGAAAGCAAACATTGACACAGATGCTATTATTCCAAAACAATTTTTGAAAACTATCAAGAGAACTGGCTTAAGCAAAGGTCTTTTTTACGATGCTAGATTCACAAAAGGCTCAGATGGTAAGGATGTTCCAACCGATTTTGTTTTGAACGTCGAGCCATATAACAAGGCAAATATCATCTGCTGTACAGGTGACAATTTTGGTTGTGGGTCTTCCAGAGAGCACGCTCCATGGGCATTAAAAGATTTTGGTATCAAATCCATTATTGCTCCTTCCTTCGGTGACATTTTCTACAACAATTCTTTCAAGAATGGTTTACTGCCAATCAGACTTCCACAAGAAGTGATCAAGGAAAAGATCTACCCAATTGCAAAAGCTGGAAAGCAAATCACTGTTGATCTAGTTGAACAACAAATTAGGGGCCCAGATGGTGATATTTTGGTAGAGAACTTCGAGGTAGAACCTTTCAGAAAGCATTGTTTAGTTAACGGACTGGATGATATTGGAATCACTTTAACCAAATCCAAATATATTGATGAATATGAGGCAAAGCGGAAAAATGTCTTTTCATTTATCGAACCAGGCTGTTCTGTCGTTATTCCTGTCAAGGGTACTAAGAAGTCCCCTTATGGTAACACTGCCCAAGAGTGGTAATGTTCTATTCATAAGCAAAAAAACTCATACATTCTTATCATTCATATTCTTTCTCTCATTGTATATCTACTTTACGAACCTCGTACATTCTCATATTTTTTTACAAAATCCCAATATTATACAAATTATCACATTACCCTAGAATGTCTTCACCGACAAAATACACTACTTATGAATTATAATGTCCTCATTATTACTCAAGGTCTCTAACGTTAATCCTTGTTCGTTGGCCAAGTGCAACAAGCAAATAAAACAGAAACTGGTGGATAAATCTCTTTTAGTTTTTGTGTTATATTTCAAGGACATCTTTTCAACCACGTTGGTAAATTGCATGGAATCGATATCCTCTCCGCTGTCAACGAAATCATCCATAGCTGGAGGACTCATGGTTGATGTCCTAGTAGTTGACTCTTCTGACCGCGTTGCTGACGATTCTACTTCAAGAGGAGTGCCTTCCTCTTGAACTTTATTTGAATAGCCTCCTCCATTACCTTCTTCTTCTTCAAAATGAGATGCGAAACGTTTCTTTTTGTGAATTGATATTTCTTCTATTGAATTCCATATATTTTGTTTAAGTAATTTTACATCAACTTTCTTGGATCTTTTGGCGTATGAAATCGCGTTGGTACGGTACAAGGTTTGAGGGTGGGCATTCATGTTTTCTGTGTTTCGAGGTTGCTCTTCAAATGGATTAGGCAATGGTACTTCAAATCCTTCTATACCGTTCGGGTCAAAGTCGTCATTATCGTTGAAACTTGAAGGGTGATCAATAGGATCACTAAAAATGGAATCATTCAAAATGTCATTATCATTTTCATCTCTGTAGGCCTGAGCAAAAAACTCTTCACTTGCAGGAATGTTGTCAAGTTCTCTTTCTTCAAACGTGTTTTTTCTTTTCTGCATCAAAACTGATTTAATCAACTGGTTAGGCTTCGTGCTCAAAAATGCAAGACGCTTGGCAGTGAAAGGTGCATCACTATCAAGAAGATGTCTTCCAGACTTCCTTTCCTTTTCGGTGAGCATGATCTTGGACAGATACTCAGTAGAAGCAAAGAGTTCTTCCTCATTTGGATCATTTTTGTCAGACAAAAAGTCAATTAAAACCACATCTTTCTTTTTATTGTACGCTCTTGAAGTAGATTTCTGACTATATTTACTAGATCTATTATTATGAGTATCCTCTTCATCATTGTCAATTTCATTAAATGTTCTATTATTGCTGGTAGAGCGTTTTAATCTTGCAATTTTCCAGTAAAGTCTAGGCCTCGTTCCAATACTATCGTAAATTTTGATCATGTCGATGTCCGTTTTATCAGGTTTCGTCGCATCTATTAGATCCTTCTCTCGTATCTTGCCTTGTTCTCTTTGTCTATTTTCATCAAAAAGATTAGTGAAGGTTATATTGTGACCTGACTCGTCTGGATCTTCGACACCATCAATGTATAAAGAATATTGGGTACGTTTAGAAACATTTGACATTTTATCACTTTCATTGCTATTATTGTCACTAGACTCAGCCATATTAATATCAGGATCATGCATAAAGTCCGGTTGTGCATTGTCATCAAAAGTATCATTAATATGACCTTCTATGTTAAGTCTTCTATCATTTTCAATCCTAGACACATCAACCTCATCCATGTATTCCAACAAGTTCGCAGGATCGGTTTTACCATTGGATATTTCATCCAATTCTTTCAGCGAGGGGCACACATCAAGCGAATGGTTGATGATATCAAAGTCAACAAGGCGTTTCAGCAAGTTTATATCAATTGAGTCCTCACAGTCTCCACGTGTTGGATCACTACCTCCATGGGCCTCATCTTGGGCACTTTCTTTTCCATCTTCGTCCTCTTCACTGTCATCTTCTATAATCAGCTCTGTATCATCAGCGATATCAAAAACAACTTTGCTTTCCCTGGAAAGTCTTAAGATATTATTCAATAAGCTCTTTGCACCTCCTTCATCAAAGTTGGCCAACGCATTTTTGAAGACTGGATCAGGTTTAACGGGTCGGTCTTGGTCTTTAATCTTGATTGTATTGAAAGAGGGAGCAAGATAGGTATGTTTCTTCTTGTTTTTGCTTTTGGATTTAGATTTTGAATTTCCTCCCGTAATTATTGTTCCATCATCGGGCGCATCGTCTGAGAGCTCGTCGTCGCTATCATCTTCGTTCTGATTTTCCCCGTCGTCATCATTGTGGGACCCCGCCTGATTATTCTTGTTCAAATTTCCAGCTCCAGATGCCGGAGGTGCATGATTATTGCTGCTACTAGGACGGCTAGAAATCGTGTTTTGTTTTGATTTGATGTTAAGAGACGATAATAACGTACCTGTATCTTTAGCCGCTGAGTCAATTCTATGTGAATAGATCTTCATGCATCCATCTAAAGTCGTGGAGGCTTTTTGGAAATTCACCCCGTCACCTTCTCTTAGGACGGTGAAATCATGAAAGTAGTCAATCAAAGCAAAATTCCATGTATTGTTGGTATTGATTTTGTTGTCTGTGGCCATTCGAATCCATAGCTCAAAGTTTTCGCTCGACACTGGAACACTATCCGGATCTTCTGCAATACCTGTTCCTAGTGAGTCGCCACTCATTTTGATTTGGCCGCTATCAGAACAGCTGGAGACGGTATATGGGATGTAGAAAGATCGATGGTGTAAGCAATATATCAGATCTGCTAGTGTGTACTAGACCTCCGAGGGTAGTAAGTATTTTCGAGCCTAGTCTCTTTTTGGCTGCCCGGACAATCTCTATGGCAGAAGTTATTAGTGTGATAAACAAAGAAATGTTCTTTCTTCTTTCCACCGTTTCTCAGCATCCGTGTTATATCAACGTGAAACGTAAACAAAACAGCAGGCTGGGCCATATTCATGCAGCGAATACTCTCCCAATTCCGCTTTCAGCAACTTTCTCTGCTTGTTACGTAAGCGCCTCCCACTCAAGTCCGCATCTCAGCCATTTGACAGCTAATCATGTTAAAAAAGTAATCATTTTCCATTTTCGGAAACTGGTTGAAGGTATCGTGTAGAAGATCGAATCAGCAAGACAAAAAGGGAATAATGTGATAGCATCGCAAGTTTGCAAAAATTATAAAGCTCAGCTGGCAGGTTCTAGGGGATCTCTAGCAAGGCACTACCAGATGTGAAATGAGACTTCCTTTGCAAAGAAAAGAACACCTGGTCTCCAGCTACAACACTAGGTAGAAAGTACAAGAACGTTTTGGAAAACTAGGATTAATCTGCTATGGACAGAAAAGGTCTTGAGATTGTCAAGTTTTTGCTTGATTGGCACGATTTGCTTACAGAGCCACCGGTCAATGGATTGATTCCTGAAATATACTTCTGTTTCGTTTGTTCTGTGTACAGCAAGGGGAAAGACAAGGTGTCTTGGCTACAGTTTATGAAGTACCTCCGTCTTATTGACAAACTCTGTAGTGGATACACTCTTGTTTGTGTGCCAAGTAACGCCTTGAGCCAGCATTATGAGGATTTGTTTCGTTGCTTCGATAAAATTTCCTACATCAACCGGTTATCCTTGGCGTTGCTCTTGAGAACTACACAGTCGCTCAATTATGCTTACGTTCCGCCATCGTCGTCCGATTCGAACCGCCAATCTAATAGCCCATCGCCCTCTGTTTTGTCCACGAGCTCTGTCAGTACTACAGCATCTGTTTCGGCCTCAGTGTCACTTGGGGGACTGTCCGCGTTCAACGATCCCTCTTATATGAATCAGCCTCCCTCTTCATCTTCTTCATCAGAAGACTACAATGGTTTTGAAAGCAATAGGCAGAACTGTGACGAAAGTTTAGACTTTGAAGCGGTCGAAAACGTTGATCTACATATCAAAAGAAAGTCATTGAACGAAGTTAACTACCAAATTCCAGCCAATAAAAATGAGAGGCTAAAGTACGTGCTGAACCTAATTGATGGGGAAAAGCCGATTGTCTCTGAAAATGACATTTACCCTATCAAGATGATCACGAACAAAAAGCTAATCCCGAAAGATATCAATGATACCTACACTTTGACTACCAAATCTAATCGATTGGAGCAACTCGAATATTTGCTCAACACCGAGTGTTCATCTCATAACCTACAGAGGGAGCGTGCACGGTTGAGGACTCCTGTTCTTCCCTTTTATGAGTGCTGCGAAGACAGTGAGCACGCCGCGTTATTATCTTCGTTGATCACTTTTGACAAAAGCACCAGCTTTTGTAGGTTGAATGAGGATAAGCTGAAAAAACTTATCTACGAGAGCAAAGACCGGGTCAACCAAAAGTTTCACCAGGTATATCGATGCGTCGAAAGCAAGATGCATTTTATTCCGATCATCCAATCTCAAACAGACTTCAAGCTGGGTGACTGTTCGTATTTGGACACATGTCATAAGATATCCAACTGCAGATACATCCATTATGGACAGTTGATGCCATTGCATTTCAACCCCGATCAGGGTGCATCTGCGGGTAACGCCGACGAGGACGCCAAAATGAAAGAGCTGTATGAGATCAAGGAGAACATCAGGATCTGGGACTTCACCAGAGGCGAGCCGGCATGCAGCTACTTGAGCTGCGAACTTCCTCCGCAATGGATCAACTGCGACTTGATGAACATTGATTTCGAGGTGTTTGGCAGCGACTTTGGGGTGGTCATCGCCGACCCCAGCTGGACGATCCACATGAATCTCAACTACAGCAGTCTGAAGGACGACGAGTTGTTGTCCTTGCGCATGGACAAGTTGCAGCGTGAAGGCCTGTTCTTGTTGTGGGTCACCGGCCGCACCATCGAGACGGGGCGGGAGTTTCTCCGCAAGTGGGGCTACAAGGTGATCAACCAGATCACGTGGATCAAGACCAGCCAGTTGGTCCGCACAATCAGCACCGGGCGGACCGGCCACTGGTTGAACCACTCAAAGGAGCACCTCCTCGTTGCCACCAAGGGCAGCGTGAAGTGGATCAACCGTGCCATCGACTCGCAAATCATGATCTCCTCCACGAGAGAAACTTCCCGCAAGCCCGACGAGATCTACGGTATAGTCGACCGGCTCGTCGGCGCCGGCGTCCGCAAGCTTGAGATCTTCGGCAGACAGCACAACACTCGTCCGGGCTGGTTGACCGTCGGGAATCAGCTAGAGGGGACCCGTCTTGTAGAAGGAGAGTTGATCAAACGTTACAGCGCCTGGCAGAGCCGATCGTCCCCCGCTGCTGTTGGAGCCTGAGGCAAGTGAGCCAATGAAAATCGAGCGAAAGTCGGCGCTCGCCGCCTTCTTTTGCGTTGGGCAGACGGGCCGGGTGGTGAGACCAGTGGATTAGGTAAGCGGTCCAGAAAAACGAGAGATTGTGGTGTGTTGCAGCAGTGACGGTGACGGTGAGGAGGGAGAGAGGAGGGAGAGAGAGTGTGTCAGACAGAATTTTGCTTGTTTTGTGGTGTTGTATATCGTTTTGTATACGGCGTAGGATACGCCCCTATAGAGAACATAGGTGCAAACACACACACACAAACACACACACAGAATGTTCAGAACAGTTGCAAAGAGACAAGCAAAGGTTATTGGCAGAAGATTCCAATCCAACCTCGACAAGCCAGCATTCACTGCTGACCCAGCTAAGGGTGCCGAGTTCGCCAAGCACCTCGAAGCCGTCGAGCACCACGCCGACGCCTCCTCCGCAACCTGGAAGAAGGTCTCTTTCCTGTTGGCCGCCCCAATCATCGCCATCACTGCCGTCAACACCTTCTTTGTCGAAAAGGAGCACGCAGAACACAGAGAACACACCAAGCACTTGTCCGACGAAGAATGGCCTGTTCCTAAATACCAATACTTGAACGTCAGAAAGGTCGATTTCTTCTGGGGTGACGGTGACAAGACTCTTTTCTGGAACTCAGACTGTAACAGACACATTAGAGACTAGATTAGCCTGACCTGAATCTCTTCGCTATGAATCCAACGTCACCAATGCTATAAATTATTATTATCACTATCATTATTATTATTATTATTATTATTATTATTATCACTATTAAAAAAGCCATCAACATCTACCTTCCATCATTGTTATCAAAATTATTATTATTATTACTATGATTTTCATCCTTCATCAATTGGTCAAGCTTAGTAGCAGCCTCTTTTACTTCTTTTTTTTTCTGAGAAATGGACAGCTATGAAACGCATCTGCGCAAGCGGATCAAGCAGTTTTGCTTTCTGGAAAACTTCTTTAAAATTTCTTATATATTGATAATAACAAGAAAGAGAGAAAAGACAAAAAACACCTGTAGGTTTTAGTAGGTTATCGATACAACAGTATAAATCGATCATTAAACATTATCGCTTACATCGACTCAGAGTGCCGAAAATATATATAAATTATTCGTTGCAGCAATTGCCACAGAGTTCTCCATAGGGTGCCAGCTCAAATGCAGGATGGACTTCTTGAAGTCGATTGAATCCGGATCGAACTTATTTAGCATCGACAAGTTCTTACGTTTGTTCGAGTTCGACTTTTTGACTTTGAATGCCGATTTGTCGGCCTGCAGTACAATCTCACGTTCATTTTCTTGTTCTTGTATCGTACATTCGGGGCTAACTGAGTTTTGGTAAATCATAAAATTGTTATTGTATGATCCAGTCATAACGGATTTACTATCACCACTAAATTGGACTTCGAATTTATCGAAAATCGCATCGTTTTCGTAAGTGTCACAAAGACGCTCTCTCAATTGTTCATGGATGTTAATTGTTTTGATTGGCTCGGTTTCCATATTGATATCCCAGATCTTGACAGTCATGTAGTCTCTACTTGCAATATAACGTCCGTTGGAACTGAACTTGACATCTGATATCGATGACGTGATTTCCGTAAAGAAATTATGGTTCGAAGGATCCACATACTCCTCAAAGATCTTCGAGTGGTTGTCACATAAGGAGTTCATCCTCATATCATTGAGCTTTATCATACCCTTTGACGATGAATACATGAACAGGTTACAATCCAATGGATGGAACTCTGCACTGGTTATGACTTCGGTCAACTCTTCCATGTTGGCTGGCTTGATATCGACAATGTTGAAAGACTGGTCCTCAATACCCAGGTTCCACAAATTGACCCTCAAATCATCACTGGAAATGAAGGTTTCTTGGTCGGAGTTCACACTTATCGAGTTGATGTGGTAGGCATGGGCGTTGGCATAGACTTTCTTCGGTTGGGCGGCTGTTATTGTATCGTGGTAAGTCAATCTTGGCAACTTTATCTCTGCCATTGTGGCACTGTTGGAATCTATAAGAGCTGTTACTAGATTGGGGTTGGTTTGGAAAGAGGATAACTGTCTGGTAATGTTTGCTGTTGATTTGGGAGAGAAGTTGCTCAATTCGTCGTTGTTGTTGGAGTTGTTTTCGGACACTATTTTGATCTGCTTTTCGAAAACTTTCCAAAGCTTTATGGTCTTGTCATTTGTGGAGAGAAGAAACTTAGACTGATTAAATCTTTTTAACCATTTGATTTTATTTATCTTTTCTTCAATCTCGAGGGACTTCAAGTAGTCGAACTCTGCGTCGTGACTCTGGAACTCGGTGTAAAACCTGTACTCGCAATTCTTCTTCGTTTCGTTTCTCTCAAACAGAACGACACGGCCACCTCTGTCACCGGTGGCTAAGAACTCTCCCGTGTGATCGAACTCCACGGTGGATATTATGTCTGCTTCTGTTATATTTTCTATGTCGCCTTTATCGCCAAAGCACTGGCTGAACTTCCAATTAGGTTCCTCCATTGTGTGTGGTTGTGTTTGATGCGTGCTGTTTCACTGCGTTGTGGATATTGTACACTGGGTGTGGGGTTGAATTGGCCTGTCAGACGGAAAAAGGTATCAACGGACGTTTTATGTGTGTGGCAAGAGGACGAGGGGCTTTGTGATGAAGAGAAGGGGTGGCCTGGTTACGTGGGTGCTGGATCAAAGATACGTAGTAAAGAGACGACTGTTCTATTATGCTGCGGAGAAGTCAATGGGTGCACGGAGATGTTGGGTGGTCGCTAAGGAGACGTCGGTGCCACGGTCTGTGCTGCTGCTGCCTCTTGTCCCAGCGCCTGCAATCTCCATCACATCGCCAAATGGAGGAGCAAATCGTTGACGGCGACGCTTTTTTTCTTGACGGGGAGAGGAGCGGGGCGAGGACAGGGGGAAAAGGAGCATTACGTAATAAAACCAGGGGAATTACGCAACGCGGTGGATCAGTAGCAGCCCGGATTGGTCTGTGTCTAGTATTCAACAAGATATATAGATATTATGATGATATATAGAGTTAATAGTAAGAGAGGGAGATATACAATCACGTCGTAGAAAATTCAAACGGAAACACTTAAGCTCTCTTGGCAGCGTCGGCTGGAGAGACTCTCTTGGCGTTTTGGTTGAATCTTTGTCTGACAGGAGGAGCTCTGACCTTTCTGTTGGTTCTGGATCTGACTCTGACGATTCTAGAGTGGATGGCACAGGAGACACAGTAGTGCAACTTGTTGAACATCTTTGGGATTGGGTATTCGTCGTAGACAGAGGCTTCGGAGATGTCTCTGACGGCGGCGGCTTCAACCATGTTTCTGACCGTCATTCTCTTGATGGCCTTGTCCTTAGGGACGCATCTGGAGCAGTTGACACATCTGACTGGCTTGACGTGTCCTCTACCGCTCTTGTTTCTACCGTTGGATGCTCTCTTCTTTGGCATTTTCTGTGGAGATGAAAGGAAAGGGGGGAAGGGGGGATGTTAGTACGTGTTGTGCGGGGTCATGGTGGGGAGTGGGCGTTTCCGGCGGCGGTATCATGTCATGTCCTTGCGTGGTGGGTGGCGCCAACCAGGCGATCTTTCGGTGCCCTGCAGCACACAGTCCTTTGCTCGTTTCTGTCATCGTGGGTGCATCTGCATTGATGTTCTGTGCTCCAGCGGTGCTCTGCAGCCGCTACGTTTTTCATGTTCTGTTTCTTTGGCAAAGCGTTTCCGCTATCCACTGTTTGTAATCGTTCGCCACTCTTTATTTGCGTTCTGCAACCTGCATTCTTCACTTTGTGCTTGGCATGCACGTCTCTTGTCTGATACCAATATTTCTTGCCGCCGTAGTGCCTCTTGATGGTGTCTGTACATACGTATCTGTGTCTTGAGTTGGCTTGTAATGACTCCTCTTGAACCTCTGTCCCCGTCCTCTGCCTTCTTTCTGTCACTACAAGATGAAAACCGCCGTCTATTTTTCACACCCTCCTCCGTCTCTCTCCCTCTGGCCCTGCCTCCCTCTCCCTCTCTCGCTCCCGCTACCCCCTCACACGCCCACTGGGCCCAGCTCGCGCTCGTTTTTCCCGAAACACAGTCACGCAGAACCGGCCCCGTCAGCCCTCTCAGCGCTCCATCTAGCCCTCGCTCTGCGCACGTGTGCGGCCGGCCCCGGTGTTTCCTCCGTGCACCGCGCCTACCGGACACGGCCAGCCAATCAGAGCTGGCACATTCGCAGACGCCCTTACAAATCAGATGATAACCGTCGCGTCCCGCCACAAACAGCGGGCGCTTACGTAACATGGAGTTCTCTCTAGTTGTGCGTTTTTTTCCTCTTTTCCTCTCGATGTGGTACAACAACGAGGCCGGCCAGACTGCTTGCAAACACAGCACATAGCGGCTGCTCCTTCTGGCTCGGTCCACGTAGACGAGGACAGCATATCGACACATATCGCCCGTCACCGACACACACAGCACACCCCACAATGTACGTATCCATCACACGGAGTGCAGGGCGGCCGAGAAGATGGCAGTTGAGACACACCCTGAGACAGGAAAGGCTCGCCACAGACACCTAGGAGAGAGGGGGCCGTTTCCCGTCATCGGCAGCATTTAACCTTAATTACAGTTACCTCGATGCCCCGCCAATTGTGGACTTGTTTTTCCCGCTAGCCAGGACGCCGGCATCGTTGCATGACATCGTCAAGCGGGCCAACAAGTGAGTAACTGTCGCTAGGAAGATGCTCCACGATGGCAGGGGCAGCCGCAAACGGAGCAGTCCACATCTCTATGGTACGTCCATGCTCAGTGAACTGCAAACTACAATTGCACCCCACATGGAACCATGTTTTCAGCGTCAATTCAAACAGCAGCCCAGTAACCAGTCTAGTAGGACACAGTTACTCCGATCCACAACCTGGCGATTGTCTCCTCTACTTCTATCTCCGCTTCTGCATTCTATTCCTCCCTTGTACCTTATGTTCACATACTAACATACATGTATCCTCTCGGATCCAACCGCGTAAAGCTCCCTTACACAGAATGTTCAGACAAACCCTCAGAGTCGCAAGATCTACAAGATTATTCTCCACCACTTCCCTTGCCAGAAACAACGCTCCAAAGGAATTCAAGACCGCAAAGACCCTTGCTGAAGTTGAAACCAAGTTTGACTTGATCGGTAAAGGTGCTCAACCAGGTGAAGTCCCAACTGATTTGGAACAAGCCACCGGTTTAGAAAGATTCGAATTGTTAGGTAAATTGGAAGGTATCGAAGTTTTCGAAACCGAACCATTAGACTCTTCCAGAAAGGGTACCATGGCCAACCCAGTTATGATCGACTCCTATGATGACTACAGATACGTCGGTTGTACCGGTTCCCCAGCAGGTGCCCACGTCGTCATGTGGTTGAAGCCAACCAAGGACAAGGTAGCCAGATGTTGGGAATGTGGTTCCGTCTACAAGTTGAACTACTTGGGTACCGGCGAAGACAGCCACCACTAAATCACTATTTAGTCTTTCAGATAAGATCAGATAACACCGGATATTATTTACTCTAACCTCCACCCCTACGTCCCCTCTTAAATAATTATAGAATAAGCAAAACATCAACAACATATGTGTCTCAGCGCATTCAAAAGGACAAAGGTTTGAAATAGCTACTTGGCTGTAACCTCTTTATCCATATCATCCATTTCCTATTATTATTATTATTATTATCATTATCAACACCACTATTATTATTATCACTACTACCATTATTATTATTATTTTATTTCTTCAGCTATTCATGCTACCTATGTATAGTTTCCTATGTATATATGGCCCTCATATGTAGTACTTTTTCCCCTTTAAATTATTGTTCCAAGCTTCTAATGCTCGTTGTCAGTTTTCTTCCCCGGTTTTCCCCACATTCCAACCACCCGCGTTGACATCACCGAGGTAAAAACGTCCGGTCTTCTCCACGAGATGTCATCTCGAAAACCCTAAACTTTCTCTGGCTTTGTACATAATTCAGCAAACAATCTTTGTACCGGTAAAGATCCATTTTTGGCTCAGCATGTCAGCGTTTACAAAACCAGTGATAATATCGCTTTTTCCTATTCCAGAAGCGATTCTTAACCATACACAGCTCCTGAACAAATACGATGTCGTGAAATACCAGCTAACGACACCTTCAGATTTCGAAAGCGACATGAGTAAGGAGCCATACAGGTCTGCTATTGCAATTTTTGGCTCTTACCCTGGCTTTAAACCAATTGGCGGACTCGAAGAGCAGTCCCTCATTGACGCGTTGCCGCCAAACTTGAAAGTTATTGGATTATGCAGTGCAGGTTACGATGGTTACGATCTGCAGCATCTATCTTCGAAAGATATCAAACTATGCAACGTTCCAGTTGATAAATATATTGCTATGGACGTTGCAGACTGTGCCTTGTGGCACGTCCTTTCTGGTATCAGGAAGTTCAATAGCTGGGATAGACTGACGAGAATCAACACGACAGAGGATAATCATTCACATACATTGAAACTTCGTGATAAAGTTAGAAATGATTTTGTTAAGCCAGGAGAAAAACAAGTAGGGTTTGCTTTTGGCCATATCTATCATGGTCAACCTGTTAGGCGGGTCTCTGGCAGGAAATGTGTTATTTATGGCTATGGTCTCATTGGCAAAGCTGTAGCAGAAAGAATGATCACCATTGGAATGGAGGTAAATGTCGTCATCAGAGATAAATCAAAATACCAAGACTCCGACTTCTTTTTTTACTCTTCCTCAAGTCCGAGCGAAGTAGAAAAGGCTACGCAGGGCGCAAATGTCATTGTGGTGTGTTTGCCGGGTGGTAAAGACACTTTTAATTGCATTAATAAACAAACTTTTGATAATGTTGGTAGTGATTGTGTTGTTGTGAACATCGGTCGTGGATCATGTATTGATACTGAGGCGTTAAAAGCAGCAATTGAATCAAATAAGGTCTCACATGTCGGTCTGGATGTTTTCCCGAACGAACCAATCATTGAAGCCTACTGGCACGATGAAAAAGAGGTCAATTCATCATCCAATAGATTCTACACAACTTCAGTCACCCCACACTTGGGAAGCAGTACTATTGATACCCTGGAATTTGCATCCTTCACATGCATAGAAAATATAATGATAGGGATAGAAACAGGACAATTCAAAAATGTTGTCAATGAAAAATGATCCGAAAAAAACTTTTATTCCAGGATGTAAAACTTTCAACTGAGAAACTTTTATTTACTTGTCTTTATATATCTGCTTATAGGAAAGATATTGAAGAGCTATCCATTCACCAGTCATTCAATCAATTACACAGAATGAATATCTTCTTTAACATCCTTCATGATGCTCCAATACTCACGATAGATCTCCTTCCATGCCTCAACACTCTCTTCACAAACCCTCGCTGCAAACTTCCTCTCCTTTTGAAGAAGTTGTGAAACTTTACTGTGTTCTTCCGTAACGATAGATGAAAAAAAAGTGGCGGCTTCTTCTTTGCACTTAAAATCCGCCTCGTCGGCCATCTTTGTAAACCAATTAGGACCCTCTTGATCTTTGGAGTTCACAGCATATCCACCACTTTCTTCTTGAAATTCCCAAGGCTTGCCCAAAGGATAATCACTCCAATGAATATAAATTGCGTTATCGGCGATCTTTTTACCATCCCATCCAAATTTGTCAACACCCATACCCGTAGTCATGACATCATCGTAATCGATATCATCAAAATTTCGTTTTGCTAGTTCTTTACCTTCTGAATTCTTGTTAGCTTGCATGAGCATATCAATGTCGATATCTGACATCAGCTCTTTAATCGGCAGCGCATTACCTTCAAAATCAAACCTCCAAGCCCAATCCCAGTATGGAACTCCTGGAAACAAATCAACAACATCATCAATATTCTTATAACTAATGCCATTCTTGTATGATCTCTCGACGCTGAGCATAGGTGACGAATCTGTCAAGTACCCAAAATCAGGTGGCATAGTCAAGTATGCATTATGTTCTGTCAACGGTTTCCTGAATTCTCCAGAAAGCAAAGCGTATGGTGCATGTGGTATCAACAACAACGAAGGAACAGAAGAAGCTCGTAACCACTCATTCTGAACCAACGCTTCATCTTCTTCCTGTTCATCCTTTTCTCCAGTAATGGTTCTATTAGGGTCTAAAGTCCTAGTGTACTGATTGTGATCAATGAGGTCACTCATTTTCCAAACATTGTTGATGATTTCCATATCATACTCCTCTATTTTCTTTTCTTCCACCATTTTGCAAATCCATTCATAGGCAGATCTATCAGGCATAATCACCATGACATAGCTACCCAAGGTTAAGTCTGGGAATAGATCAAATGCAGACTCTACGGATGGTAGTGTAGAGTATAAAGACCAGAAAAAGTCAGGACCAAAGTTCTCTTCGATCCCAATGAGAGTAGTATAAGTATCTTTTATTGGTATAGTATACTCCAATGGTGTTGGTGGTAGTAAATCATTCTTATTTTTCACTCCAGTGGAAAATGAAATCACCTCTTGTTGTTGCAACTCGGGATGATTGACATAGTTTAGTGGGGCTGCCAACAATGCTGGTGGTAAAAAGAACAACTGATCCATCCGCTTACGGATGATGGAGTCTGAATCCAAGTAGATTACACGGTCGTATTGTGTCAAACTGAATGCGTGGAGCTTGGTGAAGGAGTCTGACCAGTACGTTGAATCAGAGTGGAATTTGGATTTGATGGCGTCAAATTTTTCCAGCTCCGCAGAGTACGTGTGTCTCAGAAGCTTGACCATCTTCACCAATTCTAGATTCTCCCTTTTGTCTCCTAATTCTTGGTCGACGTCAAACGAACAAATGACGTGTATTTTAGCCTTCGTGTTGATCTGTCTCAATTGTCGCACGTTCACAAGTAGGGGTAATAGCTTTGTGGGGCCGGTAGCATAGAAGACGTAAGCAAGTCGGTTCCAGTCGACTTTGTCTGGCTTTTCGATGATCATCGACTTGTATGTTTGCATGATGGTTTCTTCCGGAATATACCTCACGCTTTTTGTGTCGAAAGGGCTCCCGCTGGCTGACGCAGGCCGTGGTTTCCGCAAGCTCATGCCACTCTGTTTCATATAAATCAATGACTTTCGTGGGGTGTATACCACAACAAGTGCATACACGAAAAATGTGAGCAAAACCATGGGTAATGCACGCTTCAACCTTCGACTTAATTGTCCACCCATCATAATTAGAGAAGTTGGTCTTACGTTTGCTGCTGTCAAGCTTGACTTCTTCAGTAAAGCAATTTAGTTAGATAAACTGAGGAACGACCAAAGCTATGAACAACGATGCCAGCAACAACAACAACAACCACGACAATGACCGAGAAGGAGATGGTAAACACAAACCAAGGACGATCGAACCTGAGAGAAACGCTAGGTGGAAAAAGATCCAGACATCCAAGCTGAGTGGCCGAGAAGAATGATTACCTCATAGCGAGATTAAAAATAAACAGGGGAACAGAGGGTGACAAGAAACTTTCTCCACGAAAAAGCCGAGTTACCTAAACGGGCTAGGTGAAAGCGTGATCCAGGTACAGTTGCTTCTACAGGAAAAAATACATTATTAGTTGAGTGTTATTAAAGATTAAAAGATGGAAAATATATATGTATACGCGGAGAAGAAGGACTGCTTCCCAGTATTTCTATTGTACAAGCTCCGACCACTGTTTGCATAGTTGTTTTGTCGACTTGATTATCCATTTCCCGGACTGATGGCCCGTTGATTGGAAGGATAGATTTTGATTTCGACAAAAAAGAAAAAAGGGGGAATTGTTTATTGGCCTGCTAAGATGGAGCATAACGTATAGTTAAATGTTAGTGCTGTGCTGAATGGTCTGTTGTTGCTTTCGAACTCTTGCAACCTTTGCGCTTCCACTTTGCTTTTTTTAATTTTTCTTAGCGGCGTTCTTGCTTTTGATTTCCTTCATGATCTTCTTCTTCATGGTCCACGAGAAGAAAGCCATACACAAAGGCAAGAGTATATTGTTCAGCACGATCCAAGCAACAAGAATACCAAAATATCTGCCGAGATCTTTGCGCGAGGTGTCAAACAAAGTAACCTTCATCAATTCGTAAGCGTTCTTAATTGGCATAGCGTAAGTGAATCTGTAGAACTCCGGACAGAGTGGAATTGGAGCAAAGGTGGCAGAAATGTTGATCATAACAAAGAACAACATCCAGAATCCCATCAGAGGTGGTGGACTGCAAACAAAATCAAACCGACGTTCTGGTTGGCCCCTCCAACAGCTGCCATGGTCAAATACGACACCATCCAGAAGACACCGAACCCGCCTGACCAGGAGTTGTCCATCTTGATCTGGAAGGCAGCGTTCAAGCAAGTAAAAGCTAAGGAGATGAGCAAGTAATTTAACTGAGAGAGAAGCATTCTGAACAGAATGTAGTGGATAGTAATGGCAGACTTAGCGACCGTGCCGTACAACTGTGCCATCCACATGACCTCGAAAAAAGTGATAATGATAATGTAAATCAACCCGACTTGAAGAGGGCCGTTTGTGACTGGTTCAACAGGAATGGCATCGGTGGACTGGATGATTGGGTAAGACGTCAACACGTTGGTGTTTTGTAGCTTGGCAAACTGTTCGCTGGTCAAATTTTTGATGAGCGGAGGATAGATCTCTGTTTGGAGGGCCTCCTGGAAGTAAGACTCAAATCTGAAAACAGTGGGGCTGACAATACCCTCCATTGTAGAGGGGTCACGGGCCGTCTCATAGAGAGAACGGACAAAATCCCTGGTGTCAATGTTTTCAGCGGAGGTGAAAGCATCTGTCAAACTCTGGGAAACGTTGTTTTGGGTAACGTAGATGGCAGCCCAGTACTTCTGGTCATGGATCATTTTTTGGACGTCTGCTTCGCTCAAGTTAGACTCAAAGTTCCATGTGGCTAACTTCTGCATATCCGGGTGCTGGGTTGCCAAGTATAAAGCCTGAGAGATCGGTGCGGCCCGGTCCTCTTCCACGGCAACTAGATAATGTAAGTTGACCAATCTGCCGTCTCTCTTGTACATGGACCCCCAATAGATCGGCCACACACTCAGAATGAAGACCCAGAGAGCCACTATGACAACGACGTACTGCTTGATCACCTTCATTCTCATCCCCTTGTTCTCCTTCGAAAACAGAGGGTACTTTGGAGGAGGGCCTGGGGGTTTGATGCCCTTTTCCAAATCTTCCTCCCGAACACGTTCGTTTTCTCGGGCTTCACCAGACGTGACCGTCTCGTCATTGTACTCAGAAATGGTTCTCAGCAAACCTTGTTCCTCTTCACCGGAATGGACACTTTCTTGTCGGCCCTCACGAACGTAGGGCTGCACTCCCTCGGAGGAGCTTGACTCATTCGATTGCTTGTCACTCATGATGGCAGGAGTGTTTGTCGGTAGACTGGTTGTTGTGTTAATCGTTTTGGTGGCTAAGATCCTGGAAAAAAAGATCTTTACTTTATTATTTTTTTTTCTCTCTGTTGCTTAGCGATAGCTCGATACCTTGTGAGTCTTGGAAGTCTGAGTATCCAAGCACGAAAAATGGTTGATCTTCCACAGGCTGTTGCTTTCTGGTTGGGGAAATCTCGAGAAGAAGAACTCTTTTTATTTTGATGTGAAAGAAGGAGGTTTAATTAGTAATGCAGCACGCCCATCTCCGTCGGCAACGTTCTGTCAAGCGTCTTGCTGACCGGGAGCCGGTCTTCGAGGGCACGGGCAGAGCGGACTGTCCCCATCAAGCACGTATCGCCGCGGCCGATAATACCCTAATAGGCATAAACGCCGGTCCGAAGGAGTTTAGTGAGAGTTGTCTGGAGTCAGCTTCCCAAAGCGGCGCGCAGCGTGGGGTTAAGGAAAATAGGCTGGAGAATCCAAGTTATATGCGATCACGTGACGTTATCACCGAGTTTCCAAGAAGTTCCTGGTGTATGGGGCAGCTCATCGAAAGGCGTTGGCGCCTTCTCCGCAGAAAGTTTTTGTCAGCCGAAGGGATACAACGGGCCAACAGTTATGTACTTTTCGCTGCGATTCGCCTACGTACAAATTATCAGGGTCTATCTTGCCTTCGGCTCCTTACTGTGTCGGAAAGAGCAGTCGGCGGCACGGTGCACGCAGCTTGTGGCTGAGCCGCGACAAATGCAGAGAGGGCACAGTGTAGAGCGCGGGAAATGGCTCAGACGCTCTGCTGAGCCATTTTCTCGCGCATGCGACAGCGGGAGTGTGATATAGGAGTGTTCCAGCATGCCCCAAGCTCACGACACCCCAAATGTCGTGGCCCCGACGTGCAGCCTGTACAGCCTGAAAGCCGCCCTCTCAAGGGACATTTGTGTATGCGTCGAACATGGTAGACTGTCGTACACATAGGGAGTGGAAAGCCTCTGTACTGGACAGCCCCAAACATCTTGCACAAAACCGTGCTACTGCAGCGGAGTTTATCGGACGAGAATGAACGGTGAAAAACAGAAAAATAAAATTTGAGAGGGATTTGAAAGAAAATAAGTATCCATTTGGGTCACGTGACGCCGCGTCCTGCCTCTCCCGCTCTTTTTTTTGGCGGGATCCGCACGATGCGTGAGTCATCGGCAGAGATAAGGATCCGGGGCGAGGCTGCGGGCTCCGCTGCGCAGGGTTTAACGCCGGCTACAGGCGGACCCGGCCCTCAGAAGCAAAGAGAAGGCGAAAGAAGCGTAGAAGCTGCACGGCGGAACTGCAAAGAAGCGTAGAACAGGCGAGGACGGGCCAGGAAACAGGGCCCCGCGCCCATTACTAAGCCGTGCTGCGTCTCCGCACGCTGCTCCGAGCCGCAGTCACCATTGTGGTGCATTGGTCGGTCCGCAGTGGATGCGGGGGAGGGAGGAAAAAGGGAGAAGGTTCGTGCTGGACATGCTGTATAAATACGGGGCAGTCGCCCCATTCTGAATGCGGGATGTCTGATCCGGTATGCAACGCATGTTCTGATAAGACTAGCAGAAGCCACCAGCAGAAACCCACTCACTGTAGAGATATAGAGTCGTCTTCCTACCAGACTTTACACCCCACACCCAACACTCTACACCTACCTACACACATACACGCGTTTACTGCTCTAAACTTAACTAAAACTAAACCGCTCAAGACGATGATCACTGTGCACGAACAGCAAATGTCTAAGAGGGCAGACTCCCAGGTCCTCCAAGACGCCCAGGACCCATGCAGCGGCTGCGACGTCGCCGACATGCACAGCGAAAGGGTGTTCAACCAGATCCAGCGCTTCTACAGAGAAAAGGAGACGCCTGTGCGAAACAGCAACGCAATCAGATACACATCTGCAGCTCAGGTGGAGCGGTTGAAGGCATACTCGAACAACGACTTTGCCGCCTCGAGAATACGGGATCTGAACAACGGATACCTTCCAAGTTTGCTCACATAGATGGACAGATAGAAGAATAATTGGCCGCTCTCGCTCGCTTTCTCTTCACTTCTGACCGACTATTAATACTTTACTACCACCGTGCATTGAGGCCTATTTATACACTATTTATTGATACGTTGGCGATACACGTTACTCAGTTGATACCCTCACAACTCATACCCGACTTTCCGCCACCTACACACAAACACATATACACTATACCAGAGGCTTTGTATAATCTATATATGCTCGCCCCCCAAAAATAATAATTGATACCCCAAATTTTTTTCTTTGCGCTTACGTAACCGGAGGTGACCGGTGTTAGCCGGACTGGCCTCGGACGCAGTGGGTGGTCTCCACTATCCAGGGCTTGTTCTCGGAAGAGAATTAAGATATATATTTACACATGCGTGTATCTTACATGACATAGAACGTATATAATTTATGAATAAATGAATAAATAAATAAAAACTGAGCGGAACGGGAAACCAACGGACCAGCCTACAAGTCGCTTCTGGTGACAGTGGCGACGTCTAATGGAGGCTCGGTCAAGGTCTTTGGCCCGGAGAAAGGCTCGCAGGACTCTCTCTTGGTGGTACCTGGGGCAGGTGGCTTGCCTGCGGCAAAGCCGTCGAGGATCTTGGCAACCTCCTCCTTGGTCTGCAAGTCCTCGTAGTAGTCGTCGTTGATCTGCAGCATTGGGGCGTTGGAGCACGCACCCAAACACTCGACCTCCTCCAAGGAGAAGAGGCCGTCCTTGGAGACCTCGCCCGGCTTGAGGTTCAGCTTCTCCATCACGGTCTCCATCACTTGGTCGGAGTTACAGAGCTGGCATGGCGTGGTCGTGCACACCTGCACGTGGTACTTGCCCACGGGCTTTCTCTGATACATCGTGTAGAACGTCGCAACCTCGTAGACTCTCATTGGAGGCATGTCCAAGACCTTGGCAACGTAGTTCATCGCGGAGATGGACGTAAACCCAATCTGTCTCTGCGCCAAGTCCAATAGCGGCATGCACGCACCCTTCTTGTACTGTGGTGGGTATTTCTTGATTATGACCTCTGCTCTCTTCTTGTTCTCCGCGGTGAACTCGAACGCAATCTCCGGGTTGTCCTCCTTCGTGTCCCTGTGGACGGCAATGATGTGTCCCGATCTGACAAACGTCTTGGCCGGGCCTGCTACAAGTCTCCGGGTGTTGTTTCTCACTAGCGCTGACAGCATCTTCTCTGGTTTCTATGTGTATCGATGTGGGTGTGGGTGGCTCCCTCGCTGGCTATCTCACCGCTCTGCGCCAACACCCTTCTCTAGCTCAGCTGTGTGTTTCTTCAAAACATGCTCTCTCCTGTCTTTTTCCTCCCTCCTCTCTGCCTGCCTCCCCTCACTTTCGCACAGCTTTTTTTTTCCCCTCAGCTCGACGAGTAAAAGGCCCCCGATTAGCAAAGCAGGCCAAAACCCCACTGTACCTCCGTGCACCGCCAAAAATAATTTCAGGTCGATCGTCGGCATTTTCCAAAATTTAGAAAAAATCGTCGATCGTCCCAGATGACTCTTTTTCTGAATTTTCCTGCTCGCGGCGTTCGCAGCCGCAACACCGGGGTTTGTCGCGGGGGCCGCTCAGTTTCTGCCCCCGTCGGGCTTTATCGCAGCGTGCACAGTCGGGGACCGCAGGCAGATGCGGAGACGAAGCCTGAAGAAGCCGTCTGTAGGGTTCTGTGAGCTCGGAGAGGTCAGCAGTACGTAGCAGCAGAGGACGCATCCATCCAGCACGATCGCCTGCACTGAGTGACCGCCTCTTGTGTGACTCAGACGAGAAAAGAACAAATAGAAATATATAGCTTGTTAAGCCGCAACTCGTTCAGATTGTAAGCAGTATCAGGTTCAGTAAGCTCGAACAGAGACCAGCACACGGAAAAGCAACATCAGCAGCAACCCCAGCAAGCAGCAACATGGCTAACAGCAGCAAGGATTACCGCATCAACACCAGGATTGTGAAGGTGGCCCACAAGGACGGCAACAAGGCGTCCATTCCACCCATCTACCAATCTACAACGTTCAAGGCCGACTCGATCGGCTCGTTCTCCACCCAGGACTATGACTACACGCGTTCGGGAAACCCAACCCGGACGGTTTTGCAGAACCACCTGGCCTCCGTCATCAACTGCAAGTATGTCTACGCCGTCAACTCCGGGATGGCATGTTTGGACGTCATCTTGTCCAACTTGAAGCCAAACGACGAGGTCGTGGCAGGTGAAGACTTGTACGGAGGCTCCGACCGTTTGTTGCACTTTGTCGAACGCAAACACAGCATCAAGATCAAGCACTTCGACACCACCAATCTGCCTCTGATGAAGAGCGCCATCACCAAGAAGACCAACCTTGTGTTGCTTGAGTCGCCAACCAACCCGCTTATCAACGTCGTCGACGTCAAGGCGATTGCTGCACACGCCCACGCAGTCAATCCAGAATGTATTGTTGTGTTCGACAACACCATGATGACTCCGCTATTGATGTCGCCATTGGAGTTGGGTTGCGACATCCACTACGAGTCCGCAACAAAGTACCTCAACGGCCACCACGACATCATGGCCGGTGTCCTGGCCACCAACAGAGACGACTTGGCCAAGAGCTTGTTCTATGTGATCAATGCAACCGGTTCAGGCTTGGCCCCATTCGATTCTTGGCTATTGATCAGAGGCTTGAAGACTTTGTCCATTCGTTTGGAAAGGGAACAGCAAAACTGTATGACATTGGCCACTTTTCTACAGAACAAGGGCTTCAGCGTTAGATACACAGGCCTCAAGTCTCATCCACAACACGACCTCCACTTCAGCCAGTGTAAAGGTCCAGGGGCTGTTCTGTCTTTCGAAACAGGCAATATTGCCCTGAGTGAAGCCATCATCAAGAATTGTGAGATCTTTTCCACAACAGTGTCCTTTGGTTCTGTTTCCTCGTTAATATCTTTACCTTTGAAGATGTCCCACGCCTCCATTGATAAGAAGGTCCTCGCCGAGAGAAACTTCCCTCAAGACTTGATTCGTCTCTGTGTCGGTATTGAAGACATCCAAGATTTGATTGATGACTTAGACCATGCAATTTTACTTGCAAAGAGAGAGGTTGGCCCAAAATTATAGTGAAGGTGAGTTGAGGTCGAACTCTGACATAATATTACTAATTAACCTATTAGATATTTGTTGTATTTTTTTTCTGTGTATGTACATTCGTATAGAGATATATATTTTTGTGTCTTTTTTTTAAACTTCAATTTATTTTTTGCTTGAAGAACTACTATTTTTTTACTGTTAGCAAAAAGAGTTAACTGACAAAGTAGAGGGAGAAAGAGAGAAAAAGAGATAGAGAAAGAGAAATCAAAGAAGTAGTAGCATAGTAGCAATATTAGCAATGACAGAAAGTAATAAGAGACAAGAGACAGAAGTATCAAAAGTAGTTTAATGAAGAAGATGGAAATAAGGATAAGAGTCGAAATATAGAAAACATGGAGAACAAAATAAAGAAATAATAGTATTAAAATGGAGAAGAGAGAAGTTTGTGTGCGATGGAAAGAGAGTAAGAGAGTAAGAGAGTAAGAGAGTAAGAGAGTAAGAGAGAGAGAGAGAGAAAGAGAGAGAAAGAGAGAGAAATGTGTGTGTGTGTGCATGTTTTTAGCTTGAAAAGGAGGTGAAGTTGAAAAGAGTGAATTTTGATGAAAACAAAATGAGACATCATCGTCAAAAGTTGCAAAAATGAGAGAAAGTGAGATGAGCACAAGAGGTAAATGATAATATGCTCCAAAACATCCAATCATTAAAAGTGCTGAAAATACGTTCCGTTGTAAAACCATCACCGTCACCACCATCGACAACAGCACAACCATCCGAACCAGGAACCATCTTGCATCTCATAATTCGAATCATCACCTCCTGGGCCATGACGACTGTGACGATGTTGTCCTTGAATGTACCCCCCACGAGTCGATTCCAGTAGGCCAGTGCGCTCGTTTACAACGGACGTCGAGGCAGCCCTAGACTTGGCCGACATGAGCGCCTTGTTGCTGCTACCGTTGTTGACGTAGTAGTGCCCATTCGAATGCGACATGGATCGAGAGTTTGATTGTTGGTTTTGGTAGTACTGCTGTTGCTGTTGTTGCTGTTGCTGTTGCAATTGTTGTTGCTGTAATTGCTGTCGTTGTTGCTGTTGTTGCTGTTGTTGCTGTTGTTGTAGCTGTTGTTGCTGTTGTGGTTGCTGTAGCGGCTGACTTGCAGATTGTGCTTGTTGTCGTTGATTATAATGTGAATTAGAAATATGCGTTTGTTGTGTGGCCGTGTGACGTACACCGGATCCATAACCGTTGAGATTAATTTTTTTGTTTTTACCCCAGCTCCATCCAGCACCATCATTCAACTTCATCCAATCGTACTCACATAAACTGGCATCCGAAAACTTGCTGTCTGGAATTGAATCAGTTAAAGAGCCGACCGAATGTTGATGTTGCTGTTGTTGCTGTTGCTGATTTTGGTCATATAGTTGAAGGGGTTGGGCGGGCGTTTGCGAGCTTGACGAATTATGTGAGAGTGTAGCGTGAGATTCGGCGTATTCCTTGGTTCCCTCAAAGCTTTCTAGAATTGATCGGAAAAGGTTGATGTAACCCAAATAGTCTGGATCTTCTTCAAATTTGAGAGCTCTAACTTGCCGTATATATTCTGCCACCTGGACCGGTAACCCACTGCACAGTTCGGAAATTGGTATCTTCTGTTTTCGTTCTCCAATTTTCTCGTATTTGAGCTTGTTTGTCGGAGCCTTCAGACCTTGCCAAGGCAACTGACCTTTCAGGAAATAAACGAAAACATTTCCAAGTGATTCCAGATCATCTCTACGTGATTGTTCACGTCCCAAATGTGTGTTTATCGACATATATCTAGCTGTACCGGACAACGACTTTCTCTCCCTGTATGGAATATGAACATGCGTTACAGGGTCTCTGTATTGTTTTACCATACCGTAATCCACCATATAGATGGTATTATCTGCCGTGGTTGCGCCAATCAAGAAATTGTCAGGTTTGATATCTCTGTAAATCAAGTTGTTTTCGTGCAAAAACTGGATGCGCTCAACCATTTGAATGGCTAGCCTTGCCACCGTAGTGATTGAAAATTTTCTGCCACACCATTCGAACAAGTCTTCGAGCGAAGGCCCCAATAGCTGTATTATCAAAATATTGTAGTACCCTTCTTGCCCGAAATAGTACACCTTTGGAATCCCCTGCACCGACAAGTATCTATAACGCTCTCTTTCGTAATTTTTGTAGTAATTGTTGACTGCGCTGTTCAGAACCTTGTAGGCTCTGAATTCGTCTTTGAGTTGCGGAGCGTCGCTTTTCCGAGACTCGAACTTGATGGCGACCGGTTGGTTCGACCGTAGCAAGTCGAACCCTTTGAATATGATCCCAAACGAGCCTTCGCCTATTTTCTGGGCTATCTGGTAGTGAGAGGCTATGATGTTTCTGTTTTTGCTGCCGGACGAGCTCGTCGTCGTATGGTTTTGCGTGCTGTTCGAGTGTGCAGCTGCACCAGTCCCGGTCCCCGTCGTGGCGGTGGTTGGAGACGTCGTTGCAGAAGCGGCAGCCTCACCAGGATTCTGAACCATTGTTGCTCTGGCTGCTGGTGTCGTCGGCTGGATTGCGAGAAAGAAAAAAGGTCAATACACTAGAATGCGTTTGTGTGTTTTCCTCTATGCTGGTCTGCTTGTATTTCCAGTTTCTATCGTTAGCTTCTGCTTGGTTCCCGCCCTTTTTGTTCCAGATAATGCCGCTCTGCAGATCACGTTTGTGCCCCTAACAACACGTCTGGGCCTCCAAATAGTTCAACACTGGTCTCTAAGCTCTGCAATACCATCACGGGAGCACGTACGACTACTCCACACAGTCTCCGTTCAGCTTGCGTCACATTTCACCGTCTTCCCGATAACCGCATAGACCAAGACCTGAGAAAAAAAGCAAAATTAAGGCGATCGACGCGGTTCCGCTTACGTCAGCAGTACTGAACGATACTGATAATATGATTACGTTTGTGTGGTAGAAGTATATATATATCTGGCTATGGGTAAAGAAGAGACTGTTTCAGGGAGGTCTAGTTTGCGGCCGTTCATTTCTTGCCCTTCTTCTTGTTCTTCTTCTTGTTCTTGTTCTTCTTGCCGGCAGAGGCTGAGTTGGCGGCGGTGCTGGTGCTGTCGCCTGCGTCGGCGTCGTCGGCGTCATCGGCGTCGTCAGCTTCCTGGGCTTGTTCAGCGGGTTCGGCTTGTTCAGCGGGTTCGGCTTGTTCAGCAGGTTCGGCTTGTTCAGCGAGTTCAGCTTGTTCAGCTTCCTCGGCTTTCTCAGCGTGTTCAGCTTCCTCGGCTTTCTCAGCGTGTTCAGCTTCTTTGACTGCTTCTGCAGGTTCGGCTGCTACTTCGACTGGTTCTGCCCCCTCGCTAGCTTCCTTCAAGTCTTCCTTTGATTCTTCAATGCGCATGTCCTCCAACTCTGCAACAGGAGCAGAGACAGCTGCCTCGGTCTCAGCATCCTCTTCAGGTTGCTCGCTGACCAAAACCTGGCCATTGTCGGGGACTTCGTCGGTGTCTTCCTCCAATTCCGCATCGTCGTCAATGACAAAAGAATCTGTTGTGGCGATGTTTTCCTTACTAGGAGTGAAGTCTCTTTTGGTACTGCTGCCGGACTGTGGGTAAACCGGAGAAATCAAAGTCTCCTTTGGCAAACTTTCGTTGTTGCTGCTGGAAGGTGGGAACTTGAAGTTCTCTTCCTGTTGCTTCAAGCTTGGAGCAGAGTTCAACGATCTGTTGAGCTCTGCCCGTTGTCCCTTTGCATACACGTCGGCATCGGTAGGCTTTCTGTCGTTCAAGTTAAAGTGCTCGTCGAGCCTTTTTGCCCTCGCAATGGACTTGAACTTCAGGGCTTCAAAATAGTTGTACGTTTGGTTTTTGTACACGTAATTGAGGTCCTCGTCGTCGTCGATCTCGTAGTTACCGTTATCGAGGTCATCAGCCAAGTTAGACAAGAACTCGGAAAACGAGTCTGCAACAACAAACTTGGTATCGTAATCTCTACCAAAGAGGATGATCTGACCCCACTTACCGCTGCCGCTTGGATTCAAGTCAAGGGCAATGTTGTTTCCGCCGTTGTCCTTGACAAAGGGCACCCATAGTGGGTCATAGTAGATCTCGTTGACAAAGCCCGGAGGACACGACTTCTGGACCCCAAAAGGCAAGGCGCCGGCCTCTCTTTTCTCCAACCTCTCGTAAACTCTTCTCCAGATGTTGGTCTCTGCAGCAATAGTCTCGAGGTCCATGAGCGAGTAGCTGAAGATTAAACCACGGGTCTTCCCCATGCTGACCTGGCCGTCGTGGAGTTGGTAGCTGTCTCTGAAGGAGGAAGGGAGACTGATACCAAGGTCAGCCTCGAAGGCGTTCAAGTCGTTGGCGGTAGCACCACCTTGCATGTCGTCCTCCAACTCTGGGAACTCGTTCTCCAACCACTCGTCGATCTTGTTCCAGATCTCCAGAATGTCTCGTATTGGCTGTCCGTTTTCGTAGTTTCTCAACTCGATCTGGGAGTCGTTGTGAAGCTGCGAGCGCATACCCGGACGATACGGGATGGCGCTATTGCTGGCGCCACCATTCAAGTTTGTGCTGCTGCCGCCGTTGTGGTTGATGCCGAGGTTGTTCATCGAGCTGGAAGGTCTGCTCTGGCCGCCACCGAGAGAGAGGCTCGATGTGTTCTGCTGCAACGACATCTGCGAGCTGTTACGTCCAATCAAGGGCGTGTTCCCACGACGGGGGGAGGCCGTCGAGTCTTCACTGTCGTACTGTGCATAGTGGTCTGACGTTGTTACGTTGTGGATAAACTCCTTGATGTTTTTGAAGAAACTCATCTCTTAGTATCTAACTATTTATGTGTGTATCTAGGTTGTTTTGCTTTGTGTGATTCCGGATTAGTTCTGTACCGTGTATATGCGCATGTATCCGTGTCTGCTAGTGTTGCTGCTGCCAAGTGGTTCGTGGTTCGGCAAGAGTGGATCAAAGTGGGTGTTTTTGTTGATTTAACTTGCGTTGTTCTACCTTCCTGTGCGTCGCTGTGCGGGGCTCTCCTAGTGTTGTTCCTCTTCTTCTTCCTGCTGCAGCTTTTTACTAGGTCGTCACCACCCCTGCGCCTGCCCAGCCCCACAGCGGCCCCGTCGTCCACCGTGTTGTCAACGTCCTGTCTCCTGTCTCCCGTCTCCCGTTGCGGGAGCGTGTGCGTGGGTGAGCGCAGAGCTCCCGCGGGCGAAGCTTCTCGTCTATTTTGGGCGCCGTCCGAGAAGCATGTCGAGGTTGCTGCCATTGTTTCCGGCTTTCGTCCGGGTTGTTGAAGAGGGTCTGCCGCCATGGCCGTCGTCGTCCGGTCTGACTCTGCGGCGGCTGCCCAGGGCGGCACGAGCCCTGCCCCGACGGGTTTCTGTGCCAGCAAAGATGTGATGGGACGGCGGGGGCTGGACATCAACAAGAAGATTGGCGACCCCACTCTCGGACTCGGACTCGTCCTCGGAATCGGCGACGAAGTCGGCAGAGAGCTTGGTTGGCTTGCTCCGGGGGGCTTCTTCAGCAACGCCGGAGGCGGCGGCAGGGACAGGGGCATTGCCACTACTGTTGAACATCACTGGACCACCTCCATTTGTGTTTCCGCTCACCATAGCGTATTCGGTCTCGGCCTTGATCCGCTTAGCGAGCTCTCGGAAGCTCTTCTTCACGTCTTTAACGTTGTCCGTGATGCGCAGACCCTCCTCGCCGTCAGAGTCGTCGGCGTTGCCGGCACCTATACTTAGCTGCTGGAGAAGACTGATGTGGTCTTCCTCTTCCGCCTGAACAAACTTGTTTAAGACGCTACGGTCTTCATCGTGCTCTAACAACGTCTCCAGGGCCTCCGACACCTTCTTTTTGGTGAGCATGATCAAATCTTTGTCGTCCAACTTTTCCGTGATCATGTCCATGATGTCGTTCTCCCCACCCTCCACAAGCGGCCCGCTGATGCCGTTGTCTTCGTCGTCGTCCGTCGCGTTGTCCGCCGCAATATCATCCCTTGATAATAACAAGCGGTCTGACCTCACGTTGTTCCCGTGCCTCCTCTTCTTATAGTATAACACCACGTCATTGATGTTAGCTACTTTGCCGACAAATCGATTGGAAAAGAACCTCGGATTCTCCACCTCGTAGCCACCTGAGTATTCAACTCTCAAGCGGATCAACGGCAACGGAGCGTCCGACTCGCCCATTAAACCATCCTCAAACAGTTTTCTGTTGTTATGTTTCCAGATCTCGTTCGCCTTCCCTATCATGAGTTCCACTTGCATGATCAAAAAGTTCAACACCTCCTTCTTGTTTGAGCTCGTAGCACTCAACCCCGTCTGGCTCAACACAACATCTTTCATCACAAACGGACGGACGCTTTTTAGCCGAATCGGCTGCAGTGAAAAGTCCTTCCCCTTCACACTTAGAACAAACACATTTTTGTCCAACGTTTCTCCTTCACTCAAAGATGTAGCAATCGACGATCCAGCCTGTAGTATGTATGCTCCGGTGATGTCATTCCTGACCGCACTTGGGTGGCAATCGTGCTCGTGTCCCCATAGCACAAAATCCAAGAATGACGGCAAACATGTTTCCTCTACAACCTTCACACCAGGTCTATGAACGTGGTTTTGATGGATACACATGAGGTTGAACCACTGAATCCCCGGATCGGCACTCGTATCCGGCTCCAAAAACTCCAAGTTCCCACTCGCCATTGTTTTCATTAATCTTTCCTCCCGGACACTATGTAAACCGTATAACGCCAAGTTCGTCTCTCCCTTGTTGAACAACAAGGGACATACCGTGATCTGCTCGTTGTCAATGACTCTTCCATAATGATTCAATAGCCCTGCCACACTTAAAACGTCTAATGGGGATAACAATTCTTCCCCCGTGGCATCATCATGGTTCCCGCTAATCGCATACAAAGGCATCCCAACATTGACATTAGAATCATATTCCGCCGGGTACATAAAATGCTTCGTCGCCATGGCATCGCTCGGATCTGACACGAGCTTGTACTCGATCGGTTTGTCACACCAACAATGCTCCCGTAGTGTCCTCATGACATGGTAGTACGACTTCTTTGAAGGCGCATTCACATGAAACAAGTCACCACCTTGAACAATCATGTCGACATCCTGCTCTCTTGCGATGTCCAGTATCTCAGCAAAAGTCCGCCAAGAATCGTCTCCTCGGATTTGGTCGTTTTCCATGTATCCGACATGGTTGTCTGTAGTTAGAAGAATCCGGAAAGTGTCTGGTCCTGGTTCAATGTGTGAAACCTCTGGCATGCAAGCTATTGTTTTTTGCTTTAATATATTGATAAGATCCTAAGGAAGCCCCACAAAATACCTTTTTCAAAGTGTCCGATAAAGGAGTTTCATCTCAATTTTTCATGAGCTTTTATTTAAACACGCGTTCGAGATTCATGGTACAAACTATATATGATTTTGTACGCAATAGCATCCGTTACCACAGAGGCTTACTACTATTTACGAGTACAGGGTTTTGAACACCATAAAATTAGTTTTCTGGGTAGTACACCACATCTCTACAGAGAATGGTCACCCTTTTGAACAATCGTCTCCATTCGAGCGGATCACCAGCCTTTCTTATGAAGTCGATTTTACGGGCTTCGAGGTTATCCGCAACCTTGCTGAGGACGATCTCTCCAGACAATCGCCCATTGTAGTCATCGATAAAGTCAATTCTAAACCTGATGACTCCACGGTATACACTGTTTTCCTTTAATTGCTGTGTGATCTGTTGACATTCGATGTCGTTGTCTGATTCGAGGATGTTCAACTGAATTAGTGCTTCCGTCAGGAGAGAAACAATAGAGTCCAATGATGCAAAAGAAAAGAACCTCGTAAAGCTGTCTGCATACAACTCCGGGTGCTTTCTGATCTGCTCCGTCCTTCTTGTAATTTCTTGATCAATCAATTTTTTTCTAGTCTCGACGTTGATTCCATCCTCTGTTCTGTAGAATTGTAAAGATGCAGGATCCATCGAAATCAGCTCTAGTTCTCTTTGGTGTTTAAAATCCCTGCTGCTTCGTATCTTTAATCTCTTAGTCCTTTCTGTGTACGGCTGCTGTGAAACTGAATAAACGTCCGAGTACAAGTTGTTGTCATTAGTGTCCAAGTCGTCGACAATGTGCTTGTCTGTTGGCTGGGTTTCAAGCTTCCTTCTGTTACTTCTTTGTGTGGCGGAGTATTCTGCCACCTTTTGGAATTCGCCGTCGCTCATGTTGATGTACAAGTTAACGAGTAACCGAGCACTCAGCTTGTATGGGTCTTTACACATCCCTCTTTCAGTTAACAGTCCACGTTCTCGAGTCATCCACTGATGCTGCTGGATTTTTTCAATGGTAATTCTTTCATCCACATCAACAACCAAAATCTTTCTCAATAAACTCAATGCCCCCAAGTCGATCTTGTTCCATGGGCTAATCAAAACTTCTCCCTTGTTCCTGATATAATATGCGAAGTCTTTATCTTCCATCACGGGCATTTCCCATGCAATTTTGCCAGTCAAGAGGACAAACAAAACAACTCCAGCCGACCAAATATCACAGATGGAGGGGTCGTAACTCTCTGAAACTATCTCAGGTGCAGCATATGGTGGTGATCCACAGGATTTCGTGCACTTCTTCTTGGGTCCTGTCTTCTTCTTGAAAACACAGGCTAAACCAAAATCCGTTAGTTTCAAGTTTCCTGCTGAATCAAGAACCAAGTTTTCCGGCTTGATATCTCGATGCGCCACCCCTTGTGAATGCATGAAGCCAACAGCGTTAATCAACTGTGTGAAGTAGAAATGAGCTACATCCTGGTCAACGCCCAAATCAGGTTCAATCTTGTCAAACAACTCACCGTTCTCGGCTAGCTCAAGAGCAATCCACGCCCAATCCTTGTTGTATCCGAAGTCGAACATCGTGATGATGTTTTGGTGAGGAACGTGTTTCTGTATGTATGCTTCTCGGGCAATATCCTCTGGTGACACCCCTTTTTCGGCTGCTAACGGTAGATACACTAGCTTGATCGCAACGTATTTTGGACTCCCTCGTTGCGTTTCTGCACATTTCACCATTGCAAATCCCCCATGTCCTATTGTCTTCCCCAGAGTTACACGTTTGATCAGTGGCAAAGGCGCCATCTGCGAAAGATGGTACGATTGTGACATGGTGGACAATGTTGGCTCCGTGATAGATGTTTCTTTTCAAAATGTTTGCTCTGATTCTTATCCGGGCCTTTACCTGATGTACCCGAACCCTTTGATGTGTATACTTACCAGAAAAGAACTATTTCTTCTATCTGAAATGAAACACCAAGGCAGATCGAACTTTTCGATTCCTGTTTGTTTACCTTTGCGCCGCGTCCGAGATTTTGGCCTTGCACCTCTACAAATAGACGGATATGGGAAAGAGAAAGATGTACGCTAATGCGGAAAATGCAACGTTCTTTTTTATAAACAGACTACACACGAAAGTTAAATTACTACTTCGGAGAGGTCGGTGATCCATTCGGCGTCGACAGGACGGAACACGCGTAGCTCACCGGACGACAATCTGCCCAGGTCGATGTCGGACACTCTCACCTTCTTCACTCCGGCCATGTTCTGGTGGATAATCTCCAGCCACTTTAAACGACCATCCTTGTCGGCGTCGTCACTTTCCTTTACATCCAACACAATGGCAGTGTGATCTGGCGATCCAAACGACATTGTACGTCTAGGGTATTGGAACACACAAGATTTGAACTGCAATATGTCACCGCGGCGGATTGCGTCAGAGACAGGAGGCAAGGTGATGGCTGGAATGGTATTGTCCATACCCACAAAAGTGGCAATGAGGGCGCCGTGTGTGAGGCCCGAAGAGATAAACGCGTGCCTTCCGCATGCCTTTTCAAGAGCGTCGTGGGCTAGCGTCCAGCATTCGCCGTCGCCAACAGTCTGGCCCTCTTTCACTTCACACCAGTTCGCAATGTGTTCTCCGTACTTTTCGTTACCATCCATCAACTGGGCCTTTGTGGCCATCGGTGGTGCCATGAACTCCACCTCTTCGCTGAGAGTGTCGATAGGTACGGCACTCCCCTTCTTCCAGACGAGTTTCACCTTGAGGGTGGCGAGATCACGCAGCCTGAATGCAAAGATCTTAAACTCTTTCGTGCCAACAAATCCGTGGCTACATTGCAAATCCAAGCCCTGCAAGTCCCGTGGAAGATTAGAAAGATCATCGCTCATAAACCAAAGCGTAGATAGTTCAAAATTGATCTTTGGCTCTTTCCATGCAGCCGTGTTTCTAGGTGGGGGGACAAGAGGTGCCTTGTTCCGAGAAGGTGGAGCAGGTGGAGGAGTTGAAGATGTGACAGACGAATTCGATACCAACCTTCTTGTTGGAGGAGCCGATAACGTAGTAGGCTTTGGTGTCACCAAGGTAGCATCAGGGCTCACGTTTCGAAGCAAGTTTGCCTTTTTCGGTGGGAGCTTAGGCTTGTCCTTGATTGGAACAGGAGGTTTTGCCTTTTGCACTGGTTTCAAAGAATCAGCTGTGAGTCCAGGAAGAGGTATGCCAACCGTTTGTGTACGTGCGGCACCATTTCTTCTTAGAGGAAGGGAGGGCCTATCTTCATCAACACTCACATCGTAGTTAGCCCCAGTATCGGACTCTTCACTTTCTGTTCTCCTTGGGGGAGTAGGCCTAGATGGTATTCTTACACTTTCTGGTGTTTCAGATCTGTCAGACCTGTTGGGTCTGTCAGGCCTCTGTGGCCTTTCCGGTTTTCTAGGTCTGGCTTCGTCCTCATAATAACCATTATAAGTCTCTACATTCACATGATCCCGGTCTCTGTGATCTCTGGAATATCTAGGGTCTGTAGGGTCTCTACTGCCCTTTTCAAGCGTACCACTCCTACCACGTCTCTCACGTCTACTGTATTTATCGTCAGTATCTGTTCTTTCTGATCTCCTTCTGTACCTCTCGCCATCACTGTCTTTCGAGTAGTCATCTTCCTCTTTGTTTATAGAACTTTTGAGTCTATCTTTCATTTTGTTCAGTCCGCCCATTGCCTGTTTGGCAAAAGGTGCTGATTTTTCTCTAGCAGCATGGTAGCTATCTTTCGAGAAAGACTTTGCATTGTTCAAAAAGAGTGAGGTTGATGATTTCCTTTCCCGTCTCAAGCTCTTAGGATTTCCATACTGGTCATCTTCAGAGGAAGAGTAGCCATCGTCTCTATGGCCCTGGCTCCTGTGACCCGCTGATGATTTTCTAGTGGATCCACTTCTGTGTCTTGGGCGAGAACTTTCATCTCCATAATAACCATCATCGTCATCATCATAACCGTCACCTCCACGGTCATCGGTGTCATGGGAGTGTCTTCCACTAGTGTGATGTGGCCCACGGTCGTGTCTTTCAGGAGATCTGCGTGACTTGAGCTTTTCACCATTATCATCGTCAATTGTGCCAGGACTTGCAATGTCTCTTGAGGAAAGACGAGGTCTGTTTCTCGCTGGAAGTGCTGGAGTGGAATTGTCATCACCAGAATCTTCGACGTTTTCTTCGGCCCTTCTGTTGGTCCTTCTAGCAGGTAGGGATGGGGGCTTGAGAGACGCATCATCTTGGCTTTCAGCATCTCTTTCCGACTTATATGACGTCTTTGATGCGTTTCTCCGAGGAGGAGGTGGGAATGAGGAGGGTAGGTTTTTCTTCAAAGGAGAACGCATTCCTTCGGCATAATCAATGGTTTCTCTTGATCTTGTCTTCTCCAGTCCTGATGGGAATACCGGAGGAGTGGAACGAGAGGATATTGCAGTCGGCTCATGGTATACCTTCTTCAACGGTGAGGCCATTGAAGCTGCAATGGCTTTGTTGTTACGCTGCGGAGGAGGTGGAAACGACTTGGTAGCACTATTTTTGAACGGAGTGGTTCCTGAATGAAAAATCTCATTGCGAGCAGAAGCTGGAGACAATCGTGGTGTTTCGTGCTCATCTTCGTCGACATCCACTTCTTCATTCTCATTTTCTTCGCTGTCAGAGTCCAAGGCACCTGTATCGTAGGTTAGACTGATTGGCTTCGAGACCACTGAGTCAATGACACTCTGATTGACAGCTTTGCCGGATGATCTTGGACTCAATCCCCCGTCCCCAGAGTATGGAATATGCCCCGACTTTCTCAACCCACCCCTCAAAGATGTGATGAACTCATCATCCATGGAAGCATTGCTGCTGCTCATCAATGGCGCCTTGCTCGTACTGCTTCCGGTGTTGATGTTGTTGTTGTTGCCGATGTCAATCTCGGGCTTCCTCCCGACGACGGGCGGTAACCCTCTTGGCTTAGGCTTGATGGCTGGTGGAGGGCCCTTGGACATCCTATTTACGGCTTCCTTGCTCTGGTTTTAACAGCGGAGTCTAACACTACTCTCTTCTTTGTGCCCCATGACGTGTTCTCCTGCCTCATTTCTCCTCTGTTTCATCACCTCCTTCTCATCCGACTAGCTCACCCGCGGTGGGAGAAATTTCAGAGGGGCCGTCATGAATTGGGCCCATACGGGTCTGAATACTACGGGATGGGGCTGGAGAGAATTATTGAGCCTTCGGCAATCTGGACGAGCAGCACAAAGCATGATTGAACAGGATAACGGTGGCAACAAGTGGTGCGCCCTGCTAGTGGCGCTGTGTCTGCTCCCAGGATGGACATACGCACACGGCGAGAGTCACGGACCGCCAGGACACCACGACCCGACGTACAACTCGCAGCAAGAGTACGAGGAGAAGATTCCGGTAGAGTACAACGACTCGTGGCAGCGGTGGCATATGGCACACGAACATGGATTGGACGACTTCACACCCTCTGCGTTTTTTCAACTCCATGCGGTGACGGACCCAAAGTTGATTACAAAAAGAGACATTTTACGCATGTACGGATTGCAACGAGATGAGATCGTCGGTCAAGGAGACGGGATGGGGGGCCATGATAACAGCGAGCACATTTCTCCCGAGTTGAAAGATAGGGTGGTTACCCGTGTACTACACCTTATGGATAAAGACAAGAATGGGGTGATTAGTATGGAAGAGTGGTTAGAGTTTTCGTTGAGTGGCGGAGAGTTTCCTGATTTTGGATTGGGCCCCGGTCATGAATATGATTTTGAAGAGGAGTACGAGAAGCACCATTGGTTGAAATATCACGCACAGGATGATCCAGACGTTGAAATCATGCATAAAGAAGACATAGAGCACGAGCTCTTGCACCATTTCCACGAGATCGAACACGATCACGAGGAAAGCGAAGCTCACAGTGACCACGCGCACGAAGAAGGTGGCAAGCCAGCTGAAAAGTACAATTTACCTTTGCCAGTACTGACACAGAACATTCCACCTAGTTTCAGATACGCACAATGATGAGTTTTGAAACAGGTGCCGCAGTAGGCGCTAGCATCAACAGAAGCAATAAAAGAATGGGTATATAGTAAGTTTAAGTGTTTTTAGAGCCTTCACCGATCTGCAATATATTTTGAATGAATGATGATGTAGAAATTGAGACCAGTGGCTTGTTTACTGTTTTAACACAACACAGTTTCTTATCTTTCGGTTTGAAACACGCTTTGATGGAAGACTGCGAGTCATAATCGTGATCAAATTTGCGAAGTAAATAGATAAAAGAATTTAGTATCTGATATAACGAATAAAAAGAGATTAGTATATAATATAAAGAGTATATTAATATGTGGAAGTAAAGAGGAACGGAGCTTAGAATTCTTCATCGGAGGAGACGTAAGCATCACCTAATTCCTTCTTCTTCTTCATTCTCTCCTTCTTCTTCTTTCTTAATTCGGCAGATGAAAGCTTAGCCTTCTTCTTGGTAGCAGCAATCTTGTTACCCATAGCATCGAACTTGTCTTCTTCGTCTTCCTTCTTGGACAATCTTGGACCAGCACCTTGACCTTGGACCCAGTTGTGACCAGATGGAACCATTCTACCGTCTTGAACAGCCCAGACTTCTTCAGTCAAGTCTTTGGTGAACTCAGCAGAGTGAGTAATGATGATAACACCACCCTCGAAAGCCTTCAAAGCCTTGGATAAAGCACCTAAGGAATCTCTGTCCAAATAGTTAGTTGGTTCATCCAAGACAATCAAGTGAGGTCTTTGCCATGTACAAGCAGCTAAGACCAACTTAACCTTTTGACCACCAGACAAACCTCTGATTCTAGAGTGAGAAACCAATTCAGCATCTAAACCAAGCATAGCACAATGGTCTTCGATTTCCTTTCTGGTTAATGGTCTGAATTGACCAGATGCTAAAGCTTCCTTCATATCAACTTCAGCAACCATCTTGGAGTGGGATTCAATCACTTCACCTCTTGGCAACCAAGCGTTATCAACAGACAACATTGGAACCCATCTTTCAGACTTCATACCAATGTTTTCACCTAAGAAGAAAGAACATTCATACTCGTAAGTGTTCTTGAACTTCCGTCTAGCGTGAATACCATTAATTCTTCTTGGGGTACCTTCGATCTTATAGATCTTGTTCATAGCTTCTTCATCATTTTCGTTGATTTGTCTGGAAGCTCTGTCCATGGTTTCTCTATCTTCACCAGTTTGGAATCTCCATTGGATGTATTCAGATGGAGTCTTGTCCAAGTGAGAATCGATATGTGCGAAAGCGTGTTGCTTAATGTAAGCAATACGACAGTTCTCGTGAACGTAGACTTCACCAGTGGTTGGCAATAATTCACCAGTCAAGACATTGATCAAGGTGGATTTACCAGCACCATTTGGACCAATAACGGCAATTCTAGAAGACAAAGAACATTGGAAATTAACATCAGTGACTTGTGGCTTCTTGGTACCTGGGTATTGGAAACTCATGTTGGAGACCTTGACAATAGCCTTTTGCTTGGTCTTAACACCTTCCAAGAAACCTGGTTCTGGGAAGCTGAATTCGGTGGTGGAAGCAGCCAATTCTTCGTAAGCCTTAGCAGCTGGAACTCTCTTGATGAATTCGGTTAAGTTACCCTTGTACTTTCTTAACTTGTAACCTTCGTAATGGATAATGTATTGAACAGTTCTGTCCAAGAAACCAGAATCGTGGGAGACAGTGATGGAGGTGATACCACAGGTACAAAGGTAGTTGACCAACCAGTTAACGTTGACAACATCCAAATGGTTAGTTGGTTCATCCAATAACAAAATATCAGCGTTCTTCAAAACGGCCTTGGCTAAAGCCAACTTCATCTTCCAACCACCAGATAATGCGGAAATTGGCAAGTCCAACATTTCTTCGGAGAAACCGAACTCTCTCAACTTTGATCTGACGGTATCTCTGTCACCAGTGTCACCTTCAGCAACAACATAGTCGGTAGTTGGGGTTTCAGCGTGAGTACCATCGATATCGTGCTCAACGTAGATAGTTCTACATTCTTGTTGGGTTGGGAAACCTTCAACTTGACCGTTAGCAATAGCTCTCATCAAGGTGGACTTACCAGCACCGTTTGGACCACACAAACCGTATCTTCTACCTCTCTTCAATCTCAATTGAGTCTTGTTCAATAAGATCTTAGCACCGTAAGCCAAGGAGAATTCACAGTTACATAAGTCCTCACCTTCATCGTCTTCGTCTTCCCAGACAGGTGGCTGAGGAATGTTGTCAACAGAGGTCTTTCTGAACTCTTCAATGATCTCCTTGGATTCCTTTTCGTGCAAGAAAATGGTCAAGAATGGGGTCAAAGATAAGCCCCAAGCTTGTGGGTCGATCTTTCTTTCATCAATCAAGTCACCGGCAATGGCAGCGACGTAAGACTTGACGACGTTGAATCTAGCTGGCTTGTCGGAAACAAGCTTTTCCAAAATGTCCAAGTTAACCTTGACATCACCGGCGTGGGAGATTTCTGGAATAGAGTCATCTTCTGGAACAGCACCGACTCTTCTCAAGGTGTTCAATGCTCTTTCGGTAACAGCTCTTGCTTCTGGGTCAGCAATGACGTCCAAGTTGGCCTTCAAAGCTGGGAACAAGTTTGGCATGAAAGGAGCGACAACTTGAGGGTCGTCGACCAACTTACACATGTTGTCGATAATGACAGCAGCCTTTCTCTTGATGGAGGTGTCTCTTTCAGCTAAACCTCTGGACAACAAAGGAGACATGATGGACAAAGCGGCGGTGGTGACTTCGGAAACGAAGGTAGTGGCACCCAAAGAGTGGACGGTTTCTGGGACCTCCTTAGGGTTGGCGATAGAGGCAATCAACTTTGGAATGAAAGGTTCGATATCCTTGTTTTCAACGGTGGCGGTACACTTGGTCATGCACTCGGTGGCAGCTTCCTTGACGTCGGACTTGGTATCCCACATGGCTTCGGAGAGGACTGGAATCAAGTCAGTCATTCTCAAGGCCAATTGGTCCTTGGCGTTGTCGACAAAGAGAGAGATGGCGCCCAAGATGGCGACCTTTTCTTGCCACTTGGAGGTGGTGGACAATCTTTCGATCAATCTAGGCAAGATGTCCTTGATGGCGACAGGGGTGATGGCGTTGACAAGGGCAGTCAAGGCCTTGTTGGCGACGGCTCTGACCTCCTGTTGCTTGTCACCGGTCTTTTCACAGATGTCACCGGTCAACTCGACGATGTATGGCTCCACAGAAGGAGACAAGTCGGAGGCAGACGCAATGTGTGCGATTGCTTCCAAGGCGTTGGCAGCAGCCTTCTTGTCCTTGATGGCCTTCTTCAATTCTTGGAAGAACTCGACAGGAACATCGTGCTCGATGATCTCACCGTTAAGGAAAGAAGCGACATTAGTTGCAGCATCATCCACATTGTCAGGGGTGGCAATTGCCAATTTGCTGAAAAGCTCGTTTAAAACTTCAACAGATTGCTTTGATTCAGCAGCAGCAGACATGTTTGGCTATGAATGAAGGCGTGGTTTAGAAAGCGAACCCAAAAGCACACCACACCAGACCAAAACCCAGGAGAAACGCAGCAGAAGAAGGAAAGAAACAGCAGCTGGAAAAGAACACAAGGGTTGTCCCTTCCGGCTCACTCTCCCACCCTGAGCATGTGTCTGCTCTGTAAATGAGAGCGGGAGAAAATTATACGGGTGAAAAATTTTTCCATTTTTTTTCCAACAAAGAAAAAGAAAAAAAAAACGAAAAACAAGACAAAAAACGGAAAACAAGAAAAAAGGACCAAACACAATCGACGCGTCGCCGACGCGTCGCTCCATCAGCTCTACCTGCTGTTTTCCCTGCCGTCTGCGCCGTCGCGTCGCTCCCGCCAACGCTGCCAGCCTCCACTCCCGGCTCGCGCTTCCGGTTCACACACTCCTTATCGGCATCCACGGGAGCGTCTAGCCGCCGCCCCGGGCGGCTGCCCTTTTGTGGCTTACGTCAGCACAAGCTCGTGCCAATAAGCGCCCACCTCCCCGGCCGGAAAGGGAAACGGGGAAGGATGGAGGTGAAAAAAAGACAGCTGAGCGATCCACTTATCTACGCATTTTCTCGGCAGCATCGCTCTCGTAAACGGCACGACGGTTTGGGAGCCGGTCTGGAGACGCTGCTACAGCCCTTGTTGGCGGCCTCCCCGTTCCCTGCACCTGGCCTCACTCTGCTCTGCTCGACCGGTCTAGCGTCCAGACACAGCATATGGCAGCGGCTTGTTCATAGGAGTATACAGAACGACGCACACACACGCTATCAGCGATCGCCAGATAGGTAGATAATTATAGATAGCTCGGCAGACAGCTAGTACGCTCTCGGACATACGCAGATACATGGCGAACAAGAACGAAAAATAGCCCACATCAAACCGTCCAGGCCAGCCAGCACGCTCTTTTCCACCCCCCAAGCACCACCACTGCCCCGCAATGCATGACCTACTGAACTCGCCGCTTTTCCCCCTCGAGGAGCTGTCGCCGGAGACGTTTGTGAAACTCCCGAAGACCCCCCACGCCGAGTCGAAGTCGGTCAAGCTCTACATCATCCTCGCAGAGCCCCACCTTTTCCTCGAGGGCTTCACGAAGGACGAGGTGCTGTCGAGACCGCCGTCGATCCTTAGAGGCTGTCTCTTTCTGCGCATCCTCCACCCGGTGAAGATCAAGGAGATCAACTTGAAGCTGAAGGGCGTCTCCAGAACAGAGTGGCCCGAAGGCATCCCGCCCAAGAAAACGGAGCACTTTGAGTCGAAGGGCATCCTGAACCACACGTGGCCCTTCTTCAGCTACCTCAACGCCTACCCGCAAACGGCCAACTCTCGAAACAACGCAGATCTCTTCATACCCAAATCGGATTCCGACGTCTCCAACTTCTCCCTCGATGCCAACAACAACACCCTGTCGCCAGTCACTTCAAGCACCGACTTGAAACCCGTGTTGTCCCCGGTGTCGCTCTTGAAATCTTTCCGAAACACCTCCAACACATTGTCCTCCATCACCTCCTCCTCCGAACTGACCACCTCTCTCTCGAGCTCGGGCAACGATGACAACAAGCTCTTTCCGCCGGGCGACTACGTCTACTCATTCGAGCTGCCAATACAGTCCTCCCTGCCCGAATCCGTCTGCGTGACGTTTGGCTCCATTGCCTACAACCTTGAAGCACACGTGGAGAGAAGTGGCGCTTTCAGGTCAAGCTTGACCGCCAGACGGCCCCTCAGTTTGGTCCGGGCTCCCTTTGAAAATTCAAGTGAAGAAAACGAGCCGATCATCATAGACAGAGACTGGGAGAATAGGTTACAATATGACATTGTAATCTACTCCAAACAAGTCATTTTGAACTCATATCTACCCATCTCATTTCGTATGATCCCGTTAGAGAAAATAAAAGTCCACCGATTACGAGTCTACATCACCGAACATTTGGAGTATTACTGTCACAACAAAAAGGTCCATCGAACAGAGCCTCCAAAGAAAATTTTATTGTTGGAACACAAGCCTCCAAAGGATTGTGATAATCTTCTCTCCCTTGGAAATGATGAAATAGGCGGCGTCGAATTAGATTTCCAAGTGTTCATACCTGAATACTACAATGAGAAATTCCATTTACATCCAGATACAACTAGCGAAGATGTCCAATCACATCATTGGATTAAAATATCTATACGTATTTCCAAACCAGAGCCAACTCCCGAAGACCCTAATAAGCGGAAACAGTACGAATTGTCAATTGACTCCCCAATGCACATTTTGAGCTCTCATTGTGTCCATGCAAACACTCTATTGCCCTCATATGATGAGCAAATAAAGTTGGATCGCTTAAATAGCAATATCAACCACACTACCAACAGCCTCACAGAAACAAACACAAATAAAACGTTGACCCCGGTTTCGTCCAGTAGACAGTCTTTAGATAAAATGATGTCTCCAAGGGATGACACCATTTTAGACTCAAATCTTTTCAAGCCTGATGATTCTGTTCCTGTGGAAATGCTTTCACCTCAAGCAAAACCATTTTCTCCCATCGCCTCTCCGCAGTTGAATGCAATCAGCCCAGAATTACGTGAAGCACCGCTAATCAGGCCAATGGAACTATCACCCATTGTTTCTCCAAGTTTTAGATCGAGATCTGCTTCAAGGGCATCCCTGGCCAGGAACAGAAACTTATCCCCAACCCCAAGACATACTGCTTCTGTGAGATCTGTCACTTCTCTCAATGAGCCTCCCCCACCTCCATTTGTTGAGAACCCTCCATCTTATGCTGAGGCCACGAAACCGTCGAAAAATAAAAAAAGGTCGTCAAGCAAGAGAAGAGAAACTACAAATTCGTCTGTATCCATGGACTCCTCAACTTCTGGAAATTCTGGAAACTCGGCGCTGTCTTTCTCTGCTGGGAAAAGTGCCAATAATAGTGCCAGTAACACCACTTCTTCCAATAATAATAATACTAAAAATAGCACAAGCAGTGTTCCGACGAGAATATCATTGAATCTTGGTGCCTCAATGGGAAGCATTCCAGGGCTGAACAACAATGGCAGTAATCACCAATTACATAGACTGGGATCTGGTTTGATTCCGATATCACAACTCAATCCTTCAGGGACGGGGACAACTGCCTCGAGTACTCCAAGCGAATCTACCCCATCCATATCTGCATTTTTAGATTCACCTCTGTCTCATCCAGATAATTCCAGCAAATACAATCCACAAATTCCACCACCAAGCCTGAAGTCACCGCAGGAAACGCCACCGCGCTCACATTCACCACTTCCATCCCAGCCTATCAATCAGATGGGTGACGCTCCATCTACAGTAACAACACTTGACTCGTCTCCAACTCGAGGTCGGAAAAAGGAAACACAAGATGCTTCTTCCTATGACTTAGCTCAAGATACAGATTTGAGATTTAAAATTACTCCAATTAGAAGCGCTTCGGGGTCACCGTACATGCGTGCACAACAGTATCCATCAACATCAATTCATGAAAGAACTGCTTCACCAATGAGGTCTGCATCACCATACAGATCGGCATCACCGGCGCCAATAGTTGCCACCGACAGGAATTTAAGTAAACTAGTGAACTCGACATTCATGCCTGGCTTCGCTTTGGATGATCATGCTCCTGGAGATAGCAATCCTGAATTTTTAACGGCTCCTCAAATCAGTATCACTGGTTCACAGGGTAATGAGCTAGAGATTAATGCCTCATCTCAACCTAGTAGCCAACGTCAATCTGCGGATCTATCTAGTGTGGACCAGCCTCTACTACGGGAAGATGACGCTAACTTTTCCGACTCCTCAACGGAAGAATATGGCAACCAAACAGGTTTGAGCGATACTTACAATATGCACGCAAACACCTTGGGTTCGCTAAATTCACTGGATATGATGCTGAATAGCAACCGCAGTCAAAATACCTTGAACGCTTTTGGTGATAGCACTGCTCGGGTCGGAGGAGTACCCAGCAAGGGTGTGCCGTTGAACTACCTGGGAAACAATATGGACGGATTTGATGATGGCACAGATATTACCAGCATGGGCCGGTTTGCAGAGGAGAGACATGGCGGAACATCTACGTCTACTTCTTCATCAATGCCAATTTCGTCTTTATCCTCGCATTGGAGCAAGCTTAGAAATCCTAAGCTTACCCATCCGGATAAAAAATAATCAGTTTATTAAAACGCATCCGAAAAGATCTTTATAACATTTTGTATCTATATGGAAAGTATAACATACAGTTGATTTAACACTCTACTACTATCTTTGGTCCTTCCATGACTCCACGCAGCTCTCAATAGGCAATAGAGAAGTAGCCCAAAAAAATTATGCTAATGCTCGCTCCACCACTATATGTGGTAGTGATAGACTGCAATTGCCATCATGAATCTGCGATGAACAGAATTACTTCTTTTTTGATGGCATCTTCCCATTAGTAGTTCACACTACTCTCTTTCAAAATAGCGTAGCATAAACGAAACAATATAATGGATGAAGAGTTTCCTATAAAGTTGGATTCCATTGTGGTTCCAACGTCCTCATCCAAGATTTTCAAAGATGATTGTATGTTCTCTTTCGATACTGCACTCGATCCAGTGGGCTTGGACATTTGTATGACTTGCCATCAAGCATTCTCCAGAGGTGAGATTAACTACACTCAGATGCATAGTGAGTTTTATGATCATGATTTATTTTTGAATTACCGGAAGATAAGAAAAGTTCAAAAAAATGAGGAACAGCCATATAAGATGATTAAGCTTGAAGTTAAAGAAGCCTCAGAATCTGAGTTGTTCGACTCAAAGTACTCCATATACGACCAAAAGCTAAACAAGTCTGTGGAGTATCCTAATAAAGAATTACCAATCAAGGTTTCCCAAGCGGCAAATGCGATCATAACTGCCACCTCTTCTGCGAAGAAAGAAGAAATAATGTCTTGGGAACAAGAGATTAAACCTTGTAAACATTCTTTGGCAATTGTGCAGGAGCCAATTCCAGGATTACAGTTGAAAAAATGTACCAATTGCGATTTGACTGAAAATTTGTGGATTTGTTTACATTGTGGAAACCTTGGATGTGGAAGGAACCAGTTCGGTGGTGTGCCCGGAAATTCGCATGCAATGGCGCACAAAAATGAATACCCAGACCATGCTGTAGCAGTGAAGTTAGGCTCGCTATCTTCGGACATTGCTGATTGTTACTGTTACTCTTGTGACGATGAAGTGAAGGTTCCAAATTTAGGAGCGTTGTTGAAAACCTTTGGGATTAATATAACAAATTTTGTGAGAACCGAGAAGTCATTGACAGAGTTGCAAATAGAACAGAACATTCAGTGGGATTTCAAAATGGGTAGTGATGGAGGTGAAGAATTGAAACCTGTATTTGGCAAGGGGTTAACTGGGTTCAAAAATTTAGGTAATTCATGTTACTTGGCTTCAGCTCTACAGTTACTGTTCAGCATTGACTCATTCCAAAAAGCATTTTTTATCCCTAACGGTGTTCCGTTGGATAAAATCCTAGGTAATTTAAAACCATATGAAGATCTGGAGACACAAATGTACAAATTGGGTGATGGGTTATTATCAGGAAGATATTCTGTTCCTGATATGACAACTTCAGAAACAACAAAGTATCAACGTGGTTTGAAGCCATCAGGCTTCAAAACATTGATTGGTGAGGGTCACCCGGAATTTAGCACCATGCTTCAACAAGACTCTTTTGAGTTTTGGACATACTTGATTGATAAATTGGAAAAGAAAAAAGTGTTTGGACAGTTAGAAGATTCGCCAACTAATGCACTGAAATTTATTCTTGAAAGTAAAATCAAGTGTAATACTTGTCAAGGAGTTAGGATTAAGAAGGAAGTCACCGACAATATGAGCATTCCATTGAATGTAAATTTTGTTGAAAAAGATGCAGAAGGAAACAAAATTTTCAAAGAAACTTCAATGGGTGAGAGCATGGATAAGTGGAATTCACCTGAGGTTTTCGAATACTCTTGTCCAAAATGTGGTGGTAAACAAGTTGCTACTAGAGAGGAAAGACTTAAGACTACGCCTGAATATTTTGTAGTTAATCCACAGCGTATAATTTTGGAGAATTGGGTTCCTACAAAGGTCAATGTCCCGGTCAAGTTTGAAGAGCTACTAGATCTACGAAAATATCAGCGTACAGGTTTACTACCAGGCGAGGAGGAGCTTCCTGAAGATGCAACAGATGTTCGAGAAGATGATAACAAGGCCTCTGAGCCCGAGTTTGATACTCAAGCATTAAATAACTTGTTTGAAATGGGGTTCACGGAGAATAGGGCAAAGCATGCCTTATATGCAACCGGGAACAATGGTGCAGAGGCAGCTATGAATTGGTTGTTTGAGCATATGGAAGATCCACAGATTGATGAGCCTTTTAAGGCTCCAGAAATTGGAGGTAGTGGTGCCTCGAGTGTTTCTGTTGATGCAGAAAAACTGGCCTCATTGACAAGCATGGGGTTTGGAGAGCAGATTTCCACGAAGGCTCTTGTTTTGAACAATCGTAACGTAGAGGCTGCTGTGGAGTGGTTGTTTAGTAACCCTGATGATGATGGTGTCCTTGAAGCAGCAGCTATTGGTTCAGCTGAAAAAGACACAGAACTCTTGGTGAAGGAATTGGAAAGTTCATTTGACAAGTCAAGGCTCAAGTATGAATTGGTGGGTGTTGTTTGTCATAAAGGTACATCTGTACATTCAGGACATTACGTTGCGTTTGTCAAGAAAATCGTTGATGGTGAAGCTAAATGGGTGCTTTTCAATGATGAAAAAGTTGTTCTAGCAATTGCTGATAATATCAAGGAGATTGAAACCACTGGCTATTTGTACGTTTACAAAAGGATTTAAGTGAAGAGGAGGAAAAATAAAATGGTACTGATTGATGAAACTCACTTATTATATATTGTATAGATATGTAAATAGATATGCATGCCTGATGAAAAGCAAGGGTTGAAGTGCTTAATAGGAAAATTCTTCTCGTGTTTAGCAATGGGTAAATATATATAAATAATTCAAAAATCCAAAAAGAGAGTTTTTTGGCAAGTAAAAGCAAAATATCGTGGAAAGTCAGTGTGATCAAAGAGATAAACAAAAAAGGTTAGTCAAAAATTGTATAAGAAATTTGGGGAAAAGAATCAATACGTAAATAGATATGCAAGTAAACATAATAATAATGATTTCTAATAGATAAAAGGAAAGGATATATTAATGAGTAATTGGAAGCAAATTATTTCTTGTCATTTAATTTTGCTTCTAATTTTGACACTTTTTCTAATAAATCGTTATTTTGTTTTCTTAACAACGCTATTTCAATGTCTTTTTCCTTTGACTTACCATAACTAACCATTCTTGATAATTCATCATTTTCTTCGGTCAACATTTTAAGCTTTGAAATGATTTTATGGGAAATTTCTTCCTCATCATATCTACCACTTTTGAAGCTTGAAGAAGTTGAATTCATTGAGATGGCAGTAATTAGAGACTCTAATCTTGTTTTTGTATCTTCTAATTCTGCTTCGGTTGAGCGGACTTTTTCAACCAATTTATGATACAACTCTTCATGGTTCTTAGGGATTTCAAAGCTATTACTTGATTCGTTTTGAGTTTTTAAAATCGTATTTTGAAAGTCCTTCAACTTTTCCAGTTCCAGTTCAAGTTTGGAAATTATAATGTCCTTGAGTTGAATCTTTGTTTTATAGTTTTCAATCTCTGGGGGATCAATATCACTTGACTTTGATTGGTTCATTTTTAATACTCTTGAATCGTAAATATTGTAAGCTTTATTATCCATGTTAATATTATTGTTAGTTGCGGTATTGTTACTACTATTATTGCTGTTGCTATTGCTGTTGTTATAGTCTGAGTTGAAATGACCATGTGATTGAGAATGAATATAGCTTTGATTCTGTTTGGTCTGATCATAGTTCGTGTCCATACTCATGTTCATGTTCATGTTTTGAGACTGAGGATGAATCAAATTTGAAGCTTGCATTTGTTGTTTGGGAGGCTTATAAGTGTACTGGTTGGAAAACGAGTTCTGATGTTTTTGCTGAAGAAGAAAATTATTGTAAGTGTTATTAGCGTTTTCAGAATTGGTGTTTGACCAATTGTTATCAGCAAGGTTCGAATTCTCGTTGTTGGTACTGTCAGAATTATTATTATTGTTGTTGTTATTGTTGTTATTGCTGTTACTGTTGCTATTGTTGTTGAAAAGCTGATTCTTGCTCTCCTTTAGTTGACGGTTGTAGTTGACATTTGAATTCCCAAAATATGTGTTTTGGATCAATGAAGGGGTCGTCAGCTGAGAGATTGAATCTTTCGTTGATAATTGCAGCATCTGGTAGGCCAAAGGGTCCATTTCAACGTTGGAATAGTTTGGCTTATATAAACTGCTTGAATCTGTGTTGAGTGAGTAAACAGGGTCGTAGTTTTTGGTCAAATTTGAGGTCGAGTTCGAGGTGGGGTTCGAATTTGGGTTGGAGTTAGGGTTGGAGTTCAAGTTTAAGTGCAAAGCCGAATCGGCGGTAAGACCAGAAGCAGAGTTCCAAATATCCATATTGTGCGGGAGGCTGTTGATTGAGTTCGTGACGGACGTAGCAGTTGTTGGCGAGGCTTCCAAAATAGCAGAAGCTTTGATAGTGCTCTCTGAGTTGTTATTGGTGTTGTTGGTGTTCCAGTTAGGCTGGGTGTTGCTGTTGCTGTTAAAGTTATAAAACGATGCGCTGTTAACGCTGCCGACACTGTTTTTCTTGGTCGTTGTTGGAGACGTGGTGAAGCTATTATTGGAGTTTATAGCCTTGTAGGGATCATAACTTCCCTGGTACAAAGAATTTGCCAAAGACGACCGAGCACTCAAACTGTGTGTAGTTTCTGAAGATGAAGCGATTAAGAGGGAGCTGTCCATCTAGAAAAAAGGGCAGATGAGAACAGAGCAAGAAAGTGCAAAGTACAGAGAAGGAAGCAAAGCAACAGCAGCAGCAGCAGCAGGGCAAGGGCAGGAGGGCAAAAGGCAGAAGAAAAAGGGGGAAAGCAGTGCTTCTTTAACTGAGCTGAGCGTCAACTGTGTTGTTGCTGCCATTCTGCTCCCCATGCCACTGTGGGGGGAAATGCTCAGCGGGTTTGGCCTTCTTTCCGAGCAAGCGACGCAGCGAGAAAAGGGGCCACGCAAAATACGGCAAATTCATGTTGAAAATCAAATCAGTTTCCCTGTTAGGATTAACATGATATATCCGCTGGCCGCCGCCCGTACGAACCCTTGTCACGGGTCACAAACCACACAGGTCACATCACGTGCCAAAAATGGCCGAGGTGAGCTCCTCGGACCCATCATGTGCTGGCACTACAGTGGAGAGGCTGGCGAGGGGGTTACAGAAGTAGCATTCGGATCATACGGAGAGCAGAAGAGCATACGGAGAGCAGAAGAGCACAAGAATGGAAAAGCAGAAAAGCAGAGGAAGAAACAGATGTTACTCGTTTCAACACACAGAGCGACCGCTGTGTGTACTTGTGCAGAACCGCAAAGAAGAGGAGGCACAGATTCATGTTGCCCTTTTTGAAACAGGTACCCTCTCTCAGTTCTGGCTTGAAACAGTCTCATCATTGGTTTCGCTCTCTCCCGCCGGCAATACCTGAAACAGCGTCTCGTCCCGTGTCGCCCCGCAGGCTTCGTTTTGCTCTCGGTCTGGATCGGGCAAAAAGAGTCCACGCTCCCACGCGCGACACGCCATCTGCTCTGTCAGTGTCTCCCGAAACGGGCAGATCGCCTGGACGCGCGTGCCGCAGCCTCGCGTGCCGCCGGTGTTGACGTTGCCGTTACCGGTTGACGTGTCTCGTGGCCCCGAGGCCCCGAGGTTTGGAGACACACAGACGCAAACGGGACGACCATGCCAAACAGGCTACTCTCTGAACGGCAGTGGTGGACGTGTGACAGCGTGCGTGGACGTCACAGCTGTGTTTGGGGTCCGCGGACGGGGGTGTATACATGGCGGCAGAGACCTGGCGTGTCGGCCGTCGGCCGTCTGCAGAAGCCGATATTTTGCTTCGGATCTTGGGGTGTTTATCCCCTTTTTTTCCGGCCTTTGTCCCTCGTCGTACACCTCCTGGCAAGTTCGTATAGACTGTCCGGTTCTCTTTTCTTACCTCAGCTACAACCTCACTCACACACACTCTGTCGCTACTTCTCTTGTGCCCTTCTGGTCCTTCGTTTCGCCCGGTCTTTGTCGTTCGACTTGTCTGTACTTTCTCTCTCTTTATTCTTTGCTCTCTTTTTCCCTATCCCTGCCCCTATCCCTTTCCCTCTTTGCCGTTTCCTTCTACTTCTTCGCTCCCTCACTCCTTTCGTTCCGTTTGTCAGAAGAAGACGCTGGAACATAATACGGCACAGCTGGATCGGACCATCACACAACCTCTAGCGGTAATGACAGGTCCTTTCACTCTCATCAGAAAGAAGAGTCAAAAACTCAAACGAAAGCTGTCAAAACACGAAAAGAAGACCGAAGAACCGGCCCGTTATGCCTACAACACAAGCCGCTACGGAAACGAAAATGAAACCCTGGACTACAACTGTTACTCCCCAATAGGCACCTCTTCTCCTACATTCCCCAATTTTCCAAGAAACACACATTCGGTCTCGTTTGACTTATCCCCCATAGAAGTCAAAGAACTCTCTGTCGACATACCCTACTACAATTTCAACCGCTCCCGTAGCACACAGAATCTTCAGGGTTACACCAACAATCCTAATAACAAGGAGAACATTTTCTACGAATCAGATTCTACCAAAAGTCGAAGATCCCTTGACAATCTAGGGACTCTGATCAAAATACCCAAAAGAACCGCTTCCCCTCCATCTGCTAGTAACTCCAACTTCAATCCGGCATCTAATAGACTCTCTTTTGACATTGCTTCTTACCAGCTCAACAAATCAAAGATCAGATCAGGCTCGAAAAGGGTGACCTCGGACTCTTCACTCTATTCAAATTCAAGACCAACATCCATGATACTCGACTCGGAAAAAACTCTTATACCCCCATACAGCATTCACAGTATCTCCAGCAATACCTACACTAATAAGACCAAGAATAGTATCTATGGATCGATTTACCCGGAGCGTCTCTCCAGAAGTGCAATATCTCTGAACACATATGTAGATCCCGAAACTCTGGCCCCAGAAAATAGTCTTCGCCAGTCAACTTCTCTGCTACGTGCCAAAAGTACAACCCATGGTTCCCGTCATACCCACCATAGTCACAAACATGGCAATCACAAACATGATTACTCATCTCGAAAAAAGGTTCCAAAAAGAGTTAGAGACAACCAAGGGGTTGTTTCGGCAGATCTTGACAATTGGAGTCTCGAAACTCCATCGAATATCCTTTTTGCAATCATATTCCATGTCCTCAACATCTTCTTCGGTGTCTGCGTCTATCTGCCAATCTATATTTTGGTTAGATTTGGTTACTTATCAATCCTGCTGGTTGGCCTCGGGATCTTGGCGTGGTGCATTTTCGGGTCCCCTTCACCATCGGTGGTTGTGAATCTGCAGCATACTATCTCAGAAATCTGATTAATTGTGGCTTCCCATGCCGCCATATTGCCAAAAACTTCACATAACACTGTCGCATTTGCTTTCCGGCACAACCTCAACTCATAAACAATTATTCCTGGTAAACACTAAAACTTTAGTGTCCTTTATAAATAAAAAAAATTCATGTAATAACCTCATATTCAGTAAAAAGATAGACCGTGATTTGTCACCAGTAAGCGAGTCGAGTCTCGCATTAGTTTTCCAACGTTAAATGATGATGATATGCGCTCTTGACTCAATTCGACGCAATGTATCATTATTTTTTCAAGCTATCAAGTGGTTCGGATACACTTAAAGCTATTTACCAAAAAAAAATAGCCGGCACCGCCTTGTTTGCTCAAGAACATAACAAGAGTAGTGTTTTCCGCCTGGTCTCGAGTAATGCTTGCCTCCGTACTCCGAGCAGCATAGCAATTCTCGGGGATTTTTTTGTTGATGACCGTTCATCAACGTCAAGACTCAAAGATTTTGTTCCATCTATACTTGTCTTTCTACGTGCAAAATACATGTCTCTATAAATATCCAAGCAATGATCTCATGAAAAATGAGGACGGAGATTAATATGAAGGCCAGTGGAAGATTTGCTTAGTTGGTTTTCGTTCATCATGTCAACCGTAGTATCTCCTAAAACATGTGCAGCCTTTGGTTGGCTGATCATTAGCCCCATAGCTACATTATTTGAGTTTGGGTTAGGACTTGAATTAGCAGCGCTGAAATAAGAAGAGCTGTCTTGTGAAGAGAAATAGCCGTCTGGCATTACTCCCGGAGTACTCACCACACTGCGATTTCCTGGGGAACCTAATTCAAACCGTGGTATGGTGGTTCTTATGGTATGTTGGATCATATGATCCTCTACACTGGTACCGGTCTTGGACATCATTTTTGATAAAAGAGAATTGTTTGAGACGTTTCTCGAAAGTGTCGGTGGTGTATTTGATTGATAATGTCCGTGGGAAAGCAAAGTAAGTCCATAACTTTGTCTCTTGTTTGCAAGATTCAGGGCAGTGGTAGATTTTGAATTGTTGGACATTGATGGAGCTGATTGCTGGTGTCGGTGCTGGTGTGGATGCTGATCCAAACCTGTCAATCTGAGGTTGCGTAATCTGGAATCTATTATATGCAAGTTTGATCGCAAATCATTTGGTGGAGGATCATAGACAGGAGTGAGATCTTTTAAGCTAGCATTGGAATGGATGGCAATTTCATAAGATGGTGGATTGAACATTTCTTTTAACACCTTCCCATCCATGGTACTGCTGTGACTCATACTAGACATAGAAGATGAAAGAGGCAACGATCCGGTTGTATCCCCAATAAATGAAGTGGCACGAGATAAATGTTGCACTGGCGACAATGCTCCTGGAGATATTAAATGGTTTGAAGATGGGAATTGGCTGATAGGCATTCGTTCGCCTGAATCAAAAGCAGGACCAGGAATAACGTTTTCTTGCCGACCGTGTATTTCGGGGTGGTATGGGGAAAGATTTGGAGTCGTATCAAAAGGATCCAAAATATCTGGATTTTCGTCATCATCGTCCCCAGCAATACTAAAAACAGGCTTTTTGTACTTCCTCAAATACTTCTTCTGAACTTTTTCCTCAGTATTGTCTGCAAATGGATCGAAGTCAGACGAGTTTACTGTATCATCGACTTCTCCATCTTCGTCTTCCTCCTCCTCCTCCTCCTCCTCCTCTTCTTCTTCTTCTTCTTCTTGGTCTCCTTTTTCTATCCCTCCATTCCCTTGCCCTCTACTATCTTCATTCTCTGCGCCTTTATCTGCCACATCGAAGTTTACATCTGCGTTCACATTGTTGATGACATTGCTTTTTCTGGTCTGCGGAGTTGAGCTAATTTGGCTACTTGGTAATCCGGTACTTCCATCATCATTAGCTGTGATAGGATCATCTAACTGATCCAAATGGGAATCCAGGTCGTAGACACGGTCATAGATACGATCATCATAATTTGGTGGCGCCATTAAATCTTGAGTATTCATGTTGGGTGTAGGCACCAAATTTTCTGCATTGGTTTCCAGTGTATCATTTTGATGAAGTCTTTGATACAAAGCCTTTGAGTTAACATCCTCATGCTGAAATATGATGTTGTCGCTTTGTAGATTATTTGATGCGTCTTCAAACACAGAATGTAAAAAAGGATCATCATATGCCTCAATAGTTTTCACCTTAATTGGAACAAAAGGACTGATAAATAAGGTGACAGGCAAGGTAGCACGCAGTTCACTTACGTGCCCATCGGGGTTGATTAATCCCACAGAAAACTTTAGCTTGTGTCTAACTTTGCACATACTTGAAATGTCTAAATCTTGTGTCATTTTTTCCAAAGAGGGTGGTAATTGAATCGAAGTTTTCACATTCCATTTATCTTGTGATAAAACAATATTGTGGCCTCTATAAAATACTCCTTCTTCGTCTGTTGGAGCCTCATCTGACCATATATCCACTCCATCTGAATTTGAAACTATTTTAGGAATATGTTTAGTGGTCAGCGTTCTTTCTTCCGTATGTTGACCTGTGGCAGTGGAAAAGCTAGCGTATTCGAGTAATTTGATTTTAATTGATCCCAACTTTAGTCCTTTACATAATGGTGCCATATCCAAAAAAATTTGGCAGGTCGAGCCGATAGCAATTGCTTTGGTAGGGACGCTTATAGAGTAATCAATTTTCTCTGGCCAAGTGTTATCAACTGCAATTGTTTCGGATAACTCTGCATTATCGGGGGACAATGTTCTGACAACGTGTAGTAATTTTCTGCTATGGATGGGTGTGGAAAATCTTCCTCTTTCAATGGAGCATTGTAGCCTGTAAATCAAGGAGCAGCAAGGATGGCCTATAATACTCTCTGGAATAGATCCATCCAAAATTACCTGAAATGGAAACTCATAATTCCCTGGCTCCAAAGTAACAAGGTCGCTGGAGCTCGAATTCCCCAGTGATGTCAACGAAGACAGATTGATTGCAGACAAACTCGACGCAGATTTAGTACGAGTGTGGCTGCTCGGTTGATGGCTGTTCTTTTGGCCTTGCTTTTGTTGAGCGGCTAAACCACTTACTGAGGTAGTGGACTCCTTTGAGTTCAGAGTTGCATTGGAATCGATTCTCCGCAAATTTGACGCTGAACCAGGGTTGGATCTTGTTAGCGTCCCGGTTGTGAAGCCTATATTCTGATTTAAATTTTCTAAACTGTTGGAGGATGTATTTCGTGACGCCATAAATGACGAATGAAGCGGATCATGAGTATGAAGAAAACGTTCTAGATTGATGGGGTCCCAGTCAAAACAATAAACCATTTTGGTGAATTTATAGGGATGGGAAAATACTTGGCCCTTGGGGTTATGATACTTTTCCTCCCAACGAAAGCTCAAAGTAGCATACAACTTTAGTTTCATTCTCTTGACTTGAAGAGGTTCAGTGGCTGACAGGGCTATGACTCCCGACAACATTGTCGGAGAAGCCTCTGTTGGAGCACCCTTCAATAAAATTGTGTCCTTATCAACAGCATGAACTCTTATATCAAAAAGTGGAAGTTTAGTCTTCTTTGCTTTAGGCATGGCTTTGTCTAACCGCGTTATATAGTTATTGGCACTTACTTCAAGGTATAGTCCTAATAGTTTAACAGGAATATAATACGCTTCTCTTCATGAGCAAATGAACCGATCATGCAGCTCCAGAATGACTCCAGCATTGTCCTGGCCCGAGCTCTTGCCGCTCTAATTCGCCCAAGAAGTTTTTCCGGAAAAAAGGCTAGCAATAATCAGCAGCACGTGACGCGGCCACCGACTATTTTGGTGAACTTAACCTGACATATGACAGACTATATTATACGTGAACTCAAATATATTGACACATGAGTATAACTAAATACCTTTATGTAAAGGGCCAATACACTTCTACTAGCAACGATAACTATTTACTCGATCAGAGATCTTTGCATCAGTAGCACACAATCTCCGCCTCTTTCTGGATTTAGGCCATATGTGTAGAAAATGCCGTCAGCAGACACAACAAGAATATGCACAGCTTTCTTTTTCGAAAAACGACTGTTGCTCCTACTGTTGCCTCGGCTTCCGTTACTAAGGCCGCTGACTCCACTATTCAGACTGTGCGTACTTGAGCTATCATCATGAAGAGTATGTCCTGTATGAGACTGGATTGATAGTTCGTCATTCGCATCTATAGAACTGTCGACATTAAGTTCAATCACGCCAACAATGGACATGTTCTCTTTGCTCGTAGGAACCTTGAAAGATGCAAAGTGCCTGTTCGGCTCCAAGATTGAAGAAAATCTAGGAGGTAGATACGTTCCCATTTTCTCTGCGGCTTTCCGTCCTAGGCTTTGAGAAGTTCGACGAAACATTCTTGCCACAGATCGTCGATTGCTGTCTACTATTGGTTGAGCTTTGCCGGAGGTGCTTCCTCCAGAAGAAGAAGAAAAGATAGAGATCGCTCCCGATTGTGTATTGTTAGTCAATTCCGATGGTAAAGGACGTAAAACATCGACGTTCTCAAAGTCTTCTTCTGTTCCTCTCATAGTCTTTCCAACTGCAGCACTCTCTACCACATTATCATCAACATTATTAACCAACTCGTGCCTTCCTTCTCCTTCTTCTTCGTCTTCGTCTTCGTCTTCTTCATCATCGTCGTCGTCGTCATCTGATGAATCAATGTCGTCTTCAGAATCCGAGTGTATTCCTAACCTTTGAAAGTCTGCAACATCTACTTCTGTTTGATCTTCATCATTAGTGAGCTCAAAGTCGTCTACAGTATCCATCTCAGCTTGGTGGTTTTTCAATCTATCTAGTTCGTTTTGTCTGGTAACTTCCAGATTTCGATCATTTTCATTTTTTCTTTGATTGAGCCATCCAGAAGATCTTGTACTCTTGACAACAGTATTCTTAGCCTCCTCCTCACCGAGACGGAAAACATGAACTGTCCCTGTTGCACTGCTGGCAACCAAAAACATATTCCTTGGACTGAATGCAAGTGAATATATTTTAGTATTATATGTACCCCTACGGAATTGATACAGTTTCACTCCTCTCTCAACAGAAAAAACGCGTACAATTGTTCCCTTATCACTTGCAGTGGCAAGTAAAGTTCCGTCTTGGCTGAACGCCATAGTTGATAACTGAGTTTTGTGCGCATCAATAACTGTGATCGGCTGCAATGATTTGCAATCAAAAATTATAACATCACCATTGCGTATGCTTTGTGTAACACTAGTATCATGTAAGCCAGCTAAATCGTCATGGGAATTTACGCCAGTATTTGGCAAATGTGAAGCATTTGAAGCGGATGGGTGTTGTCCATTGATCCCAGTAACATCGACCCCCGGCCCATTTGGAACACTGTTTGAACCATTCAGTTTAGTTACCTTTTGTGGCGAAGGGTATGCGAGATAATTGTTATCTGAATTTATACTCAATGCCACTAACCCCATTGGGTTCGGCGGAATTTCCACTGTATGCAATAATCTCATATTGGTAATATCATAAATGTAAATGATTTCTTCGAGAAGTACAATGAGTCTCTCCCGGTTCATCCGTATAGAAAGAATTGAAGTTGGAAAAGTTAACTCACATATTGTAGTATGGCGTTTGGTGTTTATGATTTTTAGCCGACGTGGAGACAGAGAGGCTTGCTCACCAGTACCAACGATAGCGAGCAAGGAAGAGCAAAAAAGCATTTCAACAATGCCTATAGGTCCATCCAAATGTTCATAGCATTGAGTAAATGGATCGCAGTTGTAAACCCTGAACCCATTCTCATAACCGACAGAAATGCATGAATAATCCTGATTGAAATTGGCAAAGTTTAGACCCGTGATGTTTTCGCTAGGCTCAGACGGCGCAAGCTTAACTGACATCATTGTCGAATCGTTCTGCATTGAATACACTGAAGAATCTTCCATGTTCTGTTGCATTTTCAGATGTGTTTCCTACTTTGATATACTTGGTGACGGGATCTCCAATTGGAAGCAGACAGGCAGCAACACCGACTAAAAGCCGGCTCCAAGCTTGTTTCTTGATAAAATAAAAACATGGCGCTCCTCACAATTTTTATTTTTCCCATACAAATGCTACCCCACAATATTCATTATCAACTTGGCTACTACAATTTTATAATAGACTTCTATTAAGAAATATAAATTCTGTATAAATGTATTTAAACATACTTCATTGTCTACTTACTTTACATATAATCAGGCCCAAGGATTCCCGTCATCCTGCCAGGTCTTTCTAGCAACGGTAGTAGGCATGCTTAGCTCCCTGAAAAGATCACTGGTTTCCTTTCCTCCACGTTCGGTTGCATGTTCTTCGTTAGTAGTGGAGTCTATATTTGCAACATTAGTACCAGGATTACTCCACACGCTATTTTCAGTATTCGGGGCTGCTGCGTTTTCCCTGTCACCAAAAAGTATATTTCCACCTATATCGTCTTCGGAGAGCTGTCCATTTTCTTTTCCTCCTTCTTCTTCTTCTTCTTCATGATCGTTTTCAGTTTCGTAATCCTTATTGTCGTGGTTGTTCCAATTTCCTTCACTGTACTCGTGTTCCTCGTTGCTTTCATCTACAATTGTTTCTAACTCATCTCTCATATCTAAAGGAATGTTCGGCTGATAAGCTATTAATTTTCGGTTATCAACATGTTTAAAATCCGCACCATACTGGTGCAATAGCTGTACCAATCGAGGTAGAGTAACGGGAAAAGCCTGTCCACAATTCATTTCCAGGTATGTATCGCCTTTGTAGAACATTCCTTTGGCCGTAACTTCATCCCCTTCATTGTGAGAATTTTCTTTCAGCCATTTCTTCAACGTTTTAGAGAATTTTTTTTCATCAACTTCGTAGTGGTAATTCCGTATACATTGAACCATTGTTGAAGAAGCAATAACCTCAAACTTGTTAATTATATCCTGTAATCCCTCTAAGTCTCCGATTCCTGTCATAACCTGAAGCCATTCGGCCAATTCAACTATAGGTTGTAACGAATACTGGCCAATTTTGAACAATGGATTCAAATAATAAGCAGAATCCATAGGATTTCTCTTATCTCCCTCATATCGACAAACATTTGTTAAATATCCGTTTGGCTTAGCAACGACATTATCTGGAAAACCATCCTCTTTCCAAGTTGATAGTGTGGAAGAGTCAGCATCTTCTGCAATAAAAGGTTGTAGATTGTTGGCACGGAGCCAGTCTTGGATATAAGATAAATTTAAACGAATTTCCATAGCCTTGACTCTTGAGCAATATTTTTTAGTAGACACCACTTTGTTGAATAGATGGCTTCCGATGTAATAGAGAACGGCACTGAGACATTGTTGCTTTATTGTATCATTAATGTAAAAGAGTTCTAAAACATAAAGTAAAGCACCAAGAGTTTGAATCACTCTCAAAGGTGAGGGTTTCATCTGCTCGGAATATGATGGTGGGTATAACATATCAATTATCTCCTCATAAGAGGTCTTTTTGTTGCTTTTTGACTTGTTTTTAAATATTCTCCAATCGTTCTTGTAGATCACTTCGAAATCTGGGACACTGTTGTATTCTAGGATACATGGCTCCAACAGCGGCTCCAATCTGGCATCAAGAGTGAACGCCAATTTTGATATAAGTGACTGAAGACACGAGATGATTTCTTGCAAGATTGAAGGATATTTTGTTAAGAAGTTGCACGCGCTATCACGAATCAAGAAATAGTATAGATGATTCAGGGCAGAAATCCAATACCCAATGGTAACAATATCTACAGCAGGTGGATCTGGTGTTTTATCTTTCTCTTTCTTTTTCATTTTCTCCCTTTCTTTCTTCTCTTTTTGGCCAAAGAATTGAACCACACCACTTTTAGTGTCGGTAATGTTCCTAATTCTTGTAAGATATAAATCAATCAAATTCTTAACCAGTCCCTCACTCTGGAGTTTGTGTTCTGCATATCGTAAACACTGAAATATGACGGATGAAGGATATAAGGGCTTGGTATGATATTTCCCAGGCAGTTTAAAAACGTAATCCATTATTCCACGAATGCTGTCATCGGTGAACTTAAAATACTGTTTGCTTTGCACAATGTTGAAATTGAAGGTCATTTTATCAAAGTTCTCATCTAACATAATATCTTCATCATCCACAAAGTTGCCATCACGATTTTTCTCACCAAGTGACAATTTGCTCAAGTCGGTTGCTGAAAGGTTATAATTATTTTCAGTTGGAAGAAGTACATCACTTTTGTAAAAATCGGATCCATGGGTAGCATCTTGGGTTAATTTATTTTTCATATACCCGTGAATTTTGTAGTACTCGTAAGATTTTGAGTTTGGCTTCACCAGATCCATGGCGTTTTTCATGCTTTTACCCACTCTCTTCATAGGATCAGCATTGAAGGATATCAACCTTTCTATTAAGTCTTCGTAGTCAAGATGGGTTGCCCACATCACAGGAGTCCATCCCACTAAGTTATCTGGTTCGTTACAATCGACATTGAAAGTTAGCAATAACTCTACGCACTCTTTGTTGTGAAAGCAAATGGAGTAGATTAACGGAGTCAAGCCTTTACTGTCAACTGTGTTCAGAAGTTTTTTGTTTTCTGTTAAGAGTTCTTTAATTGTGTATACATCGTTAGTGGTACATGCAAGGCATAGCTCTACTATTGGTTTCACTGTGTCTTTGTTGTCCGCCAGTAATTTCAGGGCTTTTTGCGCTGCTAGGACTTGGGAGTAAGTGATATCCTTTGTAGAAAGAAACGACGCTGCCGCTCCCAAAGTACTCCATGGATCCATGGTTCACGAATAATCAATTGATGTGAATATTTATGGCTAAAGCTTAACTATTTACTAGAGGTAACAATAACTAAAAAGCCTTACAAACAGTGTACACAAAATACTCAAACGATGGTGGAGGCTTCTCCCGATGCCGTAGTGACGAAATTTCGCGGACCAGTTACGGTAGCATGAATTTGACAAGCCGTAAAGGAGGTGCTGTTTGAGAGGACAAAAAGTGCTAACGTCGGCTGCAGATACTTTATGTTCAATCACTCGTACATTATTTTGAGAAAAGATTACGAAAAAGCAATGTCTGAGCTACAGACACAGCATTATGTGGAGCAAACAATTTCTCCGAATAAACAATTTGATCAAAGATTAAGCTCTAGAATCTCAACGCAACCGCAGAGTCCTACAAAGTCACGTCGTCAGCCAAATGACAAACGTCTTCGGCAAGATTTAGAGTCTGGAAGTTGCAATTCTTTACTACGTCCCGAATTCTCTTTATCTAAATTGCAGTGGCTTAGTCTCACAAAAATAACCGATCAAATATATTCTTCCTCATCTCTTTCTGAGAATGGAGATCCGCAATTATTGGCCATAAGTGATGAATATATTGCTGTGGTGACCTCTAAATGCTACGCTTTACTATTCAGCTTTCAGCAGGTACTTTTATTGAAAGTCAAGTGGGCAAATATTACGCCTTCTACAAGAATAACGGCTCTCGCCTTATCAATAGATTCTACTTACTTAGCAATGGGTAACTCTGATGGCGCAATTAATTTGTATGATCTGAAAAAGGCTGATCCAATAATCACAATTACACCAACTACTGCTCATGAACTTCAGTTTGACGGGTCACATCATCATATTGCACATTTGAAGGGTTCCGCTATTCGATTTATATCTTTCATTGGATCAAGACATACAGGTTTCGTCTCTTCAGATGATACAGGAATCACAATATTTCATAATGGAGGACGATCTCTGATTGGCTATTCATGCAGGTCAAAAATAGTTTTTGGTAGATATGATCTTGCCAACATCATGACGGGAAAAGTAAACTATTCTAACACGGTCTTGGATTTTCATCTACTTCCGATTGGCTCTAAAAAATCACTGGCAGATGAAATGAGTTTGATTTCTATGATCACTCCTCACTCGATGGTGGTTTTATCGCTTAACTCAGAGCTCAAAACTCATATCAAAATGAAAAAGCCTAAAATCTCCGACCAAAGCCTTGGCATGTCCGGTTGCGTTTCATGGTTTCCCGCAACTGTCGGTGACTTTGGACGGCATGAAAATTCCCCTATGCTTGCATATGCATGGTCAAATATACTTGGTGTCCTCGAAATAAAAGCAGAGAATAACACTAATGAAGAAGGGGAACAAACTGTCATTCTCAATGTTACGTCCAAAAAAGAGACGAAATATTCAGAAACTATTGTCTGCTTACGATGGCTCAACTACAGAGTTTTGGTTGCACTTACGAGGTCACAGAAATTGATTTTTTATGATTCGAGCAGTCTCGTCATATTGAAAGAGGTAGATCTGATGTACAAACAAATGAAAAGCACTCCAATTTTTCCTCACAATAGCATTGGGCTCATTCAAAAGAGCTTTTTTGGTTCATTTTTTACTTTGAAATCCAGCATTTTTATTTTTCAGCATAGGGAAATTGCTGTTGCCAATATATCAAACTGGGCAGATGTTTTATTGAATCTTCTCGAAAAGGGAAAGTACATTGAAGCGTTGAAGGAATCGAAAAGGCAGTATCAAGGTGGTGAGGATAATCCGCTACTAAATTTACCTGACGACGATGAAGCACGACATTCAATTATGAAAGAGTATCTGATTCAGATATTTCGTTCTTCACTGAAGTATATTTTCACCGAACAGTCTTCTTCAGATAACAGCTTGGATCGTTATCGAGAGATTACACTCTTATTAATTCAAACCTGCCTAACGATAAATGCACCATCTGAAATGTATGATTTAATTTATGAGAAATTGCTTGATTATCGTCTGGATAGTGTCTTTTTTCAAGTGCTTGAAAACTTCATATTTTCGTCGGAAATTGTCACTTTTTCACCCACAATTCTAAAAGCAATGGTTGTACACTATATCGAAGAAAAGGATACGAATACTTTAGAGCGGTTGATTTGCTTGCTAGATATTCAGCAGCTTGATATTGACCTAACTGTTACTCTGTGTAAACAATACCACTTAAATGAGACTTTAGCTTACATTTGGACCACTCTTCTGCACGATATATTTACCCCGTTGATAGAGGCTGTCTTGAGAATAAAAACATTTAATGAGAAGGAAAATGTATTATCTGATGCAGAAAAAGAGGAAATTGTCAACGATATTGGATATGTGTATCCATATATTTCATATACATTGACAGGGCGTCAGTATCCTACCGATAAGTTGTTTCCATATACTTATAGTCTCTCCGCAAAGTTGAATGTTTACTATTTCCTATTCAATGGATCAACTATTTCGTGGCCATTGGGCTCTGCTAAAATCCACACTGTTGATGATTATAAAGCTGAGCCAGCTTTTCCTTATTTGAGTCTACTTTTGAAATATGATAGTGAAAGTATGCTTTCATGTCTTAATGAGGCATTTGAGGATGATTTGTTAAATGATAATGAGATGGTGGGGTCAGGTTCAACAATTGACGATAAATATCAATTGAGAGTAAGCAGGCAATACATCATTGATGTTCTACTAGGAGTTTTTCATGATAACGACTCAAGTTTTTCTTTGGCTGACAATATAAGATTAGCCGTTTTCATAACCAGAAATTATCCCAAATATCTGCAGTTTATTAGGATAGCAGATAGTATATCTGACGAAATGATTGCAATTCTTTGCAAGGCAGGAACTAGCAAGAAAAATATAAATATAACCACAGAACTAGTTCAAGATTGTGAATTGGGGCTTCAGTCTTTACTTTCAGTTTACAAACCTTTAGATATTGACTACGTTCTTCTTCAGGTCAAGAAAGCTGGGTTTTATCAAGTCTTACTGTATCTTTACCAATCTGAGGAAAGATATATGGATGTATTAGAATTGTGGGTAGATTTGCAAAACATGAAAAAGATTGAGCCTGAAAAAACTGGAAACATAGAGCTTTTCAAACCGATATCCGAAATTTTGAAAGATGCTATGAAAGCTTCGAAAGGCTCGAATAGGGCAGAAATTGTCCAAATTTTGAGTTCTAACTTCGAGCTATTTGTCAAGTCTGATCCGAAAAGCTTGGCTTCGGTAGTCTGTGAGTTTTGCCCAGAGCTAAACTCCGACGTTGTCAATTTTGAGGACAACCATATCAAATTTGATTATTTAAGAGAAATTTTCAACACCCGTGATGAAGGTGGAGGCAAGAAGAACAAATTACTAGGAGCAGGCCTTAGATATGAATATCTTAAAAGTTTGATCAGCCAAAGGAGAATGAATGTTTCAGATATCAGTCAATCAGATGCTGTGTTGCAAGCTCAAATTTATGATGATCCAATTAGTGAGAAAAGTTTCATGGATAATCGTATCGAGCATTTTGTTCTCAGTCTGGATAATTTGAGTACTGATATTGTTGACCTTTTGAAATCCGATGAATCTAATGAGTTCGAAGTTTTGATAAAGTGGTACGTCGTTAAATATCAATACGGAAATGCCATTGATTCAGTTTGTGAAATTCTGGAAAGATCCAGCAATGAGATGGAATTAAAAGGCTATTCGAAGCAACAAGAAACTAAAGTATGGAGATGTATCAACAAGGTTTTTTCTGTACTATCTACCAAAGACCCCACTTTGACTAAAAAACTGGAAGATAGTTTAGCTTTGAGAGAAACGCTAATACTTCAAATTATCGAAGCTTCTGTCAGTATATTGACAAAACTTACCAACGCCTCTTCAAAAGAGAGTAGAGTAGAGCACAAGGTTGTTGACACTTTCAAAAGAGTAGTTCAATCAATATTTACATACGTCATTAATGTAAGCAGTGAAGATTCCAGCTCATTCAACAAAATATTCAAAAAGTTCTTGGATGACTCTGCTATCCACCAGACAAAGCTAGGGGACGTTAAAATGGTTTTGAGAGAAATTTTCATATCTTTCTGTAATGATCAACAAATATTAACAATTATTCAGATACTGGTTGATAACGATATTTTTGACAATCTGATGGTCTTGGAATCTTTGAAAATTCAAGGTTGGTCCCCAAAAAATATAGAGTGTGAAGCTTGTGGTAGGAAAATTTGGGGAGGGAAAATTGGAAACTCCGTTTACGAATCTTGGAGAGATCATAAATTGAAGAATTTTAGAAGTGAGAAAATTAATGAGAACAATGAAGGCATAAGTCAAATAGATAAGTTGAACGAACTCTATGTATTTCAGTGTCGTCATACGTATCATCGCAAATGTCTAGAGAATATGGGAATGATAAAGGATAGGGACAAAGAATGTATATTATGTAGGCAAAACTAGAGTAGTTGATATATTTTACAAGGCTAAGACTAAATAAATAAATATAGAACTATAGAAAATGGAAATAGAGAAATAGAGAGAGAGGAAAATAGGGAAGTAGGAGGACCACAAGTTGAATGCTGAAGTTAGAGGCACTCAGTCATTTTGTTTCATCCATCCAGTCCAAAGTATATCTAATGCCTTGCTCTAACCCAACCTTGGGTTTATATCCTAAAATGGTCTTCGCTTTCGTGATATTGTGATATCTATATGCACAAACAATCTTCACTCTAAATGGGGTCAAGCCTGGTTCTTTGCCGACAATTTTAGAGAAAAACTCAGACAAGTAAGCCACACAAATGGCAACTGGTCTGTTCAAAACGATGTTGTACTTGTCAACGTGGCCATCGGCCTTCCACACGGTTCTGGCAAGGGTCCAGAAATACGAAGGAGTGTCGTTCGTGACAAAAAACTTTTCACCACCAACAGATGATACAGTCGTAGGGTCCAATATTTTCTTAGCAGCCAAAACATGGGCGTCTGCGACGTTACCGGCATAACTCCAATCAAACAAGTTGTTGTTATCACCAACCTGGAACTTTGTCTGACCTCTTTCTAAGACTTGTCTCAAACCAGGCACAAGCTGTCTGTCACCAGGACCAAAGATGCCCGCTGGTCTCAACGCCACAGTATAGAACTCCTCCTCAGGCGAATTTGCTTTCAAAACCATTTCTTCTGCAATTGCCTTGGTTTCGTTATATCCGTCCATTGGAACCTCAGGTATAGGCCATGTCTCATCTGCATTGTGCACATCGTTACCGTTGAATATAACACCAGCTGAGGAAGTATATACTAATGCCTTGATTCCTGTTTCCTTGCAGCACTTGATGAGGTTTGCCGTACCGCGGACATTGACCTTCTCGTAGAGCTCTTGACCAAGACCATGGATTGGGGACGCAGAATGGACCACGGCTGATGGCTTCGAGGATTCAATCGCCTTCTTTACGTCGTCTTCAGACGTGAGGTCGCCAACATGCACCGCTATTTGCTTAGGGTCAAATGTGAAATATTTGGAGATTTTATCGGGCAATGGACGAATATCGAAAACGTGTATCTTTGGACGTGGAGATTCTTCCCAAAATTGTTGAATCAGGTGAAGTCCAAGAAACCCTGAACCACCAATTAGGAGCACAGATTCTAGTGGAGTTGCCATTGTGCTTGCGGGTCTTCGTTATATCTTTACAGAAGTGCTATTGTCCAAGGAAGGGAGATAGATGTCCCTTCGTTTAAACGTCTGAATGCACCCCAAACAAGCTGGGTGTGTCGTTCCGATCGGCCATATTTTCTCGTTCGCTGCCGTATAATTCTTCACATCACAGAAATACGGATGTTTAAATCGAGCTGTGACAGGGTGTCTACATGTTTACATGTTTACATGTTTCACACTTGAGGTGCTATTCTATCTCACATACAGGTTCTAACCATCTGCGTGTTTCAGAGACTTGTCTCCACACGTCGAAAGAACGGGGCAAGTCAAGGCACCGTCGAAAGAAGAGAGTTAACAAATTAGAATGAAGCGGATGACAGTGAGAGCCAGGGAACAGTAAAGGCAGCCCTATTCCGTGTCACACACCTAGACTTTGCTGATGCCGGCCCATTCACTGGCTAACGAGAGTCCCTAGCCCAGTAGCTATGTCTCTAGCAGAGATGAGGTTAGTTGCTCCCTGCCTTGTAAAAAGATGGAAATCCGCCAAAAACGACGATCGGCCGTCTTGTACTTTTTTTTCAGCTGATTGTGACTCTTCTTTCCAATTTCCGGTCTCCAGATGCAGATAACGGGGTAGGATGTTATTCGGTTGGGGAAGTTAAAAAACAGAAGGAAGCTTTACAGATACAATCAAGACAAACACCATAATGTCAGCAGACCAACCAGCAGAACAAAGACTTTGGGGCGGAAGATTCACCGGGGCAAGCGATCCCTTGATGGATCTATACAATGCATCCTTACCATACGACAAGAAAATGTATGCACAGGATTTGGAGGGTACTCGGGTCTATACCATGGGCTTGGAGAAGCTTGGATTGATAACAGCAGAAGAGCTTAAGGAAATCCACAGAGGTCTTGAAATTATCAAGGAAGAGTGGAAATCTGGTAAGTTCGTCGAGAAGCAAGGTGACGAGGACATTCATACCGCCAATGAGAGAAGATTGGGCGAGTTGATTGGCAAAAACATCTCCGGTAAGGTCCATACCGGTAGGTCCAGAAACGACCAGGTTGCGACAGATATGAGATTGTATGTCAGAGACGAGTTGAAGAAGCTGGCAGGATATTTGAAGTCATTGATTGAAACGATGATCAAGAGAGCCGAGAAGGAAATAAACTTCTTGATGCCGGGCTACACTCATCTCCAGAGAGCGCAGCCAATCAGATGGTCCCACTGGATCAGCATGTATGCTACGTACTTCACTGAGGATTACAAGAGGTTGAACCAGATCATTGAAAGATTGAACGTCTCTCCGTTGGGTTGTGGTGCATTGGCTGGTCACCCATATGGTATCGACAGGGAATTCTTGGCAAAGGAACTTAATTTCAACGGAGTCATAGGTAATTCTCTAGCAGCTGTTTCTGACAGAGACTTTGTTGTCGAAACCATGTTCTGGTCATCTCTTTTCATGAACCACATTTCTAGATTTTCTGAAGACTTGATCATCTACTCAAGCGGTGAATTTGGCTTCATTCAGTTGGCAGATGCTTACTCCACTGGTTCTTCCTTAATGCCACAGAAAAAAAACCCAGATTCTTTGGAATTGTTGAGGGGTAAGTCCGGTAGAGTCTTTGGTAGTCTTGCAGGTTTCATGATGTCATTGAAATCCATTCCTTCCACCTACAACAAGGACATGCAGGAAGACAAAGAGCCATTGTTCGACGCAATGCTAACTGTAGAGCACTCCATTTTGATTGCAACCGGTGTGATTTCGACCTTGGCTCCGAAGAGTGAAAGAATGGAAGCGTCTTTAAGCATGGACATGCTTGCAACAGATCTAGCTGATTACTTAGTTAGGAAAGGTGTTCCATTCAGAGAAACTCATCACATCTCTGGTGAGTGTGTGAGAGCGGCAGAAGAAAACAGTCTGTCAGGTATTGACCAATTATCAATGGAACAATTCAAAACGATTGATAGCAGATTTGAAGATGATGTTTTCAAGACTTTCAACTTCGAGCAGTCGGTCGAAAGAAGAGACGCTACCGGTGGTACTGCAAAGTCAGCCGTGATAAAACAATTAAATGCTTTGAAAGATACTCTTGGTAACTGAATAGATATGTAACGCCATGGTAGCTTATTTACCTTTGGCATTCATTTTTACTGGCCGTTAGTAATTTATTACATTATAAATGAAAGTAAACTTGATTAGAAATTTCAAATCAAAAAATTACTGGGAGTTGGATGGAAACTAAATGGCTTACATATTGAAGGCCTAATCAGTTTTCTATTACATTTAGGTCAACTTCTAGATTAGTAGGAGAAGAAACGATGTACACTACCGATGGGCGTCGAAGATCCAGAGCTTCTGCTTCTCCCACAGTGTAGCTAGAGCCACTAGATGGTGTCTTCATAATGCAAGTGCTTTCGTCATCAAAAAATTCTACTGAAAGTGAAGGATTGTGATCGTCATTCTTTGCTTTCGTCCCAGAATAACTATCTGTAAAAATATGCTCTGCGTCTTCAAGGTGATTTTCAATCGCAAGAGGTTTAGGGGGTAGATTCAGAGTTGCATATGAGAGATTGTTTTCATTCAACCCTGAATCGATTGTTGCCAGAGGTGTTGTTGTTAAGGAATCGACAGAAATAGAATTGCTTGATATTGAAGGACTGCGGTGGTGTGATGGACCCTTCATCGACCAAGAAGATGCTCTTTTCAACAAGGGGGAGCTCAAAGGAATAGTCTCTGAGGTTTTGTCGGAATCTCCATTGCTGTTGTTGTTAATGTTGCTGCTACCTGTGATGTATTCTTGGGTTTTACCAAATGTCCGATCTTGCATAGTAACTGGAGAGAGGGAAGAGATGGAAAGCCGTTTGGAATTCCGCCTTTTCTGTGTCAAAATTATATTAGAGTGTCTTCTAGAGGGATACGGAATACTAGGATAGGAATTTGCCGTCGGAGACGAAGAAGATGATGAGGACAGTGGAGGTTCGGTGAGAAGACGTTTTGAACTCGATGGGAAATACATGCTAGGCTTATGTATTGTTGATTTAGGAGATAGATCTGCGGGTACCACATGTTGAGGTTCGGCAAGAAATGCCGGGGGCTGATCTAACTGTTCTAGTTCATCGTTGCTATCACTCCCACTTCCCCCAAGCTCCATTTCCCCACTTCTCGGCGTGCCTTCTGAGTGCTTCTGGCCACGGCTAGAAGCTAAGGGGAACGTGAAACTGTTCAACTTGCTAAAGGTTTCGGAGTCTTCCATTATGGTCTAGCACTGGCTTGCCCCATGTAACACTGGTGAAGCGCAGCGTGAAGTGCAATTAAACCTGTCAACGATTAAATCACGTACAGCAACAGCAACATTTTGCAAACCATAGAAATCAGAAGGTTTTTAAGAGATTTTACATGCATCTTGTTTGTCGAAAAGCCAAAATTCGATTATAGGACGGCAGAACATCGCCAGCATTGAATGCTAATTAGCCGAAAAGCACCATAAATTGGCCATTGATCCACAATAGAGTCCACAGATCTTTTCTTTTGCCTAATGAACACAGAAGGTAAAACAATAGCAGTCCTTTGGCAGAAAATGGGAGAGGCATGAAGCAGAGTCCGGGATTCTAGATCGAGACATTAGGTCCGAAGGCATCAATCCACGTGACCAGGCCGTCGGAGGTAAATCGGTAAGTCGGCTTTACCCGGGCTACTATGGAATAAAACGGGGCAAAGGCTACAGGCGTAACCAACTACAGTTTGGTTAAATCCAGTTTCAGTCAGTGATATACAAGTTTGGATATCTGTCATAAAAGAGTACTCAGAATGGTGCACAGCAAACTATTAGTCATCATTTAAAACTGGAAAAAACCGCACACTAGCAGCCTACAGCAAAGACCCATTGGAAAAGATAGGCGAAGTGGGCGAAGTAGCACACCCTCCTGGACATGAACATCGCTTTATCCGTCTGTCTTGCTAATGGCCTGTTCAGCGCATAAAAGTATATCTTCCACCTTTAGGCTGCTGCTATTACGAAGTAATCAACACGCTAAATATAAAATAACGGATGCTATCTACAGGGAGAGGAATGCTCCAAGCCGAGGAACGTTCCTCCTTTTTATACTTTTTCTCGCGGAAGATCAGACGGCGGCCGCGACTGCAATCCGTGTCGTGCCCTCTTGAGGGTTTCTCTGTCCCGATCGCAGGTCAGAGGTGGTCTAGGTCGGGGTTTGTCGGCTGCGGAGCAGTGTTGGGTACTCCGATGATGTCCCTGTTCGGTTCAGGCTTCCTCCACAATTCATTCAATATTAAGTCGGCTACGTCTGCATCGTCAAAGTATTGGATGTGGGAGTAGACGGCATTGATCATGTCGATGTCAAACATACCCTGTGGAAGCACGTAGTCTACTCGGCCGTTTTTGTTCAGTCCGAACATAAGGTCTTTGACCAAATCGCTGGTCTCTATGATGCTTTCTTTACCGTTAAAGAGGTTTGCCGTGGAGAGACTCCCCTGCCATGTCGCGGTGTTTTCTACGATGGTTCGGACAACCTTGTTTGACAGGATGTCTGACGAGGATTTAGACATGTCTTTAATTTTCGAGGTGATGATGTTCTCTTCGTTGATGGGCCTGATGTTCTTGGGCTTCACCCTCGACATAGAAGTGTGGATCAAGGGCTCGAGCCTGTAAGCCACGAGGTCTGTGGCGTAGAAGATGTTGTACAAGTTGTTGACCTTGGGATAGACTGCAGTTCCGGCGCTCTCGCTCCCGAGTTTGTAGTCGGTCTTGTCACTCTTGCTCCTGAATGATCTGGGATACACATTTTTCCTTTCAAGAAACTTGAATACCCCGTTAGGAGACCCTAACGAGAAAAAGTTCTCCACATCGAACTTGAGATGTTCCTTGGCGTTGAAGCCGGCGCCGGTGGGAATTTTGTCTGGCTGTCTAGACAAAATGTCCAACACAATGGACGATCCAAGGGAATGTCCAATAAGAGATACCTTACCTTTGAAGTTTGGATGATTGGCGAGATATTTGTCATATATTTGATTTGCAGATTTTGTCACGCATTCAAGAATCTCTTCCTTAAACTTCGGCTCGTAAAATAGAAGAATGTCGAGAAGCGCATCAGCAGTTAAGTTTCTCAATGGTGTCACGGCATCGATGTTCAAATTGGATAACTTAGGCAACCTGTATTCTCCGTCCTTTCCATATTCGTTATACAGGTAGTTCAAGCCGAAATCGATACTGTATCTCCAAACAATAGGAAGTATTTGTGTCTTGCAGTTTTTAAATCTAGCATCGTTTCCAATTTTCTCCTCACCATACGCAAGAGGAGCAAACTGGTGTGATTTTTTAACGAATTCTGTCTTTAGCAGCTGGCGCATATGATTACAATCGTGAGCAAAGTTCACCGATGCGTATTTGGAGCTCAAGAACTGGCCAATCCCATGGACGCAAAGAATGAGGTGTTCCACCTCTCTATCCTGGCTGTTTTCGGTGATCACACTTGCATTTGAGAAATCGTTCTCCATGGATTTCTGGAATTTGTGATTAGTCTCAGAAGAGGAGTTCTTAAATCCTTCACTGATATCTTCTTCCATTTTTGTATCCTTTTCAGCCAGTTCTTGCATAGTGCCGAACTTACTGTCCGCTTCAGATTTTTTATCTATGTCAGAGGATGATTTTCCTCTCTTGTTTTGATTCTCGTTGCTCTGGTTCATCTTCTCTTCGTATCCTCTTGTTATTGTATATAAACCAAAGACGGAATTTGAATAACCAGCCAAGTTTTCAAGTATAAATTGTGGTAGTAATTGTCCCTTGTTCACCAATAATGCGAGGTTGTCTGACTTAAACTGCAAAATCTTTGGCGCATCTGATAAATCATCGAATTCGTGAAATGGCCATCTTCTTTTCATACCGTTCTTCAGCTTACTCTCATAAATGTCCTTCTCTGATTTCAATTGAATAGGCGGTATCTGGTGCTTCTCTCCCTTTTCCAACTCTTTACCGAGAAAGTGATCCGGGCGATATTTTCTGTAGTTTTCCTCGACTTGCTCACTTAGCAAATCTGGAAGGGGTTGGTTCTCATCTAAAAACCAGATACCTCTTCTAATTTCATATGTCGGGCCAATCCAGTAAGTAGGCTTAATTGTTTTGGTAACCAAATCAGCACTGAAAAGACCATCCTCATTTACGTTCACATGTCTGTATTTAGACGTTTCCTTATTGGTTTCTTTCGAAAGCTTATAAAATGAGTCCTCTAGACGCTTAGAATCTTCTCTGGTAAACGGAAGAAATTTTGCAGGTCTCTTCACAAGCTTGTAGTTGGGATGGTATGGTTTTGTGTTCGGGATATCCGTCGCATAGAACCACCTAACTCGTGTAGGTTTCGCCTGGGTTGTCACGGTGAAAGAGGCGGAGGAGCTGTAGCTTCTGGCGCCAAGGAATACTGATTTTTTCAGTATTCCATACTGCAACATTAACCCCTTAGCCAGCATTAAACTGTGTCACTGGATAGCAAATAGGGGGATTTGCGGTTATTCTCTGGTGTTTCCCAGCCCTTCAAACACGTTCTTTTTGGCAACTCTCGAGAGTGCCCAAATTAATGATGAGAGAGGTCGGAAGTTTATTTTGCTGATACGGGCTTGGTGCTCGAAAGAAAAAAATAACCGAGGACTATGTGGAACCCCGGGTCCTATTTTCTTTCTGAGCTTCTGTCAATAACACAGCTACAGAACAAGAGGTATAAAACGTGGATATACTCTCCATCCAGAGGTAAAGGTACATCACATAGCGAGGAAAGATGTCAGAAGACGTGCTGAAGAAGTATGGGAAGGGAGCTGCCCTGATGATGAAGATGGGATACGTCCAGGGGACGGGATTGGGTGAGAACGGTCAAGGGATTGTGGAGCCAATATTGCCATCGATATACAAGCGTGGAGAGGGAATAAAGGTGAATGGTACGAGTAAGAAAAACACTATGCAGTCAAGGGTGGTAGATGATTGGGACAGTGGTAGTGACAGTGAGACTAATGATGATAGTGATAGTGAAGCTGATGTTGAAAAATCGAAAGTCCCGCTCGGGTTCAAAAAGAGTGGGCTCTACCAATCTGAATACGATATGCCGGAGCTCTCTGACCTTGTAAGGAGGCTTCGAGAGCTGAGTGTAGAAGTACCATTTGAGCTCATTGAGTGGGTTGAGTCTATGGACCCGGATGATGTGAATTCACCAGTTGATTTAGAGTTGAGAAAGACGTTATGGGATATATTGAAGAATGTTCAGGCGGATATTCCGAAAATCAAGTACTTAAATTTTGAAATAAATAATATTGAACAGTTCAATGAAAAATGCAAGCTAGATCTTGAGATTCTACACAGGTGCTACACAGATATATCTATGAAAAACATCAAGTTGAAATTCAACAACACAGTAGTGAAGGATATATTAGGTATTGAAAGGATAGAAGAAGCTAGTATTGAAGCGAAATTTGCCGTATTGAAGTTAGTGGCATCGAAGATTATGAATTGGTGGGAAAGACAGGTTAAGAAATGTAATTTCCAGGACATATCTAAGTTTGGTGAGTTACTCGACTACGCGTCGGCATATATAGAGCTTTCAGATAAGATTGGGGTCGACAAGACGATAATGAGGGATGACATTGATGAAGATGGAGAGAAGGTGGTAAGTATTAAGTTCTCTATTATTGGGTCTGTTATATTGAAGCCATTATTTTTGAAATTGGGAGATTTTTATAGTGAATGGATGGTTGAGAATGTCAATCTAGGAGTTGGTATATTTGAGGAGTTACGAGAGTCTCAGCTTTTGGAGCCTGGCATTTTCGAATTTGTGGTCTTCGAGAGGATGATAGTTCCGCAGCTAGTACAAGCGATTGAGGAATGGGATTTGACGAAAATGGCATCTACATCGAAGGTCTCTGAGGATGAAGCACGGGGTTTTTCGGCAAGTATTCTTGAGTGGTTGAAAATATATCCGAAATCTTGTGATGTTATCAAGCAGCAAGTGATAACCAAGTACTGCGTGTGGATAATGGGTTCCGTTGGGGATAGGGACTTGACGTTCATTGATCTCAAGAGGATCGGACTCTACTACTGGCTAGATGTGTTTCAGGACGAGAAGTACAATGAGCAGGTTGACAAGGCGTTGCTTTGTTTCTGTGTTGGCGGGTTGAGGAAAGGAAGCCCATTACAAGATTTCAAGAGGTGGCAGTCTGAGACAAGCGGTGACGGTCCGGGAGACGGTCATGACGGTGCAGGCCACCGTTTTTTCTCCGAAGAGGTTTTGTCGAAGATTGCACTGTTTACGAGACGGATGATCAATCTGAAGTTAGACGAGTACAACGATGTGGTGTACAACGAGATTGCGCTTCCCTTTTTGGCGAGTTATCTGGTGTTGTACCAGCGGGAGGATACGAAGCGGGAGGGGTATCTACGACAGTTTGTGCGGACGTGCTCTGTGCTGGGGATGTTAGACGACGACCGGTGTGGGTTCAGCTGTATTATTGAGGCTTTGCGGGGCTGTTACGAGCTTGAAGAGGGTGGGGTGGAGGCGGAGTTCAAGCTGGAGGAGCTTGCTGCGGCGTGCGAAGGCCGGGAGGAGGACTGGCGGGCGGTTGTGGCCAGGGCCCGGAGGAGCAGCAGCGACGCCAGCGGGGGGGCTGGCGGAGGGGTTAGTGTTGAGTTTGCGGAGAGCGTTGGGCGGAAGAGCATCAAGGAGATAGTGTTTGAGCGGCTGGAGGCTGCGGGGGTGAGCATTGTCCCCTGCGGAGAGAAGCAGGGGAAGCAGCTGTACGTGGTGAACGGGCGGCGACGGGTGTACTTTGAGAACAAGGTTGTGTTTGAGGAGGACGGGTTCCCGCTACGGGTGGAGGAGGTTGTGGAGGGCGACGGCTCCTGAGGAGGGCGGCGGCCCGTGAGAAGTGGTAGTGGTGTACTGTTATAATGTGGTAATGTAGACAGGCTATATACAGGCCAGGGCGGGTGCCATGGGGCCAGGTGGCTGGCTATTTTTTGGAGAAGTCGTCGATCTTCTTCTGAGCCTCGCCGTAGATGTCGTAGGCGAGCCTGGCGACGTTGTCCTTGATCTCGCGGGCCTCCTGCGCCGCGTCCTGGACGGACTCGATGATGTCGTTGTTCATCACGGCCTGGTCGACCGCTCTCTCGGTCTGCACCACCTCTCTCTCGACCGCGTCCTCGTCTCTCAGCTCCTCCGAGTACACCTCCGGGTACTTTCTGAAGCAGTCCTGCATGTTCTTGAACTTGTCGATGCACTCGATGCCCTTCGGCTCCTGCGACGAGTACACGAAGCACGAGAACGCGGCCTTGAAGTCCTCGCCGCAGGGCCCGTGCGCCATTCCGCCGAGGCAGGGGCACTCCCAGTTGATTTCGCCCGTCTCCTCGTTGAAGGCGCCCTCTCTCTGCGCCTCGGCCTCGAGGTCGCCCGCGGCGCCTTCGCTGCCTGCGCCCGCCTCGCCGGGCTCCTCCACCACCTCGACCACCTCGACCACCTCCACGGGCTCTTCAACGATCTCGACAACCTCTATTTCCGGCTCGCCGCTGGCGCCTGCCTCGCCCACTGCTGCCGGCGACTCGTTTTTCACTGTCGCTCTGCCCATAAAGTAGTAGTACATGGCGGCAGACGTGGCGGCGCATGCGGAGACGGTGGCCAGCGGCACGTAGCTGGCGGCGCCCGCAGCGCCGGCGGAGCCGGCTCTGCTCGAGAGGCGGCGGAGCGGGGCCCGGCGGAAGGCGCCGGGGACGCTCCGGCGGACTGTGGCGGCGACGTGTCTGAGCATGGTTGTGTTCACTGGATAGATGGGGATGAAGTGGGTGGCGAAGAAACGCTGGCGGCTCATAGGCACGCAGAAGGGGCAACATCGAGGCCTGGGAGAAACATGTTCCCTTTTCAGGCCCGTTGCCTCGTTGCCTCGTTGCCCCGTCGCCTTTCGCTGCGCTCTGCGCTTCGCGCTCTGCGCTTCGCGCTCCTCGCCGCTGGGTTGCTTACTAAACACTGCTATACCCGGCTACACCGCTACAGCGCGGGCTCACGTCCGAGTGAGCGAGCGAGCCCGTTACATAAGCACGCAACACGAGTTGGTCTTCTTGGCCTGCTTGTAAAAGGTCTTGGACGAGTAGGTGAGGGCCTCGGACTTGTCGACAAGCGCGTCGAGCTTCTCCCCCCGCTGGAGCACGTTTTCGATCGACTGCTGGAGAATGATCTTGGTCTCGTCGAGCTCCTGCTGCACCTTCATGAGGGCGTCGGCCTCGTGCGGGTTCTGGTACTTGGCGAGGTAGCCGGCGAGCTCGGGGAAGACAGAGGCTCCGGACGGGGCCGGCTCCCCCCGCTGGGCAGCGGCGGCAGCCGCGGCAGCAAGCTGGGTGGTGTGGGCCAGCGAGTGCTGCGAGAGAAAGTCCTCGCACACCTTGTTGAGAAGCGTGTAGGCTGGGCGGATCGGGTAGGCCTTGTCGGTGATGAGGACGCCGGCCACGCCCTCGGGACGCACGTACACGTGGCCCACGTACTCGCCCTCCTCGATCGACTGTCTCTGGTCGGGCTTGGTGCGCTCCGCTATGGTCTGCGCAAAGAAGGTCATGAACTGGCCCACAGAGCTTCTCTGGAAGAAGGAGAAGGACGAGAGGTCCTTCTCCTCGCAGATGCACGCGGTCTTGCTGCCGTCGTCGCCGGCGGGCTTCACCACGCCGATGTAGTAGATCTTCATTGCTGTCTGTGTGTGCCTGTGTGTGCTTGGCTCCCGCTGCCCTCGGCCCGCCCTCCTCGCTAAACAACACATGGCGCCGTCCCCGCCCCCGTCCCGTCTTCTCGTCCCGTCTTGTCTTGTCTCGTCTCGTCTGCCCGCACGCGCCGCCGGCCTCCCAGCCTCCCGCCAGCGGCGGCGCCGCTGCACGTCGGGAAAAGACTTCACCAGCAAGGCACGCTGCGCGGCCGGTGCTCTGCTGTGCCCTGCTCCGCTGGCCCTCTACCTGCCCTAGCGGCTACTTGTTGTGGTCCCGTGCAGACGGAACCAGGCACAGGGACCAGCAGCACCAGGCAGTAGCCCAGCACCAACCGCACACCCGCCCCAGGACAACTATGGAGCATGTCTTCTCTGCACCACCTCGCTAGACACAACGCAGAACCGGCGGCCGGCGCCCCTGCGCCGGCGCCCAGGTCCCGCAAACACACGGTCCTCGCCAACTTCAAGTCCATCTCCAGAAGAAAGAAGCTGCTGCCGCAGACGCAGCAGTACGCCGCCCCCAGCCCGCGTGGGCCAGACCACACCCAGCACCCGCCGCCGCTCTCACGCCGGCCCTCCACCGCATCTGCCGCCGCCGCCGCCATCCCCTCCACGGAAACGTTCAACAACCTCGCCCAGCTCTCCAACAACCCGGCCTTGAGAACGAGAAACCCCGCCAGGAAACGGCACTCCGTGATCATCCACTCCGTCACAGAAGAGGAGTCCAGGAAAAACTCTGACCCCCACAACCCCCTCTACGTGGGACACTCCTCCAGGCACGCTCGCTCCACGTCCTCCCTCGACGACCTCAACCTCGGCGACGACGGGGCCAACAATCGCCCGAGTCTGAGCAACGGCGACGACCTCGACGCCGACAGCGACCTCGATGACGACGATGACGACGATGACCTCGACATAGTCCACGTCTCCCAGGACTCGGACACGATACTCAGAGACCTCGACCCGGGCACAGGCCTCGACGGCTCCCACTCAAGCAAGAACTACTCAAATACCCTCAACAACGCCTTCTCAAACTACCCGTCCCAGATAAGTGCGATTCCAGCCTCTGCGTCCGTGCCGGCATCTCTATCCAGCCGTGCCTCTCTCACGAGCTCCATCTCGACTGCAAACTCACCATCAAGCTCCTCCAGACAGAAATACCACCCTCTGCGCAAACTCGTCATAAATTCCCCAAACAACCCCTCCTCATCAACATTCAGTAAAAACACAATCACTCCTGTTTCCACAGCCTCTATTTCAACCGCCAACAGCTCGAAAACACAGGTACCTCCCTCCTCTTCCCCTTCTCCTTCCCCTTCCCCTTCTCCCTACAGGCGTCTAGACCCAAACAGCATCCAAAACAGAGCAAACTTCATCCACCAGCAACACAAAAACTCCACGACAGCAGCTTCCATTCCTTCGCTTCACATCTTCCAGCCAGACCTGTCCGACGAAAAGCCTCACATTGTACCCGTATCCAACTGTCTCTTTTTCGAAACTCTAAAACCACAATCTCTTTCTCCGGCAAAACCTTCTCAAACATTGGCAGCAGACGTGTTCGACGATTTCGACACCTCCCCAACAAAGAAAAAATCTTTCCCCTTCCAGCGTATTCATTACTCACATCAAAACACTTTGCTATCGACTTTTGCAAAAGGCTTGGTTGACCCAGACCTATTCTCCACAAATGCCTCTTCCGTCTTTTCCGGACCAAAAGCCCTTCCTTCAAAGCATAGGACATCCCTCTACTTTGTTTGATCCCTGCTATTCTGTCATTTTTTTGTATCTTTCTTTTCATTTCTGCTCAGTCCATGTTTTATCTGTTTAATTTACGATTTTCTATTTTTTCCTTCATTATCCTTTCTTTGACATCTTTATTCTCTTCCTTCTTTCTTTCTTTCTTTCTTTCTTTCTTTCTTTCTTTCTTTCTTTCTTTCTTTCTTTCTTTCTTTCTTTCTTCCTCTCTTTCTTTATTTATTTCTTTCTATCCCATTAGCTATATATTTACTTTCCATATATAAACACTAACTCCAAAATGGATGCATATCCTTCTTCAGATCCCTCTCCAGAGCGACTTCTCAACGCTCTGACTCTTGTTCTTGCCCTCTTTTAGCAAACCGAGCATCTGAAACTCTGAAATACTCTTCAAAAACCACGATAGAAGCATCTTATCCCATTCTTCCTCCACTTCTCCACCTTCCAACTCAACTTCAATCTTATCCAGAATCTCAAGCAACTTTTCAATCTCCTCGTGTTTCAAGCCCTTTACATGCTCTCCACTCATCATTTTCTCTCGCATCAGCGTTATCAACTCTCTTCGACTCACTATACTGTTCTTGAAAACTTGATAAAAGTCATACACATTCATTACCAACCCCGTTTCTTTGAATATTCGATACATCTCACATAATATCGGCTCAATGACACTGAACATCTTAACTTCTGTCTTTTGCGTCTCATTCTGCTCGTTGAAAACCCAGTGTCGAGAGTTGAATAGAACCTTGCCTGGCTCGTCCAAATTTTTAAGACAATTTTCTCGAACACATGGCTCAAACCCATCATGGATTTTCCAAACAGCATCTTCCCGAACGACACAAATTTCTCTAAATGCCTGTCCATCCAAATCAAGCTCACAAACTTGATCTCGAAGGGCGAGTTGTATCACCTCAATAAATCCATTTATCGCCCCCTTCGTTGGACACTTTTTTGGAAATCTTTCACTTTTCGTTATAAAAGTGAATTGTTCATCAGAACATAATTGATCGTAGAATGATTCAACTTTTTCGTGGGAAGTATTTTTCAATACATCCCACAATTCAATCAAAAACTTGAATAAACTTGTATGACTAATCTTCGAATTCGAATATTTGCTCTTCGTTTTCTTTTTGTTTCTTTTCTTCTCGTCTTCGTCATCGATTTCTTGTTCATCAACTTCGCTAGTATCATTCCATACCTCTTTAGCATCTCGTAATTCATAGTATTTCTCGAACAAAAGTTGAAAAAGCTCCAAGTTGTTCGACCATATCTTCACATCCAAAATTGAGGCTTGTGCAAAATTTAAAAAATCAATCAAATTTCTAAAATTGAACCTCCAATTGATTAACTGATTCAAATTTGTACGTAGTAGGTCACCAATAACTTGAACATCATTTTCAACTATACCAACAAGATGTTTTTTATCAAGTTCACTGCTATTTTCCATCACAGATGGTAAAGTCTTGAAAATTTTGAAATAAATACTGTTCAAATCAATTTTGCTGAAATCATTAGTCCAGAAAAGTGACAATGGTTGACTGTAGTAATGACGCATGTAAATCAATTTCATATAATTGCTGAACTGCTGAATACTCATGACATCCCTTCGATACAAAAACTTCAAGACTAGCTTGGGATCAAAAATTAGAGAATTGTACGTTTCGTTGATATTCAATAGCAAGTCTTCCATAATTTGGTTGATGGCTTCATTGGAATTATCAACGGCAAAACTCCTGGTTCTCAATTTCCCAATGAGTATTTTGGGCACCTTTTCCTGGAAAATGATGAATGGTGTTGAAATGCCAATGATACTATACACTTCGGATATTTGATTATACCTGTGAAGTAGCATCAATGTCTGTTGGATTAAAATAGAGTTCATTGCATCAGCATTTTGGACCAACACAATTAAACGAACTCCTGCCTTCTCAAACACCTGGAGCATGTCTTCTATATCCACATATTTATCTTTCTCTATTTTCTTGGGTAGCAAATCAAAGTCATTGTTTAGCTCGATATCAAAGTCGTCATCAGACTCTTCTTCTTCTTCTTCTTCGTCAACTTGGTCTTCCATGTCCTCATTTTCATCTTCATTACTATTTTCCTCATCATTCCTATAATCACCATCATCAATATCATCATCGTAATCAATGAGTATAGTATCATAACCTTCATTTCCGTCTTCAATCTTTATTGCGTCGGAAACTCCACTTCCAGATTCAGCATGTTTCCTCTTCTTTCGTCTAGGTGTCGGAGTTCCAGCTTTTTGAATATTGCCTCCACTTCTGTCTCTCTTTCTTGAATTGTTTTTTCTCTCGTTCTTTTTACTATGGTTGCTCAATTTTCCACTCACAATGTCATGCACTTTACAAGCTAGTGTGTCTTCTATACGTTTGATTATTCGCTGGATGTTGAAACATACATTGGGATTGATTTTGACCAAGCACACATTTTCGTCTTCTCGTAAATAGCGGCAAACATTATTAAGCAATCTATCGTGATTGGAGATGTTTGATCCTAAATTTAACAATGCAGTAGTCAGTAAGTCGTTCTGGTTGCTTGATGTATCTCTCCGACTCAAGAAATCACGCAATGAACGAAACTTAAACCTATCAGTTTTCGACAAGACGCTATCGATCGCATGCATCTGTCGGGCCCAATTCTTCTGGTATAATTCATGCCTGATTTTCACGTTTCGAAGTGGTTCTTTTCCACCTAGCAGTCGAACAAATGGGACCTTTCCAGCTTTCTCATACTCGCTATCATTCAAAGGTCTACCTTCTTTGCATCCATCAGGTATACTGGGGATCCTGCGTTGCTTCGATGGCTTTAGCTCATAGATTGTCTTCTGAGAATCTATAAAATCGTTTACCTTAGACATGCCAATGGTTTGGTACTTTTTTCAGATAACCCTTTGATTGATCAGTGCTACACTTATTGTAGCAAGTAGGACGGATGAAAAATCAATATTCAGGACAAATCTATTTTTCTCGCACATCTGATTGACTTTTATTTTTTTCTGAGTTCTGTGCCGTATTCAACTCTTTGACCTCAAGTTCTTTACGCAGTTACTTCTACACTTTTGGTACTCTGATCACTATGTCAAATTCCCAAAAACATTATCAAATGAATCAGCAACAATTTCCTATTGTTCAGCTGAAAAACCTATCCTTCAATCATGCGTCATCCGATTTATTTGCCCTAATGGGACAGTTTGGGAATATCCAAGAGATACGAGTTGGGAGTGCCAGCAATGTCGAAACCAGAGGACAGGCTCTAGTTGTCTATACGACACTGAAGGCTGCATCTTTAGCTGTGGAAAAACTCTCAGGGTTCAACTATCATGGAAGATATTTGATAGTCCGAATGTACACTCCAGAACCGCACCTGTGGAAAGAACTTAGCGAGAACGGTACTGTATCTACACAATGAAGAGTGGATGCGGACAATATAAGTTAAACTAAATTACAGATTATGTTAAAAATAGTGGCGATGAAGATAAGAGTAAGAAGTCAAAAAAAGAAGAAGAAAAAAAGAGCAAAAGAAGAGGAGTCGAGTAGAAATAAAACTCGAAATTGTATAATATATAATAATAAATGTATAATAACAGGCGATAATGTCAGAGATATTAATCAATAATATTCGTATTTAGTATTCAGTGAATCGGAGCTTGCGTCCAATTTCTTTATTCGTGAAAAGCTTTTTGTCAGCATTATCCCCGTCTTTAGACTTAATTGAGTCGGAATGAGAGTCAACAGTGTAGCACGGATATCCTCCTAGTAGTTTCTCGATTTCATTTGTTTTGAGAGAAACATCACCAGAAACACCCACCTTAGGAACTTTAGAGGCTTCTTCGCTGGCCTCATTAAAAGTTTTTTCCATCAAGTCTAGAGTAGTGGCCAAACTTGACGTGAATCTCGCAGTTTGTCTATGCTTTGAACTTGCACATATGCTTATTCTGTTATCCTTAATAATATAACCCAATCCAAACCCATTTTCACTCACAGGACCAAAACCAAAGATTTTCAAGGATGGATTGCCACAGTTTGATGTGGAAATTATTGTAGTGTTCAATTTATCCCAACCTTCATCTGCGAAAATTGCAGGAATTTCTTTCAAATCCTTGACAGAATCAACGGTGACAGGCAAGTTGCCAAAATCGATCGTACTCTGGTCGTCATCATCATCTTCAAGATCATTTCCATCTGAGCCACTTTCATCTTCTGAGGTGCTTTCGTCTCCGTAGTATCTTTTCCAGATACAAAACAACGCGTAAAGATGTCTGTCCTGACCCAATCCGTTAGAGCAGTCTCTTGTACGAGCGCTGTGCTTTTTACAAGCGTTTTTCAACAGCTCTATTTTGGTTTTGGCATCGATATCGTTTTGTAGAAATTTAGTCACAAATTCATTTGACTCTTCGGAAACTGTACGGATAGCCTCAGTACGACCATGTAAGAATTTCTTGGTCATAGCAGGCTCGTACGTGCATTCGACTTTGCCGTATAAAGAATAGTAGGTCAATTGGAAACTCATTTGCACAAAGGCGTCTGGAGACATGCCCATCTTCTTGATTCTCTCCATACCATACTTGTTGTAAGAGAGTGTCGAGAATTCGTTTTGGCTGATCAAATCGCTCAATCTGGTCTCTGCAAACCTCAACGCTAGACTGATATCGTTAGTCAAATTCCACTCTAGTTTCCGAGGCAATTGGACTTCCAAGTTACCTTTTCCTCTCGGGATGCTGGAGTTCTCGCTCCAGATTGAAGGTGAATCCTTGTTGATGGTTCTAGCAAATCTTAGGATAGAGTCGGTGTAGATGTCACTTGCAAACCTCAAGACGGTGTGACCATCTACGCCCGTGTGCTCAAAATTTATACCCGATTTGCCATCCTTCGTGATAATCAACTGTAGCTTGTCGTACCAGCGGTTGGTGCAAGTTCCTACCTGAATACCATCTTTCAAAACACTTTTACCACATAGGAAGTTCTGAGACATTTTGTTCATGTCGTTCCCTATTTCCAAATCATCCAAAACAAGGCAGAACAAGGCCGAATCTATTGTCTTGAGAATATCTTTGTTGATTTTATCCTTGTTCAATTTGTTTCTGAGGCTAGACCAGATTTTCCTGTTTTCGGTGGTCAAGATCCCGAAGCTGGACTTGGCTATATCTTTCGGGTCCATTGTCTTCGAGTCGTCGATGATGGACTTGAGGTTCAGCTTGATCTGCTCTTCATCCAGGGCCAAGTTGTTGTCGTCGTCCAACACGTTGAACCAGTAGAACTGAGAGTTGACGATGACCACGATGTGCTTGGAGTACTTGTCGGTCTGCAAAACACAACCATCGTTGGTTGGGATTCTGGCGCTGCCAAACAGCCGCAAATACTGGTCCATGTCAAGTGGGACCTTGTTTTTCAAGTAGTCGACCGGGAGCGTTTTGTTTCTCAACGCGTTGATGAACCTCAAGGTGGAGCATGTCAACTCGCTGCCGCGGTTGATCCAGTTGCACACGCCGGGGATGGGGTCGTCCTCGATCATGATGAAGGGGTTTAGGTTCAGCACCACAGGGGAGTCGTAGTTGAGGTACGAGTCGAACCAGAACTGCTCGATGTAGGAGTCTCGCGACCGGGAGTACTGGACCAACTGTTCCTGCAAGATCGGGCCTGATGACTTCAGAAACCGGCAGCACGCCTCGACCGTCCGCACGTGTTCCTCCCTCGTCTGGAGAGGCTTGAGCACCTCGAGGTATCTCGCAATGCTGTCCTCTAGGGGAGGAATGGGAAGCTTCTTCAATTCTTTCTGGTGCTGGAAAGAGGACATGGTGTGTGTGTGTGTGTGTGTGTGCGTGTGAGGGGGTGCAGCTACTTAGTTGTGTGTGCACTAGTGTCAGTGTTTGGTGCTGATGATGTATGCACTAAGCAGCACAGACTCCACCCTTCACCCGCCAAACGTCCCGCTAGCAGATACAAGGAACTACCGTCTTGTTTATATACCAGAGCCCCCATCCGTCTGCCCCTCCGGGTCCCAGCACCCTCCGACGGAGTGCAGACGTGCTGACGGCTGGTGATGATAGCCCCCGGCGTATCGGAGACAGCCCCCGGGGGGACAGCTCCGCACTCCGCACTTCCCGCATCCGGCCTCGCCAGGCTGTGACGCCCGAGCGCTGTGGGGGGGAGAAGGCACGAGAGAAAGCAGAAAGGGCAGACGGTGCGTGCGGGGGGCGAGCATACGTCAGCCGGAGTCGTCATTTGGGACAAGAAGTCCGTCTTTCAAGGACCAGCCGGGGAAAGACTTGACGGGGTTGGAGGAACCGGGACCAGAGCCGGGACCAGGAGCGTAAGCAGATGGAGAAGGGATGTTGGCGGGCGGCTCAACGATGCCGAGAGAGCTATGGAGGTGAGAGTGGTGGTGGGGCGGATGGTGCGGCTGATGCTGGGAGAACGAGGACGAGTCGAGGTTGTGATCAGCGGTGGTGGAGGTGGTGATGCTGGAGGTCTCGAACTCCTCGCAGCGCAGCTCGGGGGTGCTGAATTTGTAGGAGTTGAGTGTGAGCGGACTGGTGGTGGCGGGGGCGGCAGCGGTGGCGGCGGGGGCGGCGGACGCGGAGCCGGTGTAGGTGGCCGTGGTGCTGGTGTAGGTGGCCGTGGTGCTGGTGTTTGCGGCAAGAAGCTTGTCGCTGTCGAGGTCGAAGTCGAGGGTGTCCAGATTGTCCAGGTAGAACTCGGTTGAGCTGGCAACACGCTGTTTGGAGAAGTACTCGTCGGAGACGTCTGCGGCGGAGTGGAAGCTGGCGTTGAGCGGCCTGTCGGACAGCTCGAAGGAGTAGTTGCTGCTGCTGCTGTGGTTGGCGAGGCCGCCTATGTTCTTCTTCTTGATGAGGTTGAGGTTCTGGACGGAGATGGAGGACTTGCGCGAGACCAGCGTCTGCTGCGGCGACGAGTTCGCCCGGCCCCGGAACTTGAGGCTCTCGAGCTCGGTCGTGAAGAAGGCCCCCTTGCCAGCGGGCTTGCTCTGGAAGAAGCCGGAACCCGAGGGGGACGACCCGGAGGCGTTCCGGTGGTTGGACCACGAATTGATCCGCTGCAGCGTGCCGCCGCCGCTGCTGTTGCTGTTGTTGTTCACGCTGACGTTCTCGAAGTCGAAGAAGTCGTCGTTCGAGTTCGGGTTCGAGTAGATGCTAGAGTCCGGGCTGTCGAGCGACCGCAGCGAAATCGACGGCTTCCGCGTGAAGATGTTCAGGTTGCTCGAGGAGACGGAGTTGTTGCGCTTGAACTTGCTCGAGAGCTTGCTGAACGACTCCGGCAATGAGCTCTTCGTGTTGATCGTCAGCTTCCTCGAGAAGTTGCTGAGCGAGGACAGCGACGAGTCCCGCGAGTGCACCGGCGCCGGCGCCGTAGTAGCACGGTGGCCCGTGCTCTCCACCGTCATCTGGAAACGTCCCTTCTCGTCGTCTTCCGCACGCGGCGCCTCGAAGCTATTCAGCTTGCTGTCGCTGTACTCCTCCTCGTACGCCTCATCGTCGCTGCTTTCCGCTGAAGGAGACAGTCGCTTAGGATCGGGGTTGTAGACAACCGTCATTGTTTCGTTCGATAAGTGTAGTGGGTGTGCCGACGCAATAGCCGAGGGGGCGCTAGTAGAGCCAGGGGATGAACAACGACGCTTCAGTCTCAACTTCCGGCAGTCTCAATCAGCCAAAGAAAAAGAGACAACTGTGAATGCCGTAATGCTCTTGTCAACAGTCTAACAGAGTCCAGCACCAACTTGACCTCCAAAACGCCGATCTTGTTTTCCAGGCTTTGGAGGGTAAATCAGAAATAGTAAATAACACTCGCTAACACCTCGCTAAGGTGAACGGCAGCCGTTTATCGGGAAAAGGAAAATCCATGCTTACGTCAGCGCCCTATGATTACCTAAGCAAAGCGAGATTTCTGTTTTGCTTCTTCCTTTGCCCAAAGTGGAGAGAGGCAGAGAGATAGAGAGAAGAGATAAAGAGCAGACGGCTCATGTGTGTAGTTCAGCTTTTACGGGGCCGGAGCAGTACAGAAGGGCAGCGGGCCAATGGTTACGGACTAAACAGCATGGTGCAGGAGAGAATAAAGCATACTACGCTGCGGCGGGGGGCGTTTCCCCGAATGAAGGCTGCTGACGACGACAAAGACAACGACAAGGACAAGGCCAAAAACAAAAACAAACACACAAACAGTGGCAACGGCAATGACGCCAGCGTGTACAAGGCCGAAGGAGCGGAGGTGCTGAAGTTGAGGAACCCGTTCAGGAAGCTCATGAGATCGAAGCGGCACGGCACGTCGCACCACGCCAGCATGCCGGGACATCTCCAGCCTTCTGTGTCGACGGCCTCCACTGGCTCTGGCTCTTCGACACACTCGTCCCGGCCGTCGCAGGGGATGAAGAAGGACAACAGGAAGACGATTTTCCGGCTGCACGAGTCGGAGATGTCAGTCTACAAGTCGGCGAAGGACCCAGGCGACGCACCGGCGATAGCCACTGGCTCAAGCATCCATCACATCATCAAAAACAGCAAGCCCAGCTTGATAGCTCAGGGAAAGTTCCAGATCTACCAGATGAACTCGGCTCTCAACTACCTGAGTTGCGGGTCCTTGACCCACCCGATCCTGCCCTCTTGCACAATAATCAAAATCAACACAAACACTTACATTATACCAATCAAAAACCCGGTGAGGTACTGGAGACTCACCCTCAATACCGACGATGAGTCAATCTTGCACAAATTTGAATCTACAGTACAGCCGATCTCCAAATTTAAAGTAGACCTATTAGTCGATTTCACGTTGAGCTCTCCGTTCTGTACAATCATCGATACCTCCACTGCGCATACCTCTTCCTCTTCCGTCACTTTGAAATCGTTTCTACACGTTGATTCAGAAGACGACTCACCAAAAACGGAAAACGCCATTGACGCGTTGACTTTACATCACCCGATCCCTGTTCGTCCCAATTCGGCCTCGACAACTTCGTTAAAATCCTCGATTTTACGCAAATACAACACCATAAACTCAAATTCCAGCTTGAATACTTCTCAGGTCTCTTTCGCTGAAGATATGGCCTCAACCAGGAAAGTAAGTGACATACATGCTGTTTCAGAATCCACAGAAATACAAAAGTGCCAAAACATAAAATCTTCGGATGACTTGAATGGGAATACTAGTCCTAATCTACTGGTAGATTTGGATTTCGATTCTGATCTAGACTTAGACCTGGATTTGGAATTAGATTTAGACCTTGACCAAGATTTGGACTTGAGCCTCAAAATGGACAGTCTGGATATGGATTCTCATTTAGGAGTTATGTCAACAAACATGAAGGGTTTCAGTAAAGGCAAAAGATCGATTTCGGCTTCAGATCTCGATGATCTCGATGAGGTGGATCTTGATTCAGAAGAGCTTCTTTGTATGTGGAATAACATAGGAGATGGGATTACGAAACGATATTCTCTCTCGTTTAAAGCCTACGATTTGAAAAAACCTATATCAATCGATGTTTTCGACAAGTATAGAAGAAATATTAAGTCGGTCTTGAAAAGCGAAGGTGCTGGCATTCCTGACAACTTCTTGAACCACTAATTTATACCATATAGACCTCTATGTACACTTCAAAGAAATTATCATTCGTGAAAAGAAGCAAAATGCATATGCAATTTCACTTCAATTTCACTTCAATCATACTGATAAGCAAGGACAGAGCATCGCAAAAAAAGTTAAACCACAATGCTCTAGGCGAGATTCGAACTCGCGATCTTCAGATTATGAGACTGACGCCTTAACCAGCTGGGCCACCAAAGCTTAAGGGTTTATTATCTCCCTCCTTCCGGGATCGAACCAGAGACCTCAGGATGTCTTGTTAACATTACAGTCCCGCGCTCTTCCAACTGAGCTAAAGAGGGATTACGAGCTTGAAAATTTTACACTTATATTCAGTGGTACTTTGGCACATGTAGTAACTTGAGAGAGAACTTATCGGCTAAAATACTACATTTGGCGGCATGGAAGGTTATTTTGTTACGTAAGCGATTAAAATGTGAATAGTGAATGCCTCCCCCGAGCATTGAACTATTTTCTTCATCCAGCCCCCCTGATGAACAAACATACAAAACATTAGCACTCACCAATTACAAGTCGCTTCAAAGGAAAAAAGATTGCATAACAGCAATGGAATCTAATGTACAAGCCGCATCGCAGAGTTTTTCCGCTTCAACTGTAGGAAACGGGTCAATACCACCTTCGGATGAATCTAAAGTTCCGCCGCTAGCTTCAACTACAGATGCTCCGGCTGTTCAAGCATCACCACAGATCCGAGGGCAATCTCTGTCTCCTGTATCCATATCAGGCTCTGATTCAGCGGTTGTATCTTCTGCAGTATCTGAGAGCTTAGAAACAGTTAAAGCCAATCAAGAAGTCATCAACAGCGCTCAAGATGTTCCGCCACCACCCAGCAGCGTCGCCCTATTAAACATAGATGACGTATTTGATAAAGACCAGGTGAGGAACTCAGTTTCTGAAAATGGAAACCGTGAGAATCAAGGCCAGGATAAGATGGATGTTGATGGACCTGAGCCGGATGGGAAACCAAATGCCGAGCAAATTGACAAGGCAGACGGTGAATCGAAAGATAGCAGTAGCAACAAGGCTCGAGATGACGACGTCGATTTTACAGATGATGATAGTGAAAGGCTGAATAAGATACAGTCCATACATGAGACTCTAGAGAAGATGGAAAACGTACGACTGGAGTTGTTGCCTCTCCTGCTCGATATCATCGAGCAGGTGAAAAACGGGGAACTCTCAATCAAGGACGTCGATAATGCGTGTGGACGTATTAAAGTCAGAATCAATCGACTAAAAGAGTCTCGCAATACAGTGGAGTCAGGATTACAACAGCTGGTGGACGAGAGCAACGGAACCGAACACAGCCAGCACGAGACCGAGGAGCGGATCAAGGCAAAGTCAGATGCAATATCTCGTCTCATTGCTGATGTCAATGCGAGAAACGTGAACTCAATCTAGTAAGTGATGTATAATGTCTTTTTAAGTAACGATACCAATGTTAGACCGCATCCACTTCTTTTCTGTTTTAAGGAATCACTTTTCTAATCCCGACGCGTCGGTGGTTTCACAACAAGCCCGTACACCAACACATACGTAATTTTTCACTCACATTTCTCGTTTTTTTCGATCCCTGGTCTTTTCTCCTTTTCCACCTCGCCAACCGACATAGGCGAAGCATCAGCATTAAGGAGAGCCTTTTTAGTGATTCAAGCTTTGATGATTCTAGTAGCTCCTGCAAACGTCCTTGGCAACTACAGACTAACCATAGACGTCGATCCAAAATGGCTTCCCCAGCAACTCCTGTCAACATCGGTGACATCAAGAACCTGTCTCCAATCCAAGGTGTCTACCCAGTCGCCCCACCAACTGGTGAACCAGGTCTCTGGTCGACCAACCCGGTTTCCAAGTTCTTGTCTTCTGTTTCTCAAACGATCATCCAGCATAGACACTCCCTTGATTTGGTCAACCCTGGTATCATGGAAAACATCAACAAGGAAGTTTCAAAAGATGTTTTCTTGGGTCTTTATCAGTTCACAGGTTTGAAAGCAGATATCAATAAGACTTTCTCAATGAACCCTGCCTTTCAGATTGCTCACAGTTTTGCAGTCGGTAGTAAGTTACCTGCTTATTCTTTTACTTCGATTATTGCCAATGATCAAGCTTTAGTTCAAGGTACCATCGACAACGAATTCTCCTTGACTGGTAGATTAAACTACTCTTGGGATAAGCATATTGTTTCCAAAGTTTCATTACAGTTAGCTCATGGCCAACCAGCAATGTGCCAACTTGAGCATGAATACCAAGCAAAGGACTTTTCTATCCAATTGAAGGCTCTTAACCCTGACTTCACAGGCCCATCATACCGTGGTTTACTGATTGGTTCGTTTTTACAATCTATCACCCCTAAACTATCCCTTGGTATGGAAACCGTTTACAATGCAATGGATCCAAACGGTCCTTCCCAAGCCGCAATTTCCCTTGCTGGTAGATATAACGCAGGTGATTGGATTGCTGCTGCTCAACTCCAAGCTCAAGGTGCCTTTATTGGTTCTTTCTGGAGAAAGGTTGCACCAAACCTCGAAGCCGGTTTGGAAACTACTATTCAAGCCAGCGCACAACCAGTTATGTCTGAATCAATGATGATGCCAACTATCCAAACTACAATCGAAGCAAACACATGTTTGGGTGCAAAATACGAGTTCAGACAATCCATTTACAGAGGTCAGCTCGAATCAAACGGTGATGTTTCATTCATGCTTGAACACAGAGTTTTACCAACTATCGGCTTAATTTTCAACGGTAGTATTAACCAATTCAAAAACACCTCCAAGCTAGGTTGTGGTATCCAAATTGAAACTGCCGGAAATGAAGAGATCATGATGATGCAAAACGGTATGATCGATGCCAACGGTAACCCTGTTGCAGGCGCTCCAGCAATCAACTAGAGTTAGGACGTCTGTTGCACTCTTTCACGCCTCCTAACACAACTTCTCTACTTTTTCAAAGTTTGTATATAGTCTGTCTTTATCTCCTTTGTATGACTTCAAAATTAACTTTATAATAATTTGTACTAAATCGTCATGTCCATCCAACTCGTTACACCCCCTTACAAACCAGAGGTCCTACTCACGCGGTGTGCGCCGCGAGCTTTATTTTTCTAATAGTGCTCGTTCCTTAGCCATATCGCTTTTCAACTCTGAAGAAAAGGATATGCAAATAATAAAGTATAACTGATTGACTCGCTGTCGTTTCTGTTACAACCGGTTTTACGCATAGAAACAACAACAATTTTGGTGGCCATGAGTGAGGCAGCAGCTTCACAGCAACCAGGAAGGCCCGCTGTCACCCAGGAAAGAGCTACTATCAGAATCAATGACATACCCACTGAATTATTGGAGCGATTATTAGGGAAGTACGTACAGCAAGTGAACGAGAACTACAAGAAGAAACAGGGTGAGTTGAAGATTCAAGATTTTGATGAGACTAAGGACATAGAACAGCCGATTATACCCAAAAAAAGGGTACTGGCCGAAGCCAGCGAAACGATTGATGGTGCGCAAGAATTGAGCGACCGGATGGTACATCTGAACAAAACACTTCCACTATATGGATACTTTCCTGATGGAAACGGAATGATAGAAGTGTCCACTAGAACGGATGAGCCGATGGCTGATGTTTTACAGGTGGCTGTGGATCAAATAATGACTGCTAGTATTCGATATAAGCACGGCTACAGTGATATAAATATTAAGAAAAGCACTCTTTCACAGATGACCCAATGGACTGCTCTGTTCTTCCATCTTTTGACCACAAGATTACAACGATTGATGGAAATACAGAGAAGAAGACTTCCAAACTCAGATGACCTCTTGCTACTACTCAAAGAAGGATATTTTGATAGAAAGGGCATAGACGAAATGCATACTTTGTGTGAAAGATATTATAGTCAGAACAGCCATAGAAACAAGGAATTGCATTCTATTGCAAAACATGCAAGCACAGCATATACGGGTCAGGACTACGGTGATTTCAACTCAGCTAATGATAGTGTTGTGATGGAAGAACCGTGGTGGATTGACCAGGTTATCCATAGAAAGAAGAGGAAAGCCTACATTCCAGAATGGATGCCGCCCTTACCACCAGAGCACACCTTCAAATCCACACCAAAGTACAGCCAGCGAGTGACAAATCCTGTGATGTTGAGAGAAAAGCTTGTTTTAGAGGGCCGATATGGTGAGAAGGCTTTGGATCATATAATCGTCAAAGAAGAGAGCACTCTTTGCTCCCCGTTATCACAAGAAAGCATCAGTAGTAGTGACGATGAAGAAGAAGAAGAGCAAGAGCAAATAAAAGGAGGGGAAAATAATATCTCGACAGGAAGGGAAATTGAAGTAGTGCAAAAGAGTACGCAGAATGAGAAGAGCGATATTAATAATGATAACACAGAACTAGAAGCTCCTACTGTCGTAGGTCTTGATGTCAAAAGCGATCACGAACGAATCAATGATTCTGAGGGGAGTAATGAAAAGGAAAAAACTGAAGAAAGTACTCTTGAAAGCGCAACTCCATCTGATAAAAAAGTCGATCTTGTTGAGCTAGCCAACAAAAGAATGGCAGTTTTAGAAAACAAGCGCAAAGAGGAAGAGCAACGCTACTTATCCCGTATCGAATCCGATGAGAGTAGGTTTGGCAGGAATTTTGGATTTTACTCCAATGTCAAAAAACTTCCTGATGGAATCAATGTCGAACTACAAGAATATCGAAATAAAAAGCTGAGAGAAGTTGTTCATAACCTACGCAAGCAAGAGAAAAAGAATTCCAAGTGGGTCATTGAGCAGGAGGAGCTACGTCGGAGACTAGATGAGGAGAAGAGCAAGTATGCCGAAGCGAACCAAATCCAACTTGGTTCTGGACAAGATGCAGCTGATGAGAATATATTCTACGCAGACATGGACGAGGAGGTTGACTTCGATGTTGAATTTAGTGATATGGAGGAAGTTGAAGATGGAGAAAACCTACCGAAACCTCCAGAAACTAAAACTGAATCAATTGAGCCAGCTGTGATGGACAACGACAGTAACGATGAGGAGAGAGTTCTTTCTGTGAGATTCCAAGATGAATTAGAGACATCGGCGTTGTTGAACAGCACAGGGGATGGTGAAGAACGGGACAGAGAAGGAGAAGGAGAAGGAGATATTGAAAGAGAGGATCCAGAGGCCAAGTATCGATCAGACATGCAAGAAGAAGACCACGACGACTGCGATAGAGTTGTGATGGACAAGGATGAAGAAGACGAAAGTGTCGCCGAGGAGTGATCCATACCTGTAATTTTTAACTTGTAACTTTAATCTATATGCAAACGAATAGCCCGTTGTACAGATGTAATATAGAAGATAGCTCACGTGAACCAGTACTGCCCCAAACGCGAGAAAAAGCAGGACGAAAAAGGGGAAGACAGGCACAAACACGCCAGTGTGAGAAAAAAAACTTGAAAACTGGAGAGTTGAGAGAGCTGCATGTATCCACACTTTGAAAAGGCTTATCTCTTGGTATTGCAGGTCGGTTTGGGTAATCTGAATTCCTTTGTACCACCATCGAAAAAATCAGGCATTACACATAGCAAAATAAACTATGTCCGATTATGAGTCAGATTGTACGAGAGTATATTTGCCAAACAGCTTTCCTTACCCTCTAACGGTACTAAAGGTAAACGTAAAAGAAGGCGACGAGTTAGCAAAGTATTCACCAATTATAACGTACAAATACTACGATTATGAGCCTGTGCCCATCAGTGAACAGGATGAAGAGCAGACTGATGAGAGTGAGAGAAGGCTAGTCAAGGTTGAAAATGTGGGAACTTTTGATTCAACCGTTAACGGGAAAGTCGCCAAGGTTTATGTTTCCGTTAACGACGAGATAAAAGACAGTCAGGCATTAATTGTTGATGTTATGGAGCCTTGTTCACATCCTATCCAATATGGAGGGCTATGTGCTGTTTGTGGTCAACCAGTGGAAGAAGAGGAGGATAACAGAAGAGCTCCAATCTCCATGGCACATGGCACAACCGACTTGAAGGTATCGTCAAGGGAAGCAGAGAGCATTGAGCGATCGTCTACAGATCGATTATTAAAAGAAGAGAAGTTATCTTTAGTTGTAGATTTGGATCAAACTGTTATTCATGTCACGGTTGATCCTACTGTAGCTGAGTGGATGTCCGATCCAACGAACCCAAACTACGAAGCGGTGAAGGATGTCAGGTCGTTTATTTTGGAAGAGCCAGCTATCACACCATTTGGATATAAAGGTCCCATGCTGCCACCAACTAAAAGATGGTACTACGTCAAACTCAGACCCGGTTTGCAGGATTTTTTGCTGAAAATGAGTAAGCGATATGAAATGCATATTTACACGATGGCGACCAGGCAATATGCTGAGTCAATTGCAAAAATCATAGATCCGGATGGGATATATTTTGGTGAAAGAATTTTATCAAGAGACGAAAGTGGATCCTTGACGCAGAAAACCTTAAAGAGGTTGTTTCCTGTTGACACATCAATGGTTGTAGTGATCGACGATAGAGGTGATGTTTGGAACTGGTCTCCAAATTTGATAAAAGTTGTTCCTTACGATTTTTTCCTTGGAATAGGAGATATCAATTCTAGCTTTCTACCAAGGCAGCAGATGTTGTTAGGTCCTTCGAAGAGAAGAAAATCTGTAAACATATTAGAAGAGCAGCTCAGCATCGAAGGAGAGACAGGGGCTAAAAACGAAGGTGTTACTGGTGGAGAAGAAGGACAAAAAAGTGATGATATACAGGCTAAAGAAAAAGTCATTGAATTATCCAAGCTAAGGGAACAGACTGAAGAAGCCGTTATTGATGATAATGAAACCTCCGAACCACAATTGAATGGAGATACCCAAACGTCGGAGACTGACAGCACAAGCATCAACGACGAAGACTCCAAAAATAAAGAGAATACAACTCAAGACATCGTGGACAAGGCTTCTTCTTCCCCGGTGGACAGATTGGTCGAACTCAGTTTTGCAGGCGACAATTCAAACCTTTTGGCTGTTCAAGAAAATGAAAGAACTAGTGCTTTGGAACAGCAGGAGCACGATCGGCCATTGGCTAAATTACAAGAAAATTTAGACAAGATCATTGAGGAGGGAGAAGATGAAGCTGCTATTGATTTCGATAACGAAACGGAGAAGGAGAAAAAGCTGAATGCCAAATACAAGAGTATGGTGGATTCTAAGGAAGCTCACAACTTGTTATACGATGACGATAAGGAGCTCATATACTTGGGCCAAGCTTTAGTCAGAATACATAACGAGTTTTACTTTGAAGTTGAAAAGTTCAGACAAGAGCTAGGCCAGGGCACATTGCCAGACGTGAAAGATATCATGACTGAGATGAAGAGTATAGTATTCCAAGGTTGCGTATTTTTGTTGAGCGGGGTGTTACCGCTTGGAACACCGTTGAAGAACGCAGACATCGTGATATGGGCGAAGTCTTTTGGTGCTACGTTTGTGGAAAACTACAATCCTAAAGTCACGCACGTAATTTGCAAGAATGGGGGGACCTTCAAGGTGAGGTTGGCAAAGAGTGTGGATAGTAATGTCAAAATTGTCAATCCAGATTGGCTCTTTGCTTGTATGTCTTTGTGGGACCGAATTTCTGAGGAGCCATATGAAGTGAAAGTTGACAGCTTGCTGAGCAAGGCACAAGTAGACGACTTTTTGCAATTTCATGGTGATGACGCTGCATTAGAATCCAAGTCGCTAGACTGGGGGGAGATCGATGAGGAGATGAAGGAGTTTATGGGATCAGATTACGAAGACGACGACGACGACGATGATGATGATGATGATGATGATGATGATGATGACGGCGACGTTGACGACGGTGCTGCAACAACAGCCGACGATGAGAACAGCAAAACTGCCTTGGAGAGTAATGCAGCAAGCGACGAGGATGCTTCCGCTTCTGCCAAGAGTGGGAAACATACTTTGGAAGATGACCTCGATAACAATAAAAGGCAGAAGGTCACCGACGAACCCAAAGGGCAGGCCGTGGGTGAAGACGAGTCCGAAGACGAGTTCGAGAGAGATTTGCTTGAGCACCTAGCTGATCTTGAATGACTGGCGGCCTTGACTCTCCCTGTGTATACACTCGTGTAGCGTTATGTGTAACCTTACGTTATTATACTTAGACTGCTCCCGAAGACTTCGTGCCTGCCTCGGCCCTTCCCCTAGCGGAAGCGTAAGCAAATAAAATAGAGGGGGTCTAAGAAAGTTGCCAGGCGCAATACGCGGAAAGAAAACGTTGACTGAGGACAACCAACCACAGGTAGCTGAGCTGTCGAGTGTTGTACTGTTGACTGTTGTTATTGGTTTCGGATCCGGACTATTGCGCAAAAGGGTTGTTGCTAGTACAAGTACCTGTATCCACCTGAGTAGAACAGATAGACTCATTTGTACAAAATGTCTACAGCTGCTTTGGAACAAACGGAATCATCCAATTTCTTGGTGGGGCTTGCCTACAAGGCCAACGAAGTATGGGCAGATCTGATCGAGTTTCTGGCTAAACTTCCAGGTGGTGCCATCATCATCAACTACATTAAAGCTTCGCACAAGAACGATCCATGGAGAACTATTTTAGAAGCTCTTTTGGCGTTGTTTGCTATCAAGTATTTTCTAGCTTCAAGATATTCACAGGATGAAAGAGACAAAATGCTACTCTCTGGTAGAGAGACCGAGGAATTGATTGAAGAGTGGATACCTAAACCACTTGTGCCTGAGATCAGAAGTGACGAGCAGTGGCAGCTGGACACGAATCCGTTGATTGACGGGCCCATCACCAAAAGAGTCAAGATACAGCACCATGATGGTTCTGTCAGTGACGACGTTCTCAACTTTGCGTCTCTCGACTTCCTTGGCATGAGCATGGAGAAGCGTGTGAAGGATGAGTCAATTGGATGTATCAGAGATGTTGGTGTTGGTGCATGTGGGCCACCTAACTTCTATGGTACCCAGAGTGTTCACGTAAGATTTTGTGAGGATATAGCCAAGTTCTTGGGCGCAGAAGATAGTATCATATATGGTCAAGATTTCAGTACTCCAATTTCGGTTTTACCATGCTTTCTGAAAAGAGGTGATATTGTGATAGTAGATGGTGGTGCCAACCTTGCGTTGCAAAAGGCTGCATTGATTTCAAGATGTCACATTGAATGGTTCAATCACAATGATCTTGACCATTTGCAAGAAATCTTGGAAAGCTTGTCTGACGATTTGGAGCAGGGCCCACTAAACAGAAGATTTATTGTCACTGAAGGATTGTCCGAAAACTTCGGTGACTCTCCTGATTTGAAAAAGTTGGTTGAAATCAAAAACAAGTACAAGTTCAGATTGATCTTGGATGAATCGACCTCGATTGGTACCCTGGGTGACAATGGTCGTGGTTTGGCAGAAGTTTACGGTATTCCAAGAAGTGAAGTTGAAATTACCATTGGTAGCATGGCTCGTGCATTTGGTGCCAGTGGTGGATTCTGTGTTGGTGATAAAGATATGATCTACCATCAAATCTTGACCTCCAATGCCTATGTTTTCTCAGCTTCTTTGCCTCCCTATGTCGCAAAGGCATCATCTACTGTTCTTCAACTCTTGACCGAAAATGAAAAGGAAAACCAGGTTAATCCGTATATTCAACCTTTAAAGGAAAATAGTCATTATTTGCACTCTCTATTCTCGACGTCAAAAGATCTGCAAAATTACATCATTGTTAAGTCGTGCAATTATTCCCCTTCTTTGCACATAAGACTCAATCCTGAAATTCGTAAACAATTGGGATTACCTGAATCTTATGGTGGGCCAGGCTCAATCATCTCCAAAGCTGTGAAAAATGGTAATGAAGAGTTATACTTCGATCCTTTCTACAATTTAGAATGTTTCAAGCTACAAGAGATTATCAATGATTGTGTTAACTCAAAGGTTTTACCTACTAGGACGAAAAGAATTCTACATCATGAACTACTTCCAGTGGTCCCTGAGATTATTTTCCACTTATCTTCCCGCCACACCAAGAAGGACTTAGAACATGCATACTTTACCGTTTCGAAAGCTATTATTGACTGCATCGACAACTGGAAAGCAAAAGGAAATCAACTTCAAACATATTAATATCTCTTTTCAATTTGATTTTGCTAATACTTTCTATATTCTTTATTTCTCAGACCTTACTCATATATAATAAATTTTGTTGAAAACTGAACATTAAGTAACACACTACGGTTTTATAGAAACTAAATAATCATTGTTCGTGTTATACACTATTTTATATAAATGTAAATCTAAAAAACTCATTCAGCCATAATCAGCTAGCTGCATAACCAAATTTCATATCATTACTTCTTTGATTTGTTTTTGAAGCTCTTTACAAATCTAACAAGATTGAATGGAGAAAACCTTTTCACCCTGAAAACAAAGTACAAGAAGTTCATCAAGAAAAGGTTGAAGCAAATATATGCACAGAATAGACCGATATTTCTCCATCTATCGTTGTAACTAACCCCAATACTGTGCAAAAAGTCGTCGCCAACAGAATACTGACAAACAGCGCAATTGCTAGTGTCATTAGGGTTTTCAACATAACCAGCATTTGTGCTGAAATACTCGTTCAAATAGCTTCCACATGTTAATCCATCTGGAGGATCCAAATAATTGAACTCGGCTTCACTGCAATGAACAGGCCTATCATGTAGTAGAGTTCCAACCTGGTTACCAATGAAATATGTTAGCGGTGATAACCTCCACATAAATTTCCAAAATCCTGGCATCAATTGGGGTCTTTGAACAACACCACAGAATGATATGGTAAAACTGAAAAATAAACCCAATAGAATATTTGCACTTGGCAAATCCGGAGCAGCGTACAATATCATCAAAGCAAATGCTGGGAAGTATAGTTGATAGAAAAAGCAGTAGGTAAACCACCAGAAACCAGCCCTTGATGGCTCGTTATCAAGTTGAATCGGGAAATACCAACAAACAAAAAAGATGGTGGAGAAAACGATACAATAAGGAATTTCGTTGACATATTGAGATATTAAAAGACAAGACCAGTGAAATGTTTTTGATTTACTCTCCCGGACTTCATAAAGTTCCCTTGAGGATATTGCTTTTGTTTGCATCTGATTCATTATCGGTGCACTAATGATGAGGGTCAAAAAATTAGCAAACATGACGTTCTGCATTCCAATAACAGTGTGTTTGACATTCCAAAATGAGAATCCTATTATCAAGCCACCAAGTAAAGTCAACATAAACTTTGGCATAATATATGGCAAAGACCTATAAAGTTGGATGAAGGTTCTATTGAGGACTTGATACAATTGATACTGATAACTCGTAGCATAAGTAGAGTCTAGGTCAGCATTATCAGACTCCTCATCCTGGATAGTTAATCCTTGCTGAACCAAGTGATCAACTTCGGCTGAGACACTTTGATACTCCTGACTATTCTGCCAAACATCAAACCAATCATTGGTAGTAGATGCCGTTGCACCTGCACCAATCACGTCCAAGATGTACTCGGCAGGATTTTCTTCTTTTGAACAAACTCTACCGCCATTTTTCTCAAAATAGTCAATGACGGTCCTAGAATCTGGGCCAATATTTCCAAAATAAACTGTTTGTCCACCTTTTTTCAATAACAATAACCTATCAAATTGTTCAAAAAGAGTGGCAGATGGTTGATGAATTGTGCACAAAATAGCCTGACCTGCTTTTGCTAAATCCTTTAATACCTGAACAATCGCCCATGAAGACTGAGAATCTAAACCAGAAGTTGGCTCATCCAAAAACAACAACAAAGAGGGTTTGGCTACTAATTCAGTAGCAATAGATAGCTTCTTTCTTTGTTCAACATTTAAACCATATCCAGAAATACCTGCAATAGAATCAGCATAATCTTCCATATGTAGAAACTTCATGACCATGTTGACATAGTCAATTTTTTCCTCATCAGGAACACTCATTGGTCTTCTCAACCTGGCACTGAACAACAACGATTCTTTGACAGTTAGTTCTGCTATATGCAAATCCTGCTGTTGAACATAACCAGTTCTCCTCTCAAATGATTGACCCATCGGCTTACCATTGATTAGCATATCTCCGGTAACAATACCTACATCTGTACGTCTGGATAAAACATTCAACAAAGTAGTTTTTCCAGCACCAGACTCACCCATCAAAGCAGTCAAACTTCCAGGACGAACATAACCTTGAACATCTTCTAATAGTTTTCTTTCTTCACCTTCATATGGAACAACATAGTCAATATTTTTCCACGTAAAAATGTTATTTGATCCTAACTTGTGAGAATTTACGGAATTTCCTTCGTGCGAGCTGTTTGTAAGAGAATCCACGGTCACCAAAAAATCTTCATCTTCATGCTTCTCTAAATCCACCTCATTATCATCCTCAGCAGCAAGTTGTCTAAGATGCTCAAACATTCTCTTGGATATTTTAGCATTTTTAATGAATAACAGTTGATCAGAGGATGCCACAATCGGATTGAAATTTTCAACAATAAGACATGATATTGCGATATAACCAATAATGAAAGCAAACATAATACCAAAATTTCTCCAGACATGATTGAATGTATAAGTGAAAGCTAATTCCAAGTATATATCACCTTTAACATCGTTAGCTCCATCATATAAAGGTTTCGATTTAGCAGCGCCAACAAAACCGCAAACTTGATTTAGTCGGGAATTGATGTTAGCATAAGATGGCCCAAAGGGAATCAATTCAAACGGTGAGCATGCCATTCTCAAATTGTGGAATTGCATTAAAATCATTGACTCAAAAGCATACAATACCGGGTTGCAATAAGAAAACCATTTGAACCACCAATACATTGATGGCCTTTGAATCATATATGACGAGTAGATAACCATTGAGATCATCGAAATGCCACAAATGCCCATAGCAGCAGAGGCATTTGGCATCAAAGAGGCTAACATCACAAATAATCCACTGACGGCCTGAACTACTAAATTGATGAACAAATAATAGTGAAAGAATGCACCTGCCTCTGTTTTCAGGTGAGTCAAGAAGTATATAATGATAGCAAAACAAGTAATAGCAATGAGCCTGACGGGGAATTGCACCAAATGCTTTGCAAGTAACTCGGCAGATGGATGGTACAATTTGTATCCATACTGCTTATTCAAAATTGGTTTGTCCAGGAATAACGCAGGAGTTTCAGCCAATGTCATAAGCGCAAAGTATAAGCAGGAAAAGAAAAGAACACCACCTTTAGAAAAGGCGCCAACAGTCTCAGAGGTTATATTGTACATCAACGAACCAGTCACTAAAGATTGCATGATTGCCGCAAAAATTAGGGTGACAGGATATGCACGGTTATTGATCGCAATATGGAATCTTCTATTACAACATTCTTTAAGTTGGGAAAGATAGTTAATAGTGTATTGTGACTTTTTGGAAGTATATTTTTGTTTTATTAGCTCGTGATTTTGTTTCAAATTATGGAATTCAGTATCACCATCGTTTTTTTCTGAAAGTCTCTCGTCGATTTGATTCTGCAAGCTTTTAAATTCTTCAGAATTACGCCACACAGCTTCAAACTGGTCGGCTGTTTGGGGAATCAAACTCTTATCTTTGAAAGACGGGTCAATTTTCCTCGCTAATGGATCAGTGATTGAAGTCAAGAATTCCGAGCTTGTTTCACGAGGATGTTTAGCAAAACCTAAATTCTCGAAATAATTCACAGCATCATGTATGGGTCCAAAATAAATTTGTCTTCCTAAGTAGAGAACAGTGACAAAGTCAAAAAGTTGATAGATATTTTCAGATGCTTGGTAGATAGTAACAACCGAGCTAGTCTTGTAAATATTGGTAGAAGTCCTCAAAGCTTGTACAAACTCCAAGGCAGTTGAAGAATCTAATCCTCTTGTTGCATTGTCGAAGCAGTAAACATTACCATTTGTAACCATGGCTTCCGCAATCGAAACTCTCTTTCTCTGACCGCCAGAAACACCTCTAATAAAATCGCTACCAACAAGGGTTTTCTCAACAAACTTAAGACCAAATAGAATCTCGTATAAGTCTTTCATGTTTTCAATATACTCTTCTCTGGTTTTGTTATCAAATCTGATGGTGGGAGTTTTACATGCAACAGCGAATCTGATTGTTTGCTCTACTGTCAAAAAGGGGAAATGGACATCTAGCTCAGGATTGTAAATCAAGGTATTCGATAAATTGTCGAAAATCTTCTGGCAGTCAATTCCATTAAATGTAAGAGTACCCTCGACACCTTTATAGGTCTGAACCTCGCCTGTTAGAGCCTTGAGAAACGTTGAGCAACCAGCACCTGGTCTCCCTAGTACTAGAGTAATAGTACCCGGAGACGCAAAACCGGTAACACCTCTTATTATCTTTCTCGTTTTAGGTAAACTCTTGAAATCAAAAGTCTGCTCTTTGTTGCGCTTTAATCTGTTGTATAAAAGAACAAAAGGCTTGAAAAAAACATCAGAAACGTCTCTTAGAACTGAAGCGGCATTGTTTTTACCAATCACCGTCAAATCCTTGAACACCACATCCACTTCATTGTTTTCATAACCATTATTTTCGTTGAAATTCACTAGGTATTTTAATATTTTGGCGAGATCGAAGTCATCGGCATCCATTTGGAAAAGTTCCATTTCATTGGCATTTTTAGTCGACAAGGTTTTGGAAAGGGTAGAGAGTCTAGTCATGACATTATCATTCGGGTTATTAGTCACTGACCGGTGAATAGTATCATTAAGCTCTTGGAACCGTTGTTCTGATTTCAGGTCTCCGTCGTCCTCGGTGACGCTGGAACCATCAAGGGGAAGTCGCTTAGACTCGATACTGTCAGTCATTTTAACTTGACTTATATCTTACTGGTAGAGTTGATCCACAATGCTATAGCATAATACCGAGTGGGTTGCTTGCTGTTCTTGGTCATGGCAAACAGAAGATTTTATATAAGATTTTAGTCAAGAGTTACTCACATCTACATCTTTCAGCCGAACTAGTTACAATAACACGGAGAACGGACCGAGTCCATATTAAGTAATTAAGGCCGACCCGACCAGCCCAGAATTTTTTTTCTTCGGGGGAGATAACTAACGGATTTAATTTTACATCCTGACCTTTTATAGCCCAGCCGTGCATGGTAGCACCGAGCCGGAGTTAAAAAAATTATGCCTAAGCCTCCACACTAGGACTCGAACCTAGAATCTTCTGATCCGTAGTCAGACGCGATCACCATTACGCTATGTGGAGAACTTTACAAGTGCTAAAAGCATTCCGTCTACCATCATGTTAAAGCCTTTACCCTTTGATGTCAAACATGTTCATGTTAGTGATATTAGGTGCCATGCCTAACAAGCAATGAGACATCAGCAATTAGACGTAGGAATTATAAGACAAATTTGTAACATACAGATCAGAGCCTTACTGTTGTAATAACATCCCGAAGCCAGTAAGAAACGACAAGCAAAAGAAGAGGCTTCTAATGACAACACATAAGAGAGAGCTTATAATGACAAGGCATCAGAGTAATCAAAATCCGGAAGGAATATACATCATGGATATATTAGCAAGGGTAGATAGACTGAAACACATCACAATGCAGCGAAAGTGAGTTCAACAAAGTGTTTTCCGGTATCAGATCTATAAATCTATAACTCATGATATCATGCAACTGTTGACTGACGACGAAAGCTGAAGTTGTGGTAATCCTTTGAATGAAGGTCTCATCTCTCAATGTGAACCCTTGAAAAATGAGAAAAAAGATGGAAATTGTACTGGTAAATCTTTTTGTATTTGTTTGATCCCCTTTTTAGTTCATGCGTATTAATCTCCTGTAGAAAATCCCGAGTAAACTATTCTCCTGAAAAAATAAGCCATTTTTCAGTTACTGCAGAATACTCCAGAAATCCATTCAGGATACATCTGGCATGCACGGCACCCTTATCCACATTTATCAAACTCACGTATACAAAAATCACTATCCGCTGCAGCCAAATATGTTCTTCGTACATCAAAGGCACGCTTGGCCTAGGTCCACTTTTTGAAAAAAGCACGCATTTATACTGAAAGGTTCAAAGTGTAGCATTTGCAGCAAGGTTACCAACTGCATCTGAGGTGTTGCCAAACTGCAGCAAAACTTTTCTCACTAGTTTACATTAGGGGAGAACTTATGGACATCAACAAGAAGTCAGAGTTATGAATATTAGACTTTGTTTCCTCGCGTTAAAGTCTCGTTTAGTGTGCGAGCGTACTTTTAAAAAAATTATGGCTAAGCCTCCACACTAGGACTCGAACCTAGAATCTTCTGATCCGTAGTCAGACGCGATCACCATTACGCTATGTGGAGAACTTGTCTATTTTACTTGCAGAATCTATATAATGTTGTAATCTAGCTATTCTATTATGAATATCCATAGTATATTGTTCACTTTATATTATAGTTGTTGCTTTTTAATATATAACTAATATAACTAGCCTACAAACTAATATTCTCAAACATAAATACAAGGGACAAACCTCTTGTATTTATACACTTACACCTTCGGTTAAACTTGCCATTATTCATTTATCATGGCGGCTAACTTTCCAGTTTTAGATTACTTAAGATGCCTTATCATGATAAGACTCTTATCTCTTATCACTCAATCCTTATTGGCCTCGGCATCTTATCTCAACCCTAAGATACCTTATCATGATAAGATTCTTATCTCTTATCCCTCGATCATGATTGGCTTCGGCATCTTATCTCAACATATAAGTTAATAAATACTATAATAACTGTAATATAGCTCTTCAATGGCTTATACAATTACGGCTTCTGGAAAAATTAAGCAGTTCTTTCTTTGTAAATCCTATATTAAAATTTAATTTTTACATATCTTGATATCTGATGCATAGAGCGCTCTTCTGGACCATTGCTAGGTGATGTTGAATCATTTTTCAGGGAATTATTAAAAGTAACTGGGCGTGTGGCGTAGTTGGTAGCGCGTTCGCCTTGCAAGCGAAAGGTCATCGGTTCGACTCCGGTCTCGTCCAATAGTTTTTTTTAATTTGGCTGTGTTTTTGTACGGTTTAGAGATCTTCTTTTCTTCTGAACGATGCTTTTTGCACCGAGTAAGGAGCTACTCTTGAGAGACGGCAAGGAGAACACTGAGCTAAACAGACTTCTACTACAGCCCAATCTGAGTTCGAGGTAAAGCACAAATGGGAAACTCGGCTTCAAAAACAACCAGAATCCTAGATAAGGGCGTCAAGCTGAATCATCAGCCTTCTACTCTCGGTCAGGGTACTATCAATAATTTGAAAAAGCAGGTGACAGCCGATCACTTGAAGAACAAAATTGATACGAGGAATTCCGAAGCGTCTGAGAAAAAGGAAAGCAAGCACCAGGTTTTTACCCAGCGTCCTCCCAGTGAACTTGAGCAGATGGGAGATAGCGATTCAGCAGCTAATGGTACACATTATGAGGGGAACAGATTGTTTGAAAAGGCTGTGTCCGCTGGATTAGTGAAAGTGCAAGATAGCACTCACAAACAAAGTTACAATCCAAACCATGAATCTCTTCAGGTTTTGAAAAACAGAGTCAATGTTGAAAAGCAATACGAGGGTTTATTTATTCCAAAAGACGCAGACAAGCCCAATGTCCCAGAAAGATTTTTGAATGAGGAGCAAAAGAAAAGTTCGCTGGATCCTGAAGCAATGTTGAAAAAGACAAAGAAAACGGGTATCAATTCCTTTGGCCTATTCGATTCCGGTGTTTTGTCTGACTTGATTGTGGATTATAAAGTCTTCGGAGAAGCGAAATATATTGAAAAAGCAAAAGAGATAGATGCTAATGATGAAAATATTGTAAAGTTGAAGAAATTCATAGATGATGGCATAATAAATTTACCAACGCATAAGGTGACGCTAAAAGACTTTGCTGATCCAGCTTCGAAACAAATGAAACAGAAATTGGTGACTGTCAAAGACGATTGGGTAAAGACCATAAAAGAGGATATAGAAAAAGAGAAGATTAACAAGTTGGACTCAAAATCTACAACGAAGACGGACCTTGAAGTTTTTGAGCAATTCAAGATGCTGGAAAATCTTGTGAGCAAATCCCAAATATCTACCAAGAAGGTAGACGGCCCTTTGGAAGAAAGTGAACTTGTTATGAATAGGCGTAAAAAGCAGGTGGTCAAGGAAGTGAAAAAGATGTTGTGAGAAAGCTCTGTAAATAATCGTTAGTTTTTTTTGTACATATACAAAGACATCAGTAATAAAACATATTGGTTATATAAATTATTTCCGGCTCATTATATTATCGAAAGATACTCTGGTCATACTTTCAAACAGTTTATCAATCGAGTCTTTTGGTTGTATGATTTCTGAGTTTGCATGTTCCACTGCAAATAAACACTCATCAATTTTTATATAGTGTAGCGGATGATGAGTTATCCCTTTGAGCAGATTTTTTGGTAGATATATGATTCTCCACCATCGATCGAAAATTCCGGGATACATGTTACCAAGGCCGAAATGCATGGGAACGGCGCTCGAACCGACTATCCAGAAGTTTTTCAAATTTGGTATATTTTGGAAAAGTAGGTTTTTGTATAAAAGGACGTAGTCAAAATGGACCTGTATCCTGAGAGAGTCAAGTTTCTCAAAATTGTTAGATAGAAGCTCGAGAAGATGCTCTTTTTGTAATTGTTCTTCTAAACTAATGAGATTTCTCTCCGTTTTGATTTCAATGGACAACTTTCGAAGTGATTTTTTCTGCTTTATAAGTGCCATTTTTAAATACTGATCTATCAGCTGATTTAGTGGAATATTGTACATATTGTTGTACCTGATAGTTAGATCTAATTCTTTCACTTGATTTGGCTCGATAAAGTCGTTAAAAAACTCTGGAATTAGATCATCTACCGTAGATCTTAAATCGAGTCTTATGTACTTCAAGTTGCACTTATCACAGTTTTTGAAGAAAGTGTGCAATAAAGATTCACCCAAATCAGAGGAAATTATGCCAACATCAGTTAGCTCAAGGTATTGCAAACCTTGAAAAAAGTCAAATTTGCTTTTCGGATCTCTGTTATGCTTAAGATTAGACTGATTCAAATTAATAGAGCTCAAACTTAAGCTTTTCAAGTTTTTGTAAGTGTTGAGCTGATCAAAAATATAATCATTGGACTTCAATTTAACATCAGATAAGCTAAGAAGATCGCACAACTTGAAGGTTTTGTGCTGGGAATCTAATTTCAAGTTTTCTAATTTATTTGCATCTCCAGGATGAATCAATTTCAAGATATCATCCATTTTGAATTCTTGCTTCGTGGGTCCTATTGCTAATGTGGTTAGATTCCGGAATCTCAAGTTTCCATCCTCAGTCAAATCACTAAAAGGTTTTATCGGCAAATGTTTGTTAATGGAAAAGTTCAAAACTGACAACGTTTCTCTCGAGTATTTATCATTTAGTAATTGTTTCAGCATCCTGAAACTAAGCGGGGTATCCAGGGATAGAACATTCAACCTGGCCTTCTTGAAAAATGACACTCCTTCTTCTCCGAACAAGAACGATTCAAAGTCGTAAAATTCTAACGGAAGATTGACCACTTTAAACAGTTTGATGTAGCTCCACAGCCTGGGCCCGTCGTTTTTATCAGCAATAACATTATTTTCTAGACTTGAGTTCAACGATCTGATGAGAGATAAGAAGTTGGACTTGGACTTGATGTAGGTGGTGTTTTTCCCAAGGTATTCCTTTTCAAATTGTGAATATTTGCAATCTATGGTTATAGATCTGTAAAGTATGGGTGTTGTAAGACATTTCATCAAATGGCATGTCCTTGAGAGAGCAATGAGATCAAACTGTGTGAGGTTTTGCGATATTATCTCAAAGATATCCGGCATAAACAGTTGCAGAACTATCCCCTCCATTTGTGTTCTGAAAAGCGTATAGGCATTTAATATGGGCAAACCAGAGGGCAAAAAAATATCGTTACTCAACAGGAAACTAATTACAACAACTACACGACAAACAAGAGATCCCGTTCCCTTATATACCTTTCATGAATGAAACAAAACACTTTCCTTATTGGTACATCCTGTAGAACCGCTATCTTTTCTGCATGATCACGTGCCGACAAGAGCGATAAACCCGCCCAGGATGATGGGAAAAAACATGCACATTAACGTGTCGTTAATGGAGACGAAGGAGGTGTCGAAAATGGATAACAAGGATCCGTACAAGAAGGTGGCATTCTTTGGCTTGTGTTGTGAAGTGCAATGTCGTCTTCGTTGGCAGACTACCGGCTGAGGGAGCATAGGACTTCGAGGAACTTGAAGACAGAGAATGGGAGTGGTATCGAGGAGGATCCACTGACTCCTATTCAGTCTCAAAGCACCGAGATATACGAGAACGGCATCGATAGCAACCTTGGGCTGGGCCTGGATCTGGAGCTGGCAGATGCCCCAGATACGGAACTCAGTGACACTTCCTCTGTATCTTTTGAGCTATACGACGATAAGTTCTCTCGAGAAAAGTTGATCTCGCAGATTAAGCTGGAAAATGGTACCAGGGATAGAGGAAAAGACTTGAACATAGGCGAGTTTCTTCTGAAGCACTACAAATATAGAGAGTTGGGAGATATCTCCGACGGGTTAGCAGAATTGATCAAGGGGATCGATGACGACTTGGTTGAACTCGTAAACGTGAACTATTTGAGTTTCATCAATCTCGGGAAGTCTGTTGACGGGTCACTTGACCTGATCCATGATATCAAGATTGACTTATCTGACTATTTGAAAAACTTGAAGTCTAGCAACAAGGCCATAGAGGAAGACACAACAAAACTTGACACATTACAGGACTCTAGAGGGCGGTTGTTGAGTTTGAGAAGCATAGTGGAAAGGCTGATAACGCTAAGTGAGATGATTGAATGCTTCGACAAACTCTGCTCCAAGTTTGATAAGAATGAGGAATGCACGGATATGCTTAAGGAGTTGGTGGGACTTTATTTTGGGATAAACAAGATGTTTCTTAAGTTGATACAGCAGACGAAAGACGAGAATTTGGTGTCTTTGGCCAATAGCGGGATTCTGTTGGGCCTGAGTAAGAAAATGAACGGCCTCAAACTGGAATTCAAGAGCCTTCTAGGAAGTTACTTAACACATTTGAGAGATACAAATCCTTCAAATGAGGAGATTTTTGAGATTTTTAAATTGTACCAGTTGTTGAACTTGACGGAAGATTTCAAGAAGTCTTTGTAAAGGGATACCTTTGTAAAGGGATACCTTTGGCTAACTACTGACAACTTTTGTTCTGGTGTGAATTGAGGTGTTGTATAGTATACACTAGAAAATATTAATAAATATATTACATACCAGTAAAGAATAATAAGCGGCAACGATGAAAGGAAGAAAAAACAAAGAAAAGAAAAGAAAAGACAAGAAAAGAAAAGAAAAGAATAAAAAGTGAAATAAAAGGGAATAGGGAAAGGCTGAGTAAAGTGGGGGTATGTAGTGTCAGTTGACGTCCCAGCCATCCATGTTTAATTTTTTGTAAAGCTCCGATTGGACATCTCGCCAAATGCCCATCCTCACGTCTTCGCTGATGTGAGTTTTGTTCTCCAACAAAACCTTTTTATGTAAGTCGTTTTTCAAACTCAATGGGCTTCTGACAGATTTGTCAAAGGCGTAGTTTGATTTTTTCTCCAAAGTGATCTTTTTAAGTTTTGAAATCCTCGATTTAAATTCGGCTCTGCACTGGTACTCAATGCCTAGATTCAATAGATAATTTTCAATAATGTTTCTCCATTCGAACTTGAAGTAGCAGTCGTACTGGATATCTCCAGTGAGGCCGTCTTCATTGAACTTTGTAGAATCGATGCCAAACGAGTCAATCAAAATCTGCTTGTGCCTAAGTCTTGCTCTCTCGACAATGTATCGCATTGTTTTAATCCGTAACTCGAGGTCGAATTTCGCCTCCTTGTATATATCCGAACGAGCAAGCTGTTGTACGATTTGCTCATCTGCAACAAAGTTCGGCACAATCTGGATCTTGAAGTGAATGTTTGGGTAGGGGGACCTGATTTCCGGAACCTTGTTGTTCCATTCCGGCTTCAGCTCTGGATATATTAGCAAAGACCTCAAATCGTTCAATTCCCAATCCTTCAACGGGCGTTTCGTGAAAACGGGCCTTCCGTTCGAAAATTTGTCCACCTCTAGATCGGGCGAGTAGTAGTCAGAAAAGTCTGTCGGAAGCGCCTGGTTCAGGTTGAGCACGCCGTTGGCGGCTGCGGAAGCGTCGTCCGCTAGCGTCCAGGTGTTGTTTGTGTTGTACGTCGACAGCGACTGGTGTGTGTATAGTGAGTTTGCGTCGCTACTGAAGAGCGAGCTCTGCAACGTGGAGTTTCTCGAGAGTATTCGTTGCAACGACTCCTGCTGCTGCAGCAGCAACTGCTGTGCTGAGGCGTGTGTGAGGCTGCATCCGGACTTGCCGGAGTCTATCGACGAACATTCGTCCGACGAGTCCACGACCGTGGCCTCCGCTACCGTCTGTCGTAGAGGTGAACTGCCGTAGGTGAGTGCTGGTGTGTATGCTGGAGCAGCGGCAGCAGCGGCCACTGCAACAGAGTAAGGAGACGCTGGTTCGCTGTTCTTCGACCGCTTCAACGATCGCACAAGCGGCGACGCACTGTGCTTGTTCCTTACCCTCCCCACGCTGCTGCTTCTGCTGCTGCTGCTGCTGACCCCAGCACTCATGGCGATCGTAGAAATGCCTCTGCTGTTTCCGTCTCCGTCCCCGTCCACGTCCATCGCATCTTCGCCCAGCGGCCCGCTGTGTCTCGCCCCCTCCGTCTGCGTGAGGGCCTCCATCGACTTGAACTTCCGGATCCGGTTCTCGATGTCCTCCCGGGCACGTTTCTGGAACTCGTCCGGCGCTTTGTGGTTCTTCTCCCCATTTTTGAAGAGCATATACCCGAACATCGTGCCGTGCTAATACTATGTGTGTAGATGTGTGAGTATGGCCTCTGCTGTGTTCTGAGCCCTGCCGTATGCACTCTGTGGCCTGCTCTGATGCCGTCCAGACCTGCTTCTTCACCAAAGACCCTCTTTTTTGTCTCCCTGGCCTTCCTTCCGTACTTCTTACTGCTGTTCCAGCTCCATCCTGCCTCAGCCCTCCACCTATGACCAGGAAAAACTTCTCCTTTTGCTTCCTGCTTCTCCCTCGCCCCGTCACCGCCCCCCCGCACTCGCCGTTGTGTTGCCTCGTGCTCGGAAGATTGGAAAGAGGAGGCGTTCCGCCACGCCTGCACTGCCGGCTTCTCCACACCGGCCGCGGCCGTCGTGCTTTTTTTCCGCAACGCGGGGGCTAACTGCATCAGGAATACGTCCCGCAGGGGGGAGGAGGGGGTTTTTCCGTGGGGCGCGAGCCTAGAATGGTCCCGGGGCATGGGTCAGCCCCGGGACCAGCGTGGGGTTAGCGTGAGGGCCGGGCCTGAGAGCAAAAAAGGCCGATCGACGTCCCGGGGTTTTTTTTAATTTCTCATTTTTCCTGGTTTTCTTGAGTTTTTGATTTTTCTATTTTCTCTTTTTTCTTTTTTTTTTGATACTCATGTTTCCTATCCGTTTCCCTTCATCTACAGAAAAACTTCCCTTTCCGTCACACCACCTCCAGTGTTTACCACCAAACACATACGACCACCACATTCATCCATCATGTCGAGCAACTGGCTGAAGCTTTTGCAGAAGCAGAAACAGAAGCAGAAGCAGCAAGAGCAGAAACAGCCCGCAGCAAAGGACGACGTCTCGTCGCATCGCCATAGCAAGAGTGCTGCTGCCGGCTGCAGCAGCAGGAAAAGCCAGGGCAGAAAGGCCCCGAAAAGCGTGGTGACCATGAGGACGCCGTTGACGAAAATAGCCCGGGACCAGGCAGAGGCAAAGGTCGAGGCCGCACACAAGGCGCAGGCCCTCAGGAAGGCCCTGGTGCTCTCACAGCCGCTCTCGGACCGCCAGCAGGAGGTAGGGAAGTACCTAGCCATGGACTGCGAATTCGTCGGAGTTGGGCCAGGAGGCGTGCAGTCCGAGCTGGCACGTGTTTCGATCGTGAACTTCCACGGTCATGTCATTTACGATGAGTACGTCAGGCCGAAGGAGAAAGTCACCGATTGGCGAACGTTTGTCAGTGGTATAAGGCCTTCGGACATGCACAAGGCAATCACGTTCGACCAAGCACAGCGAGATGTCGCACAACTACTGAAGGACAAAGTTCTTGTCGGGCACGCTATCCACCACGACTTAGAGGCTCTTTACTTGACCCACCCAAAGCATTCCATCAGAGACACAGCAAAACACACTCCTTTCAAAACGAAATATTCCAAGGGTAAGACCCCGGGTCTCAAGAAGTTGGCCCAGGAAATCTTGGGTCTCGACATCCAGTCGGGCGAGCACTCTTCCGTCGAAGACGCAAGGGCTACCATGCTCATCTACAAGAGTGATAGAAAAAGTTTTGAAGAGAAGGTAAGGCCCACTTATCATAATAAATGAGAACTGCTCTGTACCTTTCTTTTTGGTTTTTCTTTTCAGAAATTTCTTTTCAATTCGTTAATAAATACTTTTATACAACTGTACTAGTCATCTTTCCATAAATATAGACATCTTTATTCATACGTACATCTTTGCAGAGGTAGGTGATGTCAAGCGTAACTATCACTTTCATCTTTATAAACTTCCATAATCTTCTCCAACAGCGCATCTGCGATATTCAGCCTTCTCTTGTTTGTATCCGTGAGTTTGTAAGCTGATGTTTCAAAAAGTGAGTTATTAACATCAAAGGTAAAATTGGTTATCCCTCTAACATCGTTCTCTTCCAGTTTATTCATCCACCCTTTTTCATCTAGCTGATAACTTACATATTCAGGGTTATTCATCAATGTCACCAACATATCCAAAACAGTCTCCAAAAGGTTAGGAGTTGATGATGATGCAATAAACTTATTCAGTACTCCTTCAACTCGTTTAAACATTTTTAGAATTATCTTTGGATCATTCCGGAAAATTTCAACATAAAGTGAGATTACCCTGGTGGATGCTAGTTCGTCTAGCTTTTGCTTCATGAAATAATTGGCAGCACCCAAACATGTGGTGTAAACGTTCAATGTAAGGTCACTAAACCAATCAATTAAGATTTTTGGAATCTTACAGTTGTTAACACTTGTAATGTACTCAATATCTCCCATTCCACATTCTTCAACAGCCGAAATCATCTCTTCATTGCTTCCAGATGTCAAAAAGATGAAAAATAAATAACAGTTGAATTCGTTGTATTTATCAAATGGTTTCCTCATGTATTCTTGGTATCTGATTTTCAATAAAACTTTCATTGTATTTGTAGCATATTTGTAAGCAAAAGGAGATTCTAACCCTTTGCAACTAATTAATGCCAACACAACATCAAAGTTCTGCCTGGTTAATTTAAAATCGAATTCTTCTTCTGCTCTATCAAACATATTTCCTAAAAGTTTCTTATGCTCGAATAGATAATCAACCAGAGTAATGTCCTTATCTTCAAGATATACGCTTATATTGTTTAATGTAGCGGCAAGATAATCTGTTCCATATCTGAAATAGCTCACATCGTTTGAGAGAAGAACATTCACATGAAACCAAAAAATTACCGGATGAAATATTGAGTTCTCACTAATTCCAACAATAGCTTTGCCAAATGCATGTAGTGTACATATTATTAGCTTCAAGTTATGTAAATCAGTCTTTCCTGAGGACATGATGTTTAATGCTTTGGTCCTAACCAAAGAAATGAATTTCAAAACAAGTACATTGGAAATACCTTGTTTTGTTAATGATCCCATAATCAAAATAGCTCTCGATTGGAGTTGTGCATCATCATCAAATGAAAGCTTATATACAGATGAGTTCCATCTGATCATCTGTAATTCATATTCTTCAGAATCCAAATAATTTTGTAAAAATGAAGTCAACAAGTCACAAAGTGTAGTGATTGCATTGGCTTTGCTAGATACATCCGTTCCAAGCATCCTGTTATGCCTGAACACATCATCATCATCTCTAGTTAAACCAAACAGCATTCTGAATCTTGGTCCATTCAAAAGTTCAATTTGGTTTCTAATCAAAGAATGCTGCTCATCAGTTAAAGTTGGCTTTGAGAGATAGGAGTGAAAGGTTCTCGCTAATAAATGTATCAAAGAACGTCTCAACTCCAATGGGCCATGGTCCATATAAATCGTGACAATATAGAAAATGTCACTAATATATCTGTCCACGAATAACAATGAATCAAAAATCAAATATGATAAAAATCTAGCCAACACTGTAGTTTCAATCCATCTAGTGTGTGCCTCTATTTCAGATTCATTAAGAGGCATATTGTAGGATTTATACTTCATCCTTTTGATAATGACACTACAGATCTCAATCGAAGACCGTAAGGGCCAGTATTTGGTAATTCTTTGCCAATCATTTCCTTCAGCTTCATGATCTATAGAGGCAGCAACAATCTCATCGATAATTATGTTAATCAATCCATCTTCCAATGATAGTTGTGGCCAAATGAATAATGAAAACACCTGAAAATGTTTCTGCTTTCTGCTGCTTCTAACACATTTTCTGATTATATCACGAGCCCTCCCTGGTCCCATCAAAGAGTTTGACAGGTAAACATAGCGATAAATATTCTTCACCCAGGGGGACACACACAGAACTAACGAATTTTTATCTTCCTCTCCCAAGCTGTTATATGCACCAAAAAATCCGTAAATAAACGCGTAAGTTAGATCGGGATGGTTTTCGGCAATTCTAGCAGAAACAGAGCAAACATAATCGATATTACCGTAGGGAAAAACGACCCCTTCAATACTATCAATGGATTTACCTGTTTGTAAACCAACTGATTGTTGGACAGAAGCTAAAAGAGCATAAGAGGCAGTTCTGATTTCAGCCGATTTTGAGAGTAAGCCGGCAAGTGAAATGTTCAATAGCTGGCCTACTGTAAATTTAGGGTTGGATGCAACACCATAATCGTCATCTGTGTAGCTATTGTTGTTCATAATTGCTCTTGAAAAATACATTGTACGCATGATTTCAATTTTCTTGGTTGAAGTGAGGATGAGTCTTTTGTTCGTTTCCATGTCGAGCATTGAAATTTCGTTAGCAATACCAGTCAAAGCAGTCAATGATATATCCTTCAACTCGCTGATCTTGAAACAATCTACTAAATTAATAATGTGCATTTTATTCCGAATTTTAAGTCTTTGAGGTAAAGCTGAGTAGATTTGCAAAAAATGGTAACCTATCTTCAATTTGACTGGTATAAACCTTTTACTCTCTTCTTGATAAATGCTCACATCTTGAAAAGTGACTCTGCTATCATTAGAAATAGCGTTCGTGTAACCAATTATCTTATTTCTGTTGAAGACTTTAGCATCATCATTCGTCGAAAGGAAAATGAAGTCAGGATTTACTAGCTCCTCTTCATTGACAAAATGCTGATCAAAATTCTTAAGCCGCTGAAAAAACGCTGGAGACATGTTGACATAGTATATTCTTTTACAGTTAGCTTTGTATTGAGATGACATTATTGCTTTAAGCAGTTCTCTAGCTTGCTCAAAAACTTCAAATTTGCTGAAAGCAGTCAAGTCAATCAAGACACAAAAAGGTGCGTCCCAGAATTTGCCTAATGTTTGCAGCAAATTGTAAACATAAACTTCTGAAGTTAAATCTTCAGGAAATTCCAATGTGTTGACACACACCAATGGTAAACCATCCTTGGTAACCAGTACCTTTATGAAGGGAACTTCTTCCAAAGCCAATGAGGCCCTGGACATAAAATCATAGAGCAATATACCTTTTGAGGATTTATCATCTTTAACACTTTCAGGAATTTCATACCCTTTGAGCCTTTTTGGTAATCCAATGTTTGATAAGATACGATCAATTTCTCTAACTGTTTTGAACTTCTCTTGCTTTGATATTCCATAGCCAAATGATTCAGAACAGTAAATCTTTCTAATTTCTAGCCAATTATCGTAAAAGAATCCATGTAAGTAAGCACAAGAATCTTGTCTCTCCAACTTTTTGAAAGATTCAACACTTATTTCTTCTGCAGGATCGATCTTGCCGAATGCTTCTTCTATGTTGAAATTAACAACTTGTTTCATAAAAAAAAAGAACTTTTGTTTGGCATAAAATAAATCTTCAGACTTTCCTTCCAACAACGGCAGCCTGACGGGTGCTTCGTTCACTATCGTCTGAATGACTCTAGCTAATTGCATAAGAGATCTTTTGAACAATGGATCTGTACAATCAACAATCTCAACGTGCTCAGGAGAGACAATTGTCGGGTTGATTAGCCTTAAAAACAAATAAGCATTGAGAGATGTAAATTTGATTTCAGGTAAAACCTCTGTAGTAGCATCAAAAATGACCTTTGCAATGAGTCTGATACCGATAGGCATTTCATTTATAGAATCATCGAAAGCAGTGGCTATTATATTCAAATATTTGAAAAATAATTTTATGTTCACTGCTTTCTCTTCCTCTGTTTGGTTTCCAGCCTTCTCAACCTCAAAATATTCCTTTTTCTCAATCATTTCGTGAAAAATAGGTTCGAAGATACTCTTCATGTAATCAGTTGCGTGGTCACGGGAATATAACGCTATGACTCTTGTACCGACCGTATTCGATCTTAAGATCTCATTTTTATCTGAAGTCTGCAAAACATCAAATCTGATTAATGACAGCAGTAATTTCAACCTCTGTTTCTCATTGACCGGAAGCTCCAATATAGAAGAAGCGTAAGCTTCTATTTCAGACTTTGGGCAGCATGATGCTGCCGCCAAGAACAAATCAAAATCAGAAGTGAAAATTGCACAACCTTGGTCATACAATGTTGCAACTGAAACTTTCTTTTCAAAACTGCAGTATATTTCTTTAATAATGTTTGAGAAAACGTCGATAAACGAAACCCTGATGAGATCATCGGTATGATAACCTAAGGGTAATGAATACCTTAAGCCAATATTAGAATTAGAATTAAGTAAGTTTATCAATGCCTGTATGATTTCTTTTATGATACTGGAAGTCCTATGAGCAATTGGGGTGTAGTTATCCTCTTCATTCTTTACCTCATCGAGTTTTTCTAGTAGCCTAACGAATAGGTTGAAGTAATTTGAAAAAACGACATTTTCAGCACTTCTATCTTCTTCTGCACCGCCATGTTTTCTTGGAGTGTCAAGTGGCAATCGATAAAAAATCTGCTTTAACATGATTGAAACTTCCACTTTGATGTCCATATGAAGATCTTTCAACTCAGACTCTTTGAATTCTATCAACTTATTAGACATTTTTTTGTTTGCCGACGACATATCGGTCCTAGATGAAGCAAAGGACAATACTTTCTTTCTTGACAGATCCGTTTCACGCTCTGGTATAGAAGAGAACTCAAGATAATCTGCAGCCACTCTTGCATATTCATTTTTGTTTATAATATTACCATTCAAAGCCAACTCTTCCAGCTTACTTAAAAATAAAGCTTGTAATTTGCAAAATTTAAGCTTCAATCGTAAAAAGCTAGGTGTGTTGTTTTCAAGATTTAACATCTTTAGTAATGTGAAATTGATATCCCATAGTTCAGGTGTGTGGGGAAACAAAGATTCATTTTCAATCTGACAAATTGATCTTAATACACTCAAAAATAACTCACATACATTATACTCGCCTTTGTCTAAATTATTTTTGAAACGTGGTAGAACTAACTTGATATAATGTAACAGTGATTCGCATAAGTAGGGATGAACTGAGACACTCAAAATTTCTCTCGAGTGCTCTCTTTTTTCAATATCTTTGCTGAACAAACTGATGACTTTATTCCCCAAAAACTTTTCTAAACTCACCTTCAACAAAGGCTGACGTAAATCATCAGCAAAATCATCAGAGAGAATAATCCCACCTAAAGATGCAAGATATTCGCTGTAAATCTCAATCTCACTTATAACATGATGGCTCGAGAAGAAATCGTCCAATTCGGCCATACTAGAATTGATGTTAGGCCCGCTCTCATAATCATAGACGGAAGCAACCTTTTCATACATAAGTGACCAGACACTAAGTAGAGTTTCAGTTGGCTTTTTGATATGACATAACCGATCTCTCATTTTCCTCCTGATGGTTACTAGGCCAAATGCCATTTTATCATCAAGAATACTGTTGGCAAGATCAAGATTTGCCCCATCAAAACATGACGGTAAATGGTGTTTATTTGTTATTACAAACACATAATATTGTAATAAGCGCTTTGAAGCTCTGATCGTCTCGATGTTGCTTGAAAATAGACCAATGTAAATAACACGTTCAAAATGTTTCACCATCCTCTTACAAGAGCCACTCAAGTGGAATGGTCTGATCATTTCACTATTATTGAACAGAACATTGAAATCAGTGTGCTCTGCCCTTGTCTCCAACAGATTGAAGATAAGCTTGATGATTCTATTTCTTTTCTCATTACTGAGCGATAATGAGATACCGACTTGAGATACAGAATCGATTAAGATTGCAGTAGCGATGTATGCCAAAAAAACTTTCTGAGGGTGAACGGTGCTAACGGTTAGGCAAAAGCTTAACAGATATGATTCTGTAGCTTTAAAAATGTCATCATCATCCAAGTATAATAATCTGGCAACTTTTTCGATAAAGCGTTTGAAAGATTTTTCAAAGCTCAAATAGAAATCTTGGCTCGCTTTATTTTCAGATTCAACATCGACATAGCATAAGAATGGATATGAACTATAAACCATCAGGAGATTTATAACATTTTCTTTCAATAATGATGGATTACATTGCATGATATGTCTTTTCAAAGCAGACGGATCAATGTTTTCTTTAAGCTCATATGTTCCAGTTGCAGCATTCATATGCGCTAAATGTGATTCTGAATCCAAACTTTTTGTACTCTCAGAAGAATAAATGGAATAATTATCCAGTCGGCTGTCATCATAATTCAATCGTAAAGGTGATGCTCTAAAAAAGTTCGAGGGAACATTTGGAGGAGGAGAAGTTGGAGTAGCTGATGAGATTCTTATTTTCTTTGAAGAGGATTTACTTCTTGTGGAAGAGGTTCTGACAACGTCTGCTGAGGAAAAAGAAGAAGTTCTGTTTGATGAAGGAGATATTGGTGAAATATTCATTGATGACAGTTGTAGGTTCAAAGAGTCGTTAATATTATCATTCAAGAGATCTTTCTTTGGATTAGTGAGAGCTTCACACAAAATGGAGAGTACTTTGAGCAAAGTTGGAGATAGGTCTTGGACAAATCTGAAGGTCAATTCATTCAATGAAGGAATACCAATCAATAAGCGGAATGCACCAGTGAACAGGGCCATTGAACCCATTGCAGATTTTTCAGATTTTAAAGCGCCCAAGATTTTATCCGGTAAAATGTACGAGTTCACGATTAAAGAAACTGCAAGGATTCCAACCTTTAAATCTTGAATTACATTAGAGCCATGAATGCTGCAATCAAGAAGATAACCATATTTATTAGAGTCAGTAGAAGTCATTGAACTGTTTGCGGAGTATGAGATTGTAGGAGGAACGTTATTTGTGGTTGGATATTGGCTGTAAGTGCCGTCAGGAGATTCCATGTTCACCTGTAAAGTCAATGGATCTTTCATGAACACAGCAAAGTTATATAGAGCATGTGTTTTGTTGTAAGTACCGACGGAGCAGCCAACCAAAAGAAAAGATATCAATGGTTCAGCCAATTCTGGAGATCTATTAACTAAAAGGACAAAATCTGCTAAAAACTTCTGCCTGCTTGAGTTCAATTTTGTCACGTTCGTGATTGATCTCTTTAATGCTTGAGTTGTTGATTTGTTTGACTTATCACTTATGTATTTATTCAATTGTTTTGGTTGAAACAAAAACAGACAACTTAAGATACTGTAATAAACTTTTGGACAGTACTTTGGATCGAGCTGTCGATAGAGGGTATCAAACAAGACTTCAGCATTTTTGGAACAAGTTGAAGTATCCACCACTTTCAAAAAATCTTCTGAACGGTTCATTGCCCAACTCAAAATAGCCTTTGAGAAATAATGTAAATATAGACTTTTCTGAGAGTTCTTTCTTGTTATATACAACAAATCACGAATGAACTGGATATGACCATTGAAATTTTTTGATGAGATGAAGGCAAACTGTATCACATGCGATCCCCTGATATATAGGTTTTCCAATGGGATTCTTCTGAAAAGCATCTTCATAAATTCTAGGTATTCATTAGGATTAGACGCAGCGATATAATGAAAAACTGAGAATATTTTTTTGTCAATATTTGAAATCAATTCCGAATTCTCCAGAATTTGAAACTTCTTCAATAATTTAGTAACCTCGTTGTGATCCTCGACCATAGAGGGACTGATGCGGCTGTCGCTTGAAGCCGAATGAGAAGAAGAGGAGGTGGTCGTGTTAGCAGTATTGGAAGAAGAAGACGACGCAAAAGAGAACGAGTTTGATTGTGGGTGAGCCGGTGGAGAAGTTGGGATGGAGGAGGAAGATGACGAAGAAGATGAGGAGGAAATGATGTTACCATGGAGGGATGCCGGCCGCTGCAAAGAAGGAGGGGAGTTCAATATCGAGTGTGTATTTACATTGGCGTTCGTACTCGAATTGGCGGATGCGGTATTACTTGAGGAGACACTCGAGTTTGGGTAATCTGTGATTGAAAACAAAGTTGCCAAGCAATCATGGTCACTTTTCAAAGTTATCAACAGTCTCAAGAGCTTGGTCGCCAGGGCGACGTCGATTGCATAAACGGGGCTGGAGGTTAAGTGGGAGTCCTCCAAGGTGAAGGAGGTGATTTTGAGGCCCAGGGATTTGAAAATGTCTGTTGCGGAGTGGTCCAAGTTCTCGTGCGCCTTCAAGTTGTTGATTATGTTAGCCAGGAGCGTTAACATTATGTAAATGGAGTTTAAGGTATTTGTACTTCTGTCGTACTGCGACTTTCCGGGGTCCTTTTCCAACACCTGGAGAAGGAGGTTGTACACGCATGAGAGGATGTCCCGCAAGTAGTTTGAGGAGACTGTCAATTTCAACAAGTGTGCCTTGGCCTGTATGTAGCATGGTTCGGCCAAGACCTGCGGGACCGAGTATCCTGAGATGTACGGGAGAAGCAGGTCTATTCTGGCGAAGATGACGCTGATGATGGAGTTCTCCACGGGGAGAAACTTGGTGGGGGCGTCAGGCGGAGCGGTCGTGGACGGAGACTGGTGCAGAGCGTCGACGGTGACGGAGGGGGACAACGGGCTGATGTTTGTCGGGGCGGAAGCGCTGCTGCTGGCGTTCACGCTGGTGTTCAACCTCGAGTCTGTGTGTCTGCTTGGGGCCGGTACTGCTGCTGCTGCTGTAGTGGGGCTGCCGCCGGGGCTGCTCCTGCTGGCGCCGCTGCTCACTCTGGCGTGGTGTCCAGCGTCGGGCCTGTCGCCGGAGGCCATCCGAGACGAGCGGGAATGGTTGTTCATAGTGGAGTGCTGTGTGTGTGCAGCTCTTGTATCAGTAGTGCTGTGCGGCCGTGTGCATATGTCGAGGCAGAAGGAAGGGTCCTACCTGCGGTACCCTGATGTCTGACGATAGCGGAGGAGGGGGAGGGGCCAAGTGTAACAGACAGCTGTCGAAGCACGGGGCAGAGGGATACGCCTGGATACGTGTTTTCTGTGCAGGGTGTCGGGGGCAGTGGAAACTGTGCGGCAGGCACAAGCAATCCCAGACTCTACGGGGGATGCCGGTATCTTTGCGAAAGGGCGTTCCGATGGCGGCACAGAGGTACTATTCGTGCGCCTAAACGGTTCTCAGCTCAGCGCACTGCACCGCACAACAGCTGCTGCTGCTGGCCAGGATTTCCCACCGGTACGCATTCCACCTCGATCGGGCAGGCGAAGTTCTCCTCGCGGGAACCTTCTTTTGCCGCTGCGTTTCCTGGGCCGGCAGATCACGCAGGAAGCAGGGCACAGGGCACGGGGCACTGGACGGGGCACTGGACGGGGCACTCGCCTCGCCTTGCCCCCGCCACCAACGGTGTTGCCGCTGCCGCACTGTTGCTGCGGCAGCGGCTCTCTTTTCTGCCAGCGCCCGCTCCCGGCATCGCGGCCGCGGCCGTGGCTCTAGGCCCTGGGCCCAGGGCCTTTGCGCGCGCCACACGGGCCGGGCGGCACCGCCACGGCGGGTCTCGGAGGAGGAAGTGCGAATTCCCAAGCTGCGGCGCAGGCGCTGACGCAAGCAAGGGCCGCGAGAACAACAACAACAACAACAACAACAGCAGGCACTGTTTTTCGCAGCGCCGGGACCCGCAGCAACCGTGGCAGCGGCTGCGACTGGAAAACAACAACAACAACAACAAGAATTTTGGGCGCATGTAAACAAACAGGCTCAATCGTGATGATAGCATGCAGGAGAGATGGCTACACACAAGCTGGCGAACCAGGGACCTTTCGTCTGTGCCAGTGCCGGTGCTTCTCTTGTGCTCGCTGTCGACGCTGTCTGTTATCGACACCCAGAGGCCCCTGCATTTGTTTGCGTCCACCAGCACATTGGCGTCCCCCAGCTACTGCACACGTCCAGGCCAGCTAGCACCCGTCGCTGTCTCCATTCGTTCATCCGCCTGCTTGCGTGCCCTGCCCATTGCTTAACCAAGACCAGCCGCCACAACCCACGCTGCCGAGCAAGGGACCATCGTTTCTGTAACCACATCTGGCTCACACACACCCCCGGCAGATGTCCTCCAAAAACACAAACTCCCATTTCTTGGACTCCTCGCCCTCGAAGGAGCTCTACAACGACGACTCAGAGATGATCTCGCTCTTGAACAACATGTGGGGCTCCAACTACAACAACCCGAAAAACAACCCCAACGCCGCCAGCAGCAACCCGACCAACCACGCCGACTCCGTCCCCAGCAGACGTCTCACCTCCTCCGCCCTGAGTATCGCTCACGACCACCTGAGCAAGCAGACCCCACACAAAACCCTCGCCAACTCCAGACAGCCGTCCATTCCGACCGTGCCTGCCCACCACATAAACTCGCAGCATCACGACTCCCACCTCATTTTCCTGGACTCGCCGAATTTTGACTCCTTCATCACCTTCACTCCGAACCAGATACAGCCCTCCAACAAGCTCTTCTCAACCCAGAAACAGCACCAACACCAACACCAACACCAACACCAGCACCAGCACCAGTATCAGCACGCAGGCCATGGCTTGGCCAAAGAGCTTTCCAAATCCCAGTTGCTACCTGCTCAGTACATGCCCGTTGAGAACTTTGTGTCAATATCGCCCAGCTTACGCACTCCTTTGGCCAACAAATCAAACGTCGAGGACCTTTTCGATACCCCCTACTTGAACACATTGTATTCCACCTTCGCAAACACAACAAACACGGACGAGCTGGGTAACCAGAACAGCCAGCAGCTGCATTCCCAACCTCAACATGTAACAGAGATAGCTTTTATCCAGACACCTTTGACGGAAAAATTAGACAAGATATTCAAAACACCAACATCAAACGACATTTTCAACTCCAAACAGTTTTTCGGAAACAGTACCATCAAAAGATTGACGAACAGTTACATACCCAGCAATACCAATAGTGCAATGAAAGTAAACCCGCATGGCTATCTTGTGGATGAGTCTCACACTGGAGCCATGAACCGAGGTACATCCGGCCTTGTCAACAACAATACAGACAAGATTATCGAAACAGATTTTGCAAATTTTAAAAATTCTCCCTGCGTCAAGCATAAACAATATGAAATGATCCAAAAGGAAAAAATGAACATGAAGAGCAACGAGAAGGTTTCCAATCCAGGCTCAAACTTGTTGGCAACTGTAAGAGAATCTGAAGAGTCTTCCAAGGCTGTTGTTCAGAATTTTTTCCAAGCTCCAATGGCATTATCCCAAAACACTTTCAACCCGGAGGCAAAAGATCCAACATCTGCCGCCAATGCTAAAATGTTGAATATGGTAGAACCGACTGTCACTACACCTAAGAAACTAAAGAGATCAAGAAGTAAAAAGAAGCAATCAAATAAAGCATCAAAACGTGGCAGTGGTGATGAAGCTAAAAACATTACACCAAACAGGTTTGGTGTAATGAAGGGGACTTCAGTAATATCCAAAACTAACGTGGATAATAGCATGCTTGAGAATGAGGGGATGATAGATTCATCTCCTTCCACCATTGTTGTCAGTTCTGCCTCCAAGTCTTCAACCAGATTAACTGTGGTTCCAGGAAACAAGACTTTGGAAGCTTCTCCAACTCCAATGAACAAGTACATCAATAGCGTACTTGCTGCAGAAAGCGTCCAGCAACAAGCTCAACTCATCAGCACTCACATCATTGGCGACATCAGCAACCACAGCCACAACGATATCAGCAGTAGTACCGACAATATTGTTGATGATGGCGATAAGAATCATTTACACAGCCATCACAACGAGATTCTTATCCCTAATCACATACATAACATCAGCAGCAACCACATAAACAACAATCTTTTCGTGCCCAATGGTCAGGAGAACCCAATGTTGGATGTCATGCCTACGGCACCAGTCATGGGAGTATTCAAGGAACAGAGCGCCAAGTCTTTAAGAAAATACAAGACGCAGCCCTTGGGCTCGGATGGGTTTAATAAATCATCACTTCCGACGTCGAATAAGAAGTTTGGAAGAAGTACGAGCCTGAATGACTCTATGAGCACTGGCAATCTGAACTCGAATTCGAGTTCAAATGGAAATGCTAAAGGCAACAACGGGAAGGGCAAGAAACGTAACAGAGGGAATAGTGGCACGATCCATTTTATCATGGCTGATCCAGACCAACTGAAGGGTAATAAAAAACGGCGGATTTCACGGAAAAAGCCAGATTCATTGTCAAGCGGCAAGAAGAATGGAGATAAGTTTGTTCCACTGCGAAACTCTACCAATATTGTGAACAACAGGAACAGGTCTACTAGTCCAGTCAAGGAAAAGAATATCAACACCGTCAGTGGTGGTGCGAACATCAACAATACCAGTGGGAACGAAAACAACGTTTTTTGGGAATCAGGATAGATAACGTTTTTTTATGTTTGTTCCATTCCTCAATTTTTTTTAGCTCTAAATAGTTTACATTCTAGCGGACAGTAATTAAGCACTTATGAACCTATAAAGAGGAAAAGCTTACTTTGTAGTCAGTATGAGTCTACTGATTGCGGCGCGCTGGAGCTTGAAGGCTGCGAGGTAATCATGATTCATGCACGCGGAGCACATCCTTTAGCGTCTTTAATGAATTCAATGTAACTAGTTAAGTATGTGAATTTAAATAATGTGAGAGACGGAAAACCATCAGCGTCTGCGTGGGCCCTTTGGCTTCGCAAACCTCAGCCTGGCGGAGCCGCCCGGGCCAGCGGTATCGGGAGCTGTTGCACCTGAATCACCTCCGGCGGCTGTCTGAAGCTCTGACAGCTCGATCTCGTCGGCGTCGCCGGCCTCGACGACCTTGGAAAACTCCCAGCCGTTGCTCTTCAAATGATTGAGAAGCCCCTGCTTGTTGGCGGCGTACAGCATGCGCTCCCTCACCTTTGAGCCGGACGGACAAGTGAGGATGAAGAAGCAAGCGCCCGTATCGGCCGTGTAGAGGTGGTAGGAGGGCCCGGAAATGGGCTGAACACGGTCGACCAAATCCTCCACGGCGACACTGTCGGCGCTGTCGATAAGCTTGAGCACCTCCTCCGAGATCTCCAGGCTGATAAGGGAAGCCGGCGACGCAGAGCCTGCGGCGAGCAGCGGCTCAAGAGCCGGGTCGATCTGAAAAAGCAAGGCATTGCTGGAGTCACTCACCAACTGGCCACTGTGGCTCGCTTTCGAGCTGTTCAGATACAGCTCCTTCTCCCGTACGTCCCGCAAGTTCTGCTCCGACTCCGTCAACGGGACGGCACCGTCCATGCTGTGCACAATCTTCCTCCAGCCAGCCGCAGTCAGCTCGTCTGCACTGTTCACAAAGAGGATAGGGTCAAAGAGCTCACCTCCGAGCGACCGCAACAACGTGTTTTTGCTGCTGGCGTACAACATCTTGTAGCGCACCGAGGCGTTGTCCGGCACATACGAAATAAACGCCAGCTTCCCGCCGTTGCCGTACCGAAGAAGAAGATACTGGCATTCAACGTCCGAGAGCTGCTGTGACGCAATTGCATCAAGGTCGGCGTCCAGGTCGGCCGTGGCCTTGGTCGTGGCCCCGACGTCGACAGACAAACTCGATGCATCGATCGTCAACGTGAGCGCACGACCTTCGGACGCCACAAAGTCGTGCACCTGCACAACTACCTCCGCTGAAGGCACTATTCCGGACTGCGAGGACATGTTGGCTGGTTCACAAGCACGTTCTTCAACTGCCCTTTTCTCCGTCTCTTCCTCCGTCCCCTGCAACCCCTGCTTTGTTCCTCAAGACCTCCCTGCCTCCCTCCCAGAGGGCGCAGCAGGAGGCGCGGGCACGGCACGTGACCGCAACGGCCGCGAGAAGTCGCAGTCGACGGGCCTCCCCGTGACAGACACTGCCGTCAGTTGGTCCAAGGCAGGCAGGGACCATGAGTTGCGGGTTGGCTCTTCCCCCTTTTGCCGGTGGCCAGTCAGCGGATGGGTCCCGGGATCTTCTTTGCGACTCTCGTTCTTTCTGTGAAAAGGCAGCGCAGCAGGAACATCGCAGACGTCCCAGCGCAAGCTACACACACTAAGCCCGACGTGTACTGGCCCAAAGCAGAGAGCAGAACTGCAGACAAACTAAGAGCGGAAGATGTTGCATAACCAACCAATTGCAGGGAACGCTGCCACCACCGGCGAGCCGCTAGCGGTGCAGAGCCAGAAACAGGGCTCAGGCCAAGGCCACGCCCAGGCCTACGCTCCAGGGCAGAACCAAGGTCAGAGCCAGGTGTTTTCCCCCACCATGACAGACACCTCCATGGCGATTCTCTCGCCGCCCTCGTCCCGGTACGCATTCGACCCGAATGCGCCAGGCAACTCGAACAACAACCTCCCGATGGATTCGATGCTATCGCCACTCTTGGCGTCCGTGGCGTCGCCCGTGTCCGAGCTCAACTTTGCCAACTTGAACATCGCTGCCATGTCTCCGCCGGCCGGGTACGGCACCGAGAACGACGTGCCGGCGTTCCAGCCGGAGACCGAGCTGCTGTTGGAGAATTTTACCAACGACTTGAAGGTGTTCAACAACTGGGTGCACGGGCTCAACGTCGAGGAGCAGAAGGCCGCCATCGGGTTGTTCATCGACTCTGTTCGGGACCAGGAGGTGGTGGACTTCATCCAGCGCAAGATCTCCTCGGCTATCCCGAACGAGGACTCGAAGGGGAGCATCACGTTTTCGCCGCCCCTCTCCGCAAACACCTCCCTTCCGCAGCGGTTGAGGCCTGTTTCGCCGATCATCCCGATCTCGAACATGAACCACAGGGACAACCCGGTGCCTATCACGTTGGACTCTATCTTGAATAGCGGCGGCAAAGACGACGGCAACGACCGCGTCCAGGACGACGTTGTGTACAGACCTGCGCCAAGGAGAATGCTTTCGCCGCCGGTGATGAAAACAGGATTTTCGAACATCATCGAGCCCATCGAGAGACCCAAGTCTGCAGACCCGTCATATTCCTCCGGTGCTGCATTTGTGGACCAAATCGGCAACGGCAACGGCAACGGCAACGGCAACGGCAACGGCAGCGGCAGTGGCGGATACGGCCAGTTCAACATGAGCAGCGGCCCCATGAGCCCATTGCTGGGCAACCAGCCACTTTTCAGAGTGCTCTCCGACGGGTATCAGGAGATGGCGCCCGAAAACGTCTCCTTCAACTACTACAACTACAATGGCACCGGCAACACTAACAACAACGGCAGCGGCGGCGAGGGGACGCTTGGAACGAAGCTACAGCAGTCGCTGAACACAATCAACAACCGGTCCGTGATCGACTCGAACAGAAGCCTGAAGGAAGACCGCGGCAGGCACAGAAACCTTCAGAACAAGCCGTCGAACATGAACCCGAACATGAACCCGAACATGAACATGAACATGAACACGATGAACTCTTCGAAGATGGGCATGAACAACCTCAACTACATGAACATGAGCATGCTCAACAACGGCAAGAACGCCTACGGCGACGGCAGCGGCGCTGCCGCCCTTCAGAACCTCACCCAGAGCATGTCCGTTCCGCCGCACAACCGCATCCGGTCCACCAACAGCGGCACGCGGGGCACACCTGGTGCCGCCGCCGCCGCCGCCGCCGCCACCACGTCCGCCACGCCTGCCGCCTCAGCCAACAAGCTATCGTACCATGGCTCCGTGCTCGCCGGCAAGCTCCACCCGACTCATGGCTACAGCAAGAGTGGCGGCAGTCTGGGCAACATGCTGCACGCAGGCTACGGCTCCGCCTCGTCCACCTCTTTGTTGACCGAAGAGGAGCGCAGAGCGCTGCACAACAAGAACAAGACCGGTGCCGCCGGCGCCGGCGCCAGCGCTAGCGCCGCCAGCACCAGCAACGGCAGCCTCAACACCGTGTCCACCCCGACCACCCCGACCGCTGCTTCCGCCGCCGCCGCCGCCGCCAACAACATCCCGAAGGACATCGCCTCCGATGCCCTGCTTGCAGACATCCCCGCCTGGCTGAAGACTCTTCGGCTTCACAAGTACACCGAGAACCTCCAGCACCTGCGCTGGCAGGACATGGTCGCGCTTGACGACGCCGCCTTGGCCCAGCTCGGCGTCAGCACCCTCGGCGCCCGCAACAAGCTCCTCAAGAGCTTCTCGTACGTGCGCGAGAAGCGCGGTCTCGCCTAGGCCGGCGGCTTCAGGCGGCCGCCCCTTGGCGGTCGGGCCTCTAGCCCCGGGCTTCTCGCCTCGGGCCATCGCATCCCCGCCCTGTCCAACCCCAGTGACGGGAAACTGGTGCGCGGCATTACGCGCACAGGGCGATTGCCGGCGGTAAGCGAGACCGGGCGGAACGCTTCCCGGCCGGCGCCCTGCCACGCCATGCACCGGCGTCTCTGCTGGGCCATGGGCTGTGCCCACGGGCTCTGCGCCGTTTGCCCTGCCCCTTTTGTTGGCGTCGACCAGGAGATGGGCACCCGTTATCCTTTCGGCTCTAGACAAGATGTGTACATACTTACATACTTACATACTTACATACTTACCTACTTACATGCTTCCATGCTTACATGCTGCTGCCCCTACTCCCCTGCTGGCACACTCACCACCGGCCGCCCCGAGCAGGCCGAGCACGGGCCGAGCAGCGTAAATCCCGTGCCCGTACGCCCGTGCCCCCCGCTTCCGCTACCGCTGCCGCCCCAACGTCGGCGAAGCCAAACTCAAAAAATAGCATGGGAAAGCGAAAAGAAACAACGCTGCACCTCGCAGAGACACTAGTTGCCGTCTGCTTTTAATAAACTCCTGCACTCTCTCAAACTCGTCTTATCGCTCCCGCACGGCCAACGGATGATGCACCCTCTTTCCTACTGCCTCTAGCCCCCGGCCTGCCTGCACGCCCACCCCCCACTTGACGTGGGCCCGTAGATCTCTGGCTTCCTGCCCTTCCTGCCTCCCTTTTTCCTTCCCTACTTCCGCCCTCTATCTCCGTCTGGCCTCTATCTGTCTCCATCTATCTCTGCCTGACCTCTGCAGTCGTTGCCTCTGCCCCCGCCTGCCTCCTCCCTGTCCAGTCCCCGCCCCTCTCCCCTCCTGCCCCTTGTGCTTAGCCGGATCTCACCCGTTCGTACAGCCATACATACAGCGGCACTGACGCCCACACGGACATCTCCTGCAGCAGAGAAGCTTCCCCGTGTCTCTCCCACACGCATTCTCTACTTGTCACTCCCTGGTTGCATTAACACACGCAACACCACTAATTTGAATACTCTCCTCCTTGCCTTCATCACAGACGACGCATACGCATACATGCACATGTGCTGTGTGTGATTCACCTGTGATACTCCTGACATAGTTTCTTCCGCCTGCTCTGCTTTGTGAAGAGAACCAAGGTGCCTCATAAAAACCTCCCCGAACCGGCTTAACTGAACATGCTGAACGATCTACTCCTACTTGGGTTCACAGAGCAGACTCTGCCGGAAAGCTTGGCCAACTGCTATCCTCACGCATCCACCCACATAGCCACTTTCCCCAACATCAAAGCTTTGGTCGAGTATCTCCTGTCTTCTCCCAACTACTCCTTGGTGAGAAACAGCACAGATCATGCACAGATAGAGAGAGCCGACACTTCCTTGATTGAGAAAGAAATAGATTACTCGGTGACGATCGTCATAAATTCAAACCCTGCGTATTACGCCCAGCAAATCTCGGACTCATCCAACACCTCACTTTCCTCCTTGAGCCTGAAAAACTTGTTGTCTCTACTCAACTATAGGTTCCTCCATTTGAACCCAATAATCCTCTCCCTTAATTCGTCTGATGAGAATGAAGACGACATTACCCACGTGTTTTCAGAGTTATCCATTGTGGAGAATAACCTTTCGACCCGGCTGGCCAGAATCAAATGCTGGATAGGCTTCAATGACAGACAGTTCGACCAGTTGGACACCATGATAAACTATTTGAATCTAGATTTCCCAGTCGATAGTGATATGGCCCTCTTTACAAAATTGTTGTCTACTGATATAGATTACGATAAGCTTCTTATTAACCTAGAGTCACATAAGGATGATGAATACTACCTGAATCTTATTAATAAGTGGGAATTCAATGCTTTTCACTTTAACTTAGATGAACTACTCAAAATGAGTCACGTCATATTGAAATCATACTCAATCAATGCTCAATCCCATTCGCAGACTTTGAGTTCTTTCCTTTTCTTTGTCAGGGACAACTATAGAATCGGAAATCCATTCCATAATTTTAGACACGCAATAGATGTACTCCAAGCAACGAATTTTTTCCTAAACATATTGACCCGAGATTCCAGCTTTAAGCTTTCCAAATCAGATTCATTTGCTCTTTTATTGGCTTCATTGGGCCACGATATTGGACACCCGGGTATTACAAATGCATTTCTAATAAACACCAAGTCTCCGCTAGCAGCCTACTTTGACAATCATTCAATTCTTGAAAATTTCCATAGGTTACAGTTCAAGAAAATTTTAATACCCTTCTTGGACCAATCGAAAGACTTGTTTCCCGTTGACGGCAATACCCACCTCAAATACACATTAAGCGTTGTGGATAATGCGATCTTGGCAACAGATATGGCCAAGCATGACGACTACGTGAAAGAAATTTATAATCTAGAATCGGATTTCGACAACTTTAAACTTCTCTCCTGTATTTTGATCAAGTGTGCAGATATCTCCAACGTGTGCAGGCCGTTGAATCCAAGTTGCAAGTGGGGACTCTCTTTAGGGGAGGAGTTCAAGCAAATAAGTTGTTTAGAAGCTTATTTCAAATCCTCAACTCCGTCTCGAGATCTTCTACAGGATGATCTCATTGCTAATAACTTTGGAAAACCAATAAAAGATATGGACCTTCACGAGGGAATCACGCTGGTAGATAATTTGAGCAACAATCAGCTGTTTTTCATCAACAGGTTTGCCAACGATTTCTTCACGAAGGTCGCCAATACCATCCCACAGCTTCACTTCTTGGCGGACCACCTTATCGAGAACGCTGCATTCTGGGAAAGTGTATGACAATAGTTCTGAACATCTCCGGCATTTTCTTCCGCTTGTTTCACATTTTAATAGAGATAATTGTATAAAACTTCTATAGATTGGCTTTTCAAGCAAACATACTGCATCGATACCATACCCACAATCACGTGACTTTTTTACCCCCCCATTTTCCGCTGTCTGACTCTGGCCGCTTCCCTAGCAAGTCTTTTTTGACAACGATACTGACTCTGGGGCTGACTTGGTAAGACTCCGGCCGTTATGGTTGACTCGGGCCCTGTTACTCTGTTTGACTTCTATGGTGAGAGCATGTGCAGAGGAGCTTAGAGAGGCCAGCCAACGGGCCAACCAGCCAGCAGAATTTGGGGCTGTATGTACGGCTTCTTTCCCATTTTTTGGTAATTCTTTCTTTCTTCTCTTCAGACAACAGGCAGAAGAGAAATAACTGTAACAAGACATCTTTTTCACTGCACAAATCCCACACCACATAGATACAAAAACCATGTTCGCCAGATCAATTCTCAGAAACAACTTGAGAAGCTTATCTCAAACTGTTTCCCACCAATACGGTGGTGCTCCAAAAGTGCAGTTTATCAACTTTTCAGCACGTTTGCAATCCACATTCAAGTTGAACCCAGAGTCTATTGTCTCCACTTACTCCCAAGAACCAAAGTTGAAGTTCACGAACGAGCATGAATGGATCTCCATCCATCCAGATGGTACCGGCTTCATTGGTATTACCAACTATGCTGCTGACGCCTTAGGTGATGCTACTTTCATTGAATTGCCAGCACACCAAATTGGAGAAAAGATTGAAAACGGTGAAACTATCAGTTCCATCGAGAGTGTCAAGAGTGCCAGTGATATCTACTCCCCAATCAGTGGTGAGATAGTCGAAGTTAACGAGAAGTTAGATCAATCTCCAGAATTGATCAACACCGATCCTATGGGTGAAGGTTGGATTGTCAAAGTTAAGGTCGATGAAGGCTCTTCACTAGATGAATTGATGGACGTCGATGCATACAAGACCTTTGTTGAAAACTCCGAACACTAGTCGACAAGCTGGCCCCATTTTCCTTCAACGATGTTCTTGTCCTAGTCGTATATACTAATACATACACACAAACCTACACATATATAGTTTATCCCCCAAAAAACAACAACCCGATAGACCACTCTTTTTGGTACGTTCCGAAAGCGTGTAAATGTAGTGCTAAAATGCCGACTACGAGAAGTATTGTCCGCTTGGAGCTCTAGCTGGTTTTTCGCCTTGTGTCTGTTCTTGTTGTTTTGCCCACTCTTGAGGAGTCTTACAAACCACTTGGAATCCATGTATACCCCCCTTGATCTCGTCATCAAGGACTTTGAAAATGTAACGGTGTCTAGCAAGCGACGACTTCAATCCGGGTTCACTAAATTTCTCACTCACAATGGTGACATGAAAATGACTTTCTGCAACGTTTTCCACCCCCTTCATACCAGTATGATGTGCGTGTTTCCAGGAATCATTTCTGATTATCAAAGTTTGAGGGTCCAACGTGGTGGTAATTTTTGTGTGCAAGTTACTTTCAAGCGGGCCCATTATCTTGTCCGGTGTTTCGGGTTTGTCTTTTTTGTCGGCGCATTTACATCCAGACATGGTCTCTTTCTTTGTTAACGTGCTATAGTGGATTCTATTGCTTTTGTAAATTGAGGTACTGAAGTTGCAGGTATTTTGTTTTGATAAAGATTGAGGAGACAGGGTTGCTTTTGAGTTGAAAATGGAAGTCACAATGGCAAATGCTGTATGCTGATTCCAAGCTTGAGTCAAATGATTTTGGACAGCTCTTTGAGCAATTACTTTTCTGATCATTTTGCTAAAGTGTTTTAAGAAAGAAATTTTGCAGCTGGGTTACTTTGTTGGCCAAACATGCCTGACAGATGAAGGCCTGATGTAGAAAAAATTACTCATTACAAATTCATTGAATGTATTGTGTCACGTGACACATTTGACAAAAAAGGATAATAAAGAGCAGACTTCAATTGAAAATAGATAGGAGCATATAAAATTTTAAATAGATTACGGAGTTAGCTAATGCAGACCGTTTACCAGTTGCTGTTGCCACCTCTTCCGCTACCACCGTAAGAGTCGGAGTTGTCGTTACCGTAGGAGTTGGAGTTAGAGTTGGAATTGCTGCCGTAGGAATCGGAGTTGGAGTTGCCACCTCTTTTGTTACCACTAAGGCTACCGTAGGAGTCGGAGTTGTCGTTATCGTAAGAGTTGGAGTTGGAGTTTCCGTAAGAGTTGGAGTTGGAGTTGTCGTTACCGTAAGAGTTAGAGTTGGAGTTACTGCCGTAGGAGTTAGAGTTGTCGTTACCGTAGGAGTTGGAATTGGAGTTACTGCCGTAGGAGTCAGAGTTGTCGTTACCGTAGGAGTTGGAATTGGAGTTACTGCCGTAGGAGTCAGAGTTGTCGTTTCCGTAAGAGTTGGAGTTACCACCGTAGGAGTTAGAATTGTCATTACCGTAGGAGTTGGAACTGCCACCGTAGGAATCGGAGTTCTTACCACTCTTTCTGCTGCTGCTGCCGTAGGAATCAGAGTTGTCGTTACCGTAGGAGTTAGAGTTAGAGTTGTCGTTACCGTAGGAGTTAGAGTTAGAGTTGCTACCGTAAGAGTCTGAGTTGGAGTTGCCACCGTAAGAGTCTGAGTTGGAGTTGCCACCGTAAGAATCAGAGTTGGAGTTGCCTCCGTAAGAATCAGAGTTGGAGTTGCCACCGTAAGAATCGGAGTTGGAGTTGGAGTTAGAGTTGGAGTTGCCGTGCTTGGAGGAGTAGTTGCTGTATGCGTCCTTGGCCTGGTTAGCGTACTTGTTAATCTGGTCTTGGTTGTTGTCGTATAAGTCCTTAGCCTTGTCGAATAAACCCATTGTGTGTGTTAGAATAGTTGTTTTAGTTGCTTGAGATGAAAAAATCACTTGTAGAAGGAAAGGAAGAAGAGAGAAAGTAAAAAGACAAAGAGTACATTACAGGTCAGAGAATTGAAGGAAACTATGGGATTATAAATATCCCAGCTGCGGGCATAGACCGAGGCAGAAAGGACAGATAATCCACTTCCACTTGCACACGTCAGCCTCGAGCCCATGTGCCTGTGGGTGTGACTTGATGTGCTGCGCATGCATATGCACAATTGATGTTTTTCCACCAGGGACTGCGAGTTTCCGTTCCCGAGCGAAGGAACTGTGGACACAGGGACCGATCCCCCCATTTGAGAAACAATTTTGACAACACGCCGTAACGCAGCCAGCCAGAATAGGGACAACACAACCAGCGAACGCGGCCCCGCTATTGTTCCTCCATTCCCGGCCATGTCGAGAACATGTGGCTGCGGAGGCTGCGGCCCCGGGAGGGTGCAAGGTGCACATGAAGTGGTTTGCACGGGCTACAGGCGACGGGGCTGCAGCAGCTGCTGCGGTGGCACTTGCAGCGAGGCAATTGGTAATGTTTGGTTGGGGAAGCAGGGCCAATGGGGTCGGCCGGCTGCGTCTGCGCCGAGCCGGACGGAGAAGCGTGTCCGCGTACCTTGGGGCTGCGAAATTCTTCGCGTCCGGGGCTTGGTCCGTGCACGGTCGGCAGGTGTGCTTTCTGCCGGCCAGGTACGGCTGCGGCACAGTAGTGCAGCTGGCTGTCGTGGCATTGGCCGTGGCGGCGATAGGAAGGAAAGACATCAGGCGTGTTGTTGACAGACGCCGGACACGTCTGGGCAAGCTTCTATGCTTACACAGCCCGAGCAGAAACGGGGCCGGCGCCTGTGCCTTGGAAAGATAGGAGAGAGGGACAAGGCACGGATGCCACTGAAATCGCCTGGCTGGATACCCATTCACGCCCCACGGCAGCAGATCTCTGTCATATGGGCCCTGTTCTAGATTGAGGCATACATCAGCGCCCTCCCTGTCCACTGCTTTTCACCATCCAGCACTATCCTACTACCGGTTCTCCCGCCGCTGCACGCCCCTGTAAACCTTTTTTTCCCGTGCGCCCTCATGGCCCCAGCTACGTATCGCATACCTCATTACTCCAAAAGGATCGGCGCAACGTAGCGGGGATTTGCGACTAGAGGTAGTGGGGACAGATATCGGGGCTTGCCCCCCTCTCTGTGCTTCCATCGTCCCTCACGGCGCCGTGCCAACCGTATCCATGACGCATTTGTAAGCACGACGTTTCTAGTCTCGCCGTAGATTGGCCAATGAACAGTCCGAGAGGCCCACACTCTGCGGCACCCACTATCCAGAGTTGATCTCTGAACTAGATCCCGGCGTCTCAAGGTTGCGCCTTCCCGTCGCACCGTGGGCCCGCTATTGTTCGTGTCTATCGCTTTAGGCGAGGGAACGAAAGCACGAAAGAAGGAAAAAAAGGCCGCCGATTCCGCATGGGGAGGAAACGCCGGGACGCCGCCAGCGGCAGAAAAAAATCGACGCCGTTTTGCGTCTGCGCTGCCGGCGTCGCATCGCCCTCGGGGTCGCCGCGGCCGGGTCGCCGTCGCGTCGATGTGTCCGTTTAGGAAATTCCCTATTCGGGAGAAGTGTAAACACCAAAAGGGAATTGATATGAAGATGCTACAGGTCTCTACATCTTTTTCTTTGGATCGTCTAGTGCTTTGCTTAGAAGACGCATCGGAGGGTTCACTTCTGCAGAGACTTCTGTCATACCAAAGACACTAGACCTCAAGAAAGAGTCGAAGGACGAAGGGCTACCCGTGAGTTTGATTCAATCGGATCTCACTAGATTCAGCCTAAACTCACTCCTGGCTTTGTGCATCACTTTTCCAGCTTGCACCGGCCAATCGCAACTTTTCTGTCCGCTCGTTCAAACACCCGAACCTCTGAAGTACTCAAGCATATCACCCCAATCAATATCTCAGTCATCTTGCAGCTAGCTTCACTCTTACCAGACCGCTATCCTTGCTAATTCCTTTCTGGTACTTTTTCGCTTTTCCATACCTTCTGTTTTCTAACAGTTTCCCTGCTTTTCTCAAATTTCTGCTCTCTTCAACCTACGCTGCTTTGACTTTTGTTTCCTTTTCTTCTTTCTCTGTTCTCTCTTCCCATCCTTTTCTATTAGATATTGACAGCCTCGCAACAAAAAACAATCCCACATTTCCATCCTTCTTCACTACTCCCAATCATGACGTCTTCTTCTCCAGTGAAAAAGACACCGATGAAAACTCCGAAATATCATAGAACCGTCTTCGGCAATATGAGTCCTAATCTTGTTAACCAAAGTACAAATTCCATTTTCACAGGTTCAAAGGGCGTACTTTCACCAAACTTTCACGTTGTGAACTCGGACTGGAATTCCACCTTTGCAGCAAAACCATCATCCACTTCTTCTCAAGCAGCTAGTAAAACATGCAATAGAAGGCCGAGCTATGCAAGCAACTCCTTTTCGAGACACCGTACTTTTGGTGACCTGTTCACAGAAAAATACAATGGCAATAGCAGCTATTCTAGCCGCAGTAGTAATGGAGGTATAAGTGGAAAGACAGACGATGATAATGGGTCCACCTCCAATTATAGCTCACACACTATGGGAGATAGCGATAGCAATAAAGTCTCCAAAATCAAAAGCAACAAATCAAGTTCCAATTTGGGATCTTCAAGAAAAATCCGCCGGACAAATACGAACGAATTTTTAGATAGGTTTATTCCTTCTCGTCAAACAACTTCAGGCAAACTAACAATAGAGAAAACAAAATCACTACCCTCTTTTGCAATGCCTTCGGATCACATAGAATCGCAAACATCCGAGATATACCAAAACACTGTAGCAGAAGCATGCGGGCTCGAAGTTGGTCAAAGAATATTGCAGTTTCAGCCTGTTCCTCCAGAAAGCAAAAATTCATTGAGAAGAGTTGCTTCAAATAATTCCAACACCATGAAATGTAAATTCAAAACTAGACAAATGATATCTACATTTGCTGCACAAGCACGAATGAAGAAAATACCCTCATGTCCGGAAAAAGTTCTGGATGCACCAGGACTTGTTGATGACTTTTATTTAAATCTAATCTCGTGGTCCGAAGATAATGTTCTTGCAATTGCGTTGGGCAGTTCGGTATATTGCTGGAATGCCAATTTCGGCTCAGTTGACTTAGTAGCTGAATGTGACTCGATCGTAACATCGATAAGGTGGTCCCCAGATGATTACTACCTTTCAATTGGCCTAGACAATGGCAATATTGAAATTTGGGATATCGAAGCCAACTCCAAGCTACGGACCATGAGCTGCAGTAATTCCAGAATTGCAGTTCAGGATTGGAGTGAACATATTTTAACTTCTGGTTCAAGAATGGGCCAAATATTGAACAACGATGTGAGGGTATCAGATCACATAACCTCAAAGCTGGAGTACCATACAGCGGAAGTCTGCGGACTACAGTGGAGGCCTGACGGTTTACAGCTTGCAAGTGGTGGCAACGATAATGTAGTCAATATTTGGGACTGTAGAAACTCGGTGCCTGTGTTCACGAAAACCGCCCACAATGCGGCAGTCAAGGCTATTTCATGGTGTCCAACACAATTAAGCTTATTGGCAACGGGAGGGGGTAGCGCTTGTAAGAAGATCCATTTTTGGAACTCCAATACTGGCTGCCGAATCAACACGATTGAAACGGACTCTCAAGTGAGCTCCTTGCAATGGGGCTACTCAAACGGCATCGGCAAGGAGATTGTGTCAACGCACGGGTTCCCGAACAACCAGATCTCCGTCTACAGTTATCCAAGTCTACAGAAGACGGGGGTGATAGTCGACGCACACGAGAGCCGGATTCTCAACAGCCAGCTTTCACCAAACGGTACAATTCTGGCCACCATTGCAGCCGACGAGAACCTTAAGTTCTGGAAGCTGTTTGACGAACAACCACAGGCTCCAAAAGATGTTTTCAACACATCGACTACAGGTAAAGAAATGGGGAAGGTAATGACCATCAGGTAGATGGCGAGAGGCAGGTAGGTAGGTAAGCAGGCCACAGTGGTATAGTATAATGTAATCTGTAATATTAATAACCTAGAAAAAAATCACAAACACAATCAAAAAGTTTCATCTTATTCATGTTAGAGTAGATGGAGCCCCGAAAGATAGGAGAAATGTCGGTCTTGCCGAAGCGCAGGCGCCATCCCGATTTAGTAGCTGCATGCGGAGAACACTGCGCGGCACCGCGGAGAAAACCCAACTGTGGTTCCCGATCTGGAAGCTCTTAGCCAGGAGGTGAAGATGGAGATGGAGATGGAGTTGGAGAAGGGGACGGAGGTGTCGGTTTTGTATATCTATCTCCCGATGGTCCTCTTTTTTCGACTAACGGCTTCTGTTTTCTTGTATTGTCCCTCCCTGATTTAACGTTTTGCTCCTCCAGTAATTTCAACAGTTAGTCGCACTATAGCCAAAGACAGTAAACATGAGCAAATCGGAAGTTGTGGTACTTGATTTCAAAGACGCCAAGAAGGCAGCCAGAACGTTGTACGAGTCGTTTGACGACGACGCAGTTGCACGGTACGTGTCCCGCCATCTTGAAAACGACCCGGAGAAAAAGAAGCAAGTTGACCTGCAGTACTACGAGGCGTATGTGGTGGCACACATCATGAAGGGCTTGGTGCTAGCGATCAAAGGTGACGACCACGAGAACAAGGACACCTTCGAGACGGTGTCCATCTGGGTGCGTCCTGACTCGGGCTCGCTCGACGATTACCTCACGCTCATAAGGTCTGGATTTGCAAAGCTCGCATGGAACACCGGTGCAGAGGGCCGGAGAAGAATTTTCGGAGTCATGTTCAAAGTTTTGCACGACTACTACCACAACATTACCGAGATTGATCCGCAGGGACACAACACATGGACTCTTGTCTACTTGGGCTCCACTCCGGCGGCCAGAGGCAAGGGTAATGTGAGGAAGATGTTCAACCATACGTTTGAATACTACATCGACCCAAAGGACTCGATCACGTATCTCGAGAGTTCCGCAATCAGAAACTTGCCTATCTATGAAAGGTTCGGTTTCAGAGCCGTCACTGACATCTACTTGGGAGACAAGGAGGACCCTCAGGGGGACAATGCAAGAATGGACGTGATGGTGAGAGGCCCTAAGGGGGACACATGGAAGTATTTGGAGGAAACGAGGCAAAAATACGGTTATACTGTTCCTGAAGCTTCTGTTTCGAAATAAATTGGGCGATTATAGATTGGATAGACCCTATGCCATACCACACCACTCGATCCTATCAGGAATCACTTCAGACTTTTCTTATCTTTTACTCTTTTTCCCTTCTATTCCTTTCTCCTCTTTCAATCGAAAGACTTCTGACAGACTTTTGCGATGTCCTGTATGTATCGTAGGGTAGAAAAATAGATTTTGCGACGTAAACTGTAATAGATGCCGGCGTTCTTTCCACGCAGAGGGAGAATACGTAACGTTTTTTTCTAGTTGCGCTAGTTTTTTTTTCCGCTGCGATTTTTAGTTTTGCTTTGCCTGCAGTCCAGCGAGAGGAAAAACCGCTGTCAGTGATGTGAAGTTGTCTTTTCAAGAGTAGGCGCAGGGTTGGTGGAATGGCACACTGTGGGAGGCAGCAAATTAAACACAGCCGACTCCGCTTCAAATACCGCTTCACATACAGATGTATCCGACGCAGGGACAACAGGAACAGCCCTTGAGGCTCGGTTCGGACGCCAACATCAACTCCGACATGCAGCAAGACAATAATAATGGCAACGACAACAGTAATAACAGCAATCTGCCAAACTCGTCAGTGAACGACAAGATGGTCTACTCGTGGATAACCGAGTTTGCGTACGGGCCAAACAAAGAGCAGGCGTTGTTAGAATTGGGCAAGAAACGTGAGATGTACGACGATCTCGCCCTGGTTTTGTGGAACTCCTACGGGGTCATGTCGTGCCTATTGGCCGAGATAGTCTCGGTGTACCCGATGCTATCTCCTCCCAGCTTGACCATCCAAGCCTCCAACAGGGTGTGCAACGCATTGGCGTTGATGCAGTGCATCGCTTCCCACCAGGAAACACGCGGCCCGTTTCTTCTGGCCCAGATCCCGCTATTCCTATACCCATTTCTCAACACCAGCTCGAAGCAGCGCCCGTTCGAGTATCTACGTTTGACGAGTTTGGGAGTCATAGGTGCCTTGGTTAAGAACGACACGCCGGAAGTGATCCAGTTCTTGCTCACGACCGAAATCATACCGTTGTGCTTGAAAATCATGGAGTCGTCCTCAGAGCTAAATAAAACCGTCGCAATTTTCATTGTCCAGAAAATCCTACTCGACGAGGCAGGATTGAATTACATTTGCCAGACATACGACCGGTTCGACGCAGTCTCCAAAGTCTTGGGCGTCATGGTCAAACAGTTGGTCGAGCAGCCCACTACAAGGTTCTTGAGGCACTTGATCAAGTGCTATCTCAGATTAACTGACAATATTGAGGCCCGCAATACCTTGAAGAAGATTCTTCCTGTGGAGCTGAAAAACGACACTTTCGCCCAGGTCTTGAAGGAGGACGAGAGCGCCAGACAGAGCCTCGACATGCTACTCCAGAATCTCCAGTAGTGCTAGTCTTCTTCCTGTACATGCGTGTGTACTTCTTTTACTTATGTATATCTTTTCCATGTATTCTAAAGATCCAAAGACAGCTACATGCAATCCCCAACTAAGGGGGGTTGCCAAAAAGCGACGCGCCGATGGGCGCGTCGCTCCGGGCTCCCTACTTCTTTTGCTCTCCTGTTGTGAGATTAGCTGGCTTGAAAAATGCCAGTTGTTCTCGCAGCCTACCGATTTTGGTTTGGTGTTTACTGCGACGACGTGTGCCTGTGAATGTATCTGGATGCGTTTAATTACTTATCCATAGGAGTGGATCATACAATTGTTGATCAAGTGTGGGGAAACCAGTTAAGACAGCTTCCACAGACACCATGTCGACACACACGTACAAGAAGAATGAGGACGGGGATGCATCTGTCTTGCCAGACAAGATGACCGTTTACCAGGAATGTTTGCAGGCTTGCAACGCAAGTCCAATACAGGCGAAGAAATGCCGTAAGCTCTTGTCGAGACTTTTGCGTTTGTTCTACGCTGGTGAGACGTTTCCAACGGTTGAGAGCACGAACTTGTTCTTCTCGATCTCCAAGTTGTTCCACAACGATGATCCGTCTCTTAGACAGATTGCATACTTGGCCATCAAGGAACTCTGCTCGATGTCGAACGATATCTTGATGATCACTGCATCAATCATGAAGGACATTCAAAACGGTGATGCAGTGTACAAGCCAGATGCGGTCAGAACATTGTCTAGAGTTTTGGACGGTTCCACCATCCACGCTGCGGAAAGATTGTTCAAGAACTGTATAGTTGATTCCAACCAGTCGATTTCTTCTGCTGCTCTGGTCTCCTCTTACCATCTGCTCCCTGTTGCCAAGGATGTGGTCAAGAGATGGAGCACTGAAGTTCAGGAATCTATCACTGCCAACAAGGTGTTCCCAACCTCTTCTTACACTCAGCATGAATTCACCGGTTACAACAAGACACCAAACTCAACCTTCATTCACCAGTATCACGCTTTATCTCTCATATACCAATTTAGAAATAACGATAAGATGTCACTCATCAAGATGATCCAACAATTGACCGAAAGGAAAACTTTGACCAATTCTCTGGCCCAAATCCAAATGATCAGGTTTGTTGAGAAGTTGATTCTCGATGACCCAAACTTTGTTCACTCCTTATGGCCTCTTTTTGTCAACTGGCTGAATAACAAGAGTGACATGGTTGAATTGGAGGCCGCCAAGTTGATTTTGAACAACACTTCCAAATTCAATTCCGAACAACAGATGCATGCAATCACCACATTACAATCCCTTCTCGGAGTTCCAAGAACCGTCACAAGATTTGCAGCTGTCAGAGTTCTTAACAAAGTTGCGATCAAGGACGCTGACAAGGTTGGTGTCTGTAATCTAGAATTAGAGAGATTGATAAGCGACCAGAGCAGATCCATCTCAACTTACGCGATCACGACCTTGTTGAAAACAGGCAACATTGAAAGTGTTGACAGATTGGTCCAAGCCATTTCTAACTTTATGGACGAAATTTCCGACGAATTTAAGATCATTGTTATTGACGCCATTAGAACATTGTCCTTGAAGTTCCCGGCCAAGTACAAATCTATGCTAACGTTCTTGAATGATGTTTTGAGAGAAGAAGGTGGCTTCAACTTCAAAAATTCTATTGTCGAGGCCATTTTCGATATTATCAAGTTCATTCCTGAATCAAAGGAAATTGCACTTGAAATGTTGTGCGAGTTTATTGAGGATTGTGAATATACTGAATTATCTGTTAGAATTTTACACCTATTGGGTAACGAAGGCCCTAAAACTGCCAATCCTTCTACCTATGTCAGATACATCTACAACAGAGTTGTTTTGGAGAACTCCATTGTTAGATCATCTGCAGTTATTGCGCTCTCTAAATTTGCATTGATCAACGACAAAGATTTGAATAAGAGCATTAAGATCTTATTGAAGAGATCATTGCAAGATGTCGATGATGAAGTCAGAGATAGAGCTGTCTTGTCGTTGAAGTTACTGGAATCCAAGGATTTGGTCGAAGCCAAGTCTTATTTATTACCTCAGTTCAAGTATTCGTTACCAATCTTGGAGCAAGAATTGACCAAGTATGTTAAAAACCCAGACAAGTCATCTTTCAAATCGTCATTTAGCATTGATTCTGTTCCTAAGATGTCTGAAGAGGAATATATGGCTGTTCAATACAAGGAGAAGCTGACCGGCGGTATGGATGAGGTTATAGTTGATGGCAGTGACGATCTCAACTCGAAGAACAACGAATCAAATGATGATGTTAAGGGCCTTGACAAGATTTCAGACGTCACCAAATACACTCTACTACAACAACAGTACCAGAATGAATTGTCTGCATTACCTGAGATTGGAGATTACGGTACATTGTTGCATTCATCTGCTCCTGTTGAGCTGACTGAGAAAGAGACCGAATTTGTTGTTACTGCGATCAAGCACATTTTTGCAAAACATGTGGTTGTGGAATTCAGCATTGAAAATACTCTTGATGACATTATTCTCGAAAATGTTAACGTAGTAACACAACTGGACACTGAAGAATATACTGAAGAGCTCACATTACCGATTGAGCTGTTAAATCCTCACAGTAAGGGTAAGGCTTATAGTTCCTTCACTAGACCTGAGGATGATGATGAGAAATTCATGTTGACCACTATGAACAACACATTAGCATATCTAACCAAGGATGTGGATGCTGAAGCTGACGAAGAAGGCTTCCCTGACGAGTATCAAATTGAAGATTTATCTCTTACCCCAGGCGACTTTGTTATACCTACGTACATAAGCAATTTCACTAACGTGTGGGATGAGCTAACTAGCGAGGAGAGTGCAGTTTACAATTTAGGTGACGAAGAAAGCGTTGACTTGCAACAAGTTGTTTCCAAGCTTATTGTCACAATGTCTATGATGCCTATCGAAGGTACCGAGATTGTCACCAGCGGAAAAAACCATTCATTGAAACTATTTGGTAAAAGTATTTCTGGTGGTAGACTTGCTGCAATTGTTAAATTTGCCGTCAGCTCGAAGGGTGTTATGATGAAAAACGTTGTCAAGGGTGAAGAAGCCGAGCTTGTAGAACTCGTTGCGAACTACTTGGAGTAGGCCGGCACGTATGCAGCAGTGTACGCCAGGTTGAGTATAATAAAAGAAAAAAGATATTTATCTATCCAACATACTATAATGTGATCAATAAAGTCTGTATTTAGGTCTATTTACAAATTGCACACATGTCTTTCTTATATACACGAAAAGCGAATAGCTTGATGTACAAATCGATAGCCCTGCTTCAATAAGATGCACGGCTCATAGGCTAGGGCCTCTGCTGCGAGGTTATCTAGCGGATTGCTACCAGAAGCTTAGATTTCAAAGCCGAAGCCTTTCATACACGTCTTGTATGATGAGATTAATGTCTCACATTTTGGAGAGTCAATGCCGTTGATTAAAAGACATTCGTCTCTTGCCGACTTTTCTGTTTTGCAAACGCAACATGGCTTTGGCTTAGCTGTTGGAAATGCTTAGTAAGCTTGTTAGTATTCTGAAACGATTAGACTAGAAAACTGTTATCTCTTCACTGCTGAAGGGGTCTAGAACATACATTCGGTAGCAGGTTTGTGTTCAGACATGTTCTTTTGTGTTTGTAGTTGGGGTGACGTCTTCTTAGATGAAACAACGTGTCAGCAACTAAAGCAACAGCCGAAGCAGAAGAAACCATTCGAGGCCGGGTTTATATATGTGGTGATCTTCTACTCGGGAAGGGAAAAACGGCTGGTGAGCGCCACAATTATAAAAAAAAGCTGACATAAGCGACATGGGTCAGTGCAGGGGCGATTCTCAGATAGACAGATAGACATGTGCCCGGGCCGGGAGGAGCACAAAGCTGGATCAGCGGGAGCAAGAGGTCCGAAGAGGAGGTGAAGTAACATAAGAGAGTTTATCACAAGACTCACCGGACATCCATGGTTACAGGTTACGTTGATGGTGACGATGGTACGGGGAAATGTGAATTGCTAGGCCCGTTTGCGCTTCTTGTGCAGGCCCTACTCGGCGTGCTGGCCCTCGGTTCCTTGGTTTGGAAACGGTACCATGAGCACCCCCACCGAAGGCCGTGGGTGATCTGGTTCTTTGATGTGTCGAAGCAGGTGTTTGGTGCCCTGCTCTTGCACGTGTTGAATCTTTTCCTCAGCATGATACGTCTGAAGATCGGGATCGCTACCAAGAAGAAGGTTTGCGATAATCCCTGCGATTACTACTTCCTTAACATTCTTTTCGATACCACAATTGGAATACCGGTGTTGTACTTTTTCATCTGGGCAATCTCTGGCGGGTGCATTCTGGCTGGACTGACGGGAATCCAGTCGGGCGAGTATGGGAGCCCGCCCCGCGTGACGAGCTACGTCAAACAGCTTGTGATCTACATGATAAGTTTGAGCATGATGAAGAGCAGCATCTACGCCATCATGGTGAGCTTTCCTATACTTACAACAATCGCTGTGTGGGCGCTCTCCCGCTTGGACAAATACCCAAACCTCCAGGTGGGGTTTGTACTCTTGGTCTTTCCGCTGGTGATGAATGTCTTCCAATACTACGTTGTGGACAACCTCATTCAGAGCCGGAAGTACTACGCGACGAACAAGATGGTGCAGCAGCTGCGACTGGAGGAGGAGGACGACGGCTGCAACGAGGCGATCGACGAGGAGCTCCCGGAGGAGTACACAGCGTAACCCGTGGGCGTGTATAGAGTGCAAAGCGCAACATGTAACAACGACATCAACAACAACAACGACAACCGCATAACCGAACAGAGCTGCAGCACGTGGGAGGGCCCATTTGGATTTCCCATTTGGAGTCTGCTTAACCTCCTCGAAGCCCTTTGTTATCTTCCCAACCGGTGCGGCAGGCACTACTGCGCGAGGAGCGGGAGGGACTAGCAGAGAGGCGTAAGGAGGAGATCGGCATGCTAGCCAGAGATAACACGATGGCGAAGAGATGCGAGGCGGTTTGATACTCTGTTTGGTCTGCTCTTCAGTAGCTCCGTGCCAGAACAAGATAACCGGTATTGCTACAAACAACACGATGCAGGGAAAAGGACGTACAGGACCAACGGGCAGGCGTTTTAGACTGAATATGATGGCACTGCTATCAATCTTGTCGTTACTGGTGCTCACCTACTACGTCAAGGATGTGAAAGCAGATGGCTTCGGAGAAACTTCCACAAGCAGAGAGGTGAACTCATTTTTTGGCGAGGAGGACATGAATGGACAGAGCCCACTGTACTTTGGTACACAAGACGTCGTTGCGCCGCAGAAGAGTGAAAAGAGTGAGAAGAAGAAAAGTAAGAACAAAAACAAAAAAAACATCATCATGATGGTGACCGACGGCACGGGGCCGTCCTCCATCAATATGGCAAGATCATACAACCAATACATCAACAACTTGAACTTTGACGATATTCTCATGTTAGACAAGTATCTGATTGGACAGTCGAGGACGATGTCGTCCTCGTCGTTGATCACCGACTCTGCTGCAGGCGCCACAGCCTTTTCGTGCGGATTGAAGTCGTATAACGGTGCTATTGGTGTCGATCCTATGCAAAGGCCGTGTGGCACTATCCTGGAGGCGTTGAAGTTGAAAGGATACAAGACGGGGATGGTAGTCACAACAAGTCTCACCGACGCCACTCCGGCTGCCTTCAGTTCGCACGCGGACTTCCGGTCGATGCAGGACTTAATTGCCAACCAGCAGCTTGGGTTGAACGCTACCCTTGGTGAGATGGTGGACTTGATGATTGGCGGAGGAAGATGCTTCTTCTTACCGCAATCAGACGCGGCGGGCTGCAGAAGCGACGAGCTCAACCTCGTTGATTTTGCCAAAAAGCAAGGATGGGAAGTTTCTGTGGACAGAGCTGGGTTTGACAAGCTCGGTCTCGGATTGAACAAAGACGTCAAGCTTCCTGTGTTGTCGTTGCTTGCTTACTACAACATTCCGTACGAGATCGACCGAGACGAGAAGGTGTTTCCCAGCTTATACGAGGAGACTGTAACAGCGTTGAACATTCTTTCCCGCGAGACGGAGGACTCGGACGAAGGGTTTTTCCTCATGGTGGAGGGGTCCAGGATCGACCACGCAGGCCACCACAATGACCCCCATGCACAAGTGCGTGAAGTTCTGGCGTACGACAAGGCCTTTGCCGAGGTGATTCGGTTTGCGCAGAACAGTGATGTGGAGACGTATATTGTGAGCACGAGTGACCACGAGACGGGCGGGCTTGACGTCGGGAGACAAATCGGCCCGGACTATCCGGACTACGTCTGGTATCCGGAGGTGCTCAAGAATGCCAAACACTCGGGCGAGTACTTGAACACGAAGATCAATAGGTACCTCAGCCTGAACAAGAAGATCAAGCGGGACGAGTTAAAGAGCTTCATCCAGAAGGAGATATTGAGCGAGGACCTCGGCATCGCCGACTTCGAGGAGGGGGAGGTGAAGAACATTCTGAAAATGATTGTGGAGGAGGAGTCCGAGGCCGAGGCGGGGTCGGACGGATTTGTCACGATCAAGGAGGTCACGGGCGCCAGTGCGGTGGTGGAGTACCTCAAGAACATGGTTTCCGTGCGTGCCCGCATCGGGTGGTCCACCCACGGGCACACAGGGGTCGACGTGAACATCTACGGGTACTGCAACCGGGACGAGGGCATGGTCCGCCTACTGAAGGGGCTTGGCGGCAGCCGCGAGAACACGGACATCGGCCGGTTCCTCGAGCAGGTGACAGGCGTGGACCTGGACGACTTGAGCGATGTCTTGCGCCGCCGTGGCCAGGTGCACAACTATCTTGGAGACGAAAGCGAGCGGCGGAGCGAGGAGGAGATCGAGGAGGAGATCGACGCCGCCGAGACCGACAACGAGGGGTTCATCAACGTCGTGGAGTAGCGTAGACTAGACTAGACCAGACCGACCGAGCAAGAGAGATAGATAGTCAGATAGTTAGATAGATAGATAGAAAAATAGATAATTAGATACCTGGATAAATAGATACCTGGACAGACCGGCAACATGTGACGTGACATCGTGTACTCCGAAGGGATGGACCCCGCAGGCCCCGGGCTTCCGAGACATTCGACCCCGGCCTGGGCGGCGGCGTGGCCGTGACCGGAATGGGACGCCTGACCGGAGTGATGATCGTGACAGCAGGGACGGGCCAGGCACGAGGGCGGGGACGCCCTCGTTGCGGCAAACGGGGCCGATCGACCGCGGGGCCCTTTTTTCAAGCTGAGGCCTTTCTTCCGCCACGGCCGGGCAGGGCGAAAAAGAAGGAAAAACAGGCCGTCCGAAAGAGGCAATAGGGATGAGCCCTTTTCTTCGTGTTGACAAGTTGCCTGTTCGGGCCGGGAGCGGTCGCCGCTATTGTTATTCTTTCGTCGTTTTCCGTTTTCTGTTGCTGCCTGCGGTGCCTAATCGGGAAGGTGACGAATGCGGTTTCTGGCCTGGGTGGTGGTTGATGATATGCGTCTGGGGCAGCACAGATGGTGAAGACGGGTTGTTGTTGTTGTTTGCAGGCGGGAAGGTGCCGGATGAAGGAGGACGGGCGGTGGTCGGTCGGTCCGTGGCTCGAGCTTTTCTTCTGTTGCCCGTGCTTCTTCCGGCTTCTGTTGGCCGTGCTGCTGTATTTCTTCCTGCCTGTTCCCTTTTGTTTCTTTGTCGCCTCCTCCCTCCTCCCTTCTTCCTTGCCTTCCTTCTCTTCTTCTTCTTCTTCTTCTTCCTGCTTCTCCTGTTCCCCTTCTGCTCTGCACCATTAGTTTCTTGTTCCGCACTCGAGTTAGATCAACAGAACCAGCAGGCAATCACGCAAACTAATACACACTCAACTAATATCCATAATATACAATGTTGTCCTACGGTGATATCACTCTTAGAATTATCAACTTCATCTTCTTGACCATTGCGTTGGGTTTGACTGCCTCCTTGGCTGCCACCACCGTCGACCACCACAACCCTCAGGTCAGCTACTGTGTTTTCGCAGCAGCATGGGGTATTCTTTCCTCCTCCTTCTACGGTATCGTTGCCTTCTTTGTCGCCTTCTTGGCCTCCCCAGTCTTCTTGGCAATCTTCGACTTCATGAACTTTGTCTTCACGTTTGCAGGTGCCACTGCATTGGCCGTTGCCATCAGATGCCACTCGTGCTCCAGTCAAGACTACCTTGACAACAACAAGGTCACCCAAGGCTCCAAGGACAGATGTAGAAAAGCACAAGCTTCCGTTTCTTTCCTATACTTCTCTGTCTTTGTCTTCTTGTTCTCCTTGGTCATGCAAGCCATGAACATCTTGAAGAACGGTTTCTTCTCCACCTCTGTGCCAAAGACCCCAAGAACCGGTGTCCCAACCATGGCTCAAGTTTAAATGGTCTGAAGCATGCTTCAAGGAAAACAACAACCTCCACCGAAAAGCTGGAAAGAAAATACCAATTTAGAACAATAAATTTCACATTGCGTATCAGTGCTATGTTGATAGCCTAATTTTCTCAATTGTCAAACTTTTGAAAATCACAACTTCTTCGTTCACCCCTAATATCTCTGTTTTTTTTCTGTTTCTTCTAAACTCTTATCTTCTTTCAGATTTTTTACGTTGTTTTTTCTGATCAATTCCCCAATATTTATCATCATCATCATTACCAATCTCAATAACAATATATCATTATCAGTATAATCTACACTTACTCTCATTTATCCGATATGGATTAACCATTTTTTTCTACCCTGAAAGGTTGTTTGGTTTTCAACTTGTTAGTCGTCCAAATTATGTCTTTTGATTCCCTAATTGCAGACTAAGTCTCATGGTCAATTCTATTTTTTTTTTAATCTCCGTCCATTATAGTCAGCGATAGCCTACCCCAACTACATTACCCCGAATTCTCCTGCAGAAGCAAAAGCAAAAGCAAAATTCCTCAGCAATCAACTTTGTTACTATTAGTCAATTTTTTCACGTCGTGTTACTTTTTTTTATTCTAATTTATCTCATTTATTTTATTATTTTTTACTTTACTTTACTTTACTTACCCTAGTTTTGTTTTGTTTTGTCTTTTTTATTCAAAGAAAAAAGAGAAATAAAAGAGTGGATAATGGAATAACGTTTTGATTCTGTTTCTATTTTTTATTTACTTCCATCTAATATTCATTCGTTGTACTAGTTTGTTTATAATAAAATATGTACTGTATTTTTTATACTCACACTTTTTCTTTGTATTAATCTGCTTTATCACTTACAATCTCTACTTAAAAAAATATTATTTCTAAACTTTAGTCCATAGCGGACTAAGGAATGCCTTCTATTTTTTTGCCTGAGAGGTTTCATCGAAACCGCATTCTTTTCCCTCGGAGATAACTCGGAAAACCGTTTCCTAAGATAATACAGGTAATCTTTCTTCATCATGGAAAAACATATTTTCCACCACGAGCTGTAGGTGATATGTGTCGAATATAGTGTCTTCTGAACGACAGGCTGATCTCAAGTCCTTTTTCGTATTTTAGTGTTGCGAGCGGCAACTTTGATTGTAGAAAATACCTGATATAGGATAATTTATTCTATCTCAACTATCCAAAGCTAAATACATCCAGCTTCAATGGCGACCATTATTTGATCTTTTACACTTCTTGATTTATTTGATAAGAAAGTATATTGATAGTATTAAACAGATTAACAAAGCATAGGTATATTTTTTCAAAGAAAATCATTTGTATCCTCTGGATAACATGAAACGCTCGATAGTTTCCCATAAGAATTCTGAAATCTGTCTATCTTTGAATCTTTGGTTTCTATCTAAGCTGATCACCTGCACGTTCCAGTTTTTGACATTACTGGGCACACTGTCTCCACTATAGTTCACGTAAAATCCCTTGACCTTCTGGAATAGGAGATTGGGCTGGTTCACTTTATAGTTTTTGAACTGCCATTCCTGACCAGTGGTGAACACAGCAACCACACGATCCCAGTATTCTGGCTTGACAAAGAACTTTTCAACGTTGCTGACGACAACAAACTTGATGTCCTTGTTAAATCTTTTGCTGTGTCTCACAAGCTGAACCATATTAGTTTCTCCAGCAGATGACGTATTCCCTGAAAAATTTGGATCGTGCACATCAACAAACCTACCATTTTGCAAAAATGATTTGACGTTCGTCATAGTTATCATAGAGATAGCAGATGGTGAGAGAATGATGATAGGATCTTTCTTCTGTAAGACCGTTCCAAGTGAGTTTGCGGATGAAGAGGTGGCCAAAGAGGAGGATGGTTTCTTTGACCGAGATTTCGATACAGAAGCTGAACTGGATTTTGTTCCACTTGAACTATTGACTCCTGGCTTGGCTGCTCCAGTTGTCGTAGACGTAGAAGTGGTTGCTGCTGATGGTGCGGATGAACTCTTACCCTTGAATGATGCTTTTAATGGACGCACAATTTTGTACTCACATTCCCTTATAAGGTTGGAAAAGTCGTTACTCTTCTGAGTACCACGTAATGCCTTATCATGATCTATCAACTCCACCTCATGAATGCTGATACATTTTAAAAGCGGATCTTCTTCAAGCTTCCTCCTTTTGGACTCTTTGTAGTCGATTTTTTCGATTTCCTCTGACCGTTTTTGCTTATCACGCTGTCTTTCTCTTTCACTGTCCTTCGTGCTCTTCTTACTCGATTCAATTTTGGACTCATCTCGCTTCACTGTACCAGATCCGTTTGTCTTTTCTATGTCATCCCCTGAAGCTTCGGCTTGCTTTCCTGCATCAACAGCGCTCGAAGTTCCGGCCTCCGCGTTAGCATCCACAGCGTCGGAGGTTTCATGGGCCCCGCTATGATGGTCGTCATCAAAGGTAACCAAATATGAGCAAGTATCGGTATCACCTTTCAAGTAAGAACTCAATTCAGTTCTTGCCATGAACGAGATAACTGGGATTTTAAACGCCTCACATTTTTCAATGTAATCAGTGACAGTTGCTTCATTATTCAACCAACAAAAATATACTGTTCGAATGTCGTTCTCCGTAGATTCAGCCTTAAATCCAGACTTGGAATCAAGTGAGAATTTTTCATCATTGCCTAGTATCAATGATTGTGCCTCGGATATCACTGCATCCTCTGGATCTAACTTTATCTCTTGCTTGGAAAGAATGGCCGTTCTGAGTTTCGATACAAAATTTGACATGGTGGGCTGAACACAAGTTAACACTTCCCTTCTCAGTATCCTATGTTTCAAAGTTAACTTTAAGCTCAACCAAGGTTTTTGCTTCTGCTTCCAACTGCTTAACCTTCCCGTTTTCCGCCATGACCTCTCTTTTTTTCTTTTTGCTTGATTAACAACTTCATCTTCACAGTGTACATTCAATGAGGCTGGCCGCCCACGAAAATTGTACAAAAATCGTCGCGTCGGCTGCCCAAAATTTCTATAGTCTGGTTGATGATAAGGTGTGTTATCGCCCCCTCTACTGCTGGTGGGTCTTTGTGTTATTGCCACCAGAATCCTGGTCGTGTTTGCATGTAGGAGATTGATCAAAAAGCGACGAAACGTGCCGGAGCAATGTCGGACATCAACGAGTTTAATAAACATACGTTTCTTTCCAGGGTTTTAGGGAATTCTTCGTTGAATTCAGGATCTACTGCTAATCCGATATCTCAAACTGCTGATCGCAGCAGCTCCGATAAGGCTAATGGGGCTTCTAATAGAAACCCTGACGGGGCTCCATTTCTTGATGATGATGATATGGAAGTGCAGTTCTCAAATAATTACGCTTATCTGGATAAGAATAATGAGAAAATCAAAAACATGCTCATGTCTGAAGTTTCGTTGAAAAACGAGGCCAATGATGGGATGAATGGGTCGAGTAACAATAGCAGTAGAAAAAAATCCAGGAAAAATCCCAATAGCAAGAGGAAACTCAGATCCAACATCTCAATCAACTTCAATTCGGAAAGTGAATCGTCAGATGATAATTCAGATGAAGAGTCGGAAAATGCTGAAAGTGAGCTAGCTGCCGATTCAAGTTTCAGACCCAACCAGCATAAAACTGTCCCTAATGCCGGCTTGACCGACAATCCAATAATTTCTGGTCAGATAGGCACAGACTCTGAATATAAAATAGCAACAAAAGGGCTATCAGATAGTGCCAAGAATCAAATACGTGAAGAGTTAGAGCTGGAGTTGGAACTGGGCAATGACGATATTCCTGAAAGTTTACTTTTCGAAAATACAAATAATACTAGTCACGGTAATGAAAACAACTCTGCCAATATATTCAGTAAAATAGAACAATCACTTATATTTCAGGTGAAGGAGGCTGAAAAGACATTTGGTCCTGCCTTAAATACAGTCGGGAAAAAAGCCAGACAGATTGCTCATAAAACAATGGAAACGTCTGTACTGCAACCTCCGCCACCAGCCTTTCTTTCTAATAGACCAACTGACAACTCAAATCCCATTAATATTGGTGCTACCCAAAGGCAGATTTTCAATGCTAGAAAACTACCACCTAAAGAGAGAGCTCTATGGATGTGGGCAAATGTTACAAATCTTGATATCTTTCTCAATGATGTCTACGATTATTATATGAGAAATGGCTGGAATTGTATTGCTTTATCGAAGATCTGTGACCTATTAATTATAGTATTTGTTTTGTGGTTGACATCTTTCATGGGGAATTGCATCGATTACAAAAAATTACTGAATGAAAACGTTTCCAAGTTATCACAAGTCTATGATGGGCAGTGTTACGCCAAAATACCATTTTCTCAAAGGTGTTTACATTTTATTTTACTGGTTTTATTAGTATTGAGGGTAAAAAATTGTTACAAAGAGCTATTAGATTTGAAAGAAATAAAACTCTTTTATAATCACTTGTTGGCAATCGATGATTCAGAGTTACAAACCATCTCTTGGCCTCAGATAGTTAAGAAGATAATGATTTTGAAGAACCAAAATACCAATGCCATCATAAATGATGGAAATAATAACGACTTGAAATCCAAACTGAAACTCAATGCCCATGATATTGCCAACAGATTGATGAGGAAAGAAAACTACATGATAGCAATTTTCAATAAAAATATCCTTAGCAAAGCATTGACTATTCCCGTAGTGAATACATATTTTCTTACTAAAACATTAGAGTGGAATTTAAAGCTCTGCATATTTGACTTTCTTTTCAACGATCAAGGCCAGTTAAAAAGAAAGGTAGTAAGCCAACACCATCGATTATCCTTGATCACAAACTTGCGGAAAAGATTCAGGATGGCTGGGTTGTTAAGCATATTTTTGACTCCCTTTTTGGTGATTTATTTTATCCTGTATTATTTTTTGAAACTATTTTACGATTTCAAAACAAATCCAGGATTATTGAACGCTAGAGGATACTCTCCGTATGCTAAATGGAGAATGCGGGAGTATAACGAGTTACCACACTTGTTTGATCAAAGGCTCAACTTGTCAATTGAGAGCGCTGATAATTATTTAAACCAGTTTCCAAAAGAATTGTCTAATATCATTCTAAAATTCATTTCTTATATCACGGGATCCATAGTTACAATTTTAGCTATTTTGACTATTATTGATCATGAGAACTTTTTGAACTTTGAGTTAACTGAAGGCAGAACTGTTTTGTTTTATATGTCAACGTTAGGGGCATTGTTTACAATTTGCAAAAACTCAATCTCGGATAATAATAATAGATACTTGTTTGATCCTGAGGCTTCATTGAAAAAAGTTTCTCAATTTACCCACTATCTTCCTAATTCATGGGAAAGCAGATACCATACTTTAGATGTCAAAAATCAGTTCTGCGACTTGTACAATTTGAAATTAATATTGATTTTTAAAGAGCTTTGCAGTTTGATTTTGTTACCGTATATCCTCTATGTGTCACTACCGAACTCGTGCGATAAAATAGTTGATTTCTTCCGGGACTTCAGTGTACACGTTGATGGAATAGGATATGTCTGTAGCTTTGCAATGTTCAAATTGGAGGACAACAAAGATCACACTCAGTCCACACATTACACTGACCATGATGAACCTGTGGATGATAAAGATGACAAGATGATGAAGTCTTACTTGTATTTTGTTGACAGTTATGGTGGTAATGGCATCAATAGAAACAACAGAAGTAATGGTGGCAATAGCCCCAGTGGTAGAAATGCTCAACCTATCTCGAAGAAAAACACTAGAGTACAAAATGGCTTACTTAGATCGGCCATACTAAATAACCAAAATTCGAATACTGGAAATGGTGGCATTTCTAAAAATGGTAAGTTGGTGAACAACGATTTACCAGTATATCAAGAACAAATGGAGGAAACAAATGCAGGGCTATTTAACCCGAATGCAAGGAACTACATTGATGATTTGAGCAATAGTATGATTTTAGGCGAAAGCTTCCAGTTAGGGTACGGCAGATCAAATAATCTGGATAGCAGTAATGGATCTGGTCTCAACAAATATGGGGGCGCAAATACAGTCACAGATGACAATGATGATGATAACGGCAATAGCGGCAGCGGTGGTGTATTAGGTTTGTTGAATCAAGTTTATCAGCATAAAAAAAGAGTTAATTAATAAAATCCTCTTTCTACAGTAGAAAGCATTATATAAAGAAAAATCTACAGATAATTTAATACGATTATTTTTTGTTTTTACGTGCCTTCTTCTCCTTTTCATATTCATTCTTAGCTGTACCTTCCTCTGTTTGAATAGAATTGTAAATTTTGGCCATTTTACTGTGGTAATCGTCATATTCTTTCTTCTTCGTGGCAATTTGAGCTCTGGCTTCAAACTTAGCATCTCTTCTGAGTTCCTTAAGAGCTTGTTTCCTTTCTTCCTTGACTTGGTGCTTCAATTTGGAGATCTCTTCACGAACAGCAACTGGGTCCAGTGGATCCATGTTCACAGAACGACTTGACTTTCTGTCAGGATTAAAGTTTTCGTTGAATCTTGGGGTAATTTGTGCAATACCAACGGCACGGTGTTTCTGTAACTTAAGTGGACGCCGCTCTTGTGTGGAAATTCTATGAATATTCGTTAACTTGTTTGCAACATTTATGATAGTGGTGTTCGGGGTAGACGTATGCTTTATCAAATGCCTCATTAGGGGAATAAAAGACGACGTCAACTCTGGTGCTGCACTTGTGTTTTTAATCATTCTACTTATCACCAAATCTAAGGTTCTGACAACTTTTAGAATGATCAATTTGATGAACGTGTCTTCATCTTCAGATTCGGAGGATAATGAAAGTGCCCACATCTTTGAGATTGAAAGCTTTTCTGTTTCGGAGGGTATATCACAAGGTGATGTGCAAGTGTAATCTGATGGAACAGGCGCAACCGAGCAAATGAGGACTTTTTGCCAATCTTCCAAAGCATGAGGACATGGAATTGTAGCGAGTAGTAAACGTTGGAGAAATGAAATGATTTCCGGAATCACTCTATCGGAAATTCTCTCATATTGCAATAGCAGATCGCAAAGGTAAAGTCCAAAAAACATTTGCGTTTTGTTATTTTCTGGACTCATAAATTCCAAAGCTTCTCCAGCAACTAAAAGAGCTGGTATTACCACGAGATGAAACTTATCAGACGTCGAGAATGTACGTCCTACCAACGTAAGTAGAATTGCATCGCTCTGTAATGGGAACTTGGCTATATCTTGCACTAAAAGTCGCTCATGTGCATCTGTGATGTGTTTTCTGAAAGCTTCGAGAAATAACTCCTGATATTTTTCAGTCAAATTGCAAATTGTGCGAGCTAAGAAATCCATTAGTCTCACATACTCATGATTCTCTGCTCCAATAGTCTTATTCGATAGCTCTAAAAGATATTCAAATAGAACAGTGGTAAATACTCCCAATTTTTCTTTGTTTCCTTCGGCAAGTTTTGGCTGATAGATTTCATAGACTTTCTTAATTGTGGACACTACGTTTTCAAAATCGTCTTCTATTATTTGACTCTTGAAATCTTTCAGGTTTTGTGGACAGGTGAGCTTAGATTTCAAAATTTTAGGCTTTACTACTATTGTCTTGTTTCCGATTTTGATTATATTCTCTTTCGAATCGCTAGATTTTGGTTTTCTTGACTCATTATCATCACTTTGTGACTCAACATCAGTATTTTCATCACTTGACACTGTATCAACCGGAGAGCCCACACTAAAACCTGTTTCTTCATCTCCACTTTCAGCCCAAAAATCATCGCCGAGATCATCAGCGACAGCACCGCTGACTCTATTTTCATCCTCATCATCTTCCTCACCTTCCATCCTCTGTAATCTCTTTTTCTCGTTCTCTGCCTTCTTCTCCTCAATTTCTTGTTTAATTTCATCTTCAGTTTTAGTTCTATCGCTTGGTTTTGCTCTTTTGTCAAGTTTGGCTTCAGTCACTTTCATCTCATAGTCAATGTCAAATTTGGACTTGCCGGCATCATCTTGCTTTCCTCTGTTGACTACACTTATCTCATCCATAACATTATCAAAAGCATCATCCAATTCATCAACCTTCTCCATGTTTTCCAGATGTGCTCTCTGTCTCTCATGCTTGTATTTTTTGGATTTTGCAATAACTTCTTTCATAACTTCCGCTTTTGTTTTCTTTCTGACTGGCTCTCCATTTGTTTCCTCTTCATGGCTGCTTGTATCACCATTTCTTTTTCTCGAAAAAAAGTCATCGTTATCGATACTGATACCCGTGGTAGTTGTTTTGCCAGACAATGACTGCCCTAGATGTGTTAGCTCACCAAAATCTTGATTGTCTTCGTCATCAATATTGTCACCATCCTCTAAATTGTACATTGAACTCTTGTTGGCCTTTGCTAATCTTTCCTTGGTAAATCTTTCCAACATTTTTTCTTCAGGTGTCAATTTTGAATTACCCTCTCCAAATCTTCTATCGATAATCCCACCTACTTTACCTCTTCTCTCCAACCTACTTTCATACTCGCTACGTCTAGCTTCTTCTCCAGCTTGCTTGTTTATACCAGGTTTTCCAACGGTAAGTTTCTTGTCTATTGCATCTGCTCTCTTATTTCTTGTGACTTTTACATCAAATGGATTGAATTGCTCTCTGATCTCATTCAAGGCCTTCTGTCTTTCATCTTTGCGAAGCTTGTCTTGTGCTCCATTTCTGTTTTTTCCCTTGTTTTTTTTTCCAAGGTTTGATTGTCCGGTCAGACCGGCATTTTTTAACGACTCTTTTAGCTTTTTCAACTGTGTACCACCTGCCATGGTAGAATCGTGTTGCGAAGCTCTTAATTGTTATCTGTCAAGGTAAACTCTAAAACATAGAGCATGATCCCAGGAAGGTAAATCGTATAGGTTATAGAAAATTTTTTAAATTTTTCCAAAAGGGAAACTGAAAAATTTAGGAACATCTTTGCACCAATTTTATTGTAAATTCATGTCTTCGCTTCGTGCAATATATAATGATCAAATTAAGACATATTCAATGCAGACTTCAACATGCTTTCGTGATAGTTGCACAAGCCTAACACTTCAATATCAATGTCACAAAGTAGGCGTGTGGTTGTAACTGGTCTAGGATTAGTTACACCGCTAGGCACTGGCGTAGCTCATGCATGGAAAAAGCTACTAAGTGGGAAATCTGGAATAATTTCAACTAGTGAGCTTGCAGATGCCGATAAGTATAAGGATATACCAGCAAAAGTCGTCGGTAAGGTGCCAGTGAGCGAAACGCATACAAGCAAAACTTTGCCTGGAGTTTTCAACCCCGCCGAACGTTTTAGTACTCATGAATTACGGAGATTCTCATCATTTATTCAGTATGCACTCGTAGCTGCGGATGAGGCACTTATGGATTCGAAATGGAATCCTCAAGAATTGGAAGAAGAAGATCGGCTTAGATCTGGAGCATGCATTGGATCAGGCATCGGGTCATTTGATGATGCTGCCAACAACGCTGTCAATTTTGCAACGTATGGTTACAGAAAGATCCAACCGCTATTTATACCTCGACTACTAGCAAATATGGCTAGTGGCAATGTTTCGATCAAATATGGTCTGAAAGGGGTGAACCACTCTGTCTCAACTGCATGTGCCACTGGGCTCCATTCTATTGGGGATTCTTTCCGGTTTATCCGAGACGATTATGCTGATGTTATTGTTTGTGGAGCATCAGAAGCTGCTATAAATCCTGTAGCGCTCGGCGGATTTGCACGATCGAAAAGTGTTACAGTTAGGTTCAATGATGACCCAGAAAAGGCATCCAGGCCGTTCGATAAAGATAGATCTGGATTTGTTCTTGGGGAAGGTGCAGGCATATTAGTTTTGGAGGAGTTAGAGCATGCACTGAAAAGAAAAGCTCCAATTTATGCCGAAGTCACAGGCTATGGCCTCAGTGGGGATGCTACTCATATAACTACACCAAGTAAAGAGGGTGATGGTGCCAGACGTGCAATGGAGATGGCCATTAGAAGGGCAAATGTCGATGCTGCCGATATCGGGTACATTAATGCACATGCTACATCTACCCTATTAGGGGACAGGGCTGAAAACTTTGCTATTAAAAGCATATTTGAAGAAGTGAATCCTAATTTAAGAGTGAGTTCAAATAAAGGCCAAATAGGCCATTTATTAGGTGCAGCTGGGTCTGTTGAAGCAATTTTCACAATTTTGGCTTTGAAAGGGGGTATTGTTCCCCCTACATTGAATTGTGAAGATCCTGGTACGAGTGATGAAGATGTCAAAACTGATTTTATTTTCGACTACGTGGCAAACAAACCTCAAGAAATAGAGCTCAAGCATGCATTGACCAACAGTTTTGGGTTTGGAGGTACCAACAGCTCATTATGCTTCTCTAAGTATATCGAATGATACTACTATCCTGTATATATCTTGTATGTTAATTATATTTAGAACTGAATGAAGACTAAAGTTTTAGTCAGTAGATACCAGGAAAGATTCTATAACGGCTTGAAATGTTGCTAGTTTCATTATTTTTGTAAAAGATGTATGATTGATTTGCAGAAGCAGATAAGTTTATAACTACCCATGTCATAACCATGAGCAAAGGGATGCATGGCCGTACCAACAAGAAAGAAAAGTATATTAGGCATTCATCCATGTAGTGCGGACAAACAACGTAATTGAATAGTCCTACATCAGGCAATGTATATTTTTTCTGTTTTGAAAGGATGATGTGAGTGAATAATTGATCACATGATGCCAAGAAAAACACAAGAATAGGAATCAAAATGTAGCCAAAAGAAATGGTGTTTTCCTCATGCAGCAAATGCATCATGAAGGGTAGTACGTCCACTGATGCATAGAATATGAGCCCTACAAGATAATGGAATATATGGATTTTGGCAGAAGATGAAAACCTTGAAACTCTTTGACATTCGTAAACTCTTCGTATGCTTTGAGCCAAATTCAGTAAGGCTATAACTTGTAAATCAGTCAACTGTGAGTTCGGGAATACTATCACGTAAGTGTTAACGAGAGATAACACGAAATGAATTACATAGAAGTGGGTAAACCATTTTTTGGGCACATACAATTCGTGCACTATTGACAAGTTAGCTAGATTGTTTCTTTTGGTTTTTTTATGATTCACAATTTTCAACGTCTTACCATATGTGAGGAAAGAATTTATGGCAGGGAAGAATGACACCAAAAGTACGGACAAAGTCATCAGTGCTAATCCCACACTGATAACATTTATTGACCAAAATGCTACTGCTTCTATCTGGAACATTCTTTAATATGTTCTGCTGAATCAATTTTGGAACAAGACTAGTAAGATTTCCCCCTTTCTACAATATGTGACACAGGATTTTTGGTTTTGAATTGAAAAAGATGGATTTTCTCAACCGGAAAGCCGGGTATAGTAGCGGCGGGAAAAAATCATGCTCTCTCGCAAGCGAGTGTTTCAGAAGACATGACAAAGGTGGGCAAGCTTCAGTTTTTCTCTGCTACAACGGTTGCCATGCCTTTCCCGCTTCACAAGGTAGGCCATTTCTGCACATTTATCTTAGTATCAAATTAGCTGCACAACGAAGAGCCAGAACCAAAAATGGACGTTTCACTAGCCCCACTGTACTACGGCTTGCTTATCATACTCTCCATTTTTTTCTACAATGTGGCTGAGGAGGGCTCATTACTTGAAGGTGGTGAGAAATTGTACCAGTTATTGAATGAGAAGAAAGATTTGATCAAAGATAACTTTGCAGAGACTTTCCAACCTGAACATTTTGTCGAGGAGAAAAACTCATCTTTTAGCTCCTTGCCAATTTTCGATTATTTCAAGAAACACAGCTTTTTGTATAAAAAAGCCTGTTTCGTCATTGATACGCTCAAACAAGGAGCTTTGGAATTCTTGCAGGAACATCCTCAGATTGGAGAAAATGTGTCCAAGGTAGGAAAAATCATTCACGATTCCTGTGAGCTGATCTATTCCACTTGCGAAGAGAAGCTACTTTGCGTTGCAGGTCAAGAGCCATTCAAAACATACTTAGCAGAATATGTCAAGCTTCACGATACTTTTGTCACGCCATATGTAGAGATGGCAAGTGAAAAGGTTGGCACTGTAGTTGAGAAAGGTATTGATTTCATCAAGCAACAAACGAATGAAGATGTTCCAAACGACGAAATCGTTTACACATTTTTGGTCACCGTTGTCGGGGTATTCATCTTGAAGGCTACCTTTACCAAAATATTAGGATGTTTTGCAAAGGACGCTTTTCAAATGAACCGGAGTATTTCTGAAATGTACAAGCAACAACTTGTCAAAGATATGATCAAGGATAGCGAGCAGCACAGTGACGTTTACCTTGAGATCAAGGAAAACACGCTTACAGACTACAACATGACTGTTGACGATTTGCAGGAGATTGAGAAGGAGTACGAGGCTCAAAATGCGAGCAATCGCAGACAAACCCGGAAACAAAACCAGCAACAAGAACAAGGGAGCCCAGCGAGCAATCGCACAAGAATCGAAGAAGAGTCCAAGTCCGGCTCCCAAAACAGTTCAGAACTCAAGCCTGAAGCAGAAATCAAAACCGACTCAGGGAGCAAACTCGAAAACAACCCAGAAGAAAAAGGGAGGCAACGCCCAGAGAAAATAGAAGAAACAAAGGAGGTTGGGGTAGTCGAAACAAACGAAGCGGACGAAGCGGACGAGGTGGCCGAGTTTCTCCTAAGGGGCGGTCCAGAAACGCCGGCAACGGAAGAAGACGACGAGGTGGAAGAAGTCACGTCTTTTTCTGCTTCCCCGGCCGTCATCGGCAAAAGCTCCAAAACCGTCAAGAGCTACTACACCGACGGAAGCGACAGCACCAACAGCAGCATCGCAAACACCACGTACACTACCACCACCATAAACACAACCAACTCGGCAAACATCAGCCACAACGCAGCCACCCGGCTTGTCTACGTTTCCTCCAACTCCATCATCTATGACGAGAACGACTCTCTGCTGAAGGAAAACCTCACAGGCCTGAGCAGCAACGCAGTCTCCGGTGTCACGCTGGCGGTGGACGACGTCATTCAGAAGGCTGCTGTCCGCAGTAGCAGCAGCGGCGCTGGTGGAGAAGACGGTCTCTGTGAGAGTGTACGATCACTACTTGTCTGACGGCTCCTGCTCCTTCTCCTGCTCCGGTTAACCCACATCTCGTCTAAAAAGGCAGCTAGACCGATTGCCGCCGCACGGGCTGTGCAGGCTGTGCGGGCTGTGCGGGCTGTGCGGGCTGTGCGGGCTGTGCGGGCTGTGCGGGCTGTGCGGGCTGTGCAACTGCAGGGTTGAGACGGAAAGGCAAGGAAGGTTTTTTTCTTTTTTTTCGGTGCCTTGCAGCGAGCAGAACGTGAAGAAGCCAGGCAGCAGTTTGAAGGCGGCTGGGCACACGCTCGCGGGGCTGGGAGGGCTGGGACCACGGGGAGAGAGAGCTCTTGCCCGGCCTCGGTGTTGTTGCTAGTTCTCCTGGGACGTTGTGGTACTTCTTTTTCTTTTTGCCACGTAGTTCTGTGCCCTTTCTAGGTAGCATCCCCTGTTTTAAAAAAAAACTCTTTGCGAAATGTCCAAGAACTACCAAGAACCTTTCATGCCACAAGAACAACCCCAACAGAAATCGAGAGGAAGAGGTGGCCAATTTGCCGGAAACTTCTTCAGAAGGCTGTGGGATTCAGTCATTTTCGGTGCCGGCGCCACCATCGGTAGCAGACTCATCAACTCCATGTGCTCCTAGGCACTGTCTGCTTTTGTGCGACGGAGTAGACCTGTTTCAGTTCTTCCGCCCTGTTTTACATACATGCCCTCTTTTATCTACTGCTTTTATAACAATTCTTAATATATGAACAAGCCTGAAACCTCGTGCGGTACATTCCAAGTTAGCGGCTAATTGAAAAGAGTACACAGGAAGAAATAAAGGTAGGTGAAAGAAAAATGTCGTGCCTCGGGGCGCCAATTACCTGAGGTACCCGGCATAGACGTTCCATATTCTCTGTATCGTCAATAGCTTGTACTCCACGTCCGAAGAAGTGCCGACTAGCTCTTCCACATCCTCCTTGAACTGGTAGTAGACGTACAGAGGTAGCAACTTCTTGGAGAGGCGCTTCAAGCTTCTCACCTCAATGAAGACCAACCCGTTTTTGTAGTAATCGACGTCATCGGAGACACTGTTGTCACGCTTCTGGCTGACCATATAGTCCACAAGCTTTTCAATCTTGCCTAAGCTTGCATTGACTCTAGTCTTAACTTCCCTGGTCTGCACGTTCTTGTAAGAGCTCTTGCTTTCCCCGTTGTACCAACTCATGAACGAGTTCTTCAACATCCATACAATAAACAAACTAGGAGAGGCAGCAACAAAGCCAAACACTAGCTCCTGACTCTTCAAGATCTGGTCGACCCCGTTTAATGCAAGCGATCCGTCCACTTTGGTTTTCTGGATCTGAATCAGTATGTTCCGAATCATATCGCCAGCAACAATAGACTTTATCGGTGTCTTCAAGTCTCTTTCGTAGTTGTTCATCACCAGCGTCATATCCCCAGACTTGATGGCGTTCTTGATTTGGTCGAGCTCTGATAACGACATGTTGCCTCCCGTCGGAGACGAATCAACAATATAATCGATGGCCATCCGTTCAAGTGAGTCAAGATCGGAGGCAAGGGATTTTTGTGACATTAACGCTATTTCGGAATTGTCGTCATGCCTGATGGTTTTCAATATGTTGTTTATTGGATTCACAACCCAATGCTTCCAGAATGAAACTGTAGTGTCTATGCAATAATCAACAAGCTGCTTGAAGTACTCATACGACTCGCTACGCACCTGTGGATCGGTTATGAGTAATCTGGTGTTCCTCAGCGCTGATGGGACGTACGAACCTATAAATAAGCCGGCGGGTATTATAATCGGCCAATTCCGAGTAAAGTATGACGGCATTGCGTTCTCACTTTCCACTCTATCTAGCTTGTGCTTGAGTTCATACGACCCGGTACTGAATGCAGAGTACAAGTTATCAATATTGAGTTGCTTCTCTTTCGGTAAAGACGACTGGGTAAACTTGTCCGAGCTGAGGAAACTTTCGAGGAAACTGTTGATAGTAGAGAAGTCAGTGGATAGATTGTCATTCTTTAGATCATAATGCGGTGAGTTGGTCAACAAGTAACCTAACTTTGATATGTTTGTCTTCTGTAGGTTCACCAAGTTTTTCCTTCTTCTCTCTATTTCATATTTGGAGTAATAGTATGGTAATTGGAAAGTCGAGTTCCAAAATTTGACAAACAACGATCTGGAATTTTGCTGTCTTTCCATTAAAAACGTTGTTGGAGACCGGAAAAAGTCCTCTATAGACCTGTCAATCATGGTGTATGCTAGTCTGAAGTATTTGAGGGTTGCAGCGTATATATCACGGAAAAAATTAGGTATCCATGAAGGGATTTCCACGATTGTGCTAGAAGGGGAAACCAACTTCACCTTTTTCACCTCCATCAAGAAGGCAAACGTATTTTGGGGCAGAGTCTGAAGAAAGTATAACAGCACAGAATACTTTTTCGATAAAACACAATCATAATAATTGATGGTATTCGATGTATTGAGCGTCGAGGTGATCAAGGTTTTGCTGATTTCAAGCATCAACGTTACCAAAATATTCAAGACCATAATCTCTGAAAGCATTCTAATATTACTGTCTTCCGACTCAAGCCACAGGTTGTCCCTTATCTGCAGAATCGCACAATTGAGGACATCGACGCCTGTTGCAGACAGTGTGAAATCCTGTTCCTCCGCTTGAGATAGACTCTTGAAGCGGTCTTCTCCCTGCGATATCTTCGGTGCTGTGGTCCCACTACCCTCTCCCGGAGAAGACTTCAATCCAGGCTTGATTATCTGGTACACGTCAATGAATAGAGACTTGACTTTCTCTGTTTCTACCGAGTCTCCAGGATACTCTTTCTCCATCCGGGATAGGAGCACAGTGGCAAAATCCTGTAACTCCTGGATATTGCTGTTCCCTAAAAATGTCTGCAAAGTAAGTGTGGACATTGCAACTGCTGCAATTGGTATTCTCCACTTATGTTTAGGCCCCAATAACTCACCTTCTATACTCTTTTTTCAGCTTTCCACTGTTCGTTTAATATGGGCTTCAATCATCATCTCCTTTCCCCACAAGACGGATCTCTAATTTTTTCTCGGACATGGTGGGCCGATCGGCTCAAAAACCGGTTTGGGGAAAAAGGGCACGTGTTTCTGGCCCTTTCACAGGGAAGTTAGCTGGGGGACAAAAGAACAGGGGCCCTGGACGTAGGGATGAGCCTGGTCGTCGATGGACAGCGGTATACACCCAGTGTGGCCGCATGTAAAACTGCGGAGTCGGTATTTGGGCAAGCCCGAAAATTTTGGAGGCATTCTGTGAATAGAATTGAAACAGACAACAAAGAACATCGAGCACAGAAGTGCCAAACCGGGAAACGAGGCGGCAGCCAGTTATCAGCGGTGTTTTCTAGCCGGCTTCTGCTTGCATGATTCAGTAATCTCGTAGGTTTCGTCATAGTGCTTGATCCTACAGATAGCCTCCGACGTTTGCATTACACCACGCACGCCTACAGAGGCTTTCTTCACACTGTCTCGGTATAAGCTTATACGAAGGTTTACTGGCAACTCATCACCTCGCAACTCCATCAGCGATAACCACATCAGCATAGACCCCTTTGGCCAGGACATCGAGCTACAGGATTTAGCAACCTTCACATCACTCTCTCCTTCAGACCTAACCCCCAAGACCAAGATGAAGTTTTCCCATTCACTCCAGTTCAATGCTGTCCCTGAGTGGTCTTCAAAATACATCAACTATTCAACGTTGAAAAAAATTGCTTACAATTTGCAGAAACAGTATGTTCAGGAGCTCAACAGCAAGAACCTCAACGAAGAGGCCAGTTTTACGTCAGACCCAAACGATCCCGAAAACCCAGTGGTTGTGTTCAAACAAGCCTTGGATGCAGAAGCTGATCGTATCAACAAGTTCTACAACCAGAAAGAGGAAGAAATTTCCAAAGAGTACATATCTGTTTTCCACGAATTTTCGGATTTCGAGTCGGAATTCCCTTATGATTCCAACGATGCTAAAAGCAGGGACCAATTGAAGAAGATATTGCGCTCCCTCTTACCAAACTATCAGGACATCAATGAGCCAGCAGACCATTTATCAAATCACGATGAAAATGGTCACACAGCTGAAAACAACATTGAGAATTTCGATCATTCAATAGATCAGATTGAATCTTTGATAAGTCCTAGGTTAGCTCCTAATGGTAATGGTGTAATAGGTCTACCTCATGAAAGCCACATGGAATCTGTTGACGACCTTGACTCCTTGAGACTACAAAAGAAGAAATCGTTTCCTACATTATTCTATGACGATGATTTCCACGTCACATTCCTGGAGGCACTGAAAGTCGAAAAAAAACCATTGATAACACGTGTTTTCACTCACATATCAGAACTTAAGTCTTTTATTGAGTTGAATAAAATTGGTTTCGGCAAAGCATTGAAAAAGTTTGATAAACTTCTTCAGACCAATATCAAGTCAGAATATTTGTCCAAACTTGAAAACGACTACTATGTGTTCAAGAACTCTACCATTGAACAACTAAATGCTAAAATTTCAGACCTTGTCACATTGTATTCCATATTCACGCATCACAACATCAATGAAGCAAAGCTAGAATTGGGTACAAACTTACGTGAAAAGGTTGTTTTCGAAAGAAACACTGTGTGGAGGGATATGATTGGGTTGGAGAGAAAGTCACAGGCCGCTTACGCCAAACCTGAATTTGCAAAGGAAGGCGCCGGCTCTCATGGTAATCCTTTCACAATAAAACTAGGTGCTGGTAGACAATTAACCATTCCTGGCTTCCTAACTTCACTTTCGACCCTAAAAATTGTCATCATTGCTCTCATAACTTTAGTTTTGCTTAACATATCTCCTTTTGAGGATGAACAGCAAAAAAATTGCTTTGCAGTTTTGATTTGTTCCTCGTTATCTTGGGCTACAGAAGCAATTCCTCTTTTCACCACCTCTCTTTTACTCCCATTTTTATTGGTTGTTTTGAAAGTGCTGAAGAATCCGGAAACAGGTGAAGTATTTAGCGCTCCAGAAGCTTCCAAGTTCATTTGTGCTGCAATGTGGTCCCCAATTATCTTATTGCTATTGGGTGGTTTTACACTCGCAGCGGCACTTTCCAAACATAACTTGGATAAATACGCATGCACATTCTTATTGTCAAAGGTACAACAACGTCCTGCTCCAATATTGTTTGCAATTATGGTGGTTTCTACCATAATTGCTGCCTTTGTATCCAACGTCGCCGCTCCGGTATTGATGTACTCTGTGGTTCAGCCTATTTTAAATACATTGACTGATAAAACCGTTAATGGGAAGACTGTTCAAAATGAGTTCGCACAAGCTTTGGTTTTAGGAATTGCATTAGCATCAAGCGTTGCAGGAATGGCATCTCCAATTGCATCCCCCCAGAATGTTGTTGCACTTCAGTTTATGGATCCACCACCTAATTGGATACAATGGTTTTCAGTTTCCATTCCTGTTTGTGCTTGTTGTTTGGTTTTGATTTTTATCGTGTTGATGATCTCCTTTTCTTTTAAAGATGTTACCATAGTTCCAATTCATCAACATTCAGATAATTTTAGTTCCAAGCAGTATTTTGTTTTGGCGATCTCTTTGGTCACCATTGTGCTTTGGTGTTTAGCATCGGTTTTGGAACCATGGTTAGGTGATATGGGTCAGATTGCTTTGATTTCAATGGTTACTTTTTATGCAACAGGAGCATTATCACAAGAAGACTTCAATAATTACCCTTGGACAATTGTAATTCTCGCCATGGGTGGTCTTGCTTTAGGTAAGGCGGTGACGGTTTCGGGACTTTTGACAACTATTGCCAATTTGATTCAGAAACAACTTGAAGACGCAGAATTGTTTACAATTTTAGCTGTTTTTGGATTCATTGTTCTTATAATGGCCACTTTTGTTTCTCATACAGTCGCTGCCCTTATTATCATTCCATTGATCGCAGAAATTGGACGTTCATTGCCAGACCCACATCCAAACATCCTAGTTTTCTGTACTTCTCTCATTTGTTCTTGTGCAATGGGTTTACCAACATCAGGATTTCCTAACGTTACTGCCATTGGATTGACCAACAATCTTGGTGATAAGTATTTGAACGTTGGCACATTCATCAGAATTGGGGTTCCAACCAGTTTGGGTTGTCTTCTAATTGTCATCACTGTTGGGTATCTCTGTTTGAGGTTGATCGGTTTCTAAACAAACAAGTACTTTGAAATATCGAGAATATTAAATTTTTTTCTTTCAATCAGCATGCAATAAAGCTCATGATATTTTCTATAAACCCATCTATAAATTATTAATTACATTCCCTCAACTTTAGGATCAAAACTGAGAAAATATTGGGTAAAATGAGATTGATTGAACTGTAAAGATTATATAAATGATAGGCTGAGTAGAAGAGCGTGAAACTCGTTGTGAAATTTAGCTTGTACCGAAGTACCTGCTATCTATAAAACGGGATGACATCCACCAATCTGAGTCCAAATTAGAGTCCGCCTCAGGATTGGAGATTAGGGTGCTCTCGTGGGAACGCTTGCCTACACATGCGACCACCAGGTGAATCCTAGGAAAAGCATTGAATATCTTTCTAATACTTGTTTCGGTGGATGTATAGGTTACAAGTACAATTTGATCTTGCTGAACATTGTGGTCTAGTAAAACTTTGATTGCCATGATTGCGGCGGCACCGGATATAGTTTGTGAGTCAAATAGTAAGACTTTGGACGGTTTGCCACCTTCCTTTGCTTCCAATGGCGGCAGTTTTTCTGTGTGTAATTTTGGCTCACCTGTTCTTGAATCAGTTTGAATAAGAAGCTTCCCAATTTTCGCTGCTGGAATAATTCGGCGAAGGGATCTAATGAAGCAGTCGCCTGATCTCACAACAGAAACAGCAATAACCTCCTGTCCAGGGAAGAAAGCATCACCCATTTCCAGGGTACAGTTGGTTGGAGTCACTATCGTTTTCTTGAGTTCAGTGCCTGGAATATACTCCACCAAGTCAAGAGCTTCAGATATCAAGATCGATGCTGCCCTGTTAAAAAAGAAAACGAAATCGTCGTTTGTAGAGTTTCTGTTTAATATTATTGTTTTGATGGCCTTCAATTGGTTTGTAGGTTTCAAGAAGTGTACATTCTCCCAGTTTACCGGGACAACAGCTTTGCCCAAGGTTTTCAAGTGGTTCACATGGTCAATGGACTTTTGGTCCAACTGTCTCCTCAAGTGTTGGATTAATATTTCCATTGCGACAGTATTGTCGGAGCCTCTCGGAATGACAACATCTGCATTTGCTCTGGTAGGAAGTACGTACGAGACAGCGTTTGGCTTGACAAATGAGTCCCACTGTTTGATGACACCCTGGATGTCACGGTCCCGGTGGACAATGTCCCGCAGCAAACGTCTCGAGTAGCAAATGTCCAGATCTGTGTCGACATAAACCTTACAATCCATCAATTCCAAAAGCTCCTTCTTGTGAAGAGCATATATCCCTTCGATGATTACCACGTTAGCGCCGTAAATCGTCAACTTTTCGTCTGGCAGTCGCTTGTGTTTCACAAACGAGTACATTGGGATGTCTGTCTTCTTTCCTTGCTTGATCGACTTCACGCAATCGTAAAGGTGGTCTAAGTCAATGGAGTTAGGCGTGTCAAAATCGTATTCATTCCGGAACGCTTGTGCGCTTTGCTCTGGTGTTAGTTCCTTGTAGAAGTTGTCTAGAGAAAAGAGGATGGTCCACGGTTCATTTATGGACGATATGATTTTTTGTGCAACAGTCGTCTTGCCGGATCCACTGAGCCCCGCTATTCCGATAATATACGGCGACTTCCACGGTGGAATGTACTTCTCTGCCTCCATGGTACCAGAAATCCCGATTGGCAGACATCTCATTTTACCTCGTGCTTATAAGCCCTCTCCGGCTGCTACGTCTTGCAAAATGGGTGGCTATCTCCATTAGGGAGGCCTCCAGCATGATGCGGGGCCCATCCTGATGGGGCCTTTGGTTTACGTTAATCTGCTACAAGGATTACGTAAGACGATTGCAATTAAGGAAACCTGTTAACCATCACCGTTAGGGCCGTTGTTTCCTCCGTATCTGGCGTTATCTGGCAAATGGCTTTCGCCATCTCTGAAGTAGAATGTAGCATGTGTATAGCCAGTTTGAATTCAACTGCCGAAGAGCCGAAAAAAAAGAGAGTCTGGCTTGATGATGGGATCATAACATCGGGAAAGAATGGAAACGCTGCCTCCCGAAGTCGGAGGCCGTCTGAAAAAGACAATAAATAGTGCTTTGGGCCTGTATAGACTGTTGGAATTCCACTGTCAACTTCAAGGTTTCAATTATATTCCCGATATAACCTGTTTCGGCTCTTAGCGTATTGGAAAAGAACTAGTGGACCGAGACCCCTGCCGGCCCAATACCCCTGCTGCTAGAAATTGCTGGCTATTGGCGATCCCTCTGGGAATGGGAGAAAGTTGACAAGGATTTTCGTATGGCGATGCAAATGGTGGTACCTTTTTCACAAGTAGTAGTTGGTGGAGAATTTGTTGCACACCATTACACAGAAGTTGTGACAGGTGATATCGGTCCTGCTCCGTTCTCGCTGTCTTCCGTTTAGCGGCTAGGGCACGCTGTGATGTTCCTGCCGCATGCATACTACAGCTACCAATAGCGGTAACGCAGACATGCTGATCTGGAATTGGAGTGGGGAAATAGGGCTGTCCTGTGGAGACCAGATATTTTTTAGACAGGAAGGAACAAAACAAAGGGGAAAGGAGCCTGGGAAAAATGAGGCGGAAAGGCCTAAGGGAGCAAACCTTATCCAATGAGGAATGAGAAAGGACGTTGCGAACAGTAAAAGGCAGGAATTTGCTGCTGTACTCCATTGATACTGTAAGCTGAATTCCACCGAGTTACCCTAAATAAGTGTCTCAACGGTAGACAAGGTAGATCCTTGGTTTATCGCTTTACCAAGATACATTGCATTGCCAGGTCAACACCAATAAAACATCAATTGCTCACCGTTGACCTCGGACACCTGGCAGCAAAGGCACAATTACCGAGATTTAAGCCACGGGTCCTTCGGACTATGCTTCAAAAATGGGAGCTGTGATAACATGCTGTTCTAAGTTTTTTGTTAGCTTTTCCGAGTCGAAACATTTTGAAAGCCGAAAAATTGGCTCCACCATATTGGGTAATCTTACTACAGCCTTATTCCGTTAATAATTATCCCTTGACTATTTTGGAGATGAAAAGCTGGTTGTTTAACAAAATTGTCTGTCCTGGTTTGAATATAAAAAGCAAACATGAACCTCACTCTCTATGACTTCTCAAAGTTCATTCTTGCCGCTGGTGCTGTAGCTATTACTTTCATTCAGTCTTTATTTTATTTCTAGTCTATCTTTCCGCAAAGAAATAAAAACATCAAACAATGTTATTCCCAACTGTCCTTGCTACCATTGCCGTCTTTTTGGCTTCCATTTCGGAAGCTCTATCGTTTCATCCTCCTTACCCTCAAGAATCGGTCGACCTTGATACCCCAAACAGATTTCTTGGTAATGCCGGTCCTTTCAACGAGGCCATAGGCTATGGTATTCCTGCCGATACGCCTGAAGAATGTAAAATCGACCAAGCACACCTTTTCATGAGAGAAGGTGCTAGATTTCCTCAAAAAGGACAAGTTGAAGATTATGCTGAGCTTTTGGAAACTTTGAAAAATAGCAGTATTGCCGTTCCAGGTGGTCCATTGGCTTTTGCCACAGATTACGAGCTACTAGACTTCAACGCTACAAAGTACGGTCGACACATTTCTTTCGATGGTATTTATTCCGGCTCTAATGAAATTCACAAGCTTGGTGCTATTCTGAGAGCCAGATACAACCATTTGGTTGACGAATCTAGTACTACTCCAATTTTTGCAGCTGCTGCTCAAAAGGTCTACGATACTGCACAGATTTTTGGGGATAGTTTCTTCTTCGGTGGCCGTGCAGGTGACTACAAAATTTTTGTTTTTGACGAAGAAGAATCAGAAACGGCAAACACTCTGACCGGTGCTTACAGCTGTCCACTTTATGACGATGACACAAATGGAGATTTAGTTGAAAGCTCCAAGTTGGACTTCGATCAATGGGAAGCAGATAGGTTCAACAGATTATCTCCAGGTTTCAACTTCACTGACGACGATGTCTACACTATGTTCTCATATTGTGCATTTGAGCTGAACGCTTACGGCTCCTCTAAATTTTGTGATGCTCTATCAAGGGATTACTTGATTGGTCACTCTTATCAATTGGATTTAAATTACTTCTACACATATGGTCCAGGTTACAACTTTTCTACCGTTGGTGGTGGACTTTATGTCAATGCTACTGCCACTATGTTGAAACAAGGTCCGGAAGTTGCTCCTCCTTTGACATTCTCATTTACTCACGAGACTATTTTATTGAACTATATTACGGCTCTTGGTTTACTAGGTGACCAAACCACTTTGGATGTTGATAAGGTTGATTTTAACAGATACTTCCACGCCTCTCAAGCCATCCCTATGGGCGGGAGAGTTGTTACCGAAAGACTATCTTGTACCAACCACACTAGTGGCAAGGATGAAAGTTACGTGAGAATTTTACTGAACAATAAGGTCACACCTTTACCAGGCTGCAACTCTGGTCCAGGGTTTTCATGCCCATTAGACGACTATCTTGATTATGTTAGCAACAAAACTGTCAGGTTTGCAGATGCATGTCACTTGAATTCATCTGTTCCCCAAGACTTGTCTTTCTACTGGGACTGGGAAACTGCCAAGTATTCCACCAATTACACATTCGAATACTGATTTGAACCAGATTCTTTGAAGAATAACTGCCTTACCAGATTCCACTGCAGTTGCAAGTTTATTTTTCATACCGTCCATCTTTTGTTTACTTTATTTAATGTTATTTATCATATATACTTGCAATCGTTGAGCCAATCGTATCTGTAGAATCAACAATTATCATCAAGTTGGGTTACTCTTTGATGAACAAAGCACTACAGTTTATGTTTTCAGATTTTTGCGTCGATAGTCCCCACGCTATAAAAAAGGTCAACTTGCTTATCTTTTTCCTCTTTTATGATGAAGAGTCTATACAACATGGATAACAAAAGCCTCTCTGAAATCAGTGGTTCAAAGATGTTGGTCACTGCCACAGATGTCTGGGAACAAGGGACGATTTGGAAAGCGAGTCAGAGACTCAGAAACCTGGAAAGATGATTTAGATTTGCCGAGCGATTTAGAAAGCGTGCATACTAGTAAAAAGAGAATTGACAAAAAGGTTAGCAAAACAACTGACGGAAATGAAGAAAAGAACATCGATAAGACAGATGCTGTGCTCGATGAGGAGCAGATGCTTTTTGGAAATAAAATAAGCTTGGAGAGTAATGGAAACAATGGAGCAGCGCTCTCCCCTCAGCAGCCCATTGAGGCTTTACCACACACACTAGAGTTGCCAAAAAGAGAAGTAGATATTCTAAGGTTGGAAGTCACTCATTTCCAGGAAAGGGTAGCTAGAAACGGTCTAACATCACTTTCTGCAGAGGACAAGTCGGAATTTCAGTCGAGAAAAGAACTTTTACAGAAGTTGCAGCAGAATAACCACAGTGACAACTATCTTCTCCCAGACGATTATATAACGGAAGAAGGAAAAATCGATTTGGCCAAAAAGGCAAAGGCTCTTAAAATGAATATGAGGGCTGAGAGGAAGCAGAGGGAAAACGAATGGTATGAAAATCAGATAAATAGAGCACAGCAGGTGAATCAATTATCGAAGTTGAAGAAGGAAACCACTGACGAAACAGAGATAAAATATGAATATGTGTTTGATAAGTCACATATGATCGACTATGTTGCAGACGTACCAGAGGATGAAATGAAGGAACTGGAGAACAAAATTGAGTTAGAAGAGCTCATTGAACAAGAAGAAAAAAGGGTCTATAGTATCGAGGAAACCAAAAAGTCCTTACCGGTGTTTCAGTTTAGAGACGAGTTGCTAAATGCTGTTAAAAAATACCAAGTTCTAATAGTGGTCGGTGAAACTGGTTCTGGAAAAACTACACAGCTACCTCAATACCTTTACGAGGCCGGGTATGGCAAGCATGGGAAAATAATCGGCTGTACGCAACCTCGTCGAGTTGCAGCTGTCTCTGTCGCCGCCCGTGTAGCCGACGAAGTAGGGACAAGAGTAGGCGACAAGGTAGGATATAGTATCAGATTTGATGAAAGATCAAGTGAAAACACAGTGATCAAATACATGACTGATGGTATGTTAGTGAGGGAATTTTTAACAGATCACGATTTGGCGAAATATTCTGTGATGATTATTGACGAAGCTCATGAAAGGACATTGCAAACAGATATATTATTGGGTTTGTTCAAAGACCTTCTGAAAAAGAGGCCTGACTTGAAATTGATAATTTCCTCAGCTACGATCAACGCTAAAAAATTTAGTGATTATTTTGATTCAGCCCCGATATTCAACGTCCCTGGAAGACGTTATCCGGTAGAGATCTTTTATACCCAACAACCCGAAGCGAACTACCTTTCTGCGGCGATAATAACTGTCTTTCAAATTCACATATCACAAAATAGTGCTGGTGACATCTTAGTTTTTTTAACAGGTCAAGACGAAATTGAAACAATGGCGGAAAGTTTAGCTGAGACGTGCAAAAAGCTAGAGGGCCAGATAAAAGAAATGGTTATTTGTCCCATATATGCAAATTTGCCTCCAGAACAACAAAAGAAAATTTTTGAGCCAACTCCCAAGGGTGCAAGAAAGGTGGTGATATCCACCAACATTGCTGAGACATCATTGACCATTGATGGCATCGTTTATGTGATAGACTGCGGTTTTGTGAAGGAGAACATTTATAATGCAACTACTGGGATGGAAAGTTTGGAGGTGTTACCGTGTTCAAAAGCGTCTGCCGATCAGAGAGCCGGGAGGGCTGGTCGTGTAGGTCCGGGGAAGTGCTTTAGGCTATACACTAAGTGGGTCTACTTGAATGATTTGCCCCGGAACCCCACACCGGAAATACTTAGAACGGATCTAACAGGTGTCGTGTTACTAATGATGACTTTGGGTATTACAGACTTGGTGCATTTCGACTTCATGGACAAACCATCTACAAAAACATTGGTGAAAGCATTAGAGTTGTTGTATGCTTTAGGTGCATTAAATGAAAGGGGGGAACTTACGAATATCGGAATAAAAATGGCCATGTTCCCCACTAAACCTATGTTATCAAAAAGTTTGCTAGCAAGTTCAGAGCTCAAGTGCTGCGATGAGGTCTTGTCGATTGTGTCGATGCTCGAGGACACTGGTTCATTGTTTGTAAATTCCAAGGAGAAGAAGGAGATGGCCAAAAACGCCCATGCCAGTTTCCACAGCAAGATCGGCGGCGACCATTTGACGTTGCTACAAATATGGAACAGGTTTGTAGAAAGCGGATTTTCCCCACAGTGGTGCCACGACAACTTCCTCCAGTACAAGGCCCTCCAGAAGGCCCGTAACGTTAAAAAACAGTTGCAACGGATCTGCAGACGACTTGGCCTACTCTCGGACGATCGGCAGGAACCAGAGCGGGACCCAAACACGACGGCTCTCCATGTAATGAGAGCCATCACCGCCGGCTATTTCCCGCAAAGTGCTCGTCTCTCTCCACGGGGTGACACGTACACCACCCTCTCCCGGAAGCAACCCGTACTCATCCACCCGTCCTCCACTCTTCACGGAGCTGTTCCTCCCGTGAAACTTATTGTCTACCACGAACTGGTGATGACGACAAAGGAATTTATGCGTCACGTGATGCCAGTGCAGGGGAAATGGTTGGCTGAGTATGGGAGGAATTATTTTGACAAGAAGGACCTTTTGTAGAGTCTGGGAACAGCTCACTTCTTCCTTTTCCTAAAAATGTGTAGTCCTTTGTGTGTACACTTTTAGCATAGGACATAGAGCACCGAATCAAGTTTTCTCACCAGTAGCAATGACGTTAGAAAGTCCCTTGTGCAATTCTACGGCCACGGTAATATTCTATGCACCAAACGCAGCGTTATACGAACAGGTCAAGGAGTTCTACAAGAATGTTTTGAACTTCACTGTCGACGAACACTCCTACGACTCATGCTCTTTGCTTGCGAACAAGGCTGCCTCCTGCAACGTTTCAGCGATAAGTTTGCTGGTTGACGAAGAAAACGCAGCATCGGTCACGGAAATTGAGGGAAACATTAACAACCTACTAAGCCACAAGAAGAAGAGAGATTGGAGAACACTCCAGAGTGCCATTTCTCTTGAAAGTGACAAGCTTTTAGCTGTGATTGAGAAACTGAAAAATGCCAACTGTGAGTTCCAGATCAGACCAGACGAATTGAACCCATTCGAGGTGTACGTCATTGATCCCTTAGGCTCGATAGTCGGTTTCACGGCATTGAAAAATGCATTTGCAGTCAATGAGTCTTCCAGAACTTTCAAATCTGCTGATTTTGTTTTTGAAGGCGAAGCGGCATCTTCTGTCAGGAGTTTTTTGGATGACTCCCATAGTAGTTCAAACGATGCGGCTGTGAAGAGACAAAGAAACATTGCTGTTATGACTTCCGGCGGTGATGCACCTGGTATGAATGCCAATGTTAGAGCAATCGTCCGTTCTGCAATCAACAAAAACTGCCGTGTGTTTGCAGTTCATGAAGGTTACTCCGGCTTGGTCAATGGAGGACCAGAATACATCAAAGAAATGAAATGGGTCGATGTCCGAGGGTGGTTAAACATGGGCGGTACTAATATTGGTACTGCCAGATGCAAAGAGTTCAGAGAAAGATGGGGCAGACTGAAGGCGTGTAAGAACATGATTGAAGCTGGTATCGACGCATTGATTGTCTGTGGTGGCGATGGTTCGTTAACCGGTGCCGATCTGTTTAGAGCCGAATGGCCTGACCTTATCAAAGAATTATTAGACAAGAAGGAAATAACAGAAGATACATATCACACATACAAACACTTGAATATATGTGGTACTGTGGGTTCAATTGACAATGATATGTCAAGTACCGATGCTACCATTGGTGCTTTTTCATCTTTGGACAGAATTTGCCACGCGATAGATTATATCGATGCAACCGCCAATTCTCATCAGAGAGCATTCGTCATTGAGGTTATGGGTAGGCATTGTGGTTGGTTGGCATTGATGGCTGCCATTGCAACCAGTGCAGATTACGTTTTCATTCCAGAAAAGCCCACCTCAGTGGATGAATGGTCCGATCATATGTGTGAGGCAGTTTCTCAGCATAGATCAAGAGGTAAGAGAAAGACCATTGTTGTTGTTGCAGAAGGGGCAATCAGCTCAAACCTTACCCCGATAACATGTGAGGATGTGAAAAAAGTCCTTGTTGATAGACTAGGATTGGATACCAGAGTAACTACATTGGGTCACGTTCAAAGAGGTGGTCCTGCTGTTGCCTTTGATCGTTTCTTGGCTACTCTACAGGGTGTGGCAGCTGTTGATGCAGTTTTGGAGGGTACTCCTGATACACCATCTCCTATGATCGGTATTGCTGAGAATAAAATCGTGAGAAGAAAGTTAGTCGACGCGGTTAAACTTACTAAGTCGGTTGCCAAGGCAATTGAAGATAAAGATTTCGAAAAGGCTATTTCTTTGAGAGACTCGGAGTTTCATGAACACCTCAAGTATTTGATTGCGATGAATACAGCAGACTTCAGAGAACCTTCACTACCAGTCAAGAAAAGAAAGAACTTTGCAATCATAAATGTTGGTGCGCCTGCAGGTGGTATGAATTCCGCAACTTACGCTTTTGCAAACTACTGCATGTCTAGGGGACACGTTCCATATGCAATTTACAATGGTTTCAGTGGTCTTGCGAGACATGAATCTATCCGTTCCATTGATTGGTTGAACATAGAAAACTGGAATTCATTAGGTGGTTCCGAAATTGGCACTAACCGTACGACACCTGAAGAAGCTGATCTTGGTCTAGTGGCTTACTATTTCGAGAAATACCAATTAGATGGGTTGATAGTGGTTGGTGGTTTCGAAGCATTGGAATCGGTTTCTCAATTGGAAGCAGCAAGAGAAAGTTACCCATCGTTGCGAATTCCAGTTGTCTTAATTCCTGCAACAATCTCGAATAATGTCCCAGGTACAGAATACTCTTTAGGCTCTGATACATGTTTGAACAAATTGGTTGAATATTGTGATATCATTGGCCAATCTGCTTCTGCAACAAGAAACCGTTGTTTTGTTGTCGAATGTCAGGGAGGTAACTGTGGTTATATGGCAACTATGGCACAACTATGTGCTGGTGCAGAGTGTTCCTACGTTCCAGAGGAAGGAATATCACTAGAGCAGTTGGAGACTGATATACAAACTTTGAAGGCAGGATATGCGTCAGACAAGGGAAGAAATCACACTGGCCGTATCTTGATAAAATCAGAAAAGGCAAGCAAAGCATTGTCAACAGAGGTCATTGGTCAAATGATTAGCTTGGAGTCTGAGGGACGGTTTGATTCGAGAACAGCGATCCCGGGTCACGTTCAACAAGGAGGTATCCCATCGCCTATTGACAGAACACGTGCCACTCGTTTTGCGATCAAAGCTGTCGAGTTTATGGAGGAGAAATGGAGTGTTGTTCACAATGCTGAAGACGAAATTGGGGAGTTTGAAGACTCGGATGAAGTTAGTGCGACTGCTGCGGTATTAGGTATTGAAAGGAGCCATGTCAAATTCCGTTCTGTGAAGACCATTTGGAATAATGAAACTTCTCATGGTACAAGAATGCGTAGAGAGATATTCTGGGAGAATATCAGGGACATTGCAGACATGTTGGTAGGGAGAGTGAAAATTTAGGAATTGTGATCTTTTGAATTTGGCAGCATAACTATGGTTTATTTTCTTTTCTTTTTCTCGTTCATGGTATACTATAATATATAAAAAGATGACAATTAAAATACCGAATAACGTAGGTCGAACCCCTAATCTCCCATAATTAGTTTATCCCAGTCTCTTTCCAATGCTTGTGGGAGAGTATGTGTGAATAACGAATCTATTGTCTCAAATTCTCCCTTCTGTAGCAACGGAAAAGACAAGATTTCATCGCACTGGTCTATCCTCACCACAACCTTCTTGTCCCTTGATAAACTGGATACCGCATCAATCAATTGAGAAGAATTGTACCCAGTATCTTGAACTTGAAAAAGCTTTAGTAAAGTTGAAATCTTAACAGTGGAAAACTTTCTAGATGTAAAAATTATGTTCAAATCGATAAGGTTATTGAAGATTCGTTGGTACTGGCTATCATCTAAAGATAATTCGCTATGAATTGAAAATAGTGATAAGCCAGCGCCAGAGGATTTTGATAACTTGAAAATTTTATCAAATGCCAGATATCTGAGGACTTTAGTCATTGAATCATTGAAATCTAGCTGTTTAACCATTGTCTCCGATTTATCTCGGGTAAGAAAATAAAGTCGCAATCTCTGTAATATAGAGTTTTTAGAGTAACCGTAAGGTTCCAAAAGTAGTGATTTTGTAAAAAGAGGAATTAGAGAAAAGATATCTGAATTTGAATTGTACCATAGGAGAAGTGGAACATTAGCAGGAGAAGAATCCAAAATTCCTTCATTGATGAGTTGATAAGAGGTCGTCAAATATGCGGACCATTTATCAGTAGATCGAAACCTTGCCAGCTGTATTGAAAGAATCAGGTATTTCAGATTTTGTAAGAATGAAGTGTACGGAGTTAACACGTTATCTCTTTTCAAACGAGCTTCAATTTTAGCGTGTATTTTGGCGACTAGCTGATCTGCCTTCGGCTTTGAACTGACATTATTGCCAAGCTGGGATTGAAAAATGAACAGTAGGGCCTGAAACTCAAAATCGCTGAATACATTATATTTGGAAACTGATTCATGAATTTGGTTCAAAGCTTTAGCTTTTATCGAACGATCGGCATTTTGAGGCAATGCCGCAATCAAGTTGTGCAAACACTTGAAAATATCTTCCTGATTATCATGTTCTCCCTCGCAGTATCTCAAAAACTCGGAAGCTTGTATATTTTTAAAGTGGGAGTTCGGTAGCAAAGCGTCTGAACTGAGCACTATCACGGTGATCACAATCAAATCTTCCGTCCAACCATTGATTTGAGAATAGAAAGAACGGGCATTGAAACCGCAAGACTGCTGCACGGCCTGGTAGATCCGATTATATCGGTTGTTCCAGTCCATTCTAAATGTACTTGTGAGAATGTTCGCTGATTGCAGTGTGTCGGATGCACAATGTCATGCATTTGGTCTATTTTGCCTGTTTCCAATTCTGTCGTATATCCGGTAGCAAGACCGAAACGAGAGATACGAGAGAGCGACGGCGAAGGAAACGCGGGTCGTATAACTTTTTCTCTTTCTCCGACTGTTTGAGGTGTCGTCGTATAAAAGAAAAGGCATGGAAGTAGCTGTTGAAAAGTTCAGGCTTGCTTTTTTGTTATACCTTTTTTACAGGAACAAAGCTTGGGCAAAGATACGCTTGACTATACCGAAGCCAAGATGTTTTGCTGTGCTAAAAAATGCCGTCTGACGTCCATCCTGAAATTTCTATTTTTCGGGGGAATGATCTTTTACATGATGAACTTCCTCTACTACACGTGGTTGCCAACCAACTACATTTTTGACAAGGAGGAATTACAAAAGCTTGTCAAGGATACCCTTAAGGTGGCCCCAAAGGATGACATCAATGCCATCTTCATCACCTTGCAGGAGAAGTTGGAGGAAAAGTACGGCTCTGCTTACATCAACAAGTTGAACATGGACGATTGGGTTTTCAACAACGCCGGAGGCGCCATGGGTCAGATGTTCATTCTACATGCTTCCATCTCGGAATACTTGATCTTCTTCGGCACCGCCGTCGGCACCGAAGGCCACACCGGCATCCACTTTGCTGATGACTACTTCACCATCTTGAAGGGAGAACAGACCGCTGCGTATGCAAACCAGTTCTCCAAGTCCGTCTACTTGCCAGGTGACCAGAACTTTATGCCAATGGGCAAGTTCAGACAGTATTCGATGCCTGCTGGCTCCTTTGCGTTGGAGTTAGCCCAAGGCTGGATTCCTGCGATGTTGCCGTTCGGTTTCTTGGACACGTTTGCGTCCACTCTGGACTTTGTCACGTTGAGCAGGACCATATACTTCACTGGCAAAGACATGATCAAGAACCTGCTGCAGGGTAAGTTTTAAGTTCGACTCCGTTCGACTCAAACATAAAAACTGGCGTTGCGTTGTTGGTGCCGTCTCAACGCTCACGCACAGACGTGTGACATAACTATCATATCCTTATTTTTTTATTTCTTTTTCCGTCCATCAGCCTCACTCGCTTGTTTCTTCCCCATTTTCCTGACCGCAAGTTATAGTTAATGATTCTCGACTCGGAACCTTATCCCCGCCCAGCTGGCTGAGTGGGCTGGCAGTGCCGCCCCTGCCTGCTCTCGTCGCCCTCTCGCAAAAAATAACGGGTGCGCCATGTAGGTACACAAGATGGCGTCGGTTGGTCTAGCACCTGTAATGGATCGCCCCAACCACCTACAGACCATAGGCCGTCAGCCACTAGCGATTTCCGACACAGGTCTGGAACGTATACCCGCTGGCGTCTGGCCCTGGTCACGAACATCTCGGCCTGAACCAACTCAGACGCGGGCCCGGCAACGCATTTCTCGCTGCCGCAGGGCATTGCCCTGTTTTGCCATGCTTTACCATGTTGTGACACACGCCACATACGTGAGACGATCCTGCGGCTGGTGTCAAGACCCCGGGGCCTTAGATAAGAGCGCCATACAGCTAGTTGGCGGCCCAGCCAGCGCCCGCTGGCTGTAGAGAAGCATCGGGATTGCCTTGGGATAAGTCCGCGACGCCCGAGCGGCTCCCTTTAGAGGAGAGGCCTGCTTAGAATCCCTGCTAGGGACGACGATCTGGCCGCTTAAGTGGGCGTGCGGGCAAGCTGTCCCAAACCGGAATTTGCCGGGCAACCCTGCCGGGCAGATCCTTGCAGCAAATGTCGCCGGTTCCAGAGGGCAGGCAAAGTTTCTAATTACAGCACAAGGATCTGGCGTTGCCTACGGAAATGTATGCCGATCTTTCTGGCGCAATCCTCCGCGGAGAGGGTATTTCTGGCCGGCGGTGCCGGACCCGGCGCGCCGGGCCGGCCCGCTCATGACGGCAATGGCAAGCCGTACACTTATGGCATTCTTTCGCCAGACGCTGCACAGGCGCTGCACAGGCACGCAGGAACTCTAGACATGCGAGCCAGGAAATAAATTGGCTGGCGGGAGGTGTGCATACTGCTGCAGCATGAGGCGGAGCAACAAAGGTACCCCAGAGAGACCTCGTTGCAGGCCCGCCATGGGCAGCGAGGAGCATAAAAAGAGAGAGACGGGAGGACGCACGGGAAGGGGAAGACAATGAAGAAGGAGCAGGCGAGGTCGTGCCGCTGTGCTGCCGCGGTACTGCCGCGAGGCTGCTGCTGTTCTTGCTGCTGCTGTTCTTGTTACTACCTTGCCGCTGTTTGTGTTCAAATCTGAGCACAGCTGAGAAGAACAACTGTACGACAACTTAAAAGTATGTCAAGCAAAAGATTGAAAATGACTGGACCCGACGGCTGTTATTTCGCTGCCAGCATTAAGCTTTTGGGGGCACAGGGCGTGTACCCACCCCCCAAAAAAACCGACGCCCGCGTGGAGAGAGTGACATGCGCGTCGGATCGGGCCATAACCAATGCAAATCAGCAATCCAAGCCTCACCTGTGTTTATTTATATTGGTAATCTGCTGTGTGTGGTAAATATGTGCATTGAGTTATAGCTTGCATATTTTTACACGATGCGGAGACTAGTCTAGCACTAAGCTTGCTGCATCGTACACTTCCGACGCATTAAATACCTGCAGTGAAATTTTTACTTTGCATTGACGCATTACGTACCCCTTGGTGATTGTTGTTTCCCACAAAGGCCGACATGTACATGCATAAATACTTTGACCGCAATGCATGTTAGTCCGCCGCAGCTGCGTCAAGATATTTTATTCTTGCTTTCAGAATATCGACCTAATTAAGACATCTTACTAGCCACCGGCAAAAGCGGGCTATGATCGGCGATGCTCGGCACAATCAGTTCTGCACCTCCCTACACCCTATACTGGGTTGCCATCGTCGTCCACCGACACGCTTCTACTGACTTCAGCCGCTTGCCCCGCTTACCGCTTGGCCCCTGTTTGTGTCTGCAGCAAGGGCTCGTGCTGCTACACTAAACGCATCTGGTCCTGTATCATGCATCTTAAGCGTTGCTGCAGGCATGGAGATGCTTGTCTTAGCGCTAGCGCATCCTGCCTCTTCCGTTTTTCGACATTGTTTGGACATACTCCAGATCTCTCCCCGTTTCAATTCGTTTCGCCGTGTTTCTCCTTGTTCTGGTCTCTTGCCCCTGTTCCGCCCAGTTTTACGCTCTCCTCTTTCGCCTCCTTCTTCTTCTTCTTCTTTTCCTTGATCTCCTTCTTCTTCTTCTTCTTCTTCTTTTTCTTTTTCTTCTTTTTCTTCTACCTCATCTACCTCTTTCACCTTCTTGTTGTCCTCTTTTTGATTCTCCTTATCTTCTTTCTCATTTGCCATTCCCAACCCGTCTTCAACTCTCCTGAACCCGCCGGGCTGTCAGAAAATAGATCCGAAACCACGCACTTTAGTATACGGAGTCCCTCCCCCATTTGATGAAGTTTATCCACTAATCCAGAATTACCCCGAGTTCTATTCCGTTGAACATTTTGCCTACACCCGGTTGCATATTTGTTATCTGTCATTTCCTAAAATACCAAGGAAAGCATTGTCCTCGTTGAAGCCGTCTGTTCTTCCAACTATCACTCGCACAGGCACCCCACCTCATCTCGCCTCACCTCACCTCACCTCATCTCATCTCACCTCATCTCATCTCACCCCATCTCTTTTCCTACTCGAGAAATTAAAACCTTCTCTTCCTTCAAGCATGACTAGAAAAACTACAGAAAAAACCACTGGCGCATCTTTTTCCTTAAACTCAGATATTGATCAGGCGCATATACTCCATCCAAACAAGAAAAGAAAGGCTTGTAATATTCCCATATCAAGTTCTCATACGAAAAAGTCGTCCATTACTTCGACAGATTCAGCAACGTTGGAGAACAAGTCGATGAAAGAAACACATGACTTGAATATGCATCGAAGTAACAACTTAGGTTTCAATCATCGCAAGAATACACAAAAAATCGAGGAGAATTTTTTAAACAAAAGTGATGAAGATAGAACAAGGTTAAAATCAGAAGTAAAGGACTTCCATCCAAAATATGAACTTTTATTACCAAATTTATTCCAGACGACGTGGATAAATTATGGGAAATTTGCAACAGAGCTGAATTCGAATTACTCAATAGCGATCAAATGCTTCGAATCGGCAATTAAATATAACCCTTCAAATCTAGAAACAATCAACTTATTGGTAGATTCTTTAGTCAACAGAGACTATGCAACGGGTAGTGTTAACGGTATTAAAAGCGCAATCGATCTAATAAACTCTGCAATGGTATCATACCCTGAGATAAGGGATGATACAAAATTATGGGCCAAATTGTCGGGCAACTATTTATTAATTAATGATATCGAAAAGGCGCATTCAGTCATTCAAACTGCTTTAGAATTTGCAAAAAATGATCCACTACTTTGGTTTTCCCTCGGAAAATGTTTACTCAAAATGAACGCTTTAAAAGAGGCAGTAGACGCTTTGGGAAATGCATCATTTTTACTTCCTAAAGAGCTGACAGATGACGCTGAAGTTAATATCGCCAGGAATATTCATCTTGAGATGGCATCTATAGCTCTCAATGACCGAGATCTGAATTCTGCTAAAGATGAACTGGGATTAGCTCTGTCGCTACCGGCGCCAACAGATTCCCAGAGTATAGATATGTGCATTGCTATGATACGCCATTTGGTGGTATCATTTGAAAGATCTAATGATCTGGTTGCCGCAGCATGGATTTGTGAGGTCGCAGAGTCAAAATTTTCAGAAGAGCCTATTATTCTTTTGCTTCACTCATATCTACTCTTATCGCCAAATAAGTCATTATTTAACCCGAGTAAAGCAAGAAGTTTGTTGCATAACATCATACAAAAAGATAGATATTACATCAAGTCCGACAATGTTGTTGATTTTATTCAATCTTCAAATGGCGATTTTCTACCATGGTTGCTGCTATCAAAATGCTACGATTTTTTGGAAAACTATAATATTGCATTTGATTGTTTGGAAATATCAGCCAGAAAAATCACTTATCCGGCGGAGTTGCCTATTTTTAGATCTCTTGCTAATAGAATATTGGAAGCTTCGGATAATGATTCATTAGGAGAAGATGTCAAGGCCTTCATTAATGCTCTGGATTCAAGTCCTCAAACAGGACGCGTTATACCATTGATGGATTTGATACTGATGCCATATGACGAAAGAATCAATTACTTTGAACGTAGAGTATCTGCAACACACGATGAAAGCAAGAGTAAAAGAAGAAAAAGTACTGCTGGCGGAGCGACCGGAAAACGGAAAATTGATGAAGTTATCAGTAATGATTCCAAAATATCTTCACCGAAACGAGTATATTATGACTTGACAAGAGATGACAGTTTGCAATCAAATTCGAGAGCTTCAGTCTCTGCTGAAATTCCACGTCCACCTTCGGCTCCTCCTAATATTCGATCAACGCCTCAGATCGTGTCACCTTTATTGTCTTCTCAGGTACAGCAGCAAACACCGATCCAAACACAGCCACAACACCAACCGCAACAACAGCAGCAAATGTATTCGGTGATTCAAGGACCAGTTTATCCAAATCTTACAACCCCAGCAAGTCTGTCTCAGCCTGTTGCATTTTCCGTCAGAACTATGCCGCAGCAACAACAGCAGCAACCACAACAACAAAATTCACAATGGGCACATGTCAATTCTTATCCTCAAAACAAAAACGTCCAGTACAATAACATTGGGCCCCAGATAGTTTCAAACCACGAGTCGGCAATATTCAGCCCTGCTGATACCAATATACCTACTTTAGCAGAGAACAACGTTTCCGGTGCTAATAGAAATATAAGTAATGGGCGCCTGACTTCACCAGCGGAATTACACTTTCAGCAAGAAAGGCAATACATTCCAATGGTGCATCAACCGCCTCATGCTCAACCAATACCACTCCAACATCAGTCTCGACAACTAATACAGCCAAATATGTCTACACCCCAGCATCAAGTTCAAATGATGGAGGTTCCTCAGCCTGGACAGCCTGGACAGCCCAGATTTCAAGGTATCCCCGGTGCAGCAGGTCCTCGAATGGTTGGACCTAATGGACAAATAATACAGCAGGTGCACCTTATCCAAGGCCCAGCTCATAACCAAGTTCGGCAGGGAGGCTCCCGGGTGTCTTCAAATGGCCAAGGACAGTTGCCTGTTCATGGTCAAATGCCAGGTTCTATAGAAGAACAGCGTGTTCAGTACGCCAATGCCCCCGGTCACCCCCAGATGTCGAACCGATTTGATTATGCAAGACAGCCTAGTAATATTCCTCCCCCTGGAATGGTTAATAGTACATACATAGCTTACGAGCAGCCCGGTAGGCATTCCATTGACGAGCAGATGAGAGTGGAGCAGCAGCAGCAGCAGCAACAGCAACAAGCACAGCAAATGCATCACGTGCAAATGCAAGTGCCACCAGAAGGCATGCAAATGTCTCCCATGATACAGTCCCGAGGTCCACCCATGATACCTGGTCCGGTATCGGGGATGCAATACAACCGGTATTAATGTGTACGAATAATTGAATGTATTATAAGTTTCGAGTGCTTTTTTTATAAATAAAGACGCGTCGTTTTCAATCCTCTTACTAAGCTGAGTCGCAATGATGGGAGCCCAGCAACATGAGGAAGATGATGATGTAACTGTACTTATGCTTGCATGTTCAAGCGCCTGCATTTCTTTTCTCCTTCCCTTGTCCCATAAACGGCAACAGCGTTGTGCATGAGCATGCAGGTGGCGTCCCAGTAGGCGGTATATACTATGCAGCTCAGATAGTCCGCTTTGCAGAACATTGTATGCAGAATATAGAGGCGCGTTCCTAAACGGGAAGCTCCGCCCGCTACCCTACAGCCGTAGGAGACAAAATTATTTAAAGTTGAGAGATTTTCTTCTCTTTCTTTTGCAGACTAGTTTATCAGAAAAAGAGAAAAAAAAAGCACTCAGAAATAAGGTATAAACACCACACAAATCTTGCGAGATATAATTACCGAGATCAAAGTTTGGAGCCATGTACAAAATTGAAGCCCTTAATAACGTCGAGCTTGACTTTCTCTACAGCGTGTTTAGTCATGAGAACTTCAGGCTCACTTAGGTACTCTGGGAACTCCACCAATTCAATGCCGTCCTTTCCGATAACGATTGGCAAGCTGAAGTACTGGGTGTGTTTGGAAATAAACAGCGGCACCTTTTTTGTCTTCAACTCGTCAATCTTGACAAAGGCAACCTCCTTGACGGTACTACCGTCGGCCGCTGTAATGGCGTCGAGTAGATTATTGACAAACCTGTATGCCGCCGTGGCCATTGAGAGAGTGGCAGAGCCCTTGCCGTCCTTAGCCTTTACAACCTCATCGCCTCCGAACTGGACCCTTTTAACGAGCTTCGTATATTCTTCCTCTTTGCTGCCAAAGTTTTTCCCCCAGCCGTTAATTAGTGGGACGATAGAATCGCCGGAATGGCCTCCTATTGCTATGGCATCACCATACAAGTCGGAAGCGGGAACCTTGCCAGCGAGCGCCGAACTCAAAAACTCCTCAAGTCTCAAGTTGTCCAAGGTGGTAATACCAAACATTTTTCTTGGGTTGTACACGCCCAACCTCTTCAACTCTTCGACGGCAATTGGGACTGTCGAGTTTACTGGGTTCGATATCACGCAAATGAACGCATCCGGACAGCTCAATCCGGCCTGGTGCACCAAATTCTTCACGATCCCGGCGTTGATCTTGAACAAGTCATCACGTGTCATGCCCGGCTTTCTTGGGATCCCCGCAGGGATGATAACAATGTCGCTGTCCTTCAGCGCAACCTTGATTGTTTTACTGTCATTTTTGTCCTTTGGGGCATACCCCTTGATCACCTGATGCGTGGGAATGTGCGAGAGATCCGCAGCCACGCCCACTGTGTTGACGATGTCGTACAACGACAACTCATCGATCTTCTTATTGAGTCTCAACAAAAGCGATAATGGCTGTCCAATGCCTCCTGCCGCTCCTAGAATAGTAGCCTTGACCATGTTTGCAATGCTCACCTAGACGTTTCTTTCGCTGCTGAAACCGTGTCTCCCCGACTGTCCAGCACTGCGGGGACGGCAGCCACATCCATCTTTCTTATATGTAGGCCGTTTCTGCAGAAATGGGTGAAAAACCACGGGGGAATGACTAAACCGAAGTTGCGGAGGGGACCTACGCTCCGAAAAAGGTAATTCCAGCGCGGAAGCACGATAAGTCGATCGGCCGCTGCGGGGAAAAAAAGGGCACAAAGGAAAGGTGGTTCGACTGCGGTGTTAGGCCGAACCGGGATGGAAGAGACCAGAGCATGATTTTTGACATGTCAGGAACCTGTTTGTGTTCTTGCTGTGGTTGTTCTGCTTCAAAACGGGGTGGGATATAAAGCACCACTTTTACCGCAGTTGGAAAGCATCCCGGAACGAGATGAGTCGTTTATTAGCGGTACGAAAATTGGTGGCAAGAGCGTTCGCCAGGCAGCAATCGACGTATAGAGGGCCTGGCGTGTCGCATCTAGCACCGGAGCCTGGGCAGGGACCCACGCATGCAGCGCTGTCTCCAGCACAGCAGGCTTATCTCGAGCGAGTGATCAGGGTTGACCAGGCAGGTGAGTTAGGTGCGGACTTGATCTACGCTGGCCAGTACCTGGCGCTCTCGCACAACAAAAAGCTCAAGCCGGTGTTGAAACACATGTGGGATCAGGAGGTGCACCACCGGTCCACGTTCAACAGTCTGCAGGGTGAACACCGCGTGAGGCCCTCCATCTTCACGCCGTTTTGGAAGGTGGGTGCTTTTGGAATGGGCTTTGCCACCGGATTCATGAACAAGGAGGCGGCAATGGCATGCACAGAGGCCGTGGAGACTGTGATTGGGAAGCACTACAATACCCAGCTCCGCGTCCTGACAAACAACTTTGCCGACGTGAAAGAGTTTGCGGCCGACAAATGTTCCGATTCGAAGGAGATTGAGCACTTGAAGGAAACCATCAGGGTTTTCAGGGACCAGGAGTTGGAGCATTTGGACACAGCCATCCAACACGACTCCAAAAACGCAAGACCGTACTGGCTGCTGACCGAGACCATAAAGGGCGTTTGCAAGACTGCAGTCTACCTCGCAGAAAGAATATGATTGCGCCAGACGAGTATAGACACCTATGTATATAGAATAGAATAGGTAACAAACGCTAATGTGTTATGAAACGTGTGGAAACGTGTAGCGTATGAAACTGCGAGAGCCCAGGGTCAGGATCGAGATCAGGATCGGGGTTGAGGTCTACCGCTTTTACACACACACATTATCTGATTTGCTTTCGTACTCAACATTCGCTAAAGGGTGCTTAAAAGGAGGCGTAAAAGGCTCCTAGTATACAATCATTATCTCCTTAGCTAATGACAGTTCATATCAAGTCATTATACACATTCACCCACTGTATGACCTTCGAAGACACATTGGTAATGTCCGAGAACTCCTGTATGCTGATCTTACCGAATGCCCTGTCACTCAGTTTCTTGTGGTATCCTACCCATATTTTATCTGCCTTCATTTCGGGCGTCGCTTCACTCTCTTCAAACTTCACAACTTTGGTCCCCACCATCTTGTATACAGATCTCACCACAATTAGTAGGTCGCTGTAAGATATGTATCCGTCCTTATCCCTGTCATACATCTTGAAGGCCCACCTCAACTTTTCCTCCACACTACCCCTTGATGCAATGCTCAAGGCTTTGATGAAATCTTGAAAATCGATTTTTCGTTTGTCATTTATATCAAAAGCCTCAAACGCATATGCAGCAAATTCAGTGGGGTCTCCAAATGGATAAAATTGTTTGTGTATTTTGATAAACTCCTCCTTGGTCAACCCTCCGTTCGGCACGTCTCTTTTGAACCCCTTGTACCACTGGTGGAGCTCTCGTGTAGAGAATTTGGTTTCTTGTCGTAAAGTGGAAATCTCCTCACTATTCAGTTTACTAGGTTTTTGGCCCATTATTGTGCTGGCTTTTCTAGCACGTGTTTTTAAATACTGTGTGTAATGTTCATACAGCAAGGGGATACTTGTCAGATTCGCCTAGCCATCATCATCGTCCCAAGAACACTGGGTGCTTTTGTCCGGGCACTGAATTGAAAACAATTCATTACCGCGGAAAAAAATGTGTTACGTAATATGTAAGTCAAATCCGAACTCCTAAAGTTAAATGCTATAAAACTAATACATCCAGTATGTATAATATAAGTCATTACCAAGCTATAGAAGGATGTTACTCAGGCAAATCAAAAAGATTCCGAAGAAACTCCATTTGAGTACCTTCTCTTGTTTTCCACCAAACCCAATGGCGCTAGCAAACATCTGTAGAGAAATAAAGGTAAGAAACCCAGAAGTGATCGCAAGAAGAACACCCACCAAAACAATGCTAAATGGATCGTTCATGTCCTTTTTATCCTTGAACATATAATATCCAATGCATGCCCCAATAGGTTGGCTCAAGCTTCCCAATGTTCCGCTTATCAATAAAGCTTTTGCCCTAGAGTTCAATGCAATATATATTGGAAGCGTCATGGTGAAGCCTTCAACAAAGTTGTGTATGAACATTGACAAAAAAATAGACATGCCAAGCTCAGGGTTAGTTCTTGATGTAGAGTACATGATGAAACCTTCAGGGAACTTATGTAATGTAATAGCCATTATAGTTTGCAACCCAATAGATAGTAATCTCGAAAGCGGGGTTTTTATATGATGGTGATGTGTGATATGAGAATCGCCATCTTCCTCTTCTTCTTCTTCTTCCTCTTCCCCTTCCTCTTCCTCCACTTCATAAAGTGAATCTTCTCTTTCGTGGGTGTTTTTATGACTGAGGGAAAGGTGACCAGCAGAATAGAAAGATTCACCCAGCGCAGGAGAACTTATACTGTGATATTGTGGTACTTGATTTGGAGTATTAAGAAGGGCAGATCCTGCATTTTCAGCTGTTGAATGAGCGTTCAGCTGCTGCCCAATATTATGGCTGAAGTCATTTGCTTTGCCTTGGATTGCTTTATTGATTGCTGCATCATCTGGTACACTATACTGCAAAGCACGATGTTGCTGCTGAAAATTATTCGTCGCCTCCTGAAAAACGGGATGGACTATCTTGGAAACACCTGTGCGATCCTTAGCAATCAATGGAGAGTGTATTTCCAAATCTGGATACCTTGAAGCCAACTCCGTTCTGTCCGTAATCATATGCTTTCTGTCAGGGAAAAACAACAGATTCTCCTCTGATGGTCTGGTGCAGAAATAAAGTTTTTTAGGCTTATGTTGGTGTAAATGATTATTAGCCAAAATCTCATCTGTGCAGCAATCTATGTCTCCATAGCACTTGCCTGTCATAGTCTCCCCTTTCAAGGTTTTCAATGACAAATCCATCAAAGATATGATTTTTTTAGGACCATGAACGCTAGGTTTAATTAGCGGATCAATTTCTTCTGGGTGAGCATTACCGGTGGATTTAGCTCTAGTCGGACGGGGCACCACATTAGATACCTCAGAGGCTGGATGTAAATCGTGTGGATCTTTTGGTGGTGAGGACGATTGGGAATTTGATGCCTCAATAATTGTTTTGTCTCCGTGGACCTTCTGTTCATCTGAAGAAGATGATGTATCCTCATGTGGAGAATGGATATGGCTATGGGAATGGTGGTCGTCGGAGTTTTTATGAGTGGAAAGGGAATAGTTTAGAGATTCCAAATCGTTGTCGCCATTCTGACCTATATGAGAATGAGAATGTACTTGTGACCGGGAATGGGGATGGGAATGACTATGATCGTCTGCACCATCATGTGCACAATGAACCAAACTTTCATTCGTCAATAAGTGGATAATCACATTCATCAAAGAGCATATTGCGATACCTGCCAAGTAGCATGAATATTCTGTAAGTTTGAGCAGATGATTATTTCCCCTGAGTTTTGGTATCTCTCTCAAATAACTGTGTGATTTGGGCAGTAGTTTGTACAATGATGTAAATATGAGGCAGCCGGATGACAGAGCCAACGAACAGATGAGGAAGTTTGTATCATGCGAGATGCTGAATGGCTTTGCCGACGCCCTTTTGGGGAAGAGAAATTTGTAGATGACGTCTGTGTAGATAACACAACAACCCAGAAACGTTATCAGCGATGTCAGTGCAACCAATAACCAACCCTGATCCATGTTAGATAAGTGCTGGAAGATCTAGAGGTTGATTGGAGACTTTGTAGAGGCTGTAATGGTTGCTCTACTTGTGAAGGGCTGCTGTACAGTACGGAGGAACAGCAAAAAAAGGGTGGGTATGTCTCGGGCGTCTGCGACAATGGAGCAACACTGAAAGAATTCCGACTCCTGGGCAGTCTGGCACGGAGTAGGAACTATATGTTGCCTGGATCAACAAGATCACATTCACAGTTGCCGTGGAAGAGATCAAGAAGAAAGCCCTGAGTGCACAGAATCACAAACACTACCCTGTTGATCAATTTACAAGTAACCATTACAGTACAACGCCCAAAATTCCACACCTGTGCTACAGATTTTCTTCCGCTACAACACTGTTCAGAAACCAAGACTTCTACTAAAAAACTTGTTAGATTTTTCTCTGCATCGACACTACTTTTGGTAGGTCGAATCAGTTGTCCCTATCTGGAAAATTCATCATTCAGTGTGTAGAGGAAGTACGCTATTCCATCTCCCTGAAGCAGTAGCTCCAAGAAGATAGTATGCAAAGGGCGAGCGAGCCGCTCCTGCAAGAAATACTACTGCAAAGGTGTAGCCCACATGTGTGTCGTTTCATGTGTGGCCAACAACCAGCCGTGGTTGTTACCCCGGTAGTGCTGACTGCGTTGCCTTTACCACTAATCTCTCTCTCGCAAGATCTCCTCTCTACGTTAACAGAATGAAGAGGAAGTACAGTGAATTTCACAAGCAAAAGCCATTTTATAGCGGCACAGCGAACGAAAACTGAAGCTCGATTGAGGAGGCAAAAAGAGAACAAAAAGTTAACGAGGGTTTCTCTAATGTGGCATTTTCAAAGAGGTGTTAGACCTTCTGCAACAAGCCATCAACCTCAGATACATCCTGAATAGTGGCTTATATAACTAAAGGTCTTCGGGAAAAGTTTGAGAGTTTCATAGTTTGCGATGCGCAAGCCCTGTTTATTGGCCAGTAATCGCCACATTGAAATGTCCGGAAGCGGTAATTTTCGTTGTGCACAAAACACAAACCGTGTTTAGTTCGGCTCTCTGTCTCAAAGGTAATACAGAGTCTATTGCCAGCTGATTGAGAAACTGTCGTTGCTCATATAACTAATGCAATTAGCTATGTACTTTCAGCTTCCTAGTGCAATGCTTTTTTCTCTACATTCATTTTTCCCGGTTATGTGTAAAACAACCACACCGCAAGCGAATAACTAAATACCACACAATGGAAAAGAAGTCAATTTCAGATAGTGTTGACGAGTACACCAGCTCCGTCTTGGAAACCCCAACGACTGTGCAGGAATTTGACTCTCATTCAGCAATTTTTCCGAACTATTCTAACATTGAAGTTGAGAAATCTGAGACCATTTTGAGCAACAAGTCGGAATCAGAGCTTCAAGTTGATCGTAGCACTGCTCATACCGATGATCAAGAAGAGAATATTGGAAGAAATCCCTTTCAGTTTTTTGTCAAGTCAGATTTGCTTTTTCTTACTCCAGCAATATTTTTCAACGCATTATGTGCAGTCACTGATGTAGCTAGCACGATAATGGTAAACCGCATGTTCACGAGATTAACGAACTTCCAAACAGGGAAGTACAGCTCTCCTTCTGAATTTGTGCGTGATGTTCAATGGTCTTGCTTCGCTATCATTTTGATTGGTCTGGGAACATCTACTTTTGGATGGTTTGAGACTTTTTTGTTCACCTACTTGGGAGAGCGACAACAGGTTAGGTGCAGAAAGCAACTGTTCAGGTCTTTATTTTCGAGATACCTCGGTTGGTTTGAGAACAATCGTAACTTAGATGGTGATATGATACAGTTAAACAGATCGATTGAAGAGTTTAGGAGTTCAATCAGTGAATATCTTTCGGTTCTTTGCAAATGTCTCTTTTCAATAATTTCTTTGCTAACAATAAGTATGATCTACTCGTGGAAACTAACACTTCTTATCATGTCAGTTTTTCCACTTTTAGGCCTATCAATCATGATTTTTGGTAAAAAGGTTGAGAAGTGGTCAAAAGTTGAAGATGACGAAACCTCAAAGGCCATTTCTCTGCTCGATTGGAATTTCTCATCCTTTTTGTGGATAAAAATCATATTCTCTCAGAAGCTTGAACTCAATTCGTTCTCGAAAACCTTAGATGATTGTGAAAGTGCATTCAGAAAATTCTCCATATATGCAAATATCGTTTCTTCCATTATGAAAGCTCTATCTTTCATGTTATTTGTTCAAAGTTTCTGGTTTGGCTCCTATCTCGTCAGAACCAAAAAAGATAGCAGCGGTGACGTTATTTCTGCATTTTATTCTTGTTTGAAGCTAGCACTCACCATCAGTAGCTTATCGGTTTTAGCTGTCATTTATCAAAAGGCAAATACTTCTTTTAAAAACATTACAAAATTCTCCTTATCTATTGAATCAATTGAGAAGTTTAACGAAACACTGTTTGTTCCAGATGAAAATTTATATGGTGATATCAGATTTAAGAACATTTCGTTTGGTTATTGTCAAAATAGTATCAATGAAGGCGACCATCTCTCAGCCTGTAAAACTTTAAATTCCATATCACTCAACATTGAACCATTTAAAACTACCTACATCATTGGCAAATCTGGATCTGGAAAATCCACTATCGCAAATATGCTCCTCAAATTCTACAAACCTGAATCAGGGTCAATCAGTATTGACGGTCATGATCTACAAACACTAGATAATTCCTGGCTCAGAGATCAAATAACTTTGGTTCAGCAGTTTCCTACAGTTTTTAATGACACAGTAGAAAATAACATTTTATTAGGTACCCCTTTTGATGATTTAAACTTGCCTGGGGTATCCGAAGCCATTGAATTTTTTAACTTTTCTGCTGTGGTCGACATTTTGCCGAAAGGTTTCCAAACATACCTAGGGAATAGTAAAGAGGAGAAAGACAATTTAGTGCAGCTCAGTGGAGGTCAAGAGCAGAAATTAAATCTGGTGAAAGCCAAATTAAGGGATACAAACATTCTCATTCTTGATGAAAGCATCTCCGCTTTGGATATTCAGCAACGTGAACTGTTCATGAAGAAAATAAATACATGGAGGGAAAATAGAACAACAATAATAATAACTCATGAGCTATCACATGTTAGAGCTAATGACATGGTTTATGTCATAAAAGATGGGAGAATAGTCGACTCTGGTTTCAAGGATGACTTGAAAAACTCAAACTGGGATTTCACTGGCTCAGAGATCCAGTCTTTCACTGAAACAATGACATCCACTCAAAGCAATGAGCTCGACCATACAAAAGATCTTTTTACTATTTTACAGAATACAAACTCTCTAGGTAGCCTTGAAAAGAGCGTAGGTACTGCATCTAATGAAGATACCAGGCCCAAAAACGATGCTGAAAAAATTAACAGTATAAGAGGACCAATGTTCACTGCATTCAAATTGATTTTGAAGAAGTTAGCGCCGAAGTACAAACTTTGGTATTTGTTGGGATTACTATTCGTAACTATAAATACAATTTTAACACCCATTTTTTCCTATTGTTTCTCACATTTAATTAATGGTATTATTCCTAAGGCAAAAGGCGAATTGATATCCAACCACGAGCAAGTCAAATGGTCCCTGATTGCAACGGGTATAGCAATTGCTAATGGCCTCACCTTTTTTATCTCCTTCACTTCTTTGAATTATGTTTCTCAAAGATTAACCAAAAATCTACAATTTTCAACGTTAGCTAAAATACTAACACAAGATGTGACTTTTTTTGAGCATGCAAATCCAAGCCAACTTTCAACACTGATAATGAGTGATATGAGAGATTTCAGACGAATTTTTTCATCTACTTTATCAAAATTTGTTTCTGGCGTCGCTGTCAGTATTGTTTGCATTGTCTGGACACTAACAATAGGATGGAAGTACTCATTAATCGGCTTCAGCATGTTTCCGCTATTCGCCATTTTTAGTATACTTGGCACCACAATAATGCGGAAGTCAGAATTTTCCTACAAAGACATTTTGAATGAAACTGAGTCCATTGTTTATGAAAGTCGGGCGGGCATAAAAACAATAATGTGCTACAATATACAGAGTCATTTTGAAAACAAACTTGAACAAGGGCTCAACATGGTTCTATCTACTGGGTTCAAAAGAGCAATTGCTATCGGATTTTCGACAAACTCAGTTTTCTTCCTAGTCAATGTATCGCAAGCAATAATGTTTTACTATGGCTTCAAATTGATTTCCACCGGAGAGTACACAATGGTTCAAATGATGCAAGTCATTATGATGATTTTGATGTCTGTAACGTTCATTGCTGAAATTTTGTCCAGTGCACCAGGACTTTATCGTGGTTTGAGAGTTGCTCTGAAAATTGACCAGCTTTTATTTATGGAAGAAGATGATACACGTTTTAGAGGTGGCTACTTGACTCCTAATTTAGAGAGCTGTCAAACTCCTTATTGTGTTTCCTTTAGGAATGTGACATTTTCCTATCCTAGCGATCCAACGCACTCAGTTTTGAATCATTTGTCAATGGATATTCCAAGAAATCAACTAGTTTCCATTGTGGGTGAATCAGGTTGTGGTAAGTCCACGATAGCGAGTCTCATTCTCCGTCTGCAATCATTACCAAAACAGCAATTTTCTGAGTTCCCGAGTTCTCAAATGATTACAGTAGACGGGTATGATATAAATACAATTAAAATGTCTTGGTTAATGTTTAACATATCAGTAGTCACGCAAAAACATTATTTTTTCAATGGTAGTATCAGAGAAAATTTACTTTACGGTAATCCTCTAAGACACTCCATCTCGGATGAGCAGATATGGTCCATCATTGATAGACTCGAGCTAACTTCTATGGTAGATGGTTTGAAAAACGGGCTTTCTTCTTCCCTTGCTGTTTCTGGTAATATATTAGTTTCTGGTGGTCAGGCGCAACGACTTTCAATAGCTAGAGCGCTTCTTCGTCCAGCCAGCGTGCTTCTTCTTGACGAATGTACTGCTTCGCTTGATTTGCATAGTGCAGAAGTAGTATTAGATCTATTATGTGAGCTTAAAGAAAAAGGTCTGTCTATCATTTGTATCACACATCAGGAAAAGGTTATACGGCGTTCAGACACCGTAATTATGATAAAAAATGGTATGGTTGCTGAAAATGGAGACTTTTACACCCTTTTGAAGGAAAAAGGGGCATTATACAGCATGATTACTGGGCAAAATCAGCTATTTGATTAGATTACTTATTTAAAAGTGTACTATAATTTTGAAGTTTTAAACTCCGACGCAAAGCTTTAATTGAAGTTATACAGCTTTTACTTAAGACCAGAACTGAAAGTTTAACAAGAAAAGATTACTAGTTTATAAGTGAAGAACGGCATATGGCACATCAGGCTCCTCGCCATTTTCATCTTCAAGACAAACTTCCAAAATCAATGACTTATCATTCTCAGTAAGTGGTTTCTTGGTAACCAACTCAATGATTTCACTAATCTTCATCTTGTATCTTGGCTCCATCTTCTTTACATAAAAAGATGCGAAAAGCAACGAGACGCCGTAGGACATCATGGATAGCTCTAAACCTTCATTTTTCTTGAAGTAGTCAATAATCTCTTGCAAAGTTAGGTCTCCGTACAAATCAAATCTATCCCAGATCTTGTCATACTCTTTGTCGCCGTACTTCCCCTTTGCACTGGCAACAGGTTCGGAAAAGGCAAAAAATGGCAATGCAAGGTTCACAAAACCATTTTTGTACTTTTCGATATTAGTTTTTCCATCTGTGACCTTATAAAGTTCAAGGCAAACCAAACCAGTTACTAAGGCAGTGGTAGTTGCAATAGCAGGAATAATTCTACCAGCGATGAACTTTGTTTTAGACTTATCTGCAACCTCAATAAAGTAGTTTTCTGCTCTACAATTTGAAGCAGCATTGATAAATTCGATATGATGATTGGTGTCGTCATCTTTTTCAAATTCAACAGTTGATAATCTGTACCCTGCCAATGAAGAAGGTGATGGCAAGCTCGAAGATAACTTTTCAATAACAGAGTTATCGGTAACCAGACCTGCATTTGGATCTGGATCATTATCATTGACCTGAATCTTAACATCCGATTTCGGATTCCATTCGGGTATATCTATTTTCGATAACACACTTGTATAGTATTTCTTGTCAGGTTCACCATTATCACCCTTCAATCCATAAACATACGCTAATAAATTTGCGCCACCAGTCACGAAGTCAAAATGGTTAGGATCATTGATATCAAAGACCAATGGTTCTGGAGCTCTTTTAGGACTAGTCCAGAAAGGTTCACCCTTTGATGTGACTGCGTCCTTGGGGAAGTTGTATAACAATTGCTTGATATCGTTGGAAAATTTATCTTCAAACTGTAATCTTGCCCACTTGATACAATCCTCAAACGTGTAAGGTTTATCAGTTGTTAAGTATTGGTTAATTGTTTCAAGGATACCCTTCACATCACCACTTTGCTTTAAGACCGTTTCGACAAAATTTGGTTGCGATAGGTACAAGTTCACGTTCTCAGGAGCATCATGGAAAAAGCCTTGGAATAGAGATTTGGCCCATGCAATGGTGTGGTCAATCTTGTTAGGGAAAGATCTTAGTGTACATAAAGGAATAGATTTCTCGGGAGGGTCTCTAGAGGAAGAATAAGATTCTGTTAGGTTTGGAATCACAACCTGTGTGTTACCCTTCGTGCCCAAAGTCCCCGATTCTAGTAAAGGTTTTCTGAAAAAAACGCATCGTCTGTCGACATATGTTCTAGCTTCGACGTTGTCCAAAGCATTTGTCACGAAATCTAAGTTTTCCCAGAAATCATTGTTAAAAATGTGTTCGGTATCTTCACCGACTTTGTCAATGCTTGCCTCAATTTTACCTTTCAAATCTGGATTCATCGCACAAACTGCATTAGAAGATACTTCGGACTTGTTCCTGCCGACATCTTTAGCCCTGAAAAGAAATTGTCTGTTTAAGTTTGATTTTTCAATTGTGTCGTTATCAGTAATGAAGATTTTACCGTCTGGACCTGTGGCTATACCCATCATTGCCCAATTTTTCAGCATTTCACAACCGATGGCACCTGAACCGACAAGGAAGATTTTCAAGTTTGCCAATTTTCTTTGGAAGTTTAGTCCAAAGACTGCGATTTGATTATCGTATCTCGAGTTGATTGGCTTGCATGCCTCCTCACTTCTCTTGTATTCATCTGATTCTGGCAATGATTCTAGGGAGTCGAAATAGAGCCATTGCTTGATAGGTACAAACTTGCCAGAACAAGCCTTCAAGACTTCCTGTGCCAAGAAACCACCGTAGAAGGCAACCATTGCAGGCAAGTCACCTCTTGCACCGTAGGAAAGTTCGCGGATGAGGTCTTCGTCAACGTCTGCTCCTGCTAGTATGTCGGGGTATTTGGCTGCCAACTTCTTGGTCAAGTTGACGATTGTGGTGGCGTCTTCTTCATTGTGAGGGCCAGGCAATTGGCCGTTGTTTTCGATCTGAAATTCATGCAACGCCTGGAAACCTAGATGGAGCTGAGGCGGTCTGTCAAACTTGGCGAAGTCGGACATGAAGTAGTCTGGAGTTCTTAATTGGGTTGCCAAGTCCTGGTAGCTGACCTTGATCGGGGTCTTAACTTCGGTGTAGAGGCCGCCTTTCTGGTAGGTGCCCCATGCCGGGTCAAAGTCGACCAATTGGAATGCGAACGGACCCAACACCTTGATCTTGTAGATGGAGCCGTCGTTCAGCTTCTCGATGCCCTTGACTTCGGAGAACTTTACAAAATTTCCATCCTCAAGACCGTGTCTGTTGTCGTCGAGCATTGTGACCGTCCCGTCCTTCTCGATGTCGGAGACAATGCCGGTCTTTGGCTCCTCGCCCGTCTGGTCGAAGATGGCGAAGGAGTCGCCGAAGTCGACAAAGGCCTGTGCAAACAAGCCCCTCACATCGGCAGAGATGAAGCGGATGTTATTTGCGTGGGTCAACTCGTTCAACTCCAGCTGCCTCGACAGAGGCAGGTTTGTGGCGACAACAACGCTGAAGGTCTTGATGACCTCCGGCGTAAGCGCGTCGACGACGTTGATAGGGACGTACTGGTTCAGCTCGGCCAACTTTGGTAGCGTGGCGTTTGCTCTCTGGGTGCCAATGTCGGACTCGGCTAGAAAGAACTGCGAAGAGAGGTCCTGCAACACCACCGGTTCCGGGTCGTAGAGAGACAAGGACTTGACGCCTGCCAACGCGACGTTCTTCGCTATCTCCAACCCGAGCCCCTTGAGGCCTATTATCAACACGTTCGACGACGCCATCTTCAGCATGGCCTCCTTTCCGAGCACATAGAGCTGGCGGGAGTAGAGGCCTTCGTCGATTTTGTCCTCTGGGGCGGGGGAGTCGATCTGCATATCTGATGTGGCTGACATTGCTGCTGCGGAGGCGGGGTCTATGTGGTCTGTTGGTGGAGCCGGCTCTGAATAAGGGGAGAAGAGGCTCCGAACCGGGCGTTTCCAGCCAGGCTGCTCAGGCCTTTCTACCCTGTGGCCTTCCTTCCAGTGGCAAACCAGGCAACCGAGCAGGGTGAGCCATAAAAAAGGGCCGGTGCGGCGATCGGCCCGGGCGGGCCTTTTTTTGCCTCCAAGGCGGCGCTTTTTTCTCGCACTTTCTCTCTCGGGGACGAAGGGAGGATGGAGAGGTCCTAGAATGCGGGCAATTAGTAATGAAGAGAAGGGGCAGGGGACGGTAGAGGCTTGACACAGTCTTCTTCTTGATCTGTGACGTCCGGAGCACTACAGCTGTCAGAACTACGGTCGAAGAAACAGCACAGATTCGAAAAGACGAAACAAGCATGTTAAGATACGCATCGAAGTACATAGGCAGAAGAAGCGTCCGCGGGCTTGCGACGGCAGCGGCCAGCACGGGCGGAGCCGGCGACAAGAGTAGCATGATGGTGACGATCTTGCCGAACGGGATCACGGTGGCGACGGAGCAGATTCCGCACACGTTGACGGCGACGGTCGGGGTGTGGATCGACGCCGGGTCGCGTGCAGACGTGACGGACAAGACGTCCGGAACGGCGCACTTCTTGGAGCACTTGGCGTTCAAGGGCACGAAGAACCGGTCGCAGGTGGACCTCGAGCTGGAGGTGGAGGACTGCGGGTCGCACTTGAACGCGTACACGTCGAGAGAGAACACGGTGTACTACGCAAAGACGCTGAAGGAGGACATTCCGCGGGCGGTGAACATTCTCTCGGACATCTTGACCCGGTCGAAGCTGGAGAAGGTGGCCATCGAGAAAGAGCGCCCCGTGATCATCCGCGAGAGCGAGGAGGTGGACAAGATGTACGACGAGGTGGTGTTTGACCGGCTGCACGAGGTGGTGTTCCGCGGCCAGCCGCTCGGCCGCACCATTCTCGGGCCCATCGACTGCATCCGCAGCATCCAGCAGACGGACTTGCGCAACTACATCAAGACCAACTACAAGGGCGACCGCATGGTGCTCGTCGGCGCCGGCTGCGTCGACCACGACGACATGATCCGCATCGCCCTCGAGAACTTCGGTCACGTGCCCATCAGCGACCGGCCCCAGCCCTTGGGCACCCCGCGCACAGCCCTGCCGGTCTTCCTCCCCGGCGACGTCCAGGTCGCCGACGACTCCTTGCCCAACGCCTACATGGCCATCAGCGTCGAGGGCTGCTCCTGGTCCTCCCCAGACTACTTCCGGGCCCTTGTGGCGCAGGCCATTGTGGGCAACTGGGACCGCGCCACCAACCCCGCCGCCACCACCCCGCTTTCCCACGCCGTCACCGCGCCCCTTCTCGCCAAGGGCCAGCCACTATGCAACTCCTTCATGTCCTTCTCCACCTCCTACTCCGACATCGGTCTCTGGGGCATGTACCTCGTTGTGGACAAGCACGCCGACAAGCGCCGCCTCGTCGACGCCGTCGTCCACGAGTGGAACCGTCTCCAGCGCGGCGACTTCTCCGACGCCGAGCTTGACAGCGCCAAGTCCCAGCTCCGCGGCTCCCTCCTGCTCTCTCTTGACGGCACCACTGCTGTCGCGGAAGACATTGGCCGGCAGCTGGTCACCACGGGCAAGCGGCTCAGCGCCAGCGAGATCGTCGCCATTGTCGACGGCGTCACCCGCGAGAGCGTGGTGCACTGGTGCCGCAAGGCGCTGGGCGGCGGCAAGGTTGCGGTTGCAACACTCGGCGCTGTCGCAGACACGCCGTCCCACGAGTACATTGCGTCGGGCTTGAAGGTCTAGGCGACGCGACGGCGATGTGACCGCGATGTGACCGCGGGCTGCCGACGCGTCGCCGACGCGTCGGCTCCAGAGAAGACGGAGGATGCGCGGATTGCTCGCTCGACTGGACGAGCAGGGAGGATGTGGGCTGTCGGGCACGCTGGCACGCTGGCACGCTGCCGAGCTGGCAGTGATTCTGTACACACTGTTGACACGGGCCAGGCCAGACGGCCCCTACCGTCGCAGCGGGCAGGCAACCCGGTCCGGGTCTCGCCGCCACACGCACTCCGACAGCGCCGGGCACACCCACACCCACACACATACACCTGTACAGTCCTATAGCTGCGTAAATAGATATAGACTCACACATAGACCCATTTTGCGAAAAAGAAGACTCGAACAGAACCCCAGACCGCCCTACCCGACACACACAATGGTTTCAGAACAAGAAGTGTTGGACACGTTGCCAAAGATGGTGGCAAAGCCACCAAAGAGCCAGACGGGCTTCCCGGGCTACCTCACCGACTCCGAAAAGTCCGCCTTGGAGCAGCTGAGAATCATGCTCGAGGCAGAGGGCCACACGGAGAGAATGGACGACTCCACCCTCTTGCGTTTCTTGAGAGCAAGAAAGTTCGACATCATGAAGGCCAAGGAGATGTACGAGGCGTGTGAGAAGTGGAGACAGGAGTTTGGCACCAACACCATCCTCACCGACTTCCACTACACGGAAAAACCCACGGTCGCCAAGTTCTACCCGCAGTACTACCACAAGACCGACGTCGACGGCAGACCCGTCTACATCGAGGAGTTGGGCGCCGTCAACATCACAGAGATGTACAAGATCACCACCCAGGAAAGAATGCTCAAGAACTTGGTCTGGGAGTACGAGGCCTTCACCACGTACAGGTTGCCAGCCTGCTCCAGAAAGGCGGGCTCCCTCATCGAAACCTCCTGCACCATCTTGGACTTGAAGGGCATATCCATATCCGCAGCCTCCCAGGTCCTGTCGTACGTCAGAGAGGCCTCCTACATCGGCCAGAACTACTACCCAGAAAGAATGGGCAAGTTCTACTTGATCAATGCGCCCTTCGGCTTCTCAACCGCCTTCCGCTTGTTCAAGCCTTTCCTCGACCCGGTCACCGTCTCCAAAATCTTCATTCTCGGCTCAAGCTACAAGAAGGAGCTCCTTGCTCAGATCCCAGCAGAAAACTTGCCAACCAAGTTCGGCGGCTCCAGTGAGGTTTCCGAGGCTGAGGGTGGCTTGTACTTGAGTGACGTCGGTCCTTGGAGAGACCCTAAGTTCATCGGCCCTGAGGGCGAGGCTCCAAAGCCAATTGTCCAAGCTGCTGCAGAACCTCAAACCAGCAGAACTGAATCTCTCAAAGCACCTCAGCTTGCTTGATTGCAGGACAGACGGGTTATTATTTATTCTCTATCATGGCAGAATGAAGTGATAAAGCTAATAGCAAGAGCAACAAAATCCAAAAAAATCTAAAAAACAAAGAAAAACCCCAAATCCTCCAAATCAAACCACCAACCAATTAGTCAAAAATCTTTCAATCAATCTATTCTCCTCTGCTGCAGGAGTTCTATATTTTATATAAGAATATATACAGAGAATGCATTCGTATAACACATTGGCAGATTATCAGTCAACTTCAACTTCAACTTCGCTATACGTAGATGGTTTTGTGTGTGTTTTTGAGTCTTAAAAGGAAACATCTTTTATCTAAGCTACAAAATGCATATCTAAAATGAAAAAAGTAATCAATCGATCGATCCTTTCTAGTTTTTGCCGCGTTTGAAGATATTCCTAAACAGTGTCTTTTTCTTCCCGCTCTCATCACTTTCAGAAACCTTCTTCCCCAGCTTGATCTTAGGCTTCTCAGGGCTGCCAAAGCCATTTCCCTGAAGCTGGGTCGCACTAACAGCACTACCCGACCGGTTACTGATCAGAGTTGACTTGTTCAACTTCTTCTTTTCGTTTTGAACCATAAGACTGGTCAAAAAAGTGTTCAGCTTTGATAACTCATCCTCGTTCGGTTGTAGACTCATATTGTGAAATAAGTCAGAGTCGAATATAACATGGCCATCAGAATCGGAATTCCTTACCATTGTCATACTCGTCGGAGTAGTGCTCGTGGTGGCAATGTTCAAACGACAACTTCTAATCAAGCACGAAACATACGTATCCCATATGTCATCGATGTTATGTGGGTATTCCGCCTCAATTAATTGTTTTTCCACAGATTCGGTTTCCTTCAACAGTACAGCAGATTGCTTTTTCATATCCTTCAATTTGAACTCGTGTTTGGATAGCAAGCTGTTCAATGCATTGTTTTCATCATTGATTAACGACGTAAGGAAATCATCATCCAGGCCAGTATCATCGAATCCTTCAATTTGATAATTACCTATGCTATCCTTTTCAGGTCCAACCTCTTCCTTTTCTGCCTGGTAAAATTTGCTGAGCAATTCCACCAATTTGGCAATATTCAAATATTTGTCAATCAAAAATGGCATGGTTGGTAACTCGTTTAAAATGTCCTTCGAAGTGTTCAACTGGATCCTGTCAACAATATTTGACATATTCAAAACCCTTTCATTGAAATCCATCTTTCTGAACGTCACTTTATCAAAGTAAATCAACATTTCTTCTCGGTGTTTCTCTATGAAGTCATCATTCAATGGTATCAAAAATGGTTCCCTATGTTTCTGAAATTTGGATCTATTTGAAAAAGTCATGAGTACTTTAGCAATCAAAACCAATGTACGTGATATTTTGCCCGAGTAATGCGTTTTGGATAAATTGTACAATTTAGGACTCAAGATGGCTGGGCATAGAAATCTTAAGAAAATGAAGGAACTCAATGCATTGAGAGGAGTCTCCTTGTCATTTAAATCAACTGAAAGTTCCACGTTTTGGCGTAGGTTTTTCCATTGGACTTTGATACTTGATGGAATATCATTGGTTGTCTGGTATATTCTATTCCATAGATATTCAACATATCTTAAAAGGTTTTGATAATTCTCTTGGTAAGTTTCAGGTTCAATTTTTGGATCACATTCACAGTTGAGGTCTTCAACCCGAACCTTTTCAATAAATTTGCCTAACAACTTTTCTAGATATTCATGGCCCACTCTAACGGTATATTTCTCTAAGGATTTTGAAAGCATTGAGTTGCCTCTAAAAATGGTATGATAACGGAAACTATTGTTTGCAGTTCCGCCATTGCTATTATTGCTATTGTTTATATTGAGGGTATTGTCGGTACTGTTGTTGTGGGAACCAAGTGTATCACTGATGTTGGAATTATTGAGTGAATCGATCGGAGAAAGTTCGTACTTCATCAAAGTTTCGAAATACTCGTCTTCCTTGCCTAAGCTTTGATAAATATCTAACAACATTATTGACCAAGCTTCTAGAGTTGAGGTGCTTGATTTAGGCTCCAAGTAAGAAATTAGGGACTCAATCTTGGAGTTCATTAAAATATTTTCTAGTGATTTATATTTTTGGAAAGGTAAGATGACGGTCTCGTCTTGAGAAAGATTGATCATCAGTTTACCAATCAACTTATTCTGTAAATTGTGAATTGGAATTTTCTGTAAAAATTGGACGTCTTCGAAAAGCTCCAAGTTAACGAAACAAGTGCCTATAATTTCGTCAGAGTTTTCTCCGTCAATATTGTAAGAATCTGTTGATTTTGCTCTTTTGATAAGAATTTTGAAGTCATTGGAATTGGAAATAGGTAGCTTCAGATTTATTAGTTCCTTCCAGAAAGTTGATGCATGCTGATCGGTCTTGACAATAGCAGATCTAAACCAGGGAGTGTTCCATAGAATTAGTTCGCAATATAAACATGAATCCTTCAGGCTGTCAGCAAAATTGTTATTGGAACTATTTGCGATGGCGTGGTTATCCAATTGAAACTGTGCTTCCATTATTTCAAGAGACAATTCCTCAGAAATTTTGAGGCGGTTTCCTGTGAACTGATTACCTACATATTCCAGTTTCGTGAATGAAGATAAAGCAACAAACCAATCTTCTAAATCGATTCGCAAATCAAAATCTATCAAAATACGACTAACGTCTTTGAAATTATTATCTCGGATGAATTGTAGGCCTGATGCAGGATGGAGGTCGTGGCTTTCTCTCAACACGTCGATAAATCCTAAAAACAAAACATTTGAGTTTTGTAAGATTGAGTGATGCAATACCCTTATTTCGGAATTGAACAAAAGGGTGACGTTAATTGAGTATAGGAGAGTGCCATCCAATTCTGATACTAAATTGAGGATACCTGTTGGTAACAAATGGCCAATAACGGTGAACCAACCTTCCTTGTAGTTGGAGTCTGTGGGAGTCGGAAACACGGGGTTTTCAGGACCATCTTCGTCAATATGTACTTTTGTGCTTGAGGCGGGTAGCGGGCCGAAGACTTTGAAACGACAGACGATGATTTCGTTAGGCTTTAAGTTGTCGTTGTAGATTATAGAGTTGGTGAAGTTCCATTTCGAAACCAATCCTTTCTGTTTCAACCCGTGCCAGGAAAGCAAGCATGCAAGAAACTCCAAGTAGTCATTGAAGTTGGTGAATTTGAAAAAATAAGATTTGGCATTGCCTGTTTTCGGGGTCAATTTCACAATCAAGTCGAAGTTGAAAATGTCAATTCCACACTCTTGGATATCCGACACAATCAGCAATGAGTTGCCTGCGGTGATTTTTCCTTCGGCGGAAACAAGCAGCTTGACGAAATTCCAGTGGAACGAATTATTTAGCAAAGTCTTGATAGATACGTGTTTGTTGTTTTTGAGCTTGTCGTCATCGAGACCAAAGGCCCACTGAACGTTGGAACATCTAAACTCACCTTTGTTTTTTATTGCCAGTTTTTTTAGGGTTTCCACGAGGTTCTTATCAAAGAGGGTAGACGGATTCCTTGTCAGAAGCGACGGCGGAGTTTGCGTCAGCGACGTGAAGGAGGTCGAGTTTGGAAACGCATTGGTGGTTGGAGTCGTTACCGTGTTGCTCTCGAACTCTGTTTCGAGTGGCGAAGGGGTGGGTATTTCACTCGAGGACGAGTTTATCTTTGCGAGTGGGGCTGCCGACATGGTGGGGCTGCTACAGACGGGCGTGTCTAGGGGTGTGTGAACGAACGGATGGGTGGTGTGACGTCAAATACGACTCGTCTGGTATGGTGCAGTGTCGCAGGATGGGTGGACAGGGGTAGAAGAGGAGGAAGGGGCGTAGTCAGCCACAACGGTTTTTTTCAATCTCAAACAGCAGAAGGACCCTCCGAAGACGAAACGGCCAGTGAACGGGACGGCGTAAGATAGGTGGAACGAGGGGGTAACGCCAGAGGCAGGCGGGACTAAGCAGCAAAGATGGAACGTGTGTGTCTAGGAGGAAAGGAATGTAGAGAAGGTGGGGTGGAGCACGAGAGCCAGAGCGTAGAGTGCAAACGGGGGCTGTAATTATGGGCGCAGAGCAGTACTATCAAAAGCGACGCAGCCTAAATCGAGAGAGCCGGTCCAGGTCCAGGACCTGGACGACCATTTCCAAGGCTCTCGAAAGATCATCGTGGAAACGGGCCACGAATGCAGGAACAGAGGGACAATCGACGGCGGGCGCCAGACGACGACGCCAGACGAGGGTAGCCGGGTTTACGGCCGGTGGCTGGTAAGGGCTGCACGTGTGGGATGTGGGGGTGCATGTCTTGACAGGTGGAGAGAGTGTGCTGGGTTTGGGTACAAGGTAAGAGCTCTTACGGTGCAGTGCAACAAAGCAAAGTTGGAGAACTAGATGGGTGTACGTATAGCGGTGGCAGTGGTGGCAGAGAAAGGCCAGACTGACGGTATGAACGGGATACTAACATCGGGGACAATGTGGAAACGGTGTTTCACGCTGTAGGACGGTGCAGAACGACGGAGGAACGATACCATCCCGAACGGAGATACTCAGCTTCTCTCTGAAGAAGCTGAAGGGCTCGGGGGCAGACGCAGGGCCCGGTGGTGGAGGGGCGACGCTAGAGAGAGAGTGGGTGCTGTCGCAGATGCTCAACACGTACAGGTACTGTCGGTTGTCGAAAGAGGTGCTAGCGGCACCGGTGGTGTCTGACAGCAGCGGGTACTTGTACAACAAGGAGAAGGTGCTGCAGTACTTACTGGACAGAAAGAAGGACGGAGGCATTGGTCGAGATGTGCCGACGATTGGGTCGCTGAACGACGTCGTGCAGTTGGACATCAAGTTGCAGGGGAACCGGCTCACGTGTCCGCTGTCGGGCACCACACTGGACATCGACCATGACGGCGATTTGAAGCTGTCCGACGTGCAGTTCTGCTACATCGTGCCGTGCGGGTGCACGGTGAACTCGAACATTCTCCGGGAGCTAGTCGAGGACTCCGAGCAAGACGCCGCAGACCGCAAAGGAGCCGGGGCGGAGGCGGTGAAGACGTGTCCCGTGTGCTTTACGCCGTTCACCCTGTCTAACATAATCGACATCAACCCGCAGGACACAGCTGGCCAGAAACGGCTCCAGCTTCGAATAGACAAGCTCAAGACCGACGGTCTCTACCACAATTTGAAACCACGCAAAACGAAGAAGAAGCGGAAGAGAAGCGCCGAAGCCGCTGCCGACGGCCAGCAGCCGATAGGCAAGGCCGATGGTGCCAAGGCCAAGGACGGCAAGAGGCAAAAAACGCAGGTTTAAGGTGGTATTGGATTGTGGATTAAGCGGTGTATCATGTGGTGGACTATATTAGTGCAGTAGACGAGTTATATACAGAATAGAAGTAAATAAAGATAAAACACAAGATACCTCCGAAAAGCGACTAAGGAAGCTGTGCTGGCAATGGGGTGGGTGATACGTGAATGTAATGAACTTCAAGAAGTGAGGACTGGAGCTGGAGAGAAGTCGAAACTTCCCTCACTATTGCTGCTGTTGTTGCTGTTGTTCCTGCTCAAATGTGGCCTGCTTCTCCATTACCTCTTTCTGCTTCGCCAACCTCTCTTCGGCCATCTTACCGTTCTGATAAAGGGTGTAGCCAACGCCAGCCGACATGTAGACAGTGAAACCAACAAGACCCAAAACCGTGAGTCTGTGCGCAATGTCGGTGGCTCTAGTGTACCATGGATAACCGTTCATTCTTGTATGTTATATATCTATGTCGTTGATATCTTGTACTCCCGAAATTAGGCTGCTCAGCAGCTTATGCCATCTTCTTCACATACCCCCCTGACCGTACCTCTATAACTTGTATCCCGCCACGAGGGATCGCAACGAAAAAGAAAAAAAGATCATGATTATTTTACAGATAGAATTCTAGGGCGATCGGCGTCCTAAGCAAAACCGCTTACGTACGCACGTCTGTCCAACTCGTTGATAACGTCTCCGTCAAGATATTTGACATGTTCAAACCATACCAACATGGCCACCAGATACCCGTTGCGCTCCTCTCGGACCTCTCGGGAGAGCTTCCGCTGGTGCTTCCGGTTCTTTTTTGCCCATTTCAGCATCCCGGGTTCCTCGTAGAGACGGCTGTACTCGATGGAAAAGGCCTCGATATCTTCTCGTTCCTGCAGCCTGAACGATGTGAAATTGTTGGCATCACTATCCCCTGAGGCTGCTGAACCTCCCTGTTCAGAATGGTCATCTTCGCCGTAGAAAATGAAAGGATAGAATTTTGTGGTCAGTGGGTTGACACGCACGTCAAGAAGCCGTAAAGTCATACGAACACGTGATGTATAGTCGGTGATGTCCTCGATGTTTCTAATTTCATTTCCCAACAGCTTCAACTGTTTCAAATGTCTTAGCTTCTCGAGTCCGTTCAAATTCCTAAGCCGGTTAAAGTTTAAGTTCAAATCGATCAGTAATGGAAAAAATTCACTGAACTTCTTGGGCAAAGCTTCCAAATCCATGGCAGATATGTCTAGGATATTAACGCTGGAAAACCTATCCTTGAAAGTAGGAAGTGCTCTAGGTAACACCCCACCAGTCAAGTACAAACTTTTCAAGTTATTGCTTTGTAGGCTGAACCTCAGAAAACCCTCGACACTCTTCTCCTCTGGTATATATCTTGCCGAAATCTTCTCGGTGTAAAGTGATATGTGCCTTATGTTTTCGGCAAAACATCTATCCAGCTGAATCTCCTTTGTTTCTGGGAATTCTGATAAGTCAATGTCTTCATACAAGCTATTGTTGTTTAATGAGATTCTTCTTAGGTTGAAATGGGGAGTCTCAACGTATTCCTCTTCTTCAGTCTCCGAGTAGAGTATACGGGTGATGCTGTTGTTATTTGCCGACAAGTTTACTAGCTGTGGCAACTCGCTGAGATTGATAAGCTCTGTAGTTTCGTTATCATCAATTATGAGGTCTTCCAAAAACCATAAGGTATAATTCCTGAAATCTAATTTCCCTCCAATCTTGTTATGCGACAAATTCAGATAATGTAACATTCTAAAGTTTTCTAGAAATTCAATACTCTCCACTTTGTTATTACTCAAATTTAAGCTTGTCAAGCTTTTCAAGTCTTTCAAACATCGCAAATCTGTTAATTCATTATGGCTTAGATCTAAAACCTGCAAATGCTGAAACATGTCAAATTTAGCACTTATACTGTTGAAATTATTATATGCCAGATTCAGAACTTGGATCTCTTTTGGTATTCCAAAGTTTTGATTTATCTCATTATGCGAGGCATTGAGATACCAAATATTAGGAATCATTTTGTCCAAGTGATACAATTGTTTCAACTCAAACTCACTGAGGTCTATTTCTTTGACAAAATTCCAATCCTCGGCCGGGTAGGACTCGCTGATTGCTTCAACTAAAAGGCCATCCGACACAGCAAAAGATTCATTGAATGGAGTCTCTGCATCAATAGTATTATTGGAAGAGCTTTTACTAGTATCAGTTGAATCAAAAGTTTCTTCGTGGTTTATTTCTCTGGCGTAATTGGCATTACGAAGAATACTATTACTTGTCCTATCTGGGTCAGAAATCGATATATTGTCCAAACCATCTTGAATTTCGATATCATCAGTATAGGACGAATTGGTATCATATTCATTCTTCAAAACATACTTTTTCAACTTCTTGTCATACACCTTGTTCTTATACTCATCTGCAGGAATGAAATTCAGACCTTTGGGTTTGTTTTTTACTGCATTGTTATTTCCATTAGAATCATAAACAGTAGCCTTATCTTCTACAGCTCTAAACTGGGATCTTAATTGGGGAGGTCGGACATTGAATTCTGCATTGTACGGTTCAGTTTCTGAAAGTATTTTATGTTGATCATTCGGTATGTTGTATGGTGAGCCTTGATTAAGTGCTAATTTGGGACTGCTTCCATCATCATCATCATCATCATCATCATCATCATCATCATCATCATCATCATCATAGGTGGTTTTCCCATCAGCAGCAGATTCACTGTTGTCACCAATTTCATTTCCTTCATAGTCATCATCAGCTGAAGTGTAGTCAGATTGAGAATACGGGGCAGCAATGTCGGTCAGCGGGATCTTGTGTTGTTGAAGCCCCTCACGAATGTTCTCAAAAAGTTGTTCTCCGTCATGTACAAATTTTCTCGTAGTTGATGGAAAAGAGCTAAACTCTTCGGCGTCAGAGGTCACATCAACATTGTTGTTTGGGTTTTCAACTCCGGAATCATTGCCGTTGCTTAGATTGTGATTATCTTGTTCTCTCTCTGGACCGTCCTTTGTGGTGTCTGTCAATTTTCCTTGTGCTTTGTTCAGTAAGCTTCCGCTGGAAGAGCTTCCGGTTAATATTTTGTTATACAACTCTTCTGATTGTTTGATAACTTTGGGTACTTTGGTGTCATTTTGATGTTCATTCTCGAGCTTTTGAGGTGAGAGTTGGTTCAGCATGTTATGCATCATAAATTTGGTGTAAGTATTCTGACGCACATCAAAAAGCTTTAAGGGGGAATCTGGCGTCAGTAGATCTGCATTATTAATGCCATGAATTTTGTTGAATTTATTAGCAAAGGTGTTCGGTATAGTTGATTGAGTGCTTGGTAGATCTTTCAATTTATTGTTGTTGATCATTTTGAAGAAGTTGTCCTCTTTGTATTTCCTCCAATCTGCTAATTCCTTGGCATTTGTGTCATTTTTCCTCAGGACTGTTTCACGTACAGTAAGTAGTGGGTTGGGTATCTTTTCATTGTTGTCATTGAGGTCATAGTCAGTAATACCGTTAACAACGTCACTGATGTAGTTACTGTTTTGCTCCGGCCAACTTTCTCCTCTCAAAATAGATGGCAACCACGATTGTTGCATTGACGATGTGTCATCCTTCATTCTGTCTATGCTGCTGTTCTCATCTGAGACCTGATCTGTTTCTTCAATTTCGTTATCAGCTTTGCGGTTAGGCGCAAAATTCGGGTTTACATAGTACATATTGATGTTGTTGTTGTTATCGTTCTTCTCAAGGCGTTTGGTGGCACTATCCATAACCACGCAATCATCTGTATTTACATTTTCGTGCTCCGTTGTGTTTTCTGCATAAGAGACTTGTGACCCATGGTTGGCAGTAAGATCTTGAGCTGTGTTTGCTGTGGATATATCATCATCTGCAGGTTTTGTGTAATTAACGGATTGGGCAGAATCAGCTTCTAAACGTTCGCTGATCTTTGTGGACATTTCCTTGACGTCTTCCCTGTACGTCTGCACCTGAAATATCGTGATAAACGTGAGCTGTGCTGTAGTCCTCGCTAATTGAAGATCTAGCTGTAGTGATTGTCATGTTTCAGATCAACATAAATAAAGCTCAATTCATGCTGCAACTTGGTATCGACGCGTCGCAGTGAGGAAAAAAATATTATGCTATTGGTGTATGCAGTTTACACCATGGATAGTCCGATGCTACTAGAGTGGTTACTTCTTAACTTCTGGTAAGGCTCACTACTAACTTTACCTGTAAGATAGCTTATAGAAGGTACTTTCAGATTGTTAATAAAGATTTCAGAATGTTTTTGAGAAAGGTTCAAGCCAAAAAGCTAGTGACCGAAGATTACAGATTCTTTACTAGAAGCTTGGCTGATAAATATCCAAATGATGATGATATCGAAGGTAGTTATATGAAGAGAAGACTTCAACAGTTGGCGGAGGAAGCACATCCGTCTTCTGCAGATCCAAATGCTGGGAAAATCGAAGATGCGTTTCCGTACAACAAGATTGAGATGCACGCTAAGCTTGACAAGATTCAGAACGATCCTTCGAACTTCCAGTATCAGCATCAGCAGGCGATAGGCGTGAGTAAGCTTCCAGCTTCTGCAAGCAAGCACACAAGAGATATAGCTCTGTCTAAGCCGTGGACCGGAGTAGAAACTCATTATGACGCGTCATTACGGATGTTGAATGATTCGATCAAGCCGATGAAGGTAAAGAAAAGTTCGAACACCATCATCACCCCACCACAGCCCATACGAGAACGGATACACGATGCCAGGGAAGGGGCATTGGATTACCGGCTTGCGAAGATCTCCAATGGCGGAGGGAAGGGAAAAGCCGCCAAGCAGAGGGGAGAGGATGATGATGAGTGGGCCGAAATGTACAGAGAAAGGCTTCTTGGGCCCTCGATGCTATTGAATGACTCATTTGCATCTGTGGACAACAGCATCAAGTCGTTGGCGGACCAGCGGATCATGGATGCGCAACGACGTGGAGAGTTCAAGAACATCAGGAGGGGCAAACCGTTAGAAAAGGGATACGGGTCCACGGAGAACATGTTTGTAGACAGGACGGAGTACCACCTCAACCAGATTTTGAAAAGGCAGGATGCGTTGCCGCCTTGGATCGAGAAACAGGGCGGCTGTGACTTGCGTATTTTGCGGTTTCGGGAAGAGCTTGACAAGGAGTGGCTACAATGGGTGCTCAACCGTGTGAAGGGCAAGTTCCCTGGGGCCAGTGAGGAGGAACTCGTTGCCAGGATGGCGACGTATGCGAAGAATGAGCTGGAAGACACCCCGGGGGGCGAGAGGTTGAGAGGCGATGCGTGGGTGCAGACGAGGAGACGCCATCTGGACAGCAAGCTCCGGGACCTGAACGACACGATCCGTGGGTACAACCTCCAGGCACCCTTGGCGTCGCAGAAGCTGTACTTGCTTTTGGACAAGGAGCTTGCTGGGTGCTACAAGCGGGTGGCGCCGCTTCTCGTGGAGGCGTTCAAGAAACATCTTCGGGGAGACGATGGCGGGGCCACTGCGGACGCAGACGCCGCCACCGCTGCCACACACAGCTACTCTGGTCTTCCGCAGCGGGAGAACGTGTACCAGCACGAGACGGAGTCGCTGGGCAGCATGTTCAAGAAGATGTTCTGGTGAAGAGGGCTGCCATCGATCCGCTCGGCTGCGGTTCCTCGGCCCAGCCGCCGCGATAACAGCTCCGGTGCGGAGGAGTTCGCTGCGCTGATGCTGAGGAAGCGGTGCGATAACGGGGGGAAGAGCGTGGCAGCTCTATGTGAACGGAGACGGGAGGAAGCTGAGTCAGAGAGGGTCTGGCCTGATTGTCAGCGCAACAAGGGGTACGCTTGCACGGGGGCACGGGGGCACGGGGGCACGGGGGAGCACAGAATGCACCAGGTCCACGCAGACGGGCCACAACACCGAACAGCAACACCAGGGTCTTTTGCAGCACATTTATAGACACCCTGCGTACCCTTGCACATACACATACGCATACGTCCGCACACACACACACACAGGCGATGAACTTTGAGACAGACACAGACACGGGCCCCGCGGGCACACACCTGCTGTCCGAGCTCGCCGCCCTGCGTGGCGACATCCCGTTGGACGAAGACGCCTTCATGGCGGGCCTGCTGGGCGACGGCGCACAGGGGAGAGCGTTCTTCGACGACGTCGGCACAAAGGCCGGGGGCCCCGACGGCCCCGCGGGCCCCGCGGGCGACCTGTCCTCCGTCACAGGCTGCCACTTCCTCTGGGAGGGCACGCACGCGTGCCCTGACGGCGGCGCCTACGCAGACGTGGAGGACGCCCGGTACGAGGACCGCTCGTACGCGGCGACGCGGCATCCCCGCCGAAATGGAAGATACCGGCGAGTGCCCGGCCACGGTGAGGGCAGTGCAGACACCGAAACCAACCCCGACGCAGACGCCGGCCAGCGCCTGCGAGAGCCGCAGCACTGCCGGGAGCCCGGCGACCCGGACCAGCTCGTCCACGAGGAGCAGATCACGCCCACGTACATCAACATGATGTTCAACGCGACGTCGATGATCCCGCTGGCAAACGTCGGCCGCATGCTGAAGGACGAGCCCATCGAGCACGTTGCCGACGAGTACGACACGGGCTGCGGCCACCGCGACGGCGACCGCACCGCCCGCTACAGCAACGACTTTGGCCCCTGCATCCCTGTCGTGGACTTCTACGCCATGAACCTGAAGATCGGCTGAGCCCACGGCGCAGCCTCCGCACCACTGTATACATCGCACCACCGCTAAACCAAACACGCAAAACTAAACAAGACTTGACTAGTCCAAGCGACATCACTCCTCCGCCGCGCCCCTTGCCCCTTTTTTGCTCCGAGCCGCCGATCGTCCCGGGGCCGCGAGGCAAAAAGAGCCCCGCGGCGCGCCCCTTCGGCGGCCTAGACCAGGAATGCCCGGGGCGCAATACGCGTCGCGACGCGACGCGCCCACACGCGACACGCGACACAAGCAACGCGCCGCCGTTTTCAGCATCGTTATTGTCTGCAGCAGCGCGTCCGGCGGCGAGACCTGGGCAGGCTCGCTCGGGGTCCTCCTTGGGCAGCGCGGGCACCTCGGAAAGGGAGTTTGTTTGTGTCTGGTGGGGTAGCCGTGCATGCATGCGCCAACGTTTGTTTGCATTTCTGAAGCAGGTGTGTGCCACGGCGCCTGCTGCATTGGGCAACCAGGCAGGCCCGGTGGGCCCCCTTGTGGCTGGCCCGTCAAGCGTGTTTCATCCCCGTGCTGGAAAACGCAGGCCGGTGTGTGCACGATCCGGGGCATGTATATAAGGATTGCGGGCCCCACAGCAGGCAGCTACCTGTTGGAAACGCAATGGTGTGGGGTCTGGTCGGGCCTGCTGTTGGTGTACTTGTGATCCATCCAGCTTGTAGACCTCTCCACAGCCAGCCGCTCAGCTAGTCATTCACTTGATCAGCAAACTTTTCGCTCCACCCGAAGATACCCAAACTCCTGCTTCCCTGCATCTAGATACCCTTCCCCCTAGCTCCAATGTCAACCATGTCCGAATCCGAAGCAATGAAGATCTTCTTGAGATCCCCTGTCACACAAGACATGATCCACCACTTGGTGACCGTCACGCTCCAGATCTTGCCCTGCGAGTCGGCGAAAACCATCACCGAGGCCCTCCCTTCGCCTCCAAACTCGCCCCCAGTCCTCAAGACAAAGCCCTTGCCTTCGTTGATGACCTTCATCACCAAGTTGGTCAGATACACCAACGTGTATACCGGCACTTTGATGGCCACCATCGTCTACATGAACCGCTTGAAGAAAAAGCTACCCAAGGACGCCAAGGGCTTGCCTTGCACCAGACACAGAATCTTCCTCGCCTGCCTCATCATCTCCTCCAAGAACTTCAACGACTCCTCCCCAAAGAACAAGCACTGGGCCAAGTACACCGACGGGCTCTTCAGAAGAGAAGACGTCAACTTGATGGAAAGACAGTTGTTGATGCTCCTCGACTGGGACATCCAGATCGACAACGCTCAGCTCGTCCACGCTTGGAAGAGATTCTTGGACCCAATCAGGTCCGACTTGAAGAAGGAGTCCAGAATCAGAAACAACATCTCCAAGGGCATGCTCGTCGGCTCCACACAGACCATTGTTGTTCCTCAGGAAGTAGACTCCTCCAGCTCCAACTCCATGTTGTCTGCCTCCAACTCCATGAGCTCCATCCACTCTAGAGCCTCCTCCGTCTCCACATCCACGAGCTCTATCTACTCCACCCATTCTAGAAGCTCCTCTGTCTCCTCGGTTGCCTCCTCCACCTACCAGAGCAACAACATTGCCCAGCCAAACATGCTCAAAAACGCTTCTCAATTCCCTGGTGGACTTGACAAGCACATGGGCAACTTGTACACTAACCACAGCAACAACAATAGCAACAGCAACATTAATATCAATAACAATACCAATAAAAACAACAACCAGCAATTAAGCCAAGCTCTCAAATCTCTGAGCGCAAACACTCCTTTGAGCAACTACTTGAAATCAGTAGCAATGAAAGAAGAACAAGAGCTCAACGACTTGATCAAGGAATACTGTGGTTATTGATTCCATTCATTAGAACAATTTCAATTTCGTTTCTTTATTTTATTATATTTTAGACTACCTCGTTTACGATACGCAAAGACCTTCTACTCACCTAGTAGCTGGATCATTTTTTTGGAGCTTTTTCATCTTTTCTTTCCATTTTCATTTTCATTTTCATTTTCATTTTCCTTCTTTTCTCAACTTACTTTTCTCACATTTCAACCATAGATCTTTACTACCGGGTCATTTACACTAAATATTTATACTTTCCAAATCTATATACCTTAATAAAACTCATGCATTTATTATCATACACCATTGATCCAAAGCTGGGGTAGGAAAAACTACATTTTGGTCTATGACCTAAAAAGTTGGACTTGCTTCAGATCAATTCAAGAGTAAAAACAAAAAACAAATCCGACCGGAGTGAGGGTTGAACTCACGATCTTGCGATTAACAGTCGCACGCCTTAACCAACTTGGCCATCCAGTCTTGTACGAGAACTCGATTTCCAGCCGTTTGTATGATATTGGTGCTGTACCTACCTATCCATATCTTTAGGGCTCTGTATTTAGTTACTACCACACTGAGCAATTACAGCATTTTGTTGAGATAAGATGCCGAAGCCAATCATGATCGAGTGATAAGAGATAAGAGTCTTATCATGATAAGGCATCTTAAGTAATCTAAAACTGGAAAGTTAGCCGCCATGATAAATGAATAATGGCAAGTTTAACCGAAGGTGTAAGTGTATAAATACAAGAGGTTTGTCCCTTGTATTTATGTTTGAGAATATTAGTTTGTAGGCTAGTTATATTAGTTATAAATTAATAAGCAACAAACATAAGAAAAAGTGAACATATACAATGGATATTCATAATAGAATAGCTAGATTACAACACATTTATCACCGCCAAACAGCTACTAAAAGTAAACTCTCTCATGGCTTTCAAAGATATCCACCGGTTCTATAGCATAAAAACTAATGTGTTAGGCCTCATCACTCCCCCAAGGTGAACTATAAAATCCAAAAATGCAGTCGATCGGCGCGCAATTCTGTTTTTACATGATCATATTCTAATTCACTTCAAGTTTTTTCCCTACACTAGTTCACAACCCCTTGACAGCTGACAAGTGCATAGAAAACTTACTTTCTTCGGAAGAAATCCTCCCTCTCAGTTCTACAGCAGGAGCAAAAAAGAAATAAAGAAGAGGACAGGATAAAGACCTCAGCCTGGAAAATAACATGTCGTTCAACGTTTCATCCTTCTTTTCTCCTGCAGAGGATACCTTCGTAAACAAGAGAAGCACGAATAAATCTTTCAGTTCGAAAAACCCAAATATGTTATCCTCTCTGCCAGCAACTGCAGACGGTAGAAATGAGCCCGAAACGGATGAGGTCTATGAACGTAGTGTTTACCCAGAAACATCACTTGCTCATAATCTTTCAGCTACCCCGATTTCACCGTACGTGCCAATCAAATCTCTGGTTGAATCTCCCTTCAAAGCGTCACATGCTCATGCACATTCAACACCACTGGTAGGCTCCTCGTCATCATACTACAATAGTACAAATGGAATAAGAACTCAGACGCCTTTGAAACAGGACCCAATGAATGCAGATTCATTGTTGAAGATGAAAATAAAGGCCCATCAGCAACAATTCCAGGATAACATGAACGTCATGCAAGCAGGATTCAACCTTGCTGACAAGCAAGTGAGTGAAGAGACATACCTCAATTCTGCTTTTAAGCCTAGAAGATCTACAGCAGATGTATCAATGACTCACTTGAAAGACATAGGGAGCCGCAAGCCTGGAGACCGTATCATCCCTAACGGCAATATAAGTCAAGGGAACACTAATGGCATGAAGCTTCCACTAGAACCTCTGCGGATGCCAGGATATAACGATAATATCAGTAAACACATGTCTGACAGCAAGGGAAATATGTCGGTATTACAGAATCTGGATGATCCATATGTTGCAGAAGCATTAGGAAGAATCGTCAATAAAGAACTCGAAATGAGGAAACTGTTATACGGAACGTTGACATTTTTGATTTACAGATTTCTAAGATCAATTATTAGATTATTCGTATACACAAACCCAGTTCTTGCAAAGAGCCTAAGAGCTTTGTCCAAGTTGATGAGGGATTATTCGAGTTCAATTCAGAATGAAAGACTAGCTTCCTTTGTCAAATGGTTATCTCAATTGTTCACCTTTGAAAGTTTTCTGAGAGTAGGATCATATATCGAATACATGATGAGCTTTATACTTGGAACCATGATAGTTGCTACACTTTACAGGCTTTTGAAGCCACAAGACAAATGTTTAGATTTGCCTCTTACTAGAGCACAGAGAAAGATCTTAGGGTTGACAACGGACAGTAACGACAAGTCAATAGAGGGTCAAGATTCAAAAGAGGGCGATAACGTTGAGAACGATGATGATGAAGAGGAAGCAATACTGAAAAAACTGCTCTCATCGTCACCACAGAGGATAGAGAAACCTACCCGGGTTTTCATGCCTGGCGATCAAGGCATAGATGATGTGATGGGGTCTCTGAATAGTCTTGCCATTGGTAATGCTATGCACAATGCAGCAAATGTAACCTGGAGTTCTGGAATGATACCTAAGGCAAACAGCACGAGCCCAGGTAACATGGAAAATATAAGGACTCAGCTAAGCCAAAGAAACGGCTCTGTAATTGCAGATCGGAATTATAGTGATGGGCGGAACAGCAGGGACTATCTCTCTCCCAATGGGAAATACATGTTTGCGGTGAACAACGAATTGAGACAGCAAGGCGGTTTTGGCGCCTCTAACTCCAGCTTTTACTGATGTTAAAAAAACTTTATGTAATCAATTACCTTGAATAGTATAATGTTAAAATTATAAAACGAGCCAACCAACCGGCAAGGAAATGTACTAATTACACAAGATGACTCATCTTGTTTGATCGTTTACAGGCCAGTAGCCAGGGAACAAGAAATGCATCTTCTCTAAGACGTCTTTATCCCTACCGTTTTCTGAAGTGCTGACAGCCATCTTCATGGTACCTTGTAAGTCATTACCAATCTCTCCCGATTTAATCAAAGGTTCCAATACATCGATCAAACGCTCAGAAAGTAAATGTGCGTTTCTCGAGTTGGACTTGAGGTTGCCAACAACAGTTTCAACGGTGACTGGTTCAGCATCTTCTCTCCACGCGTCATAATCTGTAGACATGCATATCATCTGATATGCAATTTCAGCCTCCCTAGCCAATTTAGATTCAGGAATGCATGACATGTTGATAACAGAGCCTCCCCACGACTTGTACAGTTTTGACTCTGCTCTAGTCGAGAATGCAGGACCTTCCATACAGATCAAAGTCAAGTCATCACCATCGGTATTTTTCGAATGCAACTTGTGTCTACCATCGTGAACGCCCTCCTCATTAACGAGAACGTCGTTGCAAGTTTTGGCAATTATATCTCCAATCTTTCCATCAAATGGATCACCGAAACCTGCATGCGCAACAAAGCCTTTCTCGAAGAAGGTTGACTTCCTGATACCCTTTGTTCTGTCAATGATTTGATTTGGTATGACAAAATCACGTGGACGAATGTGTTCCTGCAATGAACCAACAGCGCTGAAGGCAATTATAATCTTAACACCTAGAGATTTTAAGGCTGCAATGTTCGCCTGTGATGGGACATCAGTAGGTAACAGGTTGTGGGTTTGACCATGTCTTGCAAGAAAAGCAATTGGCATCCCCGAGGCCGTCTTGGAGATAGTAATTGGGGAAGATGGATGGCCCCAAGGCGTTGAAACTGTTACTTTTGCTACCGGAATTAAAGAATCTAATTTGTACAAACCGGTTCCACCTATAATGGCGAGTGGAACCTTTTCGTTGAATGTGTGTGGGAGGGACATGATTTTCCTTCTTACTTTGAAAATTGTGGTTGCCAAAACGTAGCCAACGGCTGATTCTTCATCTACTTTACGACAAAGACGCACAAGAAGTACACCAGGGGCGAAGGCCGGCGTACACTTACTTTTTATCCTCCCAGGGTCCCTCCTAAATTACATATCACATTTCTATGTGAAAAAGTCCTCCGGGACAATGTGGCGCAAACCGAGCGCACGTGCAAAGTTCACATCGGAGTCACTGAAGTCCTTCTTCCTGCCAGCAGCATCTCCAACGAAAAAGCTCACGTCCAAAGCTGGGGTTCCCGGTGCCAAGTCACGCTGCAACTGCTTCCACATACCAGTGTTAGGTTTGCGAAATTCGTCGTGAAGCTCTGGTGGGCTCCCGAGATGGGCCTTTTTGTCAGCAGCACCTTTCCTCGTGGCAGCGTAGGCCAGGAGTGGCACACCAGCTAGTGCAGGGGAATTAGCTATCTGGTTCAGCTTCTCAATAAGTGTGTCCAGGGACTTGGACGGGGTTGTGGGTTTGGCGGTGTTGACCACACTTCCCTGGTTAGTAAAAACAACGATCACCCTGGAGGTGTTGGCCGGTGTATCCGCCGGGAATGGTTGCTCCAGCCAGTCGGCCACCTTCTTCGGCACATTCTCATTCCACCACTTCCAATCGTCAGCCGAACGGGAGAACTTCATTCCTGTTTTCGTCTTGATGAGAGTGTCGTCGAGGTCAAAGGCAGCCACATGGAAAACTCTTTGCTCTGAAGAACCCTCTTTCTGGGATTCGATGAGTTCCTTGGCCCTTGGTGATATGTAACGTAAACAATGTGTTCCGAGGGATTGGAACCCATATTTCCGATTGCATGTGGTTTTGTGGTGGAGCTGCAATTCACTGATAGGCGTTTTGGGCACAAGTAGGGCAGCCTTTTTTTCAACCTTCGGGTTTTTCCTTCCAGCTGAAGCAGGAATCTTACTTTTCGGCATTCGTCGACTCTTTCAACTAATTATTGTTCCTACAATAAAAACAGGTATGCGAAAAGGTGGTACTAGACCACTTACCAGGAAGTTGGAAACATTTTTTGCATTTTTCTCCTGGTGGCTTGTGACTCAGTTCACGATCTCCGGGATCCTAATATGATTGGGCGCTAGTTCTCACCAAGCTTTTTTGGGACACCTTACGTTCGAATTATCGATAAAAACGAGGAGAGGGGTGGTTGGCTGCAAGTGCTCTGTAAGCTATCCTCACTACATATGTCTCCATTTTGGGTTCAGCTGGAAGTAAAGGGAGAAGAACAGACAGCTCATACTTTACCAAGAGGTCTATCTCGAAAGCGCAAACGCATTAGAGCTTAGTTGATTCAACTGTTCAGAATTTGCACGCCAAGAAACGCCCTGCCATGGATAACGGTAATCTAACTAGCGTCTAGTAGAGAGAAAATAAAATCTAGAGTGGATAAAGAACACACTGACCAGAGCTTATCGATCTCCATGAACTAACCTCTTGTTAATGTCGAGCTTATAGGCTTATTTAGTGCTATGTATAAATATAACTATGTACAGTCGGGATGTAAAGGCAGTGGAGCTTCATAGTTCGTCTAGGCCGTTGTATAGAGGAATCAGTAAACTCTGCATAATAACTCTCCAGCTACTTGTTTTTTCACAGCCTCGTGTAAATTTATCACCTCCTTGGCACCCTTTGGTCTCACAAAAACAATTTCACCTGGCATCAACGGCTTGACAAACCTAAAGCTGTTACCAGATGCAAAGGATCTGAGGTCCTCTGCTTCGGCGTAAACTCTTCTATTTGGTTTGGAGATAAGTTGGAACTTGGATAGCACTGGCATTCCCTGTCTGTATTTCATGCCGAGCCATAAACGACGGGTAGACACATTATCTGGAGTCACCTCAACTGGTGTAAGATCAGGTCCGTTCTGTGATCCACGCTGTAAGCTGGAGATGAAACCTTCTTTGTATAGTCCAAATGCAATCTGCAAGTGTAACCGCGTATATGGAATACTGGCTAGAGGAGCCTTTGCCATGGAGACATTTTGCAGATGAGCACATACATTAGCTAGCTGTACGAGGGACATTGTAGATGCTGCCTTGGTTGTCGTGATTGTCTGTCTTCTAAAAGTTTTTGTCGTAAATCATTTCCAGAGTGCCCTGTAAACGTTACCAATTATCTCACGTAAAGTGAACATTCATGATCGAGAAAATGAAAAAAGACGAGAGCCTTGCATCGGGCCGGGTAACTCGAGAAGTAGTGCTGCAACTTCTTTGTGACATCTTTAACATGAGATTCGAGGCCTACAAGGAAGGTTCATCGGACCCTTCTAACTGAGTGTAACAGCTACAAAGAACAGGTTTATTCGTCTCCTAGATCCATATATTCATAAAACTATCATGCTACGTTGGATAACGGCAGGCATTTCGAGAACTTCTGGAGCGTTATCGGCTTTCAGACAGTCGAGTCCTTTTAGGGTTACAAGAATCAGAGAGATCAAAAACGGAATCAGCAACAATCCAACAAGATACGCCTCTTCCTGGAGAAACGAAAGAAAAACAGATGATAAAATTGAATTCAAATGGTTTCTTTTAGTAGGTGTCTTCGGTACCATGGTTTACGTAACGGTGATGCAAAGAATTAAAGAACAAGATCATAGCAAGAATATTGAAAAGTACAAGAAAACTTTCACAGAGGAAGAATGGACCAAGTACATTAACGAGATACAGAAGAAACGATTAACATTAGAAGCAAAGGAAGAATGTTACCTCATCCCTTATACTTTTAACAGCCAGAGCTATGCTAAGGCGATCTCTTCAACAGTGGATAATTTGGGTGGAGCGGAGAATGTTGGTGTTGTTGACCTGAACTCATTAGTGACTGCGCAATTGAACGATCCATTAGGGAAGGCGAAATACCATATCTTGCTTGCGCAATCATTGGAGGCAGAAGATGCTAACGCGCCAGGTTTCAAGTATACCTTTACCTATAAGTTAAAGCCTGGTATTTTCACACAGATTGTCAATGATGAAATATTGAGACTCAAATCAGAAAACCCATCTTTGGGCAGATTTGTAATCTTAAACTATCCTCCAAATATCAAAGAAGCAGTGAAGTTTGAGCAAAATGTTTGCAATAAGGACACATTACTCGTCCTTGATAACAAGTTGGCCGATTCCGATATTGTTCAGTACTTCGAAACTGTTGACAAAGTCATCAGCTACAAAGATCTTACTAAGAAGAGCCCGTTGTTTGTTGATGCAAAGGCTGCACCAGCAGTGATCCCTGAGAGCGAACCGATGAATGAAAGCAGCGTGGTACTCAAAGTTCTTCCCAATGAAAAACCCACCGCTGATGCACCTGCAATAACCAAAGCACAATATAAGCTCAGAGAGCTTCAACAGCCAATAAGGGAATACGGTGAATCGGATGTGGATGTGATTAACAGACTAAAAAAGTTACAAAAGTAATTATGCTACCTCTTCTGATCTGTATATAGATAAGTGTGTTATCATGCATGTGTATATAATCTTTTTCATTTCGTGTGTATATCGTCATTTTAATATTTCAACGGCTTTGCTCGTATATGCAGAGTCTGTATTCTGGCACTTCGAATGGGTATCGACACTAGCAGACTTAAGAAAGTGCGTTTTTTGATCTCTATTTATTGCCCAAAAAGTCACCAAGCCAATATTTTTCATCTTGGCAAACCGAAGAACCTTATCGAAATCGTCTACGGTGAACTTGGAGCCATCATCATTTTCTCCAATCATTGGACAAATTCCGATTTTTTTCCAAAGATCATCACTACCATTAGTCAAATGTCGAAATTGCTTTAACTGCTTATAAACGACACCAAGAATTTCTAAATGTTTGTCACCCCATGTTGGTGCATCCAACGAAGTGTAAAAATCCATTAACATCAAGTTTATTAAGCTGATCTTCACGTTGGCCTCCTCGAAAGACTTTATTGCAATCAGAGCATCAGAGCTTAAACCTCCTTCAAATTCAACCGGTAAAGTTAACGAAATCCACAGCTGTCTTTTCTTGGTCAATAACTGAATAACCTTGATCCATCTGCATACCTTTTCTCTGGAGGTAAGGATTTCTCCTTCAATATCCAAATCTATCATATGGATGTCCAATTGACAAAGCAATCTTTCTAATTTAACTGCTTCATCTTCGGCACTCAAATGCGGACTCGGGAAAATTCCCGTTGCCCCTCCGATACTAAGTATAACGTTGATTTTAGACTTATGTGCATCAATGTCTTCCTTCCATTCCAAGACCTCTTCATATCTGTCTTCAGTTAGAAAACCAAGTGTTACACTCGGAACTCCGAGATCAATGGCATCCTTGAGACAACATGTCCGATAGCTTTTGCTATTGTAGTGTCCCCATGCAAAGATGTAAGGTGAAAATAAGGGAGAATGTTTGAGCAAAGACATCAGGTGTTTATTGTGTATATTTTTTCTTGGGAATGTTACTTACTGTAGATGGTTGTGTTGCCTAAGACTACAACTCAAAAAAACAGTAGGAAGAGGGATATCGCAAGAAAGATTGCCGTAAGTCAAAAATGGGGCATATTGAGATGTGGGCGCAGTTTTCATCAAATTTAATTATAGCATTAAGCGATCAGTACACATTAGATTGAGCTATACAGTAGGGTGTTCGTTTATGGAGTCTACTTTGTCGTCATAGACGTGGAAGGCATTGGGCGTAGAGGAGTCTGGATAGTAGGAATCATCACGACTTTTCAACTTCGGTAGTAAGTTTTTCACTTGGGTATGGCTGTTCGAGTCCGACACATATTTGTAGAGACGGACACGGTTCCTCTTCGGAGGAGTGACATAGCTCGGCACCATGAGCCGTTTTCCCGGCTTCACAGAATTAGAAAAAGAGTTTGTAGACCAAGGTTCCTTCAACTGCTGGATCTGCATCAGAGGTTGCAAAGGCCCCTCATGTATATAGCCAGGAAAAGAGTTGATGTTAAGGTCAATAAGGGCCTTTCTAGCGTGAGTGGACTGTCTTTGGTTTGGATTAGGAATACAGGGAGCCATTATTTGGATATTCTCCTTATTATCAGACTGAGTATCTAGCTTGTTATCTGATCCATTTTCTTTGTCGGAAAGGTGGGTATCTTGAAAGATCGGGATGATGTGTCTTGGGGATGATGCGGGAGATTTGGATGCAGACTGGTTTCTGGCATAAGTAGAATCTTGGAAAATTGTAAACGATTGTTCTTGGACAGAGGGATGGTTCAGGGATGGCGTGTGCAACAGCTCTCTTTTCGCTGGGGAAGAACGTGCCTTTTTAGTTGGAGAAGAAGTAAAAGCTGATTTCTTAGTAGGAGAGTCTATTCTTTTCAGGGGCGATGTTGAACGTGACCGCTGCACATTGGTTGACTTCACAGCTAAAGGTTGTCGTGGCTGCATTATTTAGTATATGGGTATCGTTTGTTGCAATAGAGTAGATGTAGAGACTGAGATCTGGCAAGAAGAGGAGTCGATGAGAAAGAAGAAGATGAGAAAAGAACAAGCAGCTGGGGTCAGTCTGTCAGCACTGCAGGGGCTGTACGGAAGCACCGATAATAACATAATAACAAACGCGTCATTTTTTTTTCCGCTTTTATCAGCAGTGGAAGATATGCCTCTGTTAAAAGAAGGATTAGGAACTAACGATGGAATGATCACAAAGATCTCCTACAGGACCCAGCATGGAGAATGGAAAGAACCAGTATGGACGTAAGACTTGGGATGTGGATGCCTATGCCCGAATCGCCAAGGAGAGGCGAGAAAATAGGGGCCATAATGGCACGAAAAGCGGTGCCAATGTGATACGAAACTTAAAGAAAGAAGATATTTTACGTCAAGCTGTCGGGGGCAGAACTGGTGAAAGCGAAGCAGTGGATGGTGAAAGCCAGTTTGGAGAGGACAACAGTTGGTTCACGTGCCAGGTGTGCAGACGACGATTCAAGGATAGTCTTAAGTTGTCCGAGCACCTTTCAAGTAGAATGCACCGGGAGAGGCTAAAAGAACTGAAGATAGAGACTTCTGTGGAGAGTGGCGACGACCACAACACTCCGATCACCCTTGATAGAGTGAAAAAGCATTTAGCGGTTCTTGCCCAACGAATGGCGCAGAAATAGGGGGACAAGGTTCTCTAGTATAGTTTGATGATTGGGAAGTTAGTAAGATTTTCTGTTTTTTTTTGATTTTTGTAAAATTTTATCCATGGATTATATATATATAAAGTACAAAATGTTCTGTCAGAGATTTCTCGGAACTGCTAGAGTCCTAAAAATCTGAAGGCGTACATAGAGTAGACGGCAACAGTGGGTATGCCAGCGTAAACGATGAACTTCACAAAGATTTTTGTGTCGGTTCTTGAGATGAAGGCAAAAGGCGGTTCTGGAGTGGTTGTCTTCACGGTCGGTTCATTTCTCAACTTTCTGATCAAGAATGTGAAAAGCGGTTTTGCGATTGCTTTCCAAATCATGACCAAGGTGACACCGACGATGACACGCATGAGGGTGAGGATGATGCCTGATCTTGCCCACTCGTAGTCATGCTTTGCAGGATGCGTCTGGTAGATGTCCATCAAAGTCAAGGAAAGGCTTTCTGCGGACTCGATTGGTCTCATTGAGTTATCAGCCAAGTCCTTACCGAGAAGCACTGCAATGAAGGCGATGGAGTCTTCGAAGCAGGGGCAGGGTTCGACCGGTGTTGGATGGAAATAGATGAGGGAATAGTAAAACCCAACCAATAAGAGAGGCGAGATTTTTGTGAGTAGGGTGTCGTTGTTGGATAAGAGGGTGTAGTCCCAGAAGTTCTTTGTCGCCATTCTCAACAATACTGTGGCTATTCCGACTAATGCTCCGGTCACAACGTCCACCAAGCCGTGCATTCCACAATATAGTCTTCCCACTACCAGAGTGATCCAGTAGACTACCAAGGACACGTAAAGAGACTGCTTGACGGGGGCGGAGAAAAAGTCGTTGTTGTAGATATGCAGGAATAGAATGATACACACGGAAGTAGCATTTGCCGAGTGTGAGGAGGGGCAACCGTATTCTTTGGCGGTGTAGTGGCTCATGGTCAACCTCTCCAAGGGAGGGGAGTGGGGCCGAGGCAAGCAAAGCAAGTCTTTCACTGCGCCGGTCAAGTAGATGCCGAGACCTAGCACGAGAACCAAGTCTCTAGTGAAGTTCAAGGAGCCTAGCCACACGCCCATGGGAAGCATGATCACGTAGAACGTGTGTGAGCCGACGTTTGCCGTGAGGAGGAAGTACATGGTGAGCCAGTGGGAGTGGAACTGCTGGATCTTCTCCAGAAGCGGCAACTCGAGCTTCACCAACGGAAGCAACTGCCGTCTCATGAACGCAGCGTAGAAGGGGAGTCTGCTGTCGTAATAGGACTCCGGATGCAAGCCGACGTCGTGTAGGTGGGTGTCTGTGAGAGCCTCTGAGTTGAGCGGCTTGTCGTCGGTGTGTCCATGGCCGTATCCATTGCCGGTGCCGTTGCCGGTGGCGGTGGACCCATTGCGGGCGGCAGCAGGCATGTACATCGGTTTGGGCATGTCGGAGGAGGACAGGTGCATCACGCTTTCAATGAATCGCAGCTAGGTGTGTCCAGCGGGCATGTATCTTCCAGGTCGGTGGAAACGGCAGCTATACAGAAGATATCTGGAAAAGTTGCCTAGCGCTGGTTTTCTGTTTTTGGGGTGCACTGGCTGGAGAGGGACACGTACGGGGCAAGGGGCGCATGAAAAGCCGGCGAGCAGGACCTGACGTTGCGGGGGTAAGCACGGAGGAAGGAGCACGGAGGAAACAACAATGGCCGCCCGTGCAGAGACAGGCAGCAGGGCCACACCGGCTACTCAAGCGTGTTCCGTGTTGGACTGACCACAGCAGAGTAGGCCTGCCAGATTGCCGCCTCGGGCCTCCCCAGAGGCTTGGTACATCTTGGCTGTTTACCGTGTGTGGCAACGTCTTGGCGATAGGGGCCAGCGGCGCGAGGCAGAAAAAAGGCGGACACCCCGATGCGGCGACGGAGCACGGCTATGTACAGAATAGGCCAGTTTGGGCGTGGGCGCAGGCGGGGCGCGTGGGCGCGTGGGCGCGTTGCACGGGTCGAACCGAGGGCCTGAGACGGCGGGGAGCGACAGGGGCGGCGGCAGCGGCGAGTCACGTGCGGGAAAAGAAGGAGTGTGACTGCTGTTTTTTGGGTGCGCCAGGGAGTGTGTTTTTTGCACCCCGCGCACCGCACGGTGGTGCCGCGGGTTCTGGATTTTGTGGAAAAACGAGATTTTCACGTCTGCAGCGGGTGCGGGCAGTGGAGGAGCAGGAGTAGGAGGAGTTGAAGAGATATGGTACTGGCTGAAGAGAGAGAGCACGGTGTCGCAGGCTTTTCCCTGTTTGTGAATCTCCTTGGCTCCGTTTACGAGACACACACACATACACAACCAGCCATGGAGAACGATAAGGGTGAATTAGTACGTATCTGCCCCACTCACGGAGCAGTAAGGCCAGGAGCCGAAGGAGACCCGAGGAAGAGAATTCCAACATGAACGGAAGATAGCAGGGCCCCCAAATGAACCGTGTGGAGCACGGACAGCACGCCAGATGGACAAGACGTCGGGAATGTGCACCTGTGAAATAAGCCCCTGCCCTCAGAGGACGCCAAGTTTGTGCACGACAGCTGGGATGCGGGCCCGTCTCTGCGAAGTCGACGGAGAACCACAAGGACTTCGACGACGACCATGTGGCACCTGCACACCTGCCGCACCTTTTCAGCGGTAGCTCCAGTCCCCAAGATGAAACATTGCGTATGGTGTACACAGACATGCACCAGAAACGGCCCAGGCCTCCAAAATGGACTTACTCTGCTCCTGCTCCTGCTCCTGCTCCTGCTTTTCCACACTGCAAATCAGTCACCGTTGAACCAGTATACTAACATGTCTCTTTTTTCCCTCTCCCCTCCTTTCCCCCCAGGTCGAATTATACATTCCAAGAAAGTGTTCTGCTACCAACAGAATCATCAAGGCCAAGGATCACGCATCCGTCCAAATCGCCATTGCCAACGTCGACGAAGAAGGTAGAGCTATCCCAGACAGCAACACCCTTTACGCATTGTCCGGTTTCGTCAGAGCAAGAGGTGAGGCTGATGACCAAGTCAACAGATTGGCTCAACAAGACGGTTTGTTAAACAACGTCTGGTCTTACTCCCGTTAAGACTGCCCCTGTGTCTATCTTCTATATATATTTAGTTTAAAGATAATATAACATAATATAGCAACTAATCAGCAACCCATCCATCCTCTACCCATCCATTACGTGTCTGCATACCGAACGTCCTGATCCCCTTTGTACGTGGATTATTTCAGCCAAAGTTACCCGGCCTAAGCTGGAGGGCGTTCCACCCTCCTGTTTTTCTTGGTTTTTCCAACTGCAAATTTTTTTTTCTAATTTTTCCACGTTAATTTCTAATTAACTGATATTACTCCCCTTTTCGCCTCTTCCAGAGAGACTTTTCTACTCCTGTTCATTTGCCATTACATTTTGTCTCTGCTCTATTTTCCTCTTTTTCCCTGACCTTTTGCTCTTTTGATCTCCTCCAAGACCAAGTACATATTAACCAACATGTCTACTGAAGCTACTGAAGAAAAGCCATTGACAAGCGTCGATGGTACCATCGAATCAAACTACGATGAAGTCGCAACTACCTTCGATCAAATGAACTTGAAGCCAGAAATCACCAGAGGTGTTTTCGGTTTGGGTTTTGAAGCTCCTTCTGCTATTCAGCAAAGAGCTATCATGCCAATTGTTGCAGGTAGAGATGTCTTGGCTCAAGCCCAATCCGGTACTGGTAAGACTGCCACTTTCTCCATTTCTGCATTACAAAGAATCGACGAAAAGGAAAAAAAGACCCAAGCTTTGATCATGGCCCCAACAAGAGAATTGGCTTTGCAAATTCAAAGAGTCGTTGTCTCCCTTGCTTTACACATGGACGTCACTGTTCACGCCTGTATTGGTGGTAAATCCGTTGGTGAAGATATCGAAGCTTTGAAGGCCGGTGCTCAAATCGTTGTCGGTACCCCAGGTAGAGTTTTTGACATGATTGAGAGAGGTTACTTCAAGACCAAGGACGTCAAGATGTTCATTATGGATGAAGCCGATGAAATGTTGTCTGCTGGTTTCAAGGAACAAATTTACAAGGTTTTCCAATACTTGCCAGAAACCACTCAAGCCGTTCTTTTGTCTGCTACCATGCCAAAGGACGTCTTAGATGTCACCACCAAGTTCATGAGAAACCCAGTCAGAATCTTAGTCAAGAAGGACGAGTTAACCTTAGAAGGTATCAAGCAATTCTACGTCAACGTCGAAAAGGACGAATACAAATTGATGTGTTTGATTGACTTGTACGACTCCATTTCCGTTACCCAAGCCGTCATCTTCTGTAACACCAGAAGAAGAGTCGAAATGTTAACCGAAGAATTAACCAACCAAAAGTTCACTGTTTCTTCAATCCACTCCGATATGTCTCAACAAGACAGAGACAAGATTATGGCTGAATTCAGAACCGGTTCTTCCAGAATCTTGATCTGTACCGATTTATTGGCCAGAGGTATCGATGTCCAACAAGTCTCCTTGGTCATCAACTACGACTTACCAGATAACAACGAAAACTACATCCACAGAATCGGTAGATCTGGTAGATTTGGTAGAAAGGGTGTCGCCATCAACTTGTTGGCCGACAAGGATATCACTAGAATGAGAGAAATCGAAATGTTCTACAACACCCAAATCCAAGAATTACCAGCAGACATTGGTGATTTGTTCAACAACGACTAATGGTGCTGTAATGTATGTATATCTTCTGTATTTATGATCGATTCTCTTCCTACCAGCCTATTGCCATCACTATTATTATTTATATAATCCTCGTCATTTCCATTATATAACTAACACAATTGGTTTAGCAACTTTATACACGGGTCTTTTTCCCCAGGTGCTCAAGCCCCCCACGTCGCGGGGAGTGGCTGACACTCCCGAGAGATTGCGTACTCGATCTCTGCTGGTGCAACGACTGTCTGCCATTGTTATAGAAGCATGATGCAATCTTTGGGGGAGAAGGGCAGTAAGAGGGTGGCAGCTTCGTCGAGGAGACACGTTCGGCAAGTTCAAGCCAACCATTCACGCACAGGGATGGAACCAGATTATGGATCGATACAGAGAGCACAATCCAGCCAAGAACTGTTATCTCCCTTCACTACAACTTCCTCCTCTTCCTCCTCTGTCTCACACTCCTCGGCTTCCTCGTCCAAGTTCAGCAAGATATGGCTTTTCGACACGCAGATATTTACAGCCATCCTTATCTACGTCAGCTATGTACGTGACCAGCAGGCCTTCAACTTCCTCGTACGCGTGTTTACCCAGCTTATTTTGTATAGCATCCCTGACACAGAAAACCTTTCTGACCTACGAATGTTGATGAGCTCCGAGGATCTAGACTTGCAGATCACCCGCATAACGATGGTCCTAGTTATTGTGATACCCTATACCCTTATGAACTTCTTCTTCTCTATGTTTCTCCATATGAAATGGCTTTATAGTTCGGCCCTGCTTGAATCCTCCGGTCTGCAGATAAGTGTGGACTCGATCCGAAATACAATCAACGCCATCACTGAGAAAAACCTCAATAGCACTACGTGGATAAACGACGGGATCTTTGTCGATCTCATTGGCGAATCTAGCATGAATTGCATCCAGCGAACTCCGATAAACTCTTCCTATCTCGTATTCCTCGATATAGCCATCATGTGCCTGCAACTTTCCACAATACAGGTGCTTCGCCAGCGAATCCAGCGCAGTCTACAGCACCGACAGACACCATCCTCGTCGCTTTTCGGAGACCCCTGTCCGCTAGGGACCGTACGGATCAATGTCGTAACGTGAGAAAATGTGTAGTAGTCTATAGTTGAGAAATAATTATATTTATAGTCTACACGATATATGCGAACATGCATACTTTCCCGTGCACAGGGAAAATACAGGGTTCTCGCTTCTCGTTTCGGATCGATCATTTTGCCTTTCTTTACTTTTCATTGCCTGTTATCGGTACTGCTATTTTTCCTTTCCAACCGGGCCTTTTGTGCTTGCAGTATCTCTTGCAAATAGAAGGGAACAAGAGGCTTTACTCTTAGTTACAGCTTGTTCCATCAAAGCTATGTACAATCAGAATTTTGGCCAGATGAACAAGTCAAGCTCGTCCCGGTTGACTCCGAAAAGAGAATCATCCGCAGAGAGCTTGCAAACTACGGCTTCCACTGTGGTTGGAAGTGGTGGGGCCGGCAACAGCAGCCTTCTGGGAATGTCTGAAATTAAGCCTTCGTATCATGCCCCTGAAAGTGTCTACAATTTGGAAACAGTATACAAGAATAACACCCGGTTTGCAACACAGTCGGTTTTACCTCCAAACGACTACCATTCTCCCTATTACATCCCTTTCAAGAATATCGATGACCCGAGGCCAGTCGATCAATTGATCTATAGATTCAGTATCTGGAAGATGATCATCAAACAGGTGATTTTTTATTTCAAGGAAATGTCCGTGTTTAAAAGTCAGACTTATCAGGGGAATCGGGCCATGTTGGAAAACTTGGAGATTTTGAAACGGCAGAACTCAGGAAAGTTGAAAGTGAAGGCGAACGCAAACAAATCCTTGAAGAAGTCCTTGTCATCAACCAGTTTTGGCGACATGTACAACAATGCTACTGGTGGAGGCAACATTGGAGGAGGCGGAGGCATGAATGGCAGCAGTACCAACTTGAGTCATGGTGCAAACGTGAACTTCAATCCTTCTTTCTCTGGCGGCGGGGGAGGTGCTGGCGGTGGCAATGGAGCCAGTAGCATTATGAGTGGTTCAACAGCTGGAGCTAGCTCAATCTCTTTAGACAACCTAGAAAATGAAATGAACATGGATCAGCAGAACATGGTTAACAAATTATTGCAAACCACTTTTCTTCCTGCTGGCGACAATTCCATCTTATCAATCTCATCGACTTTTTTTAACAACCACAATTACTTGAAGGAGAAAGAGTTGTTAACGTATCAGCATTTGACCAATAGGCTTATACCAAGACTGGAGAATTTGAAAGATCAATTAAATGAAACCATAAAACAGATGAATTCGATCAAAAACTCATCCGATTATAAGACTAAAAATTTGAAAATGGAAATTGCCAAAACAGGTGGCATCATGTCTGACTATATAACTTCGATCGAATTATTGAGAACAGGCCATTCAAAGTCGAGTTTAGGAACCACTATTGAGTTGAAAAATAATAGGATTGACTCAAAAATGGATCCTTATATTCTGAAGTTGAGGTTAGATTTACAATTGAAGGATCAGCTATACATCGAGGCACACCTTAAAGAAATGTACTACGACTTACAGTATAAAGCAGTTCAGTTGGAAAAAATATTATACACTGAAATTCAAAACTGTATCTCTACGTATACTGATTTGATTGATTCGGAGTTGAACGCAGTCAAAGACAATATGATTATGCCTTTCAAGGATGGGTTTGTAAAAAATGATCCCACTATTGACTGGGACTATTTTATCAAAAACGATTGCAAAAGAAATTTTTTACCGATCAATGCAAAGAATACCATACTAAAGGTCAAGAAAGTCAGAAAAAACTCTGACATTGTCTACCCCTATAGAAATAGTGTTATCAGCTCGTGCATCTATTCTGGTTACTTAGACAGAAAATCTAAGTATTTGAAAAACTATTCCAAATTTTTTTATGTCCTAACAATCAACTTTTTGCACGAATTTAGATCAAATGATAGAATTAAAGATCTGAATCCAACCCAATCTTTTTCTTTGACAGACGTTACAGTTTCTGCTGTTGATGACGATCCTAAAAAATTTGTTATTAGAGTTTACAAAAAAGGGGACAAGGAGACCAAGACTAAGTTTACGTTCAAAGCCGATAATATTGATTCAGCTATAAAATGGATTGATTATTTGTCCGACTTGACAGAATTCGAAAACACAATTGAAAGGAATATTTCTTACGACGCTAGTGATGATGAGAATGGCTATGATGATCATAATCCAAGTGCAGGTATACCAACTTCTGTCGAACAGAACAATTTTGCCGATAACAATAGTACGGTTTCCTCACCTGCTTCCAATAGCTATGAGTTCAATCAAAGACCTACAGGTGCTTTATCTTCTCCGGAATCTCCTTCGCTGGTGAGCCACTCGAGATCTATCAGTGATGAACTGTTCCCTAAATCTTCACAATATCAACAAGTACAGAATAGTTTACAAGATGTTGATTACTTTTCGAAAACTCATAATAACAACACCAATAACTTGGGCAATGTTACCTTCAAAAGTATAAAATCTCAACCTAACATGAGACAGACGTCTTCCTCCTCAATATCATTGGGTAATTCAAACTCTAAGGCAAGTTCAAGAACTAGCTCGAGAGCAAGTTCACGGGCATCTTCACCTGCAAGAAGTAGAAATAATCGCCCTCTGCTTTCTCCAAAAATAGTCTCATCAAACATAACACCAACTTCTGGCAATAGTACTGCCAGTGGAGGGGGTAATGGTGGTGGAGGCGGAAGTGGAGGCGGAGATTACTTCTCTTATGCTCCAAGAAAGGTCCAAGCTTCCATTATTAGGAATGGTAACAGATTGGCGTCAACAAATAACAATGGAAGATTAACTCCAGGTACAAACAACAACAGTGCGTTAACTCTAAACGTTGCAATGGCAAAAAATTTGAGCTCTTCTAGTGTTAACGACAAGCTTAATGCCAGCGTACCTAAAATTAATATTCACGACAGTACTCCAGTTAATACTGAAAAACCAAACATAAATTCAATTCTAGATGGCAACTATGAAAGTCCGCCAACAGCTTCATCGCAACCAATTTCTAATGAGCCAAATGAAGAGCCTAAAAATAAAGGATTAGAAAGAAGAAGGAAAACTTTGAGCGAAAAGCTCGATATTACAGGCTTGGTCAGCGCAAACAAAATAAAAAACAATGGATTGTTGAAGCTTTCAAACGACGCCGAAAGTTTAAACTCAACCGCAGGATTACCTCAAACCCCAGGTATTATTCCTGGTTCGATGATGAACGAAGTTTTCGATACATCGAACAATATTTACAGCCACGCTTCATCTCCTCCAGAAACCATTTCTGCATCATCTCCACCTCCTCCTCCTCCTCCTTCTTAACTCATATATCCTACAATCGATGATTCCAGCTTCAGGAATAGGGATGTCTAAATGAAATGCCCAAAATTTTTGAATGATTTATAGTTTTTATGCATGACCTAGTTTTTCACTTTGTTTCTTGACTTTTAGCTTGATTTTCCTAAAGAGAAGCATATATGAATAGATTCTTGAAGTACAACTTGTTAGCGCTATTCTAATTTGACTTTTCATCAGTTATTTGCACATATTTATGACTTTATAGAACTCAATAGCAATGCATATCAGCATTGCAGTTAACTAATCAAAAATCCAAAAAGAACTCCGAGACGGGGAATTGAACCCCGGTCCCCCGCGTGACAAGCGGAAATTCTAGCCACTAAACTATCTCGGAAATTTTAAAAATATTACAGGCTGAAACTACTTAAGGGACACTAAATATTACTTATACCCCTTAATCCACTCTTCTTCCGATTGAGCACTTTTCGGAAAGCTTCCTTTGTTGAAATAAGATGCCGAAGCCAATAAGGATCGAGAGGTAAGAAATAAGAGTCTTATCATGATAAGGCATCTTAGTAATCTAAAACTGGAAAGTTAGCCGCCGTGATACATGAATAATGGCAAGTTTAACCGAAGGTATAAGTGTATAAATACAAGAGGTTTGTCTCTGTATTTATGAGTGAGAGTATTAGTCTGTAGGTTAGTTATATTAGTTATTTATAAATAAGCAATAAGAATAATATAAAGTGAACAATATACAATGGATATTCATAACAGAATAGCTAGACTTCAACACCTTGTCATTCTAAGCCTCTTATCGGATGCCTTGTCATTACAAGGCTCTTCTCTAATGCCTTGTCTTTTATAAGTCTCTTTCTCTAATTTATTGATAATATTTAACTTCGGCATCTTATCTCAACATACCTTCGGTTAAACTTGCCATTATTCATGTATCACGATGGCTAACTTTCCAGTTTTAGATTACTAAGATGCCTTATCATGATAAGACTCTTATCTCTTACCTCTCGATCCTTATTGGCTTTGGCATCTATCTCAACACATATATACATATGAAGTAATTAACAACCTTAACAAAAAAAATACAAATTGTGGATACATTAGCAAGCATAGACAGATTAAAAAACCTGCTATTAATTCTATACATCATAAAGTTAAGTAAGTTCTTTGCCTAGCTGCTTTTGATTGATTATTTCGTAACCTTAAAAACAAGAACCCCAAAGAGTGGTTGTTGTTGAAGTTTATTTATTCTTGATGAATATCCATTCTTTGTGGTATACAATATCTTATGTTTATTGCTTATTTTATATAGAACTAGCTCACTTACTTACACACTAATATTTCCAAACATAAATACAAGGAATAAACCTCTTGTATTTATATACTCACCACGTCAGTAAATCTTTTTAGTTTTAGATCGATATAATGCCTTGTTTTTATAAAGATATTTCTCTATCTTGCAATGCCTTATTTTCATCTTATCTCTTATCCATTGTCTGTCCAGCTAGCTACTCGGCATTGCTTATATCTAGATCCTTACCGGCTTCGGCATCCTATCTCAACATTTTAAATCTAGCAGGTAGGTGATGATGAGATGAATGGACTGAACAAGCAGTCAGCGAAGCTGCATCTAACAAAGTCACTGCTCTTGTGATTTTTAATTTTACAGTGTCAGTGCATCTCACCGAGCTCCACATCAACCATGAATTTGAACTAATTAATTAATTAATTAATTGATAAATAGTATTGTATATATAAAAGCGTTACATATTAGCGTAAATTTGTTAGTCTACTTAGTCCAATTCGACATCGTTGTCTGCATAGTCATCATCTTCATCAGCGTCATCTGTCCAATCTTCAATGGCATCAACATCCATACCCTCACCTGAACTTTCGTGGTTAGGAATAACGTACAAGCCCTTACCGTTAACAGAGACCTTGACATCTTCTTTGTCCAAAACCTGCCCATTTAGGATCATGACAGCCAAAGGATTCAAAACTCCGTTTTGAATCAATCTATTTAATGGTCTTGCACCCAAGTCCATGGAATAACCGTGCTTGCACAAGTATTCCATGGCCAAGTCATCAAGTTTCAACTTCAAGTGTCTACCATTTTCTTCAAAACGTTTTTCAATTTCTTCCAACCTAATTTTCACAATCTTTGAAATGGCATGTCTTGAGAGTCTATTGAAAACTACCGTTGCCGAGATTCTGTTCAAAAGTTCCGGACGGAAATGTTGACGGACAACAGTCATTACCTCTTCTTTTACTTCTGGAGTGATTTTGGTGACCTTCGATTGGTTGATAAATTGTGCACCCAAATTGGAAGTTAAGATGAGAATTGCATTAGAACAGTTTACCAAGGTACCATTAGCTGCAGTTATCCTACCATCATCTAATAGTTGAAGTAAAATGTTCAAGACTTCAGGCGCTGCCTTTTCTACTTCATCAAATAAGATAACAGAGTAAGGCTTTCTCATGAGTTGGTTAGTCAACAGGCCACCTTCTTCGAAACCAATGTAGCCTGCCGTTGTACCAATCAACTTTGAAACAGAATGCTTTTCCATCAACTCAGAGCAATCAATTCTTATCATTGCTCTCTCATCTGCAAATAAAAAGCCTGCTAATTTCTTTGCCAACTCAGTTTTACCGGAACCAGATAAACCCAAAAACAAGAAAGAAGCTGGTTGATTTGGATTGGCTAAACCAGATCTGGATAACCTTATTGCATTAGAAACTGCCTTAACAGCTTCACCTTGACCAACAACTGCACTTGATAGCTCTCTTTCCATATTGATCAACTTGGCATTTTCGGCCTGAGTCAGTTTGGAAACTGGGATACCGGTTAATCTTGCGGCTGTTTCAGCAACCTGATCAGGACCAACAACGTTTTTGACTAAGAATTCTGCAGAATGTTCTTCTTCCTCAACTTCTCTTTCTAATTCTTCAATTCTCTTCTTGACATCAGGAATTGCAAACATTCTAATGTCAGCGACAGTTGCAGTGTCGTGTCTTCTTTCGGCATCTTGGGCCTTGATATCCAATTCATCAAGTTTCTTCTTTGCAGCCGTCAACTCTTGGTGGCCAGCTTTTTCTTGACTGTACTGCTCTCTCAAAGGCTGTAGCTCTTCTTCTAACTCCTGCTTTTTCTTGTGAGCTTGCTTTAATCTATCCTTGGTCGAAGCATCGGCGTCCTTGTCCCTTTCCAAAGCATTGATTTCGACTTCCAGTAATTCAAGCTGTCTTTCCTTTGAGTCTAGTTCTTCAGGCTTGGAGTCTCTTGCAACTGCCACACCAGCAGCACTTTCATCGATCAAATCCACAGCAGAATCTGGCATCTTTCTGTAAGTCAAGTATCTTGAGGCCAATTGAGCAGCAGTAACTAAGGCCGAATCTAAAATACGAACACCATGATGAATTTCATATCTTGGCTGAAGTCCTCTTAGAATTGCGACAGTTTCTCTGACAGTTGGCTCCTTAACGTCAATTCTTTGAAATCTTCTCTCAAAGGCACCATCCTTTTCAATATATTTTCTGTATTCACTGATAGTGGTTGCACCGATACAGTGGAAATGACCTCTAGCTAAGGCTGGTTTCAATAAGTTGGCAGCATCTGACTTACCATCACCCATTAGCATATGAATTTCATCGATAAACAATATGATCATAGTTTTTGATTTCTCTATGTCGTTCAAGACACCCTTGATTCTTTCTTCAAATTCACCTTGATACTTTGCACCGGCCTTCAATGCACCTAAATCCAAGCCATATAGCTTACAGTTTTGTAAAACTGAAGGAACATCGTTGTCGACTATTCTCTGAGCAACACCTTCCACGATGGAGGTCTTACCGACACCAGGGTCACCAATCAAACAAGGATTAGACTTTGCTCTTCTCGATAACACTCTGATGGCTCTTCTAATTTCTTCCTCTCTACCGATGACTGGGTCAATTTTACCCTGTAAAGCTTGCTCAGTCATATCTATTGCGTATTTGCTCAAAAACTCATATTCTTCAGAAGAGTCTGCTTGCCTAGAGTCAATTCTTTGAGATCCTCTTAATTGGATGATCTGCTTTTTCAAGGACTCGGTATTGATGCTCAAATCTTTGAACAACCTTTTTATTGAGTCATCGTCCAACATAGCAGTTAGGATGTGATCTTGACCAATATACGAGTCTTTCTGAATTTGTTTCACCTTTTCTGCGTTTGTAATTATACTAGCAGCGGAGGCGGACATTCCCGGTTCCATGTTGGAGCCTTGGTTGGATGGCAACTTTAGCAAATGTTGATTTATCGATCTCTTGACAGGTTCCCATTCGTATCTCGAACCTTCAATGATTGTCTTGAGATAAATTGCCTGTGACTCGTTATCCGGGATCATGGCTGCCAAAAAGTGGATTGGCAGCAATTGTGGGTTGGAGTTCTGTTGACATAGTTTTTGAGCATTGGTGACGATTTCCAATGCTCTGTCAGTAAATTGTGTTGAATCCATTTATGTTCAAGTATGTGTTTAGGTTTCTATAATGTGTGGAGAAAGAGGAGGGACAGTGGAAAAAAGAAAAAAAATGCAAACAGGAATTGGACGAAGAATTGGGAGAAGTAGGGCAACTTTATATAACCAGGCGGTAACGCAGGCTTGACGTCTCATGGCAGCCATCTGTAGGAGAGTATCACACCACTACCAGGCTCTCCCACCTTGTAGCACGATGTATCAGGCAGGCACCAGAAAATGCTGGAATTCGCTAACAATTTTCTAGACTCTTCTACTGTGTTCGGGGTGGACCCTGCCTGTTTGCGCTGGAAGAGATCGCTTTCTCGGACTACAACTCCGGGGTTGCGGTATTTCACCTCCCCAGCATGTACGTGCTGCGGTATACGTGCACGTACGGCCCGTGCAGTGCAGGCCCAACGGTACTTCCCTGCACGTGTCCGACTGTATCCTCTCGACTCCAGAGGCATCTCTGGACCTTGGCGCCCTTCATAGGGCGCACCGATAACGCGAGCGGCTACTCCGGATCCATGCACCAGAGGTGGGATCCACACCATGGGAGAAGCGACCGGCTATTGTTTCACTTAAAAACGACATACGCAACTCGACATTGTTGAGAGCAGTGCTGGAGGCCACACCATCCTTACAAAGTGGCGTGTGGAATGCTTTGCCGCTTCCACATCTACCCGTGGGCATCCGATCCTCTTTTTCCCGCCGATCGGCTTAAAAACACGGGGCACGGGGCACGGACAGCGACGCGTCGCTCCGGAAGTTCCGGACGACCGGGCAACCCCGACGGGGCTGCGACCCCATTGACCCGGCGATGCGACGCGACGCTTGCTGGTCGCTCGCGGTCCGAAAATCCTCATCCTTTTTTTCTTCCTTCTGTCCTGGCTTTCCCCTCGCCCAGCGCATTCCATCGCGCCGAGCGAGAACCAGCAAATCAGACGCCTGGAATTTCCAATTACGTAAGGCTTTGCGTCATTTTGCTCCCTCCCGACGCGCCGAGAGCGTTTCAGCGGTGGGCCGCAAAGGAGCAATACCGAGCTCGGAATAGCCTCCTGAGACGTCTTTTCTGCACCGGAAAAGCCTCTACCGACACGGGAAAGGACTCAGGGCCAAGCCCAACATCTGTAGGGATAGATGCAAATGATGTGGGGTGTTTCAAGGGCGGGAAGAGGTGTCGAAGAGGGCAAACCCGGGCGATCCATGCTTGGCCAGCAATGACAAAAACACCTCCTTTTACTGGCTCCGCCAATATACGGCTCCGAAACTCCGTATTGTAGTAATCGCGCGCTTTGCGGTGGGGACTCGAATTAGGGTGGTGTAAAAGTGTGATCTCGAAAACCGAACAGTATCAGCGTGGTGTTGAACAAACTAATACTTATAACATCGTTCATTTCCCCTATTTCTAGCGTTTCGGTGCTGTTTCCATTTTTCTCTATCCCCTTTCTGTTTTTTCCCTTCCTTCTATCCTTTCTTTCTCTTTTCCCTTGCTTCTTTTTTTTCCTTTCTGCTTTCTCCAACAGATTGTTCACTAATAAATACACTCAAGATGTTGTCTGCTAGATCAATCTCCAGAATCCCAAGAACTCGTGGTTTGGCCACAGTCTCTGGTTTAACCAAGGATTCTAAGGTTCACATGAACAACCATGAAGACCACACCTTCATCAACTACAAGAACAATGTCAAGAACTTGGAAATTGTCAGAGGTAGATTGAACAGACCTTTAACCTACGCTGAAAAGATCTTGTACTCCCATTTGGACAAGCCAGAATCCCAAGATATCCAAAGAGGTGTTTCTTACCTTAAGTTGAGACCAGACAGAGTCGCTTGTCAAGATGCTACCGCTCAAATGGCCATCTTGCAATTCATGTCTGCTGGTATGCCATCTGTTGCTACTCCAGCAACTGTCCACTGTGACCATTTGATTCAAGCTCAAAAATCCGGTCCAGAGGATTTGGCTAGAGCCATCTCCTTGAACAAGGAAGTTTACGACTTCTTGGGTTCTGCCTGTGCTAAGTACAACATTGGTTTCTGGAAGCCAGGTTCCGGTATTATCCATCAAATCGTCTTGGAAAACTATGCTTTCCCAGGTGCTTTGCTTATTGGTACTGATTCCCACACACCAAATGCCGGTGGTTTAGGTCAATTAGCTATTGGTGTCGGTGGTGCTGATGCTGTTGATGTCTTGGCTGGTTTCCCATGGGAATTGAAGGCTCCAAAGGTCATTGGTGTCAAGTTGACCGGTAAGATGTCTGGTTGGACTTCTCCAAAAGATATCATCTTAAAGTTGGCTGGTATCACTACCGTTAAGGGTGGTACTGGTGCTATTGTCGAATATTTCGGTGATGGTGTTGATACTTTCTCCTGTACCGGTATGGCTACCATCTGTAATATGGGTGCTGAAATCGGTGCTACTACCTCTGTTTTCCCATTCAACGACTCCATGGTTAAGTACTTGGAAGCAACTGAAAGATCTGAAATTGCTGAATTTGCAAAGCTTTACAAGAAGGAATACTTATCTGCTGACGAAGGTGCTGAATACGATCAAGTTATCGAAATTGACTTGAACACCTTGGAACCACACGTTAACGGTCCATTCACCCCTGATCTTGCTACTCCAATCTCCAAGATGAAGGAAGTTGCTCCAGCTCAAGGCTGGCCTGTCGACGTCAGAGTCGCCTTGATTGGTTCTTGTACTAACTCTTCTTACGAAGATATGTCCAGAGCTGCTTCTATTATCAAGGATGCTGAAGACCACGGTTTATCTGCTAAGACTCTATTCACTGTTACCCCAGGTTCCGAACAAGTTAGAGCTACCATTGAAAGAGATGGTTTCTTACAAACTTTCAGAGATTTCGGTGGTAGTGTCTTGGCTAATGCCTGTGGTCCATGTATTGGTCAATGGGACAGACAAGATATCAAGAAGGGTGACAAGAACACTATTGTTTCATCTTTCAACAGAAACTTCACTGCCAGAAATGATGGTAACCCAGAAACCCGTGCTTTCGTTGCATCCCCAGAAATGGTTGTTGCATATGCCATTGCAGGTGACTTGAGATTCAACCCAATCACTGACAAGTTAAAGGATGCTAACGGAAAGGAATTCTTGTTGAAGCCACCACATGGTGAAGGTTTACCAGCTAAGGGTTACGATGCAGGTGAGAACACCTACCAAGCTCCACCAGCTGACAGATCAACTGTTGACGTCAAGATTGCTCCAACCTCTGACAGATTACAAAAGTTGACTCCATTCAAGCCATGGGATGGTAAGGATGCTCTTAACATGCCAATTTTGATCAAGGCATTCGGTAAGACAACCACTGACCATATCTCTATGGCTGGTCCATGGTTGAAGTACAGAGGTCACTTGCAAAATATTTCTAACAACTACATGATTGGTGCTATTAATATCGTTAACAAGAAGGCCAACACTATTCAAAACCACTACAACGGTGCATGGGGTGGTGTTCCAGACACTGCCGGATGGTACAGAGACCACGGTCACAAGTGGGTTGTTATCGGTGATGAGAACTTCGGTGAAGGTTCTTCCAGAGAACACGCTGCATTGGAACCAAGATACTTGGGTGGTTTCGCTATTATTACCAAGTCTTTTGCCAGAATTCACGAAACTAACTTGAAGAAGCAAGGTTTGTTAGCACTGAACTTCAAGGATGTTAAGGATTACGACAAGATCAACCCAGATGACGAAATCGACATTGTTGGCTTGAAGGACTTTGCTCCAGGTAAGGATCTCACCATGGTTGTTCATCCAAAGGAAGGTAAGCCATGGAACTGTTCTTTGACCCACACATTCAACCAAGAACAGATTGAATGGTTCAAGTCTGGTTCTGCTTTGAACAGAATGAAGGAAATTGAAGCTGGCAAATAAATTGTTTAGGTAATTTATTAAATTGTTTAGTCTTTCTTCAGTTTTATCATTCATCTCCTTATTGAGTAAAATTTATTTATTTAATATTCCAAATTATTCAATACTATTTATATTCATTTAATAAAATAAATCATTAAAACTATTATTATAAAGAATTATTTTTGTATTACGTGAGCAAAAGATACAAGATACATCGAGGAAGGACGTTAGCTGAAAGTAGAGCATCAAGTAAGAAAAAAAATTACAGCCAAGACAATAGAAGATAAAAAGATAAAATAAGACAGAATAGAACCGGCCATGTTCTGCATTCAGATGTAAAAGAAATAGACCAAGTCGTTAGGATTGACAGAGGTGAGGTCGAAGCCCACCTCTGCCCGCCCTTGGAGACTTTCGAAATCGGTAAGGAATCCTCCAAAACCGAACACCCCCTTATCGCATTCCCCACATACCAAATATCTCAAGATGGCGTAGTTGTGAACGTCGCCGTCCTCGGACTTCAGCTTGATGACCTCTGCCTCCTCGAGGGTTGATGGAGGTTTCGAGACACCGATGTTGTCGAACTCCCAGATGTCCTTTGCCTTATAGAAGACGTTGTTGTTCTTGTAGATTGGAAGCGCCCGGTGCACCGAGGGCTCGCTGGTCTTGCTCTTAATGAACTTGTATACCTTTGATGGGTTGGCAACCTTGTGATCGCTGTGGAGTGGCGGGTTGAACTGCGTGTAGAGTCTGCCCGTCTCCTTCGGGACCTTGATCAACCTCGTCTCGTTGTCGAACGGGCAGTAGTACGACTGCTTGATCGACGTCGTGGTTGGTTGACTGGCGTAGGCCTCCATTGTGCGTTGTTACTGCAGTGCGTGCTTTGTTATGGCTCGGGGTCGTCTTGGTTGGCTCAGACCCGGGGTGCAGAAAAAGTGAAAAGAATGGGAGAGAAAAAATTAGCTGCTACTGGAAAAGCCTGATCCTCGTTCTCCGTCAAGGTGTCAGCCCTGCCTTCCCCGGGGCTGCTGCTACCGTCGTCCTCTTGCCCCACGGGCAGACGCCAGACTTTTAAACCTTTTTGTCGAGCCCGTTCGCCAGTGTGGGGCATCCCGGGCTGCATGTTCCGTCCTGTACAGATGTGGGGAAGTTGGGCCACCCCCACACCGACGCTGCATCGGCTGGCTGGCTCGCTGGCTGCTGCTGATGACTACGGCTGCGACTACGGCTGCTGCTCCTGCCCCACGAAAGCTCGTCTCTTCTCCGAATGGGTGACAGGTGCCCCTCTCTGCTTCTGATATCGCCAGTTGCTGCACGAGATGCTCCGTCTTCTTCTCCGACCCCGACCCCGTCCCCGTCCCTCCCCCTCTGTCCCCGTCGCCCGCCCTCCTCTCTAGGGCCCCGCCCAGTCGGGCCCCCGCTCGTTCCCCGTGCCCGCTCCCTTATTATCCCCGCTGCGGAAACCGCGGACCCCGTCTCCCGGTAGCCGTCCTCCCGTCCCCGCGTCTACCTTTTTTACGCCGACGCGCCGGCGACGGGTCGGTAAATTTGATGCGTGGGTGCGTCGCGACGCCTCGGCGATGCATCTCCCGCTTTTGCTTTGCCGTTCGCACAGAATTTATTTCCACGTGCATAGAGCTTGCTGCTACACGGGCATGACCGTGAGTGTTATGGCGGCATGAGCGGTGATGCGGACACCGTGCGCCACCTGCCACGCGGGCCGTTTACGCGGCCCGCTTTTCGCCGTCCGCTCTATCTAATCTCCGTGCTCGGGGCAGCGTGGCAGCTCTGGCCCTCAGCCAGGTACGGCCCCACATGACACGAGTCTAGACGCACTTCTGGTGGCGGGGCTGGCTGGCCGAAAAGTGGGAGGCGGGAAATTGGTTGCTGTGGTTGTTGCTATTTAGTAAAGAACGCTCTATATAAACATTATTCTATAAATCGTACATGCATCGGTGGCGGGTACCGGTGCGAAAGAAAAACCGTAATCCGTGGCGGTGGTGGCGGGTAACAAGGGCGGGGAGAGAAGGGAAAGGGAAAGGGATGGAGCGATGACGATGTGGCGACGATCAGTAACACGGAAAGTGGGCGTAGCATGGCACCAGACCGTTCCAGCGACAGCCCCAACACAGGCGTCATTTTTCTCATACTGTGCCGTCTGTGTGTGCATCGTGCTCTGCGTTAGGTCGCCGCTGGCTTTTCTGGCTGGCTGGTTGGCTGGTTGGATGGCTGGTTTGGACTTTCTCACGACTCCGACTTTCTTCTCCACTTTAACTTCCTCGTGAATCTGGACCACGACTTACCGCCCTCCACCCGGCTCTCACACCGTCCGTCGCACCTGTCACACACCGTCATGTTGGAAACACTCGAGTCGGAGCTGGTATCTGATTTCAGCGTTATGTCGTTGTAACTGTGGCTGGCACTTCCGCTAACATCTGCACCGCTCCCCACACTCAAAATCGTGCTGACAGTATTATCTCTGTTCCCGTTCGAAACGGCGCTTGTAGTTGCACTTCGACTTCTGCTACTGTAGTTAGTATCGCTGTGTATGTCTTCGTCGTTGCACACGCATTCACCCTTGTAAGCGGTCGTCACCTTGGTAGACTGCATGCCAATCTTATCGCTAATATTTTCCACAACGTCAATATCACAATCTTCTGCTTCATTATGATCAGAGATACTCTTACCTTCACCTTCTGATAGAAAATGGAATGAGAAATCACTACATATAGATGTAGAATCTGGAGACGTTGAGCTGTTTGGCTTCGTGAAGCAAGAGCTTGCAGTGTTGTTGGCAGAGTTAGCTGTAGATGTAGAGCAAGAGGAAGAAGTTCTAATTTTGGCAGATATCATGTCTTTTGTATATGATATGAATTCATAATAAGAGGCAAGTAGGAAGTTCATGATAATCTTCTCAATCTTGTTTAATAAATAGAGAGCGGGCAAGCTATTCTTTGAGAGCTTCAGCGTGATATCTGCAGGTAAGTTAATAATCTCAGTTTCGATAAACTGGTTATAAATCGAGAACCATTCTGAAGTGGAGTTGAAACGTTTGAAAAGCTCGTGGTTCCGCAAGACTGAATCCAGCTCGGTGTAGAATTCATAGTTTTCTATACAGTGCTTGTCTACCAAGAACTTCAAAAAGTTGATCTTGGAATAAACAGACTCTGGGTTCACTTGGTCGTCCAAAATCTCTCCCAGCTTAGGTATCGGTTGCTGCTGCTGTTGTATTTGCTGCTGTAAAAGTTGATTTTGTTGATCATCTGGATGTTGAAACTGACGCTGGTTTTCTTGATAATCAGCTGCGTTGCTTGCATTTAATTTGCTTTTATCCTCCTCGGAAAATGCCCCTATCAGGTTAGTGACAGGGTCATGACCAGGCCTGTGTGATATTCCAGTCATCATCCTTTATCTCGAGGTGGTCTTTTCTCGGATGTATGGTATAGAAACCAAGAGAAGAAGAAAAAGAAAGAGAGAAAGGAAAAGGAGAGAGAAGAATGGAATAAAATAATGTGTATTCAACAAAGAAAAGAAGAAGGGAAAGGGAAAGGGAAGGAGAAACAGAAAGAAAAATACCGTTTCAAAAACCTAGGGACATAACCAGCACGTTCAGTACCTCTCCTTTAATACCAATATTCGATTAGAGAGAAAAAGGGGGCACCCAATCTCATTTATAACGGGAACAAAAAAAAGGAGAAAAAAAATTGGGGCGAGGAAATGAGAAAACCAGATGCGCAATCAGCTTTTCAAACCCGCCGTGGAGAAGCAGATCAGTAGCGGTTTCAACGTTTTATTGCACCAAAGGTTTGGGGTGCCTAATTACAACACTGAAAGGCGAGGGACCAATTTAAGCCGCCCAGCCCCAACGAGCGCCAGAGAACAAAGTCGGCTGAGGATTGCTCGCGGCCCGAAGCAGTTATCGGTCCTTTTTTTTGTTACGGTTGCGGTTTGACTGTTTTCATGTGGTAGGCGCGAAGTTCATCGTGGCGTGTGCGGCTTGCGCCGTCCACGGCCGCATAAAATTGCACTGCAGCATAAAATACATAAGGCGATGGCTTCATCTGCACCATGGGTCTTAGCCACGCGCTTCCATACATTAAATTTACGCTTTCCCGCAGCACAGCATGTGAGAAGGACTAGCATTTGGAGCATAAAATTTCTCAGGCTGTGGCGCCAGCCATAGGGATATGTACGCCCGAGCTGTAGCGAGGTTAGTGCATAATTTCTCACATAAGGTTTTTAGCCTCCACAGGGCAACAGGAATATGCACGTTTGAGACAACCTTACGCATCACTTCCGGATGTGGCTTTAGCCGCAAGACTGTGCAGGCTACACAGTGCGATGTCTCCGCTAGGCGGCGGCGGCATGCTTCCGAGGAGGAGAAATGGTTTGTTCGTTGGTCGAGCTCTAGTAGCAATATGCAGTGAGTTCTATCGGAGACACTGAACTGATTTTTGCACCCTTGTGCAATCTCTGCTATGTAAAAAAAAATTCGAGAATGATTTCAACGAAAAAGGGAGAATATGTTTATCGTTCTCAATATGTGCAATGTGTGAACGATAGGCCCACACGTCAGACCCAGGGACGTGGTAAGCGCAGTGCGGCGCGCGGCTGCAACACAGAAGTTGTTTTGAGACGACAGCAGGCAGAAAAGAGAGCCCAGAATGCAGGTCGCACTGCAGGTGCCCAAATGCGCGAGTGCTTGTTTTTCAGTTTCTCATCTGCTTTTTTCTCTTACACACAATTTCTCGGTTGTAAGCAAGCGGCCCTACCAGGGCATGGCAGACGCTCGGCCGCTTTTCCAATCCAGGCAGGTTACGTCCGGGACTGGACCCAATCTGGAATTCGATCCCACTCCCGCGGTCGGGGTTTATGTAGGGGCTACCGCGTGTTAACATAAAGTGGGGGAGAAAAAATAGGCAAGATCAATTAATTTCTACTACAACGTGCGGAAATGACATGATATGTACAAAGATCCAGTTTATGCTAACTTGGATCTAGCCTATTTCCCACTAGAAGCCCCCACCGATAGTGTGGCGACTGCAGGCCACTAATCTTGTCCTAGTGACTTTGCTAGCTTCGATCAGGATACAGTATACCTAATGTAACAGCATATAACGGATATTCGCATAATCTTGTACATACACTTTGCTTTTATTGTCCAGAAGTATTTAACTTTGCTCTGCCAATTTACTGGTAAATTTGCAGAACAGCAGGACTCCGAAGATTTCTCCATGCTGTAAGCGAGGGTACCTTTTGAAATGCAAGGAGTCCGCTTTTTTACAATTCTTGTTCGGGCGGCGTAACAGTAAAATCTGAAGCCGAAAGCTAATAGATTAAAGGAAGCAACATGCGTGGGAAAATATTTGGGCTTATTCAGCCCTAGCCCTTTTTCTCTCCTGAGCAAAATTTATGTCGAATTAACGCTTCCCGACCAGGTCGAAATCCATACCTTTTCCCAGCTTTCTATCTCCGTGGAGCCTAAAACTCCGGTAAATTCGGGAAAAAAAATCGAGCCTGCCTGTCCAAGAGGCGCGAGAGATAAATCGGCGGGTCGATCAGCGCGCAACCTAAAGGGCGCCCTTGCCAGCGCTCTTGTCTCTCCGGTGATGCTCGTTTTCTGTGCCGTCGCCCCTTCCCCACAGCAGCCAGATCTGGGGCTGCGGCGGCCTAGCTGGGCGATTCGAGGCCTAAAAATGGGGATGCTCGTTATCCGTCTAGATCGGTGTCCCGGATTCAGAGATAAGCTCACCATCTGTCTAGGTCGGTATCCCGGATACAAAGATAAAGCACAAAGATAAGCTCTCTTATCTATCTACGCTCCTTCCCTCTTTTCGTTGTCATCCTGTATACATGCATGACCGTCCTGTGCGTATCTGGACAAATTAGGATTACCCAAATGCATTTTTAGTTCGTCTGCCTTTTCATTAAATGAACCGTACAGATAAGCCGCTTGCCCTCATCCTGCATCCTTACGGTTTTACCCCCCAACAGGTTCTGCTAATCTGCATCGCAAATACGAAAACCAACTGCTGCAGATGCTTGTCTTCTTTAGCTTGAAGAGCCCCGGGACCGCTCCTATCGCCGCCACTCAGCTTCAGCCTGTTCGCAAATAATCGCTCCATTTAGCTTCAGATTTCTTCACGTTAAGATGCATAGTTGTCTTCCAATCCGAACCGATCATACGCCCGGTCGGCTGTTCTGCTGACCGATGGCGGGGGAAAACGAGAAACTAACACTCCCCCCACCAATGCCATATGCGGCTTATCTGATTGTATATACTGCCCTCCCAGCCGTTCGCTTGGCTTATGTTGTCGCTGGAGACCACCACTCCCGGTCTTCCCGGCAAAAAATTGAGTCCGCCGACCGACCCCAACACACGGCTTACATAAGCACTGTCGCAACTCGCGATGCCTTCACACTTGTTTTAAAAAACACAGGACGCGGCCGGTGCCGTGGAAGAAAACCGTTGCAACGTTTATTGGCCCGTTCTATTTTTACCGTAGTCTGCTCAGTTGCAAATGCGCACGTTTTGTGTGAGTAAAAATGCCACCCAGACCGCCGTGCCGCGTTGGGCAAGTTCAAGCCTCTCCCGAGGGAAGGCATTTGCTCCGTGTAGACTGCTGGCACTGGCTATAGGCACTGACTACAAGCGCCTCACGGCTCTCTTACCATTTCCGCTTGGGACCGCAGGAGCCGAGGGAACTGGTGTACAGCTATTAGAGGAAACAATTTCACGCAATAGCGTAAACCACCTCTTTGCGAAGATGAGGACCACGCTGTCCGGCGACGCGGTCGTCAGCCGAAAAATGCGGCCTAATGACACTCCGGATGCTCTGCCTACCGCGCAAGGGAACAGTAGTCGTCGCTTGCCGCCAATTCCGTTGGCGTGCTCCGCCGCTGCCGCCGACGGCTGGCTGGTCACTGCTCGCAAAAAATACCCCATGCGGAAGGCGAGAACGACAGCGAACCTGCGGAATTACCCCGGCGAGGGGGAGCTCGGGGTGTTTTTTGACACATTTTCTACAGCTGATTCGGGGAACCCGTGCCGGGCTCTTGTTATTGCCATGCCTGCCGTTCGCCGTTGCCTTTGTCTTCGCAGTTCTCGAAATCTTTGGCTTTTCGTCCACCATACAGACATCTGGCGACAGGTGTTCGCTTCATGTGTAGTGGGCGCCTTCTTTCTTCCCAAAATCATCTTCTCTCTTCTTCTTCTCCTCTCTTCTTCTTCTCCTTCTCTCCTCTTCTCTTTACCTTACTCGTCTACATTCACTAGCTTCTTGGTTACATCTTCTCAGTGCCTTGGAATATCGAAGCACATACACAAAAAGGAGAAGCAGTGCAATGTCTTCCTGTAGTGGGACACACGACTGTAAGAAGCTGATTTTCAGCCAAGTCATGCCACCATCAATCACTCTGGCAACTCCAGCAGTATCAATGACTTGTGTCCATTCCATTCCATCAAGTTCGACGCTCTCTTTGCAGAATACGTTCTCATCAGATTCAATATCGAGCTTTGGTTCAGATTCATGTTCAAGTTCGTCAGACCTAGTTCACAAATACTCCTCTCCATCTCTCAGATCTGCCCTTTTCTCAAAGAAATGCTCGCTATACAAAGCTAGAAAATCATCATCAAAAGACCTGTTGTCATTAATTTCTCCCCCTCAGACGTCTTCTTTACAAATATCTCAAAACTGTCACTGCAATAGATTTCATCCTGCAGCCGAAGAGACGAGCTCGAATTTTTCAGAAACAACGTTTGCATCATCTTATCTGTCATCTTTCATATCCGATGTCGATAACAATAGTTTATATTCTAATCCTGTGTCAACAACTATTTCAACTATCTATGAAGTCGACGACGACAGTCATCCTCTAGGTGATTTTCTTGAGGATGAAACATTAGCAGAAGTTTTTGACATAAGAAGTAATGATGCTAATGGCCATAGAAACGAATACAAGATTGATAAAGTGTCGTTCACATCCCTTTGGGACAAGCTTGTCAGTTCATCGTTCATTACGTCCACTAAGTTGTTTTATCAAAGCAACGAGTCATTTTTTACTAATGCAGTCAACAATATCAACATTGAAAATAGAGATCTTGTTCTCCATGATCTTTTACCGTTGGAAACTTTTCATACTGCTTACAAAGCCATCGATGAACGTCATGACAGAAACAACATCATCGTTCCTAGATCCAGGGAATGCAGAATAAATCCCTTATTTCTAAGATTTTTCGCTATAAACGAATCGATCAAAAAAAATTGCTCAAGTGAGCTTCTTGATGGATCAACAGTCGATTATCATCAATACGAATTCATAAATTCCGGATGCTCATCCCTGGATGAGTATCTTTCTAGTTTCAATTTTGAGGAAAAAACCACAACATTAAAATTCCAACTTTTGTCGAGGGACAAAATGTGGTCGGAGGTGGTACTACCTCCAAGATCTGACATATCTTACAACAAAAATTACAAAAGTTTCAGGGATCCTTATGTCAAGGTAAAGAATAAGCCAATAGAAAATGGTTCATTGGTTAGAGAAAATGGCAAAGTTATGCCATGGCTTAATTTGAATGATTGTGCAATGCAAAACAAAAGATGTTTCAGCCCCTCAGGGACATTGCCGGGCAACATTCAATACACAGTCAAAAATTGGGAAAAGAAACGCTGGTCGCCTACTTCTTTATAGATTAATAATTATATACAATACCATCACTAATAAATGACGCTAATAGTTTAAATTCAGATTATTGTCCATTATAGAGAAAGATAGACTAAATAATAGTTTGAGTAAGAGGAAAATTACTTTCTCTCTTACTGATGCAATCCATCGTTTTTCACTCTTTCGGCCTCAATTTTGGCCCTTTCGGGCTCCAAGTACTTCCAACTCGTCTCCTTTGGTCTCATGGTCGAATCATCGAAATCGATCAAGATCGGCATTCCGTTTGGTATATTCAAGTGCTCAACCTCGTCTTCTGACAACTCGTATAGAATGGTCAACAATGCTCGAACAACCGACCCATGCGTAACGCAGAGGACGTTCTTCCCTTCTTTCATACTCGCATAGATAACGCTATCCCAGAATGGTTTCAATCTTTCAATGACTGTTTTCAAACTCTCGCACTTGGGGACCAAGGAGGGATGCTCCGCTAAGTCACTATCAAATTTGGCTATTTTCAAAGTATCTCTGTAAAACTCACTGTCGACATCGCTTTCCGGGGGACATCCGTCGTATTGTCTTCTCCAGAACATGAATTTTTCCTGCCCATATTTCTGTAAAATATCGTTCTTTTTCAACCCCTGCAATGAACCGTAGTGTCTTTCATTCAATCGCCACGACTTAACAACATCCATATCCAATCTATCTATGCTTTCAAGGATGATGTTCGAAGTTACAACGGCTCTCTGAAGACGTGAAGTCACAGCAAGATGTATGGGAATCTCACTGGTAAGCGGGTCAGTTTTAATTAATTCTGCTGAGCTTCTGGCTTGCTCTTTGCCTGTATCTGTTAATGGAACATTGATCCAGCCGCAAAATCGGGATTCCTGGTTGTACTGTGATTGTCCGTGACGTAGAAGCAGTAACTTAGGCATTTTTTTCCTACCTGGCGTATTTTGTCTGCACTTCCAATTAAACCCAAACCCTTAGTTCTACTTTTCCTTCTTATTCATCTTTTTACATTACCTGCCGAATCTTCTGACTGATTACCACCCTATCCGTCCCTGATCCGGAAACATGATGTTACCGGCCCGGACAACAGAACCGCATCACGTGGCTGCCGCACCAAAACATCTCCGACACAGCCTCAAACGCCTGCTGAGTCAGTTTGCCCTCTGTCCCTTCCTCCGCAGCACGTCTCTCGGATGCCTGTTGCTCTCCACATCCTGTGGACCTAGTGTTCCGTTTAAATCCTGTTCTTGAGCTGCTGAGTGAGTGGCATGAAACTGGGACATCTAAAACAAGGCAAACCAGAAGCACTTTTTACTCAAACAAAGGCACTAGACTTAGGAATATACCTGAAGACAACATGTTCAAGCTAGCAACATCAACCCCCCTCAAAAGAAGTCCAATGCTCATCTTATCTAAAAGATCTGCAACAACGATCACCTCTTTTAACGATAAGAAATTGATAAACTTACTCTCCAGGCTCGACAAGTTTGATTCCGAATCGAAGATATTCGACAAGCTTGACGAGCTTTATCTTCTCAGTCAGAGAAAGGGGTTCTTCAATTTGAACGCCAACAATTTGGAGTTCTTATCTAACAACAACAAGATAAACGATAACATGAACAATTTATACAACTTCAATAATTTGAACAGGTTGGTATCCAACCAATACTCTAACCTATTGATGCTACCAAGTCCTTCAAAGATGTCTTCTGGTGGATCGAATGGCATCAACTCTGCAAACTTGTCCCCAATGCCCCGGTCGAACGCTGTTCCCGGCGCCAAAATCAACATCGACACTGGTAACATACTGTCAAACAATTCGAATTTCTTCAAATCCTCCTACTCGCCAGTCGCTAACTCCATCCCTGGACTAAACGCCTTTATGTCTACGTCTATGAGCAACTACAGCAAAAATGCACCAGTAGACAAATACTTGAACCTACTTCAAGGTTTAGCAAGAAATGACGTGGAACTCAAGAACAGGATCGAGCAGGTTTTGGAAGCGTTTAACGACGAGGACGATTTTTTCTTCAACTATGTTCTAGAATTCTGGATAAGTGGAAAGTCTTTCAACAAGAGGAAGGCAAAAAAGTTGCAGGAAGAGACGGGTAACGGCCAGTTACCTTCAAATTTGACTATGTGAACTCAAACTCGGTCTTCATTTAACATCCATTTGGCTGCACGAGCTAAGCTATTCTTATTACTGTCATTGTCATTATTATACATTTTTTTTTTCACCTTTCACATTATTATTCTATGCATACTATTGTGTGAGTCTTATCTTCAGTTCAATTGGCACATTTTCTTTTAGGTTTTACCGTACCTTTTCAAGGTACCAAATTGTTGGTTGGGGTTTTCGGGGTCATTTTTGTTTTATTTTTGATTCATTAATCAAATTTTCAGTTATATCGTTGTAGTATTTTTTTCGTCAATAGACTCATATAAATTATGCTTCAAAACCATCTTTAATTTATTTATATACAGTATGGTTAAGATACATATTTATTATTTCTTATCTTCAGAAATGAATAATTCTGCACCATTATCACCATCTTCGACATCTTCAGAAGCATCTGCCTCTTCTATTTTGTTTAAGTCTTGATCCCACACTTTCTTCACACCGATGTCGTCCAAGTGTTTCCACCATTCAATTTCAGCGGGGTCAATATCTGGCTCAACCCATAAAAAACCCTCACCTGATGAATACCAATATTGTCTTAGCATAATCTCTTGTTCAGGCTCATTCACCTCGAATCCCATTTTTTGAATTCGACTCACAACATCTCGGGTCGCAAATCCATCCATGCCATTTATTTCTGCATCTGCCTCTACAATCTTGGAGCACATTTTCATTTGATCGACCTTCAAGTACCAGTCGTGTGGCATTGTTGACTGCTTGAACATCAAATTACCGTTTTCTAAACCTTTTGAACTGAATGCTAAGCCTGCCAAAAAACCACAATTGACAATGTACGTCACGATGCATGCGTAGATACCGTAGATACCATATGACGTTCCACCGGCACCAGCACTTATTAGCTCTGGGAAAAAAACAGATACTGCACCATGAATGCAAGCAATAAGACCAACTATGGATCCACCAAAATACGCATAAATACGTTTTATATTGCGCTTTCTATTCTCAATATATCTCTTGTGTCCATTAGTCAACTCGACGTAATCCAACGCATCTTGAAAATCAGCATCCCAGATTAACTTTCTAAAAGGTATTAATGCCAATGCTGATGGGATGCAAACAGATGGCCCTTCAGAGTAGTAAGCCTTTATGATAGCTTTTAGGGTAGGAAATAACGGTTGCGATATGAATAGCTTTTTCAACAACATCTCATCAAAGTGGGTTTTAGGATCTACCAATAATTTCTTCAACAAATCATTTGATCTCCTTAAATATATGTTTTGTTCTAGTGTCAATTTATCAAAATCGTAAATCGATGTCTGATAGTTTTGAATGGATTTGTATAGTTCCAATACTCTTTCTTCACTGCTTGCGCCTATCGTTTCCGATTGAAAATAAGTTTCATTAGCGATCTCCTCTATACTTTTAAGCCTTTCTTCAAACAAAGCATCAGCTGTAAATGTCCCTTTTCCGGGATTTCCAGAATTTATACTGGTTGATTGATGCCTGAAAGTTGTAAGTGGTATTGTGATGCTTTTATTCACTTTATTAAATGAAACATTTCTGGTGAATGTCAGTCTACCTACTATAGGTAGAAAAATAGCTTTTCTGGGAGAAAAAAACTGATTTGAGACCACTCCCACAGTCCTTATGATTTTTCGTGGACCTAACATTCCCTTAGTTTCATATGCCTTTGCTATCACCTCAAATACATCTTTCTAGCTATAGAAGATCGAAGCTATTTCTTTCTTTTCATGAAGCAGCTTCATCCACAAATAGTTAAATTTGAAGGTGCACGGGCGAGTATTTTCAAGGTCTGTTTTTTTTTTGTAATATTAACCTTTTGGGAAAATTTTTTTCTTTCATTTCATTTTTCACCTATAAACGTTTGACAAGTCTTTATATCTGTTGAAACTGAGAAAGTAACCACCCAGCCAGGAACATCTAACGATAAATGGTTGCACCAACTGCCCCAAAGATTGCTCCGACTGCAATTGGACAAAAATTGGCAAATTCCGAAAGAGAGCTCGACAAAGAAGGAGCCGAAGTCGATAATCATGATGAGGTTATGATCGATACAAATATAAACGAAGAACAACATGAACAGGGAACCAATGAACAAAATCCATCCAAGGTAAGGAAACCAAGCGCAGGACTAGTGATGGATGAAACTGGAAAGCCAAAATTCCAGTCTCAAGCAGATTCAGGTTCAAAAGTCAAACTTGAAACTCGTAAAGTACCAATTCCACCTCACAGAATGTCGCCACTGAAGGCCGCATGGCCTAAGATATATCCACCGTTGGTCGAGTATCTAAAGCTTCAGGTCAGAATGAATCTCAAGAGCAAGGCTGTTGAGCTTAGATCTTGTAAAAAGACAACTGATCCAGGTGCTTTGCAAAAGGGTGCAGATTTCATAAAAGCATTTTCGTTGGGTTTCGACATTGATGATGCAATTGCGTTATTGAGACTAGACGATTTATACATAGAGTCTTTCGAAATTAAAGACGTCAAAACTTTACAAGGGGATCATTTATCCCGTGCTATTGGTCGTATTGCAGGCAAGGATGGCAGAACAAAATACGCAATCGAAAATGCCACTAGAACGAGAATAGTTCTTGCAGATTCCAAGATTCACATTCTCGGGGGATTTACGCATATTAAAATGGCAAGGGAAGCAGTAATGAGCTTGATTTTGGGTAGTCCTCCAGGTAAAGTTTACGGTAACTTGAGAACCATCGCTTCGAGGTTAAAGGAGAGATATTGATGCCGTTGCCAGTAGCATCTGCAACAGCGATGTAAAATATTTTATAGTTAATTAATACTAGTGTTACAAGATATGAAGCGGTTGATATATTATAGGAACTTTAGCCATTCATCAGACCTACAAAACTTCTGACACAACTTCCCTCAACAAACCTAACTGATAAGCGTCTGAAACGTTCAAAAATATCTTGAATTTCTTTTCCAGCTCTCTAACATTAACAGTATTAACCCATCTTCCCGAACAGTCACAATACTTCGACAACTCGTCACTTCTCATACTACCACACTTATTACATTTCAAATCCTGTGTAAAATATTGGACGAGCAATTTGTTGAATTCGTAAATCAAATTTTCTTCAATGATTAATTTACTATATTCCTTGTCACAATTTGAACAGTGCCATAAAAGTTGACCATCATCTTTGCAAATGTCAATGTCTCTGATTTGATAGCATGTATCACAAATCACTTCGGGAATGACCAAAGAGGTAGAAGGGTTCTTGAACATACCCTCTTCACTAAATTCTTTGATACCAAATAACTTTAACAAGTCACGGCGTAACATTCGGACCTCCATATTTCTTTTTTTGGATAAAGACAAAACCTGGCAAATGTATTTGACTAATTCAAGGGTAGGATTTGTAAGTTTAAGATGTGAGCCAGCCAATATCGGAAACTCATACTCTTTCGCCATCTCTGGATCTCTCATCACATCTGTTTGCTTACCGACTAATGTGTTGATTCTTTTCAATAAAGGTTTACGGAAGTGAGAACATAAACCTTCTCTACTGATTTTTTCAATGTCGACTTCTTCATCGAGATTCTTCTGCTGCATTAAAATTTGGGTGATTTGTGTCTCCCGAACCTGAGATCCTGACCCACTATTTTCTTCAGCTTGCTTCTTTCTATTCTTGATCAAAGCGTCAAGTATCATCAAAACCCAATCTTCGAATTCTTGGTGTAAGATAATAGGTAAGTAATTTTTAATCTGCCATTTTGAAACATATTCTAGCTTATCACTTTGCTTATCAATGTTGGTATCATTTTCCTCTTTGTTCTTTTCTTCTAGCAACTTCGTTTTTTGTGTCAAATTGTCTTCGTAAATTTCCCAAGCAAAACTACCAGCAAAATTATATTTATCCATCCAGACAAGCATGTCCCAGTACCTCACAATGACTAGCTCCAATAAATTGAAAAGTGGTTTGGCACGAATGCTTGAAATTGCGTATTGACCATAAGCATATGAATTATCGACAACTGTCTTAGAGGTTTTGATGATCACTTTATTTCTATCAGCAAAAACAATAGAAGAGCCCAGTCTTTTGAACTCACTTAACAGTTGAATCATAGATTTTTTAGTGAGATTGTGAATATGGTAGTGTAGGGAGGAATTGTAGAGATAAGACGAAGAGTTTGAACACCATTTCAAAAGTGAGCTTATCAAAGCATCTGCTTCATTAACGTCTTTGATCGCATCATCCCACCATGACTGGATCATGCTTCGCAGAATCGTTAGGGCAGGGCCTGAAAAACTGTTGTCCGCAAACGTAGAGTTTTGATTGTCACCATTCTCAGAAATGAATACTCCCTCTGCTTCGTTAATAAGTGCAGATGACAAGATGGTGTTAACTGTCAAGTTTTTAACTGCTATTTCTAAACAGACTGTATCGTATATTTCCGGTCTATTAAAAACAGGGAATTTTAGTGACTCCTCAATCGAAGACATAAAATCTTCCTTTTCTGCACCACCATAATCAGGGTTTGAGTTCGGTGACCACCATAATATGATGTTATTATTCGACAATCTCCTGGAATAGTTTATGTCAATCAAATAACCAATGTTATTCACATTCAAGTTGCACAATGGAACATTGGTATACTTAGATAGCTGCATTAATTTCTTCAGCCAGGTGGATAACGACAGATAATGATTCATGATTCTTTTAATAATGACTGAATGCCACGTTAATGCTTGGACTTGAACTTCAGATATTCCCATGGTTATAGTCGGAAGATCAACTGAAACTTTAAACATTTGTTTTAGTTTTGTTGCAATATGAGATTGAATGACAAGGACCATCTTTGATGCTAAATTGGCAGTAATATTTATCAATTTAGAGTTAAGACTCTTGTAAATTTTAGAGACATCAGTGAAATATTTTATTTCAAAATTCATTTCAGATTTATAGTCAATGATACTGTACAACTTGTCAACAATTTCTTTTTTTTCCTTATAGACTTCTTTGTACATACTTTCAAAATTGGAAGGTAATTGCTGAGCGCCAGATGAAGGTTTGAGAATGTAAACGAATGCAGTATCATTAGAATTGTTTAGCAAAGTGAAGATTTCATACGAGTTCGAAACAATGTGTAAAAGATAGAGAACACCCATTGACATTTTACTTAAATAGCCGTCAGAGGGAAGAGTTTTCAAATGGTTTTGATCGAAACCTTTCTCGAAAGATTTTACAAGGTGAACCGCTTTGGATTCCTCAAATTTGATGCATGTACCTAAATCCATTATAGCCCTTTCAGCAGCATCAATATGAGTCTCGTATAAACCTTCTACCATAGGACTGTTCAAAAGACCGTCTGTTTTCTTCATCTCCTCTTCGTAAACAAAATGAGGCATCACAAGTTTATAGACATTTTTAGTTTCGGATGATCCTGTTGGTAAAGTACTGTTTGTTTTCGTTACTTCACATAACTCGATTTCATCTTTGGGAAATTCCATGTTATTCTTAAAATTTATGTAAATTTTTTTCTGGACTTGAATGTGAATTGTCTGTAGTTTACTATTGATTAAAACAAAAACTTTCAAGCTGTCAGGCCGTAAAGGATCATATTTATATTCGATAACCTGCCAGATGGAGTTCAAATAAGACTCAGCTTGGTCCTTCAACATTCTATTCATTGAAAACGAGGAAAGCGTGGTGAGATTTCCTCTACCAAAGATCTTTTCTCTCCTTTCTCTTTCTTTTGCTTTCATCTTCCATTTGATTTTTTGATAAATCAAAAATGCAGGATAATTCACCAAAGGATCAGGCATTTTTCCTTTCAATATTCTTTGTTCTTCCTCTTCCAGGTCATTATCGTTCTTAAAGCCTCTTTTTCTAGATGTCACTTTGGCAACCTTTTGACCGTTACTTGAGGCAGACAACCCAATGTCTTCAATGTCTGCCGATGGTAAAGTAAGTTTAGACCCTTTAGGAGCCTTCTTGAAAAAAGAATTCAAAGACGACTGCTTGAGTTTATCATCACCAATATCTATCTTTCTCTGCAACCATTCAGGATGTGCAACTCTCGGAACAGGATTTCTAACACCTTGCAAAGCAGCTGGAATGGTAATGATTTTCTGCACAACCGAAGCTAGACGTTCCCTGTAGTATTCCCAGTCAATAATATCTCTAGGATCAAAGTTCGTCAATGAGGGATCACGTAACCATCTACGCAAATATTTGCTCTTCACATCTGCTTCTGAGGAGAAAATGGTGGTTGGAATTGCACGTTCTGTCACAGGACTTCCAATTGGTTTCTGAGCAATAACATACTTACATGCTAACCCTGCATCTTTCACCATCTCTTCTCCTAAAAATTCTCCCAATCTTTTTGCTGTAGTGATTGAGGTTGACTTCTGATTACCGTATTCGGCCAACTTCTTGGACATACTTCTGTTTTCGCAAATCAACTCAATTAGATCTTCGTCTTCTAACATTTTACCTTTGGTGTCAAGAACGTCCAACCATCTATTGGCAACGTTTGCAACAGTTTGATAACATTTTTCCAAAGTGTCTCCTTCTAAGAATAATTTGAAAATATCTGACTGAAAATTTTTGATCAATTGAAGTTCACCTCTTCTTTTCAACTCAAAACCTTTCAATTCTGCTAGGGACCCATCAAAGTTGAACACAGCATACCTTTTCTTCAAACCCTTACCTTCCTCTTTAGATGTTGGCAAAACCATCGCTTTGTATGGACCGTCGACTTCAAAAAAAATAGAGTTATCTGATTTCATTTCATAATTGTATCGCGTAGGATCGGTCAAGGTTTGATATTGGTGATTTGTAAACTTTTCATGGACTAAGTAATTCAACATGGAGCATGGATACGAACCAGAAAACGATTTACCATTCTTAAGCTTGAAATTGTACTCCTCTGGAAAACTTGAGGGTAAAATACACCAAATACCATCTGTATCAATTTCTAATGGTCTGCCAAATCTTTGCACCAATTGCCGTGCCATTTGAATAATAGTAGCACCTGTAAGACATGTAATACCCGCCATTTCCATTGAATACCATCTGGAACCCTTACGCATGACATAACCGTAAAACGAGTTTAAAATAACCTTGTGTGCCAACTGCAGGGAATCGTATAACACGACCATTTTGTTAGCTTCTTCAATGGCATGTTTATCAGAAGATTCAATTGCTTTTACTTTGCCTTTCCAGACTTTGGCTAGTCCTTTGAAGTCATAACGTCTATCTCTAAAACTCCTCACCGTGTTGACATAAAATGGATTCTCCCTTTGACAAACAATAGCTTCACGCTCAACAGTTTCAGTAGATTTGATTCTATGGTAAACTTTTCTTGAATAGTCGGCAATCTTCTGTTTCACATGAGCTACCTGTTCGGTGTAAGGTATCTCCTCAAACTTTCTTTTGGGACCACTAGGATATTTCGGTGGAAATGTTTCACTGTAAGCAGCATTTTTGATCATATTGTACTCATTCATTTCAGCAGGATAATACTCACCTCTCCAAGCCCAAGTTAACCTCCTATCACACATTTTTCCTGGTCTACTGAAGTCACAAGATGCGCAGTCTTCCTCTGATTTCATTGAGTCTGGCTGCAAACGATTTGTAGTCATAATATTAGGATACATGGAAGCCACATCAACGTGATAAATAGAAGGAGTCTCATGGCGTTTCACGTTTTCCTTCAACAACAGTAACTTCGCTTTTATCTCATCGTGAACTTCTTGAAAGTTAGTAACATCTTCGACTTTTTTTCCTCCTTCAACTGTGATAGCAAAAGTTAACGAATTTTTTAAGTCTGCGACAACTTCATCAACTGCAGTTGGATCTATGTTGAAGTCATTTTTTAAATCTGATCTGAAAACACCTGCTTCTAGAGATTCCACATGGCCACCCACATAGGTTTCCGACTCTAGCAAATGTCCATTATAAAATCTTTCTGGAGGATCAATATGCTTATTCGGTAGTAGAATGTTCTCATTATATGCTTGAACCATCAATAACATTTCACACAATGTACCGGTACCTTTCCTCAAAACTTCATCTGGATTCAAAGGAATAATGGTACACAAGGAGAAAATGAACGGGTGAACATATTTATAGTAGAGATAGTATGTGGCCACTGCATCGGAGACAGAGTATTCTGAAAGCAACTGAGGATGCTCATATGCATAGGGAGTCATCAATTCTGGGTCCAACTCTGTCGGATTGTAGCCCAACTTAGCTGTTGTGACGGCTTTTAAACCTTGGGAACCTTGAGGCAAATATGAATCACGCTTAACCCATCGAAAACAATCCATATGAGCACAATAAGTTGACTTATATTCACCTTCTGCATCTTTGGCAAAACCGATTTCTTTAAACATGTCCAATCCATGGAATGCTGCTCTTGCTTCGACAAAAGGCCAGTCAAAAAAATCACCGTTGAAAGTGGCAATGACTGTTGGTCTTACATCTCGTATGTGTTCAAAAAATTTTTGCAGTAATGCCTTTTCATCCGTTTCATTGAAAATCGAGAATTCGCCAACATATTCTGGTTTAGGGGTATATTCGAAATCCTCGATGTCTTCAGATATGATGGATCTGTTTGTAATTAAATAACCTTCCCCATCAATCATGTAGGAAATCATCATGACTTGATCTGTTGAAGAATCTGGGAACTTCAATGGGGCTTTAGTGGTCTCTATATCAAATGCCAAAACTACGGGGTCGGCAAATGCAATTTTTTCCGTATTCTCTATAATATTTGGGCCTGTAGGACTAGCCTCCACGGTGTACCATTTTCCAATTCGAATATTTTCATCGATAGAAACACGCACATGATAAGGAACATCATATTCTCTGATATCTAGCATTAGCTCCGAAGCGTCGGTATACTTGAATCCAAATTCCTCTTCTATGTCCACATCCATTAACAAGTCGTCATTTTCAATAGTTTCTTTATTTATGCTGCTATAATTTAAGTTCATAGACTTGTAGATATCATTGCTTTCCTTACGTGCTTTGTTTTTATTGATGTAAGGCTGTAAAGTTCTCCTAGCGTTTAATAGGTCTGTGATATTGTTGAATGATAGCTTTACTAGAGTCCGTCTCTTACCCGTCAAATGGTTTGCCAAATCCAAATCTTCCTTCTCGATGGTTGATATCAACTTGACCGTTGAATCTAAAGTTCTGCGGAGCCATTCTTCAAGTTCCGTAGACTTCCCCGGCGGACATGCAATCATGAAATAGGGATCGAATTGATAGGAAACCTTGAAAGAGCCACCTTCTTCATCAAGGAAATAATAGTCGACACCTGAAAGTTGGTCATGGGAGTCTTCATCCTGAATCAAGGTCGAATGCATATTAACTAGCCAGCCGGTTCTCTTTGGGCCCGACTCATATTTGTCGAATCCGAAAATCGAGTCCAACAAGTCTATTTCTCTGACATGTTTTATTCTTTCATTGGCGATATCGTCAAATACCGAATTCCCATTTTCTTTATTCTGACCTTTACTTCCAGAAAAGTTGTTGTAATTTTGCTGATATTGTGGTCCGCTACGCTGGCCTGAGCTACTATAATTCTTATTTCCTCTTCTATTCTTCACAAAACGTGCGGAAGTCGATCCTCTGAAGTTTCCACGAGACGCCATTTCCGATTTCTCCCTGGCCGCTTTTCCAGTAGTTTAAAGAATCCTCTATGCTAACTAGTAAAGACGCTGCTCTGTGGGTCTTTTCCTAAGAAGCTTGATAAGGCAGGGATAATGAATTCGAAACACGAAATGGAACGCGTATTTCAACTGCATGTACCACTTTCCGTGTAGCCAGAAGGAGAAAAAGAGCCAGCTCGCGGCAGGAAAGGCTGGAGGAGGGTCTAATGCCTGAGGAGCATCGATCTTTGTTTTGGCAAGCACAGCTAGCTTTGGGGCTAACGGCTCTTCTCGAGGTCCACTGCATCTATCCTGTACGGGTTTAAGTACCACAGAACCCACCTGAAACAAGCGGTATTGTCGGCACTGGATATATATGTACAATCCATACCAAGCTCAAGTGAAGGGAGACCAGCCCGGCCAAGCAGCTGGCGCTGGCCAATCGCCCTACTGGAGCGGCGACCAGCAGACATCCAACACACAAGCACATCAGCAAGCGCAGTACTTGCAGCAGCAGCAGCAGCAGCAGCAGCAGCAACAGCAGAACCAGTTCCAAGGGCAGAACCTCGGGCAGCAAGCGCAGGGTCAGTACGGGAACATGGCGAGCGGCAACAACGGTGCAGGGACGCAGTTCAACACATTCTTTAATGATCCCGCTGCACAAATGGGGCTGCAGTTTTCACAGAGTGCGTTCAATGCATCGCAGCAGTACATGCAGCAGAATTTCCAGCAGTTTGTGTCGAGCGAGGACATCAAGTACTACTTCAAGGTGTCCAACGCGTATGTGCTGAAGAAGCTCTTGCTCATCCTTTTCCCGTACAGCAACAAGAGTTGGATCAGACAGAACAAGTCGGACGTGAACGGCTCTGCTGGTGGCAGCAACGCTGCAGAGCTGTTTGCGACGCCGATCGAGGACGTGAACGCTCCAGACCTATACATCCCGACGATGGCGTTCTTGTCGTACATCCTCGTGTGGGCGTTAGGCGAGGGTGTGAAGGGAGACTTCCACCCCGAGATGCTGGGTTACGCCACCACGAGAACGATGGCGTTCTACATCATGGACTTCATCTTGCTCCGGATCTCCTTCTACGTCTTGGGCATCAACTCGAAAAACAGCAAGATCTGGGATCTTGTCAGCTACACCGGATACAAGTTTGTTCCGATACTGGTGTTGCTTGTCCTCGAGTCGCTCACGGGCTACTCCGCCGTCGTGAGGTACGTCGGCCTCGTGGTGCTCGTGTTTTCGCTCGGCTTCTTCATGATGCGCAGCCTCCGCTACGTCGTCCTCCCCGGCGGCGGCTTTGGCGGCGAGAGCCGGATCCGCATGCAGTATCTCTTTGCATACTGCTTTATTGTTCAGGGGCTCTTTGTGTGGCTCATGACGTGAGCGGCCTCGTGCCCGTAGACGACAGCCATCCTTATACAGACTACAGACTTATGCACATACCGTATTTATTTGTACACACCACATCAATGAATACCTCCTTTGAACGCCGGCAGCAGCAGCACTAGCAGCAGCAGCAGCAGCAGCAGCCAATGCCACCATCAATGCCATCGATTCTTCTGCCTCACCATCCTCCTACTCTCTTCTCCGACACCTATCCACCGACTCCGAACCCCGACAAAAAGAGACGGCCTCTAGCCATCACCCTCTGTTTCAGCATTTTAAGCCGATCGGCCCTATACATATGTTACCCGGCCGCCTGGATGTCCCCGTGGCCTACGGAAATTATACGGGCCAGATCCCCATGTAGGAGAAGAGAGCGGGGAGGCTGCAGCAGCAGCAGCGGTGGAGGGTGAAAAAATTTTTTTGCTTTCTCCTGGCCGGGTGTACTGTTTCTTAGCTCCTTTCACCGTGTCCACTTTTTCACCTTGCGTTGTATCTTCTCTCCCTCTTCTTCTTCTTTCCATTTCTTCTGCCCCTGTTTGTGCTGGCCCTCCGTCTTCTTAGTCTTTTCTTTCCGGCTTTCGTTTAACAACTCTCCATATACTTCCAAGATGGGTATGTACGACTTACACACAGGGGGATCCAATGGGGTTGGAATCGTGGCAGAACGGTTTGCCAGCTCAGAAGAACACATGCAATGGCGAGCAATCGAGCAATCTGGCAGCAGAAGTGTGCAGATGGGCTCTCGAGCTACCACGATTTCAGTCAGGATCAGAAGTTGTTTCATTGAAAATAAAAAAAATGATGTTCGCAATACTAACATTTCTTGCTGACCTATTTTTATCTTTACTCCAGTTAACTTCACTGTTGAACAAATCAGAGACTTGATGGACCGTGTTACCAATGTGCGTAACATGTCCGTCATTGCGCACGTCGATCACGGTAAATCTACCTTGACTGACTCCTTGGTCCAAAGAGCCGGTATCATTTCCGCTGCCAAGGCCGGTGAAGCCAGATTCACTGATACCAGAAAGGATGAACAAGAAAGAGGTATCACCATCAAGTCCACTGCCATTTCTCTTTACTCCGAGATGGCTGACGATGACTGTAAGGAAATCAAGCAAAAGACCGAAGGTAACAAGTTCTTGATCAACTTGATCGACTCCCCAGGTCACGTTGATTTCTCTTCCGAAGTCACTGCTGCTTTGAGAGTTACCGATGGTGCTATGGTTGTTGTTGATACCATTGAAGGTGTCTGTGTCCAAACCGAAACCGTTTTGAGACAAGCCTTGGGTGAAAGAATTAAGCCAGTCTTGGTTATCAACAAGGTCGACAGAGCTATGTTGGAATTGCAAATTACCAAGGAAGACTTGTACCAAACCTTCTCCAGAACCGTTGAATCCGTTAACGTCGTTATCGCCACCTACATTGACAAGGTTCTTGGTGACTGTCAAGTCTACCCAGAAAGAGGTACCGTTGCTTTCGGTTCCGGTTTGCACGGTTGGGCTTTCACCGTCAGACAATTCGCTACTAGATACTCCAAGAAATTCGGTGTTGACAGAGAGAAGATGATGCAAAGATTATGGGGTGACTCTTTCTTCAACCCAAAGACCAAGAAGTGGTCCAACAAGGACAAGGACGCCTCTGGTGCTCAATTGGAGAGAGCTTTCAACATGTTCGTCTTGGACCCAATCTTCAGATTAATCAACTCCATCATGAACTTCAAGAAGGATGAAATCAACACCTTGTTAGATAAATTAGAAATCAACTTGAAGAGTGAAGAAAGAGAATTAGAAGGTAAGGCTTTGATGAAGGTTGTCATGAGAAAGTTCTTGCCAGCTGCTGATGCCATGTTGGAAATGATTGTCATTCACTTGCCATCCCCAGTCACTGCTCAAAACTACAGAGCCGACCAATTATACGAAGGTCCATCTGATGATGAACACTGTATGGCCATTAAGAACTGTGATCCAAAGGCTGAGTTGATGTTGTACGTCTCCAAGATGGTCCCAACCTCTGATAAGGGTAGATTCTACGCTTTCGGTAGAGTTTTCGCTGGTACTGTCAAGTCCGGTCAAAAGGTCAGAATCCAAGGTCCAAACTATACCGTTGGTAAGAAGGAAGACTTGTTCATCAAGGCTATCCAAAGAACCGTTTTGATGATGGGAAGAACCGTCGAACAAATTGACGACTGTCCAGCTGGTAACATTATCGGTTTAGTCGGTATCGATCAATTCTTATTGAAATCCGGTACTTTGACCACCTCCGACACCGCCCACAACATGAAGGTTATGAAGTTCTCTGTCTCTCCAGTTGTCCAAGTCGCTGTTGAAGTTAAGAACGGTAACGATTTACCTAAGTTAGTTGAAGGTTTGAAGAGATTGTCCAAGTCTGACCCATGTGTCTTGACTTACATGTCTCCATCCGGTGAACATATTGTTGCTGCCACTGGTGAATTACATTTGGAAATTTGCTTGGGTGACTTGCAAAACGATCACGCTGGTGTTCCATTGAAGATCTCCCCACCAGTTGTCTCTTACAGAGAAACTGTTGAATCCGAATCTAGAATCGTCGCATTATCCAAATCTCCAAACAAGCATAACAGAATCTACTTGAAGGCTACTCCAATGGAAGAAGAATGTAGTTTGGCTATTGAAAACGGTGTCATTGACCCAAGAGCTGATGTTAAGGTCAGAGCTAGATTAATGGCTGATGAATACGGTTGGGACGTCACCGAAGCCAGAAAGATCTGGTGTTTCGGTCCAGATGGTACAGGTGCTAACGTCGTTGTCGACGAAACCAAGGCTGTCCAATACTTGAATGAAATCAAGGATCACGTTAACTCCGGTTTCCAATGGGCTTCCAAGGAAGGTCCACTTCTTGGTGAATCCTTGAGAGGTGTCAGATTCAACATTATGGATGTCACTTTACACGCGGATGCTATCCACAGAGGTGCTGGTCAAATCATGCCAACCATGAGAAGAGTTACCTTTGCTTCCATGTTGTTAGCTGAACCAAGAATTCAAGAACCAATCTTCTTGATTGAAATTCAATGTCCAGAATCCGCTATCGGTGGTATTTACTCCGTCTTGAACAGAAAGAGAGGTCAAGTTATCTCTGAAGAACAAAGACCAGGTACCCCATTGTTCACTGTTAAGGCTTACATGCCAGTTAACGAATCTTTCGGTTTCACTGGTGAGTTAAGACAAGCTACCGGTGGTCAAGCTTTCCCACAAATGATCTTCGATCACTGGGAGTCCATGGGTGGTGACCCAACTGATCCATCTACCAAACCAGGTGCTATTGTCCTCGAATCCAGAAAGAAGAGAGGTCTCAAAGAAAACGTCCCAGGTTACGAAGAATATTACGACAAGTTATAAGGAGCTTGAAATTTACTTTTCTTTTCTCTTCTATTATAATTTTTTGTTTTTATTTTTCACGTTTGTTTAACCACTGTCTATTTTGTATTTCTGTTTATACTTAATTAAAGTGAGGCTTAGTCTATCAACCATTCAAGCAGCCAGTTGTTTAATTAATTAGTTAATTAACATTAATTTTTTCTATTCATAATTTACATAAAATTTAATATTATACATTCTGAAAAATTACAAGTTGTGTGTATACCGTATTGTATCGTACAGACTAGGTTACTTTTTCCTTAATCTAGTACTTTTACGCAGATTTTGGACATTGGTCCGCAACTTCACTCTATTCAGCCTAGCCTTCAAAACACCACCTGCAATAGCATCATCACCCTCATGTTTTTCCATTGAAACCTTCCTTTTACGGAGATGTCGTCCAACAACTCCATCATTCTCTAAAAAGTTGGATATATCAATTCCCAGTCTTTTCATTTCTGTATTTCCCTTGAATTGAATTTTAGCAGGAGTGGTAGAAGTAATAGCAGTACTATCGTCCTCATTTGATTTATTGACTTTAATATCTATGCCATTATCAGTACTAAATTCTTCCTTGAGTGTATTCCAGCTATCAGTAATCATTCTATCATACTCTCTCGCATTCTGATATTTCACTTTTTTGTATCTTTGCCATCCTTTGAAAAGCTTTTGTAACTCCAGTAGTGGAGAGTTTGGATGAAGATTCAAGTTTGTAAGCCATGCTGAAAACTTTTCAATCTCGTAAATCAAAGTTTCCACCTCTTTGTATTCTCCATCATCACACTTTTCTATAATCTGATAAATCGTCGGTTTGACCGCATATTTTGGAAGTGGAGTTTGATGGTGGCTTGCAAAATGAGTTTTGAAAAAAAGCAGCAAATTGCAAAACACCCATTTCTTTGGTTGGCTGAAAATGGCTGCAGTTTCTAGCTTGTTTTCAATAAGAACTTTATCTGCTTTTGAACGCTTAGCAATCAGTTTAGTCAGTTCCGACAATTTTCTCACATCTTGCGAAAAGAATTCTACTGCATTATCACGATTCTCAAGCTCTTGTTCTGGCAGTGACGCCTGATTGAAAACGTCTGGCCTCTTGATTAAGGGCTTGCCCATAAACTGCCTTTTGAGGGTAAAATATTTTGCAAATTGGTTCAAGGTCAACTTTGAAATATTTGGAAGCTTATTTTCATGATGAAACTGGATCAACTCTTCTATGACAATAGAGGGTATAACATAAATATTTGAGTTAAGCCTCCATGCAAACTTTTGTGACTTTACCAGCATAAGCTCTTTATACTCTGCTTCAGTGACTAGAGTCAAATCACTGTTGGCATGTTCATCAAACGTATGACTTCTTTTATCATGAAAATAAAGTCTAGTTTTATCAATACCCTTTTTTACATCATGAGTTGACGCCCAATCATGGGGCGTATGTTTGTCACAAAAACTGACCAAGGTACTTTTATCGTTGATGGCGACCTTTATGCTTTTCTTCATTTTCATATATAAGCCAGCCCTTTTGGCGCATGTTACATGGTATGCAGCAAAGCATGTGGGCCTTGAACACTGAATGCAGACACCGACTTTTTGTTTGCAAATGTAGCAGACCAATTTCCATCTACTTTTGGGTATGTTTTCAATCCCCTCTATGGGTTCCATATAAATTGGGTTTGCAAAGTATAATACTGGGGTCCATAAAGTGCACAGGACATGCGCCCAGTCTCCTCCATCGGTTTGTTTAAATGCACCAGTGATGGAGGGACAAAATATGCATTTTTCAGTAGTATTGCGTGCTATTAGGCACCGACGACAAAGCCAAGGGCCTTCTGGAATAAAAGAGACGCCGTAGCAATCCTGGTGAACGGCAATGTCGCATCCGTCACAAAATACTATTGAGTTTGAGTTGTCACAATCACTCGAGTCACAGACAGCACATGCTTGCTCATCCTGATGAGCACATCCAGTTCCATCGTCTGAGCCATATAATAGTGCATGCTGTTGTTGTTGGTAATCTATCGTCAAACGGTCTTTTATCGTAGGCGGTAAGATTCTCTCGATCTGGTATATTTTAGTCTCAAAGAATGATATTATTATCTCAAACTGCTCCATGGAAATTTCCTGCTTTGATATTTCGTTAACCCAATTTAGGAAAAACAAATCAGTCTCGTCCATATCGTAGTGCACTTGGAAAGATTTAGAATTAAAGGTAAGTTTTCCACGAATCAATGCATCTTTCTGTGAGTCGGGTCGAAAATAAACAGTCGGTAATTCCAGTGCTTTGCTTTTATCGACATTGATATTGTAGAATCCCAGCTTTTCAAGTAGGGCGGCAGAATTCAAATGATGTATGGAAATTCCGTCCGGGATGGGAGGTTCAACGTGTGAAATCTTTCGGAAACTCGGAAATTTCAACCGGCTTTGTCGTATCTGATCTACTCGTTTTTGTCTCTCCAGGTAATCTTGTAGTCCACCTGTATTTTGTACTACGGTGCTGTACACTTTGCTGTTACTGAATGTAAATAGGTCAAGTGCTTCTTCGCCATCCAAATCTTTGTAATACTGTGTATAAGGCGCTTCTTCACGCGGATTTTGAAGTTCAAGATAATCCTCGGATCTCAAATCTGAAGAATCTGGTTGTTCAGAGGACGACGCCATAGCTGAGAACAAGAATACCTTCCGCTGGGATTTTTATTTTTGGCTCTAGGTACTTTAATCTAACTAGTGAATGCCACCTTTGTTGACCAGAGTTCCTATTATCACACTTTCCTTGGAACAGTTTTGCAGAGCTGTAGACCCCGTCAACAATATCAACAACATTTAACCGCGACTCATGGTTTTTCACGTGACTTTATGTTTGGACGATTCCTTTCAACAAGTTTAATCTGTAGAAAGATACATATCGGGTCAAGCAATGAGGAAGCGGTTATCAAAACGTAAACACTATTCCAAGTCTTTTTAATGCAGCCATTATAATTGGCAGTGCATTTGATTTTTGTAGGATTGTTGAAGTCCATCTGCAGAAGCCCGGTATTTTTGATCTGTTCTGGACCAGGCATGAAAACCATGTGCTACATTGTTTTACTCTAGCACACCAGTGGTTATTAGCATATTTCTATAATACTAGATTGATAAAATTACTTAATTACTTCCACTTAATCAAAGTAGTTACTTCATTTCATTCCTTTCTTAAAATTCAGGACATGCTCTATTAACTTTTCTACCACGATGTTAGGTTTTAAACAAGGGAGACACGGAAAACATGGGTACAAACCTCTTTCACCCGAAGCACTCGAAAAGCAGCATAGACGAGAACATTTCATAACTTCCCCGAATGTAAACGTCGAGAAGACTTTGGGTCCACGAACACGGAAAAAAGGTACTCTAGCATATTGGCTTTCATCACTTCGACTCTATCTATCAAGAGAGGGGCCAGCACTCGGACCTTTACCGTCGGGTGTTGACGATTTAAGAAAAGAACAGGCCCAGAACCATCAGTTTTCACAGGTCATTCTAGCATACGATCTTCGAGCAATTGAGCTGCAAAATCGTTTACTTCTCAAGCATGTATCTCGCAAACAGACAAAAAGCGATGATGAGAGACTGTCTAGAGAAAACACGCCTGAACACACAGAAGACAACGTCTTCGACTTTCGAACGCCGCCCGGGTTGAATAACTATCCAGCAGTCGATAAAACTGACAGTGACGAGAGTTTTGTCTTGATCTTCCCGAAAACCGGAGAACAAGAAATAGCAGCCAAAATGGTGCCTACAAACATGAAGGCTCAGCTGACAAAGGATAAGCATAAAGCGTTCATTCAAAATCGACCATTGGAAGGAAGCTCTAAAGACTTGTTGCACGAGAGTACAGAAGATGAGGAAGCAGGTGGTGACAGCAAGCAAACCCTCGGGAGATTCGACCAAGAGGGACGCATATCGAACTCACCATCAAGCAAACTACCCCGGACACCGATTCCAACCCCTCCTAAATCAGGGTCTAGCACGAGCTTAATTGCACAACTGCGGGAAGCTCAGCTTCAGCCAAAGCAATCACCGCTTTCGAAGAAGGATTTGAGAAGAAACTCGAAAACAGCAGACGTGAACAAAAAATACTATGAAGGGTTGCAGCTTTCTAGGAAGTCTAATCACCCTGGCCACGTGAAACTCATTTCTCCCGCCGAAAAGACCACAAACCCCGCAGGGACCGTTGGCACAGAGGAACGTGGGGCCTCCGAATCATCCATCCCAGCATCTAGGTTGACGAAAGAGTTCACCACTCCAACGTTGGACCCGACCAACAGACCCTTCTTTGCATCGGGCCAGCGTATTGGTATGGAGAGATATTCCATGCAGTCCGTGGAGGGCACAAGCCAAGATACTTCGACGAACGACGTCGTCGTTGGCTTCTCTCCGGATGAAGATGCTTTCGAGCCACTATTGTCCAGGGCAAACATCCCAAAACCGCAGCAGAAATTACAAACTGCTGACAGCAATCACGGAGTGGCCACGGACGACGAAGAGCGTGTCGTCTTCTTCGATTTGGAAGATTCCAGACCTAGCAGCTCTGGAGGTGGTAGTCTTCTCCATCGTAGTTCCAGCAGCATCAGCGGAAGCATCAAGGCTCTTCGCTACTCTAGGAGAACGGGGAAGAAGGATCACCAACGCTAGTGAGCCGACCCAATTCACTAGAGCCACTGTCTCTAACAACTCTTCTATAATCACCATCAGATGTCTGAATGCTTATCGAACGTTTTAGATAAACATCGTCACCCCCACACACGAGAAATGCCGCCGATCGGCGTACCAACCAGGAATCGCGGCGCATTGTGATAATTGCAGTGTGGCACAAGCGTTTCCTCTGGGCGGTAGTGAAGATAACGACAGTACACATACACGCAGACATGCATGAGGCAATGGGGCGGGTGGCAGCTACAGGGGCTTTTGTTGAGGTTTAGCAGACACACCAAGACAACAGCGAAGACAGAAAGGCCTCTCTAGCAGGCACCCTCACCCTTTTGTTGCGAGAACCAGCTTACCCCCGATCTTTTGCGCTCATTGCACTGCCGCAGTCAGTGACAACAGAAAATACCAGAAAAAGAGCTGTATACTTCGCAAAGGGAGTTGCAGACTATACTATAAAAAGGAGACATCACACTATACAACAAGGAAGATGAGTCGTAATGGTTCAAACAACTTTGTGAACGATTTCAATTCTCCAAACTCCAACTTTTTAAACACCAATAGTTCGTCAACGACGCCGTTTACCAACGACAGCAACGGCAATCTAAACACAGGCCACGAGGATTTTGGTAATTTCAACGACTTCAGCACGAGTGGCAATACCAATGGGTACAACGAGGACTGGGACCAGATAAGCCAAAATGTTGTAGGAAATGCCCGCGGGCCGGAAACTAACATCCAATATACGAATTCACTGAGCAATTTCGGCTTTGTAGATACCAACAATACCGACATTCAGCCAACACAGTCCCCTGCTGGTAATTTTTTGAACCCCGTGGACCTCGAGGAGTTTGACAAGCAGTTCATCGACAGTTTGATGGATGAAAGCGTGTCAAACAACAACAACATGGGCAGCACCAATGATATGAACCGTGATGCTACCTCTAGAAACCCTGTTGATATCAATATCAACGGTTTGCCGATCGTCCCCAACAACTTCTCGATGAACACTGTGAATAACAGCTCCAACAATAACGAGTCTCTTTCCAACTCAGTGTACCAAAGTCCTCAGCCAATATCAACCTCGCTTGCCAGAGACTCTTCCTCCTTGCGGACTGATGCGTTTTCTCCTCAGTCTTTGGGGTTTTCCACCAATTTCACCAGCCACAAGCTCGGAAAGACTATTTCGAACACGTTAGCGAAGAGCTATGGTTCCCAGCTTGGCACCTCACTCAATAATCTGATATCACCATCCTCCACCTACGAGGGTTTCCTTGACTCCCCTTATGGCTCATACAATGATGATAGTTTGAAGTCTCCTATAAACTCACCATCTTTTAAAGGCATCGGCTCCCCGTCCTCGGTTGCTACGCATCTGAACCCTAAAAGTGCGTTGAGTAAAGAAAATAAACTGTCAAGAAGAAGAGAACTACACAATGCAGTTGAAAGAAGAAGACGTGATTTAATTAAGGAAAAGATAAAAGAGCTAGGAGCCTTGATACCTCCATCCATGCTGTATGACATATCGAAGTCTAAAAACACAAATAAAGACACCAAAGCAAATAAGAACATCATCTTAAATAAGAGTGTGGACTATATACTTTATTTGAAGGAAATTCTAGAAGCTCAGGATAAGAGACTCGCAGAATTGGATGAACAAGTAGAACAACTCAATTTAAATGATAAACTCGCCGAAGAAAGTGAAGCCTTTAACAATAAAAATAATACGACCGAAAACTACACATATGATAATAGTATTTCTCCAAACAACGCTGATATGAACGAATCCCACAGGGGGGGAAATGGTCCAAATACGGATCTGGATAGTTTCCAAAAAAATTTAAAGGCGTTTACAGAGAACGTCGACATCAAGCCTAGTGAATCGAAGTTGAAGTTCATGGACTTTTCTAATGCTCATTCTGAGCCTGTGGATTTCAAGCAACTTTCAGAGTCCTATAAAAAGTATCCGAGAGCTGATAACATGGATCCACTTCTCAATTTGGAACAAGTCGATTTGAATCAAAATAATAATGCAAATGATAACTTTGATGGACGGCTTTCGTTCAGTACCAAGCACAATGAATTCGATAACTTAAACAGCATACCGTCACCGGTATCAAACTTTAACAATAATAATACAAACAAGTCGGAAGAAATTGCTTCTCCAGAGGATTTGGATCGGCTGCTGAATGAGCCAGGACTGAAGTTCAAAAGCGATGCCGAATTTCTTGACCAACTGCTTTCTAAGGAGTCTGTTGGTGGGTTTGGCAACTAAGAGAACTTCATTTATAACGAAAGATTGTATGTATTCATGTGTTTGTAAATTATAATGATAATATGTTAGCAGTTCGTTCCGTAAGGTTTCTACGGGCAATTTTTTCTAATTATTTTCCTCGGGCGAGCACGAATTGTTAGCATGGGAGATATGCGTTGTTATTATGAAGATAGTGGGCTTGTCTAGCTCAAATGACTTTCCTCTTCTCCGAATTGGGTGTCAGTGACTTCTAGGCAGGGAAACAAAGTTTCGGAGGACTCTTTTTACGGTATAAAATGTCGGAAGACAACAATGCTGCTTTCATATCCAACTGGAGAACTACGCGGACGACCAACAACAATGATTTTACCAACACAGCATCGTCATTCTTTACAAATTTAGGGACGAATATAAGTAATACATTCCAAGAAACTGTTGATGGTGCCCAAAATATACTACCGCTGAATTCATCAGACTTACTGGGGGCATCAGAAGAGCCATCTTGGTTTACTTTGTCAAGATTTGAAAGGTACTTGGGTTTTGTACTTTTGTTAGCCGGATCAACTGCTTGTTTCGCATTAGGCTTTTTCCTCTTCCCGGTGCTCACATTGAAGCCAAGGAAATTTGTCATGCTTTGGACACTTGGCTCTTTGTTGTTTTTCTTGTCGTTCGGTGTTTTGCAAGGGCCGGTGTCGTACGTCAAGCATTTGTCGAGCAAGGAGAGACTTCCGTTTACAGTTGTTTTCGTAACAAGTCAAGTATTGACCATATACTGTGCTGTTGTGCTCAAGAGCACGATTCTGAGTTTGATCATGGGCATTGTGGAGATACTGTCCATTCTCTGGTACACTGCAAGCTACTTCCCATTTGGGACACAAACGATGCAAATGGTTTTTGGCGCCGGTGCCCGCCAGGTCAGTGGGATGGTGGGCCTGTGAAGTGTGTTTTGAAGTTATAGTATAAATTTCAAAACAATCAAGTACATAAATAAATTTTTTGTATTAATTATAAACGTTCACGCATTATTTGATGATATTTCGGCCGGTAGTTCAATCATGCCAACTTGGCCTGTAACTCCTTTGCGTATGCAGCCAACTCAGACATGTCGGCATCTTCGGCGGGCCAGCCCACGATAAGCCCTGTGGCTTCGTCTCTTTTTGGAATCAAGTGGAAATGGACGTGGTCGACTACTTGGTGTGCAATTCTGCCGTTGTTTTGCAAAACGTTGTAGCCAGCACCTTCTGGACCATCAACGTTAAGGCCTAACGCAACCGTCAATTTCTTGACCACTGGCAAAATGTCTTGGAGATATTCATCCGGAAGATTGTGCAGCTTAGCGCCGTGGTACTTTGGAATCACCAACAGATGGCCCTTTGCTGTTGGCTGGATGTCTAGGAACGAGTAAGAGTGAGCTGTTTCAACCAGCTTGAATGATGGAATCTCACCTGAAAGAACGGGATAAAATGAGTTCGGAACGCAATCGCATTAAACCCACAGAGTTAGTAGCTGTTTCTGGTTCTCATTATTTCACAGTAACCCGATTTTCGTCGTGACCTGCCTACTTACCTTTGATAATCTTGCAAAAAATGCAAGATGCTTCATGTTTCACTGCTGATGCCATGGTTTTTGGGATTTACGGATGTAAAGTGAATTGGGGTTGGAACTGGGATTATATCTCCAAGTTTCTGAACTCTATCTCCTCTTATCCGTCTCTTTTCCGATCTTTTCGATCCACCCCATCATCACCTGGATCGCCAAAACAGGTTGCTCGCGCTGAGCACCCACTTTTTCTGGCATTTTGCCCCCCGGCCCTAGGAGCGGTGCCGGGGAGTGTGGAGGCCTGTTTGTATTTTGCCACTGGCCTGCCGTTCGACGATGTCTATGGGAATTTGCCTTTTCCCTGGAATATGGGATCTGGGCCGATTTTCTTTTATTTCCACCAGAGTTACAAGCAATTGCATATCAAGACAAAGAAACAATCACTTAGTTGGTAACGAAACATGTCTGGTGAGAAAAAACCTCTTTTAGATGCTTCCGGCAGAGATATTGGCCCTGAAGACTCTACCGCCACTGCGATCTTGCGGAGAAAGAAGAAGGACAACGCTTTGGTTGTCGATGATGCCACCAACGATGACAACTCTATAATCTCGATGACTTCGAACACCATGGAGAAGTTACAATTGTTCCGTGGTGACGCCGTCTTGGTGAAAGGCAAAAAAAGAAAAGACACCGTTTTGGTTGTCTTGGTCGACGATGATATGGAAGATGGTGTCTGCAGAATCAACAGAGTTGCTAGAAACAACTTAAGAGTTAGGTTGGGAGATGTTGTTGTCATCCATCCATGTCCTGACATCAAATTTGCCACCAGAATCTCGGTGTTACCTATTGCAGACACAATCGAAGGTTTAACAGGTTCGTTGTTCGACGTCTTTCTAAAGCCTTACTTCGTTGATGCATACAGACCGGTAAGAAAGGGTGACCATTTTGTCGTCAGAGGTGGTATGAGACAAGTTGAGTTCAAGGTTGTCGAAGTCGAGCCTGAGGATTACGCTATCGTCTCTCAGGATACTATAATACACTCCGAAGGCGAACCAATCAACAGAGAAGACGAGGAAAACAACCTGAACGAAGTCGGTTACGACGATATTGGTGGTTGTAGAAAGCAAATGGCTCAAATCAGAGAATTGGTTGAGTTGCCTTTGAGACATCCTCAATTGTTCAAGGCTATTGGTATCAAGCCACCAAAGGGTATCTTGATGTACGGTCCTCCGGGTACTGGTAAGACCTTGATGGCCAGAGCAGTTGCAAACGAAACTGGTGCGTTCTTTTTCTTGATAAATGGTCCAGAAATCATGTCCAAGATGGCAGGTGAATCGGAATCCAATTTGAGAAAAGCTTTCGAGGAAGCTGAAAAGAATGCTCCTTCCATTATATTCCTTGATGAAATCGATTCGATTGCTCCAAAGAGAGACAAGACCAACGGTGAAGTCGAGAGAAGAGTTGTTTCGCAATTATTGACCTTGATGGACGGTATGAAGGCAAGAGCCAATGTTGTTGTCATTGCTGCCACTAATAGACCAAATTCTATTGACCCAGCATTGAGAAGATTTGGTAGATTTGACAGAGAAGTCGATATTGGTATCCCAGATGCAACTGGTAGATTGGAAGTTTTACGTATTCATACCAAGAATATGAAGCTAGCTGATGATGTCGATTTGGAAAAGATTGCTTCCGAAACTCATGGTTACGTTGGTGCCGATATTGCATCCTTATGTTCTGAAGCTGCTATGCAACAAATTAGAGAAAAGATGGAATTAATTGATTTGGAAGAAGAAAATATCGATGCAGAAATTTTGGACTCATTGGGTGTCACTATGGACAATTTCAGATTTGCCCTTGGTAACTCGAACCCATCTGCATTGCGTGAAACTGTTGTTGAGAGTGTCAATGTTACCTGGGACGACATAGGAGGTTTGGACAGTATCAAGCAAGAATTGAAAGAAACTGTGGAATATCCAGTCTTACACCCAGATCAATATGCCAAGTTTGGATTGGCGCCTTCTAAGGGTGTTTTGTTTTTTGGACCTCCAGGTACTGGTAAGACTTTGTTGGCAAAAGCAGTTGCAACCGAAGTTTCTGCAAACTTTATTTCTGTCAAGGGTCCTGAGTTGTTGAGTATGTGGTATGGTGAATCCGAATCTAATATCAGGGATATTTTTGACAAGGCTAGAGCTGCTGCACCAACCGTTGTGTTCTTGGATGAATTAGATTCTATTGCTAAGTCTAGAGGTGGAAACATGGGTGACGCCGGAGGTGCATCCGATAGAGTTGTTAACCAATTATTAACAGAAATGGATGGTATGAACGCAAAGAAGAACGTTTTTATTATTGGTGCTACCAATAGACCAGATCAAATTGACCCAGCTATTTTGAGACCTGGTAGATTGGATCAATTGATATATGTTCCATTACCTGATGAAGAAGCTAGACTGTCCATCATGAACGCACAATTAAGAAAGACACCATTGGAACCAGGATTAGACTTAAGAGCAATTGCTAAGCTAACCAACGGTTTTTCAGGTGCTGATTTATCATACATTGTTCAAAGGGCTGCCAAGTTTGCAATCAAAGATTCCATCGAGGCACAAAAGGCATTTGAAGACTCACAGCAAGTTAAGAAGGAAGGTGAAGAAGCTGATGTTGTAATGGAAGATCAACCAGATCCAGTTCCATATATCACCAAGTCTCATTTTGAAGAAGCTATGAAGACTGCTAAGAGATCTGTGTCTCCTGCGGAATTGAGAAGATATGAAGCTTACGCACAACAACTGCAATCTTCTAGGGGCCAATTAAGCTCTTTCAAGTTTGACCCAGCACCTGGTGCATCTCAACCTGCTGGTGAGACATCCACTGCTGCTGACGGCGGGGCGTCTTTTGGTAATGTTGAAGAGGAAGATGATTTGTACAATTGATTTTTGTTATAGTTGTTTGTTCAGCTTTTAGTTAAATATCCCTTAATAAATAGATAAAGAATGAATATATTGAGTTGGGCATATACATAGGTGAAGTAAGCAGATCACTTTCATATTATCTTATGATTTTCGAATGGATAAGCGCATGATTAAGTAGTATTAAAGGAATACATAAATAGAAGTATATCAACAATTTCTAAAAACAATGAATGAGTAGAGAAAGGGTGAAATAAGGGGAAAAGAAAGGTTTAAAGAACTGAAGAACAAAAAAAAGGAATGTCAACGGTGGCGATCCTGAGTGACCGAAATGTAAATTATAGTGGTTTGATTGGTATCGTATCCAGGCAAAAGCATGAAATCTGTTGAGCGAGTGAATTTATGTGACAAGGGTGACAACGTTATCAATATTAGGGGGATTAGAAGGGACATTCTCCTTCCCATCTAAATTGACCTGCGTCAAATTCACCAGTTTCAACGATTTTTTGCTATCTTTCAAGGATAGTGAAGAAGTTGAAGACGAAATGGGTATATTTAGGGGTAAATTTGTTGAGTTTTTGAACTTTCTTGAGTTGGCAATGTTGTTGAGATTTGAGGAAGAGTCTGAGAGTTGTGATTTTGGTTTCAATTTCAAAGGGCGCAATGGCAAGGAGATTAGATTTGCCGATTTTGATTTTGGGGGCGTATTGTAGGTGTTGTTTGGGAATATGATAGGTGAAGGATTTGTGTCTGAGGTCGTTGACTCTATGGACTGAATCGAGTCTTTTCTTGGTAAAGACATGTATGACGAAACAGTAGAGGTTGAAGAGGAGGAGACCAGGGAAGGAAGTGAAGAAGAAGTGGAAGAGTGGGACAACCGTGTGTACGACGAGGATGCCGAACGCTGCGATGGCTGGTGTTGGGGATAGTTGTAGAAGTCGGAGCTTGCCTCGGCCTCTTTCAAGGCGGCGACTTCCTTCAAGAGTCTTTCTTCGTTTTTGATCCTCAGTTTTCTTTTTATTGGCTCCAAAAAGTACGACAGCGAGTGGATTAGGTCGCTGTTTTCGAAGCGTAAGTTCCCCCAGCCGATGTATTGGATCATCTCGATTTCGAGAGCGTTTACTTCACGCAATGACAGCAGACCGTCGGTGTAGGTAGTCCAGTGCTTGTTTGTTGGGGACGAATCGTTGGTGTATTTGGCGGCCAAAAGCATGGCGCCCAGGAAGATTCTGTGGTGGGTGGTGGACATTCCGACGGAGTTGGGAGGAATGACCTGTTTGAGACGGTGTAGATAGATCAAGCACGTCATCAAGGTGGTGCTCTGGACGTGGGAGTGCTGGATGAGGCGGTGGATGAAGGAGTAGAGGGAGGGTCTGCGTTTCGAGGGTGTGGCGGAGTGTTGGGGCGACTGTGGAGGGGAGGGGTAGTCGTACTGGCTGCAGTTGGCGGCGGGGGGTTCGTCGTCGCCAGGCGGCACCGAGATGATCGAGGCGGTGGTGGCCACCAGGTAGTGGACCATTTCGGCACTCACGGGCTTGTTCAAGAAAACGTACAGAGCTTCGAGGTCAGACATAGCGGCGGGTGGGTCTCAAGTTGGTCGACGGGGGTGGGTGCTGGACGTGTTGCGGTCGCTTCTGTCCTGCGTTGCTCTCACGAGGGTCCTGCTGGTTTGGCTTGGGTTGGACGAGGGGTTCTGCTGTCGAGACACACGGGACACGCACACAAGCACTGCGAGGTACAGCCACCAGGGGAAGCACCGCTTGCAGTTTCCACAGCGGAGTCTGCTATATATCTGCGGTGAAGAGCTGCTGCCACACGGGAACGGAGGGAGCAAGCGCTGTGGAGGAGCAACGCCAGCTCCAGACGCCGTCTTCCCGTCAAGTGACGGATTCGGCGTAGGGGGGGATAATCAACACCTGCCCAAAGAGGCAATCTGCTCCCCCAAAGGGGCCGCTGCCCATAAAGGAGGGCCTGCCAACGCGTTTGTGTCGCGTTGCACACGCGTTGCCCCCTTGTCGTATGTTCCCCGTGCTTTTTTCGCGTCACCGCTTCCTGCCTTGCTTGCTTGCTTGCTTGCTTGCTTGCTTGCCTGCTTCTTCTGTTTCACCCGCGTCGCTCATTTGGCGTCGCGTCGCGTCGCGTCGCCACAGGCTGCTGTGTCTTTCTCCAGAGCTCCGCACCCGGGCCGATCGTCCCAAATTGGCGTGGGCGGGCCGATCGACGCGGTTTTGTCACGTGCGCACGCGGCGCTTTTTGCGCGGGGTTTTTCACCGTTCCTGCTGCTCTGACGATGACGAAAGCGGCCCTGGCAATTGCCGTCCAAGAGCGAGCCAGGCCTGGTCTAGCGAAGAGGTGGGCTCAATATACAACAGCGTTAACCGTTGGTGACCGGGGTCTCCGTCGATGCCGTCGTGTGGGGTTGCGGTTTTTGAGGGGTGGTGTTGCTTGTGTTTTTTGTGTTGCTTGTGTTGCTTGTTTAGCTTGTTTAGCTTGTGTGTCTTGTGGTGGGGTTGATTCTGCAGACGGTACAGACAGCAGCGTACACGCATTGCCGGCGCTAAAACAATGTCTTCAGAAAACACAGCACTACTAGAACAGGAGTCGTCGCCGCAGCAGCAGCCTGCACAGTCGATGCTCAAGTCGGGCTACGAGGCGTGTGCGACGACGCTGCGGTCGTCGCCAGTCAACTGGTTGCTGCTCTTTGTGCCGCTTGGAATCGTGGCAGAGAAAGTGGGCATGGGTGCGGTGACGGTCTTCACAACGAACTTCATGGCGATCATCCCGTTGGCGTCGTTGCTAGCCTTTGCCACGGAGGAGCTCGGCGAGTCCATCCACAACGACTCCATCGCAGGCTTGTTGAATGCCACGTTCGGAAACGCGGTGGAGGTGATTGTCTCCGTGATCGCCTTGCGCCAGAACCAGGTGACCGTCGTGCAGGCCTCGATGCTCGGCTCCATCTTGTCCAACCTTCTCTTGGTGTTGGGGTCGTGCTTCATCGTCGGAGGCCTGCGCTACAAGGAGCAGTTCTTCAACCAGACGGCGGCGCAGACCATGGGCTCGTTGCTCGCGGTCTCGGTCATGGCCCTCTTGTTGCCCGCCGCGTTCTACCTCTCGTTGCCCAAGGATACGAGCCACTTGGCGGACAAGATCTTGAACTTCTCCAGGGGCACTTCCTTCGTCTTGTTGACCGTCTACGTCTTTTACATGGTCTTCCAGTTGAAGACACACGCTTTCCTTTTCACGGAAGACGCCGACGCCAGCGCCGAAAACGTCATCCAGGACCTTGAGGCCCAGCCAGCCAATCCAGCCCAGGCCCTTGAATCCGCTGAGCCAGCATCATACTACGGCCAAGAAAACACCGCACCGGAGTCCGCTTCTTCCCACTCTCGTAGCAACTCCTTCCTGATCAACAGACCAAAGTCCATATACGACCTGGGCTCGTCTCCGGAACAGCACCTTTCTGCTATCTCCGCCATAGCCGTCCTCCTCCTTTCCACCGTCATGGTCTCCATCAGTGCAGACTACTTGGTCGGAACCATCGACGAGATTGTGCAGACTTCTGGGTTGTCGAAGACATTCATCGGTTTGATCATCATCCCCATCGTCGGTAACGCGGCAGAACACGTCACGGCAATCTACGTCGCATACCACAACAAAATGGACTTGGCCATCGGAGTCGCCATTGGCTCTTCCTTGCAAATCGCCATCTTTGTCACTCCGTTCTTAGTCCTGGTCGGCTGGATCATGGACGTGCCAATGAGTTTGTATTTCAGCATGTATGAGACAGCCGTCATCTTTGTCTCTGTCTTCATCACCAACTCCTTGATTTTAGACGGCAGCTCCAACTGGTTGGAAGGTGTCATGTTGGTTGCAACCTACTTTATCATCGGAATATCGTTTTTCTTGTTCCCAGATACCTTGGGAGAGTGATGGCGGTTTTTCGGTTCTGGCGGATTCGGTTCGGTAAACTCAATTTCTTTTCAATCCAAAACATTCGATATATTTATTAGTATAAATTGATGTACAGTTAATTGCCTGTTTTCTTATTGTTATCTATAAATTGAGCTTTTTCAGCCGAATATTAGGCTGTGCTTAAGCGATTGTCGTAGACACCATTCCTTCAGAAAGAAGCCACTGAAGTTGATCATGTTGTTTAAGTCCCAGAGGTGAGAGCAGATCGGCAAGCAATAGTTCACACCTGTCTTGAACTTCGGTATCTGGCTCGGTCCCGGCACATTGAGGTCGTATGGCAAGACAATAGTATTTTGTTTCACACTTGATATCTTCGTGAAACTCTGACTCCACAAGTGAGGATACTCCTTTGCTATGACAAACAACCCCAGATTATTCTCACCGACTTGCAAAGCCTTTTTCGAGCTCTCCAGAGTCTCTTCGTATTTGCTCAATAGCTTCGCAATTCTAGCATTGTTTATGTTTTCGTCCGATACGGCTTCATCCTTCAGAATGTCCATGTATTTGAGGATCGTATTGCCCAAGTGAAGCTGGATGAAACCATTGGTATAATGTATGAAGCCAAGGATGTGCACTAATCCATTCAGGTTCATCTTTCTCTCTCTTTCTCGTCCCCTATCCGCCTCTATGATCTTGGTGAAGTTGCTGATGATTTTCTCTCCAAACAGCAAGACATTGATCCAATCCCGTCTCTTGTGAGAGATTTGCTTCACCGTTTCTGCAGCACCTACACTATGGGTCTCGTTATGCGTCTCCTTCAGTCTCAACGCCAAGATAAAAAGAATATACGACTGTGTAAAGTCAACTATTGATGCCATGTAATTTTTGGATTGGTATAAGCTTATTGACGACTTCTTTAATCCGTCTGCAAGGTCCGTTATGGTTCTGATCAAACTCTCGTTCTCCTCCTTAAACGCCGAAGCGCCAGAGGAAGCCTTTGATGTGGTGTGTAGGGAGATCTCCTTTTGTGCAGCTTGCTCGGCGACAAAACGACTCGACTTCGTCGGTAATGGCGAGTTGATCCGTGAGCCCGGAACGGGGGAATTGTCATGCGCTGGGCTGGAAGAAGGGTTGCGGCCGGCGGAATCGACCGGTGCGTTGTGCAGTCTTAGTTTTGTACATGCATTGAGGTCGTCCAGCGAAATCTGTTGCAAGTTCAATTTTGCCAGTAGACCTGACGGAAGCTTATAGGAAAGCAATGTGGGGAGTTTGATCCGTTTTGCATTGGCCATATGGTTTGCAGGGTATTTGTAATCGTCCGATCGTAGCATGATAGGGGCGTCTCGGTCGACGCCACGCTTTTTGTGTGGATTGATCAGGTTCAAGTTCATGTCTTTGAACGAAGACATCTTTGCAATACCACAGTGTCTTTTATCTCGGTCTGTTGGTCCTACTGCCACGTTTAAAGGCTCTAAAGATGACCCTTTTGAACCTCATCCAGACCTATCTAAACCTACCTTCTTTAAAACATGTCATGGATTCTGCGCACGTGACCCAACCGGCTGCCTCATTTTTTTCTTTCGAGGAGAAAAATTTTATTTTTTCTTTCTTACCTATTTTAAACAGGCTACGCTTAGGTTACCCCAGGTTGTTAGGGCAGAGACGGATGTAATTGGCTGTTTCGTGCCAGCAACAGCATCTACCGCTCAGAAGAACCAGCAGCAAAACCAGCAAGCTAACTCCCGTTAGGTCCGCCAAAACAAAATGTCTACAAACTCCATCAAGCTCATAGCCTCAGATATTGACCGTGGATTAGCAGAGTTGGTTGCTAAAAGATTGGGCCTTCCACTCACACCGGTCGAGTTCAAGAGAGACTCGAACAAGGAGGTTTTGTTCAGCATCGGTGAGTCCATCCGTGATGAAGACATATATATCATCATGCAGATCGGAGCAGGACCGGTGAACGATAAGGTTTTCGAGCTGTTGATTATGCTTAATGCATGCAGGGCTGCTTCGGCAAGAAGAATCACAGCTGTTCTTCCGAACTTCCCATATGCCAGACAAGACAGAAAGGACAAGTCCCGTGCCCCAATAACAGCCAAGTTGATGGCCGACATGCTCACCACCGCGGGTTGCGACCATGTGATCACGATGGATCTACATGCAGCACAGATCCAAGGTTTCTTCGACTCCCCAGTCGACAACCTTTATGCAGAACCAAGTGTGGTCAGGTACATCAAAGAGAAGATAGATATGAAAAACGCCATCATCATATCACCAGACGCTGGTGGAGCCAAGAGAGCCGCCGGTTTGGCAGACAAGTTAGACTTGAACTTTGCCTTGATTCACAAGGAGCGTGCCCGTGCCAACGAGGTGAGCAGAATGGTCTTGGTGGGTGACGTTACCGATAAGATCTGCATCATTGTTGACGATATGGCTGACACCTGTGGTACCTTGGCGAAGGCCGCTGACGTTTTATTGGACAACGGTGCCAAGTCTGTCATTGCAATCGTCACTCATGGAATTTTGAGTGGTAAGGCAATTCAAAACATTAACAACTCCAGATTGGAAAAAGTCGTGTGTACGAATACAGTTCCTTTCGAATCAAAGTTGTCACAATGTCCAAAATTAGATTCACTCGACATCTCCGGTGTGTTGGCAGAAGCAATCAGAAGATTGCACAATGGTGAATCCATCTCTTTCTTGTTCACAAACGCCCCATACTGATTTGATTAACAACAAAAGAAATATCACAATTCTATATTCTACACCTCACATCTTTTATGGCTCTCTTTATACAATCATTTTCCGTTTTATATTCTTAAAATGTTCATGTTTTTCTCGAAAACAAAAGCTACATACTACATACTACGTGCTCCTGAAACTATAAACTGTAATCAGCAGGCCGAAAATTCTCCATCGACTTGTATATTTTCCCGTGTTCGTTGCTAGATCCAACCAACTTTTCCACCTCATCTTTTGAAATTAACTCCAGAGCTCTTTGATCCGGAATCCAAATGACGTATCCACCTGCCCTTTTACCGCTGATGAACCCTGGCAAAGCATCTTCGAAAATCAAACATTCCTCGGGCTTTATTTCCGTACCGTTCTTGCTATTTATCATATCAAGTCCCATCCACCAGATGAATGGTAGTGGCTTACCTTTTCCGACGATAGTTGGGTTATCACCAGTTATTATATTTCCATCGAACAACTTGAACAGAGCGTCGTGTCTCTCAGTTTTCAAATCATACTTGTTCTTGTAAGAAGAGGTGCAAACACAAATGGGAATGTCCTTTTTTTTCAAATATTCAATCAACTCCTGAACTCCTGGCAAAACTCCCACAGTGGGCCACAACTCTTCTTGTCTTGCGCTTGTCAGTTTGTACAATTCCTCTGCCGTCGTTTCCGTGTTCAAGCCGTACGAATCAATGACCACTTGGCATGCCTTCACTCCTGGCAGTCCTTGCAGCTGCACTTTCACATCCCACGTGAGTCCTTCCTTTCTACTGAACTTGTTGATAAGGATATCGGAAAATGAAATAGTATAAATAGTTTCGCTGTCAAGCAGCAATCCATCCATGTCAAAAAGGCATGCTTTGAATTTTACTGGGTGTACCATATTAATTTTTATTCTGTTTGTCTTTTTCTTTTCTCAGAAATCGTTGCATCCTGCAAACTGCAACGCATAGCTTAAGGATACTACTACATCCAAAGTACAACTTTTCTTAGTTAGATTACGTGAAGATTATGTATTGTCGCTTTGAAAAATCGTTGCGGTTCAAGCGAGTCGGAATTAAACGCATTTAACCGGATTCAAGAAACCTCTCTGAGTCACTTTTAAGTTTTAAGACATATTTTATACAAGAAAGGTAATCATTTGCATTTGTTTCAGTCATTAAATAGATAAAGATATCAAGCGGTGGTATTTTTAAATCATGTCATAAGGAAGGAGGTACGGGTGTGTGAATCAAACGTCAAAATGGAGGTAGACTGTTCCGGCAAACGGGACATTGTAACTTGTACATCATCCAGTTTTCCAAACATTCAGTGTGGAATACATGCTTACATGGTGTTACCATGTACCTTCGGCGAGCAATCAAATTTACGGTACCCTTCCCGAACCCTATCCCTGATGACCCTGGAATTAATGAAGTGTTCAGCAAGCTACTATGTTCACCTTGGCTCTCATTATGAGAGTGAGTCGATTCTGCAGTACCATTATCCAAAACTGGAATCTCTACCTTCTGCATACAGATAGCACAATCGGTCACATACTTTAACTTTCTTGAATCTTCATCTGTTGAGGAGGATCCATCACTGACGAGCTCCTCAGCATCGAGATTGAATCCAGACTCAATATCACCCTTTGTAATGATAGGATGATAATCATACGTGGCTGGCAAATACTTATCGCTGAGGAAAAACCGTGGGCCTAATAACTCTTGCAGTAAAAGAATGGTTAGTTGGAAAGACATCCAGAAAAACAAAAATATAACATAACCAATATCTCTATGGTGATGAAAAGAATTCGGAAAGAGGTCAATGTATATTACTGGAATCAGTCTTAACACAGACGTAGATAGAATAAACTCCCAACTGAAACTAGTTCTTGATCCACGTAGCACGTTTCTGTAAATTTGAGGAAACCAAAATGAGTTGAAAAGTGTAATGAAAATGTATTCAAAAACACGCCTCGGCGTTTTAGGCCATGTAACAACATTCATCAGCACAAACAAGAAAACAAGCATAGTAAAGAAATGTCTTGTATAAAGTTCCGCACCAACCGCCTGTTCATCCGTCGTACCAGCAGGATTTGTTGGAGTCACAAAGTTTGTGGTATTAGCACCATTGTCGTCGTTAGCGGCAGCATTAGGATTATTGGTATTATCTCCGGTATTATTTATATCACGATCTCTTCTTTCAGACCTTTCATCAACTGGAGTTCCTTGTAACATTGTCCTCCAATCAAGAGGCCGCTCATTTAGTTGAGTACAGTATATTTGAATCCCATACTTCATCTCATATATAGCAGAGCATGTGAAAGCCAGGAATGAACAAACTGCAAATTGAATATACAGCTCAGTGTAAATCATTGAGCAAAGTAAAGAAATAACAGAGATTGATCCATCGGCCATGTTAATTATTGAAATTGTCCAAAACGATAGCTTGGATAAAGTTGATGGTGTATTGGTTTGAGCCATTTGCCGTATTAGTATCCAAATCTGAAAAAGCACTACCACTGCGGCAACCAGTATTGTGTTTCTCAAACTGTTGTCTGAAATTTCATCTCTCAAACCTCGGGCTGTTTCCAAATTCAATAAAATTGCGCAGTTAGGAGAGTATAGAATTCCTGAAGAAAGTTTCAAATCTGGTACCGGTCTGTGGGGCCGACCGATTGGATTGAGTAACTCATAATCAACTTCTTTGAGCTCTTCTTTAGTTAAATTTGTGGATTCAATATGGAAATACCCAATATATTCGCACTCATCTGACGCATCTACAAGACGTTCAACTTGCTGGAATTTCAGATCATCAATTTTCGTCCGATTGAACTCTTCGTATAAGGCCCATCTTGATTTATTAAAGTGAGAGCCTGGAGCAAGATTCAGTTCTGGCAAAGCGTGTATTCCATCAAATTTGGCAGATCTCGTGGTGACTACCATATTACCTGTATCTTGATGGTAGACTCCTGATAAAGCTAAAATGTGTTCGTCTTTTTCCGTTAAATCATTCAGCCTTACAGATACCCTTACGGTTGTTGTGTCTTCAAAATCAAGGTCATCTGTGCTGCTTTCCGGATATGAATTATAAAATGATAGCTTTATTAGGCCTTCCGGTTCAGTAAAATTTCCTATTTTTTTCATATATTCATTGTTTTGTAGATCAACATCAATTGGAGTAGAGTAGTTGTCGTCATCGCCATCGTTATTTAAGTTTCTTTTTTCCTCTTCTTTGCTTCTTCGTTCGTCAGTCCTATATTCATACAATTTGGACAAATAATTAGGTAATGGCATATGTATAGGGGTCAATAGTTCATTTGTGTTATCGATTCGGTTGAATCGACCACGCACTAGACCAGATATATTCAATGGAAAATCTCCAGTGTTGAGTTTAGTTCCAACTCTCTCCTTGTTGTCATCATCACGGCTAGATGGCAAATCAACACACTTACCTTCCTGGTTCCACACATTTGCTGCTCGTCGACTAACACTGTTAGGTAAAATACTGTATTTCTCTTCCTCTACAAAAAGTCCACTTTTTCCAGGAAAAGGCCAATCAGAGGCATTTCGGCCATCGAGAGCATCTTTGTAGGATAAATGAAATCCTGTCAAATTCCCATATCCGGCGTTGTAATTTGAGAGGAGGGCGTTTCGAGAGATATTTACTTCGGATTTGAATTGTTGTAAGATGTGCGGGCGGTCAATGTACGATGGGTATCTTTCCTCTATATTGGGTGAGGAAGACATCACCCAAAGGAATATGAGCATGAAAAAGAAGAATCTGGTCTGCGAATTCATGTTTGGGGAGAAGAAAAAGGGGACGTTCTATGGTAGATTTTGGGATGTGATTAATGGACTCGTTCCACTGGACCTCACACAAATTCAATCGCAGTAGACCTTATGGAAAAAATGTTGGGCCCGGGTATACCACTGGGTTAGAGAGATACGAAATTACCCGATTAAAAGTAATTTTGGGGCTCGGATAGAAGAGTAACTTGATAATGAGGATGCGTATCATCAACAGCTGAGGGCTGAGAATCATGATCGGAAGTGAGAAGGAAAAATATTGTACTTACGTAATCCAGTACATGAAATAATTCGTTATATCTATGATTAGGCATTTATGGAAAGATCGATGTAATTATTTATATATGATACAGAGTCGGTCCATGTGTGGGTTTGAGAATAGGTGACTCGTGCGTACGCTGAAATATTGATTAGAGATGCTTTTTTGCAGCGGTTTCGGCCTTAGCCTTTCTTCTTGCTTCTCTTTCTGCCTTGGCTTCTGGACCGGCTTCAGTGTCGAGGACATAATCCCAGAACCTAAAGGAAGATGCGTAGTTACCAATGAAATAGTGGTGGTGAAGATCATGGTGCTCGGCACCAGCCCAGAACGGAACAAAGTTGTGCAAAGACCATGGAAAGTCGTACCCCGAGTGTGAGTCCACGGCCTGCATGAGTCTGAGAATGATCCAACAGGTCAAGGTGAACAAGTGCAAGTCACGGTAGATGTAGGCGTACAAGATGGGGAAGCACACTGTACCAGCGCCTAGGCTAATAACCTCGGCCGGGTGTGCATATTCAGCAGTCAAGCCGAAAGGAGCGGCGTATTTGTGGTGCTGCTTGTGGACGTATCTATAGAACGGGCCATAGTGGAACAGTCTGTGGGCCCAATAATGCCACATGTCTTCTAGGACGAAAAACAGAGCCCACTCTTTCAGCATGGTGGTGAATGGTGGGAAGGGAACACTGACACTGATGCCTAGAGACTTGCACAACGGGTGGAAGGTCCAGATTGGGAACACTTCCACTAGGAAGTGGGACTTCAACACCGACTTCATGCACTCCCACTGCTCCTTGTCGGAGGGTATGTATGTTGGTTGAATCTTCCACCGTCTGAAGTAGGGGATTTTGTCAATTACGTACCATGGAAGACATCTCCCGAAGTAAAAGAGCTCGTGGGCGAGAAAGAAGAGCAGGCCTGTTGCGAGCGTGTCGTTTTGCATGTACGCGTACCACGATGCCCATAGCTTTTCGACCACGTTTAGCTGGTGCTGTGTATGGAATACATTTTCCACCACTGTGAGGAGAGATGGCGACTCGATGGTTTCCAGAACCGTGGAATTGAAAATTTCGGTCATGACGTTACTTACCGGAGGTTTTCCTTTTCTTCCCCGTGTGCCTGATGCGGAGCTAAAGTTCTGAGCTCTAGGGGAAACAGAGTCCAGAGTGGAGCATCCTTCCCTGCATCAGCGTGTCTGGGAGCAGCAGACGTGACGTTTATAAACTTCCGGCCTTCAGCTCCATATACGGCCTGATAAGTGCCCACTACCGGACCCATTTTAAGCGGAACGACACATCATGCCATTTGTAAACGACGCGGTACGACACATCACGGACGGAACGACAAAAATACGAGCCACCTCCCAAAATGAGAAAGAATAAAAAATTAAAAAAAAAGGAAAAACATTTAATCCTGTCACCGCCACACACGTGACAATGGGTTTGCTACCCAGGCTGCGCCACATAAGGGCTTGTCACGTAATAGCCCTCTTTTTCACGTGATATACCTTTTACTTTAGCACACCCGCGCACCGCACTTTTATTATTTACCCTCCATAATTCACACAGTCACGCGCCAGCAGTCTCGCCGCCAACCGCTGTCTCGCTGTGCAGCTCCGGCTGTGCTGTGCTGGCCCGCCTCGAGGCCTTACTGTGGAGCGCCGGCCGGGCTCACGCTCTGAGGGAGGGAGGGCTCTCTCTCATAGTATCACCCATGGAGCAGCACAGAGCGTGCGTTCACTGAGGAAAAGTTTTCAGAGAGTATTATTTCACATTCAAGACGTTATTTGTCAGACCCTCTGCTGACTGTTCTGGCCGTTTTCTTAGCCTCTCTCCAGAAAGACAACACCAGAGTAATTCAAAAGTACGTGAGAATCAGAACCACAGTGGTGCAGACGTCCACCCGGTGCAAAAATATGGAAAGTGCAGTTGTGTTGGAAACCGTGGAAGCGAAAAAGCCAAGAGGAAACTATAGCTTTACAGAGTGAACGAAATAGAATTACGCATACAATGGATACTTGTTGATCTGCTGAACACACAAAGCCAGAACGACACTACTTGATGAAAAAGAGAAATATCGACCCTGTGGCGAAGTTCAGAGACTTGTCTCAGGCAAGGAAGCGTTTCTAGCTGGGTCGGAAATGTATCACTTAAGTCATTCGCAGCACGAAAGAGCAGAAAGGACCAGAATCCATCGTTTAACCGACGAGAGAAGCAAAATTTACATAGGCAAGAACCAAGCGAGTCACTGCAATTTCCAACCACACCCACTGACTGCGTCCAGCGCTTCACCCCATGAACTGTAATACTAACCCTATCTCATTCCTTTTCTCCCCTACCCTTCTCTCCTACAGTGGCTAACCGTTTAAGAGAATACCAAGTTATCGGTAGAAGACTTCCTACTGAGTCCGTTCCAGAGCCAAAGTTGTACCGTATGAGAATCTTTGCTCCAAACGATGTTGTTGCAAAGTCTAGATACTGGTACTTCTTGCAAAAATTACACAAGGTCAAGAAGGCTTCTGGTGAAATTGTTTCCTTGAACGTCATCTCCGAAAACAAGCCAACCACTGTCAAGAACTTTGCTGTTTGGATCAGATACGAATCCAGATCTGGTACCCACAACATGTACAAGGAGTACAGAGACGTCACCAGAGTTGGTGCCATCGAAACCATGTACGCTGACTTGGCTGCTAGACACAGAGCTAGATTTAGATCAATCCACATCTTAAAGATTGTCGAAATCGAGAAGAACGCTGATGTCAAGAGACAATACATTAAGCAATTCTTAAGCAAGGACTTGAAGTTCCCACTTCCACACAGAGTCGTCAAGTCCAAGAAGTTATACGCTCCAAAGAGACCAACTACTTTCTACTAAGCGGCTTGTTGTTATATAAATTTCTCTTTATATTAATAGCTTAATAAAATATCTTGTCTGTCCATTTACACCCAACTCTACGTAGTCTCATCTCTAGAAGACTATTGTGTTTCCCTTGGAACTCCTTCGGGCCCCTTGGGTATCTGCTACATGCATAATATTATTTCTCACCACTTTCGGATATCTTTTTCCACTGCCGAAAATGTTATTGCGGATGACGACTTACTAATATCTCTCCCTTCCGGGTCTCCTTTAAACCCTCACCATAACCTCAGGTACACCGCATCATCTCCATAAACTACCCACATTATCCTCAATTATGGTGAAGAAGTTTTCTGGCCTGCAAAGGGAGGTTTTAGACTTATACAGGAATTGTCTCAGGTCGTTGCACCAGAAGCCAAAAGTACGTGAGTCACTTTTTTCTTTAAACGTTTCAGATCAGTTATACTAACATAAAGGCAACCTTCGTCTATATACAGGAAAACAGAAGGAATTGGGTAAACTACATCCACGAAGAGTTCGGAAAATATAGAAACGTGCCACGTCGTGATTTTGGAACGATAGAGCACTTAATTCGTGTCGGCCACAGACGATACGAGATGTATAGCGATCCTTCTATCAAAAACGTCAAGTAGATCCAACCCCTTCTGAAAATATTATCTCTCTTTATAAACCACGAAACGTATACTTGTATAAACACGCAAATGAACTAGCAAATTTTTAACGAATAAACTCAAAATAAATCGATCTAAAGTTAAATTACTTTACTTAAAAACACAATAAGAATATAACCTACATAACGAGCATCAAGAAACGAATATCTTATCGTAATGCTTGAATAATAATTCAGTTACTGAAGTTTTAGCCCTGTTATCTTGAATTTCTTGCTGTGGATGTAGCGAGTTGTGCCTGATTAATGTTGGCGCAAATACCGTGGCCAATGAGGCACTGTTCATCTTGGTCCATTTCTCATTTTCCGCTATCAATGCAAGATGCTTTGTTAATGCCAAAAGGGTAATCCTGTTTGCCGCTGGCAGACCAGATATAATATCAGAAAGTTTACCGACTCGGGTTTCTTCCTTCTCAATTCTAGACACATTCACGTATGCATTGTAAAGATCTTGCGGTATAATCGGATCGGGTATTTTCTTCAAATATCTTTTGAGTAATCCAGCTAGTGCATGAATATCACCATCAATCAATGTGTGCATTCTAATTATCTCATCATTGTTATTAACGTCCATTGTTTCAAAAAATTGTTCGATCTTTTCTACAGTCGATGTCGACGCACTGATCCGATATATACCTTCAACTTTTGATCCCCTTTGTTCAACTTCAGATATGCATGTCTTTACCACAAACGGAACACCACTTCCCCCCTCGTGGTCAGCCAATTCCTGCAATGTCATGCTGTACAGAGATTTGAAATTGATTTTATTCGGTGGAATAGTCGTACCGCTATATTCACTACTGCTATTGCCGCCGTTGGCGTATACCACTCCATTAGCATTAGGGTTGTTGGTACCATTATTGCTTCCATTGCTGCCATTGGTTCGCCATTGCATAAAATTTGTAGACCTGGATGGTTTCATTCCCGAAGCTTGAGACCCATTATCATTCTTCTTGGCCAAATCATTCAAACCTATTCCATCCATGCTGTTCTCGTTATGCCTGACATTCATTGGCTGGCTTATATTGGGAGCACCCATAACTTTACTGCTCGCTGAACTACTAGGTGCAGAAATCCCAGTGCTTTGGCTTCCCGTTCCTGCACTACTTAATGCTGAATGTGCACCAAAGATTCTCCTCATAAATCCAGAACGTTTATCTTTAGATTGTGGTGTAGGAGCAGTAGATTGATGGTACGGATTGTACCCAGGAGTTGATGCTGGTGATCCTGTTCCTGGTTGGAGAGGTTGCAATGATAGAGGATGATTGTCTGGCTGTAAGAGGTTTTCTTGCGATGGTAATTTATAACCTGAAAGCTCTTCTCTTGATGAGTTTTTGCCTGAGCTAGAAGAAATGTTCGAGGACAATTCTTCTGTTGTGGCAGAAGACAATTTTCTTCTATTCTGAATAGAAACATCCAGATCCCTCAAAGTTTTCTGCCTGTCTGCTATATCTAATTCCAACGACTTCATCTGGCTTGCCAGGTTCTGAATGTCTCTTATTATGGTGGCTTTTGATAATGTTAAAGAGTTTATTTCCGACTTCAGAAGACGCAGTTCCTTATCAACACCTGATACTTGATCAACAGTATCAAAGGTTGTACTTTCTGATATTGATCTCGTATGATTGGCCTTAGTCAAAGGAACTGGCGGCGTGGTGAACGCAACGTATGAATGGTCCGATTGAGTTCTCGTGTGTGCTTTAGGGGTGGTATTGTTAAGCCTTGGAGATGTTCGAGAACTCGTCAAAGTATCTGGTGTCCCTGGAGTTTGCGGAGGTAGTTCTCTACCATCACTTGAGTACTTTCTTCCTCGTCCAAAAACTTTAGTCAGTGAACGTCCCAAACCACCAATCTGTTTTTTTCGAGAAGTAGGGGTGTTTCTTTCAATTGATTCAAAGCTTGATTGAGACTGCTGCTCTGGTGTATTTATCAGTCTTTCGTGAGGTGAATGATTAGCAACTGCCTTTTTGGGTTTGGCACTGATTATTTCAGAAACATTCTTTGATTCCAGGCCCCTGATGTTCAATCCGGTAGACTCCTGCAGTAGATCCTGAGACTTGACCTTGTACTTCATAGGACTCATAAGTTTTGAATCTGTAAGATCAGCTTCTACCTGATTTGCAGTACTAATACTTTCTGTGGTGCTCATCAGACTTTCTTCTTCAGTCTCTTCCAAATTGATGAAACTCTCAGGCTCGGGCTCAAGATCATCGCTTTCAATTACAAAACCATGTCTATTCATGCTAGAAGGAGAAGAAATTTCTTTCGGGGTAGACTTTTTCTTTTGTGGGGTATCAAGTTCTGGGGTTCTGAATTGTGTAGTGTTTCTAACGGGGGAGAGTGCTGATCTTTTCGGAGACCTCATTGGAATAGAAATGTCCGACTCTTGATGTTCTTGGTACAAGTAAGAAAAACCATCGTCATTTTGGGAGTTTGGATTCAAAGTGGGTATATTAACAGGTTCTGTTACATCCTTGAAAACGGCAGTCGACTGAAGCTTTTCTGTGTTAGGTGATGCGATGTGATAATCCAGGACAACATTCAATTTTTCAATTGGACTTGAATCAATCTTTTCTAGGCTTCCTGCCAACGAGTTTTTGATATCACTGTCTCTAGAAGAGTTTGCGTCATTTGTTTTGCTGTATATGGATGATTCTAGTTCGTCCTTCGCATCGTTATTACTTTCCGCATAGTCATCAACATCAAAAGTTGATATGGATGAATTAGCTTCCGTCTGATATGTAGGAGGTTTGGATAATAGACTTAGCTTATCATCGTTTTTCGAGAAGTTACCATCAGATTGAGTAGTAGATGCCTTTATTTGTTGTGGATTGAGCGTTTTTACCTCCTTTTTTTCTGACTTTGTTGGATCAAAAGTAATCGACCTCATGTTCTTGGAATCAGCATCTTTCATAGAAACTTCTAGCGTGATATCATCCTTGCCGCTATTCTCTAGCTTGGGTATGTCATTCAATTTGCTTTTTTCCTTTTTATTGGCTAATGTTTCCTCTCTGGCTTTTTTCAACTTCTTCATTTTTTCGTATTTCTTCTTCTTTTCCATTAGCATGTTGTGACAGGGCATACAAAACAAACCTTTTGATGTTCTTGCATATTTGAGATCATCAATTGGCTTGTTACATGATTTACATTTGAAGCAGTCGGCACAATACGCCAGATCCCCGGTTAAGATGGCCAAATCGTAAATCTTTTTTTGGCACGATTTACACGTGTACGAACAGCTTGAACAAACTAATGCACCTGTTCCCAGAACCAAAAAATTGGAGTTGACGCCAAGGGCTTTGGAACATTTGGAACATTTAAAACATGAAACATGCCACTGGTCAGTGCCTAATTTGTAGGCTTGGCCATCTATAATTGGATCATGACAACTTTTGCAAATTTTAGAATGAGAATTACTCATTATGTGTCGATTTTTGCTCGTCTAAGAGGATTCGGGTGTGTAGATAAATCTTATCTCTGAATGTTCAAATGCAGAACTGATTCTTGGTTAGTGCTAACCTTATGCAATAGTGACTGACAGGACACCAGCACAGAGACGAATGATAGTGGTCTTGAACGACGTGTGTACGGAAACTTCTAGTTTTCTAATTTCTTATGGTATGGTGAATGTTAATTCATGCAAAGGTTTTGTTTTGATAAATAAGGTAGTTGGAGAGTATCTCCCACTGGGCAGACGTGAAAGGTGTGTTTACCTATTGGAACGATTGTCTTGTCGAGACGTCGAAATGTAGTGTGGGGTAGGGGAAAAAGATTGTTCCTCAAGGACAGTGGTTGTCTGCAGCGGCGGTAATTGTGACCCTTGGCAAGACTATGTGAAACTGTTTCTGTGCTGAGCAGCGTTGCCTCTGTGTTATCGCAACTTGACACCTTCCCATGCACCCCTAGTGGTGCCTATTCTGCACGCAATTAATGCTGCGAACAACACGCCCCTGGTGCTCTCCAGCACACGTTATTTCGTTCCTCTACAGAATTACCGCTCAGAGCGAACAGAATTTTATTATAGTTAACCCCTTTCCGATCCTACACAGTATGGCTTGGGAGTATCTTGGGGCACACCCTGGAACACAGCATGCTGTACGCCATGTACACCTCGAAAGCCCCCATTTACAGAAGAGAAAGCCACTGTAGAGCAAAATACATTCAAAGCAGACGATATGTTTGTATATAATTATCTAAGAGGGACGTAGGACCTACATCCGAAAATTCCAAAAATAGATCGCTCAACATCTTTCTCTCCAATCCCAGTAGAAAGTTAACTCCTGGGGTCTTTCTTCGGTGATCCTGCATTTATCTACAAAGTTGTTCCCTTTCATTTTCTCCGAAACAATGTGATTCAATTTGGTTAGCTTGCATGTAAAGAAAGGACCGTTTTGACATTCGGGGATGGGGATTACTGCATCGTTGATTAGAACCCTAATGTAGTGTTCTTTATTTATAGTGTATCTTTCAATGACAATCCTTGCACCCATCGGTACTAGCTCAGAAGTCTTAAAAAATCTTAGGAAGTCAATGTTTCTTGTGCTCAAATCTTCCTTCTGGTACTCAAAAATTCCCAACGCATTCATAAAATGTAGCAGTTCGGTATCGTGCGTAAAACTGAAAAATAAGTTCTCCTTTGTTTCTTGCTCTTCAAAAAGTTTAATCATAGCATCGACGTAAACAGAACCCAAGGCAAAAGAATAAGGGTGTGCGGCCTTCTCGTACCACATTTCGGAATCTCTGAAATATTCCAACTCGACGAAAGTGTTGAGTGAAAGAGCATCGCATACTCTACTTTCTCCTACAGCATCCAACTCGTAGGCACAAAAGACGGCCAATGCATAGACATCTTTTGCCGTTATGTTAAAACCCGGACTCAAAGTATTCAACCTTTTTGCCTCAGATATCATGTATTTCCCAATAAATGGATGTTTGTAGTACTCGCCATGTCTTATATACTTTTTGCAGCTGACAGACGTGGTCAACGTGTCTGCACCCATACGTTTTGTTTCGTCCAAAACAATCACTTTTGCTTGAGCATTGTATTTCTCATCATTGTCGTTAAAAAACCCCTTGCCAAACTCTTCTGCGGAGTCAACGCATCTTCTCTTTCCGGCAGTGAATATGGGTAGTTTTTCGTCACAATCTTTATATAAATAACCGTACTTGAGTTGTATGCTTTTTCCAAAATCAAACATAGTTTGGAATCCATTGAAATCGCCGTAAAGGGTTTCCATACCACACCAGTCAGGTCCGGGGATGAAAAATTCCCAGTCCTTGATGAAGCTCAAAGGGCCCTCTTGTTTCTTAACGTCGGCATTTTTGAGCTTATCGAAAACTGCCTTCAATCGTTTTGCCACGGGTTCTGTGGGGTAACGTTCACCGTGTCGAGCAAAAATAAATACTTTTTCTGGTTTGGCATTCCATTCAAGTTCCGGACATAGTCCGAACCCAGTTCCCTTCACGTAAGGACCCATTCCACCCAAATGCTTCAAGAGGTTGTTTTGGTCCGCGTGGATCGGGGACACAAAGTGCTCCGTATATTGGTTAATCAGGATCGATGCGGGGATAATATTTCCAAAATGCATGTTGGTGTCCTGACAATCGATTGATCTTGCCTGTTGTATTTATGTAATTTAAATCGATTACCAATACTGTTTACTCATGAATTAGAGCTGGCACTCCAAATGGGGAGCAAGCAGATAAAAAAGGGGACTAAAAGTGCCGGACATTTTTACTTTTTTTCAGATCATCGGAGTTCTCACTGTCTATATAAATTTACGCTCAGTCTTATCGAGAGCCCCACTTTACTCTGCTGGGATCGATTTAATTGGGCTCACGTGCGACCATTCTAGTCGTTTAGTTTAGTATTGATACTGAAAAGCCGGAATATCATATTAAATCGTAAAAAAACAAGAGAGTTTATATAGGCATACTAGATGATAATATATAACGTGTTGTTGATGTTGTTTCTTTTTTTGTTTTTTAAAGACGCTGTCAAAAGCCACTAATCCCTGATTAGAAAGTTGGCTTGTTGACCTTAGCTCTGACCAACTTGGTTTGAGTGTAGTTGTCAAACGCTTCGAGACCCATTTCTCTACCAATACCAGACTCCTTGTAGCCACCGAATGGAGCACTTGGATGGAAGTCGTTATAGGTGTTGACCCAGACGGAACCAGCCTCGACTCTGTCACTGACGTAGATTGCCTTGTTGAAGTCTTCAGTGTGGATACCTGCAGCCAAACCGAACAAGGAGTCGTTGGCCTTTTCAATCAAGTCGTCGACAGTCTTGAAAGGCACAACGACACCGACAGGACCAAAGATCTCTTCTTCAGTCAACTTGGAGTCCTGAGCAACGTCGTAGAAAATGGTTGGTTCAACAAAGTAACCTTTGGTACCGATTCTGTTACCACCAGTCAACAGCTTAAGCTTAGAGTCCTTACCCACCTTGATGTAATCCAACACGGTTTGGAATTGGTCTGGGGTAGTTTGGGCACCTTGGAAGACGCCTTCTTCGAATGGGTTACCAATCTTCAGCTTCTCGATTGCAGTCTTGAACTTGGCCAGGAAGTCATTGTACCACTTTTCGTCTCTTGCTTCAATGTAGATTCTGGAACCTGCACAACAGACTTCACCACCGTTGAAGAAAATACCGGTGATCAAGTTCTGGATGGTCTGTTCGACGTTACAGTCTTGGAAGACAATGTTTGGAGACTTACCACCCAATTCCAAAGTGACCTTCTTGATGGTGTTGGCACATTCCTTCATGACGGTTTTACCGACCTCGGTGGAACCAGTGAAGGCAACCTTCTTGATCAATGGGTGTTGCAAAATGGCGTTACCACAACCTCTGCCGGAACCTGGGATGACGTTGACGACACCTGGTGGGAAGCCGGCCTTCTTGATCAAAGTACAGGCATATAGGTTGGACAATGGGGTGGCACTGGCTGGCTTCAAAACGACGGTGTTACCGGTGGCCAAAGCTGGACCAATTTTCCAGGCAAACATCAACAGAGGAAAATTCCATGGGGTGATGGCACCGCAGACCCCAAGAGGCTCTCTCTTCGTGTAAGTGAAATGTTCGGTGTCGGTGATGATGGTTCTACCGTCGAGCTTGTCGCAGAAGCCTGCACAGTATCTGATGTACTCAGCAACAATGTTCACGTCGAATCTGGAACAGTGTAGAGCCTTACCGTTGTCCAACGAGTCAATTCTGGCCAAGGTTTCTTTTTCCTCGTCGATCAACTCAGCCAACTTGTTCAAGAGCTTGCCTCTCTCGTTTGGAGGGGTGAATCTCCAGGACTTGAATGCCTTGTATGCGGTTTGAACAGCCACCTCAACATCTTCGGACTCAGCCTGCTGGAGCTCGCAGAGCACGGATTCGTCGATCGGGGACGTGACTTCAAAGGTCTTGCCGGACTTGGCCTTGACGAACTCGTTGCCGATGAAAAGACCGGTTGGCTGTTCGTATTTTTCGTTGATAACTGGGAAAGTAAGGGTGGCGAAACTCATTTTGGACAGATATGTGTAGTTTTGGTGCGCGTTCTTCAGACTCGTGATACGGTTGAAGACTTTGTTAAAGAGCATCTACTAATAGAGAAAAAAGAAGGAAGGAGAAGGAAGGGAGAAAGCAGAAGGAATAAGAAGAAGAAAAATTACAAGGGAGGATAGGGAAAGGACAGAGGCAGGGAGGCGACCCAGGAAAGGCAGCTCTCCTCCGGGGTGGCAGACGATAACGCTTTTATATATGTTGCACAAAAGCCGTCCGCCGCTGAAATTTGATCGAAGCTGAATAATGCATGTACACCAACAATGCTGGCCCCAGAGGACCAGCTGGGAGGCAAGTTCCGAAGCCCGAGGTGAAATTTGCGTGTCTGACCCTCCTCTTACTCAGCAAGGGCCACGACAGCCAGTCCAGACTACGGACCACAGCCCCGGCCCTCTCCATTGGGCCGGTTCAGCCAGTGCTGGCGCAATGGGGTGTGCAGCAGCCGGCCGGTGTGGGGTTCCAGTGAGGCGGCCAGGATGGCGGCGCGGCCAGGATGGCGGCGCGGCGGCCGGGCGAGGGTGCCGGGCGCAAAGGGTCGGTGTGCTCCGAGCGGGGCCCCGTGCCCGTGTCCGTGTCCGGGCGGGCGCTACGTCCGCGTCTACGCCCGCAGGGCGGTCGCCGGGCTGGCTGGGCGTGGGTGTTCGGACTTAACCAGGGGTGGGGCGGGGAAAGGCAGGGCTGGCTGGCACCCGTCTTTTGCCGGGGGAGGGCCAACGGGGACGACCTGGTGGCAATCGTAGGGACAATTACTAAGGCTCTGGCAAGACGGCAAGGCAATCACAGAGGCAATCACAGAGGCAATTACAAAGGCAATTACAAAGGCAAATGACGTCCTCGGAACAGCCCCCGAGGCGACGCCGTTGGGGCCACGGGCGGGGCACGTCCGGCTGCTCGCCGCCCCCAACCCCCGGGGTGCAACCCAACAAACGCTAGCCCGCCGCAGGTCGAGCCCTGCGCAACGGTCGTCTGTGGGGAACAACGCGGCAGCGCCGACGCCGCCGACACCGGCGTCGGCGACCCGGCTAGGGTGGGGCGGGGTGAAAGTGGGGGTGGAGGTAGGGGAGGTGGGGTACGCTATTCGGCTCTCCGTAGATATCGGACAGCAGCACCCCCTCTTGCAGCCCGAGGAAAATCCCCCTGCAACGTCGGCTGGCTCCGCTGTCTGGGGTAAAGGGGCTTGAGTCATCTGCAGCCGCTGCTCCCGTTCCCCCGTGTGCCCTTTTCTGGGCCATCGATGCTCCGGCCCGAAGCGTCTCTACCGTACTGGCACTGTTATATTGCTGCTACTGCTACTGCTATATACACTATGGCGGTGATCCGACTAGAGCTGCGGGGTCTCGACCTTCTTCTTCTTCTGCGATTCGTCCTTGCTCTGCATGTGCTGCTTCCGCTTCTTCGCCCGGTGCAAACGCTGTCTGTCGTCGCCCTCGAGCTCCGCCTTGGCCATTACCACCCCGGACCGAAGGACCACCTCGTCCTTGCCCACCTTCGTGGCGGTCTTGTACACCTCCTGCGGAGCTAGGGTGGCTCCCGTGGCCATCGTCAGCGGCTGGGCGTCCTCCATCGCGATGGTCGATGTCTGCACCCGCACGTCAAGCAGCTTCTCCTTCGGTCTAGGAACAAAGTGCGACGAGTACAACGAGTCGAGCTGGTACGTCACGTCCTTGAACATCTCGCTGATCTCGTCGTGGGCGCTCTTCAACGCCTCGTTTGCGTCCTCGTCCCCGGTCTTGTGTGTATACTCGTCCTCGTAGAGCTCGGCAAGCGACTTGGACGACTTCTCCTCGCTCACATCCATCCGCTTCGAGGGTTTAAAGTTGTTCAACTCAGATATTATCCTCTTTGGCACCTCGTCGAACTCCTGGCTCACAATCCTTCTCTTGATGATCTCCTCGATACTCTCCGTCACGTCTTGAGTGATCACAGGAACAGGTTTCGCCGTCCGGTCGAACTCAAGCTCCTCCTCCAGTAGCGTGTCCGAGTCTCTCTGTCTCCCGCTCACCTCACCTTTCATTGTCCACTTCTTCTCAGCGATAGACTCAGCCTCGAGCTCGGCAATCTGCTTTTGGATCTCTCGCTGCTGTTTCTCAAAGGTGGAAAGCTTGGACTCGTCCTGCTGGCCATGGCCACTTCCTCTTGCTTTTGTTTTTGCTTTAACCCTTCCAGAATCCTCTTCCTCCCCGTCACTCTCCTCTTCTGCGTCTTCCTCGCCTTCATCGCCATAGAGATCTGCTTGAGCCAGATCATATGCAGCATCATAATCTTCCTCCTTTAGCTCTCCTTTTTTGCCCTTGCCATTGCCCTTGCCCTTGCTTTTACCTTTTTTCTTCTGGTCTTTGCTCTGTGTTGGGTGTCCCTTTGATCCAGCACTCTGTGGGTCGAAGAAGTCGTTGTAAGTGTACATCTCATCGTCATCGTTATCATCGCTAAGATCTGCAAACAAATCAACGTCTTCTCCGTCGGCATCATCGTTGAAATCATCAGCGTCTTCAAGTGCAAGAACTTGACGTTTGTAATCATCGAGATTGAAAAACTCATCATTAAGTCCAAAATCCTCCGACTTGTGGTTTTTATTGTCTTCTTCGACTTCTTCGTCGTTGGATTCTTCTTCCTCGTCCTCCTCTTCCAAGGCTTCTCCCCTTGCCGCCAACGCTTCTGCTTCTTCTTGGTCTGTTTCACTTCCATCATTATCTCCAGCTTCTTCCTCTTCTTCAGAGTCTTCTTCTTCTGCCATAACATTTCCATTCATCTCTCCAAACGGCACTTCTTCAGAGTCTTCTTCAGAATCTTCTTCGTCATTTTCCTCGTCACTATCTTCTTTGTAATCACCTTCAGCTTTGAGATTCTGAAGATCGCTCCACAATCCCCTTTCAACACCATCAAAAACTAGCTTTGCTTGTCCCCAAACTTGTGTGGCATCTAGTCCATCTATATAGATTTCATCCAAGACGCAGTCACCGCTGGATTTGATCACAGGATCAACTATTTCCTTCAGACTTAGTAACAAATTTTCATAATCAAATGTTTGTTCATCGGAGGCCTTGTGTGTGAATAATGAGGTTGGATCATCGATCAAATTTTGAAGATTTAACGCTGACATGTCTTCCACCAGCTATTAAGTTGATGCTTCTATACTTATATATATGAACTTCTCCTATTATACCTTATCTCCAGGCTGTTTATTAGTTTATCTTTTTTCAGAAAATACAATTTTTATTAATTCACGTACAAATTTTTTTTTCATGTTACCTTCCGAAAAATATTTTCTAAGCACGTGACTTTATAAAGCTACATTTTTCCCTCTTACCGATACAAACCTTCGTTTATGTTTCTTCACATTTACACGTTTTCACATTAATTACAAACACTTGTATTATACGCCAACTAGATGTGCAAAAGGCATTCGGTAATCTTTCATTTGATGTTTTTGAAGTATTCTTCATGGCTTTTTCTTCTTCTCCCTTTTCATATCTTTTTTCACATCCTTACGACATTCTGGACAATACCATACTCCCACTGGCGGTTCCTTCAAACCTACACAGTCGTAATGAAACCACTCGTATTTACAGCTAGGATTATCGCATGCCACCATTGCACCGTAGGAAACTTGCTGGCAAAAGCAATATAGCTCGTCGTCATCACCACCCGTTCCTCCGTTTTCATTCATATTACCCAGTCCAACCCTATTTCCCATCATTCTCCTGTTCAGTCCCTTAATTATTGTACCTGCTGCCACGTCACGCCTCCTTCCGGGGGTCAGCTCTTTAGTGGATGCAGTAGACTCGTCAGCAGAAGGAGTCGTGGTCGGGGTTTTCTCTCTGGATGACTTCTTCATTGGCCTTTGTACTTTGGTCTCAATCGAAGAATTATTCAGCTTCTTTGTTATACCATTAAGCTCATCCAGTAGTTTACCCGAAACAGGAGGAGTTGCAGTATCAAATGAGCTCGGACTACCAACACTTATCGAAGCCGCTGCGTGAGTAGGAATGAAGTCCACCATATCAATATCATCATCGATTACATCCCAGTGTTCAATAGCTCCCGAATCTATCAGTCGTTTGATATCGGCGTCGAACTTCGTTGCATGCTTGGTAATGTTCAAAAGAGCAGTGTTGGCCAACAAAATTTTCTCTGTTTGAATTTTACGTGCTTGTTCAAGGCTTTTGGTGATTTCTTCTGTAAGAGCATCTTCTTTTGGATGTCGCACTAGACTGCCATGCTGTTTTATATATTTGAACAGCTGTGAATCTGCTGTGTGTATCTGAGAAAGCACCTTCTCATATTCTACGTCTTTCTCTTGTAGTTGACTGAGAGTATACTGCGCTTCATCTGGAATGTTAGCTAGATTGTGCGTGAACTGGTCAAGTAGGGCTGCAGCATCCATCTTCCTCTTCTTCAAGGAATGGGAAGACACTTCAAGGTAGTTAATAAGTAGGGAATTCTTATGAACCTGTGGTAAACGCATGAACATTCAAAGGTTTAAAAAACTAACACTGTTTAATGATTCTTCCCTTGAACAGGAAGATATCAAGAAATCGGCGCGTCGAACTTTCAAGCGCCCTCGGCAGAATTTTTACATTTTACAAGGCGCCACTTTCGACTACTACAGCTACTACGAATTAAATGTTAGATCCGTATCTGACAATCCATAAAATAAATTCAATCTCCGGATGAGATCTTTTTGTTTTAAAGCTGCCTTTTTGAGATCAGATGTTTGTTTTAGCACTCCGTCAGTCCAGCTTGTTGCGGGGGATCTAGCAACAATTGTATAATCAGAGTGCAGCCTATTAGTTACCACATTTTTTACCGTATGGTTAACCATTGAAGGGTAGAAAGAAAGCACCATCGCTTTGTTATTCATTTGTAAAACTATATATAAAGCAAACAAATTATGATGTGTCTCCAACCAGTGTAGTTCAAATCTATTAAGTGGATTAGTTGTTTTTCAGTGACTTAACTTTTATATTAGTTTTCAATTTTTTTTGAAATGTTTCGTTCTATCATATGATCTGTTCATTTTCATAACTGTTTATTTGGTTTGCGGATGTCTGTTAATGCAACAGGAATGTTATACTTCCCTTGGTTACCAAACCTGCTTCTCTTTGGTTTCTTGACCTTTGACAAATCTCTATGCCTACGGTTTATGTATAGAAAACCGTACATGAACAAAACAGAAATCATCACCACAGTTGGAATTGATGCAATGACATAGTAGACGTCATCGCCAGTACCTGCCTTGTCTTGTATTTTACGCATCTCCTTAGTGTTTTTTCCTATGCTCTCTCTTAACTGGAAAGTAGCAAATATGTGTGGGGCGTTCAAGATGGAAAAATCCTCATCGGCGACATTGTCTGGTTGCATTGCAATGACTACCTTCTTGTAGACTTTTCCCCGGAGCCACTTTTTGTCCACCTCCACAGCAAACCAGCCGTTGTCGTTATGGACCCAATCGGAAGAAAAGAACGCACCATGGACATCACCTGAAAAGTCAACGTTACCAGAAAGCTCCTCGATTTCAGCTTCGACCTTCTTGACGGCCGAATCCATCAAATCTCTTTTGTCAAAGCCCTTGTCGTGCGATTTTTCGTTCACAAAAGCATAATGGAATCTGACATTCTTTGCCTTCTTGAAGAAACGAGAGTACCACGTGATGAAATAAGTTGCGCCTGCTCTCATCTTCTGGTGGTCTCTTGGAGAGCAGAACGGCTCGGAGGAATCCATATTAGCAATACCTTTCTTGTAATAGTAATCTGGCGTACATCTCTGGATCGGACTGAGCTTTGCGTAAGTGTCGTCCTCATCGATCATAATCACCTCTTCCACTGTTTCACCGTCGGCCAAGTTATGTGCCTGTATTTCATTCTGGTGATGCACAACCGTGGTAGCTGTCTGGAAAAAGGTTCTCACAGCAGGGAAGCTGTTTTCAATGACGTTATTCTTCATTTTAGGAGTGATCGTCTTCGGCAACCCATCGTTCTTGATCGAAATCCATGGCTCCAAACCATCCGCCGTCGCAGGTGGCTGTGCGGCAAACGTAACACCTCCCACAACATACGGGGTTACAACCTCCTTGACGCTCCCGTAGATCGTTCTAATCCATGGTCTTTGGGTCTCCTCCTCGGTACCATACAACCGTTCCGACTCCTCCTTGAGCCATTCCTTGTTGGCGACTGCCTTCCTTGGGGCAGCATCTCTCTTCACCAAGTACTCCGTCGCAGCAGGCAGCTGCGAGCCCACCGTTGCTGTATTTGGGAAGGTCGTTTTTGGGGCTAGCTGGGCGGCGTTCAAAACCACAGCTCCAGAGGAGAACTGAGCCAGAAACGTCACAACCGCCAGAAGCGTGAAGTCCACCATCATTCTCTTATAATTTTTAGTGCAAAGTCAACAGCAGCTATGTGTACTCGTTTCTCTGAGCGTCCTCCAGGCTACCAGCTGAAACAGAGAGCATGCCTGTCTTTCTTTCAGTTATCGTTTGGGCACAGGCAGATGGTAAAAACAACAACAACATCGCTTTTCCAGTTCGACGGAAAAAAAATTCAGTGAAGAAACTTACTCTCGCTACATCGCCGACGCTTCTGTTGTCGTCTCGGCCTGCTTGCCGCTTTTGGACATGCAGCATGATAATACCCAGAATGGTTGCAGGAGTGGTCTTTTTGTGTCTTGAGATGGCCTTAAAATTCCTTTACTGATGGTCAATTGACCCTCTAGAAGAGCGGGAACAAACAGTATAAGTACCGACGGCAGCCGTTTCTCTTGCTCAGCACACTCACACCACCAACAACGACGACAACAAAAATCTGAATGTCAGACGGTGCTGGTACTCCCACACCATACTCCCCATTGCACCATGAGCACGACGACAACAGACACAGGGTAGGTTCCTCTTACCAGGCAATCCCGATTCCGGACCGTTCGGCAAGAAAGTCTCGGTCCCATTTCTTTTCTTCAGTGGCGTCGCCTGGGAATATAAACTCATTGGCTGCGTTTGCCAACTCCTACCAGAGAGCCCAGTCTTTCCGTTCGATTTCGATCGAGCCGAGAATCACCGCCTCGAGATCCTACTTCAAGGATGACGAGGAGCTCATCGATCCAAGCACTTTTGCACCATCGCCAATGGGGAGGAAGATATCCACGGTGTTTGCGGTCAGACCGTATACCCACAGCCCAAACACTACCTTTGACGAGGCCGCAATAGACGACCAGCATTCGTTCCTGGACCATTCGTTCACTGACTACGTAGCCTCTAGACAACCCTCCTTTGCATCCTCTATTTTTCCGCCGCCCGGGAGTGGGCTTTCACGGGCACTTTCAGATGAGGTTGGCTCGGTGGTTCTCAGACAGGTCGAAACGCACGACGGTACCAAGTTGACGATGTTGGCTCCTCAGTCGACTATTCCACAGACCATTTTCAACTGTATCAATGCTCTCATAGGTATAGGTCTATTGGCATTGTCAAGAGCCATGGTGCATGCCGGGTTGTATTGCGGTACGGTGTTGATCATATATTCCGTCGCAATTACCTACTGGACTGCTACCCTCCTATCGGACTGTATGGACACCGACCCATCCATCTGCACCTATGCTGATATAGGATATAAAGCCTACGGGCCAAAAGCAAGGCTTTTCGTTTCTCTGCTTTTCACAATCGAACTTCTTGGTGTCGGTGTCTCGTTGATGGTTTTGTTTGCCGACTCATTGCATGCACTTTTTCCAGAGATATCCTTGATTCAATTCAAGTGGATTGCATTTGTCATATTGACCCCTTTCTCCTTCTTTCCTTTGCGTGTCTTGTCTCACATTTCTTTGATCGGTATCATTTCCACCATCTCGTTGGTTTTCCTTATATTCTTCTGTGGTATCATCAAGAAGACAGCACCTGGGTCTTTGATCGATCCGGCATATACAAGCTATTACCCTGCATCCGCTCTCAGCTTATTTGTCTCCTACGGTATCATTTTAGGACCATTTGGTTCACACTCTCTTTTCCCAGCGTTGAAAGCAGACTTAGTATCCCCTCACAAATTCAAATCTTGCCTTAAAACAACTTACTCTGTGGGTTTCTTCGCTGATGCATCCATGGCTTACCTTGGTTTTTTCATGTTTGGTGCTGGCCTCCTGAATGAAATAACACAATCCGTCCTTTTGACTACAGGCTATCCTAAGTTTGTTTACTTTCTGGCAAGTGTCTTTGTCTCATTAATTCCAGTTGCAAAGACTCCAATCAATGCATTGCCTATTATCAACATTACCGAATTTTTGTTCAATATAACACCTCAGCAACTTGAATATGCAGGAAAACCCGAGACATTGAGAACTAAATTTGCGAGTGCTTTGATAAAAATTGGTGTCAATTTGACTTTTGTCGTACTTGGAATACTCTATCCCGAGTTTGATAAAATCATTGGTTTGAGTGGTTCCTCATTGTGTACACTAATCTGTATCATATTACCATGTGCGTTCTATTTGAAATTGTGCAAACCTCGAAACAAATGGTTTTACTATTTAGTAATGGTGGTAGCCTTGATCTTGGGTGTCGTCGGCACTGTATCTGCATTCCTCATATAATCATATCCGGATGAATTTACAAATTACTTACTTTGATAGGCAATAGAAGAGCCGCTTGAGCAAGAATTCTTAATCAATATACTCCTTTATAATTTTTCTTACTTTCTATACAGATGTTCAGAATGATCAGACAACTATTACCCAAAATTTAACGATTTCCGGAAGTAGAACAAACCACCTCTTCACAAAACCCATCTACCAAGAATCTTATTTCTATGGACCTTTGGCCCTACCGAAGCAATTCCTATCAACAATACAACTATCGTAGCAATAACAACCTTGGTATTGAATGAGCTCGTTAATCTGTCAAATGAGCTTGAAGGACGTAAAAAGGTGACAAATATGTCACCATCAATGGATACAACATAAGTAGTTGATTCTAGTTCTGTTGGCTCAGTGAATAGGAAAGTAGACCCGGGATTATTGTTTAACACTAGCTTTCTATGATGTGTTAGAATAGTCTGTGGATTGACATTGATAATCGGATCGTATGGAAATTTACTTGCAATTGAAGAAGCATATTTACTTGAGCCTATTCTTTGCAAGAATGGGGAAACCTTTGCAACGTCTAACGAAATAACAGATGACTCAACATCATTTTTAAGTTTAAAATCTCCTATTATACCATTTCTTCTACCATCAACTATCATTTTAGGAAATGCAACCACTCGGCCCATATTCGTTAGCAAAATGATATCCTTCGTTGCAATATTATGTCTAGTTCTAGATATTGATAATCCACGCACAGATGTTCCTGGGAGTACAAAGCATTGTGACGCAAACATGGGTAAAATTGGCTCGTCAAAAGCTGAAATAACAGCATTCTTCCCGCTTAATTTCTCATCAGGTTTCAAGACTTCAAACAAATCTATTGAGCAAATCTGTGTATCTATGATAGTGTTTTTGTCTGGAACTGTGAAAATAATAAAATTTTCCTCAAACGCAACATGAACATCATAGGCTGTATTTATGGATTTGCTAACCTTTTTCTCTAACCTTCCATACACCTGTCCCGTTATCAGGTTGATCAGATAAAATACCACGCAATCTGATGATTCACCTTCTTTGTGTGTGATGAGTACCCCCACATTGGGAATTAGATATTTGTAAAGTGAAGAGCGATCAGGAAGGACTATTGCGTTCTGTGCTACATCGACATTTCCGTAACTTCTTTGGACCAAAGAAAGAATAGTTTCGCCCTCGGGAGAAAAATTCCAAGAATCTACTTGTCTCTCATTCCAGAAATGACCTTGAATAGAATTGGAGATATGGGAAATACTAATGGTGTAAAATTCATGAGCATCTGTTTGGACAAATTCAGCTTTTAAATCTTGATTTTGTAAAATTTTGAAATGAGAATTAACAAAGGTTTCTGACTTTTTTGTTATTTTTCCCAGATTGATATCTACCTCGTATATGGTTGTATTATGTAGGGCATAAACCTTTCTTTCAATTTCGTATAAATGACTAAAGTGTATTTGTGGAGTGAATATTTTCTTAAGTTGAGACTTACTGTTTTCATTTTTGTACATTGAAAAAACACCAATCTTTCCATTCTCTGACAAAGCTATCAGGTATTTGGACATTCCAAATCTATGTGCCTCATCCAGTGCGGAGTTTAGTTTCCCAAATAAAGACTCGTAGTTATGACGGATTCTTCTTAGGTACGACAAAAGAATATTGGAACTCGTTTCAAAAATGAGTTCATCTACCGTCAATGATGACTTAAGCTCCGAACCCACTATAACAAAATCTTTTATATTGACAAAAGATTGGTCGTTGCTCCATAGCAGCTCGCCATTACGGTAGTAATCAACAACCTTACTAAGAGAAACAACAAGTAAATTTATTTCTGTGGAATTTTTAGACACATGAAATGAGTAATGAATTGAGTCTGATAATGGGTTGCTTAAAAGTGATTTTGCATTAGCAGACAATGAGAGGGATTCAAGATCAAATAAGGCAATCTCGTTATTTGACTCAATCAAAATATGGTCCTTTACTATTTCAAAGCTCTTTATTTGATCAGCTGACAGAGATTCAGCAGACAGCTTTTCATTAATCATATTTTTGCCTGATTTTAACTTTTCATACCCAAAAGAGTCAAATGCGTAAACATCAGAATTACTGCATATGATGAGATTGTTTGAAGAATTTTGGAAGCGCAATTGCTTGACGTGACAACCATTAAAAGGCCTTGAAACAAAATCTGATAAGCTTGAAAAGAATGTTTTGCCGCTTATTTCAAGAACAGCATAAGTTAAACCATCTAGACAGCTATGAAATATCTTGGCATCTTCAATGGGTTGTTCTGCCGTATAAATTGTAGTAATATTATAATCTAATGTTATATCTATGTCCAAAATATGTCGTTCATCAACAACGTATATGTGGTCATCTTTCAGCAGTACAGACACAATACTGCTTGTAAAGTCAAGTTCTTTCTCAATTGTGCCAAATGACTTTGAAACATTCCATAACATAAGTTTAGACTTTACTTTTCTGCCAGGCTCATATTCGTAGTTGATAAAGCTAATAATCATTTCATTGGAAACTTCAACTAATCCTGAATTGGGGCGAATAGGAACTGTTTCAGATTGATATCTATACATTATTCCACCTGTTGTAGCATTGATTATGGAAAATATTCCTAGTTCTGAAAGCGTAAAGATTCTTTCATCTGAGTGAACAGAAGTGAACGGGACCCCGATGTTCACAGTTTGCCAGTCATTCTGGAAAACTTGATCTTGGGTCAAGCCCAAAGTATAGCTCAAAAAAGCCAGCAAAAAAACAAAATGCGGTCTCATTAAACTTCTGCAATTGGACTATTCCTAATTCGTGAAAAATTTGAATGGTCTGCTTTTAGCAGACACTGCAAGTAAAAAGAAACACATTCATCTTCACTCTTCATGTTAGTTTCAACAATTGAGAGCATTTTGAAGGATCTCTGAGAAAAAGATTACAAAAAATTGGTACATGCGGGGTTTGAACCCGCGACCATCGCGTTTCTTGAAACGGTTTCGTGACGTAAGCACAGACGTCAAAATACGACTATAAGCACGATGCTCTAAACCTCTGAGCTAATGTACCAGATACCATGACTGAATCGCAAAAAGCATGATATGACTGAAAAGATGGAATTTTACAAATTCATTAAATAAATAGATGAGTACTCAGGTGGGGTCTTCAGTGTTGTAATCTAGCTATTCTATTATGAATATCCATTGTATATGTACACTTTTTCTTATGTTCGTTGCTTATTTATATTTAACTAATATAACTAGCCTACAAACTAATATTCTCAAACATAAATACAAGGGACAAACCTCTTGTATTTATACACTTACACCTTCGGTTAAACTTGCCATTATTCATTTATCATGGCGGCTAACTTTCCAGTTTTAGATTACTTAAGATGCCTTATCATGATAAGACTCTTATCTCTTATCACTGAATCCTTATTGGCCTCGGCATCTTATCGTCAACCCTAAGATACCTTATCATGATAAGNTTCTTATCTCTTATCCCTCGATCATGATTGGCTTTGGCATCTTATCTCAACACCCCACCATAATCTAAACACTTGTAGATATGTTCGAC